GTCATGGGAGGTGGCCCAGGGAAGGGGGGCTTGGTTATGCTCCTTGATTTGACGGCGGAACAAGGTCACAAGTTTGGCCAGCTGACCCCCTCCACGTTCATGCACGCAGACCATTTCCCCACCATCCATCCCAATCATCGCTGGCCCTGCATGGGCGAAGGAGTGATCGCCGCCAGCGACCGTTTTCTGCCCGGCACGACGACCAAGTCCCAGCTTTGAGGGACCGATGACCCGATGGCGTAAGGATGTAGATAAAGTACGAGTTTTGCCTCCCTCCTCGAGCTCCAGGTCTTCCGGCCGCTGTCAAGTGACCTCTCGCTGGCCGAAAGTCAAGAAGTCAGGGTTGCTAAGAGCGTGTCACAGGCTCCCCATTCCGACCTCGACGTTTCGAAGCTGCCTACTTGCACACACAGTACAGAGCTTGCTCCCTGCGTCCCGAGCTAAACAGCAGCTTGACTCGTCACTCGTCATCCCACATGGGAGTGATGTCGCCCTGCAGGCCGCTGCAACCGAGTGGTGTGCATCCTGCCAGTGGGCCACCAACCGGATCTGCTCAAGCTCACGGTTGTGTGGATGGTGGGTTGGATGGTGAAGATAGTGTGCGACGCAGCTAAAGACCCAGAAAGACTGCTTGTCTTGGGCTTGGTAGTTGTGGTGGATGTGGATGTGGTTGTGGGTGCGTGGTGGTGTGCTGATGTGGTGTCGGGGCGCCGCTGGTAGACGGTGGAACTGGCGGCAACCTTGTTGTCGTCGTGACCCCTCAGACCCCAAAGAGCAACGACGTTATCGGTCGCATTGGGTAGGCTTTTGACAGGTTTACCCATGCACTGATCGAGGTCATCCGACGGTCTACTACTCTTCGGGGGCGAACATGAGAAAATGCTCTTTTCCCCTTCCGCCCTGCTTGTCCGAGCCGTGGCGGCCATCTTCGAGCTGGCTGTGGCGGCCTACGAGCTCTTGATTCGCATCTTGCCAATGGTGGGCGGGTGTGTTATCTCGACGATTATAGCCGGCCCGTTGCAGGGCACGCTCGTCTACCGTTCTGTCCCTTGCCCTCACCGTTTCTCACATGCCGCATTGTCAGAAATCGGATGAGTTCGAGACATAAAGAGAGGAGGCCGGCTTTGTCTTTGGCTTTTCCGCCTCCCCGCCACGCTCTTGGTCTTCTTATTTCCAGACGTTGTCTGTGACGGAAAGTTCCGCCGAGATATCTATTCGAGAAGCCGCCTCCTCTTCGATTCCGGCCCCGGAACCGGCCTAGAGAATCGCGGGGTGGGTGGTGTCAGGGAAGGGGGTGGCTTCGGGGAAGTGTAGTGGCCCATGTGACGGCTTGCCAAGTCCAGAGCAACGGCGCACCAGTTCCTGCCAAATGACAGCTCTTTGTGGGGCGTTGGTTGCCGAACCTCAGGCCCTCGAAGGCGTGGAATGATGTCTTGGTAAGACATGGGTCTCAAGTGGTCGTCATTGCGTGCTCCCTGAGCGATGTGTCGTCGATGATGGTGCCTTTGTGCTTATCCGCGGCTGCTACTGGTTTCGCGGAAGTGCGCTTCCATCGATTGCCTCTTTGGGTCGTCCGGCCTGACCTTCTTATCAGTTAGCCTTCCAAGATCTCAAACGAATCTTTCTAGTGCTCCGGGTGTGACGTTAGATGTTGCTGCTGCTGCATGGAGGATAATGATGTGATATTCCGTGACTGCCGGCCCCCACTCCGCTTACTCGCCGTGGGTTCTGGGTATGTTCCGGGCTGTCGCCGAGTTCTGCTTCCCGTGCCCGGGAATATCGCCGCCGATGTTGCTGTCTCTCTGAATATGTCAATGTTGTTATCACCGAGTTCATCTTTATGTTACGTGTCGTTCGGTGTGGTGCCGGCAGCACCCATTCCGATATTGCTGGCCCCTTGAGACTGAGCAGAGGTTCGTCCTGTTATACCTGTGTATCGCCCACTCTGCCTGAAGTCTTCATGTTCTCGTTCGGTAACGACCGTCTCTCCTCATGAGCGGCCTCCTGTGCCAGGTTAGCCCGACGACTCTACCAGCATAGGAGAAAACCCGGGAGGGCGTTCGGATGGACTCGTCTTGTTCGTCTTTTTCCGCGGACGGTCGGTCGCAATACGGACGTATTGACCGGTTGCTGAGTCGTGGTCGTGTGCTCCAGCTTGTTGGATGTAGGCCATTCCAATGCCCTACACTCGTTTGTCGTGGTTTTTCCGGCTCTGGTGGCCTGGCCGTGCTCTAACAGCAGAATACGTGGGGACCTTGTTCCCCCCGTAGTTCACTAGACAAACAATCAAGTTCTGATCAAGTGGTGGATTCTGTTGGCTCTACGCATACTGCTTTGAACTTTCTCGGATGGGGGTGATTGTGTTGATTGCCCGGTCTCTGTGATCTATGCCCCCAAGACTGGCAGTGGTTGTTCCCCTGGGGCCGTGCTGCTTTGTTCTAGCCTTCTAATTTTTTTTGAACCATACACATAACAACTGTGAGATTGCAAGCTCCTGCAGCATACATGGGCACGTGGCTGCTGGGCTTCGGTCAATGCTACTGTACGAGTTGTCCCTGCTTCTTGCAGGGTGATCAATGCATCGCTGTCCCATTCGGGGCTTAGAGAGACTCTCAAGCAAGCCAACTCAAGTTGTTGTGTTCATTATTATGTGGAATACCTTTGAGCAGGTTAGAGAGGAGAAGGAAGCAGTAATTCGTTTATCAAACGCATCAGCTCTGTAGGCCTATGGGTGTCTTGATCTTTTCCGTCTCCGACAAACAAGCATCCCCGTTCAAGATGAGCACAACTAATGGACACCTGCCTTAATACAAGACTTGTGTGTTTTCCGAGATCATGACAATCTCGCAGCCGGCAACTCGTCTAGATACTTCGGGAGACAGTTTAGAAACAGTTTGTCCTGCTCCCCTGACTCTAAGACGAGTTTGCTACGGGCTTGAAAGATCGAACAAGTCTATCTGAATTTCCCTGGTCGTTCAATGCGAGGACATTCATTCTATGACACTGTTCATGGATGGATCGCGGACTTTGCATCCCGTCTCACCTTTCTGCTGGACTTTCGGGTGTGTGCACCGCAAAACTCCATAGCCAGAGGCTCTGGTTTACCTCGTCAGGGACTGCTGTCCACCTTCATCGTGAAAGCTATTAGACTCGGCTTTTGTCATTGTTCACAATTGTTCATGCTTTTATTTGAATTATTTTTAAAAAATAAATCAACCAGTCCATGTTTCTCTTGTTCCATCTGTTGACAGCATAGGTCGCTTATTCGCAATAAGAGGCGAAGTGTCTGGTGATGAGGCTTGATGGAGGACACAATGAGTACTGCCAATGCTTGCCCTGTTGTTCTCATCCCCTAGAATAGGACGGAGACACAAACGCCTTTTCGGCATTCTCTCAAACCAAATCCTCTGGAGCGTGTTCTTAAAAGCTACACTGCCTGTACGTTGGCTACCGCGCCCGGGATCTTGTTGCCAAACGATTGATCAACAACGAAGAGCTTCGAAAACAAAACGTGAGACGACAGCAGCAACAATAATAACAATAGCAACAGCCCTCTTTCTTTAACGACAAGTCTTGCCCCTGAAAACACTGCTGCCGGTTGAGCCGCTGCCAGCTTGAGTACTTAAACCGGCTGTCACGCACCAGTCATAATTTTCTTCTCCCTTCTCAACCCCTTTCCTTCTTCATGAGACTCTACTCCCTTCTCACCTCCTTCTCTGCTCCAGCCTTTTTCACTGCTCTCACCTGTTTGACCCAACCCTCCTCAACATCAGCAAAGCTCCACTGTGGTATCTACTTGGATACACTGTGGTTACTTCGCCCTGGTCTCTGTCTAGCACTCATTAGTGTTGGTCAAATATCTTGGACTCATTACCTACTATTGACATAACCTCATACTCATCTTCTTCATACCTGCGTTCACTAAAGGCTTTGCTCTGACGTCGGCATCATCACTGGCCATCCCGGCTTCTTCTAGCAACCATCGTCACTCGATCTTGTACTCGCAAGCACACAAAGGTACGTGAAATGATTATCCAACCTTACTTCCTTGTCACAAAATCTTGATCCTTCATCAGCTCAACCTCCTCTACCATCAGCTCTTCAGCTGTACCTTCTCCCGGAGCCCATCTTCACAAGCACAGAGTTGGGTTACCGTGGTTCCTGCTCATCCAGCCCTTCACGATTCCCAGTTGACCTTGCCCACTGTCCAAGTCATCTATCCTTCACCTCCCTGGTGTTGCTCCTAGGATCTCCTGACCTCAAACTTAAGCTTTTCCTAGCACCCTAGTTGAGGACCTCACTGCCGTGCCATCACGAAGTAAGTACTGCAAATTGTCCGTCTTGACACACTCATTGCGTTTGGTTGGTGGACTTTTCCCCGGTTCAAGTGCTCATCATAATCCTGGGACACCACGACAAATCCACCCGTTCACCATGTCAAGACCCTCGCGATAACAAGCACGAAACACCTTTCTTTCCCCATACACATGAGCAATATCACCACTGTGTCTACAAGGGTGATTTATCAAAATACTGGCTCCAAGTTCATTACATAAGACAACAGTCTGAGGTGCGGACAAAGGCCGAGACAAGCTACCGCTTATTTGATATTTTCACTTTCCTCCACTCGTCTCATTTACCCCTTACGCATTGCATCTTCAAAGCAAGTCAAACACAGAAAGCCGGTCTCTCTCACACACCAGCCGGGTAAGAGCAGCAGCTGTGATACCCAGGCATATGGGCTTCATCCTCTTTGCCTCGGCTAGTACCTGCTGGATGCGTCAGACTTTCAAGACTCATTCCTCTTAGTGGTGGGACCGACCTCTTCAACTTCTTAGTTCCTCTACCCAGCAAGCATCACTTATACATTTTGAATCATGGAGCCCGGCTATTTATTATTCTCTCCCACTTCAATCCAAGACCATTAGCTGTGGTTACTTGGTTTCTCGATATAAAGCGGTCTCTACCGGCAGTGAGATACTGATGTCAATGTAGCAGCCATGAACGGAACACGCCCCAACCGTCGTCATTACCAATACCGTGCCGGTCAGGCTCCCAAAAAGCTCAGCCAAGCTGAGAAGAAGGAGCTCGCACTGGGTGACTACTCAGATCCCACGAAGGGATATGGTCGGAACTCGGCTCGGGTCCTTTCTTTCAAGGAGACCGGCATTCGGTACACCAAGAACTACGTCGAGAACAAGGAGGCATGCGATGCTCTTCGAAGGGCCAGATTCGAGATGAAGGTGCCCGTTTGGCCACGCGATGAGTCTGGCGAACGCGTTATCTGGCACAGCGTCCAGGTGGAGGACCATCCTTCGGGCCGTGCGAAAGATGCCGCTGAAGCGAAGAAAATGAACCTGTTCTACCCCCACCAGGATTACGCCGGAGGTTTGATCTGTTCGGTAAGTCGTTGAATTAATCATCTACCCTAATCGTCTTTCTATATCTCTGGATGATTACGGTGGAGATGTTTTATATTACGCGGTGACAGTCGCTCACAATATGATAACTTTCAGGCCCCCTTCTCCAAGGGCGAGAAAAGCTTCTGTTCAGAGTCCACCACCGATACCCCTGATACCAACGAAGGGGTGTGGGCTTGCCAGGCTATGGCCGTTGCAGAGATCCGCTTCAACATCCTCAAGCACTTGTCTTACCCTGACATCGGCGCTCTCCAAGGCACCTGCACCATGTTGGCGAACCAGATCATGAGCACCCCTGTAAGTCATCCAGCCGTGACTCCGGGACGCAGTACTAACGTGGCCCAGGCGCTCTGGGATATGACTTATGCCAAGTGCAACTACAGCGAGTTTACTAAGGATGAGTTCGCCATCTTGAAGCAGAACGGCGAAGCTGGCGAGGAGGCCCAACAGGGCAACAGCGAGGTCAGTATGCTCTATGCTCCGGCGGCATTCACGCCGCGGCTTTACATCGCCTGTCTCGCGGACACAATAACGCTAATTATTATATAGTTCGTGATGGTCAGCCAGACGCATATGGGCCTCAAAAAGACCCTCATGCAGGACCAACCCGTCAACGTGGTCCAAATACGGGGACTGCTCAGCGTCGGCAGAAGCCTTCAGCTCAGGGGTGACACCATCAAACGAGTGTGCTTCAACCGAGTGAACTTCTTCGACGCAGGCGTTTTCGCCACGTTTCTCGACCAGATGCACAATTTGGAGCGCGCTGATATTACGAGCTGTGACCTCATTCGCTACCATCACGTCCCTGCCTTGCTCGACACCGTACACACTCACAATAAAAAATACCAAACCAAGGTGTTGCTTGACGTCGCTCCCAGATACCACGTTGGACCGCTCTGGGAGAATGGACCGGACGGAAACGACCGCGAGGGTGCCTATGGGCTGACTTATAGCAACCCCGGAATCAAGATCCCGACGGCTGTGTGCAAGTTGTTCATATACGACATCGCTCCGCGCCTAAAGAGTGAGTGATCGAGGCCCTGGGAGAATATGTTCTGAATGCTGCTGACCGTTAATGTTTTCCCACAGAGACCGGACAGATGCACATGATGCAGAGCAACGCGCTGTTCCGACGATTCCTCGAGAAGCTCCCACTTCATAGCAAGACTGTGCCTCGCATGGAGGCTGTAGCTGAGCACAAAGACTACCTGAAGAGGCTCTTCGCGAAAGGCAAGATCAACGACCAGCAGAAAGCCAAGCTGGAGATCCGCTGCGCCTTTGCCGAGCTGGTTACCGTCTTCGGAAAGGAAGGCTGGATTCAGCTGCTTGAGGACGGGTTGTACTCAACCAGTGAACAGGGAACCGCAGAGAATTACGGAGTCTGGGCTGATACCGCCGAGTGCAACACGTGCCGCACGAACCTGGCGATGATGTACTACACGTCCGGCTACGTCTGCGATAGTTGTCTTATGAAAACCGCCGTGGACCGCGAGAATTACCACTATAAGAGGCGGAAGATGCAGGCCACCAGTCATCTGGGATGCGGCTACCCCGGTGGACCACTGGTTCCCCTGGAGAAGACCAACATGGACTACAGCGTCATGCGTTACGCCGACGGCACCCCTCGCATCACCCAGATGGACGACTTCGATTACTTCGTCGAGTTTGACATCCACAAGCTGCGCGGCCTGTTCAAATTTGTGCGCGGAATGGACAATGAGGGACACTCTGGATTCAACCTCCGTGACTTGGGCTTCCAGCGGAAGCACCCATACGACCGGTGCTCGCGTCCGAGCGACACCCAGTCCCACAACCTGGGCTTCATGACGTACCGCAGGCCCCTCTCGCTCGAGGAGATCCAGAAGCTGCCCAAGGGCAGGGTCTTCACTTACATCGGGCAGTTCTGAACTGGTCATGATTTGGGGCAACCTCAGAGTATAGTTCTCTGAGCGGCTCATGGTCACATGATTGTGGTGATCCCAGTAGGGTTTTAGTTTTTTGGACCGGTACCCCAGAGATTAGGGCTACTAGATACTTGATGATTTGATCAATAGAACACTGCGAGGAATGACGCGTTGCAATTACCTACTGGCCTTTATCCCCTGTGCTGATGTTATTTTGTAGTTGATATTGTCATTCAGATGTTTCGATGCTGTCCCGTGATCACCATGCGTAATCCGCTACACCGTGGGTGAGCGCCTGTCTGTCTACTCATCTTTGATATCTGAACAGAAAACTATGCTTCATACTCGATATTAAAGCTTTTGCTCATATTCAATTTCGATCGCTGGAAGTATCGATGAATGTGTCGAGACGGGGCAAGCTTGAGGTTGGGACGGAACGGTTGCATGACCCCGGTCTTCAGAACTAAAGGTAGGGAGCTCGGACCACCCACTGCAGCTAGATCGATTTTGTGATCGACGTGCATTTCTCCAGACAGCTTCACCAAATTGTTGCCCATCCACCACAGCGGGCCCAAACCGGTCATCGACCTCAGGACCCAATGCCTCGTCAAGCAGCGCGCCTCGTCCTCGGACGAAGCGCAAGGGTACCCCCAACAACCAGACTACGGCCTTTCTCGACTACGCCTAGGCGCCGCGACGATGATGCGAGCAAGCCGCCCACCCGCCGCGAGCGCTCCGTGGCAGCAGCCTCAGCCCTCGGCGCCATGAGCCGTCCCTCAAAACCCTCCCAGCGCTCTCAAGGCCCCTCGTCTTCCTCCGAGGGGAAACCCGCCGGCGCCCGAAACCCTGCGAACCTCCCGCACACAGCGACCCTCGGCTCGCGACTGGGCGCCAACGTCATCAGCATGCGAAGCCTGCCCAAACGAGACGCCGGTGCCTCCAGGCCATTGATTCGCAGAGTATCCCACGAGCAAGAGGGCGGCCAGCGTCCTCGGTCAGGGCCACCGGGCGCCAACATCGTGGGCGGACGCTTCAAACCAGGCACCAACGGCCCACGGTTCGCGCGGCCACCTGGCTTCCAAGGAGGTCAAGGGAGCGGGCCGGGGTCTCGCCTGAGGGCAACCTTGGGCGGCGGCGGCAAGCGCATGCCTCCCAAGCGGGCGGGCGGGTTCAAGAAGAAGAAGCGGAGCGACGAGGACAAGAAGAAGGACAAGGAGGCGTCGAGCAGCTCCGGCATGAAGTCGCTTGACGAGGAGGTCCAGGCGTATGTGCGCGAGCAGCAGATTGGCGGTCCGGAGAGGGCGTACAAGCCGTCTGTCACGCTCGAGTCGCTGGTCGGGTGGGGACCCGCGGTGGCTACGAACACGGCGCTGGGCCAGGCCGACTTGGCTTTCCGGAGCGTCAAGGTTCTGGGAGGCGGGAGGGGAGCTGGCGACGAGGAGCAGTCATTCAAGATCGACGAGGTGAAGAAGTGGCTTGTGGCCAACAAGCCCATCTACTTCTCCAATGTTGAGCAGAAGAAGGCGGTCATCCAGACGCTAGCGCACGAGAAGAGGGACAAGATGGTCCAGAAGTACAAGGACGCCATCGTCAAGGAGATCCAGCAAAAGAACGGCAACAACTGGGGAGCGTTCGTGGAGTCCCTTAAGGCATGGGCAGCTCAGTTCGCATCGACAGACAAGGGCAAGAAACTGGGAGAGTCTCTGATCAAGGCCAATGCGCGACCAGAGGACTGGCTCAAGGTGGCGGCTGAGGCCCGAGCTGATGCCCAACTTGACGACATCGCGAGGAAGTACAAGACGCAGAACACAAAGACGACAAGGGAGGCGATCCTCAAGTACGTCCTCAAGGGAGAGCACCCAGAGGTCAAGTACGCAGAGGATGTCTATGGCAAGCTTGCCACGTACCACGCGCAGGGCTCTACTTACACTGCTGCGGACGGCGCAAAGTTCGACGAGAAGATCAGGAAGCTTATAAAGGTGCCGCCAGCTGGAAAGGCCGCTCCACGAGCGCAGGCCAAGGCATAGATAGTAGTCAAAGACGAGACAGGAAAACGGTGGCCCATTCGGGTTGTACAAATACACTAGAATATACAAACAGTCTGTCCCTTGGTATCTATCAATTGTAGCCTAGGTAGGCTGTGCTTGCAGTCGGTGGCCGAGAGTGCCGCAGTATCACAGGCGCTTCTGCCTGTTGGCCATCTGCTGCAGCATCTGCTTCTCGCTCCTGTCAACCTGCTCGATCTTCTTGTCCTGCATGGACTTGATCTTCTTCTCCAGCGCCTTGACGTCGTCCTTTGTGATGTGCTTCTCCTTGAGCCAGGCGGCGTGGCGATGTCTCCTCGCGGACATGACCTCCCTGACGGCGTCCCTCCAGCCGTTGACCTCGCCGCGGAGGCGCTTCTGCTGCTCCTCGGGGTTCTCGGGCTCGATGCGCAGCACCAGCTCGAGCTCGTTGTCCGGGTCGCGCTGCGGCTGCTGGTTGAAGTCGTCGCTGGCCTGCACGGCGGACATGATGGGCTTGACGTAGTCGGCGTCGCTGACCATGATGGAGACGCTGCGCCCGCCGCGGTGCACGACCTGCGCCAGCTCGCGCAGCGGGTACGTCTCGGCCGAGTCGCGGTCCGGCCGCACGCGCAGCTGGCCCAGCATCTCCGGGTTGAAGCGCCCGCCGACGCGGAACTCCTGCAGCCGCTTCTCGAACCGCTCGTCCACGCGCGCGTACTCGGCCTCCACGTCGGCCAGGTCGAAGGCCGCCTCGCGGTCGAAGTCGCTGCTCGCCTGCTGCGCCGCCTTCTCCTTTGCGCGGCCCCGCGGTGGCGCCTCTTCCACTTCCTCTTCGGCGTCCTCTGCCTCTTCCCGCTCTGCCGCTCGCTTGCTAGACCTTCTTTCTTTGCTCTTCTTGCCGCCCACCGCGGCGGTCTGCGAGAAGCATCTCGAGAGGGCGTGTGTGCGCGGGAGGATCGCGGGACGAGGAAGGCTCTGCAGAGCGGCTGGCGGGTGGGCAAGCGAGCTCTGGGTTATGGCGAGAGCTCTAGTCGAGATGGTGCTCCTGCGAGTGCTGTTGTTAGCTTGGGTGGCTGCCAATTGATTGCATGCTGGTATCCTACCTTGAAGACAAGGAGCCTGCATCATGCGTGCACTGCCGTAGTGCGATTTGAGCTCTGTTAAGCCCTCTCATGATCGCTGCATTTGGTTGCTCTGTGAGGTCCTGTCGATCTGCTACTGGCAGCTCTCAAGTTCCTCTCCGCGTCGGCCCCGCGCGAGCCACTTCCACCCCTGCAAAGTATGATCCCTGATCTTTATATATGCCAAGACCAAGGCATGGACACTTTAACAGGACTACAGACGTACAACATGATAGCTCTGAGCAGTGCACTACAAGAATTCAACGTTGTTCGGCTCATTATAGGTGAGCTCACGCGGCAGTTGGCACAGATAGCTACGGAAAGGACCAGCTCAAACTCACGAGCAGAGGCTGGCTTCATTCCGTCTGACTCGGTATTGACTGTCACTTGCTGCAAGGATTGTCACCAATGCTTCATGCAATTGTTGGCTCCGTATGGCATCTGACTCCAAGTTCTCGTCTTCATAAATCTCTCGCTGATTATGCGTTGTTGTAAAGAGCGTCTCAAGGAGCATGCGATGAAGTAGTCTTCGATGCGCCGTCCTGGCCCGACTTCTCGCCTCCTTCTAACCAGTATATCCGTCCCTATCATTCTATACATCTCCATGACGCCCAGCCTGGAAATCATCGCTCTTGTTGTCTGGCTACCACCTATCAACAATAACCAACTCTTTGGCAGCATACCTGCCACCAAGTGACGAACCGTGGCTTTCTCCATCAGCCGCATCCTCATCGTAATGCGGGTACTTATGGATCGTCCTCACTGCATGAAGCAGCTCCTTGCTCAGCACAGGCGGCACGCGCCCGTCACCCGTCAGCGTGCCCAGGCCGGCGAGCCTGTAGAGGTACCCGAGCCACTTGAACGAGTCCTCGCCCAGCCGGCCCGGCTGGCTCTCGATGTCGTGGAACTTCTTGCCTGTGGCCTTGACCCACTCCGTCCTGTCCTCCTCCCACCGCCGCTGCTCCCGCTTCGGAGGCAGCGGGATGGCGTTGCGGCCGCTGAACAGGCGCGCCAGCGCCACCGCCTGGTACTCGAAGCTCCGGAACGTCAGGCCCTTCTCGATGCCTACGACCGCGAGCGACGGAAAGTCGTGGAAGAAGGTGTGCCAGTATATATTGACCAGCTTTCCCACCTCGTAGTCGTATATGGGCCGGCCGTTGTTCCGCTCGTTCCAGAACGGGAAGGACGGCCTGTACCCCGTGGCGTAAATAATCTTGTCCACGTCGTTGGGGCCCAGGGTCGAGCCGTCTTCGAACTCAATCGTCCCATCGGAGTGATATTTCGTTATGATGGGTTTCCAGCTGACGCCGGGCGATGGCTTGTCGCTTTCGAACGGACTCTTGTGGCGGCGGGAACTGTACACCGGCAGGTGAGCAGTCTTGGTGAGCTCATTGAAGATGTCCGAGCCCGACGCTGAGTTGCCTATCGTCAGGACCTTCTGCCCTGAGTATACCGTCGGCGAGCGGTAGTATTTCGAGTGAACCACACGGCCTGGGTATTTCTTGATATACTCTTCCAGCCCGTCCACCTGCGGGATCTGTTTCGTGTCAGCTTGAGCCCACAGACATGCATTTGCAGCTTAGGGACCTCTACGCACAAATGGTACAGAGTAATGCCCGTTTCCGATGACCAGGGCATCAAAATCTTCTGTCCACCACACATCAACCCGCCGCAGCGCATCGTGTTTTCGCAGTGTCAGTTTCCACCTGTCGAGACCTGTTTCTGAGGACGGTGGGATCCGGGATACGTCCTCAACAGTAGTGCTCAGGACTAAATTCTCGTCCAGCTCGTGGGTTGCGACATAATTCTCCAAGTACTGCCTTGGGACATGATGTGGTGGGAACGGTCCATATGCGAATCGTGCGTCAGAAAAGCACATTGCTATATCAGGAACGTTTGTTCTGTGTCATAAATCAGCCGCTGGACATTTCAAGCTGCAAATCACTTCACAGCTTACGTCAAGGAGTTATAGACTGGTGTCTTGGAATATCGCTCCTGCTCAACTGGAGCAGTGACCTGGGGAAGCTGGTCGGGAATCTGCAGAGGCGGATCGATCTGTGGAGGTAGCTTTCCCGGGGTTATGGGAAGCTCTGGCCCTGGGGAGGCATCAAATATCCTTTTGATTGTTAATTTGGATGCTTTCTTGTAGGGCGATGCATGCCCGAGATCTCGAGGAGGCTCACCATGTCCCACCCGCCGTCTCACGTCGCTCAAAGATTCTAATCCGGTCAAAATAATTCTCTGCTTTGAGCGCGGCAGCTGTGATAGTCCCTATTTCATGGTATCAGCTCCATGTTTCACCACTATGGCAAGTAAATTGGTCAAAAGCCGGGTACATACCCGAGGCGCCAGCGCCAATGATTGCGACCGACTTGATCAGTTTCTCGGCGCCCATGGTTTACACTCGGACTGATTCAGGATCCTGTGCTCTCTGTGTCACGTTGTTGAGTGTAAGGTAGATCGACATCTCAAATGATTTCCAGCGTCTGCGGAGATGGAGACGCTGTTTAGCCACACTCTCACGCGCTCGTCATTTAGGACGCGATTTCACCATCTCGGTATCACGTGTTTCGGCGGCAGCAACCACATCACGCCAAATGATTACAAATGCTACTCATTGGATGTTCAATCATAGAGATAAGCTCCAGAAGCTTTCAATAGGGTTGAAACGGGTCCGGCATGATGATTGACTATGTACACTGGCTGTCGAGATGTGAGCTGTAGATGTCGTCAACTGGCGAGCGGCTCATCCCGGCAACACTAAACTTAAAGTTGGAGCGATTCTAGATGTGCATTGATTTTGTTTGAATCAGACTGGCTAGCAGAATTGACTGGTCCAACAACTCGACCTCATTTGTGCCGCTACTTAATCGTAACAACGATGCACTGAGGTTCTGTGGCGTCTGCAACCGTCCATGCTTCGGTTGAAATAGCCAGCAGCAATGACAGAGCAGGTTCAGCTGACGCAGTCGTCTTTGAAGTTGATACAAAGTGAGAGACATAATGAATTGTTTGAACGCATAAGTCTAGTTCCTCTTCAGACATAGCAGGTGCAATTGCGCAGAAGTTCAACTGTCCCTAGAGAGGAATAATTTCATTTGGAGAGTCTTCGCACATTCATTCTCGTCCTCAACAGCAAGAAATTGGGGGACATCAGGACAATTGAGAGCCATGTCACTTTGAACAGGTGAAGTATCCAGACAATATTCTGTATTTCGACTCAAACGCCAGGTTTGTAATACAAGCGCTGATAGTAATATTTTACAGTGAAGAAGCGGTAACACCGCGCTTTATGCCAGAGCGCGCGATGCTACCTCGGTCCCATTGCCATCGCTTAAGAGCCGAAGGTGAACTCGGGGATCTCGAAGGTGCCGATCTCCCAGGTGATGCCACCGTCGCTGGTGGTCATGGAACCGGTGACGCCCTCGCCCATACCAAGGGTCTTGTCGTAGCTGGCATCAGCAGAGTCGAGGATGATCTTAGCATCGGTCCACTTGTGGGCGGGCATGGTGCCGCAGTTCTCCTCGGCGCACTCGACGGCGGAGCCCCAGCCCTGGGCCTTGCCGCTGCTGGTGGAGAGGGTTGACACAACCTCGCCGTTGACGCTGACGGTCTGGGTGTAGTTGCCGCTGGCGTCGTCGTACTTGTCTGGAAGGGAGGTAATTAGTACAGTGGGTCCGCATGCTTTCATGTCAATACTTGGAGGCGCTTACAGTGCATGGTGACCTCGTCCGTGGCCGAGGCAGTGCTGGGGGTGTCATCCTGGACAACAGTCTGGCCGTTACCCACGCCGAGGGAAACAAGGGTGTATGCGTAGATGGACCAGTCGCTGGATTGGTAGTTGTCTGCGATGGACTGGATCAGGTCACCGTTTGATGTGCCCATACCAACCCAGAGGGAGGCGTCTCCATTGTTGTTGCTGGGAGCCTTGGGCAGGACAAGCGTGGCGGTCGACTCCCGGATGAAGGTGGAGTCGGCGACAGGGCCAGTAGAGAAGGCAGGGCCCATGGCAGCGTTGACCGACACAGCGGCGGCCGCGATGGCAGAAATGGTCTGGATGGTGGAAGGCATCTTGATGGATGTGATTGGTAAAGTGTGATTGTGCTGATACTGCCGGCAGCGAATGAGCGACGATGAATTGAAACGAAAGACTGGTACTTGGATGAGAGGCTTGCTGATTCAATCAATATTGTGAAAGGCCAAGAGGAATTGTACAGACTACTTATATGTATATCAGCTCAAGAGTTCCCACTACGTCAGCAGTCCCATGGCTATACGGCCAACCGCCCGAATCGTCAACCGCCGCCCCGTGATGAGACTTGACTAAAGACCGACCGGCTATGGGGCCACGAAATGCATCCACCGGCACTTGTATTAAACAAGCTCATTAGTTTCTGAGCCTCATTGTGGAGATAGATCACCCGTTTCCATTCCCCATGTGGTGTTTCACTCATTTCCGTTTAGTCCTTGGCGAACAATTCGCCCGAAACGTTTGTGGGGAAGCACTCTGCGTGAAACCGACCACCCCCTGATCCTCCTTGAATTTTTGTTCGTATATCTCCACCAACCGCCCGGACGAGACAACCGGCGATTGCCGGGCCACGGAGAAACTCACTTACAGCCTGCATCATCGTACCAAATTGATAAATTCGCCAACTTCCGTGGACGTATTTCGACTTCACTTTCTGAGTAATCACCTGCCCCTTTTCTGCCAGACTGTAAAAGACACTAAACCCTGGACAGTAATCCTGAGCTCGGGGTAGTGTATTCTGAGAATCAATAAACCCATACCCTTGCATGTAAGATGATATAAATACATCGCAGTGTTTCTTAGAAACAAGTGACATAGCTCCTCCATCGGATTTGACAGCGATTTCCGCGCAGCCCCCGCCTTGACGAGCACTCACTCCGAAAGCTGCGTGACAAATTAAGACACTTCATATGCACCCAACGCATGCAATTCTATCTTTGACATATTTTCCGTCATGCTATTAAGGCTTCCTGGAACAAACTAGTCAAAAAGATGCATGACCACTAAGTGCCTTCGAGGCCAACTGTTGAGGACAAGGCAAACTCCCAGGAAGCCTCACAAGTGAAAGCCAGATTCATGATCAGAAGAGTCATGCTCCTTAGATACATTATATTCATACTGTCCGCTTTCAAATTTCCGAGCCACCATCCTTTGCTTCTTCGTGGGCCACGAACGGGGAAATTGAGTGGAACACCACTTCGAGTCAGGGCTTCAGGAGTTCTCGGTCTCGCGAAGTTGACAATCGCAATTGTCCTTAGCAAGTGATTATTTCAAACCCAGCTGCGCTCACTAGAGCATCAAAGTCCGTCGTTGAGTCAACAAGTGGGAAGCTCGCGCGGTCACCAGGTACATCGAAGACGCCGGTGTCATTGAAGAACATGTTGTTGACATAGAGCGAGTTCACGATCTCAACCGTGGCGACCACCGTCTCAGAATTTGCGATCTCCTCAGTGCCATTGTTCGCAACCTAGCCAATATACTGAACGGAGGCTAAGTTGTCCCTTAAGCCCAGACCGTCGTAGCAGCTCGTCTTCCCACTCCCTTTTTAGATGCGCAAGGCAGATCTAGTAGTAGCAACGGAGGCGATCATGAGGAAGACTCTGGTTCCAAAGGTTTTCTCCGAGAACGAACAATATGCAGTGAGAGGCTACGTACACGCAACCGTGTTGGAAGATGTGTCGTATCGAATCACGTTGTTGGGCCCAGACAAGTCGGCTCCGTTGGTCACAAAAGGAGTCCCACTATTGGCCTGGGTTATGATTGACTGCGTTGAGGCATCATAGTCTGTTCCTGACACATGTAAAGGCTCCGTGTCTGTGACACCGTCGAAAGTCAAGATATCGTACGTCGCAGTGTATAGGCCATATACCAGGAAGGAATCGTTCAAGTTGGCGCTATGCTCTTTGTGTCAGTCCCTCATCCTGAACGCCGTCTTAGTTGGAACTAACCTGAGGTATAGCTTGCAGTTCACGGGATCCTAATCCAGGTTCTTAGGATACAACTTAGAGTTCTCAATGGAAAATGTGCCATTGAAGTCTTGACACTTTGAAACAGCGCTCGGCCTAATGGCCGTAGAGGACGCGGCATGTGCTACTCCCAAAAGGGCTGGAAAAGCTGAGAGAAAAGTTGGGTGCATGGTTGAATCTTTCTGGCACGACAGACTTCAAGGAGTGACTATTGACGAGATGCTGTATGGGAAGCAGTTCGATGCCCAGTGCTCCTCTTGTTGATTTTCACGGCGGCGGCTCCCATCCTGCTTTATATATATTCAGCTCATAGGCCCCAACCTGGGCAAGACGTCTCTCAAGATATCTATTCATTCCACGGAGCCTAGACTCAAACAACTCCCAGCTGTTCCGACCGAGTGGCTAGGTCTGCACAAGTATGGATGAACGGGTGTTCGCAGCAATCGATACACCGGAAATGGACATTCCCTTGTTGTCGGCCTTCGCTTTCAATATGTAAGTGGGCCATCATCGGCGGGTTTTAGGCACTAGGGCCAGAACAGAAGCTTAATTTGAACTTGTAGCCGCGCGGTCGTGAAAGCAGTCTAGCCGCATGTTTCTACAATGTATTCATGCAAACATCGTGTTCGATTCTGTCTTTTTTTTCTTCTTTATGTTTCATTTCATTCCGTGCTGTATTGTGGCACAACCACAACTTTGTTGTGGTTGTGACGGGAGGGAAGCGAATCTTCCTGGCTAATTTTGGTCACTGCGATTTGGCAGTACTAATGCACTTCCAGCTGCCACCGTCTTGCGATGCTATGGGGCCACATGGGTCCATTCGCCCCGGAAGTAGAGTCAATCGCCTATAATTGTTGGATCCGGACGTTTTGGCCAATTTGGTCTCAACAGGGAATTGCTACGACTCAGGTGGAAATCAAGCTGCCCCGGCAGCCCGGTATGAGCGCCCAGATTGACAGGTGTGATATTATTGATCTAAGCGCGCGATTGATCCTATTCAGAAGTCTGTAGTCAGGGTTTGCAAATTAACCAGATTGAAGAATAGCCGTGCGATTTCACTTGAAAGACTGAGAGAAGCCTAGTCTCGCATGTCGACGTGTCAGCTTCAGCATTCGAGCATTCTAGACGGCGAGAAGAGCTAATATCAATGTCCACTTGCGAGTGACGATTACTGAAAAGCCGCGACGAATTCACATTATGAGAGAATAGAATCAAGTCCCGGACATCAAAGAGAGAAGTAAGGCCTTGAATAGTGTCATCCTAGTATTAACTTTTGTTGGCCACCTTTGTGGACAGGCAAACAAAATCAGTATTTACGCTCAAAAGTTCATGTGATACCCTCTGAATACTTGATCTAGTGTTGTTCTTTCGTGAATTATTTGTCAAGATGAATTCATTCTAAACGCTTCTATACTCTATTTATCCTGCAATGCAAAGCCGGGACCTCACCTTGCTTCTGGCCGCTGTTCCCTAAACCGACTTACACCCCTTCTACACTATCACACATGAGGTACTGCGTTCGGGGACGAGTCAAAAGCTTTGCCATCGAAGTGCTCCTCATTGATAGAAGTCGTGGCAGAATCCTCCACGGCAAGCGTCTCCTCTTCTTGAGAATCAGTGACCTTCCAAGCACTCCAGGTGGCCATCGGCGCCGAGGCAAACCACACAACAGCTGCAACGATAAGATTCGTCATAAGGGAGGCCGACTTGGAAGCGCCTACTGCATAACTAAAGGTCGAACCGAGCGATTCTCCGCTGCGTAAGAGGGCAGATGTCAAGGCGAGAGTGTCGAAGTGCGTGTCGTACGTGCCGAGAAGCCAGTACATCCACGTTCCCACTGCCTCGTAACCGACTCTGAGTGCTGTTAGTAAGATGGGTGGATGAAGCGATGAGGATACTGTCATACCTGTATAGCAAGTATGCACAAAGTCCACGAGCATATCCTGGTGATGACCAATCGAAGACAGTGTCTTCCTTCTGATAGTCGGCCTGGTTGATGAACTGATAGATCCACCCAGCGATGTATATCACTGCAATCACAATCCACATCACCCTTGAACGCGTGGAGCGGCGAAGGTGCTTCGAATCGAGAAACCAGCCGACAACAAAGTTGACAACGATACCGACGATAGTCACTATGAAGCCCGCAAGGGTACGACCACGGACCGAAAAGTATGCCGCAAGGTAATTGCCGTTGTAGGTTTGGCCCCACTGCGCGGTGATGAAAATTGGGACCAACCTTATTCTCGGTTAGCAACTTCATTTTTGATAGTTCAAGAGGGTGTCTGCAAACGAGTCTCCAGCTTTGTCTAATAAGCCGAAGAAAGAAGTACAAGGAGTCTCGCACAGCAAGACATCCCACGCAGCTTCTAAGACCTCTCAAGAAATCGAAAAGGGGGGAGTTTCAAATGTTGAGAGGCTACTTACATATAAATGTGCTTAGTCTTGCACACTGCCCAGAAGTCTCTGAAACCCTGCTTGAACGTCGTTTTGTTTGAACGAGCAGTAGGCTTGGTTCCGTCCCTTCGAATCAGCTTTTCCGGGGAAGACAATAGCAGTGACAAAGGAAGACCCGCACAGGTCAATCCGACGAGGACGAGGTAGGTTTTCGGGCTGATACTGCCTGCCTGGTCGTTGCTGGTGTTCAGAGCAAGCTGGATACAGCTTGCAATAAGCGATCCGATCTTGTTCAGTGCGAGCCAGATGGCCACGCACCATCCTCGACGCGAAGCTTCGGGGTAGCCAACGGCGATCGCTCCCTCCGCGGTCCACAGTGCTGCTGCCGAGAAACCACATGTGGCCGCTCCGAAGATAAGGAACCACTGCGTGCCATAGACAGTATTTGTGTATAGGGCCGCGCAGTAAGGGACGTAGCCGATTGTGCCGAATACGAGCACCCATTTGAGACTATATCGATTGCCAAATACTGCGCAAAATGGTGCGAAAACAACCATAATAGCAAAGGTCACAACATTGGCTGCAAAATCGTCAGCAGGGAATGGGGATTGAGCAGGAGTAGCTCAGAATTACTGACCGGCATTGACCACGTACGGTGATGCTTGGCCACCGGCTCCAAGGTCTGTCTATCATTAGTATATACATAAGCACCATATCTAAAAGCAAGGACTCACTATTCAAGGCGACCCATATGCCAGGTTGAGTGAAGCTGACCAGACCGAGAATGATAGCCTGGAATGTGATTCCGCGGAAGAAACGGTGAAACCTCTCCGCGATTCCACCATGGTACTTTCCAAATTCTTCGGAACCCATGGTCTCAAGAGGCGCTCGTCGAGTTGGGAAGAAGCTTGACGAATGAGTTCCAGGATAGAGCAGATGTGGCATGGAACCACTCGATGTTCTTGTGTCAGTACAAACATTATATGAAGCGCGGAGAGAGGGCTGTTATCAAGCTTTTCGCTGGCAATGGCATCATGGCAAGCTCAAAGCTCGTGAAAGCTGCTGTGGATCAGTTCTTCGGCCTCTTGTGGATCTGCCCAGGGCTCTGGATCAGCCATCTCTTTGCAATGCAACAAGAGTTGCATGGATTAGCGTGGGCGAAGATCCCTATATGCTACGTTTGAGTGGGACATGCAAGGGCAATGCTTGCCTTGTCATAATGTCCGTGTGCTTCAACGTAACCTTACCTTGCGTGTCCTACACGTGCGTCGCTGGGATAAAAGTCCGGTATCTTGTCAGCGTGTGGATTGCAGTCAGAGATCGACAGAAAGCATTTGAAAAAGCCAAGATGTAACCTCGAGAGATATGCGAAGACGAGATGTGTTGGGGGTTCTATTCCTTGGACTCTGTCCTTCCGCCCAGCGTATGCAGAGGGAGTTCTGAAGAAGCATTGCCCAGCTGATAAGTCGCCCATTGACTCTCAATCAAAGACCGGCAGTTCTCTCGGTATTTTATGCAATGAAACCAAGCGGGATTTAAACTATGGCTCGGGCGGTCCTACTACAACATTGGAACTTTTACCCGTGCTGTGACAAAATGCTTTCAGTCTAGTGGATAACGCCATATTTCTGGACCACTTTGGGATCGCGTCGCCAATCATATCAATATCAATGTCGATGATATGTCTTATGCTTGACAATTCTAGATTTCGAGCTAGCAAAGGGGGAAGTGCTGATTGCACCGGCTCAGTAATATACGTATAAGCCGAGAATGGTCTTGTCGAGCACACAACAATTGCCCACTTGCATCATATCAACATGCCTTCGTGAGACTAAGTTTATTTACATTATGTCTTTGTCCGGCCGATAGGAGTTCGAACTCATCTGTTATGAACAATCGTTTCAAGAGCCAAGTACGCGCCGTGCCAGTGAAGTGCTCATATCAATGGCGGCATCGAACTCCGGTACTCGCCGGCCCCCTCAAGCACGCAATCTCTCGCCATCATATCCACTCTAGCAACTTTGGCAACGCTCGCCTGGCCGTAACTCAAGGAACGCTAGGCCACTCATAAACCAGGGAACTGAATCCAATGATCTTATTCGGTGATTTCCGTCTTCGCCCAAGGATGTGGATGAGCGATTGCGGCCCTGCCATCGGCCGGATATGCTCGTGTCACGTGAAACCCCTCCAAGCACATGAACAAATCTTTGGAACTACTCCGCTCCTGAGCTAGAGCAGTCCTGAATTCGAGAGCCACTTCCATTTTCAAATAAGGCTCTTTTTGACGAATAGAGGAGAATCAACATTCAAGATGAGTACATCCAACGCGAATAAATCTCAACGACCATGGATTATGAACGCATTCGTCATGAGTGCACCAGGTCATCTGGCGCCTGGTAGGTCAGTCTCACATTTTGATATGTGATTTGACACTAACATGTCCAAGGCCTCTGGCGGCATCCCGACCAGGGCGAGCTCACTATTGATCACTGGGTGAAGCTGGCGAAACTGCTGGAGGAGGCAAAGTTCCACGGTGTATTCTTTGCGGACGTGCTGGGTATATATGATGTGTATAAGGGGCCATCAAACAACACGCCAGCGCTGCAGAGTGCTGCACAGATACCAATCGGTGATCCCAGGTACACTCGCATGATCATCCGCCCTGCTCGAAAAAGTCTCTCCTAACCCTCCCACAGCCTCCTCATTTCAGCCATGGCTCACGCGACGAAATCGCTCTCATTTGGTGTGACGGCCTCGACGACATATGAGAACCCCTACGCTCTGGCTAGGAAGTTTGCGACTCTGGACCACATAAGTCAAGGCCGCGTGGGATGGAATATCGTGACGTCTTACCTGGACAGCGCAGCCAAGAGCTATGGTCTGGATGAACAAATACCACATGATGAACGCTATGCTAGAGCGGACGAATTCATGCAGGTCGTTTACAAGCTTCTTGAGGGATCCTGGCAAGAAGGAGCCGTCGTCAAGGACAAGAAGACTGGAATTTATGTCAACCCGGAAGCTGTCAAACGCATAGACCACAAAGGGTGTGTCAATCCGTTTGACCGCACCTCGAACTGACGAACTTTTGTTGACAACTCTTTATAGAAAGTACTACCAGTGTGCTGGCCCTAGTCTGCTGGATCCGTCTCCGCAGCGTACGCCATTCCTCCTACAAGCCGGAGCATCGGCGTAAGTGATTCAGCTTCCCATTCGAATGACGCTGCTGACCAGTCTACAGGTCCGGAAAACAGTTCGCTGCCACTCATAGTGAGGCAATGTTCCTCCCAGGTTTGATCCCAGAAAAGACACGTCAGATTGTAGACGACACCAAGTGAGTTTGACCAAGATCCAACCACATGCCGATACGTTTAATCTGACCGTAATTCAGGGCGCTGCTCATTCAACAAGGGCGCAAGCCTGATAGCGTTCGTTTCCTCACTGGCATCTTTATCGTAGTGGATGAGACGGACGAGAAAGCTCAAGCCAAATTTGAAGACTTGCTCCAGTATGCAGACCTTGAGGGTACCGCAGCACTTTTTGGCGGGTGGTCAGGAACAGACTTGGCGAACTTCACGGACGACGAGGACTTCGCGTTCACGGGGCTGGGCGCAATCCAGTCCATGATAAAGGCCTGGACCGCCACCGTACCTGGAACAGAAGGACTGAAGTGGACGAAGCGCAGGGTTCTGGAGCAGCTCGCTATATCCGGAGCTCACGCGAAGGCAATTGGGAGTCCCAAGACGGTCGCCGATATCTTAGAACGCTGGATCAACGAGGCGGGCATTGATGGCTTCAACCTGAGCTACGCGACTACACCGGGCACGTTTGAGGACATGATCAAGTACTTGTGGCCAGAGCTCAGAGCGCGTGGTGTACTCCAAGAAGACTACCCGGTTCCAGGAGGAAGCATGCGCGAGACATTCCTGGCAGATGGTCAAGGCCCTCGTGTCAGGGCAGATCATCCTGCAGCTGCACACACGTGGAAGTAACGAATGCTAAGAAGTAGTCAGTAGCATGAGAATTGCTTGCCATGATATCTACTTCCTAGCTTTTAACTATACAGCAGGACATTATTGTGCAAAACAGATGTTGTTACTCATCATTCAAGTGGAGTGTGAATCGGACCGGGCAGGTGAATGTTTACTGAGGGAATGTTTTATGTATGACATATGACTAAATGAATGGTATTAATACAAAGTAAATTGAATTTTCCAGGTTTCTATGGCCTAGCGGTTAGGGCGTCTGTCTTACAACCCATTATTTGTATGAAATACACAGAAGATCGCAGGTTCGAACCCTGCTAGAAACATTGCACGTGATTCTTTTGTCGCCCGGTCGTCGTTTTGCTGTTACGTTCAACTCTTTTTATTGTACAACATAAGATGCAATGGCGATGGAGTGATACTGTTCTGAGTTTGTGATTAGGTTCGTTACATCTGTACAAGTTACCTAAGCCGAGTATGGTTGTATAAGTTTTGAGGCCGAGAGGATGGGCGCTCGGCGTCCTATAAGCATAGAATATGGGTATCTGTAGCACCAGTATGTACGATCTACCAATAATCTGATGCGAACTTAACAGTTACTAAGGTGTGGGCGGTATCTAGGAATTAAATCGTTGTACCGTATAGAACGCGAGGTCAATGAGTTCGCACAGCTGGCGGACTCGGATCGCCATCAACATTTTCTTTATGAGCAGCTGGCAGCTGGCAGCTGCGTGGTGCCTCTGTGCCTCTTGACCAGCACTCACATACGCACCTGTTGTCGCAGTACATCATTGTCAGTGCATTGAACAGCCATCCGTTGGCAGGAAATAGCGTCCGCGAAGAGGATAAGTATTCTATTGATGAATTCCGCAAAGCAATTTCATTTAGTCCCTTTGATCATGGGCTACTGACAACATACATATGCATCAAACCGCTGCTCCCCACCATGATTTTCCCGGAACACCGCGAGCCCTCATGCCCAATTTATATATACCACTTCATCACATGCCATCAAGCCTAGATCTTCTCATTTGGTCCAGCAATCAACATCTTGATAGCCTGGCCCTCCTTCGCCTTCTCAAACGCCTCTAGGGCATTCTCGAACGGAACAACCTGGGAGATCAGCTTCTTGGCGTCGATCTTGCCGCTCGCCACCAGGTCCACGGCAAGCTTGTAGTCGCCGCTGCCGTACCGGAAGCAGCCGTGCGCGGTGGCCTCCTTGACCGCGAACGCCATGATGGGGAAGGTGATGTCGGCCTTGCCCATGCCGCCCTGCACGTAGTGGCCGCCGTTCTTGAGCACGTGGACGGACGCCTGGATGCTGGGCTCCGCGCCGGTGGCGTCGATGACGACGTCGGCGCCCTCGGGCAGGCCGCACTGCTGCTTGATGTTGTTGGCGTTCTCCTCGGCCGAGATGCGCTGCGACAGGTATGTGTGCGTGGCGGCGAAGCCCTTTGCGAACTCGAGCTTCGACGGCACGATGTCCACGCTCACTATCGTCGAGGCGCCAAAGGCCTTCGCGACCGCTGCGCAGAGCAGGCCGACCGGGCCCGCGCCCATCACCACCACGGACTGTCCTGGGTACAGTTGCGCCATGCGGGCAATGTGCACGCCGACGGCGAGGGGCTCAATCAGCGCGCCCTCCTGCAGGGACATGTTGTCCGGGAGCTTGTAGCAGAAGTCCTCGGGGGCCGCCCAGAAGCCGGTCAGGGTTCCGTGGACTGGGGGCGTGGCGGCGAATTGCATCTTCGGGCAGAGGTTGTACTTGCCAGCCAGGCAGCTTGGACACCGGCGGCATGGGTAGCCGGGCTCGACGGCGACACGGTCGCCAACTTTGAGTGTGGTAACGGCCTCGCCGACCTGGGCGATGACGCCGGCGGACTCATGGCCAAGGACCATAGGCTCAGTCAGGGCAAACTTTCCGATGCCGCCATGTTGCCAGTAGTGAACATCTGAGCCGCAAATGCCAGTGTATGCGATGGCGACAAGGACATCGTTCGGAGCGGTGAGCTTGGGGACGGGCCGGTCTTCGAAGGAGACGTCCTTCACCTTGTTGAGGACGAATGACTTGTTCTGAGCCGAGGAATGAGCTGAGTTGTCCGGCCATTGCGGGATTCATCCGTGTCACAGAGTTAACTTACAGATTTGCCCTCCATATTGAACTGGGTATGATGATCAGTGTAAAGTTCAAGAATCTAATTCGGAAACAAATGAGGTCGAATCAAGTCAGGAAGATGAGGAGAGTTGACGCTTGGGCTCGTGATGCAATGGTGACGAAGGTTAGATTGTGAAAGAGAACAGGAAGCATTTGATCAACTTGACGGATCAAATGGACATATGGCTAGTATATCAAGGCTGGTCTTCGGGAAATTAGATAAAAGCGCGAGACCAGACCTCGAGACTCGCGCGGTTGTAGTGTTGAATCTTTCGAGGATCGTGACCCCTCATCTTCAGACACTGACGAGAGCTGTTGGAGCTTCATCCCACCTGGCGCGGGGCAGCTCCCCACCAATGCAGCGCTGCAACGGCCAACCCGCGGCGGTCAAGGTGCGCCTAGAATTGTCGCTAGCAGCGCCGTGCCCGTTCAACTGCTTCAGCCGACCGTGTGAAATTTATCCAGCGATTTACCCGCGCCAATCGTGTGCAAGCCGATCCGAGCCCCTGAGAGCCCCGGACCACCAACGGTCGAGTGTTGCCCGTGAGGTGGACAAGGCTCCGCCGTCACCCGATGGCATCGATGGCATTTCTATATCAGCGCATGAAAGCGCGAGCGGGTAATCTGTTGGTTCATCACGGATACGAGGAGCTTCGGCCGAATCGACGGACAGATGGGCCATGGCCGGCTGCTGGAAGCTCATTTCCTGCCTCTCCGGTTTCTTTTACACGGGTATCGGTAACATGGCTTATCGCAGCTTAAGTCTAGCCGAGACCTGGTTGTCAAGATTTGTGGTCAAGTGCCATGTGCAGTCCTGTAAATGGAACCGATCCAAGCTGCGCATCATGACCCAGGTCTTTAGTGGGCGCCATTACTATTGTGAGCTGTGCAACGAAAGCAGCCTTGTCCACGGTATGAGTCGCCATGCATGACCTCGAGGCGACTTGAGACGTAGCTCGAGATCCTCGGCTTCGTTCAACGAGGTGCCATGCGTGAGGCTTAATTTGCACGCACGTATTTAGACAGTTGACAATACCCTGCTCAAAAAAAAAAAGGCAGACAGGCAAGAGTCCGGTAATCCCACCGGTTCAAGGCGAGCCTCCTGCGTCGTAAGATGTTGAGGTCGGCGCAACACCGGAGCACATCCAGAAATCTTGCCTTGACCTGGCATCACCAATACCAGCCGACCCAGACGGCAATTATGCAGAGATGCAAAAAATTGCAAAAGAAGAGGCGATTTTCGCCGGGAATTGAGCCCGACGTGGGGGTCGAACCCACAACCTTGAGATGTATCTCTGTCAGAATCGTGAGGTTCCTTAAGAGTCTCACGCTCTACCGATTGAGCTAGCCGGGCGTCTGTTAGACGCCAGTCGTTGGAAATCGGTTCGCATGCGGGTGTTGTGTGGGCGAAACAACGCCCCGATTCGCACGTTCACAGCACTTGCGACACGGGATACCGTCGGCGGCCGAAAGACCGGCGGTCTGACCACCACATTGTTGCTCTTTGTTCATTGTTGTCTGTATTGTATCTTGTCATGTGTCGGCGCGCACCACGGTGACGGTGGGTGTTGGTCGGATTGTTTGGCAGCCAATGGTCGCCGGCGCAGGGTCAAGGGCGAGTGAGAGACTTGGACAACGAAGCAGCAGGTAGGGAGCCAAACAGCCATCTGAATGCTGTGAGAGCCTGAGCTGTTGGAACGATGTTTCGCGATGATGACTGTCAACGGGTCTGAATCTGGAGTTTAGTGCTGCTGTCTGCTAGCTGTTGCGAGACAACGGCGTGGGGACAGGCGTGGATTGAGAAGCACGACCGTGATCACGTCAATGGAGATAGAGAGGCGTGTCATCCTGCTCGTCTGTAGCTGCAAGAGGCATTATAGTCCATCGTAAGGCATGAAGGTGAGAGCGCAAGCTGGTCTCAGGGATAGACTGTCGTGGAGCAGCACAATGGAGCACATTAGGGGGTTCAGTTGTCGATGACGAGGGATGCACAGGAACACAGTGTCTCCTTGGGCCGGGTAGGCGGGCAGGTAGGGCGGACAGGAAGGAGCGAGCTGCTGAGGGGTAGGTGCCCCTGTCACTGCCGTTTTGGGCATGCAGGCTTGCAGCGATTGGCCTGGAGCTTGGCTGGACCCCTAAGGGCCCATCCGCGTATTGGGACGCCTGGATGCATGCACCATGCAGCAAGCATTTTGGAACGGTCGGTGAACGGGACAATGAACGCATTCTGCCATCTCACATTCCTTAGAGAGACGCGCCAATGCTGAGACGAGCTTCGGTGAGCAATATTGTCTGACTGCTGCAGCTCTGTTTTCTTCTATGGACGCGGTGGGTAGGACTAGCCAAGCGCTTTCCTCTACTCCTGCGATCTTACGTGCAGCTACATCACGATGCATTCTCCTCATCCATTCCCCTTTCGTCGCTATATTGATCCTCTGAACGACAGACCCACAGCGATGAGCTTCCTTACAACAGCATCAACCTACTAATCCAGCCCAGCCCAGCCTTCTTACTCGTGCTTTCCTCTCCTCGCAAGACCAGCACCTATACGGCCGTTGGCAGTGGAACAGGAGTCTGAAGACATGTGGTCGGTGTGATGGTGGTAATCCCCCATCCGGTCTGACACTGGGTACAAGCCGTCGCGGTGGGGCACACAGTCTCCGTCGTGGGCTGCACAGCCATTCTTGCACACCCGCATGCCAATGTCACCGGATCTACACACGAGCATCAGTCAGCGTGCGGTTCTTCGAGCCAAGACATATCTTCGCCCTGCCGAGCGAGCGATGTTCGGGGGCGGGTAAGACGTACAGTCAGCGAAACAAATTCCAACGTTGCTACATGTCGTGGGACAGCCTGTCGTCGCCGTGACCGTCGCTGTTGGCCGGAAGGTACAGGATTCGGCGAGAGTGGTCGGGACCACAAGCGTAATGGTGGAAAGGGTCTGGCGAGCCACAATCTCCACGGGGTTTGCCGTCACCAGTGTGCTGTTTGTGTCAGTCTCCCGTTCTTCGGATCGGACAATATTTAGCAACATTTTGCGGCTCACCAGGACAGCAGAGCTACAACAGCTGCGAAAGACTTCATGTTGGCAAAGGAAGAGCTGTGGAGTATCGAACAGTATTTCAAGTTCCAAGGGATCGGATGTCTTGACTCGATGGCAAAGTAGATAGGATTGAGCATTCTCCAGATATGTCGTCGTTCCAGGACTAACTGACATATTTATATATGCCACACTGGCTATGTCTCGCCCACCAGCCGCAAGAAAGCCCGACATAAGTAAACGTTTCGCGCAGGTTCGGATCTCGGGCCTGACAAGAGAGCCCTGCCAAGACAAAACGCCTCTAGAAAATGCAGCTGCATGCATTGTATCGGACCATCGTGGGTAAGCTTAACTGCTGTCAACCCAGATCTCTGGCCCGCCCAGCCTTATTCGGAAGCTGCCTGGATACGCTGAGCAATACGGGGCTTGGCCTTCCTTGGCCCTGTGAAAAATCTGTGGATTATAGGACTAGCCTCTAGACACTTTTTCGGGTAGGAAGAAGGAGCGTTCAATACGTGTCGGCTCATGAGTGTTCATTGGTAGGGTTGGAAGGAAGCCGTTGTTCAGCTGAATCCCCAAGGAGAACAGTGACGTTGAAGGTCTCGGAAGTACTCTGGGTAAATCCTTCGACATGCGCGGGCCCGCCTCTCCTAGAGCTCGAGTCTCAAGGGAGGGACACGGTGAGTCTCATGCCTCTGGTATGAGACACTCATCCAGGTGGTCCGTACAACGGTATCACGGGGCCATCATTAATGACGATGTTGCTGCTTAGCAAACAATCTGAACTTTTTTGTACTTGAGGACGAATCAATTTCGAGTGGTCGTGCAAAAAAGTGTCCTTGCATTTGCGAGAAATCTTAAAGTCAAAACTCGCTGTCTACCGTCCACGAGTCGTGTGAGAGCCCGTCAGCCTTCCTACATAGACTATGCGATGTGTATATCACTGCAAAGCTCGTACCTTGATCAAATAAACAATTATTCCATGCTATCAAGTCAATTATTCTGTACCAAAAGAGTGGCATGAAACTCAAGCACCTTTATTCCACCCTATGCTGAAATTGTACCATGAATGGTACATTTCTCTTGAATTCTTCCATCAACTAGGTACCATGAACTGATCAAAAGCTGTGACATAGCAAACTTCCACAATCCCCGGATTTGCATTCAGTAAGACCATTGATTGAGTGAGTGGGTCAGCCTTGTCGAAGTGACCGAGTGCACACAGTGGCAGGTTTTCGCCTTCATAGAAATTTGAGAAGACGTGACGACCTGCCAGTCAGCTCTGTCAAGCAGTCACTCCCAATAGCAATCACCGTCTATGTTAGGCAGGATTTGCATATCTACAGGGGCGTATATAAGTCTCAAAAGTATGGAATTTTGATCTCATCGTCGTCCATAATAATTTCTACGCACATTACCATGCGCAGAGCTTTAATCGCAACACGCTCGGATCAAGCATTAGCCCCAATAAGCAGAGAAGAAAAACCTGATCGAAACAATCATGGGACCAAGAGCATGGCCGTGTACTCCCAAGCCCACCCCGTAAGTCGTCCTCTCTATTATCCCCAGTTGTCGTCTCTATATCCCTGATCTTACACTTCGTACTGACGTGCTACAGCCCTCCGCAAGATCCTCCGCCCTGTACATATGGGACATAGTAGGTAATACCAACGGAGGCAGTGAAGGAGGGGCACAGGTCGGAATAGGATATTCAGTGAAAAAGGCAGGTAGCTATTAGAAAATCAATCTCTCATTTCATTCCTCGAGACTCGGTCATTTTGTTCATGTATTGTGCTTCTCAACAGATCCGGTAGTGATAAGCCCAACTCTCATGTCTCTTCTGGTGCAGTCTGACATCCACACACTCGAGTGATGTCTTATGGGCTCTATGGAGGCTATACATGACTTGTACGTATTTGGGCTAATCAATCGGGTCCTTTACCCTCCCCAAGGCTGTCTTTATTGGCCCCATCTTATCTCATTAAACTAACACTGACGGTATAACTCATATGTATGTGTCACCGCACAGCATGGCGTCTCGTCATCAGTTATGCTTAGCATCGATCGTGCGACACAAAAACCAGAAGCGCATCTCATAGTATAGTCAGCCACAGTAAAGTATTTCAGCCTCAAGTCTGTAGTCGAACTCCGGACTCAATAGAACACTGATGAGCAATGGTAAGTGTTGTCCTCAACACCGAAAAACAGCGAGGCTCTTCCCCTGCTCAAGTGCAGAGCGCTTTCCGCATTCTGAACATGATTCCATGTTGGGCATTTTGTGACCACCTTGGCTGTCAAGCAAGCTCCACATTCTTCTGGTTTCGGGTTGGGATAATCGAGAATTCAAAATCGTATCATTGCACTTCTGCCCATGACCAGAAGCGACGACTAGTCCGTTCCGCGGGCCCAGCGACGGCTTGATCTAATGCCGGTGCTCGTAGTATTCATCATCGCCATTGGAATATTCCTTGGGATCTGCTATTATGCTACTCGTCACTGAACTCGGAGACCGAGTCGTCCTCCGTGGTGGTCTTCATCCTCTTTCCCTCAATGGCGTAGTGATGTCCTTTTGTGCACCCTGGAGCCGAGCCCCGCGCCTCGCAGCAGTCCCAGATGAAACCGTCTGGCCATTCCTCTCGGCTTTGCTTCGAGTCCATGATACCATGGCAATTCTCGTCCCAGTCGGCCCATGTATCCTCGTCGTCGTAATCTATCTCCATTTCCCCTGGATAGCGTCCGTCAGCAAGAACTGGGATCTGCCTCCTGTTTCTGAAGCAGACTTGCCATGATGGTAGGTGCAGGCTTTGGAGTGGTTGGTTTCTTCACTGAACGAATCGCCGCAGCGGACACAGATGAAGAAGGGATCCGGCGCCTTCCTCTTCTCACCAGTCTTTGAAGCTTCTGCGCGCGCGCCTCTGAGTTTCACGAGGTGGCTCACGATTTGTCTCTCTATAGATCCATCCTTGCAGAGTGCCAGGACGACAGCACGAAGCTCTTCCGCGGAGGCTGATTCCACAATGTCCATGATTCTGTGATGATGATGGTGATGACAGTTGTTGGAGAATCTCTGCAGCGAGGACGGCGTAACGGCGTGAAGGCGTCAATGTCGCGACCTTCACGCGTCATGCACAGTCTGGGACTCGAAGTGGGGCAAATGCCAGGGGTTGAACACAAGCTGGTCTGCCGAGTCCAGGCGGATTTGTTTTGATGCATCCGACGACGTCGGAGCTTGCAGTTTAGAGCCTTGCGAAGGGTCTCAAAATACACCCATGAAGATCCCTAGCAGGTTACGACGTATGACGAACGAACCGGGAACTAGGCATGTCAGGTTTATTGCTCGTGCACCTCACAACCACCGGTTCAGCACTGTTCAGCTGAGCACCCTGCATGCGCCACCGATTCTTGATGCCCCCGTGAACTCACAAACCTCCTCGCCGCCGCTTGTGGATCCTCTGGCTGAGTACCGGTCTGTAGCCTCACTTCATTAATCAAGTCTTCGGTGCAGCATCGTGGGTGAGGTTGCTGAACAGAGAGCCATCATCGTCGATCGGCTCTATTGCCAACTGAGCGATGGACAGGACAGAGGCGGACTGCATCTGGCTATCCTCTGCACTGTTGAATCGGACAATCCCACGTTTAGTAAGGAACGACTATGTAGGTATTACACCAGCTTCATGAGCATTTTCTCGTCCCCACAAATCGAGAATCGATCATCCCAGAATCTTGATCTCGTATCCTCAGACCTAACCCTTCCGAAAACCTCGAAGTGGCCGACCCTCCTATATCGCGTCTCGGCTTCTAGTGGCACCCTCTCCACGACTATGCCTGACCATCGCAGATATTCTTTTTCTTCATGGATCACTAGCACGTATTGAACTGTTCCGTCCGGATATGATAAATCACTGAACTCGCAATGATCAGGCTCAAAATGGCACGAGCAGAGATTTTTGCAACACCACTCCACTGAACGCGCCGTCGGTGTAAACCCCATATAGCCCCCGCGTTCCCATCGAATCTCCATACAGTAGCCACGGATGGTGAGGCTTGCGAAAATACATGGACCGGTAGGGTTGTTCTCATCGGCCAGTTTCAGCGTGTACGATTCTACCTCCGCCAATAGCGTGCCACTTGCACCGGTCCACGGTGTGTAGCAACATATAGGGCTATCCATCGAGGCCCAGCTCCAAGTAGGCGCCAAATTCACCTTACTTTCATCTTTTGTTGATACCGAGCCTGAGAGCTTTCGGCGTTCTGGAAGCCCCTGGCGCCAATGTCGAGCCCACGGACCCCAATCCAGACTGCTGGGCAAAGTCTTCAAGAAGTGACCAGCGATGTACACATCGTTTATTGACTTTGCCATTTGCATAGCAATCGCAGACATGGCAACCAGCTTGTCGTTCTCTGGGTAGGTGATTTTCCGTCTTGTATACTCTTCCAACAAACTCCACCAATTCTTTAGCAAAGCATCGTAGCCTGCCTTATTAGAAGGTATAGACTTGTCTGGTAGACCAAAGTGGCTAACGGCGACATCCCCAGGCTCTAGTATGGACTCTAAGCCGCCTGGGATCGACTCGCTTGCGTTAGAAACCTGGGCACAGTCCCAGAAAAGCTCTCCTGCGCCGAAACTAACAACACGCGGGGCCATCACGCGCTCCTGTAGAGCCCAGCCACGTTCGTTCAAGGCCTGATCGTATAATGCTTTTCTGAAATAATCCGGAAATATGACTGTACAAGGTCGAGTGGTATCATCATGGAATTCGTATGGCAGCGTCACATCTGGGGGCCTTCCACCGAGAACACTCTCATCTGGTGTCGCCGCACGCGCCAACGCAAGTGTCAAAATGCTGCCAGAGTATACCTGGTACATCAAAGCGGACTCTCTTTGCCAGTCTTCTGCGCTTCCGGGTCCGGATTGCAGAATGCATAGCGAGTCGATCCAAAGGTAGCGATATGCCAGCCTTCTGACGATATCAATTGCCTCTCGGAATGCGATAGGTAGCTCAGAAATAGACATTCCTGCCTCAAGTCCCTTCTCATTGACATCGGTAAGTCTCAAAAATGACGGATTAGGCCCCCAACAATAGCTCAAAGCCACATACGGACCATAGGGTCTTTCGGTGGCAGTCCGAACAACGCGGAAGGTTGTCTCTCCCAATTCCAGAAGTCGTGATGGATAAAAGCTCGGGTGTGTATTTTTTAAGCATGCCGTTCCATCATGGTCACCAATGCAGGCTGTCATCCATCTTTCGATTTGGGCCACCGCTTCATCTAGTGGAATAGCGGACTTCCTACCCCAGACGCTGGTCCTGGCTGGTAGAGAAGTTGCGGATGCGGGAGCGACCACCAGAAGCATCTTGTCTATAGCAGAACTGCCCCCCTCCATGCCAACATGGGCATGGATGAATAACTCTGCGGTCGACCTCTGCAGATTCTCATAATCTGGTGTGGGCTTTCTGTATTCATATTGATTGTAGTAAAACGGCTCTCTCACGCAGCCCTCCCAGTGCCTGCCAGCGGTTTTCACAGTGAACTGCAGCAGGCGCACGCAGATGTAACAGCCAGCTTCAGCAGCAGCTTCTAACGACCCTAGGGTTTGATGGTGTGGACCGCCCTCCAGACGCCTCGGGAGCATTTGTGAGCACGTTTCGCAAAGCACTCCTGTGGTACTCGAAGAGTGGTCAGGACGATGCTCAGGGTGCAGCTCCAGCTCTTTGGAAGGAACCTTAAGGGCCATCCTGAATAATGATTACCCTGGGATGCTAGGTGATTGGCAAGAACGAGTGTCATCAGCAGAGGAATGAAGGGGGCAATTCCTGATCTACTTTGGGAGATGCCTGCGATGGTTTGGGTCAGATATCAAAGTGTCGGATGTTCTTGTGTTTGGCAGCAGGTAGATGAGAAAAATGGGAACAGAGTTTGCGAGGATCATACTAAGGGCGCAGGTACTGCAGGCGGATAGGTGAGATAAAGGTGGACCGGCCCATATTATTGTCAACTGACTGTACCTAAGCAGGGAGCTCGGCGAGCCTCAGCTCCAGTTACCGGGGAAACGACAACGAAATCACATACCCTATGGGCATAACACAGCTACACTCTTAACAATGGCAACAAGTCAATGCGGACCCCCCTGTGACTTAATTACTTTCTTCTCTAGAAGGTTATGCAACAGGAACACATCCCACAGGAGGTTGTCCCACAGGAGGTTGTCCCATGGAAGGATAACCCTCATGGGAAATTATACTATCAGAAAATGTCTCAGTTAATTTTCTCCCATACCCCCCCTTCTTTTCTCCTATTTAATCTACATAAATACTGTGGCCCCAAAGCGGACACCCGAGCCTAAGCTCGTACCAGACATGAGCGCCTTTTCCCAAAGTCTCCAATTGCTGCTCACCATTAATCAAATTCTCGTCCAAGTCTCCGTGCGCGGGTCTTACAAGCCGTTCCAGCACAATGCCTCAACCTTCGTCTTGCCTCAAACTCCCGTCATTGTTTCCCGCACCAGCCTGACCCAAGAGTGACCTTGCAGAATCGTCGACCTCAATTCGTGTCCACCATGTTGGGCGCCATCGACCTGGCTCAGGAGGCGCTAGGGACACACAAAGCGGCTGGCATGCAAGTGAACCTCAGGGTACTGGCTATATCGCGGACAGCATTCGCAGCGGACGTTAGGGTCGCTTAAACTCACTAGAATACATACAGAGTAGGCCGCGTGAAACTTAAAAAATTCGACATAGTTACTTGCACAGGATACGAAATCAGCGAAGAACCAGTCGATAGCCATGCCGTGGTAAACATTGGACCTGATGTCTCGCGGCCGATTCGATCATAGCTTCGATGCTGTTGACTTGAATGACACATTACTGTGTAAGCAGAAGTAACAAGCAATAAATTGCTACGCACCTTTTCAGCCCAGGAGAAACCTTATCTGTCGCCGAGAATCGTCTTGAACATGGGACGAATCTCTGCTGCACAGAGACTCGAGGCTGTGAAACAACAAGCGCTACATCTCGGCATGGGTGCGGCCGAGCGGCTTAGGGAGCTAGAAAATGGTTCAGCTTGCGCTGCAGGTTTGCCGCCCAACCTGGCACGTGCCTGGTTACTCGGATTCAGGTGCCGGGTTACAAAGTTCGGCCCCTGGGCGCTGATCAAGAACTACTGGAGTCGGCACCACACAACCACCGCACCAGAGGCCGATCAGGATAGGCTATGCATTAGCGGCGGCAATGCTTGAAACGTAAGCACTGCCAGTCGCATTCATCGAACGCGCGCGATTCGTGGCCCTGCGCGACTGCTAAGATCACCTTCTAAGATCACCTTCTCAGAATGGCTGGGGAAATCGCAAGCTTTCCTTATTCGGTCTGCCCTCGTCCTTGAGCCAAACTAAGCCACAACAGGGCAGGCAGACGTTTCCAGCCAGAACAGTGTGGCCGCGGGCGCTGGCGATTGGTATGGCTTTCCTCGTTGACGTCGGTAAATTCAGTAGCTCGAGTCTAGTTTGGCGTCCATTGGCAGCCGAGGTGCACAGAGACCGGCCTGTGAACTTTCTTTCGGGCACTTGCCATCATTTCCACCAAATCTGGAATTCTCCGTCCCTGTCAAACCAGAGAAATCGATGGATGAGTGTATATCGCGAGGTGTTATTGCAATCTCAGGACTCTGCGTTTACGAAACAAAGGTCGTTCGGAGCAGGGTGCTTCCTTGCTCGCAAGCTAATGTAAAGACGGAATGCAACACATGAGCGCCCAAGAACTCGGAAAACGGCATGTTTCTTACTGAGTCTGATGTTCGAAGCTTCTTCACCATGGGCGCTAGAAACCATAATGTTCCACCTGGACGTATGTGTGGCGGAATGTCATGCGAATATAGGTAGACTGCTCTGCATTTTATCCCATCTTATTTCTGTCACCTCAGTCTCTTCGTCATTCAATCTTTCGTTATTCCCACCTTGTTGAACTTCCTCTGTCCAGAGTAAAACCCCTCCCCGACCCTACGGTCGTTATTCTGTTCGCGGTTCCAGGTGAATACGAACAAACATCTCGATGATCACACCACTGCTCCTCTCTGGCCTCGTGGCCATGGCCGCGGCACAGGCCACGAACACAAGCTCGCAAGCATGCGTCTCCGGTAATGCGGTGCACTTGATAGTGGCCCGCGCCTCCCTCGAGCCGCCGGGGTTTGGCGTCCTCGCCAACATTTCGACACGCGTGATCGAGCAGCTGCCCGGATCCAACGCCGAGGCCGTCGTGTACCCGGCCACGCTCGACATGTACCCGAACTCAGAAGGCCAGGGCGTCACCGCGATGACCCAGCTCGTCAACAGCTATGCCCAGGCGTGCCCAAGCAGCAAGATGGTCCTGATGGGGTACTCCCAGGGCGCGCAGGTCACGGCGGACACTGTGTGTGGCTCGACGGTCAGCGGATTCGCCAAGACGCAGGCCATTTCGACAAGCGTTTTGGACAAGGTCTCTGCGATTATGTTGATGGGCGACCCTACGCACGCTATAAACCAGCCCTATGACGAGGGAACTTCGACGAAGAATGGGGTGAGTCACCTGAAGTCCTTCAATAACGGCCCCAATAACGGCCCTGTCCAGGCAGGCTGACTGACGACTGATCATAGGTCTTCCCGCGCAACGATAGTTCCGGTTGTGCTCCTGTGGCGAACAAGATGGTGTCATTCTGCAACTCCGGCGACACCTTCTGCGACTCGGGCCAGAACCTCACCGTGCATCTGTCTTATGTTCAGGATAACGGGACCTCGGCTGTCAACTTTATTACCCAGAAAGTAAAGGGTGGATCGGGCAGCAGCAACAGCTCTAGTTCCTCTGGTTCCTCTGGATCCAGCTCAGGCTCGGGAACCGTAACGACCAATGCCGCAGCGCGGGGCGTAGCAGTTCCGGCGGGCTTTGCGCTGTTAGCAGAAGCCGCGAGGATGCTGGCCGTGTGAGTGCTATAGAGCGGCGGAGGCAGGGTGTACGGGGTGGCAGCATTGTTACGCCCCAGCTCAGACCTATGAAGGTCAAGCTCACAGCTAAGACAGAACTACAGTAATACGGCGGCTGGGTCAGAGACTGCATGTCAGTGCACCATGCTTGACCTGTGTATATAGAGTTGTTTTGGTGGCCGACGCGTCTGGATACATGGATTGGCACCACGTTGGCTTGCTGTACTGTAGATACGTACCTGCATATTGGACATATAAGCATAAATTCACACGTCATACGAGATAAGTAATACGCTGAAGTACAAAAGAATACACTCACATCAAAGCACAGTACCAATTAGGAGGAGAGACAAAAGCGTGTAACAGGCGATGCGGCTGACAGACCTTGAGAAAATCAAGGTTTACAGCAGCTGCTCGACCATCACAATCCTACTGGCCTACCGAATGCATGTGAATATCTTGCAGAAATCTGGAAATTTGTTCAACTAATATCCTCTGTAATCCGCCTCCATTCTAGGGCAAATTGGTCATGGTCTTCACCATCGCAGTGAAATATCTGTGTAAAGTCTCAATATCGTTGATTTGCATCTGAGCTGCTATGGGATGGGGTGCGAGGGGGCAGCTGATTTGGTCTTGACCTAAGAAGACAAGCTCACACAGGGGTCTAGGGCTGCGACGTCATTCACGAGCGGACCTGCGTTCATGTGTACAGCGTCACTCCAACACCCGCATTCATGGGAAGAAAATGATTTATTCGCGCCGCCCGTCGACCTAAGACCGACCTGGGTAGTTCTTCAACGGCATCGACTTCGACTGTGCCGTGTACTCCATAGATGAACTATGTGTAAGTATACGGCCTCGAAGATCGCGAGTCGTGACCCAACCTGATACTATGGAAGTGGAATGACATAACATCCTGGAGAGGAAGCAGACTTTAAGGTTCGGGAGCCCCTTGCATGCGTCAATTGATATTTGACGAGTTTGCGAGATATCCAGGCACGTGTGTGTGCTACGGACCCAGGAATTGGGAACCACTATCATGACGATCCGCGAAATCGGGACGAACACTGAAGGATGGACCAGGAAGAGGAGAAGCGAAAAGCCACATGATTACACGCTTGCGTGATCCATTCAGGGACTGAGCCGAGTCACCGCAAAATCGTGGGTTAGAGTAGCTGGGTTTGGTCAAGTTCTATAAATTTCCCCTCTGCCAAGTCGTGCCCGTTGTGACTTTAGCACTGACTTTTGTGGGGAGATACAGGGGAGACCAGGTCTTTGCGGGGTCAGACGTGGATTCGACTTGGAGAAAACCGTCGTGATGGAGCCACTGCGGGTCAAGGCTTGTCGGGCATTCGGGGTAGATGGCTCACTAGGCATGGCTCATTAGACAGACATAGCAAGGAAATTAAATAGACAAGTCCCGTCGGGAGAGATTGAAATCGGACCAGTCATGTCGTTTTCCGATTGTTGTTTACGGATATGTAACATCCTATAATAAGTACACTCGGTCGTTTTGTTCGTCCATCGGCGGGTGTCTTGTGGTTCTTCAGCGTCGATAGAACGTTCGTCTAATTGGGCCGGGCCATACTTGTTGACGATACCACCATGTTACGTGTAGTAAAAAAGGCCGTAGCATTGCTCCTACTGGCGGCTATTAGCACCAGTGGAGCTGACACGGTGCAAGACTTCACTCAACATGTAAATCTCTTCATCGGAACGGAGGGTCCGATTCCTGGTCTTGCCTGGAACGCCGGCAATGTCTTCCCCGGCGCGTCTTTGCCATTTGGCGCCGCCAAGGTGGGAATCGACACAACCAGGTAAGCTACACCTTCGCTATGCTGCCAGAAATAATGCTCACACAGGGCTCGAAAGGTTCAACTACTCCTTCTCGGCCAATGCAGGCTACACGCCAGATGGCAACGTCACTGGCATCTCCCTTCTGCACGTCAGTGGAACCGGAGGGGCACCTACGTATGGCTTAATTCCGCAGATGCCTCTCACAACGCTCGAAAACGTGAACTTGTTCGACAACCTCACCTACATGCAGCCGCGTGTGGCGAAAGACGAAGCTACAGTCGGGTACTACAAGACGCAGTTGCAGAATGGAGTCACCGCCGAGATCAGTGCCAGCATGCACGCTGGTATTATGAAGTATCAATTTCCCGAAGACAGCGACGGAAAATACGTCTTGGTAGACATAAGCCATTTCCTTCCAGGAGTGGGAAAGAAGGAACAACAGTACAGCAATGGGTACCTTGAGCGCAGTGAGGACGGGGCATGGTACTCTGGCTATACGGTTTTCAGAGAGGGATGGGCTTGGGGTGAGATTCTTCAAGATCAAAAGAATGCTTGTGGTATACTGACATCAAATAGGCGGAGACTTTCGAGTCTACTTTTGCGGTCACTTCGATACCACGCCTTCGAGTTCTCAGCTATTCTGGGGCAAAAATACCGACCCATTTTGGCCGAACACAACAGATGTTAAGCCCAACTTCACAAATGACACATTTCTGAAGGCCGGGGCGGACAATTACCAATACGGAAACCGCATCGGAGGACTCTTCGAATTTCCTGGAGACACCTCTACCGTGATATCCAAAGTGGGTGTCTCATGGATCTCTGCAGATAAAGCTTGCGGTTTCCTCGATGAAATATCCGAGTGGGACCTCAACGCCACCGCGAAGTCCGCCCAGGATAATTGGAATTCCGAGGTTCTCTCAAAAATCAACGTGACCACCACCAACGATACCCAGTTGCAGATGTTTTACACGGCCTTATACCACTCTCACCTCATGCCTTCGGACCGCACTGGTGAAAACCCCAACTGGGACTCCGAGGAGCCTTACTACGATGATTTCTACACGCTCTGGGACACATTCCGAACTCTCCACCCTTTGATCACCCTCATCCTTCCCGATCGCCAGACAGATATGGTCAGGGCTCTGATTGATATTTGGCGCCATGAGAGATTCCTGCCCGACGGGCGCAGTCGCAACTACAACGGCAGAGTACAAGGCGGTTCAAATGCTGACAACGTACTCGCTGACGCATACGTAAAGGGCCTGAGGGGAGGCATCAACTGGTCAGACGGTTACAAGGCAATGAAGACCAACGCGGAGGTCCAGCCTCCCAACAACCTGGACTGGGAGGACCTCACTGGGAGCACGAAGGAGGGCAGGGGTGCCCTGTCCGACTGGATTAAATACGGCTATGTCACTCCTGACAAAGGAAGATGTCTGAGCAAGACGGTGGAATACGCGTACAACGATTTCTCGGTCTCACAAGTCGCCAAGGGAGAGGCCCCTGAAGAGGCAGCCAGGTATCTAAACCGATCAGCGTAAGGAATTTGGTCCCTTATGTACTCATATGACACTTCCCGCCCTAGAGACTGACAATTTTTCAACAGCGGATGGCAAAAGACGTGGTCACACAACACTACAGCACTCAATTTCACCGGATTCCTAGCACCGACGTACGCCAACGGATCGATCCAGCCGTACACCCCCTTGACGTGCGGACAATGCAGCTGGAGCGCCATAACATACGAGGGAGTACCCTGGGAGTATGGCATGGGCTTCCACTTCGACATGGAGACCCTGATATCGTTCATGGGCGGAGCAGATTCTAGCGAGGCTCGCCTGGATACTATGTTCATCAAGGGGCTGTCTGAGTCAGAGCAGAGCAACAACGATGCCGGCACCACCATATTCAACCCCGGCAACGAGCCGAGCTTCATGACGCCCTTCTTGTACAACTACCTGCCGCAAAGGCAGCATAAATCTGTGCAGAGGTCACGAGATGTTGTGGATGAATACTACACGAATGGTCCGTCGGGAATTCCAGGGAATGATGATGCGGGCTCGATGAGTTCGTGGCTGATTTGGAACATGGTCGGGCTGTACCCAGTTGCTGCTCAGCCTGTTTACCTGATCTTGGCACCGTGGTTCGAGGACATCAGCATCACGCTGGGTGATTCAGGAGGTATAATCCGTGTGTTGGCCGACGGGTTGGAAAATGGCCCCTATGTCCAGGAACTCAAGGTGAATGGACAAACGTGGACTAAGAGCTGGATCAGCCACAGTGAGCTGACTGGGAATGGGACGGGGAGCTTATTGGAATTCCAGCTTGGTCCAGAACAGACTAAATGGGATACTGGTGATGTACCGCCTAGTCCGGGACATCTCTTGCTATGATTCCAGCCGAAATTTTACTTAGCACGGATCCACAGCTTCTAGATGTGTAATGGCCTACTGCGGGTAGTCTCCTATAGTTTAAATTTCAAGATAGAATAGATCTATGGGCCGAGATGCATTGAAACCTTATTGATAAAGCATCCGCATGCTTCGAGGGTAGGACTGAATTATGCTCGTATGGAAGGCTACACGCCGTTGTCCATCATCAATATAATGTATGAAAACCTAAACCCATAAGATAAATGTTCCTATCTCTCAGACGCTGGCTCTACGGACAGATTTTCTCGGGTTAGTATCTCGGTCAAGGTGTCTCCCAGCTGGTTCATATACCTCCTAGTTGAAAGTGAATTCTGGGAAGAAAACGTACGGGATTCTATGTCACCTCCTATCAACCTTATACTAGTCAGGCTTCTGACCGTCCACCACACCAAAGAGGAACGAATTCCTCGTAGATAATCACCGGTACATGTGTTTTCGTGGGACTTGCAGTAGGTACTTTTGAAAGACGTCTGCAGCTGAGCTCCTCGATCACTGTGAGGCAACTGACCTCCACAACCGGATCTGTCCTTTCCTCGAACAGCGTACCTAGGTATAAGAGGGTGACATGTAACAAGTGAATCGGGGCCTGATTTGTACGTACCCTTGTCAACTCGTCGAAGTGAATAAGGTAAGGTGGGATTTCAATTCACCTGGAGGGTTGGGAATTATTTGCCCTAGCCAATCAGAATCTTGAAACCAACGACACTTCAACTCTTTGAACGTCCGCCGTCCCAATTCACTTGCCAATATTCACTCCAGAAGCCTCGCCGGTGGCCTATTCACAGAAAACTTCCTTCAGTACGAAACATAAAATCTTCGTCTTCCCTACGCCGCTGTTCTTCTCCTTTCCTCCCCCCTTCCTTTCTTACCCATCTGACCAAGAGTTCGTTTTACGAAGCACACTGAACCACAAGTCCTCTCTCTGCAGCATTCTACGATCAGACCAAGACAATTGTGGCTGCTCAAGCCACTCTTCTCAGCTTTGAAACACCCCCTACTTCGTCACCTACTTTCAATCCTTCCATCGATTTCGATACCTCCTGATCATCATGAGCGCACTCATGAGCACTCCCTTGAGCGAGCTGCGTGCTATCGCACACGCTCTTTGCGAGAACGACAACATCAAGAAGCGAGTCGTCAACGACCTTCGAGCATCCCGCAGATCCACCTCCGATAGAAATAACCTCGAGGCTGGTAACCACATTGCCCTCATCCAGCAGGCGACTGGTCAAGAGCTGTACACTATCGTGATCGACCTCTGCAAGAATGAGGACACAAAGAAGCAGGTCGACAACTACTCACAGGTCTTGCGCTATGTCAAGCCCGACGAAGTCGCCCCCGAAGCGGCTGATCCCCTCACCCCCATCAAGAAGGCGACGCGGAAGGAACTACAGACCGTCTTGGTTGTCCTCTGCGAGGACGAAAACGCCAAGAAGCGGATTGTCCACATCTTAAGAGTTCTGCGCCAGTCCAAGCCTCACGGAGCTGGCCTCATGGGGACCGACCAAGCGGCGCTCATTAACTCGGCGACAGAGATGGAGCTACGCGCAATCGGTCTCGCCATCTGCGACGGAGATGAAGACATGAGAAAGCGTATGTTGGAGTCATTGCTTGTTCTTGTCACCTTGGACAAGCTTCAAGTCAGCAAGGCTGCGCGCACCCTCTTCAAGTGCTTGAGGTGCAAGAAGTCTTTTTACGACGATGAGAACAAGGAACGGTCCTGCAGGTACCACCCTGGTGAGTCATACACTTATCGAAAGTAGAGAAATACTTGGCAAAGCTGAATGTTATGATAGGACGACTAGAGATGCGTAGGCTTCCCATCTCGGGTATGGAAGTTCTCAGCTGGACCTGCTGCGATGATGCCAAAATCGACCCCGGATGCAAGTTCAAGAAGCATCAGCACGAATAGTGCCCCTGACGTATCGGTCCATATCTGGGCTCAAGGTACGGATGCCTCTTCGGTTTCGACTCGAATAGGCACGGAGCAGGAAAGGGAAGATTCAGCTGGGTGCTGGCACGTTTGAGGGGTATGGGCTAGGAGAAATGAGTGGTGATGAATTACAGGCTTTGTCAGACACAGCGACGAGCCTTACTGTCAAGTGCTATACGCAATATTACACAATATAAGGCTGCTGCTATGAACCTCAAACAAAGCATAAGGAGGCCATGTATGCCCAGCCAGGTAATTTTATTGTATGAGCGCGCCCTGGAAAAGACACCTTTCTGTGGAGTGGCCTGTTCGCGTGAAATCCTTAAGAATAGATGAGACACACTCCCGTACTAGAGATCTATGAATTAGCTGGTAAAGACGTGTGCAAATTTGACCTTTGCTGGCGAGGCCACGCTACAGTACCGTTTGTACATCACGGAAGTTGTTTACGTTCTAAGTTGGCCGTTTGGTAATTCACTTGAATTAAATCACAGATGCGCAGCTAGCGTTTGAGCAGGCTTTCAAAGTTTTCCCTTTCAATTTCGTCTTGCGGTGGACAAATAACGGCACCTCCTTTCTTAAGCCAGCCCAACTTCAGCGGCCTCCAGGACCGCTACTTTAATCAAGTGTCGACTCTAAAGCCACTAGCTTGTTGTTTGCCTCGATACCTCAGGAGCCACTCTTCAGCAGCTGAGCATGAGGTCTTTTGCCAGTTCTGACTTTTACCTTCGTTGCTAGCTGGCCACGAGACTGTGAATACGTCCTGAAATCTTTCTCAAGAGCGCACCACGCATCAGTATTGCGTGCGACGCAGGCGATAACTTGTCACTGCTGCAAAAGGTTCGATCTCATCTTGAAAATGCCCGCCGACTTTACTTCACCACAACCATCTGTTCCTTTCCAACTAAAACTTGGAACCCAACTTTTCGTCTGCTAACTTTCTGGACACTTGCAGCACCTACTTATGAAGACTCCCAATTCAGTCCCTTGATTGTTCCACCCAAACGATTCCCCCTTCCGCACTGCACCTGTGTGTCTCCTCCACGGCATTCTGTTTACTTCCCACCAGCCCGCGTCGACTGCCAAAGACGTGTCAAACACAAGCCTGCCTTAGGACTCAATCAAACACGCCCGTCGGTGCTCGTACTTTGCAGTCATTTAATATCATCAAAACCACCTTCTCGATTACATTCAGCACAATCATACACCAACTCGAGTCGTTTGCAATCATGGACCACGTGGCCGATGATGAGGGTCGAGTACTCGCTCACAGAGTTGACGAGTTGAGACAACAGCTCCAGGAAGCCGAAGCCGCTCTAGACCTGCATCGAAGGCAGGTAGAGGTTGATCGTCAGATCGCTTTGGATCGCGCTGTAGCCTTAGCGCTGCAAGAGGAAGAGGGCGAGCAACTAGGGATCTGGGACCAGGAGGACGAAGGATACGACCCCGCCAGTCATGTACCTGAGGCTCGCGAGAACACTGATGAGCGGACATGCACTAGCTGCCTGGACGACTTCAACTACCACGACACCTACCGCTCTGCCTGCGGCCACGACTGGTGTCAAACCTGTGTCGTCAATCGCTTCGAGCTGGCCGCCAAGAGGACGCAGCTGTTCCCTGCGGAATGCTGTCACCAGCCAATCCTGCCCGACAATGATACGTTCATTGCCCCCGAGCTCTGGGAGCGTTACTTGGAGAAGAAGGCCGAGATCGATACGCCTAACCCAACGTTCTGCTCTAAGCTCGACTGCAGCAAGTTTGTCCCACTCCAGAGCATCAAGGAGGGACAGGCGGAGTGCACCTGTGGTCGCGTCACTTGCGTGGATTGCATGGCTGAGTGGCACACTGGCGAGTGCGTTGTGGACCCTACGATGGAGCAGATTCTCCGGATGTCTGAAGAGGAGAAGTGGCAGCGATGCTTTCGTTGCAGGAACATGGTCGACAGAATTGATGGTTGTAATGAAATGAGTATGTCAAGCGTAAATTCCCTATGTCCGAGTCTTCTTGGAGGCATGTACTGATCATCGATCAACAGATTGCAGCATGTGCGGTGTCAAATTCTGCTACGCATGTGGCAAGGAGTGGAAGACATGTCCCTGCCCTCAGTTCGGGACCCTTGAACCTGAGGTCATTGACGATCAGAACGATGACGGCCGCCAAATTGAACGGCCTGACTGGGGTCCCGAGCCTGACGAGATTGTTGAGCCTGACGAGATTGTCGAGGCTGATGAGTCTGTTGAGCCTGATGGGCTTGCCTTTCCCGTTCAGGCTGAAGTGAATCCACACGCGTTGTTGCCGGATTTACGCAGGCTTTTGGCGACAGGGCGGCGGGTACAAGCGAGAGAGCACATGAGACTTCGGGGACCATGGAGGACAACCGACCCTGACAGCCACGCGCACAACTGGCGACGAGTCCGGGGCGGTCAAGATTGCCAGAGCTGCAACACCTTCATGTCGAACTTCCTGTTCGAATGTACGGTCTGCCAGGCCATCTTTTGCTTGCGATGCAGGCGAAATGCGATTGCAGCCAGCTAGCTTGCTGGAATCCCAATTCGCTGGTTTGGACTTCATTTCGAAGTCTACAGGGTTTCTCAAAAATGCTGGTGACCTCATTGCGATCTTTCATTTGAGACGAATGAGGCGAGGCGAGCAACAGCGGCAGCCAGAGCCGTGAATGAGGACGGAGTTGCCATCTACCTGCGTAGAGGTACCCGCCCATGGTTAAATCGACGAGTAGACATAGCACAGGACCGAAGACGCGGATCTTCTATAATACAAGTAGAGTTCTGTAAAGCCTCACATTCCATAAATCTAATGCCTTTTTTTGATTTTGCGATGCCTCAAAGCTCCAACCAGGTGTTGACTACTTTTCGTACTCCGTAGCCATAACGGCTGGTGGCCTTGTTTTCAGACCTGTTACTGTGGCTTTGTCCACAAAATCATCTTGCGTGCATGAACTCAACCAGCTTCAGAATTGAATGGAAAGTTGAAGTGAAAACGACGTCTGTCGCGGTTTGGCAAAATCTGGACGCACCTGCCGTGGGTTCACAAATTTGTTACCTACCTAGCAACCTTACTTCCAACCATCACTCGACCAACTGGCAAGTTGACTGCAAACGACGACCCCCAAAACTCTTGGAGAGTTCAATACAGAACTTAGGATAATCGCTCTCCTGATAAGAACATGCCCAAGAAGATCGTCAAACTCTTTTCCATCACGGATATCTGTCTCGACCACTTGGATCTGGCGACGCGCAGTCTCGTCATCAAGATACTGAGGCAGGATGTCGAAGAGGCTATGGCAGAGATGAAGGGAAAACCAGGCCAGATCGATTATGATTCCAAGACGGCGATTGAAGTCTACCTGGCGGACCTCGAAGCCCAGACTACTTTCCTCTCGGACAAAGTCATGGCACAGAGTATCGTTCAAGCCGTGCACCACGACGAAAGCATCATCGCAGCGGCACTGGCTGAGGAGAAACAAGCCGACAGCGATCGACAGGCAGCCTTGCAACTCCACCATCATGGCCGCCTCCCAGAACATCCCCAGCGCCCAGAATCCGACACGAATGCTAAGATCAATGACGAGCTTCGCGTTAAACTCGAGGCTCGGTACAATTTACCTCCTTTTGACGACGATGACGACGATATCTACTCCCCAGACGGTCCCAGCCTGAGCCTATCTCTACGACCAAAGAAGGTTCGGCCATGCCTGATTTGCACTGAAAGCTTCCCTTTCCATGATCTTGCACGACTCCCTTGCTCCCACGAGTACTGTCGCGGATGCATCCAACAGCTTTTCACAAGCTCCCTCACCGACGAGACATTGTTTCCCGCCCGTTGCTGTAGCCAGCGCATCCCCGAGACGAAAACCCAGATTCAAATCTTCCTCGGTGGGCAGCTCGTCGGCAAATACCTGGCAAGGAAGCTTGAGATGGAAACACCAAACAGAACGTACTGCCACCGGCCCAACTGCTCCACCTTCATTCCTCCCCAGGGAATTAAGAACGACATCGCAACCTGCCCAAATTGCCAGAACAAGACATGTTGCATTTGCAAGGCTGCCGTCCACAAGGGGACAGACTGTCCCAAAGACGAGGCAGCCCAGCAGCTTTTGGCTTTGGCGAAGAAACAAGGCTGGCAGCAATGCTTCGCTTGCAACAAAATCGTGGAGCTCACGAAAGGTTGCAACCACATGAGTAAGTACAAAACTTCTTTATACACAAACTTTGAGGATTTCATAGTTAACGGACGTAATCAAAGTCTGTCGATGCGGCGCTCAGTTCTGTTACAGCTGCGGCGCAGTCCGGAAAGCCAGGGGACAGCCAGGAGCGTGCAAATGCCAGCTCTTCGACGAAGAGACGCTCGCCCGTCAGGCCGAGCAAGAAGCTGCCCGTGACCCAAGATTCCACCAGCAGTCCCAGGCAAGACAGCGACAGATTGTGCAGCAGCGGAGGAGCCACATCGTCCGGAACCACGCCTGCCAGCACCTCAGTTGGCAAAAGAAGCGGGGAACGTTTAGGTGTGGAAACTGCGGCGACAACATGCCGGATTACATCTTGGAGTGTACCCAGTGCGATCTGGAGGCTTGCGTCCGGTGCAAGCGCAATCGCCTGTAGATGCATGGTGATGCTCAGCCACCACGGCGGCTGAGGTCAGAAGCAGTGCGAGAAAGTCTGCTGCCTTAAATTCAGCTCGGGAGTAGTTTGACTTCATGAGGAGAGGATAGTGGCGATGCCACTTGGACATACATGGGCTTTCGTAGCCGTCATGAGGGATGGACAGGATGTCGGCGACGAGGATGCGGATCAGTTTCCCCTTAGTCCTGGCTGCTCAGGTTCAGTTGACAGGGGAGGTGGTTTCCAGTGGAGAAACGCCGCGAGACTGGCCGCTGTTTCTCTATTTCCTTTTCTTTTCTTTCCTTTCTTCGTTGTACTCATATTTAATCTCATAGGCTCAGAAAGGGTCTCAGTCCGACACGATGGCTACCTACCGAGGACAGATGAAGAATCATTCGGCGCCGCCACAACATCGGCGGGCTACCTCTAGATAAGTAGGCAGAAGAAATTGTACATCAAATGCTGCTTTCTCATTCCCCTTTTGTGTGCCACGATTTGCCCCGAATGCCGGACTTGGGCTTAATAACTGGCTCTAGACCGAGACGCTCTCTTATCCCACGCAGAGCTATGTTTTACATCCCACGCTGGATATTCTCGTACAATTGCCTTCCCTCAGCTAGGACTCGCTCCCTTGACCGTACAACGCGAGCATGTCTCCCGCCGCAAACACCTGGCCGATAAACTCATCCGCCTCACAAATGACCCTCACGCTCTGCTCGACACTGGGGGAGCTCGGGCCCCCAGACACCTGCTGCCAGCTCGTCAACAGACCCTTGAGGTGGGCGCCCGCCGTTAGCAGGTCGGCGCCGATGACGCCGCGTAGGGACGGCACCCTCGAGGCTGCGAGGAGGACGAGCATCGCACCGGCCATCCTGAATACGTCAGTCAGCCATCCGATCAAGCCACAGCGAATCTATAACATCGCAACTGAAGGGGTAAGACTTACGAAAGCGAGCAAATCCATGTGTCCACCAATACTGTGTGCGCAAAACCTCGCAGGTTGAGGATGTGCAGCAGACACGCCTCCAAACACGCCCGACATCCATTCAGCACATCAGAACTAGGCTTGTGCACGCTCAGCCCGTCGCCGCCCGAGCCGCTCCCGCTGAGCATCCACATGAGATACGGCCTATAAATGACGCTACGGCAGGTAAGATACCGCTGGCGCAGGAAACCGCCCGCCTCAGTCTGCGTGGCGCGCGTGTCGACGGTGAAGCTGAACGCCGAGGGCAGGACGTCGCGCCACTCGTCGAGCTGGTGGTTGAGCTCGGCGACGACGTAGGGGAAGCGGGCGGCGTCGAGGCTGGCGCCGGAGCCGCGGGCGTAGAGCAGCTGGTGGACGCGGTTGAGCAGGCGGCGCATCGAGATGCAGGCGAGGAAGTACAGCGACGACTGCTCCTCGACGCGCGGGCGCCGGTGCGTCGAGTACGCGCCGGGCAGCGGGATCGACGACTCGATGCGCGCGATCCCCGACTGCGGCAGTGCGGATAGCTCCGCCAGGTAGTCGCTCTCCAGCACGTAGCAGGACCAGAAGATGCGCCGGATGCGCTCGCTGTCCTCGGCCGTGTCGCCGCTTGGCGGATAGGAGAGCAGCAAGAGGCACTTTGCCGAGGCTGCATTGATGTACTCCCATGCCTGCAGCGGCCGCCGCAGCGAGGCAAAGTACATGGCTGTGAAAAAGAGGCATTGGGTCGCCGTCGAGCCGACGTCCATGTGCACCACGTGCAGCCGGCGGAGGGCGTGGTCGAAGTAGAGATCGCCCATGTCCCGGCGCTGCGAGCGGTGCTTCAGGTCCTCGTCTGAAAGCGGCGCGGTGGCGGAGGCCAGCCCGGCTATGGCTTGGCTCGCGCAGCCTAGCGCCATGGTGAGGAAGGCCAGACAGCCCTCGACGCTCTGCTCCTCCGCCACGCCGGCGTTGAAGCATTTCACAGTCAGGCGCACCTTCTCCAGCTGGTGGCGCGACATGGTGGGGTACCAAAAGTTGACGCCGTGCTGGAAGGCGTCGAGGATCGAGTCCATCTCGTCGTCGGTGACAAAGGGATACATGATGGCGGAGGAGCGCATCTTGATGGGCAGACGTGACTGCTCCAGCTCGAAGATGGAGACGTAGTCGTTGCGCAGGGAGGGGAAGACATCGAAGTGCGGCCACTGCAACACGGACTCGGTGGTGGAGGTGTGCATGGAGTCGAGCACGGCGTTGTCGAAGCCATTCTGGCCGTTTGGTTGCTGGCCATTCTGGCTGTGCTGACTGTGCTGGCTATGCTTGAAGTCTGGAGGAGGCTGGTGTGCGGTATCACTTATTGGTGTCCGCGGTGGGCAAGCCGTGCGGTAAGGGTGAGTCTCAGTGATGGGTGATTCTTCGAACAAGGGGCTGCCAGACTGAGGGCCTGCCGGCTGAGAAAAGAAGGACGGCCGCCTGTCGGATAGTGGTGAGGCGATCTGCCATGGTGTCAGAGACACTATTCATGTGAATTCAAAAGGCTGGCTAGTGGGTAGTACTGACGACACTGGCGTTCAGGTCATGGAGGAATTTTTCTACCCGGAGGACTCCCTCCAGGATGAGATCGCTCTTGCCTCGTCTGTCGGGCTGGTCAGCTTGGCACGATGACTTGAATTGGTGCCGGAGAGGTGTATGGAGCTCACGAGTTGGCTTCAGATCCATAGGTGCAGTCCTGCTCCGAGACGGCACACGAGGTGCACGGGTTGTTACCGTCACATCTAGCAGTCGGACACGATCAGCTTCCTCTCCCGACAGAAACTCCACTTCAAGCGCGTCGGGTCACGTCGCGGAGTGCAGAAATGAGTCGAACCTTATTTTGCGTGCCCGGCAGACGTCGCACTGCCAAAGGAGTCAGCCATGGGTAAGTCAATGCAAGGCTGAGAGGCAGAAATGCCTGGGTAGCAACTCACTGCATGTGATGTCCTCAGTCTCTTCCTCGCAGGCTGTTCAGACCGTTCAGATGACGGCGCTACGTCCCTCTCATCATCCATCGACGCGGCCAGCAGGTGGGCAGTAAGTCGTGACGCAAGAGGAAAAAACAGACAGGCCACGCGACGTCGTGTTGCTTTGGGCCAGGTGTGTTGACCGCTCGTATGATTCTTTCTGTGCCTGCTCGCTCGCTACAGGATTCGAATCTCGGCCTCGGTAGTGCTCAGAAGCCTCGGATCGATCCGAGGCGGACCGGTAGGCATAGGCGCGGTCAAGCAGAGACGCAGACGCATATCAGGTCAAGTCATGTAAGGGTGGACAGCAGATGCGACACGCAGCTGCAGGTGAGGTGAGGCGAGGGCGACAGGAGGCTGGACCTGGGACTTGGGACCTGGGACCTGGGACCTGGGCCTGGACCTGCAGAAAGATAGAGGGAGAGACGTTGCAGTGGAGATAAGGAAAGGTTAAAAGGTCCTGGGACGCTGCAAACCCCCCACAAGAGGGAACCTGGCCGTTTTTCTGGGACTGGCCTGTCACCTTTTTTTTTAGAGCAAAAAGAGAAGCTCAATTGGAAAATGACAGAAGGACCTCGGGATCCAAGAAACGCGGGGAAATTGCGGGGAGTACAGTAATGAGGCGTGTCAGGGCCTGAATTCCAGAAAAGGGGCACAGTCCAGGGGGAGAGGGCCAGAGAGGCGTATGCATGTGAATGCAGGCCAACCTGGGACGGAAATATATTCTTCTCCTGATGCCATCCCTCGCTTGCTATAATCCCATGCATCGCATGAGCCGTCAGTGCCGGAACCATAGATTGATTGCTCACAAGTCAAGGCTGGCTCGGCCCAAGCTCCAGGCTGATCGGTCCTATTTGGACGGCCTGTTCTCAAAATCCATGCGCGCCAATGGTTTAATCCTCTCGATACGACCTGAGAATCTTCCGAGCTGCCACTTCCGGAATAGACCTCCACCATATCCATGATCTTGTCGACCTGACACTTGCTGCCAGATCTCTGGAAACTTTTGGACCACCTAGCACGCTAGCAGTGGCTAGGTACCTAGCTGGAACCTGGTCGTCTTTAATTCTCAACCTATTTTGAACGTGAGACTCTTCTTGTTGACATTTTGAGATGCTGACCGCCACCCGTTCGCTGATGAATACTCGATACATGCCACCCCAAAAAACCAAGATGGAAGTTGAATCCATGGTATCATGCACATTCCCTTACCCAGAACCCCCGAACCGAACACCGTCACCGCAACCGGGCCATCCATTCATCCCATGCACGACCTCTGATGCTGTTGAAATGCCGCAACTCCGATTTTCATCCCCTGTCAATATGCCACCTCCAGCCTCTTTCTCGCCCCACAGAAAGTCTCTAGATAGAGTACAAATACTTACGGCTCGCCCCAGATCTCGTCGGCAATCGACCTAACCAGGGCTAGCTTCTTCTTCTCGTCCTCCAGGCTCAGAGGGTAGCCGCTCTCGTGCGTGCTGAAGCCGCATTGCGGGCTGACGGCGATCTGCTTGAGAGCCTCCTCCTTGGTCTGCCCGGTGCCCTCGGCCACGTACTCGGCCGCCTTGTAAATGCGCTTCTTCATCTCCTCCTTGTCCTCGAGCTCGCGCAGCTTGGTGCTGATCACGCCCACCACCACGTTCCGGTCCTTGGGCAGGTACTTGAGCGGCTCGAAGCCGCCCGCCCGCTCCGTGTCGTACTCCAGGTAGAAGGTGTTGACCTTGAGGTCGCGGAACAGCTTGGACGCGATGATGTCGTACGCGCCCTCGGCAAAGTGCCGCCCGCCGATGAAGTTGCCGCGGCACAGGTGCACGCCCGTGTGCATATCAGCGGGCACCTTGGAGATGCTGTCGTTGTAGAGCTTGATGTACGCGTCGAGGAGGTCGTCCACCTCGCCGATGTTGTCCTTGTCCTCGGCCCAGCCTTGGCGGAACTTTTGGGAGCAGAAGTCTGTCGCCTCATGTCAGTTCACCCTCATGGCGAGTGCCATGCAGAGGCTGGAATTCATTTTACGCGAGAAACACCTTGCGGAATTCAGCAAACTTACACGCCAGACCAGGGTCGTCAAACTGCACATTCCTTAAACCAGCCTTGTACAGCAGGTCCAGCTCTGCCTGGTACACCTTGGCCACGTCATTGAAGTACTCCGCATCGTTCGCGTACACGCCCTCCTTGTAGGCCTTGCCCTGCTTGTAGCGCATGTGGAACCATGCAGGCGTGATCATGGTCAGCTTGATGTCGGCCCACTTCTCCTTGGGCAGCGCGGCCTGGACGAGCTGCAGCTCGTGCAGATTGCTCTTGCTCTTCTCGGCGTTGTGGCTCAGCTTGGAGTCGGCGATGACGCTGTCGCCGGGCATGACCTTGCGCTCCTTCTCAATCAACGACACCACGTCCGGGTGGTACAGCCGGAACATGCTGGCGTCAGCCTCCTGCAGCGCCACCGTGCCCTCGAACTCGTCCCACATCTTGCCCCAGAACCGCGTGCGGTTGTACTCGCCCGACGTCACCGCCCGGAAGCCCAGGTCTGTCTGGATTTTGACCACATCCGCCACCGACTGCTTCTCCAGTGCCGGCAGACCGGCATCCTCGGGGGTCTTGCCCTCGCGGATAGCCTCGCGGGCGTCCAGGAGGGGCTGCGGCCGCAGGAGCGAGCCCATGTGCTCGGCACGGAAGGGAGGAGCCATGCTGGGTGGTGATGAGGTTGGGGTGAGGCCTACGGGGTGAGGAGATGAGAAGAGCTGTATCTCGCAAGTTGCTTGTAATGCTGAGGTGAATGAAGATGTCAGATCTATGTTGGCAAACGTCTGTGACGACTTAGCAGATTTCTTTCGGCGCCCGTCCGTCGAGCCCACTCTCACCAAGCGGTGGTCACTAATGATGCCGAGGACGATCCTAGGTGCGGGGAACTGTGGGCATTGAGAAGGACCCCTCGCCAGTGCCGGCCTATCCCTGCGCTACAGACGCTTTGTTGTTGGGCGTTTTGTTGGAGAAACTGGAGAAGGTTTTGCTGGGCCCGGATCTTGCTGACCACCTTCGTCAGCCCAGCTACTGGCCAGGGACGGGACGCCGTCCTAACATTGACCTCCAGTCCGCAGGGAGACCTTTTCTGGTTCGTCCTGAGCCTCCGAGCAAGAGGCACTTTGCGGTCTCGCTCGCCGACTGAACTAGAGCAAAAGAGTACAGACCCATCGCGTCGGTACCCACATCGGATTTAGGATATATTTCCGTCTTATTTTGTGGACCCGCCCTTCATGGTTTCCGACAAGGACTGATTCTAGGCCTTGGAGATCCCAGATATCACTTTCGCGATAATAATCAACAATCGCACGAGTCAATAATAAACTATCCATTTTTCGTCGGGACGCATTTTCCCATGTTTCCGTGGCAAATAGGAGCTAGATGCATGATTACACGTCAAGAATTTGGAAAATCCAACGATTCCACAACTTTGGTGTTACTTCATGATGGGTTCGACATACAATCTTATCCTGGAACAGCCGCGGTTTTGCCGATGCCGTACCTGGAGGTCAGCAGAAGCTTTGTTTACCGTGCTTTCCTATGACTAGCTCGCGAGATAAAGCTCTCTTTCTGCATTTTGTTCCCAGTCCTCTGCTCTGAAGAACCTGGATGGCTTCTTGCTAGTCTGTCCTTACGGAGTCGGTATCACTCCTACTCGCCCTGCCTCTACTCTCCTGTACCTGCTTTCACCACGCACGACCCCATACCTGAGAAAGCTCGGGGAGATGGCGTCTGAGGCAACATTTGCATAGCCTTAAACTGACGGCTTTCGTCTTCATTTACTTGACATCGGCAGGAACTGGCTCTAGATTTACTGATGGAATTTTGGCTGAGTCTGAAAGCATCCCCGTTGAAAGTTGGCACGACACGCGTTATACATCTAAAACTTGGACAACACAGCCCCGGATACTAAAACTATTCAGTAAGGTCTGATCACCAATATGAATCCTCGAGAGCTCGCCAGGAGATCAAGGTAGAAGGTCGACGCGTCGCGGGGTAGCCCGCTCGAGCACGTAGTTGGGTTTTCGCAACCGTGTTCGTGTGATCGAAGGTTAAGAGATCCAGTGTAATGCTTGTTCGAGTTTTACCTCGACTCGATGCCGTAGAAAGAATTAAACAGAGCAGTCCGTTTCGACATTCTCAGTTGTCGAAGTTTGCTACCTTCTTATGAGAGTGGGTATGCAGATTTATTCGCAAGGCCGTCTGCCCCTATAAAAGCAACTCGATCTTCACAGAATTTGAGTACCCAGAGTGTGAAACTGAATGGTTTTAATGGCGTAACTTGAAACTGTGACTGTGAACTCTTAAGTTTCAGTATCTTTGAGAGTGCACAGAATTACTAGCTATCATGTTGCTAGGACAAGATGATGAGAGGGTTTGCTGGCGGTAGCTAAATTGGTTCGGGCGGGGCATATAAACCTGGGCTCATGTGCAGTAGCTCTGAGCAACACGATGTGATCGAAACCAGATCGTGTTAGCACTCGTGGTCGCTTGAAACAATGCCATAACTACTAAAGAATCGGAGGCCAAGTCCTGGTTCTCGGAAGCTGTTGGTGTCCTGCCGTAAATAATACGCACATGTCCAGACCCCGAAAGTGAACAATAGGAACGAAAGCAAATTTAGTAGCGATCAGGCAGACATTCGAGTCGGCCTCATTCTGCTCAATTCCAGGCAGAGCGTTTACGCTGAGTATACCTCATTCGTATAAGAGGGTGGGCTCGACGGACGCAATCTCATTGCATGCGTGTAACTGGATCGCCTCGTGCGGAGTCGAGATCTGACTCAAGGGTTAGAAACCACCTGCATTACATAGTGAATGACTTCCTCGACTTCGGGAGCTATCACGTTTTTGGAGTTGGCCGTTTTCGTCCGGGGAACTGATTACCCCTGGGGAAGAGGACCCACAAACCCCGTGGGGAATCTTGCAGGAGATGAACAAACCAGGGGATCTGCAAGGAAGTCTGGTAAATGTTCTTCCCAAATACCATCACATTCGTCACGCAAGCACCATTTCGTTGCAATGTCGGACCGACTCACAAGTTGTATGTTACCGAGGTGTTTTTGGAAAAGAGGAGGTCTCCATGTGCACTCGTATAAATACTCTATGTCCAAGGGCGCGCTCAGTGTGAAGTTATTGTTGTTCCTTTCTGCCCAACTCCCAAGAATTGGTGTGTTATCTTGACACAATATTGTCAGCTCACCATGGTGTTCCAATGGAGACATGTTGCGGCCATGATGGTGCTTCACTTGGCTACTCTTGCCCAAAGTCTCTCGGCTCGGGCTGATGCCCCTCTCACCGTTCAGACGACGGTCGGCGAAGTAACCGGCTTCATTAACGAGACCGCACCACTCGTCCGACAGTTTCTCGGCGTACCGTACGCTGAGCCCCCGGTGGGATCTCTGCGTTTCTTGCCTCCTATTTCTCCGACCAAAGAGCCCAGCCCGATCAACGCGACTACCTACTCACCGGCCTGTAAGCAGCAACGCAGCAGCAGCACCAGCCTCTACACCGAAGTCCTGACCCAGTTTCTGATCAACGGGCCTGACTCCGAGGACTGTCTCTACGTCAATGTGTACGCTCCCCTAAGCCCCGTCAGTGAGAGCCTCCCGGTGTTCATATACATCCCGGGCGGTGGCTTCACATCAGGCGGCTCAAATTCGCTGTACAAGATCCCGGACCAGTGGATTCAACGGACTCAGTCACACGTCGTCGTGATAATGCAGTACCGCCTGAACGCATTCGGCTTCCCCAACGGCGAGGCTGCCCATGAGAATGTTGGGCTTTTGGACCAGCGGCTGGCAGTTGAGTGGACACGAGACAACGTCGCGGCTTTCGGGGGTGACCCGGAGCGCATGGTCCTCTGGGGACAGTCCGCTGGTGGTATGTCTTCGTCTGTGTACGGCTACGGGTATCCAGACGATCCGATTGTGACTGGCACGATATCGGACTCTGGAGCCGCGTCGCCGTCCAACCTCGGCCGTCAACCCGGGAACTACACCACGTTCAGCACCTTGGCCAGCCTGGTGGGCTGTGGAGGGCTGACTGGTAATTCCTCTGCGGAGCTCGCGTGCGTGCAAGGCGTAGATGCGAATACGCTGCAGGACTTCGTGTCCAACACTTCGAGCCTCAGTTTTGGCCCGGTTCTGGATAATGTCACCTCTTTCTCCAATACAACGGATCGCATAGCGCAGGGCTTGTTGGCCAAGATCGTAAGTGATGATATCAATACAACCCTAAAACCATAAATTGACATGTAAGCTTTATAGCCAGCCATTCTTGGGCACAACGCCAACGAAGGTGCATCGTCTGGCGTCTTCAATGAGACCTCTGGCCCTTCGCAGGCGACGAAAGATGGCTTCCAAGCGGCGATCGGCTGCCCAGTGGTTCTGGAAGCGAGGTGAGTCCACGCTGAGTTGCACAAATCGGAAGTGATGTCACTGACAGCAACGTCTACGTCCTCAGCAATCGGGCAAAGTTTGGTTATCAAACCTATCGCTATTTCTACGAGGGCAACTTCACCAACATTTCACCATTGCCATGGGTTGGTGCTGCACACAGCTGTGAGTCGTTTACACCTTCACTCAACTAGACGAAGCAGACCAAGGACATTGCCTAATGTGATTGATTTTTCGCAGCTGAGCTGCCTCTTCTTTTCGGTACACATTATGAGTACCGCGGAAATTCGACCGAGTTTGAATGGGAGACAAGCTACGGTCTCGAAGCGCTCTGGCTCTCATTTGCCTCCAACTCCTCAGCAGACCCTACAGACGGCGCGTCAATTACGTGGCCCAAGTACAGCGAAGACACAGATTCTCTAGCTGTGTTTGCTGCCAATGACACTTGGGTCCAATTTTCAGATGGAAATTTTGGTGCAGGGGTACAGTGTTCATGAGGTTTTCGTCTAACCTCAATGGCTTTATCGAAATTACTAGGGAAGATCGTATGAATAAGTTCAATGTCTTCGATAATCTCAAAAGGCTTATTGCAGTCGATACAATGCCACTGGAGGACCCATTCCACTGCCTTCCCATCCCGTCAATATCCCCGTACTAGCAGCTATTTTTTACTTTCTTGATTCATGGCCAACCGAGTGACATATTCCAAGTAATTGACTTCGGCCACTGCCAAAGGCCGCGATCTTACGCAGTCCTCCCCGGATTTCGCATCAAGTGTAATGAAGAAGTTCCTCACCAGCAGCCCTGCGAAATCCAGTTTCTCAAGTTCAAGTTCCGCGTCATCATCCGCATTGTTGGCCATGGCCAGGGTGGAATTCCTCATCATTGTCAGAAAGGACTTTCCCTCGCCATTCTTCCGGTGTATATCTGCCCCGAATTCAAGCAGGATGCCGAGGGCTTCCGGGTTGGTGGGTCTGTTGGCCATGGTGAGGAAATGCAGCAGCGGCGGTCGGATGCAGTGGTCGCCAGAGTTGGGATCCGCGCCCTTCGCGAGTAGGAGCCTGAGAGATGCAGGATGAGCAAGAGAAAAATGGATATAACTCAGGAACTGTGGGTCTTGAGGAATCGGTGGCGGCGGCAGGTGCTCCAGCATCAACTCGAGGGGACGTAGCATTACATCGTTGGACTCGGCCTGACAAGACTCATGCGGATCTCCATGGAGATGCAGAGAATCTATTGCTCTCATAAAAGCGGTTGGATACCGTGAATCTCCAAGAGCCAGATGCTTCAGATAGGGCCCAGAATGAAATTTACGGACGTGAGCACTCCAAAGCTGATCCGGAGGTGTCAAATGAGGATCAGCGCCATGATGCAGCAGGCATTTCACCATGTGGCGACACCCGTTGTCCACGGAAAAACCAAGCGCAGTCTCCCAATCGGGGTCGAAACTATTCACCCGTCCGCCTCTTTCTAGCAGCAGCTCGGCAACATCTACCTTTAGATGATACTTGCAGGCTATGCGAAGCAGCCGAGACACATTATCATCCCCATCGGAGTCGGAGCCCAGCCTGTCGAGAAGGCTTTTGATAATTGCTATTTCTTCCTCATCGGCATCTTTGTAGCTTCTTAGAGCGATCCTGATCATCTTGTATGTAGTGATTCGATTAGGGAAAAGGTCGAGATGGAAGAAGAGCTGCTCGAGATTCTTTCGTACGATACCATGAAGGACTCCTTTATCCAATCGTTCTTGTGATAATTCGAGGACTGCTCCATGGCCTATCAGAAGGCGACACTCATTGAAGCGATTACAGGTGTATGAATGTGCGACCACACGATTGAGGTATCCATCTCCAAAGTTCGCCACTGAGGCGTGTTGTAAAATGTAATCGATGACGGAGGCATTACCTGTGGATCGAGAAATATCCAGCGCGTGATCAAATGCGCAATATCCATGTCTGGCGTATAAGTCAAGACGAGCCCCATATCGAAGCAATAACTCGAGTTTACTTGCGGCGCTAGCGTCGAAATCACCCCCTTCAAGCACCAAGTAGATAAGATTCTTGTTGGATCTGTCCAAGGCGTTCACGTCGGCGCCGACATCGAGAAAGATTTTTATCGTGCGCAAGAGAGATGTTCTGTCGCCCACAACAAGTGCGAGTGGCGTCAGGATCCTTAATTGTTTATCATCAACGTTGGCTCCAAGCTCGGCAAGCCGTCGGATGAAGGCTTCTCTGTGTTCTTCCCAGACTGCGCGGACAGGCCGCTCCCGGAAACAAGGAAAACACTCAAACGTCCTCCAAGCGATATGTAATAGATAATTCAGGTTCGGATCTGCAACATCGTGGATTGCGCCTTTGTTGACAAGCTTGAGGGCGGCTTCGAAGAACCCCCGCTCGCAGGCTAGGAGCAAGGGTGACATGTCCTGTGCTAAAATATCCACAGAAGCTCCAAGTTCTAGCAGTTTTTCCAGGGCTGGGGCATTGTCCAAGTGTGAACAGGCATAATGTAAAGCGACGGAGCCGTCACTATCAGGCTCATCCACGTCCACCAACCCACTGCCAACAAGGAATTCAATAGCCTCGGTATTGTTGCAACGAGCAGCGATGTGGAGCACATTGTTGCCGTCGAATCCACCGACTTCTAGAGTTTCAACAGTGGCTTCGTGAGATATGAGTAACTTTGTCGTAGATAAATTGCCGTTGCAGATGGCTATGTGTAGCGGTGTCCAGAGTGGTGCCCAGTGACGTGTGCCCTCTCCCGCTAATGAAGCCTCACACCGACAAAGGTTCTGTGACAAAGACTCAATCCTAGCACCATTTCTCAAGAACCATTCGACGGCGGCATCTTGGCCAAATTTAGTGGCAACGTGAAGTGGCAGAAAGCCGAAGCTGGTGGAAAGACGTCGCGACGAATTTGGACAGAGGCGCCGGAAGACGATGGGGAGCCGTGAGCCACTGCTGTCGTTGAGTTCAGCGCCGCAGGACCGCAGCTGCTCAAGTGCATTGACATGACCATGCTCAGCAGCCCAGTACATGGCGCTGTTTCCTTCATGTTGCACATTGTACCGATAGAGAACTTCTGTCGCTAGGCTGTTCAAGCGCCAGTTCGACCTGGCGAGGAACGCCTTGCTTGGCACATCGCACACCTCGGCAATCAGGATGATGATTTCGTCTGGAAGTTTCGACAGGGAAGCCATCCTTCAGCTTAGTAAGACTTATGATGGTCGTGGACTGCGAAGATGAGTCTCGTCAACACGTGTTCCAGAGGAAGTGGAGTTGGAATGTCAGACGGGAGGCGTACCCGAACGCTGACCTAATCCTGCTGCGTTGCCCCATCAACGAGCCACATCTCAGCATACACTGGTCTGAGTCTCTCTAATGTATGTCGGTACAGTAATATATGATTACTGCAATCAGAATTTTAAGCTGAAGATAGCCACCAGTAATAGCACAGAGATAGGTAGGCCGTTAGCAGACGCATTCCATCGAGCACGACAAGGCGCCCTGGCACGGCCTTTGGGAAAAAGTACATCATGTAAATGTACATAATGATCGAGTGTCTTCACCATTTCCAAAATCTCGTTTTTTTCAGGCTCGTATCTACGCACTCTGGCTGGTTTTCGCGAATTATGATTATCCTGGAAGTTATTGCGGCCCGCAAGCTATAATGGCATCGAGGAAGTCCTTCGAGAGATATTGACCAATGCCACAGGACCCGACACCTTGTTCATTTCGGTTCGTGATAAAGGTGTAATCTTCAGCAAGATGATGTCTTTTACTCGTACCAGCCACTGAATGGAAGACGCTGCCGAGTGGTAGAGATATTATGCGCGAAAATTTCAGAGAGCCTCCAACGCATCTTGGTTCAAGGATTTGAACTATCTGTACCTGTGCGCGGCGGGTCAAGCCCCTCAAGAAGGTCAAATTCGTTGGTGACCAGGTGTCGGATGGCTTTGTATCAGTTCATGCTTGAATCCAGAGCAATGTTGATACTGGTAGCCACGTGAGACATATTTACAAGCAGAAGAAGCTGTGCGTTGCCCTGCTGGGACGAAATCCGCGTTGGATTTGAATCTCCTAATTAGTCTTTTCGGCGAGATTGTATTGGTCCAAGAGCAGAGGCTGCTGAAAAAGGCCAGCGCGAATTGATCTTGTCTAACTAGAGAAGTGTATGTCTTTCAACCAGTGATCCTCGTCAGCGTAGTTTCAATGCCCGCTATGTGAAAGGCTGGTAAACGTTTCGATTATATGAAGAGCTGTCATTAAAACACAGTAAATATCGCGCCCGATGCACGAGAGTCGTCTTGGAGGACATCTGGTATAAAAAGCTTGCAGCAACTACTCCGGATCGACGCATTCAACTAAAAATATGGGACAGACATCCCTTTCCGTTTCGCGTTCAGCGTTCTCTACGATGTTGCGAGAGGGGCTCTGGTGTGGGTCTGGGGTCAAAGCACCAAAGCAAAAGGCTATAGCAAATATCTACAAGACTACTTCGCATGTTGAAAGTTGTAGGAGATGAAAGTTCGATCGGCACTCGAGCTGTCTGTGGGCCACACATCGGAAACACGATGTTCCAATCAAGTACGTGGAGGGAATAACTTGACTAATGATGACCGGGAGTTTCCGTCATTACCTATATTTCTAAGCTTCTCCAGAGAAAGTCGATTTGCTGGAAATTGCACTGTTTAGACGGAAGACAACGAGACAATTGTGCTGTCAAGTCTTGCATGCGGTCAACACCTTCACGATCGTGGGCTGACAAGTCCTGTTTCACGTCAGAAGGCGGCGTGTAAGTAATATAGAGACCTGGTTACTGGCAATCTGCGCCCAAAAATTCAGTACTACTTCAATGTTACCTGCGAGATCTTTAGGGTATGGTGATTACTGAACTTTAAACTTCCCAGCGCCTATATAAACTTTCTTCTATTCCTGGATTGAAGCTTTCAACCATCAGATGGGCAGGGTCAATGTTTCGTCCCAATGTGCTAGTGGCATATGAACGCACTGCAGCATCCTAGTCATTGTGGGTCTGCTTGAAAACCGTATTTCCTGAACAGCTATATTCCTTTATGTAGTATTGGAATAAACCGAGAAAGGACCAACGGGGGATTTCAAGCAAGGACGATGGAATATTAATATCATGAGCTGCGAAGCTGTATTGTGCACATATATTGTGTCAGCTCACGTAGGGGTTAGCGTGTTCTTGAAAGGAAGATCTCCATTTTGCTATTTGGACAGCTATCTTATTTTGTCATTCAAACTGTGATGGAGGTCGGCCGATTGGTTGCCGCGCCACAAATGCTCCCGCTCAGTGATGCATTAGTCTCGTGATGACTCGACCTTTGCTTGCTCCGTGTGAAACTATAATTCAGGCCTTGTATTCATCTTCATGGTCTGCCCGTCTCCGATATAGTAACGATTTCGGGCGAAGGCCCAGCTGAAACCTACCAGCAGATGTCAGCGTCTTCACGGTTCCCTCTCGTTTCTACGAGTCATGCCAATATTATTAAGTACTGTATTGTGTATGAGAGGGAATTTCAGCTTAGAAGGGCGAAGCTCCCGTCTCGAAATCATCAAGAATACACCTTTAAATTTACAGGGCACGCAATTGGCTAGGGCGGACTCCGACTTGGACATAAGAATAAGACATATTGTTCTTACGTTTGGTACCCAATTCTGGGCTTGAAAGCTCTACGGTCCCGTTCAAAATGAGAATAACGGCGCTCCTCGCCATCTTGGCACTACTACATAAAGCCAATGCACAACACATCATATTGGACATAACACGTCGTGTCTCATCACAGCCTGGATCCGCCTTCAGGCGAGCCCAGCGCCTGGCTAGGCGGCGATCCGGGTCGGTCGAGACCTTCCTGCCGCAAGTGGACCATGACCAATACTTGATCAACTTCACTCTCGGAACGCCGCCGCAGTCGATGGCCGCCATACTTGACACAGGTTCGACCGACCTCTTCATCCCGTCCACAGCTCATCCAAGATGCCAGGCCGGCGAGTGCGTCGCCGGCGCTTTTGATGCTGCCCGGTCCACGACTTATAACCTGCTCATCAAGGACGGCTTCAAAACACAGTTTGTTGATCCTGCGGATACGGATAGCGGAGACTGGATCGATGAGACGCTTACGATTGGGGGATCCAAACCGGTCACCAAGTCTATACTGGCAGTGTCAAATACGGGGTGAGTGCTTTTCAATCTAGACATAGGTCTGCGATGTGATCAGGGCCCGTTTGTACAGCAAGGAAACTGTCAGCAACTCTTTGATCCATCCCATCATTGAAATTCCATCGCTGATGGCTATATTAATCATGTCTAGCTTCGATGCGGTCGGCGTCTTCGGCCTTGGCTACGCTCAAAATGAAGCCATTCCGAATCCGAACGGCAACGGAACGTACCCGACCGTCTTGGATAACATGGTATCACAAGGACTACTTGCTCGCCAAGCATACTCACTACACCTTGACTCAGTCGAACAGAGCGGCGGGAGCATTTGCTTCGGCTGCATCGACGAGTCAAAGTTCACCGGCCGGCTTACGGCACTGCCGCTACAGCCAGGCACTTCGCCTAGGGTCCCCGAATTCTACATCACACTGTCATCCATAGTGTTGACCGACGCTGCGGGAAAGGAGACGGCGATCACACCCAATGGTTTCGCCCAGAGCGCGTTGCTTGACTCTGGGACCTCCATCACCGGCCTCCCGAACGATATCTTCGAGTCAATGGCCAGGGGACTTGGAGCCGTGGCGGTTGATGTGAGCGACAATCAAGATGGCAGCGAGCTGATATATACTGTGCCCTGCGAGCTCAAGGCCACCAACGCGACACTGACATACACTTTCGGCGGCACCGACGCGAGCGCTTCCAGGATTGTCGTGCCGCTCAGTCAGATTATTGGAAATACAGGCCAGGACTTCAACGCATCCGAATTCGCCAGTCCCGAGGGCGGCTGTGATATGGGCATGGAGGGCCCAATAGGCGGTGTCGCGATACTGGGTGATACCTTTATGCGCAGCGCATACGTGGTATTTGACCTACCTAACAAAGTGGTCGCCATGGCTCAAGCAAAAGTAGGCAGCGACGTTTGTGTGGATAGTCCAGATGAGGGCGGAGCCAGAATCAGGGTCATTCCAGCAGGAGTAGGACTACCGGGTGTCAATATCACCGCCACAGCCCCTGGCAAGCAGATCCCAGCTGCGCTCGCTGATGCAAAGCCTAACGTACAGCCTGCCACGACGTGCCTGGATGGCAGGATACAGCCCGGGATTCCTATGTTCAACCTGCTTGGTGCGAACAACACTCTTTGATGATGTTTTTTCGTTATGAACTATGTGATTCCGGTCGAGTCCATGTGATCAGCGCCGGAACCAATCACGGAAAGCTTCAAATATTAGTATTTACCGTGCCCCCTCCCCCCAAGGCTTACTCTGTGTTGGGATATTGTCCTACTTTTGGTGTATACTATTGGGGATTTTATGTATGTATTATTTACTGCTGCTGTATGAAGGTGCGTTGTTACTCAGGAAATCTGGGAATCGGTGCGATATCCTCGACAGGATCGACTTTCCTCGATAAGTCTTCATATTAATATCCATAAAACCGCCCTTATGCGAGTCCATACTTTCACTTAGGAGGCGCCTTCCTAGATCGAGACGCTCTCTTCATACTCGAACCTCTCGAGCAGAACATTGCTTTACATAGTACAGTATTCCACTGAATACTTATGTATGAAACCAAGGACTCTGAAAAAAGTGATAGCAAAGCCACGAGTTTACCATTCAACCTTCGAAAGCCTTACATAGCACCGGGTAGGCTCCCGAGCAAACCTCTGCACAGAGTCGTACCCACTCAACTCGACAGGGCACTGCTTCAGCTCAAAATGCCACACAACAAGGGCAATCTGGATCCGCAATGCCTGCAGCGCAAGCCTCTTACCAAAACACCCGCGGGGCCCTAAACCAAAGGCCAACGTCGGGCCAGCCAGCGGGTCAAACATCGTCTCGTCCTGTGCCCCTGGGGCACCCGATGCCGTCTTCGCCGTCGTCTTGAGCCACCGCTCCGGCTTGAACACAGCGATGTCATCATCCTCCCATATCCCTGTAAGCGTCTTCGTATTCGAGGCGACACCCCTCCGCGCCCCAGGGCTCCGCTGCTCGCTCGGCTCAACAGCCATGTTCGGACCCAGGTACCCAGCGCCATTTGCCATGAGGAAGACGTTGGTGCCGCGCGGGATCCGCCGCCCAAGCACAGTCGCATCACACATAGCCTCCCGCACCACGAACGCAATCGAGTTCGCGTGCCGCAGCACCTCCTCGACGACAGCATCCAGGTACGGCACGTGCGCGCCCGCCAGCTCCGCGTACGTCGGCGCCCGTCCAGCGGCATTGGGGAGGCCGGCACGCAGCGCGGCGCGCAGGCGCGCCTGCGCCGCCGGGTTGTCGGCTAGCATTTTGACGCCCCACGCCATGGTCGTGGCGGTCGTGTCGTGGCCCGCCATCATGAACCCCAGGAACTCGTCTGCGATCGCGCGGCTGTGGTAGCGCGGCTGGCGGCCGTCCTTGGCGGCCGTGTCGCGCTCGCGGAGGAGCACCGAGTGCAGCGCACTGCGCGGCTGGGTGGTGCTGGACTTGGTGTTGTCCTTGTCGCCCGCGGTGTCGAAGAGGCGGATGCACTCCTCGACTTTCCGGTAGACGTATTCGTTCTTAACGGCGATTGCCTTCCTCATGAAAGGGAACTGCCGCATCACCCAGGCCGTCAGGGCCGGGGCGGGCGAGAGCTGGTTGTCAGTGAGGGAGTTGGAGAGCGTGATGATGGCGGCGGAGATGGGCGGGATGTCGCCCTCGTCCTCGGGGAAAGGCACCGGCTCATCGATGCTGGCTGAAGCCTTGGGCTCCCAGTTCTGGACACCGCGCAGCCGGTTCACCGTGATGCTCTCGTTCTCGGCCAGCCCAAACGCCGACACGAGGAGGGCGTCCAGCGCGAGGTAGGTCAGGTCGTGGTGGGCGGAGAAGGGCCTCCCGGCCGCCTTGTCGCACTTGACGGCCCACACGCGGACCATCTCCTCGGCGGCCTTGTGCATTTGGGGCGCACTGACCTCGCGGACGAAAGTCGGCGCCATGAGGTGGTTGATGAGCGCGCGGTTGTTGCGGAAGCGGTCGTCGGTGCTGAGGAACTGGCTGTGCTGCTCTGGCATGATCCCGCCCAGGACCTCGCCGAAGAAGGGCGCTCGGTCGAACTCGCGCGTGCGCCGCAGGAGGATGTCCTGGCTCTCAAACGGATCGACGACCACGACCCAGGGCAGCGAGAAGGGCTTGATGAACACCTGCACGATGGGGCTGTTGTGGCGGTCGGTCAGTGAGGTGAGCCAGCACTAATGGGAGTCAGTAAATTGAAGTCTCAACAGGATTCAGCGAGACGCATCGAGGCACGCACAAAGATGCGCTTCGTGCGCTTGACGTAGCTCATCATCTCGGGCACATCACCAAAGAGTTTCCTCGCCGCATCGTGATCGTATGGAATACCGGGTAAAGGCTTAGGCAGAGCTGCACGGTAGCCAAGGTATAGGAAGGCGAGGGCAGTCGCTAAAAGAAAGGTACCCTGTATTATCGAAAACGTAGCCATGATGACTGGGTGCTGTCAATGCCGGAGCGCAGGTTGAGGGTATAGATTGTAAGAGAAGTTCGGAAGAGGTCAGCAAGCTTAATTAAATATTAGTGGCCAAATCCGCAAGTCCCGCTTATGGAGGAGACCATGCCAGCAAGACGTGGAGATCTTCGGTAGTATTGTATAGTGCTTATGCCGAGTTCTTGCCCTCAGCGAATGAAGGGGTAGTATCGTAAATCATTCATACTCTATCATTCTTGATCTATCATGCATCCATCTCCAAATGACATGACATCAAAGGGCATGGATATTATCAATGTTCGAATGCATCACGAAGTTCATTCACAACCCAACACTCTCCAGCACAAACCCAAAGCTGATATCCTCAACCTTAACCAGCAGATCCTCCCTCACACCGGGACCGCATGCCGCCGTGCCCACACCAGCAACCTTGTAATCCAGCCTCAGCAGCGTGGCGTCCTCCTCGACCAGGTCGGGCGGGTGCCGCGCGGCCTGGATCGTCTCGGCCGAATGGTTGCTCGCGACCCAGCTGAAGCCGCCGTCAAAGCCCTGGGCAACGGCCTGGACACCGGCGTCCTGCCCGTCAGTGAGGGTGACGTACCGCGCCTCCATGCGGTTCGCGTTCTCCTGCGGCACCTCGTACGGCGTCTGCAGGTCCTTGACCGAGTCGGCGGTCCAGACCCCCGTGCGCTGCGAGTCTTTCTTGTCCGGGTAACTCTCGCCGGGACCGAGGCCGAACCACTTCACCTTGTCGAGCTTCTTGCTCAGCCTCAGGTTGAGACCCGCCCGGGGCACGTGTGTGGGCTTCGCGCCTGTGGGCTTTGCGCTCTTGACATCGATGTGCAGGGCGCCGGTGTTTGTGATGGTGTATTCGATCTCGCATTCGTAGCCCCATGCCAGAATTGCTGGAGTGATGAAGGTGTGGGCTTTGAGGACGGCCTTGTTTGGGTCGGAAGTGTCGACCGAGAATGAGCGGGCCTGGCTTTCCAAGACGTCCACTCCGAAGCGCTGCCAGTAGGGTAGCTCGCCAGGCACATCATTGTCTGTGGCAGGGCGCCAGAAGGATGGAACAATGGCAATGCCAGTGGCCGGGTCAGCTTCGAGGATGGAGACGCCGTTGACAGCCCAAGAACTTAGAGCCGCGCGTGCGCGGTCGAATGTGAAGCTGTAGTTGGGACCGGAAACATTGACCTTGGCACCGGCCGAGGTGACTTTGACCGGTGACGACATCTTGTTGAGGGCTAAAGATGCAATTGGAGAGGCTGCCTTGGAGACCTGCCATTGCTTCCAGGCGATTTCGTGGCCGGCGGCTGCCCAAGGCGTGTCATCGCGCAGGGTGAGCGACACAGTCACAAACACCTCCTTACTGCTCTTGTGCTTGGACAATGGCCCGCTGAGATCAATCTCGCCCTTCTTGCCGGCCTTGATGTCAGGAATTTCAAGTTTGCCGGATGCAAGCAGCTTGGATCTAGGGACTCATCAGCAAACAAGCCTTTGTTAGGCAAGTGACACGATGACTTACTCTTCGCCAAATTCTTCCACCTTGTAGGAAGCCACCAGGTGCTTGAGGTCGACGAAGTCGTAGTAGTTCTCCAGTCCAAGCTTTTGGCCGTTGACGGAAAGCCCCACTGGCTGAATGACCTTTTTGAACTCGGTCAGACCTGGCGTGGGCTCGTGGGTGCTGAAACACAGTCCATCCATGACGAACGTGCCATCATTGGGGACATCTCCGAAGTCGCCTCCATAACCATAGTAACCGCCCTTGCCGGTGCCGTCGCCATCCTCCTTCCAAAGGCCGTGATTTGCCCACTCCCAGATGAAGCCGCCCTGGAGGCGTGGGTTCGTCCTGAACAGCTCCTCGTAATCCTCCAGCCAGCCTGGACCATTGCCCATGGCGTGTCCATACTCACACAGGACCACAGGCTTCTCGTACTTACCGTCCTTGACGCCTTCGGTCTGGGATAACTTGAGTAGCCTCTCGATAGGCGGGTACATGTAGCTGTACATATCTGCTGTCTCTGCGTGCACGTCGCCTTCGTAGTGTATCAACCGTCCAGGATCAACCTTCTTGCCGTACTCGTACATGGCCTTGTGGTTCTGCCCGTAGAAGGCCTCGTTGCCCAGACTCCACACAATAACAGATGCATGGTTCTTGTCGCGCTGAATAAGGTCTCGCATACGGTCTACATATGCCTCCTTCCAAGTTGGGTTGTCGGTTGTGAACTTGGCTGCTTGTGGGAACGTGAATTTCTTGCGCTCCTCGTAGTCCATGTGCTCAGGGATATCCTGAGGCCTCGCGACCGCGTCATAGAAACCGTGGCACTCAAGATCAGCCTCGTCCATGACCCAGAGACCAAGCTCGTCGCACACATCCAGGATCTTGGGATGCGAGGGGTAGTGAGAGCAACGGAGCGCGTTGACATTGTGTGTCTTCATGAGAAGCAGATCGCGCTTGATAAAGTCAAGCGGAACAGCGCGGCCAAAGTGAGGGTGGTGCTCGTGTCGGTTGACACCGCGCAGGCGGATAGGATTGCCATTGACAGTCATGAGACCGTTAATGAGCTCGACCTTGCGGAAGCCGATTCTCTGTGTGACAGTGTACGACTTCGAAGAGGAAGTGCTCAGGGTGAGCTCGACATTGTATAAATATGGCGACTCTGCAGTCCACTTCTGCGGCTTCGTCACAGGTATGGAAACGTCGACTTTGGATGTTCCTGAACCGACTGCGACTTCCTTCGTCTCAATGACCTTGCCACCCTCCTTGTCCAGCTCTGAGAGCGTGAGTTTCAGAGTTGCCTTCTCTTTGCTGAGCACATCTACCGTAGCCTCGAGTGTGGCGTCTTCATAGTTGGAATCCAGGTCAGTGCGCAGGAACCAGTCATCAATTCTGTTGTCGACGGGGAAGGCGAGTAGGTGGACGTCTCGGAAAATACCTGGTTTGGAATTTAGTAATTGGTCTTTGCGACACGCGTGGGAAGGATGTAAATACCTGACAGCCACCACTGGTCCTGGTCCTCTATATATGTGCCGTCTGACCACTGGTATACGCGAACAAACAGCTCGTTTGGCCCACCCCTGGTAACATACTCGGACACATCGAACTCGTGAGGGTTCCTCGACCCCTGTGCATAGCCCACCAGCGAGCCATTGACAAACACATGGTACGCGCTGTCTACGCCATCGAAGCGCAGTCTGAGCTGGGCTGTGGAGTCCCAGGTGTTTGGCACGTGGAATACCCTTCTGTAAGTGCCCGTAGGGTTCTCGGTGGGCACATATGGAGGGCAGACAGGAATTGGGAACTGGACATTGGTATACCAGGGCTTGCCATGGCCCTGAAGCTGCCAGTGACCAGGCACGTTCAGCTTGCCCCAGGTCGTGCTCTCGCCAGCCTCTGGCTCGGGGGCCTCGAGGGGCGTGGAGGCGTAGTGGAAGTCCCAGCTGCCATTGAGCAACAGTGAGGTCTCGGGGATGAAATAGGAGCGGGCGGGAAGACAGTTGCGCCTAAAGACGGCCTCGTTGATGTAGTCGGGCCTGTCCTTGTCCTCCTGGAGAGCAATGCCGCTGGGAGCCATCCTGAAGTTCTGTCCCATTGGGGTCTCGTCGCGTCGGAAACAGACTGGGACGGAGGACTGGGAAAGAGGTAGAGAAGGAAGCGGAGAGGAAGGAAGAGAATGAAGGCAAGAGCGGCTGGAGGGTTATCTAAAGCTGCAGTGACACGATAATGTAGAAAGTGGACGATAATAAAGTGGCAGTCGACGGTGACAAGGGCGGAGGTCACCCGAGATGATCTCACAATTGCTTGGATAAGAGGCCCGATAGTGTTACTCTGCAGGGACCGAGGATGGTGGAGTTCCACAATTATGCATGGGCCTCGCCAGTGATTGGAATGGGCACCTGCATGGAAGAGCTGTAAGGAGGTCGATGTTTTCCTGCCTGGTTGGACTTGCGGGCAATTCTCGGTTGAACAGACCAGACCAAGTGAGTTGAGCAAAATGGTGACCTTTTGCTGCGAATGGCGGGGTTGGGCTCACTCCAATTGACCATCCCTTCCTCACTTTTTACCCCGCATTCTCCGCAATCGCAGGTTTGGCTGATGAGTGGAGAAACTACAGTATATGACAGTGAATCTGGTCCGCTTGTGTATATGTTTGTTTACTGCACACAATCTCATAGTTACTCAAACACTCTGGAAGACCAGATGATTTCGAGGGTGAGGAGTTATTTTCCAATTAATGGACCCGTCGGCTCCTGGACTGCGGATCTCATAGCAGCATCCTGCCAAAGTAAAAGTGATCACATGCGAGAGTGAAAATCGTGGATAGACCCTCTGACTAGTTGGGGTCGATGAATCCTTAGTCAGGGGTACAAGGACGAGGTACCATGTTTCTTGGAAAAGTCAGCAAATAGCCGGGGAAGACGGAGCCGAGTGTTGGGGGAGGGCAAGGAGGCAGTCGAAAAGAGTGGGCCCACAGACAACCCCATCCTCACCCCAGATCAGCCCAGGCCCTGCCCCAGTTCAGTTCAGGTCCTGGGAATAGCGTGAATGGGAAGGGGTGGGGCCCTGTAATTCTTGTTCAGGCTTTGCCCGACATACCGAGACTGTCCCTCCTTTGTGCTAATGCGCATTTACCCGCACCTCTCTCGAGCCACACTAGCTCCCTTGCACGGCTCGCTTGCCTCACTGCCGCCAGTCCAAGACACGAGGACGCCAGTGAAGCCAATGGCCCGTCCGGAGCCGACACACACGACATGCAAGTCTCGTCTGCCACGGGCATGGGCTCGCTGCACAAAGACAGGCCATCGCGTGCCTCTTGCCCATGGGGTTTGTCTGCCCACCAATGGCAGCAATGCGGGGGAGCCAACGCCCTTGGATCCTCACCCTGTCTGGCGTGCTCACCTCTGCTCGGCTCACTCTGCATTTTCGTCCACATGTCCAGATCCATGTCCATAGGCCCGACGCGTCGGACCAGTTCTTCGGTTCACCACCACTCCAGCTCACGCCAGCACAGCATGGGTTGGTAGCCTTGCTCGACTGTCGGTCCATGCCTATGCCACTAGGCCTGACTGGACGCTCACTCCCCTCCCAATATTGGCCCTCGAACTGGTACACATATAAAGTTATGCATCCTGCCTCCACCCACCTCCTCGCCTCCCAGACTCTCGGATCACGCCAGGTTGGGTGGACTGGACTACTTCACAATCTCCTCAACAATCGCTGAGATACTCAGACACCATGGCAACCATTGACGAAAAGCCTACGGGCATCCACAATGTCGATCACAACGACGACGTTCAAACCATCGACCATGTCGTCCACATTGCCCACGAGACTCAGGGCAAGACATCCCCTTGGACATGGAACATGTTTCGTCTCTACCTCGTCCTCGCTGTCGCTTACCTGTGCGGGTATGTGATCACTCTGTGCTCCCTGGAAATGTTTCTCATTGTCTCCTCGAAGAGTGGCAGTGGCATTGCTGACATACTCCTAGTTGCCTGAATGGCTATGATGGGTCGCTCATGGGCGGTCTGAACGGGATGAATGCCTATCAAAAATACTTCAACATGTTGGTCCTCCACTACCAAATGCACTTTGACTTTGAAGGCTAACGATGTTCCAATCAAAGGACCGAGGCAGGATCTGGAACCGGTCTTGTCTTTGCCATGTACAACATTGGCTCGGTTGCAGCCGTCTTCCTTACCGGTCCTGCAAACGACTTACTTGGGCGTCGCGCCGGCATGTTCATCGGCTCTGCCATTGTGGTTATCGGAACCTGCGTCCAGGCCCCTTCCACCACCCAGGGCCAGTTCCTCGGCGGTCGATTTATTCTCGGTTTCGGTGTCAGCTTCTGCTGTGTGTCTGCCCCAACATACGTCAGCGAGATGGCTCACCCAGCCTTCCGTGGCACACTGACTGGACTCTACAACTGCACATGGTACATCGGTAGTATAATCGCCTCTTGGGTGGTATATGGATGTGCCTACATCGACGACCACAACCGAGCCTGGCGCATCCCTATCTGGTGCCAGATGATCACGTCCGGGCTTGTCGTCATCTTCGCTTTCACCCTTCCCGAGTCACCCCGTTGGCTGATTGCCCGAGACAGGCACGAGGAGGCTGCTAGGGTCCTGACCAAGTATCACGGTGAGGGTGACGAGAATCACCCTTACGTGCAACTGCAGATGAAGGAAATGGCCAATCAGATCTCGAATGAAGCGTCGGACAAGAAGTGGTGGGACTACCACGAGCTGTGGGACACCCACTCAGCCCGCAGGCGCTTGATCTGTGTCCTCGGCATGGCTTGCTTCGGTCAACTCAGCGGCAACTCCCTGTCGAGCTACTACCTGCCCACTATGCTCATCAATGCCGGTATTACCCAAGAACATACCGTCCTGGCCCTGAACGGTATCAATCCCGTGCTCTGCTTCTTCGGTGCCTGCCTTGGCGCTCGTATGACCGACGTTGTGGGTCGGCGGCCTCTTCTGCTGTACTCTATCGTCTTCTCCTCGATCTGCTTCGCTATCATCACTGGCACGTCAAAGCTGTCTCTCGACCAGCCAGACAACCACTCCGCGGGCAACGCCACCGTCGCCTTCATTTTCATCTTTGGCATCGTCTTTTCCTTCGGTTGGACGCCTTTGCAAAGCATGTACATCGCCGAGACGCTTCCCACAGCCACCCGTGCCAAGGGAACAGCCGTCGGCAACTTCGCCTCGGCCGTTTCCAGTGTCATCATCCAGTACAGCTCTGGTCCGGCCTTTGAGAAGATCGGCTACTACTTTTACATCGTCTTCGTCTTCTGGGATCTGTTCGAGGGCGCCTTCATGTACTTCTTCTTCCCCGAGACCAAGGGCCGCACCCTTGAGGAGCTCGAGGAGGTCTTCTCCGCCCCTAACCCCGTGAAGAAGTCCCTTGAGAAGAGGAGTGCGCAGACGGTGCTGAACACGATGAATGTGCAGGCTGATGCGAAGGAGATTGAGGTTTAATGAGTCATGGTGTTCATGCACGTATGAGGTGCCTGGCGCCATAATGAAGGGCTCGCAAGAGATTTGATACCAAGATAATCTATCTATATTTGAACTTCTACACATGCTCAAGTGAACAAACTCCTTGCGCCACCCTATAGGTCCCGCAAGTCAATCACACTTAGGAACGTTATGAAAATGACAGAGAGATATGGACACAGAATTAGACACTTAAGCGTGACTACATCTTTACACATCTGCACGAAGGAAACGGTTGCTAGTCTACCCACCCCTTCTGCGGTGTAAAATTCGTTCCGGGTTAGACCCTAAGGTTTAATCCGAACCAGCAGCTCGGAGCAAAGATCCCAGGGTCCATCGGATCTTGGCGCCAGCATTGTTCCAAATCCGACGCCGACGACTGCGCCGGAGCCAGCTGGGGCTCGCGCTCCGAACCCATGCTGCTTACATCCATCTTCTGGTACCCTGAGCTTCGTCGGCTTTAGGCCTGCGCCTCGCTTACTCATGATACTTCATGACGGAGCTGCGTCTCATCGTCCGCAGTCGCGAACGCGATCATGCCCTGTCGTGCTCTCCGTGGACGGCGTTTACTGGACTTAGAGGACGGCTAATGCGCGTTGGATGAGGCCGGGTTTTGTTAGCGCTGGTCGCAGGACGATGGTATAAGTGTGCCCCTCGTCCTCGTCACGACTTGGTGTTGCCGCAACGGAGGCTTGACATTGCTATATTGCACTGGCTTAAATATACGCACTGCATTTTATGCGTTGTGAATAAATCCAGCCTACTACACGAATACAACCAAATGTCATGCCTCTCTCCGACAAAGTCATCATTGTCACCGGCGGTTCGAAGGGCATCGGCAAAGCCATATCCCAACGTCTAGCCCGAGAAGGCGCCTCGGTCGTCGTCAACTTCTCCAGAGACGCATCAGCCGCCGAGGAGGTCGTCAAGGCCATCGGTTCCGACAAGGCACTGGCCGTCCAGGCGGACGTCGGCTCCGTCGCCGGCGTAGAGAAGCTCGTCGGCGCGGCGGTGGAGAGGTTCGGCAGGATCGACGTCGTGGTCCCCAATGCTGGCATCATGCCGAGTCGCACTACCGAGAGCACAACGGAGGACGACTTTGACAGGGCTTTTGGCCTGAATGTTAAGGGGCCCTATTTCCTTGCCCAGGTTTGTTCTCTTCAAAATTTCATGCTCTAGGACTAGATGGCTAACAAGTGCTTGCAGAAAGCAGTCCCGCATATGGCATCCGGCGGCCGTGTGATCTTCGTCAGCACCGGCATCGCAAAGGCCACCACCGTGGCTGCGCCATACCTGCTCTACGGCGCGACCAAGGGCGCGGTTGAGCAGATGACACGAATCATGGCAAAGGACCTGGCTGCCAAGGGCATCAACGTTAATGCCGTTGCGCCTGGGCCGACGGGGACGGAGCTCTTCTTCGAGGGGAAGAGCGAGGCCCTGGTTGAGAACATCAAGAAGTCCAGTCCGTTTGGTCGGTTGGGAGAGCCCGAGGACATCGCGAATGTAGTGGCTTTCCTCAGTGGCAAGGATAGCAGTTGGGTCGCCGGGCAGATTATTCATGTCAACGGGGCGGCTTGTGTCTGATGTGGCGGATCTTTGGTGGGAAAGTATAATACATTTGGTTTTGACGAAGAATATCTAAATAGTCTGTGAACCTTCTACTAATAATACAACACGTAAACAAAACCCGTGCCATCCACAGCCGGCTCGGTCATCGGTCCCCCATCCCGGCCGTATTCAATGGTCCTTCTCACCTGCCTTAGCATCACTAGCATGTTTGTCAGCACCGGCACCTGCTTCAGGGTCAACTTCCTTCACACCACCAGGTTACGCTCCAACTTTCTTCGCGGCCTTCTTCCCTCCACCTTTCTTCCCATCGACAGCCTCCCCAGCGGCGGACAGCGCATCTCCGACCGCTCCCGCTCCCGCAGCAGACGTGATAGAGCCGGCAAGCTCGAGCGCGCCTCCCGTCGCGGTGCTGGCCGCCCCCTTCTTGTCACCGCCTGCCTTGGCGTCTTTCAGGCCCCGCACACGCTGTGGCTTCTTCCCGCTGCCATCCACTGCCTCTCCCGCGCCCGAGAGCGCGTCGCCAACTTCGTCGGCGCCGGCGTCTGAGGTGATGCCGCCTGCTAGCTCGAGGGCGCCCCCTACTATGCTTGGGACTTCCTCTGGTGGGTCTTCCAGAGCAGGAGAGGGTTTTCTGAGGGTAACGTATTAGCATTTGGTTGTGTGTTGGGTGTCATGTGTTTGGTACTCACGTTGGAGCGGTTGAGACTGTGAGGGCAAGGGAGAGGAGGAGGGCTGTGGTGCTTGTTGCGAATCTCATTTTGATTTATGTTGGAAAGATTTCAAATGTTCGGAGTGATATCTGAGGGAAAGCGTCTTCAGTCTTTGTAGTAGTTGTTGTGTTGCTTCAGACAACAACATCTTCAGACTTGAGGAGGCCTGGGAATTATATATGAAATGTGCCCATCGTGACAACAGCGTCCGGCCGAGGGATCACGACCTTCAACTTTGATCCGAGGCACATGAACTAAATCCATCTCGTTCGTCATTTCTAATACTCGTATTGGCACCACAAGTCCGGCTCTGTGGTCTAGAGTTCAGCGGACATCCGCCAGACTTCGGCCGTCTGCTTGGTATCCCGCTCGTGAAAGCCCGGTATTTCCTAAAGCGGTACTTCTCAGCCGTATGGCTGATTTTGGATTAATCAATTTAAGGCTCATGCAAAAGAACGCCTTCGGCTTTTGGTAATTAGTGGGCTATGACGAGAAGTTCTCGAAAACAGATTCCCATCTTGGCAGTCCTTGGACTGCGTGGGTCAGCCTTATGACGTTTCATCTGAACTGCTACGACCGCGCCTCAGGGTCCTTCCCCTTCAGGCTCGGTAGCCAGCGAATACGCCTTGCCATAGAAGGCAATTAAAGGCAATTTTTACTTATTCCTGGGCCCGAACAAACTTTTATCATTGTGTTATCCGTCATACCAAGGAGTTAAAACGCAACCAACTCACCACACTGACTCGACGCAAGCCAGTTTGTTCAACGCCTCGCAAATTTCTCTTGCTTTTATCTGCTGAATTGATCTTTGTTGATCTCACATGATAATCATGGACCTCGATTCATCTTCATGCTCTGCCCTAGAATGACTTCATCACGATGCATATCAATAAAAGTCCACAATGATGTCAACCATTGAGTAAGTGACTCGACTTTGCCCAACACAGATGCAGTTTTCCAATGAGATAAGGTTCTCTCCTCTAGCAAATTGTATCAGAACGTTCCCAAGTCACGTTGTTTTCCCCAGAGATTTCATAGTTGATCGTCCATTTATTAGCAATGCTTCAAGTCACCAGCCACTCGCCTACACAAGATTCGCTTGCAAATCTTTGTTCTCGTTGTAGAATTACATGATTGATGCTTACCAGTGTGACCCTCCTTGAAGTGGACCCAAGTGGACCGTAACGATATCTGTACCAAGCCACCTTTTTGCGGAGTACATCAAAGTGCGTCAATTAACAAGTGTGCTACTTCGTGGAATCAAATTGGCGCATTACCGTTCGGATACACACATGACACTCATATACTGCGAACAAACAGTTCAAACCAATGTGTTATATATTGCCCAAATATGCCAGTCGCATCTTCACAGTAAGAGTATCTCAAGTGAGGCTGCTCTATCACTGTGAAGTGAAAAATAGTTTACATGAAAAGTCCCAAGAACCAACGCCGCTTTTCCCAATACAGAGCTCTTGATGCTTTCCGACGATGTAGCGAGTCGTCTTCTCAATATTATGTGCCTGGTGCCATAGACGGAGCCCGAGTGGCGACCGTCCAGATCATGGTTCCGGAGAGATTGACACCTTCTTGTGAGTTCGGTAGTGGTTGATTGAAATGCATGTCAGACAAGAACTAATAAATTAGTTCTGGGACTCGCCACCCTGAGGAGAGCCGGAAGGCCGGGCGCCCTCTCCACCGAAAGAACCGGTGGGCTTGGGGCCCTGGCCACCGAATCCGCCCGTGGGAGGAGGGCCGGAAGGCTTGGGGCCGCGGGTGTGGGTCTGGAAGCCGGAGGGGGCACCGTCCTGGAACTCCTGGCGCTTCTGGTAGCTGCTGGAGTCGAACTCGCCGAAGCTACCGGAGGGGGACGCGCCTGAGCCGCCGAAAGAGCCGGTCGGCTGTGCGCCAGAGCCGGAGCCAGAGCCGCCGAAGCCACCGGTGGGCTGAGATCCAGACTCACCACCGCCGAAGCCGGAGCCGGAGCCGCCGGAGGGCGAGGCACCAGAGCCTCCGAAACCAGAGCCGGAGCCACCGAAGCTACCGGTAGGCTGGGCGCCGGATTCACCGCCACCGAAGCCAGAGGGAGAAGATCCAGACTCGCCACCACCGAAGCCACCGAAGCCACCAGTAGGCTGAGCACCGGACTCACCGCCACCGAAGCCAGAGGGAGAAGATCCAGACTCGCCGCCGCCAAAGCCTCCGAAGCCTCCGGTAGGCTGGGCACCAGAGGCACCAGACTCAGAGCCGCCGAAGCCGCCGAAGCTGCCAGTGGGCTGAGCATCGTCACCGCTGCCGCTGCCGAAGCCGAAGGCACGACGCTGCACGCCAGCACCAGTTCTGTAATATGGCATGTCAGTAAAGGCTGCTGGTACGAAAAACAGACATGAAGCAGGACTTACGGCTGAGGGCCGGCGGGAGCAGACTCGTCACCGCCACCGAAACCGCCAGTTGGCTGAGCACCCTCACCACCGAAAGCTGTGATCATTGTTAGTTTTGGATTGCTTGTACTAAATAGTCGGCAAAGACTTACCGCCAGTGGGCCTCTCTCCGCCGAAGCCACCAGTAGGACGAGGACCACCGCCAGAGTGGTGTCCGAAGCCCTCAGCGCCGAATCCGCCAGTTGGGAAGCCGCTGGGGAAGCCGCTGGGGACACCAGAGTGGTGGTGGTGTCCACCGGGGCCGCCGAAGCCACCGGTGCCGGAGGGGAAAGGAATGGCATCAGTTCCGGTGGGGAAGGCGAAGTCGGTGCCGGTGGGAGCCTGGTCCTGGGCGGCGACCATGGACAGGAGGAGGGAGGCGACGAGGGGGGTGATCTTGACCATCTTGACTGATTTTTTGTAGTGATACACCTAGATGAATTTCGAGATTTGTCTTTGTATGCTGATATTCGAGGAGAACTCGTGTATTTGCTGGTTTAGACGTTGGAAGAAAGGCGTTGGAAGTTTCGACTTGCGAATGAATGTTTGGTCTGGACCGAGAAAGAAAGAACCTGAAGACTAGCTTCGAAAATGACTGGAAGGACTTGAAGTTTGGGCTGAAGAGCGGAATGAGGAATGAGAGTAAACAAACCATCGACGTCGAGAGTGATGCTCTTATATCTATCATGTGTGGTCGGGTGGATAAGCCGCATTCCCGTCCAGCCTCGTGCCGCTCCCGGAATTCTAGACTTTCGGGCGAATTGTTTCTGCCTCTAATTTCCTCGAAACAAACCGTGAGGGATCATATCATGTCGGGGGTGGGTCCTCGACTACCGCGATGGAGCCGGCGGGTATCCATACACCATAGGAGCTGCAGGAGGCAGGGAAAGTGACGTGAGTAGACCCTGCGGAGATCCAGCTTGCTGGCATCATCTTTGTCGAGGATGTCTCATCCCTGGCTCGTGTTAAGTCTGCTTGCGACTTCTGAGCCATGTATGTCGACAGCATAGGAAGGGTTGTTGCAGGTTCTGAAGTTGCCACTTGAGCAACTTGTAGATTCCTCGAGTATTTTCAGGAGGCTGGAACCGGGCAATGCGTCGCAATGCTAGCCGCTTCTCACTCAGTCACGGTTCTCGACCACACTGGGCAGCTTTGACTACCATCGATCGAATTAAGCTTCTCCTTCTAGGGCCAGCACTAAGGACCCATTGGATGTGCAGACTTGTAATGCAAGGGACCCGTCTGCACAGTATTGAGCATCATTCTCAACTTTTCCGAGTAGCCCAAGGCAGGGATGTCCGAGTCTAAAGGTTGAAACATGCCTTCCCACATTTGGGATTGAGGTGGTGACGAAGCCTCACGCCCATCTTCATTTGTTTTGAAACGCGATCGTTTGCTGGCGGGTCGCCCACCTGGCTTTGAGTGGTTCGTTGACGAGTCGTCAAAAAGCTGCGTCCGCCTCCCGGGGACCCGCAATTTATGCAATGAGGCTAGTGGTTGTCTGATTCGCGCTTGGATCGAGCTGTGGTCAGGTCCGGCCAGACAATGATGGAATAGTGGAGAGGCGTACGTATGCCCGCAGGGGGCTAATTGGTGGAAGCGCATAAGCGACGGACGTCCTAAGTAGGTGAAAAGGAGACGACTGGGGTTTTGCGTAAAGAATTGAATGGCAGAGATGAATTATTGCGAGCCTGAGATTGAGAGCCCTGAGAAATAGGAGTCAATAGCCTCCTTCATGATGTCTAGAAGTGGATGCGTCGCCGACGCAGTTGATTTTTGACTCCTTAGATGCGAGCTTCGAGCTTTCGGAGGCGGAGCCTTCGAGACGCCACCACCCGAGATGCCTTGGCCCGCCGCGGCGTGCGAGGACGAGGGCGGGAGAGAAGTGATCAACGGGTCACGCAGTTTGTTTCATGTTTCCAGCTCTGACCACCCCTGCCCAGCCGCCCTCGGAGTTCCTCTTGCCATTAGACAAATTCGCCGACCTACGCGAGTCGGAGCCGGGGATTTTCCTCGACCCAGAAGAACAACGTACCCGATGTGCCCACATACCGGAAACAAGGTCTTGTGCCAAGACGCCAAGTTCAATGACCATGAGGCTCTGTGGAGAGCGTGCGTAGACACATTCTACTGCTGTGAGTGATGGCTGTGCCTGCCTGCCAACCGTTAACATCAGTCGACATCAATGTCGCCGTTTTTTGCTGGCTCTCCGTTGGCGTAACTCAATTGAGGCAACAAACGGATTGTGGTGCGCGAATTCAAAGATTGTCACGCTTAGTGATAAACCTATCGATGGCCAACCAAGGCATCCTTTGCTGGCGCGAACTAGTATCCGCCAGTTGACAAGTCAAAGGATTCAAAAGGGATTACTTTCCGACGTTCGTGGCTTCAAATCATTGTTGTCAATAAAGTGACAGCTCAGATATTTTTCCGGCCATTATTCTGCGAAATTCGTGGATGCTTTCAAGGTTCATCCCATCTCCGAGCTATTCGCAACGGCACAGGCTTCAGCCCGGCTATCAGTTTAGTAAAGAAGTCAGGGGTCCATATTCTCACCATGGCCTGGAGAGACAGAGATCCACAAGCTCAGAGTTGCCGTCGCAAGCAAAAATAGCTGTTTGCTCGTCTATCTGGGGCTACAGATCCACCATCACATGGGTTTGCCTCGGCGCTTCAATTGAAGCTCCAGCGGGCATCGATCCACACAAACCAACCACTTCCGTCCCCGTTCGCTTGGGTAAAATTTGTCCGTCGGGCCAAGGATTACCGTTTAGCTACGATCGAATGGTGTGATGTGTCTCTGGAATATTGCAAGCCAGGCGCCAGAAAGTCTTGTTGCCACGTACAATCTGTTGATGGTGGTACTTACCGTCGTCTTTAACAATGAAATCGATCATATCGCGTTTGCCCTCATTGGAAGAACCCTTTTCGAAATCTGCAACCAGAAAGGAAGGCTTTTATTGAAAGCTTTGCCACGGAGCTATTGTGCCTGCTTCGACGGACGCTGATCGGTATGCATGGCCGTGGCCGCCTCCTTGATGTCGCCACTTGCTTACGCGTGGACTTCAACGCACTGCCATGCCTCGATATGGATACGAGCTGGGAAACAAGCACGGCCTCACGATGTTGACTATCTAGAGTTCGCAGCACGGTCCGTGTGCTTTTTCCCTGGTCTCTTCTGAGAGATATGTCGTTCACGACTCCGATCGTCCGCCCGAGCTGGACCGCTCGACGAAGCTGAATTTCCTCCTACCGCCTCTTTTCTGTGATCTCTCTCTTACTTTGAAATGAACTAACTATACACACGTGCAGACTTCTCCGTCGACCACCTCTCGCCTTTTTCCCGTATACCACGACGTCTCTGGAAGGTCAAAATGCCCGAATGGCTCCCCATCAAATTGAAGTGTCAATTCCCCGAGTCGTTCCATATCCCTTTGCTCCCATCGACATTGTCAAGATATTATCGCATAGCTCCCATTGAAAAAATATCAGGGTTTCCGCAAGAGCAAAAGCTGCTCTGCTCTGCTCCACAAGACTGGTCTACGTGCCGTGCTTTTAAGAAGCATGATCCCTCAACGCAGTGAAGTTGAGAGGAAGAATGCCCTTCTCCGTGGTAGACAATTAGAGATGAGTCGATTGACAGTAGTACCGCCGGACTCCTCACTTACCAGTCATTGTCAGGTCTTGTTATGTTCATAACTTGTTTCCAAGGATGAAGTCGGATGTCCCTGTTGAAGAAATCCCTAAGCCCCAATGCGTCCATCCGCAGCCTAAAAATAACCATATATGCCTTCTCTTTTCCAGAAGGAGAAAAGAAACAGAAAAAGGAAAGACGAGAAGTCACATCGCTGACAGTATCTGGAGCGTCTAAGGCTCTGGAACAGCTTTAAAGTTGTTCTAAGCGAGCGGCCCGACAGCCAAGTGGTTCACAGGCCTGACTTTCTTCATCAACAAGGCATCCGCTCTCTAACAGGCGGTGTTTCGTTGTCCTTCCAGAAACCTCTTAAGTTCCACATGAATCTGCCGATTCACCAGCAAGAGAGAGAGAGCCCTAGACTCTTGTATGCAGCAATTCTATACTGGCATTGGGAGGGGAGTTCTGCATTGTAAGCCAGATTATACCTTCAAGTATGATGACTCCCTTCCAAGGATAAATCTCTCTTTTTATGGATATATTCTTCTTTCCAGGGATGAGCGCTTTCTGGTATTAATTGTCGCACTATCATCACAGTTGCCTGCGTCCTGTTGAACTGGTTTCTTTCTCATATCTTTGGTCAGAACGGCAGGATCGTTCGGCGGCTTCGTCGCGTTGGCGAGGGCTATGTGTGTGATTCTCATATAGCCTCTCTGACCTCGCTAGGAGATTCTGACAATGGAATCTTTCTTGGTTTAGCTTGGAAACAATTTGACGTAACGTGCGAGAGTTGCCATAATGTCGTCGAAGGGCTTTGAGCTTGGTGCAGTTAAGGGATCTTCAACTAGACAGAAGCTAATCTGCTTTCCCTGAAAACTATGAAACCTCCATTTTCCTTTGAAAGCAAGGTCTGATATCAGTACTTCACCATGAACGAAGCAAAGGCTTTGAACTTCAGCCGGCATCAGGTTGGCTCCGAAGAGGGCACCGTCGCAATCCGCTGGCGAGTGCGGTGAAGCAATAGTAAAGGTCACTCCGAGTACCCTAATGAGATCATTCAGTTAGAATGCTCGCGATGGTTGTTAGTGAGGTGGACGATGATACGGCAGAGGTCAGGCAGTTGCACAATGCACGCAGCCAACTGGAGAGGCTGCTCAAATTTTCGACGCTGATCTAGTTGACGGAGCGACACAAGTGTTGCACACATGGATCGTACCTCTAATCTGTGTTGGACTTCCGAGGAATTTCGGACGTAAGTCGCGAGAAATGTATCAACTGTCACAATAAATACATAGTGTCAATTCAATCTTTCAAAAAAAAAAAGAAAAAAAAAAAGAAAAAAAGTCACGTTGTATTCGACATATAAATTACGACGTAGCAATCGACACTCTGAGATTCCCGGATAAGCAGGATATTGTCGTTGTCTTTGAGATTTCCATTCGAGCATTTTTATTATTCAAAGCTTGAATTGACGTCCTTTACGAGGCTTGATCTAATGCATGGAGTCCGATATTGGTCTTGTATAGTAGCATGTTAGTCGCCATGTGCGCTTGATTTGGACACTGTTGGGAGAAGCATTGTTTTCATCTTTATAAAAAAAAAAGGCAATAAGCCTAGTTACATGTAGAAACCCTCTGGTCATTATAGTGTGTCGATAGATGTCTAAAAGGACGCATTCAGAGCCGAAATATAGCGAGTGTTTAAATTCGGATCATAATATGATCTCAGATATGCCTTCCGATCTACTTGAAGGCGCAACGACTGATCGAGCCCAGTCTCGTCAGAAGAGAATAGACTAGAACACGAGTAGGCTCCAACAGGGGTAGGAGTGCTCTTGCAATATCTATCACATGCCGTGTGGATAAGAGACCAAATACAAAATAAGATTAGATTTCGACTTTGTAAGAACAGGGTGCCGTGGTGGGAAGGGGGCGGGGCGGAAGCAATTAGTCTGTGGTCCACAGACTCTTTGTGTTACCACCATCAATGTCCCTCCGCCCTGCTCTTTGCTGTTACAATCTCACCTGTTAAGCCCTATCGCGATTGACTCCAGCGTACAACCTAGTCAAATTCCAGCACGAACGCTTCTAACGTCTCTCTTAAGATCGACAGATCCATCTCTCGAGCGAAATGATCTACATAGGCAGTGCTCCTCCACATAAATACCTAGCAAGCTGCGATGAGGACTACTTCCGGCCTGGAACTCCAGATCGTAATAATCATGTTCAAGGGCTTGCCACTATTCATCACAAAGACCGTATTTCGGACTCCACCGGGGCCAGCCCGGGCTCTTGTATTGGACTGGGTATTTCAGATAATGAATTATGCGGCCACAGACTTGATTATGAGTCATAAGGGACAAGAACGAAAGTGCTTGCATTGATACGTTTTCTTGTAAGCTTACAAGGGCGTGTCGTCCAGGAGCCCTCCGAGCGCTCCGGCACGCGCCCTAGATATCGCGCCTTTCGTCCGTAGGGAAGTCATCGCCGACTAAGTACGCAAATATCCATAAATGACGTTGAGCTTGGGGCTTGTGAAATGTCACCAGGCCCTACACCGAGTGACCTTCCTGCACAACAAAGGAATAACATGTCTAAGGGATTCCACATGCAAAACATTACATGATGTTGCCATTCCGGCTGCCAATGCTTCCGACCCTACGGCGTCCCCGTCGTCGATCCAAGAATGCGGCTCGCTGCCGGTCATTAGCTTGGCTCCACGTGAACACTAACACTCACCTGCGTTCGGACCATCTCAGGCCGGCCGGGGTCAGGGCCGACGGATGGGACCCACGTTCTTCCAAATTCTACTACGTATTCTATAACGGACTGGCGTAAGCGGCAAGGGCGCAACGGGCGAGCGGCTCACGGACTTCGTTGACGATGTGATAAGCCACGCGACGGAGATCCGTGGGCGCTTTGACGAATCCCCTTCTAGCGGGATGCTTAATGCACGCGATCTCGTCCGAACCCCGCAAATGAACCTGCAGGTTCGACGTGAGCTTGGGCAATAGGGTTACAGTACCATCGGCCAAAGACAAGGTTTACGTTGTGTCGGGAACAGAATTGGTCGAAACCCCCGAATTGCTCTGCGTTGGCTTTGACTTTCGGCAAGGGCACTTTAGCTTCTCTAGTCCCGTGGGTCAGATTTGTAAAGTAACAGGGCGTGTCCGCGTGTCACCGCTCGATGTGATGATGAGGGGGGAGTAGTTGCATTAGTTCTGGAGAATCAAATGTTCTTATAAATGTCGCCTCCTGGGGCGTTGATGGGCCCGGGGTGAAATGGTACGGATAGGGATACGTTCATCTCATCCTCCTCCTCCTGCCAGTGAAGAAGTCATCATGTTCACGTCGTATGCAGTCTGCCTTCTCGCAGGCTTGTCTGCCGCAGTCGGCAGTGTCTTCCCACATATTCGCCAGGAGTACAACTCGTCACCGACTGTGACTCTGGACTATGCTACCTATCAAGGCGTCAGACTCCCAGCAGGAGTGGACCAATATCTCGGGTTGCGCTATGCGGCAGCACCACTGGGCGATTTGAGATTTCGTGGGCCCCAAGATCCTGTAACAGAGTCAGGCGTTCAGGACGCGTCGAGTGTAAGTACATCCTTCGCGCTATGCACATGCAGGTTCTAGCTGACATACGTGCCTCAAGTTCGGCCCTATCTGCGTGGGAACTGGCCAAGCCGCGTCAAGTACTCAGACAGAAGACTGCTTATACGTCAATGTCTTCGCGCCGTCAGGCGCGACGCCAGACTCAAAGCTCCCTGTTTGGCTGTATATCCAGGGTGGCGGTTACTCAGCTAATGCGCAAGCCAACTATAATGGTACCGACGTAGTTCAGCACTCTGATCTCCACAACGGCACAGAAATGGTTCTTCAGTCAGAATATAACCTCGTCTTTGTCAACTTTAACTACCGAGTCGGGGCACTAGGATTCTTGGCTAGTGAAGAAGTCCAGCAAGATGGTGACCTGAATGCGGGATTACTAGACCAGAGGAAAGTGTTGGAGTGGGTCCAAGAAAACATTGCCAAGGTAAATAGTCCAAGATGAATGTTGAGGCGTTCTGTACTTGCTGACATTGTATCAATAGTTCGGCGGCGATCCATCGCACGTCGTGATCCACGGCTCTTCCGCAGGCGGTGGCTCAATAGCACATCATCTGACTGCTTACGATGGCGAGGATAAAGGGCTCTTCGTCGGCGCCGTACCCCAGTCTCCCTTCTGGCCAATCCAGCGAAACCTCAGCGAGATGGAGTTCCAGTACGATCGCTTCGTTACAGAAACGGGCTGTTCCAACGCCACCAAGGCCTTGTCATGCCTTCGATCCTTGGATCTGGCCACCATTCAGAAGGCGAACATTCTTGAACCCTTCCCTGAAGCAAGCGACAGCCCACTGCCTCTATGGTACTGGCTTCCGGTGACCACTGGGCCCGGGACGCTGGTTCCTGATAACCTTTACAACTCTTTCGAGGCAGGAAAGTTTATCAAGGTGCCTATTCTGATCGGCGACGACACAGATGAGGGAACTGTATTCGCGCCCAACGCCTCCACTCAGGGTGACGTGTCACGGTTCTTCAAAAACAACTACCCGCTCCTTGATCAAGCCCAACTTGATCAGATAAACCAGGCGTATCCGCTTCAAGACCCCTTACCGAAACACGCGGCTTACTTCCCTTCGGCGGCAGCAGCATATGGCGATGCCACGTTCACCTGTCCGGGGAACACCATGGCCGAGACAATGTCGTCCTTTTACGAGCCCGGAAAAGTGTGGAACTACCGGTACAACGTCATCGACCCCGTAAATGTGGCTGCAGGACTAGGCGTGACTCACACCTTTGAGACTGCCGCGATATTCGGGCCGGGCTTCGCAGGCAGCGTCGCAGACAGCTATTATACGACAAACGCCGAGATTGTGCCTGTGGTCATGAACTACTACATCAGTTTCGTCAGGGCCCTGGATCCAAATATCTATAGGTACCCGGGAACGCCGGTGTGGGAGACATGGGGGGATTTTGGGGGCGGGCGGGGGTTCAGGTTGAAGTTTGAGACGAATGATACGGTCATGGAAGAGGTGCCACAGCAGCTGGCGGACCGTTGCGCGCTATGGAAGGGGTTAAGCGACGCGATGGAGGTATAACGCATATAACAAACCTGATTCAGACAATAATAGCAACCTAATACGATTGGGTACTACACATGGATGATTCAGCATCCTCGTGTGTTGCATTCTATTCCGTCCCTGATTTTCAAGATCCTTTGCGTTGCATTCTTTTTCGTCCCTGATTTTAAGGTTTCGTTCCGTAACTGCGAGGTCCATGGCAAACAGGAACTTTTCGGACGAATACGCCGCTGCCAGGTGCTGCAACGGAGATCCAATCATCTGAATTCATGCAGATCATACCCCCTGACTCAAGGGGGCTTCCGAGTGCAGCAGGGCGGCCGCAGGGCCACTGTAGCTGTCACCAGATTTGACCCTGAACAGTTGTTCCTGCATTTGTGGGGCCGCGGCCAAGCACACCGACGATTTTTTTGGACCCTGAATAAAACACAACTGCCAAGTTACGCAAGTTATGGTTACAGGCAGCCCGACTCTATTGAAGTTTGTTTCGGCTGACGATCCACAAGCGAGTGTTAATGCAGTTGTCCGTTGACCGTTCGCGTCGGGTAGGAGTGCATGTGGCTATACATGTGGTCATGTGCATGTGCTCATATGCTGCTTATCAAGGAGGTCACCCTCTCGGTTTGTGCTACCGAGTTGGTGTCCTGAAAGATTGAAATAGAACTGTTCGCTTCTTTCTTACTACTACTGCTATAACAACCAAAATTTTCATTATGCCCCATCAAATTGACCAGTTGCCCGTCGACATTCAGTCCCGCATCTTCCACAAACTTGAGCAGGCGTCGAAGTCCGCGCAGAGCGCTACGATCTATTCTGTCACAGAGGTAACAGCACCCGACGTGAACCGGCCAATACGCGTGACCAACAGCGTGAACAAGAAGGCGTTGCGTCAATCTCTTCAACAGAATGGGACGCATCTCATGGAGGACCTGAATTTCTGCGTCCGCCTCGGAAATCTAGACAACGATGACAGCAGCATCGGGCCAGGCAAGTCCGGTGTCTCGACAGCCGCCCGGGAAATTATCAGTGGCATCCACACACTCGACCAGAAGAATATCAATCTGGAGTACGACTTTGGATTGGGAACCAAGTTAGAGCCGGACGTGAAGGTGTTTGGGCAGTCGCGAGACGAAGAAGCTCTGCTACAGCTCGAGAATGAACAAACATGGAGACGCCTGCTGGTTGATACCTGGAACACGTTGACCGCAAACCATACCGCCACTCACCTTTCGATGAAATCATTCGTACCAGTCTGGTCATCCGCCTTCTACTCCACTGCATTCCGCCAATTCCTGGCCCGTCTCGATAGGCTCGATATCCATGTCTCGGGCATGAAGAATGGACACCGGAGTATTAACACCGTGCCCGCTTATAACGACTCTTTGCAATCACTGCTTAAGGTGTACTTCTTGCGCGCGAGCTCGCTAAAGCACCTCTCGCTCCACGCTTCCCAGTCAGCACCACTGGGCGCGAGAGGGAACTATCACATCCCCTTGTCCCTCAAAGCCACGCAGCTGCCCGCGCTGGAACACCTGTCTCTCAAGAACTGCTTCATCGGCTTTGAGCTCGCGCACTTCATCAACGGGCACAGGAGCACGCTTGAGACGCTGGAGTTGGACAACTGCTATGCCTACCGCGGCACTTACGACGGGCCGGACTCTGGGGGCATGCAGTGGGCACCGTTCTTCGCCCTTATCAACAAGCCTGGGATGAAGCTGCGCCGCCTGGTCATCAATGACGCCCACATCCCTCTCACGATCGACGACAAGCGGCTGGAGAAATACAATCCCGACACGGCGAACGAGCCCGAGGACGTGAAGAATGTACGTCGTGCGCAGAGACGGGAACCGAGGAAGAGGCTGTTCCTCTACGCGTATTTGAGAGACTACTCGGGCGAGCTATGGATGAACAAGGACTCAATCGTTGCCGCATTTGAGACTGGTGATGACCAGTCGGCGTACGATGAACTGATGGCGAGGGTGCAGGGTAATGCGGTGGGCGAGACATCAATCGTGGGCGCGGAGGACCACAGCATCGTGAAAAAACAAACCCCTGTTGACGAAGGCGTGGAAATATTTGAACTCTCTGCATAATGGGCATATTGGCGCATGGTAGGAAGAGGGTTTTTGGCATACTTTGATACACGATAAGTGAGTGATACCAGCTGTTCAATTTCTTTTCTTTTCTTTTTGGCTTCAGCAACCGACATTTCCATTAGACTTGCATTTTGGCAGAGCAGCATGAGGAGGAAGACATAGAAATAATTTCCATCAGCTCGACTGTTCGTTTCCGTCTCTTCGCCCAGTTCTCCCCCGAGTTTTGGGGCACCAAGCCATCAAGCGGAGCTTTGACCGATGTCACGGTACCCAGTAGAACCTGGCCATTTCCCCAAATCTGGCATTACATCCGGCCATGACGGGGTATCTCCACCCTGATTAGCGTGCTCACAGGTGCATCGTGACTCCTCACTCTCATGTTTGGCAGCCAACGTGATAACGGCGGACCCCAGCTGGCATATCTGGAGTCTGCAGCTATCACCTCCTAGCAATCAATTGGGACGTTGCAGCCGATTATCTACCATGCCATGCCGGGTCTATGTCAATTCGGAAATGATTTCGACTTGGAAGAATACATTACCGGCACCAGTGCCTCTAGCGCTGCCGGTCATCGACCAACCTGCCAGCCTGCCCCTTGGGCTTGCCCCAACTCGTTGAAGCGCCGTTGCACTTATCATCGATGCCAAGGGGGGCCCATCATCACCGCCCCATGCCTAGCCATGTGTTGCGGGGAAAGCGCGTATCGTGACCAATTTCTCGGTGGATGTCGTATGCCCACGCGAGGGAAAGGCGATGTCATATAAAAGCGAGGCGGGAACGCCAAGGCGTAAATTGAAAATGGGGGCTCAGGCCGACTGTCTCTTGCTCTCTCGCCATCGGGACCAAGAAGTGGACTGACCATCAGATGCTGTGGTTTCGCGCGATTCTTGGTGGAGCCCTCGCGGCCAGCGGCGTGTCTGCCTTCACTGGCAACACGACGGGCTATATTAACGATCTGTTCGATCAGTCCATGAGCTTCCTTGACCAGATCTACGACCCCAACGCCGGTTATCTGTGGTACTTCTACTATCCTCTCGCCGCGGGTAAACACGAGACTCGGTCGACGGTGTGGTATGCCGCCGGGTTGCTGCGCCGGAATGAGGGAGACGATGTGGATAACGCGGTCAAGATTATCACGAGCGTCATTGGTGATCAGCAGAAGAACATAAGTGCTCAATGGTACGAATACTGTGCCCTCTACCCCTGAGAGCCCAAATCTGCGCGACATTGCTGGGAGAATGCCAATATGCCAGCTTGCTAACGAAGATGGGATTCATAGGTTCGGAGACTACACCAAGTACCCCGAAGAACCAACAGTCGGCACAGCTTGGTATCCAGAGAACGTATGCCAATTCTTCGCCCAATTCGTCCCGCACTTCGCAAATGATCCTCACTGACGCGTATTTTACAGATTTACAACTCGTGGGACCCCAACTGGCGAGGCTTCATCGGCACCACTCTGATCGTCATCTACGAGGAATATGGGCACCTGCTCCCATCCCAGGTCCAGACGCTCATAGTCGAAAGCATGCGAAACAACACCATCGGCGACAGCTACCGCGTCGGCGGCGTGGACGGCGACAACCTGTACCCAGCGTACTCGAACCCGGCGCTGATGCGCGCGGTGGCGTCGGGCTGGACGGGCCGCAAGCTCAACGACAGCAACATGACGGCGGCGGGCGAGGCGTACGCGCAGGAGATCCTGGACCTCTTCGACCGCAACAACACGCTCTCCGAGTTCAACTCGGCCACGTACGCCGGCATCAGCCTGTACGCCCTGACGCTGTGGGCAAAGTACATCCCGGACGACGGCTCGTCCGTGATGCGGGCCAACGGCGCACGCATGGTCGCCGACATCTGGACGACCGTCGGCGAGCTGTACAACGCCAACCTGCGCAACGTGGCCGGCCCCTGGGACCGCACGTACGGGTGGGACATGAACATTTACATCGGCATCCTGAACGCGTACATCTGGTCGCTGGTTGGCGCGGACCGCGCGCCCGGCATCAACACGGTCAGCAAGGGCGGGCGGACCCCGGCGTGGGCGACGACGCACGCCGACGACTTCGAGATCGCGCCGCTGCTGGCGGCAATATTGCCGTTCCACCACACGCTGATCCCGGACTCGGTCGTCGAGAAGCTGGCGGCGTTCCCGGGCGAGCACACGTACACGACGGCAGCGCTCTCGCCGCCGTGGGACCTCGCCCCGCGCAACGTGACCAGCTGGATCGGCGAGAGCCTGACCATCGGCGCCGAGAGCTTCGACCAGACCGTCGTGGGCGGCGCGTCCATCAACCAGGAGCAGTGGGCCCCGGCTGTTGCGCAGTGGCTCCGGGCCGACGGCAGCATCGGGTGGTTCTCGTACTATGCGACCGAGTCGGCCATGCAGGTCGACGTGCAGCCTTACCGGCTCGAGCTGACGTACCCCAAGGGCTACGAGAGCAGTATCTTCACGTTCATCATTGGATCGAATCCATTGGGCCAGAAGAGGGACGTGTTGGAATGGGGTGATGTGATGGGACTGAATGTCAACGTCAGCGGGACGGTGGACCTGAGCCACGAGGTCGCCTTTTGCGGCCTTGCCGGTGGTTCGTGCGACATTATCCATGGCTTCGAGTTCTGGAATTTCACCTATGTGATGCCAGCTGGGAGCTCGGACACGCCAAACATTGTATTGGAGCTCGAGCTTGTGTAAAGTGGGCGAAATGGTAACAGGAAGACGATCAAGGATGTAAATCTATGTAGAACGCTCTGCAAAAATCAACCTGTACATACTCTGCGCAAGGGTAGCACTCCTACTCGTTCCTGAGGCTTCCCACCGTCTTCAGATGTCCCTTGGCCTGGCGACTTGCAATTTCCTGCGGGACATATTTTAATGGTCGATATTCAGGGTTCCACATCTGCTCGCGAATCCATTCCTTGACGTCCTCGTCGTCATCGGGGATGTCCTTCTCCGTGGCTAGGCCCTCCTTCACTGCGGCACGAATGACCTTGCTTGCAACGTTGACGCTCACGTCCCGTACGACGTCCACACCAGGTACCAAAGGAGCCGTGTCATCTTTCAGCGCAGGCGACATTTCCGCAACGGCCTCGATGGCTGCCACCAGCATCTTATCGGTGACGAGCTTCGACCTCGACAGCACCGCTCCGAGGCCGATACCGGGGAAAACAACGCTGTTGTTGCACTCGGCCACTTTGATCGTGACTTCCTTACCGTCCTTACCCCAGGGCCCCTTGACGGGTTCAAAGGGGGATCCAGTGGCAATCAACGCTCGGCCTTCGGTCCATTTGAGTAGATCTTCAGGCACTGCCTCATGGAGACGGGTCGGATTTGACAGGGGTAGGATGATGGGGCGGTCAACGTGAGACGCCATTTCTTTGACAATTTCTTCGGTGAAAGAGCCCGGTTTTGTCGAGGTTCCGATGAGCACGTTCGGCTTCACTGCCTTGATCACCGCCAGAAGATCGGTCGACTTGCCATCCCACTCCTCTTTGGATCTGGCGAAGAATTTCTGGGCATGGTTGAGCGGCGTCTCGGTTGTAAGCAGGCCGGGCTTGTCAATGAGCCTAGATATACGGCGTCAGAGGCAAATGTCTTTCATATCTTAACATGAAGGATTGGAGGGCAGACTTACCAGAGCTGCTTTGCAGCATCCTCCTTGCTAACCTTACTCTCTGTGACGATTGCGTCTCGAATTTGATCAGCGATTCCACACCCGGCTGAGCCAGAACCAAAGACAACCACCCGCATGTCGCTCAGCTTCTGCTTGGAAACATGCAGACCAGACATGATTGCCGCCAAGGTCACACAGCCCGTTCCTTGGACATCGTCGTTGAAACAGGGGATCTTTGGACTGTACATATCAAGCAGTCGTCGTGCTGAACCAAAAGTCAACATGAGACGGTATCGGGTGAGCAGAGGGAGGAGACAAACCATTATCAAGTCCAAAGTCTTCGAAGTGAATGTATGCGCGTGGATAGAGCTTGCGAGCCGACTGCACGAACGAGTCGACAAACTTGTCATACCGCTCACCTCGGACACGTTTGGATCGGAGGCCCAGATACAGATCATCGTTGAGAAGCTCCTCGTTGTCTGTACCGCAGTCCAGGACAACCGGCAGGGTTCGATTGGGGTGGACGCCAGCACACAACGTGGTCAGGACGAGCTTGGCCACGGAGATAAGGATGCCACCACAGCCCTGGTCGCCGATACCCAAGATTTCCTCGCCGTCTAAGGGAGATTTAGTCCATGATCATTAGTGCAAGGTAATCGGATAAGGCCAGCCATACCGGTAACGACAATGTAGTCGATATCTTCAGGTCGACCCCATTGGGCCAGGTCGTTGTGAACACGCTCCGGGTCGTTGATGTTCAGGAAACACCCCTCCGGACGCCGAAACAGGCGAGAGTAATTCTGAATAGCATCGCCTTCAGTTGGGGTGTAGATGATGCTGAACATTTCCTCCAGATGGTCGTACAGAAGCTGTCGCATGTCAGGCGCGCACCAACCACTAGGGGCTGTCTCTGACAGCGACGAGTCTTACCTTGTAGAACAGGACCTCATTCTGCTCCTTCAAGGAGGTCATGAATGTGTTCTTGGCCAAGTTATCAGGGCGGGTAGAATATTGCTCGTATGCACGGTTGGCTTGCTGCTCCAAGGTCTGGATGCTCTGGGGAAGGAGACCGGTCAGGTTGAAGTCCCTGCGTTCCTCCTTGGGGTGTGCCGAGCCCTTGTTGAAAAAGGGATGATTCAGTAAGGTGGTACCGGTGAGGGCACACTCAAGAGGGCCGGTTGTGCTGAGAGGCAGGTGTCCATATTTGGAGGTCTTCCCTTGGGGAGCCATCTCGTAGGATTTTGAAGAGCAGTGAAGCTTTCTTCCAATCTGACTGGACTGTATAGGTGCCGAGAAAAGTAATGCTTTAGGAAAAGGCTGTCCGCAATGGCAAGGTCGGAGAATCTGGAACAGAGATCTAGGGAGCAATCTAGCAAGCTGCATCGCCAAGAGATGAGGAAGTGCTTAAGAAGATGCAGGTAGATCCACTCAATGTGATGTCTCGTTGACATGCGCATGTGTCAAACAGAGGGGCACGACTTGTCTTGGGCCTTGGAAGCGGCCTGGAACGGGCCATGACGTAACCGCCAGCACAGCACAGCACATCACTGCAGTCATTCAGGCCGGACTGCTCGTTGCTCGAAGCAAAACCGGGAAGCTTCACTAGCTGATGTTAGACTAATTAGCGCAGCTGTTGGTCAACACCACAGTTCGCAGATCCGGGAACTGTTCCCGGACTTTACAATAGATGCAGCGAGATAGATCTCAAGGAGGAGACAGCAGTAGCAAACAGTCACCACGCCTCACCACGCGCAGACGGGACAAATTCAGATGTGACATTGCAGGATAGAACAAGGTTAAAGATATGCACATCTGGTAGAATCTGCTGCGGGTTTCGCGTGTCTTCCGTTGAACTCGCTCGCTGGGCTGGCGATTGAAGCCACCATAGATTGCGTCCTTGCATGCCCAATAAGTACAGGTGCTCAGGAAAGCAGAGCTGAGTGAAAGTCGCACCCTCAATACTGACTATTGACTTCTACACCTTCTTCAAGACCCTGGCCACTTCATCTTCTTCTCCTGCTCCTACTCCTTCTCGTTCTACTTCTCCTTCTCCTCGATTCCTTGAGCCGCTGTTCAACGATAGATAAGCTAGTCTAATACCTTGTTTTCAAACCGCAATTCCTTTACGTGAAATGAGTCACGGACTCGCCTGGTCCTTCTTATAACCCCAGGGCACAGTCTAGGATATTCGGTCTTTGTGTCGCAATGGGTACACCGCCAGATCATAGATATCCTTATAAGTTTCGCTGAGAGGCGCCCCGTCGATGATCTGAACATAAGCGAGTTCAGCACTTGAAGTGAACAGAACGTTGCAAATTGCTTGCGAGAGGACATTATAATGCTCCTGTGTCAAGTCTTCAACTGATAATTTGTGAGGTTGCTCGACGAGAGCCTTCACTCCCGGCTGCTCAGATGTCATACAAGTGAGGAGTTAAAAGATATAGCAGAGATATGGTTGATGAGTATCACTTATTAGAGAACCAGCAACTGAGCACAAAAGACGAAGCAGAAACGTAAGTGGAGAATGTAAGAGTGAGCATTACAGGAGGACACATGGCGATGTATATCAAGAGCGGATATTTGTACGTACGCTTCGCCCCCTGTCGTTATACCATGTGTGGGCTTACTGGGCATCCAAGGACCCATGCATGAGACCAAAGTATCAACAGATAGTAGCATACATATCTACATTTGGCCAGACCTATTTTGCATGTGCACGAGGAAGATCGACTGTCACCTCGCAGGAACAGGACACCTGAAATTTTGCCTTACCCGGCTCTGCGGCACGGTTGTCAGGCCCACAGAAGAGTGAGCCATCGCGAGTAGGCTCGCTACGCAGCTATCCACATGCTAGCTGTGACTTAGGTCTGATACATGTAGGAGCTCTAGGAGCCTCGCCCGGGTGGAAGAAGATGGCCACAGACGAGGACTATGATGGTCCAGGAAGACTTGTTCTTGCAGTGATTCCGGGCATGATTATCCGAGAGGACGATCACCCGGGTCCGATATGCCGGCTTCCTCTAAGGCCCCAACGCAAAACGCGTCGAGACCGAGAGGCCACCCAGAGGGCGACTCGTTGAGAAGATTGGTGCGAGTAGACGGCTCGAACAAGCTGCGGTGCTGATTATGATGAGAGAGATATGGTACCTGCCTTTGATCACTTCACAAGATGATTATCATGCACGTCACTGTGGTTTGTTTTGAGGTCGCTTGCCTTTACGAGAGATGTATGTGGTGTTGGTAGAGGCAGAGAGAAGCAGACGCGCCGAGCAGAAAATTGAGAGTTGAGATTTGCTGGGGAGCTTGGACCAGCCCCACCACGACTGTCTGCCACCTGGACCCAGGTGCGACAGCTGCAAGCCCAGCTGTCCGTCGGCTACTTCCATCTGCACTACCTGCCGCGCTGCAAATGCTCAAGCGCACTCGTGAGGACCTGGCCGGCAGACAACCTTGTCTTGGCCAACGCAACGAAGCTTCTCCGTCTGATCCAGCAGCCAGTCGTTCGCTATGACCTTGAAACTGAAAGACCCGTCCAGTGCCCTGAACACGAGACCCTTCCGCTTCAGAGACGGATACTTTGCCCTAGTCTCGTACGACAGACAATTCGCTCCTTGGGCCTTCTTCATCAACTCGTCGAGGTCTTTCGCAAAGGCTGACAGCCTCACTCGTTTAGAAAACCTCTGGACCTGCTGCAATGACTTAAGCTTACCGTCCCACTCGTTATCATGGTCGTCAGTTGTCTTCCATTCCGAGAACTTTTCGTCACACACGCCGTAGGCGTAGAAACGGTGGCCCTCGATCATGTGAGGATTGCCTGAAATACTTTCGCCACAGAGCACCCCAGCCAGGCCTATGCTGAGGAATCCATAAATGTACTCGCCCGTAATTCCTTGCTCTCTTACGGCGTTCCAACTGATGGAGGCGTCAGTCTCCTGGTAGTCATGGTCTCCGATGCTAATGCCATATTTAACACGGTGACGGACGCCGTTCTCCGCCACATCGTCCAAAATCACACCAGGTAGCTCCGACTGCAAGTACTTGTCGTCGGATCGAGAAATGTCGTAGAACACCATGGGCATTCCGTCTAGCATCTCCGTGATCTGAAATTCGGTATCGCCATGTGTCTTCCAAAGATCTTGGATATTCTGAACGCGCTCTGACTTGGTTGTGGGGAGGAAGCTTGGTGAGCGCCCGAGGCTGATTCCTCCGTCAGGTGGATCTGTGCAACAGTCTCAGTTCTGGACTCGAATTCATACAGGTCAGGTCTTGATTGACTCACAGAATGTGATCCATTTTCTGATTCCGAGGTCTTTCTGGAAGTCCATAGTCTTCAGAGTCTTCTCAAGGGACTCAGCAATGATCGTCCCGTCAAAATTTTGGCCCGAGTTGACACGGATGTAAATTGACCTTTCTCGAATCTCGTTCGCTGCAAGAATGAACTCTGGAAACACTTCGAGGTGAAACACCATTCCTTGCGATATGTGGCCTTCATATTCGACAGTCTGTACAACCCAGCCTTTCTGTCCTTGCAGCTCGACAAGGAAGTGCGAGAAGCGGTAGGGCTTGTAGCGCTCATCTTTCAAAGGCAGGACGCAGTCGATTGCGAAGTACAAGACTCGCTGGTTGGCGGAAAATTGGCCCTTGCCTACAACGACCGGCCAGCCATCAACCTTAACGACCTCGTGAGTGTCGCTGGAGTCGAGAGGCTTGATCAGTGGGATGCGTCGCACAGAGACGAGCTTGCGGCAGGGTGGTTCCGAAGTAACGCGATCCATGGTGATGCGCGTTGTCGTTGTCGCTCAAAGGGGGGTGGAGTAATGCTCTTTTTTGCAATGCCACGGGCAATGTTGTTGCTCAACTTGCTGTAGACGACGCAGAAGGCAGGTAGTTCCTGCTGGATTGATGCCTTCCCAATTCGTTTCTGGTATCTTGGTACCTAGGCCATGTGGTCGTGGGCCAGTCCGCAAAAGCTGCCACTGCTAATAAGAGTTAATTTTTCAGTTTACAGTCTGGTTTGCGATTGAAAGTGAAAATTCATACCTATCATTGGCCCACGGCCTGTGAGCGAGCATTACGCGGCCAGACCTCCCACTGGATTATGGTCGGATGTGGAATTTACGGTAGACCTGATTCGAAAAGGTCGTAAATCAAAATCTCAACTACCCATTTAGGTACATATAGCCACTTCAGTAGCTACCCATGGCTTTCGTATATTTTGTACGTCTTTGTAAACAGTTCAGCAGTACTTGGCCACTACCAACTCCATGAAATTAACATTCGCCGGCCACCTTTTTCGGAAGTCTTCCGCACTCAGAACGACCTCCCTGAAAGGTCCAACTTCCAATCGACTTTGTCGTTCAGCTTCGTTTGCATCATTTTCATCCTGATCGAGCGGTATCATCTGGTCCTGAAACATCCAACATATTTCCTCGATGTCCCTGCGAGAGTCCGGGTCACCTGGAATCAGCTCGGGACCCCAGATACCAGCCCGTGATCTCAGCTTGAAAGGTGGCTCCACCTTCTCGAACCACTCCTGGAGCTCCTCGGCCACCTGGCTAGAGTACTCTTCGTTGCTCACCCCAGGAGGCGGCGTGAGCGGCTCTTCGCCATCCCAGCTCCGACCGATCGGGGGCTCTTCCCGTATCCATGCTCGCCCCAGGATGACGGACATGAGTTCAAGCTTAGGGAGGACATTCGGGGTTCCCAGGCGTGACAGAAGCCTAGCGAACCGCGGCCACTGAGCGTTGCAGAGGCATCTCGACTCCAGCGCGAGGTGCTGAATCTCCATGAACGGACCGGCCTCGGCGGGGTCGTGGATGCTATTGTACAGCTGATCGACCGTCTTGGAGGAGAGGTAGGCTGCGTCAATGTCCGGGTTGAACTGCCGGCAGGGAACTCGCAACCGCTCCCCCCGCTTGGTTCTCGCCCACGTAAAGGACAGCTTCCGCTTCGTATGCTCCCTCGTTTCTTTGCACAGGTGGTAGATGGTCGGAATTGGTACGATGACCCTCCAGCAAGGGTCGTTCTGGTCGTATGCGTCACCGTACTGAAGGTCCTGTTCATGGAAGAAGTAGATCCCAGGCGAGGTAGTCGCCAGCGCAAAGTCCCATATCTGCTCACGAAGCTCCAGAGGTAATGGATCGAACGGCCGATGCTGGTTCTTGACGTCAGCCGGACCATTGTTAGGTGCTGCTAGCCTGGATTCGGAGCTCTGGCTGGTGGCGCATGCCTCTGCCGACAGAGTACTGACTTTTTCGCCACCAGCATCGAGCGTGAAGTCTCTCATCTTCCTGGTCATTTCTGCAGTATGAGCAGTATGGGTCATTGTGAATGTAGCCATAGTTGGCGCTGTTTCTGTGTCTGAGAGGTTTGTAGAAGCGTCGAAACTCATGATGTCAGGTATATGAAGCAGGAGCGCGGGGATATATGAGGAATCCGACGTAGTGTTGGCCATTGTCCTCAGTTGAATGCGAATGTCGTCGGCCAGTGGCTCTTGGCAAGTCGGGGCCGTCGAGGGCGATTGGTTGGAATAGAGTTCCATGTTGCAGTGGCACCCGCTCGGGGCTACCTGGTGTTTCAGTTAGTTTGGATGACTGCAACATCAAGCTACCTAGACTGAATCTGATGGGTCCACACGTTACACTGAGGCATATGTTCCTGCTCGACATGCCTATTACCACAGTACTGCAGCTGGAATCTTACTCTTGTCCATTGTTTTGACCTACGGCTTGTGCAATTCAGACGAACCTTTGCAAGAAAGTTGACAACGGTCGAATAACCAGCTGTTGCCTCAAAGCCTTTTACTCGGCAATTACAAGCTGCCGACAACTAGACCATGGCAGTCTCAATACCTCGCAAGGTTGGTGTAAGAACTTTGGCGTGGCTTGATGACTTGAGTTGAGTTCATGTTTGCGATGAGGAGCTTCTTCGATTACCGACACCAGCATCACGATTTGGAAGAAGGTATGCAAGAATCCCAATCGACATCAATTTTCCGCTGAAGGTAGGCAGGGATTGTCCTGCCTGAGCGTCGAACTTTGTAGCCTTGACAGTGCAAGAAGGACGAATGATAGCAGCTGCAGGGTCTAGATTGGGGTAGCTATACCATCTGCCGGCCCATCGCAAGGCTACCTTGTGTTGACCTTCTGTAGCGACTTAATAAGCTTGCATGCTGGAATGTTCCGGGCATGATGTCCATTTGTGCCATATTCATACGCGACCCGGCGTTGTATCCCATCGAGTCGACTCAAGGACTCAGTCCACGTGATGCAGACTGCGGCAAAACGTATCTCGAACATGCCCAGTCAAGCGGTCGAATTGAGAAGAGAGAAGCCCCTGAAATTTGCGCGCTGCATGAAGGAAATATATTGGATCTTGTGTGCGGTACCACTGAAAGGCCCTTCTGTGGCTTACAACATCATCTCATTTTGGTCGTCTGCCAGAGCCTAGAAGATGTCGTGCTAGCTGTAACTTAACCATTGTTGACTGTGTCTAATAAATAAGCAACTGTCTAGTTCCAGAGCATCTCTTTGCAGTGAGTACAGCCTACTGAAGTATCTAGTATGGATGAAGGCGTCTCGCACCCGTCTTTCAGCTTCATGTAAGACATTTCAAAGCTCCAGATTATCAATATAGAGTGAAATCTGAACATATGAGGTAAAAGTCCAGGGCCGAGGACTTTTCTATCCGACATCTTCGCGGTGTTTGTTTGGTCGTTCCCAGGTCCAGTGATGTTTATATCTGCCCATTGAGCTCAATTTATGTCTGAAGTGACAGTACCCAGTTCTGTTTACTGCTGTGGTTTGATCTTTACTTTGGCATACAGCGTCATTTGTCCCCGACCGTGAAGTCTATTGCGATTGTGTTGTTGCCCAGGTCGCCATGATTGGGTTGGCTAAGCCAGCCGCCCCTGATTACAGAGCGCCTTGGGCGCGAAGAAATCCTAATTCAATCTTTATTCACTTATGTCAATAGCCTTGTTACGGGTTTTGAAGAATCTCTTCTGACCAATTCACCAAGTGTCCAGTGCCCCACATTCATGGCTCCTCGGAACCGGGCTCAGCTCTGTCATGCCCACATACAGTGACCGCTTGCCATCTTGCCTGCAAAGAGGGACCGTCCTTGGCCGAGTCTCTTTATTTACTCCATGAGCATTCGTTTGTGTATTTCATCAGTGGATTTTCTACCCTCCTACGCCCATCATCAGGACTTGAATTAAATATGAGCACCATGTCTTCTGAGCATGTGAATGAGGCTGTGGCCGCCCAGCTCGACCTTGAAATGATGCAACTGAAGAAGGCCAAGATCCTCGAGGGCCGAACACCAATTGGATCAATGAAACACTCACGAAAGCAATTGGAGCAAGAGTTTGCTGAGGCGGTAGGTCTAAGGGCTTTGGATGCTCTGCAAATTCTTTTTATCAGCTGTAGCAGCCTACACCCTGGTTAGGTTGACCTGTCTGGCCTTGATGGATGGCATCAATCCTCGTCAATCCTATCCTCAGCACACCAATTCGTGGATTTGTCATATCTTGATGCTGACAGGTTTACATACAGAATTTGCACGAACGAGCTCAGGCATCGGTGGAAGGAGACCAGGGGCTGGTAGTAACATACATCGGTGACCCTTATCCGCCATGCGTTGTGCCGCTGTCGGGCCTCAAGACGATTTTCTTGCGCGATCTCAAGCTCGAGACGCATCACAGAGGCTATGTGCTGGTCGTCAAGACGTTCTGCGAGCCAAATCATACGGCATCGATCATGAACGCCATTGAAGACGAGAATGGAGATGTCGACCGCATCGCCTTTTACAACTTCTCGCGAAACAAGTCGGTCGAAAAGATTCTACCGAAAGACACCATCATAGCTGTGAAGGAGCCCTATTATAAATCTACAACGGATGGCGGAGTCTTAGTCCGAGTCGACCATCCTTCTGACTTGGTTCTTCTCAAGCCACATAGCAGCTTGATACCATCCAGTCTGGCACCTGTGTCAAAAGACACACTCACTCCTGCTGAGATGAAGGAACAGGGCAATACGGCATTCAAGCGGCATGACTGGCAGACAGCCGCGGACTGCTACTCCGCAGCTCTAGCCTTGAAGGAGAACAACGAGGATCTCCGTCGAACTCTTCATCGCAATCGCTCTCAAGCCCGCATACATCTAGGTCACTACGAGTTTGCTATTCAAGATGCTCTCGCAGCCATCGTACAAGGAGACGGTCTTTCCGAGGAGGCAAAGTGGCAGAATGTGAAGACCCTGTACCGTGCGGGCCGATCAGAGTATGAGTTAGGAGACTTTGACAAGGCCAAAGAGTATTTTGGCAAAGCCCTGCAATACTCTTCCAATGAAGAATGTGTCTTGGCTGAATTATATCGAGCCGAGAAGCGTTTGGAAGAACAACGCACCGGCAACTTCGACTTCACAGCCATGTCGAAGTCGGCAACGAAGAATCATACTATCTTGGACCAGGCCTCATTCCTCAGCAACGCCAAAGTCGCCTCGGCAGGGCACCGCGGGCGTGGACTTTTTGCTACAAAGCACCTAGCGCCGGGCGATGTCATCATGGTCGAGAAGGCTTTCTATGTTGTGTCCGATGACGAGAACGCGAAGAACACTTCCGCTCTCGTCAATGTCAATACCGGCCACGCTGACTTCGGGCAATACGCTGAGGGCCTGTACGTCACGATTGACAAGATACTCTATAACCCTAGGCAAGCGAGCCGGTACCTCGACTTGTATGATGGTGGCAAATTCCAGAACAAGGTTCTCAAGTTCTTGGACGGGATGGCCACTGTCGACACATTCCTTGTGCGGGCCATAGCTGGATTCAATGACTTTGGCTGCCCAAAAATTAAATCATCTCTGCATCAAGGTGCCGATGCACACTCTGAGAACGAAGCTACAGGCATCTGGATGCACGCATCTCATGCCAATCACTCCTGTATCCCAAACTCAGACCGCAGCTTCATAGGTGATATGATGATCATTCGCGCTAACAAGCATATCAAAGCTGGAGAGGAGATCTCTCTGGCCTATCGGGCGCCCGAGGGCTCCTACGCAGAGCGCAAGAAAGAACTCTCTTTCTACGGCTTCGAGTGCGACTGCCCGCTCTGCGAGGCCGAAAAGTCCTTGCCCAACCAAGTGCATATGGAACGTGCCGAGCTCACCAAGGAGATCAACACCTTCATCTCTGCCAACATGATTGCCCCGGTTCTATCATCAATTCCTGACGTCACATTCGAGAAGGCCAAGGATCTTATGGTAAAGTTGGAGGATACATACCCTGAGACGCTGTACAAGCGCCTTCCGTGCCTTGGTTGTGTCCCTCTGCGCGTCTGGATACATCAGGCTCCTGGTAAGCCGAAGAAGACGCTCAAGGAAGCATTGCGGACACTCCGGGACCTGGGATATCTCGTCAAGATCAACGGCACCAGTGTCACGATTGACCGCTCGTCTGCCGCTGTCTACGTTGAAGGCTTGAATGCTGCCATGACCGCAGCCTCCGCGTGCTTGGATTCCGGAAAACCCGAGGTTGCTTTGCAGTTCCAGGAGCTTGGCAAAGAGCTTTACGCGATCATGTACACTTGTCTGGACGGGTTTGAGGAGAAGTTTCGGCCCAGCAATATTTGAACACATTCCCTGTGGCCTGATCAATTTGTCTCCGGGAGGAGCAGACGCCTCGGTGCAACTGCACTAATGAGTGCTTAAGATTTGCGCGAGGGCTGGACGGTCTGTGTGACTCGTTGGATTCGTCGGTGCAAGAGTAGGGCAGCAAATGGAAGAGGAGCCTTGATGAAGGTGGGATAATGGCTCTACAATGCTCATGCGTTACACAGTCCACTGCACGGGAATCCTTTACGCTATGCTATCCGATTCGGTGCATCATTAAATGCGTCTGGGTTTTCTCTTGCCCTGAAAAATTGGGCTTAGCTAATTCAAGATTTCACAGTTCATTCTTTAATTCTTTGTGGTTATAGCCTGGTCTGTCATTCGTGAAATAATACAATTGTTTTGATCTGGAAATGCACCTACGATTGAGGCGTTGTGTGGGGGTTGGGGAACGACTGTTCCTCAAGTGCTGTCCCTCCGTCACAATATGTCAAGCTTGGAATGTCAGCAATACCCCTTTAGATATGGACTGCAATGGGTAGGATCATTCAAGCCGGCCATGCGAGTATGACCATCTCTCCCAACTCAATCGACGTGCAAATGGCAGGAGAAGATTGGGTCACAGCTGGCCGGCCATTGGATTCCGGCTTGGCCGCCTCCCTGAGGCCGCTCAGCTGGTCTCTTTTCGACCACCAATTTGGTCCTGGTCAAAGTATGGTCAATCACACCACTATGTCAGCCCATAATCCTCCAGGAATCCTTATATCACAGAGGATCCAATGCCAGTCATCCATGCGGATCAATCTAATATCCATGAGCCAGCATCTTTGACATGTGTACGTCTGCAGCATCACAGGCCTGGTCCTCCGATGTTGGGTTGCAGATTACGGGCGATCGATGTCCCGTGATACGGAAAGTGAGGGTCTGAAATGTTACAATCAATGTTGTTATGACACGAAAGTACGCAATTGATCTGGCATCTTCCACATGCTTGGATGAGGGCACATGTGGCCAGCATTCGAGGTGCATGTGAAAATACATTCGTAACTTAGCATTGAGACATCATCATCAATAATTTACAAACTTTAAAATTCTCGTCTCAATATGTGTTTCCAGTTCCAATTCCATTTGCCTCGAACATTCTCAAGTTCGCAATGCATAAATCAAACCGAAGGATCCGCAGTCTTCGTAATTGTCGCACACTCCTTAGGAGCAGGGGGCGCATGCCCGGCAATCGATTCCACTCCACATGGAGCTATGTAATCGATGACAGGTTGTGCTGGGCTCAATGGAGCAGAACCTTTGCTACCTACTCCCGAGGGACACTGCGCCGTGCCTGTGACCTGGTCGAAAGAGCAGACCTCGTCAACCCCATACTGACATTGGGAGTCACCGATGTTGCGCACTTCGTAGTTCTCAGCCACCCAATTGTTACCCTCACCCAGGCACTTGTTGACTTGATTGGGGTTGGTAGCAATGAAAGACAGCTTTCCCGTGTCTGAGGTAATGATGTCCAGGCACTGTGACATATCGACAACTTCGTAGTCCATATCGGCCCCGCCATCCTGGGCGGGGTTGAGGATCGCAGGTGATGCGGTTGCGGATGAGCCATATACCAGATACTGGAATGTGTCGAAAGAGATGTCGTGCGCCCCTCCCGACACGTCCGTGTGAAGCACAGTACGGGATCGAGAGCCGAAGGTGAGCTTGACGCACATCCCGGAGCAGGATGGCCAGTACGGCCAATAAGCCATGCGGTTGACGTTAACCTTGCATCCGTGAACACCGGTGGTCGAGCTGAATTGAGAATGGGGTGTAATTCTGAAAGACCCAGTTGCAGGGAAGGATAGGTCCTGCGCGGCGGCAAAAGCCGTCAAGATAGGAAGCAACCAAAACATTATGATGGCAAGGAGTGTATATAGTAAGTAAAAAAGGAATGGATGCTGTCTTTGTGAGACTAGCAGTTGGTGTCAAATAGAGTGTAAAGAAGGTTGAGAAAGATGAAAGCACAAGAATCTGCTATCCCAGGAATTCCATTCTGCAAATTGCATTTTCTATATCTTAAGTTGAGCACACACCGGGATTGGGGGCGAATAGCCTGGGCCACATCCATTGTTCTAGACGGCTCGGAACTGGCCTCTGTCAAGCTGACTGCTCCTTTTCTGGCCCAATCCGAAACCTGGGGGCCATGCTGGCAAAGAAAGTGGTTTTCTTTGGACGGCCCTTGACCCGGCCCGGACCTGCAGTAGTGTTCAGCCATTGGGTCCTGTTAGTTCAATTCCTCAGTATTCGGCTCACGACAAAGGCAATACCTGGCCACGACCGTGTTCTCGGCCGCAACTGACGATTCAAACGTGATCGAACTTAATTTGGTCTAAAGTAAACGGGAAACCGTGCATTTCAATGGCCTAGGCAGCTTGTAGGCACAAATTGACCATGGTCGATTTCATGAATAGAATGACAAGTGTCCGACTTAGGTCAAGACCTGCCCGGTTGATGACCAGACTGATATAACTAGGTAGACCTCCCAGTGCTCCCATCATCGCACTTATTATCACTGATGACACCCATATGCCAAAACCAGTTTAACCGGTATATGTGCAAGTAACAGTAGATGAAGTATCAGAGCAGGAGGTCAAAACCTTGTTGTTCTGCTCAATATCAATAATGGTCGCTCCCGTGACCCCAACAGTAGTGCCGCTCTTGACTGCCGAGGCAGAGGTGAAAGTTACCGTGCCAAAATCCGCGAATGGCACCAGCGAACAGTCGTTGGAAGAGGAGCATTCCTCGAAGTCTTCGACGATCCATTCGGCATTGTATTCGCAGAGGGAGCCATCCGAGACATTGCTGAAATCCTCTGTCACGGTGGTGCCTGTGGTCAAATTCTCGATGACTGCGGAGCCGCCAGTCTTGGAAGTGGCCGTCACTGTCATTTTGATAGAGTCACCGGCAGAGATAGAGATTCCAGAAAAGGTGTCTAAGAATTGGGTTAGAAAATATCTTTTTGGCGAGAAAGACACGTGCGATTCGTTATTCTGACTTACAGGCGTAATCGGGGTACCTAAGAATTGGGTTAGAGAATTTCTTTGTACGGAAAAAGGTCGTGTGATTCATTAGTCTGACTTACCACTCATACCAGGCATCGTAGGATACGCTGGTGCCATCAACATACCAGTCAATGCCGGTTTGCAGAATAGCCGTATCACATGTATCGCCATCAATACCGACCCACTGAAATAAGGCTTGTCAGTAAGATCCTTCGTTTTACGCAGGAGCACAATATAGCTTACAGCGGAGCCGGCAGACTCGGTACTACTGGCTGAGCTCCCGGTGAGCGTGGGGACAGTGACAGTTCCGGTCACCTCGGTGTAACCGGTGCCGATCAAAACGGCGCCCGCCCAGTTCGAAGAGTACTCGACATTGGTCTGGTTGGTGATACCCTCAAGGACACTGTCAGAGGGGATCTTGGGCTGAGAGGAACGGAGAGCTCCAGACGCGGAAGCCCGGCGAGCGAGCTGGCGAGCCTCCCGACTCTGGCGACGCTTTTCAGTCAGTCGCGCGCCGAGAGCGGCCTCGGCGCACAGAAGGGCTGTAATAACGGATGTGAACTTCATTATGCCTGCAAGACAATGGTCGAGTGAGGATTGTATAGCACTGAGACGACTGAGAGGAGAGGTGGATAGCTGGTCGGCGACATGACAAACCAAGAAGTGGTGGAATCATGTCTCATTTTATACACAAGACTCACTCACGAGGTCTATAGAGCCATATCATAACTCTACAAGCTAGTGAAGGAGCTCAGGGCCCGGCAAACAATACGCCACATCTGGCCAGACAAGTTCCGAGAGGTGATCATCCAATGAACGGCCGAATCCCGCTAGATCCAAGTGAACCTGCCCACAAGTCGCATCGGAAGGAGGCGAGAAGCAAGGATTGAATGGACTTTGACTCCACGAAGTTTCGATGGAGGTTCCATGCGGACACACGCAATTTGAACCACCTTCCAACTTCGTGAAAGACCTCCGCGCGAGCAGGTATTTCTTCTCTGCACCTTGGATATGTACGTGGGCTTATCAGTGGCCTGGTGTCATCGCGCGGGCATCAATCAGGTGAACGTTTGAATTGCTACGTGCGTTCGGACTTGAACTAGGGCAGGGGTCAAGACCAGGTACACAGAGATTGGGCGGGCCTGGAGATCATGCAGAGCCGAGGGCCGTGGCACCGTATACTATTCATTCGATGTCAATCGCAGAGAATAGAATGTAGCCCCACGAGGCATGAGTGAACACAGCCTGAGGTGTGGCAGCCGTGGCGTACTAGTAAGGCATCCTCAAGTTCGCCGAACGTAAAGACCACTTCGGCACGCTCTCGATTCTAGCATGCCTGCCTCAATTTATCACACTTGTCCGGTGCAGAAGAGGATTCCACGCACAAAAATTGTATGTGATTTGTGGAGATGTTAAGATAGAAGTCACGCGCTTAACACGCCGCAGGATATGCGAGTAAAATGCCATCCAAAAGCATCAGGGTTCCTTAACCGCATTTGCAGTTGTGTTCTTAGATATGCGTTAATTAGCGCTGCAACCCTGGGCGCCGGACGCGTGGCCTGCACATTTAGGTAGCATCTTCCGGCCTTCTACCCCGGCACTTGTGGACTGATCATATCTCTTGTTCAGCCCTGCTATCAAGATAGGCAGTACGGCACTTTGTCAATGGACAGCACCGGTGTGGTCTTCCTTGCGCCGTCCACGGGGCCCGAATGATTCCCACTGTAGCAAGGGGCGCGTCCGTCATTTGGACATGCAGTTGATATCACACCCTTGCCATTTGATCGCCAAGAGCCAAGTGCTGCCGCTTAGTTGACTTACATCACATCCCCCGGATTCTGTCACTCTGCGATGGAACACACCCACTGGGTCGGTCGGTCTCCCTAATCAAGAACTTGTGCGAACCGAGTCGCTGTCCGTATTGCTGTCTAACTCGTAAAGGAGGCATCTATGATTTAACAAAGGAGTGACATGAAGGTTGAAGCTGTCATATGGCTCGAATTGAACACACAGAATAAAACAAAGGTATGTCGCAGGAAAGTGGAAGGCAACGGCATCTAGTTCTCGTATCGCCCTGTTTATATTCGTGGAAGATAGGTGGTAAAATTGATCTGCATGGTGCCTCGCCATTTCTCGTGGATGTAGAAGTGGCCATGACCTTGGAAATGCAGCTTATAGCGGATATCGGGATGTGGGTGAGCCAGGTGGCACGACTGGACCAATGTCACTTGTAGGCCTTGAATGGGCCCGCTCAAGTAGCTACTTGGACGCGGAGACTGCCATGATAAGAGTTCACATTGTCTCGGGGAACGGAGAGACCTATTCATGATCACTGGTCTGATGTGCAGGGAGTGGTGACCAATGACAAGGAGCTGTGCAGGCTCGGGGAAGGAGGCTTGCCGCCAGCATCACGATCTCGAGAAGTTAAGCCGTCCAATACCGTTTCTAACTGGCAAACGGGAGGGATCTTCGGTGAGACTGCTTTAAGCAGTCCCTGTATGCAGTCTTAGTCAGAGACAAGGCCGTCATCCGACAAATCTCAAGACATTTGCAATTACCATATGACAGACCTGGACATATCCTCGCAACTGGCAATTCTCGTGAAAACATCCAATGCGGTACGTAGAGCACTAGGTCTGAATAGATCCCTGGATGTAGTGTTATGGAGAACCCGCCCATCGCTTGGCAAGACTCGTTGCCGCCTGGGCAAAGCTTGCCAAAAGCTTGAGTATTTGGCCAAGAACTTGAGAGGAGGGGGTGTGGTGTGTGTGTGACACCACCTTGATAAGGGTGAGGGGCACGGTTGAGGATTTGAGACGGGAGTGTGGCACGCCTTGTGGGTCTCACTTGATGGAGCACATTTCAATAGCTCAGGCTTTTCCGGTTGCCCAGTGGCTCTCTGGCCCGGAACAAAGTGAAGCCTTTACTTGCAGACCCAAAGTGCTGACTTCACTCCTTTAAGTACTCATGTATTGGAGCAATGTGTTCCCTAGCTAGGCTTGCGAGAAATGATTTTTTTTTTTTCACGTCCTGGCGTAGACTTATAATTTCTCAGTTCATATGTGCATATGAATCCTGGAGCTTTTCTCCCCCCTGATTAAATGCAACAGATATCTATATCACAGCGGCATTGGTAGCCTCTCCTTCTAGATTTGTCTAATAGGGGTGCCAATTAGGAATGGAAAATCTCGATATTTTACTCCCGTCCGAAATATGCGACCTGTCAAGTGACTGTTTGTCGCACTTTGAGAATCTTTTGAAGTTGAACAATGCTTTGATTGACCTGATCAAAGGTAGTACGAGCTCGGGCAATTTTATTCGAAGTTTTTAGAACCTAAGAATTCTAACCACTCAAGTCAGAATTAGTCTCAGGACGGTGCAAGTGAGAAGTAGCGTCCTGCTTGACTCAGTCTTTTCGATTTTGGCTCCATTCACGCATACAAACCAGGGCTCGTGTCCAGCTACAAAAGCTCTCTTGCACTGGAGTCTCAATGAGATCGCTGTGCGCGTGAGGACAGTTGAGTGGCAAGATGAGGATACTTCACGTTGCAATAGCTCTTGGAACCTCATACACCACTCCCATTATGCGACGTGTCAACACGCGTCAGCAGGATGCCCAACCCCCATAGGGCCTTTTGCCACTCCAAGGAGATATATGATGGCTTGTCCCCTCGGGTCTCTGCAGGGGACCAATTTCCTAAACTTTGGTACCTTGGCTTGCTCAAGTTGTCGTCCATCAGATTTTGTGGCTTAAATTTCAATTCGCACGAGTTTGCTCTAGTGGACGCACGTGTGGCTATCCGGGTTCAAACCAATCGGGCTTCGTGTGATCGTGCCGGCTGACGGAGTGGCTGACAGTTTGGCGCTCCTCCGGTCAGCCCCGGGCCGTCCGACAGCAAACGGCCGGTCAGCAATGCTGCATGGATTCAACATCGCCAATGTCAGGTTTTGGCTTCTTGGTGATTTTCTGCAAGGTACCGAAGAGCAGCATGGCCACAACCTGTGACGCCATAAAGTTGATGCTCCGCACTTTGCAGGGTAAGATCATCCACGGATACCACTTCGCGTCTTGCCAGTGACATTGTCTTTATCGAGACCAAAGTACCTTTTTTCTCTCTCTGATCTGTCCGTCCGGAGACGTGTTGATATCTCGGATAACAAACATCATGGATGCTCAGTTGTTGACAGTGCTGCAGTTGACGGCATGGAGCAGCATCCTCGGCAAGATCCTGGACTGGCTCTGTGCATTCCTCCCAGGCTTTGACAATGATGAAATGTATCCTCTCCATGCCTTTGACGACACAAGAGAAAACAGGAAGATACTTTCGTGGACTCTTCGATTCGACAGTGTCCTTGACGCCGACCAGCTGCATCTTTCTCTCGTCAAACTCATCGACCGGCCAGGATGGAGGAAAATGGGTGGGCGACTGACGAAGAACAAGGGCACCAAGCTGGAGATTCAAGTTCCAGAGACCTTCAACTACGATAGGCCGGCGGTCCGATATTCAAATGAAGAATTTGACCTCGACATGGAAGAGGAGCCTCGCGTCTGGAAACTTCCGAAAAGCGACAACACAGGCAGACCTTCACTGCACGAGGGCCCGCCAGCCTTCCGTTACCTCACCAAGCGACCCGATATGCCAACGAAGTTCGCAGATTATGTCGACAAAGATGAGCCTATGATGTCCATGCATGTCGCTTCATTCAATGACGGAACACTGGTCACTATTACCTGGCCGGCTGTTCTCACCGACATGATGGGCATGCATGGATTCATCCAAGCTTGGTGCGAAGTCCTCGGAGACCGTGAGGATAATGTTCCAGAGATGATGGGAGCACATAAGGACCCAATGAGATCTCTTGGGCGTCTGAAGCTCAGAGAAAAGTACGTCTTTTCAGGCGCTCACCTGCAAGGTCTTCAACTCCTGCAAAGCATGTACTACTCTCTTATGGATAAATGGACACATGGCGAGATGGAATCAAAAACACTTTGCCTACCTGCATCATCAATGGCAAAGCTCAAGCGGGAGGCTGGTATCTCCTCAAGCAGCGAAAAGCCTTTGATCAGCGAAGGCGACATTCTGGCTGCCTGGCTGGCAAGGCAAGCCTGCTCAATACTGCCGATTTCCTCCGACCGGCCGGTGACAGTTTCAATTCCATTCGAGGCTCGGTCAAAACTACCCATGATATTCCCCCAAGCGTCGAAGACAGAGCAAGAAAGCTGGGGTGAGATGTGCAGACCCAACCCCGTGTACTTGGGAAATGCAACCTTCATGGCGCACCTGCACATTCCCGGTTCTGCTCTGCTCAGCGCGCCTATAGGGGAGGTTGCCTACGCAACACGTGCCGCTATCCTACGACAGACGACCGAGTCACAGATCAAAGCTGCATCCCGCGAGATCCGCCACAGACAGGAGGAAGCAAGCGGTCCTTTGCGCATGATGAAGCTGCCACTCAAGTACACCACGCCAGATAGTATGATGGTGACGGTATCAAATTGGAGCAAGATGAACGTATTCGACACATTCGACTTCTCACCAGCGGTCATCAACAAAAGTTTGGGGGTTGCGACAAGAAGCATGACCAGCCTCAAGGCGGGAAAGCCGACATACAACCACATGGATGTCCTGAGGCCATCGATGGGGGATCGGAACAAGTTCCACATCTCTGGCAAGGACCACCATGGAAATATATGGATCACCGGCAGAATGGCAGCTGCCGGATGGGAGGCTCTTCAGGAGGAGCTCGCTTGGTTGTAGACGCCCCTGTATGGTGTTGAGATGGGTATGGGGACAGGATGGCGCAAACGCGGATTCCTGGCAGTAAGTGGCTGCACAGGCTGCATTGTTCTACGAAGACAGGGCAGGATTTCATTTGTGAGGCACAACCAGCTTTGGCGTCATGGAAGGCATACGTTTCATTTTCTTTACATATGTTCTTGAATCAAATTACCACATTAGGTACCAATTTCAGAGATATAATGCCGAGTCTGAGCAGATGCCGGATACCGAGGCTACACTTTACATGCATCCGTCTAATATTCATATGTACTCAGGCAGTGTTCATGCTCTGTATTCATTGAACAAATTATGTCTTCGGATCATCGATGACATGGCATTGCAAGTCAAGATTTTCGCGAAAGCCGTGATGCGTTTTAGTGAAACAAAACTCGCTGGTCACAGCAGAAAATCTATATTCGCTGTCTAGATCTGGAGTAGGCACATTTACAAAAGATTACGAGTTAATGCATCTGATCGGCCCGACTCATAGCTGATTATCTGATTACGTGTAAATGTCCTATGATGAAAGACGTTGTGTCTGGAAATTTGAAAGTGTTGACCGATGTAGATTCGCAACTAGGCACCCTCCCTTCACAGACTCCCGTTTCTTGGTTCACCACAGTTGGGAGATTAGCTGTGTCACTCGTGAGAACATCATTGCATCTGCCCTCAGAGGACAAGTGAGCCCTGCAAGCAGCCCAACGAGCCCTTAGCCACCATCTTCTATATAATTGTTGATTCGAGTCAAGCACCGCGGCGTTGTCTTTCCCACAAACGTCTTCTATGGGGAGGCAATGGAAAAACGATATATCGCATTAATCATGCTGGCCGCTTGTTTTGATCATTTATCCTACTGATTTCAGGATGTGGAATTGAATTACAAGGACTGTGAGCTGACACGCTCACCCAAAATGTTGCCACCCACACTGCTTACGCCCCAGTTCGGGGACCTCTTCGCGTATGCAGACGGGGGTAGTCAGCCCTGGTGTCAGCTTTAGTCGCCTCCACCACTTGAGGCAGCTCACATCGACTGATAAATCGTATGTCTGCTTCCAATTGTGCATGCGATTCGGACCCAGTCGAAATAAGTCCCAAGAGTAGACAAGAGAGCCAAGATGTCACAGATGTTTACCACCGACGATGTCGCGTCGCACAACACGCCCGACTCCATGTGGGTCATCATCGACCAGAGCGTGTACGATGTGACAAAGTTTCAGGAAGATCACCCAGGTCAGTCTCAATGGAGTTATTTCATGCCTCTATCTCACCTAAATAGTAACAATGACTTGCTACTAGGCGGGAAGAAAATCTTGCAGAAATTCGCAGGCAAGGATGCGTCCAAGCAGTTCCGCAAATTCCACAAGGAAGCCGATAGTATTTTGCTCGAATACAAGGACGACTTGCACCTTGGCGGCATCGAGGTCGGGGCAAGAGTCGAGTTGGCGCCGGTTGTGGAGCCTGTTCCGGAAGTGGCACAGCCTGTGGCGGCCATCGCCTGAAGAGAGTGCCAACACAGGAAATCAAAATAGGAGTCAAGAAAAGCATATGAGTATTCTCCCGACATACATTTCTCCATGATTTACCTGCTACAACGACACAAAATGAGTGGCGGGAGGAAGAAGGAGGAGACGTCGGCGCCGAACCGAGATCTATTGCCGTTTACATACTAGACTAATCTTCTGGAAAATGATTAAATTGGATCGCTCCATAAGGCAGATCACAGGGTCCATGTGCCACCGAAGTATGTGTAGAAGGGTGACAACCCACAAACGGATCGCAAAGCGGCTGAAGCTGGTGGAGAAGTCATTCCTCTCCCGGCGAGATCTAGGTCGTTTTAAGGAGACTGGGAGATGATGATCCAAGCTCTCGGTCTGCAAAACAATCTACTCATTAGGATCTGCAACAACGCTCGTACGATCTCGCTCTGTCCCCTGAAACCTTAAACATTGTGGAAATTGTTGAGGGTACGCCCTCATTACAACAGTGTAACCTTTTCAGAGTGGAGCAGCGGAAGCTTTCCGGATCCAATCGCGGGGTGCATATGCAGCTTGAAGCTTCCTCTGGGTGATAAGAGCTACGATAAGGGCCCCCTGTTGTTTGCGAGAGGATCGAGTGGTAGTGAAGTGGTGTGTTTCAACCTCGACGAGTCAACAATCCCCCGTCCATTGCTACCAGACAACAATAACAGCCATCACCAAACACCGCAACAAGCCCGTGTCAGCCCATCCATTCACTCTTTCATCTACCCGTTGTAAAATGGCTGACACAACAACCGTGGACGTCCCCAAGGTGGACACCACTCCGGCCGCCGAGGAAAAGAAGGCCGACGCGCCATCTGAGACAGCCACGGCTGAGGAGCGCGCGCAGAAGGACCAGGCCGCGCCTGTTGAGGCCACGGCTGAACCTGAGCCACCGGCTCAAGCCACCGCCACCGAGGAGAAAGCCGCTACCGCTGCAGATCCTCCCAAGGAGGAGGCTGCAGCTGGTACCGAGTCTGCCGCTCCCGCTGCCCCGGCTGCTGAGACTAAGGCGGAGGAAGCTAAGCCTGCCGAGGAGAAGAAAGACGCAACCAAGGCCGATGGGGAGGCCGAGTCCAAGCCAGCCGCGGATGAGAAGCCAGCCGCTGATGAGGCTCCAGCGGCCACAGAGAAGGGTGCAGCTGCCGTGGCCAAGGAGGCCACACCCAAGAAGACTGCCTTCGAGGAGTTTGACGCTAAGGTGGCGGACATCCTCAAGGAGATCGATCACGATGAGATCTGGGGCGTGAAGCTTGTAACACCCGCCTCGTCGCATGTCCCCACTCAGATTGTCATTCAGAAGTTTCTCAACGCCAACGATGGCGACTTGGCGAAGTCGATTGACCAATTCAAGGGTGCACTCAAATTCCGGAAGGAGAAGAAGCCCCTTGAGCTGATCAAGAAGGCTTTCAGCGCCGAGAAGTTCGCCGATCTTGGTGCCGTCACTGTCTACCCTGTCAAAGACAGCACTGTACCCGAGGTGTTCACTTGGAACCTGTACGGCAATGTGAAGGGCAAGATGGATGAGGTGTTCACACCACTGGATGAGTGGGTCACACTGAGTACTACATGACACTAGTGAGGCCAACCCTGACTGACATACACGTGCGCAGGTTCATGGACTACCGAATTGCCCTGCAGGAGCTCGGCATCCAGCAGCTCAAGCTATCTGAGGCTACTGAGCCCATCACCGCTGAGAAGGATCCTTACAAAATTATGCAGGTGCATGATTACAAGAGCATCTCCTTCCTTCGCCAGCCTCCCGCCGTGAAGGCTGCCAGCACTGAGGTCATCAAGAAATTTGCTCTGGCGTATCCTGAGCTGCTGAAGGCAAGCATGACTATCATCCCATGCCATTCCGTCCGAGCTTGAATCCGGATGAAACATGCTAACACGTACGACTGAATAGGAGAAGTTTTTCGTCAACGTCCCTGCAATTATGGGGTGGATGTACGCGCTGATCAAGGTGTTCATCGCCGAGAAGACAGCCAAGAAGTTCCACCCCATGGCCAACGGCGCTAACCTGGCTGCTGAGTTCAAGAACAGCGGGCTAGACGAGAAGCAGCTGCCCAAAGAGTACGGTGGCGAGGGAGGTTCTGGTGATGGGAAGATGAAGGACATCCCATGTTTGGTCAACGAGCTGAAGTTCGAGTAAGGCGGAGGCATGATAATCTGTTGGCCCCCAAATTCTCCGGATGCTTGATTAATTCCCGACGTTTCATGAATGAGTTTTAATACCGATCAAGGCAGCCGGCATGCACAATGCACTACAGTAAAGCTTCTTAAATACCAATAATTCGAAAACCATGTCTCCCGCAACATATCACTTTTTGGACTGTCGCGCTATGGTGAGGACATTACCTTCATATGCTAGGCAATGCGCCATCATGTTGAGAAGCTCATTTGTAAACCAAATTGACATTAGGTATTAATTAAACTCAGAATTTAGACTAGGAACCGGCCCCACAGCCATACGACGCGCCTTGACTCCAAGCACTGTTAAAGCACTACCAATGAAAGAGGCTTGCAATGCAATAAGACCAGCATATGATATCTCGACGACTAAAAGACCTTGGAGCAGTCCGTCAATTCATTTAGGTTGTTGACCCCCAAGAGGCTCATCCTGAAGTATGCGGGTGCATAAGCCTAGGACAGAACATTAGCAAATGTCATCTATAAGAATCAACAAGGAAGAAGAAACACTTACCGCCTCCCAAGCCCCCTGGTCCTTCGCAAACGTCTGCCACGTCCCAGATGTCACGGAGTTGTTCGCCAAGCTGATGTCGCTTTGGAACTTAAAGACTCCGTCTGGAGTGTCGGGGCTTGCGGTCTCGCCGTAGTAGTTGTTGTCCCATGTGCCGTCCGTCGTGTCCTGGCTCTTGCCCGCCTGCGTCGGGTCGACGAACTGCTGCTGGCTGACGGTATGCGCGCCAATCAGCGCAACCAGGTCCGCGGCCGTGAAAGTCTTGGCCTCGAACAGCGCGATGTTGGTCGGCGCGTCAGCGAAGGGGCTGGGGATCAGGCCCGCGGGCGGCAGCGCGTTGTTGTCGACGCGCCCGACGTACGCCTTGATGCGCGGGCCGCCGGGGCACGCTGCTGTTGCCGCGATGGCGTTCATCTGGATCAGGTCCGCCATGGTGATGTTGTACTGCTTGTACTGGTCGAACCAGGTCTGTGTCTGCGCCGCGATGTCCTGCAGGCCGCGGTTCTCGATGCGCGCCAGCTCGTCGGCGTTGAGCACCACGCTGCCGTCCGCGCCGCCGGTCGTCAGCGAGGACTGCCAGGCCGCCGCGTCGTGGAACCCGAGCCGGATGGCGCCCCGGGCCGTTGCGGTACATTCGCCGTTGTCCTCAAAGTCACCGCGTATATCGGACACGATGTGGCTCCACTTGCAGCAGACATCCGCTGCACACTCGGGCGAGTCAATCGCGCCGGGAGGTGTGTAGCTCTCGGCGTCTGCGAGGGCAGTCAAGACGCCTGTGAGGACAGAGGAGATCTCAGCTCCGACTGCCGAGAGGGTGGCTGATGCTTCATTTAGAAGATCGCCTAGGAGGGCTGTTGACCGAGTTGCCAGGACGGGAGTATTGCGGAGATCCGCGAAGAGATCTCTCCTGCCATGGTAAGGACTGGCATTGACCACTGAAGTGGCGAGGATGATGGGTAGGAGGGAGTGCATTCTGATTCAGTTGAATATGGTCTCACTCTGAAAGACACGGGGCTATTAAGGTGTAGGGTATGAGGTGATATCGCGAGAAAGTGAGAGGCTGTTCTGACCTGTGGCAGATGAGTGATGAACGAGAGCGAGCACAAAGAACGACGATGATGAGGAGGAATCTAGGTGAGCCCCCAAACGACTGAATATCGACGACGACGAGGAATATTATATCCTTTCCAAGAAAGTCTTCAGCACGGCCACCCTCTCATCCGATTATTAGGCAACATTGCTTCAAGGGCCCAGACGGGAGCCAGACCGCCACGAACCCCCTGGGAGCTTTGGGCATGTGAGCCGTGTCGGTCTGTCAACAGGGCCAATGAATCATCCCAAGAATTCAAACACCAGACTAAAGATCACAAAACTTTTTGAAGGCGCCGAGACTAATACCAGATGCAGTATCTGACCTGAAGGTCTGGCGTGGGACCATACTGGTGCCATGTGCGCCCCGGTGATGTGCTTGCTGTTCGCCCTTTGCAGTAAGATATCAATAGTTGCTGCTTGCTAATGTAGAGTTGACAGCTTGGCATAATGTTGTCGCGCCACGGCTGAAGCACCTCCACTCAGTTGTCGGCCGGCCCGGGGACAGGGTCTGAGCATCTGATGCAGCGCGCTTGAGATCGTCCCGTATCCTAGCCCAATGTTGGGGATGGCACAGTACGGGGGAGGACCAATGCGCCAGCAACAGCGTTTCTTCCTACACCTAAGCGAAGGCAGCACCGCAGCACTAGCTGATGCAGCTCCCGGTGACAAGGTCGCTCGACAGACCTAGCGGCTGCTTCGGACCTCCGCTGGCGTGACCGACCCTGCCAATGAGACGGGCGCACATCAGCCGCAGAGTGCCCACGCTACCGACTAGGTTGCCTCACCCTGCCTAGGTACCGGTGCCGGTGCGCAGCGCGGCAACAGCGCTGGGTATATCCTGAGGTTGTCGCGACATCACACAGATGAATGTTTCTCTGCGGGAGGCGCAGAGGCGTGATCCACAGGAGGTGCAACAAGCCATGTGCCCCCACACCTTGTTTCCGGGTTGCTGTCAATCCGGGGGACTGGTGCGGGTGCAGATCGTGGCTTAGCTCGTGACAGTGGCCCGAGTGTTTGGGACCGTGAGCATTTGGCACATAGTAATCCGAAGTGTTGAGTAGCTCACACCTTCTTCAGTGCTTACTCAGACCGTGCCTGGGCATTTATAGTAAGCCCATACTCGCGGCCCGGCCATGAAGACCCTAGAAGGGTCATGGGGCTGTCGATCATGCGGAGCTTAACTTTCAGGTGGTGATGCTGACGAGATTGTCCAGAGGCTCGGATACGATGTCGCGGCTCAACATTGTGGCCTCGACGACTGCTTTCTCACGCTGTAGCCTGGGAGATTCATGCGCTGGCGTGTGCTGCATTGCCAGGGCGTTGTTCTTTGGGCAGCATTGCGCTATCTATGCGTACTTATCGTGTTCTCCGGGAAATTAATGCTCTCGGATTCTGGCGTCTCATCACGAAAGAAGATGATGCTCTATAAATATTAAGTTGCGAGATGTGCTGCTGTGGTTTGCGAGTTTAATTAATGCGACCCGGTCCCTGCCAAGCGATCAGATCATCTGGTTGCGTAGTATCGCCGACCGGCAGTCAGGGAGCACAGCAGCTGTGGCTAGAGAATGCAACATGGGATGGAACACCAGAGTTCGTGTGGGTGTTCCTGAACAAGAACTATGCATCGATGTTGCCGATCTCGATGCACGCCAAGTGAACGTTGCAGCAATTTGCACCCAAACACATGAGTTGCGCTTAAACCAGCTTTTCTGTAGAGTAAAGAGATAACTACCACGACGTGTGCCCACCGTCGATGATCATATTGTTCCCCGTCATGAAACTACTCGCAGCACTAAGCAGAAATACTGCCGCGCCCTTGAACTCACTTGTGTCGGCGAGACGGCCCATCATGTTCTCGCGCTCCCATTTCTCCTTCAGGCCAGGCACTTCCTCAAAGTTTTTGCGGACCATGGGGGTCAGAATGTGTCCAGGGGATATACAATTGACGCGAATGCCTCCAGTTCCGTCTTTTCGGGTAGGGCTCCATTCCATAGCCAGGCATCTGGCGAGCTGAATCACCGCGGCCTTAGAGCTGTTGTATACCGGGGACAATAGGCCCTTGTTGGCCACAAGACCAGACATGCTTGCTATGAGACAGATGCTGCCTTTGCATTTGTACTTGAGCATTTGGCGTGCTGCAGCAGTTGCCGTCATGAAAACGCCGGTGTAATTGATGGCCAACATACGCGCGACGTCGTTCTCCTGGTAATCGATGGCAGGAATGAGTTGCTGGATTCCAGCCGCAGCAACGACTCCATCCAATCGCCGATGTTCCTCAGAAATTTCTGTGATCAATTCATTGAGATGTGTCGTATCTGTGACATCTTGCAGCCTGTAATGCAATGATCCTCCCCATTCAGTCACGACGCGAGATTGAGCTTCTCTCCATTCTGGGGCTGGCTCGGGGGCACGATCAAGACAGTAAACTGCGAAAGAGTCAGCCGTGGTATTTGAAAGCGTAGGCAATATCATTTTCATTCATACAAAGAAGGCGTACCTTTCCCGCCAGCTTCCGCCAGGCCCTCTGCCATCGAAAGCCCCAGGCCTTGAGCGCCACCTGTGACTATAAAAACTCGCCCGGAGAGATTATGGTGAGGAGATTGGTTCTGGCGGACGTTTTCGGCACGAAACACGCGCGTGGTAGTGAGGCTGTGGTCAAACTTTCCCTTGAACTCAGAGCTTTCCACCTTCAAGGGCTCTCGACGTGGGGACCTGGTATGGAACAGCCTAGAAAAAGGTTGCCCCTTCGTGAGGCCGTGGCTCTTGATGAGTAAATCAGGCACTGCCTTGTGCCATATTTTCGTGCTTCTTGCGATAGGCAAGCGGTTCAACTTGACCCACGACTGAGAAGCCACTGTTTGTACTGAAGCTGACATTGTGCATGTTGGATAATTGTGCAGACATAGGTAACAGAAGAATACTAGAGAATCCAAGTCTATGCATTCTGTTCCACGGCCATTGACAAAACACCCCCGGAGCACAGCACGTTTAGGTAGTCACAACCTGTTGCAGCCATTTTGTATTGGACCCGTGAGCTTGGCAACGATGAGTAAAGGTATGGGACGTCATGGGTGCGTCAAGGGAATCCCGCCCCTGTATGTACTCAGATATCAAGTCACGATATTTTTGTCACACAACAGAGTGAGACCACAGAGACGTAACTTCCGGCACATTGGTCCGCCTTAGGAAACGAAAATCACACGGCGACTAACGCTGGTTGGCCACACGCAGCGATGAGGAGCGGAGGATCAAGCCGATGCTCTCTCATTGTGTTCCGTCCCCGATACTGGTATGATTGAGCTATGTCTTCATTGTGTAACTTGGCTGTACATGCTCTGGCCAGTGTAAAGTGTAGTACAGTACTTTGAACCAGCCGGGCTAATTCTGTTCTAGCGATCGGCCTATCCAGGTTAGCTATCGTCACTGACAGTGACGACACCTTACGTGTGAGGCAGTGCAGCAGCATCATCAAGGAAGGTCATGCCAAAAGCGATCCATGATCGAACGTGGTCGGTCAGCTGACACCATTAGCAGAGGTCCTTAGAGATGATCTCGTTGGACACCCAAGAATTGGTGAACCAAATGCAGGAGTCGACAAATGGCTGGGTATTAATGCCCATCTGATGAGCTGCCTTGGTTCCAAGGACATTGTTTCATGCAGGGTAACAGACAAGCTCGCCGGAAAGAAAACACCGGGCGTGCCGGGGAGATGGTGTTCACAAGTATAACGTCTGTGGGGAAATGATGAGCATTGTTACACCAAGTGAGAACCCCAAAACCTGGGGCAAGAGCCACAGCTCTTGTTGGTGGGCCCCTACGCCCAAGCTATTCCGGCGGTTCGGAGCAGATGCCCCACGTCACCTGGAAGCTTCAAGGCGGTGAAGGCCTGGGTGGGTGAATTGGGCAGAATCACAGCTTCGCCTCTGCTGACTTCACTCACCTGGGCGTCTAAGGTGGACCATGGCAGGCTTGCACTCGACCTTCGGCAAACTTCCTTTTATCAAACTCAAACAACCAACACAACAGCTGACAAACCATACCAACCCTCTCGTGGATTACTGTTGCAGACCTCACCCGAAACCAATCCAGTTGTGACGACTCTCCGTACTTCGAATCGAAAGAGGCGAGCCTTACGATGGCCCCTACCCATCCTCACCCTCATTCCGACTGCGACTCGACTGGCCTCTAGAAGAGGCAGCGCGACGAACAATCGGAGCAGGAGACAATCACAAGTCGACCGGAAGGTTGGATATTCGGACATGAGTTGAATTTTTGGATCGGCAGCGCCATCATGTACAACAAGGACAAGATCATGCGGAAGCTCCTTGGTAAGGCCGCCGTCGAGTCGTCGCCCTCGTCGTCGATCCCAGACAACTCCTCGAACCTAGGCGTCACTTCTGCACCCTTCACACCTGCAGCTACCCTACGACCAAGTGTATCGCAAGATGCAGCATACAACGCCGGTGTGCCGATCGATTGCATCGATCGATCCCCCGACGGCCACAGCGCCATTCTTGCAGGCAGGCACATCCTCAAGACCGTCAAGCTCGATGGAAACACAGTCCAAGAGGGCATCGACATACGCGCTGCCATCCTCGCACAACCCTTCATGAAGAACTCGGTGAATTCGAGCTCCGACCAACTCTCTATCAAGGACGTCAAGTGGCTACGCGGGCGAGGCGACACCACCATCTTCACCGCGTGCGCCAGTGGCAAGATCTTCCAGTATGACTTGACGCGCTTGGGCGGCGGTTCTGATGGGGCACCGATGGAGGTCGTACAGATGAGAGAGGATTCGCGACAGATCAACACTCTCGACATCAACCCTCGATCATCGTACCTCCTCGCTGGGAGCCAGGACGGAATCGTCCGCTGCTTCGACATTATGAATCCTGTCCGAACCCACACCGGCCATCTCAGCTTCAGGGCAGTTCAGGCCTTCAAGTGTAATGCCGGTGGGGTCCAATGCATACAATGGTCCCCACATGCGGATGGGGCTTGGTCCTTTGCCTGTGGCACGGAACAGGGCGTCGTTCTGAAATGGGACATTCGAAAGGCGACAGCCCCGGTGCTGAGGATTAACGCGCACGACAAGGCTTGCGCGTCCCTCGCATGGCACCCAGACGGTGATCATATCGTTAGCGGTGGTTGGGACAATAAATGTCATGTTTGGGACGCATCCACGAAAGCCGACAAGAGGCAGAAACCCAAGTGGACGATCAGCACACCTGCACCTGTCGCCGATGTGGCGTGGCGGCCGGGGACATGGTCCGCTACCGCGCAGGGAAAGAGGGCCGCACAGCTCGCAGTCACCTACGAGGGGGGCAGTCATGCTCGACACGGCATCAATGCATGCCACGTCTGGGATCTCGCTCGACCAACGATGCCGTTCAAAGAAGTCTCGAAGTTTGACACCTCGCCCAGCGCGCTACTTTGGCATGACCAGGATCTACTGTGGACTGCGGGTCAAGATGGACTTTTCAATCAGTTCGACATTGCCTACGCATCAAAAGTTGTCGACCGCGCGACAATGTCCGTGTTGGCGTTCTCGTCCCGTGGTGATGTAGTCAGTTTTCTGGACGAGCGGCCTCAGTCACGACGGCCCCACAGGCCTGTCGTGCCCGCTGAAATACTGCCAAGCCGCGCCTCCTACACGTCAAGCCCCACGGTCCCAATGCTCAGCATCAGTCGAAGTGACTCAGAGGATGAAGTTGCTGGGAACTTCTTGGGAGCTCGCAGGACCAGACCAAAGAACAGGCGAGCGGCTACTGGCAGCCGGTCTGTTCAGTCGCTCAGCACCACACCTCCTGGAGGTCCAGATGCACCTGTGATGGCTCTTGAACAGTCAATCAAGTCTTCTGGACTTTTCAAATCTCAGCAAGCTATGACGATAGGTCGAGCCCCATCCGCAGCCAAGGTCAATGTGTACGAATATCTGTCAACTCACTACCTTGAGACGCTGCACGAGCTTCTGCCATACAGACGAGATGCCGACTCCCTAGATATTCGCATCCAAGCTATTCTGGAACATTATGCTATCGCTGCAGAAAGTGTTGGTCAGTTCCGGCTATCTCAAGTATGGAGGGTGCTGGCATTTGCCATGAAACTCCTGCTGGAGCGGAGAGCACAGCATCATCTCGATCGGCGCACTGGTGAACTGGAAAGGTCGAATAAGGCCACGGCAAAACTTCTGTCGAAATCACCTGCCGCTCTTAAGGCTCTTGATGATATCCCCAAGCTTGGTCAGGTCCAATTGGCGCAATCTGGTTTAACCGAGCCTGATACAGCCTTTGGAGGTGGCCTCAAACCTCCTGCGAGTGTCGAGCGCGCAAGCCATCTTCGGTCGTTGCTGTCCGAGGAATTTGAGAGCACATCTCAGACAACTACACCGCTCGCTCGGCCTGTAGACAGTGGCAACGACTCAGTTGAGCAACTTCCTGAGCTCACGGATCATCACTTTGAGTATGGCAAGAAGCTCACTCCCGTGCAGGAAGGCGGTAGCTTCACACTCCCTCCGCCGCTCAAACGTCCCGCACAAAGGCAGCGACTCGATTCGGAACCTCTTTCCACGTTCAGTCATGACAGCGACACCCAAGCAAGCACCGAAGGTTATGATTTCTACGACACGGACGCTATAAGTCAGGCCATCGACGTTCCTGGGGCGAAGAGTCAAGCTGGTCAAGAGCCTCCCTTGGGTACTCCCAGTAGCGCGAGGAGAGTCGTCGCGAGACACGACTCGGATGAGTCTTTCGGGCAGATGTTTTCGATCTCGAGCGGTAGCAGACAAACCACTGGGTTGACGGCGTCATCTTCTGGCTCCATGCAACGTCGACCTAACAGGATTACTGGTGCGGTGCCATCTAACCCACAGCTGGCTCGCAGTGCTAGCACTGGCGAATATGAAAGCAGAATCCGAGGTGCCAAGCTGGAATCCACCCATCCTCCAAAGCTACAACGCCATGGACATTCTACTCCAGCCAGGCCAGACGATGTCATTGCAACACAGTCGACAGAGGAAGATGACCCTATGATTACTCAAACGACCATGGACAGTATCGAGTCTGGGAAGGGACATTCGCATCCTAGGCCTGACAGCTTTCCCCACTACACCCCTCAAACAGTTTCGCTTGGTGTGAGTCCTTTAGATTCTTTCGAATTCAATCACGACCCAGAGCAGCCCCAAGAAACCGATTACCTTCCGTGGACAGATGATCCACGGTATCCACACCCTATTGCTTGGGAAGACGATGGCCCACTTCGTCCCAGCCCCCTCGACCCGTACAAGCTCATATCCCGGGCCGTCACCTTCGAGGCCACCAAGTCGGCGCTCCATGCATCGGCAATGGTTCTTCTTCTCAGACCACTGGTTTACGACGTGGATGATGCCATCGATGCTTTCCAGGCTGCAGCCATTATCAAACAGCAACACTCTCGCCTCATGGGGATGAAACTTTTCGTACAGGCAGCTCTTCTCAGGAATCTTTGCGTAAAAGGTTGGCCGGCTGGGCCACTCTTACAATGGGGCGAGGATTACCCCTCGGTCTTCAGACCTGCACAGTCGAACAATAAGGCCGCCTTCTTCTGTCAAACCTGCCGCAAGCCACGGGAGGTCGACCGGCGCAATACGGACACGCAGTCCGTCAACCAAATCTGGCGTTGTGAACGTTGTAGCGCGGTCATGGCCCCGTGTGCTATTTGTCGTCATCGCGAGGTACCAGAGGTAGCCTCCGAACCGACCGAGATCTCACCTGAACTGATACGCTCTGTTGCGGATGCCCAAGATGACGAAGTTCTCATATCAACTTGGTGGTACTGTAACGGCTGCGGGCACGGTGGACACGCGTCTTGCCTCGCAGGATGGCATTCTGAGGTTGTCGACGAGGAGTCCTCCTCATTCATTGATGACAGCCCCGAAGGCTTGTACTCAGATGGTTGCTGCCCCTTCGATGGGTGTGGACACGCCTGCCTTCCCGGAAAGTATAGCGCCGAGAACAACGTGGCTAGGACAGAGGAAGTATCACGTGCTGTCAGAGAAGTCAACCGGAATACTTCCCACACGAGCGGGACTGCATCACCACGGTTTGGGGCAGGACGTTACAGCACGGGTGCTTTAGACGAGCTTTCCCAGCGAGGAGGAAGCCGGCGCCGTGCCGGTGACAGTAGCCTTGAGGGCAGTGTCCACGGTGACCTCAATGAAATTCCGCAAAGCAAAGCCGTGGAATCCGTTCGGGAGAGTCTGGCAAGTGGGCATGCCAGCCCCATGGGTGGTCTTGGCAGAGCTGCGAGCGCTGTTCACATAGGCTTGAGCAGTGAGAGGCCAAACACGTCTACGATGAGCATACTTAGTTCCAGTCCTGGTAGAGGTGGCATTATCGGTGGCGACAGAGAGCGCAGGAAGAGCGTCAAATTTGCAGGCAGCGCTACGGTCGTCTCAGCGGATGATGGGACGCCAAGGAGACAATAGGATTGTCGACTGACGCCATCGAGATCAGTGCTTAAGCATGCATCGCTGCAGAAATACTGTGTCCGCAAGTCCCGCGAACCAGACAGGTCGGGCTGGACACGGTGGATTGCTGGCAGTGGACGGGCCGAAGTTGATCGACGGAGAAAGGATAAGGATCTGCTGAGAAGGGCAGATAAGAGGAAGCGCGAGAGTGAACATGCCTTCCGAAACACCAACTCGGGACCTTTCCGTCCTCATCATGAAAGGGATGGCTACTGGCAAGAGTTGGTGAGTTGGAAAGGGTGGGATGAGTGGGAACAAGGTTTACAGACCCCTGACTCAGATGAGGAATGAGTCCCATACCGGGGTTCATCCAGCAGTCAATTGGAAGGGTTCAAATAACATTAGACTCCTAGTCCCAACTGCGCTGAGGGCGCAAGACGATGATGATTCAAGGTCTGATACGATACCCATATATGAACAAATGAAAGCTATTCGCACTTATACAGCTCTTGATCGTGAGGAATGCCCTCGTACTCTTTCGTTCCCCCTTACTCATCCGAGAGACTTTAAGATGGTGCTGCGGGAGTACAAATGGTACATCAACTTCCGGTTGATTTTGCCGAAGACATCTATAGAATTGTCAGATCTGGGGTGCCTGGCTAATTCACTCGTCGCTCAAGGATGGTACTCACACATCGGTATACAGAGGGCAATGAGGACAAGCGAGACAATGCCAAAGACCTTGAACACCTCTCCACCCCCAGCCTCCGCAGCCCAGGTGTTGATGAATGTTGAGAACGCGTAGAACAGGAAGTTCTTCAGCATCATCTGCAGCACGAATACCTCCGTCGATTGTCTCGGGAAGGAGTCACTAGATGACCAGACGCTCTCATTAGTGTCCAGACAATCATCAACGAGAGGCTGAAGGAATTAAGACTGGCACAGCCAATAACTCACAGGATATACAACCCAGCCGAAGTGGATGGAACAGAAATCCCAAAGCAAGCGCACCCGTGACAAAACGCACCCAGGAGATACCCGTCCGGGCGCGGGTGATCGACGACCCACATGAATAAGAACCACCCCAAGCCACAGAACAGCGCGCCGAGTATGTTGACCGGGATGCGGAACTCGGCCTCGTACACGCCATTGTTCATCCGCGCGAGCGTCCTGGCCGACCAGTCGCAAATCGGCCCCACAGAGACGGCCAAAATTCCGCCGACAAAGGCACCAGCCCAGAAATATCCGTTCTGCGCAACATTGAGGTTGTACGGCGGGACGGACCAGATCTGGGAGAGGATGTAGGCTGACACGACGAAGAATGCGACCAGCACGGCGCTGACCATCAAGATCCAGAACACAGCTGGGTTGATCAGGTGAATGAAGATCTCTGAGAGGAGGTGCGGAATGGATTTGGTCGTGTAGGTCGTGTGCGCCCACGGTGCGATGGTCTGCACATATGATTTTCTTGGTACTTGCTGGGCTGGACTTGGTGAATTGACGGTTTCAGCCTGGTGATCCCAGCTCTTCTCGGCTTCTTTGGCGCTGGTTTGAGATTGCGCCGTATCGGTGGGCCGGGTAGCCGCCCGCAAGAACTGCGTTTCCGGGAGCAAGAAGACCGTTGCCAGGAGCCCGACGATGTCGAACGGCAGCTCTGCCACGAAGAGGTTCTGATATCCGTGGTTCTGGAACATGACTCCACTAATGATGGACACCATCGATGCCATGCAGGCCAGTGAACACACAATCAGCGCCGTGCGCCATCCACGTTCATGCAAGTAGAACATGTCCCCGACGGCAGCCAGGGAGAGGCTTTCCCAGGCTGTCACTCCGAGGCCCTGGACCATGCGGCCTGCGAGGAGGGTGTGGTAATTGTTTTGCTGGGAGCCGATGATGCAGACGATGGTCCCCAGCGTCCCAGCGGCGGACGCGAACAGAAACTGGGGGCGTTTGCCGTACTTCTGGGCAAGAACTGATACCAATGGACTATACAGAAAATGTAAGTTTGATTCAGTCAACACTCTTGGCCGGCATGTCACTCACCCTAGAGCGGCGACGAGTAGGAGCTGGTAGCCAGATAGTTCAGCGACCTGCGTCAATGTCACGCTCAGGATCGGCGCGAGCGCGAAGGTCGCTGGCGCAATAATAGGACCGGGCAGGATGGCGAAGACGATCGCGTTGACGAAGATGACATAAAACGCCGCCTCTTTTTGCCATCGTGGCCAGAGCTGTGTCGCATGTCAGCGTGCAGGTCACACAGACGGCGACAACAGGACAGGCTCTACCAAGGGATCGTTAAGGTCGTCTTTTGATGGCTGGGGGATGAGAATCGTTTCCACACCCTGCCACTCATTAGCTGGCTTTGTCACCACAACGACGAGATATAGTTGTTACGTGCCCTGTACGTGACGCGTTTCAAGTGAACGTCGTCAACTTCCGATTCTACACCCCTCTGGCTACCACCAATGAGCATTTCTGTACCAGGTATTTGCCCGCCATCCTTCAATTCAGTATTGATAATTCCGAAAGGCATATTCGGCTGAGGTGGACGGCGGGCGATTATCCTTCACGAACACCGGCGGAGGACGAGTTGTGCGAGACGACCGGAAACGAAGACCGCTCACAAGACGCATAGCACGTAGTCTATATATACTGCCGGAACAATTATAGAACCGCTGCCTGAGACCCAATGCTACATCGTGAGCGGCTACTGGCATATAGGTGCCGCTCCCCGCACCAGGAGGCGTTCGGAGACGTCAACCTCACTATGTGTGTCTTGGCCCATCTTACTCCACCTTCTAGACCCCTGCTCCCCATGGGGAATCGTTCGTCCAGCAACTCGGTAGCGAATGGATGCAATATAGCCGGATCATTGCTTTTGGAGGTGGGAAGGTACCCTTGTTTCGGCAGTGAATCGGTGCAGCGCTGAACGTCTGGATATGGGAAACTCGTGCCTTGGGCACTACGCGACTGTATCCCATCCAAGAGAGGATTGCTTCCTCTTGCTGTATTTAGAAATGTGTTGCCACCTCAAGAAGTGAAGTTTCTAGCATCCTGCTCTCAAAGAATGGTATCATACCTCTGAAATGTCCCTCTTCAAATAGGAATCACCGCTACATCCGAAACCATGATAGAACCACTTGACCTGCGCGGAAGTTGAAAGTCGAAAGATATTGGGATGGGGCAATGGTACAAGCTGGCCAACGAGGTCATATCTAGAAAACAGCGGAACTTTTCCTTTGTCTCAAAGCTGCTCAATTGTATTCCGACTCGTATGGTACTGTACGTCGCTGGGGCACGTGGCGAGGCGATGTTGTTCCATAGAGTGCACACCCCCTCAATATTCAAGAGTCTGTCGTGAGTCAGCAAGAGAGGAATGAGGTTAAAGAGGATTCCTCTTATTTCAGAGAGTATTCAAAGAACTCATCTGCCCAGACAATTCTACTGTTCTTGTTGCTTGACAGGAGGGTGTGGTTCAGGTCACAGAAAATAACAAGGCAGCAATGACGAGGGGTCAGATGGTTTCAGACTGTTCATAATTTCTGTGGAGTGTCCTAAGAATTTGGAGCCTCGTCTTTTAGTCTGCCTAACCGACTAGTCACTGACATAGAAATCGAGTTTCTACATGACAGGTGCCTGCGGCCATACATTCCAGTACACATCACTGCAACAGTGCAAATTCCCCTCGCGAAAAACCGAGACGTGCTTTTCAACAACCCATGCACAGGCAACAACGTCTTCACGAGCCACAATTAGCGACTACACTACTATCCCCATCATGGAGCCATATCCTGAGGACATCGATGACCTCACCGAAGCGTCAATGGACGGACGTTGGTTTGGACCGATTGATCCCGAACCTGGTGCCTTGTACTCCTTGCATCAGCATCACTCCCAACCACGACATCAAGTCAGAGATCGCAGCCTTGTAACTCAGCCTGGCGACTATGGCAATTCCTCGGAAGATCAGCCAATGGGTGATGCGAATGTGGTTGGGGCGACCATTGACTTCCCGCCCCATGCCATCCCATTCTCGTCGAATAACGAGGCTGTGAGACAGTCTAGCACAGAGGAAAACGTCGACATTCAGACATTTCAATTCTCATTCACTTCAGGACAGGTAGAACACTCGGTTGCATTATCAAGACCCGCACAGGCCAAAGACCTCGGAAACTTCTCATTACATGACCGGCATCTTGTTTCAGCTTATTTGCACACTGAGCAAGGCAAGAAAGACGAGTCTGTCAAAACATGGTACAGAGAAATTAGCCGACCTTACTGGCGCGAAGTCTTGAGTTTCTTTGGAAACCAAGTTCCTGCCTTCATGTTCGACCGTGTTCTCAACGAGTTTTGCATGAGTAACCCATGCATCAAAGACCCGTGGAGTGGTCACGGCCTGTACAGACAGTTGCTTGTCAGACAACAGGGAGAACCCGGGCAAGTTCAGCGACTGATCACTTGGATGTACGGCACGAGAATTACGCCGCTCCCGTCCTGGCGCGATACTCTGAGTACCAAGCCGGCCCATGACAGAAAGGTCCCTTGGATCAAGAGAGAGAAGATAATCGCCCTCTTCGTGATCCTCACGTGTTCTGATGAATCGGCAAAAGAACAGATGGAAGCAGGCAAGAAATCGGAACCTGCTGCCCATAACGTGAAGTTGAAACGTGACATGTTAGACAAGGCCAAGATCACTTACCTAATTTCCAACCAAGAGCATGTCGTTGCTGACGAATACTGGGCTGGCTTTGCGGAAGAGCTCGAGAACGACCGCGATCAGAACCACCTCTACGATCAAGTCGTGCGGGAGAAGCAGGCTGCAATTTCCGGAAACAGTGCGAAACCCCGTCTTCAGACCCAGACACAAGAGGCACAGGGACTGGGAGAGCAGAACCACAAACGGAAGACTAGATCACATCGAAGAGGAACTCATGGTGGTCAACGAAAGATTGGCGGGAGCAGTGAGGTCCGATCAGAGGAATCTGCTGGAGGGACCATCCGGCCGCCTGTCGAAGATCTGGAGCCTCTTAGATCGCTTCAGTACGACCCTCAACCTGCTGGTGACATCAACCAAGGCCCAAAAGACATGATCGTGTCCCTCAAGGACCAAGTCCGACAGCTTCAAGGCGAACTCCAGGGAGTTAAAGGTAAACTCCAGGGAGTTGAAGGTGAACTCCAAGGAGTTAAAAATGAACTTCAAGGAGTTAAGAGCGAACTCCAACGAGTTAAAGGCGGACTCCAAGAAGCAAACCGGTAAAACGAATATATGCATCAGCATTATCGTGTGGTCCGGGATCTCCCGCCTTTGACTTCACGTCAGCATCAATCATGAACGATCAGCCGGGATGCCCGAGGTGTAATATGGTTGATTTGAAGAGACGCGAGGGACTGGAAGACCAGCACTTCTGAGTGTCTGTCTGATGTTTTCAAGATCATGGGCGAAGTTAGTCACACGGATTCTTACCGCCTGTCCAGTGTGGGATAGAGCAACATCACACGGCAGATGGTCCTCAAGCATTGTGTGGCGGATGACGAGGCCTGCAAATTGTGGAAAAGACATGTTTCTACTTGCGGACGAGAAAAGTGATCAATTGCGGCTTCCTGACTAACAAGCTCTTCTATCAGTCGGTTTTCTTTTCTTTTCCTTCTTCTTCCCAGTATGCTGAGAGCACGAGGCGACCGCGGCCTCTTTTCGAAATTAATTAAGCGGCTTAGTTGTATCTGCATCACCCAGACACCAATGCGGACTCAGGTGAAGGATGACAGTGGCGTGACGAAGACGGGGACTGTTTGAGGGGTTTGATCAAGCTTTTAATATCTATTAAATCGACGGATAATCAATACGGTGACGCCATATTGGCCTCTAGTAGTAGCCCTCGAAGGTATCAATCCTCTCCTTTCCGACTTCCTTGACAGCCTCTGCGATAATGTCTTCTCCCCCAACTACATCAAAGGCGAGACCAATAGTGTCATCGTTCTTGATGGATTCAACAACAACTTTGGCGACATCCTGCCTTTTTACCATCCTTCCCAGGTGCACCCTGCCAGCACTGACAAATCCATCGCCAGGGTCGTTGCTCAACCCGCCGGGCCTGACCATTGTGTAGTTCAGCCCCCGCTTGTCATTTCCAGTCCTCAAGTCCTTGTCGGCCTCGAATTTAGCCTTCATGAAATCGCCAATTCCCTTCCAGACCCCGTCACTCTGCTTCTTGTCATCATCATTGTACCAGTCCGGCACAGGCTTGTTCTCCCGATCACGCAGGTCAAGCGCACTAATGCTCAAAAGCCTCTTGCCCGCATCTCCGGCCTGAGACGCGATCCCCAACGCATCCATGACCTTGACAGCCGCCTTGTGGTCGACAGCGTCGATGCGATCCGGGGGCGACCCATAGCCGGCTCCGGCGGCCCAGATGACCACGTCTGGTTTCACGCGGCTCAGGGTGCCGAGGAGCTCGGGAACAGTGGCTTTCTCGACGTCCTGGACGATGGGGAAGGAGCCGAGCTTCTGAAGCTCGCCGGACTGGTCTGGGTTGCGGATGAGACTGTGCACTGTGTATGCGGGCTCCTTCTCCGCAACAAGGATCTTGGTGATCTCGAGGGCCACCTTGCCGTGGCCGCCCACGATGAGTACGATGGGCATATTTAGTTTGTCAAATGCTTCAGTCCCTGTTGAAAGATTGTTGAGTTGTATGAATACTGTTTAATTCACGTGTGGGCGCTTGACGTGAAGTTGTTGGAGTGCCGGATGCGCGCGGCAGCAAACGTCTGTGTGTCTCATGTGGAGCTCAGTTGTGGTATTTAGTGATGTCACCGACTCCACAGGTAGTTGCATAACCGTGCAAAACGCTGAGAGACCATCTACGCCCGTCCGTGGTCTATTTGGATGCGGTTAATGGGAGTTCGTAGCAAATGGTTTCGTCTCTCTTTGCAACCAGTCATTTTGTGGCAAACAATACACTTGACCCAGCCTTCTTTATCTATTGGTAGATCGAGCGGATATAGTATTGAACAGAGCCCAAGACCGCCAAGTATATTGCGCTAGACAGTGTCTTTGCACGCTTCACGAATTTGTTTGCAAACATGAGGCTCGTCGCTCGATGCGGGAATACTTCGGATCCTAGTCGAGTGAAGTCGATAAGACCCACGAGTTTGATCGCACTTACTCCCGATAGCCAGGGCCAACGACACCCAAAAGCCAACGCCTATTTCGGAATTGCAACCCTTAATTAGTTTTGTCATTATTGTATCGACTCCAATGCACCCTCAAACAGTTTGTTTTGATCCCGCAACAGACCTGTCTTCATATAGAGCAAGTAACATGAATGAGTTGCGAGGCTCTACGTGTCTTGGCAAGAAATGTTTCCCTCATTGAAGGTGGTTTCATTTGAATGAGGCAACCACATACACCTTAGATCCTTCAGACCGCTGTTTCAACTTTTCGCTAATGACAGAGTGGGTTGCGCATGCATTGACCAGAGCATTGTGATTTGCTGACCGTCTGCAGGCTGCGGCTTATCACCTGGTTGCTTACTGCCTGCGCCACTGCAGCTTGCATGGGTCGTATACGAGTGTGTCGTAGGACTTCTTTTATTGACGTTCTATGCCATTTTCCACCGAGATGTCAGCACTCGACCTCATCACAGTTTCTCAAATCCTGAATTAATCGAAGCTCTTGCAAAGCATGTAACACCATGCCTTCGATAGAGTCGTCCAAGTCTTGGTTGTACAGGGAGTTGCCTTCAAACAAGAGGACCATTCGTCTCCTCCGATTGCTGCCTGGAAGGCCTGAAGACCACGAGATTCGCTGTCAGCTCTACGAAAGCTCCCTAATAGATGCCGTGGGAAACTATAAAGCCCTTTCCTACACATGGGGAAGCGGTGCACCAGAATGCGACGAAGTGGTGTGCTGTGATGGTCTGATCGTCCCAGTCACCCTAAACTTATACTCGGCTTTACACAAATTGAGGGATCTTACGGCCACCTTGACCCTGTGGGTCGATTCATTGTGTATCGATCAATACAATGAAAATGAGCGCACGCACCAAGTTGGAATGATGCGTGAAATTTACGCCAATAGCAAAGAGGTTATCATCTGGCTTGGTGCCGGTCGTTCCGATGTGACGGCGACTGATTCGGTGGAGGTCAGGTTCAGTGGCGATGAAAGAGATGTTCCAAAGATTGAATATCATCTTGGGAGGTTGTGGAGGGGACAGCTAGAGTTGCCTCCGGGTGGTCGCGATGTCTTTGGCGCCTTTTGCGTGATATCAATGCTGGCACAGGGACTTCTTGCCTCCAGGATCTGGTATCTTAAGAATCTGGACTACGCTCCGCCAATCATTCGCGGACTTCTTGCTCTGCTGGACGAGCCCTGGGTAAGTACGCCTTTCTCGACTTTCACATTGGGACTCGAGTTTGTGCCATATGTGCTGATGCTCCATGATACCTCGCAGTGGACTAGGATATGGGTCGTTCAAGAGACTGTCGTCTCTGCCCGTGCAATCGTACATTATAACAACATATCTATGCCGTGGGAAGCATTTTCGAGGGCCTCTTTGTGTTATCTGACGGGGAAGGTTACTGAGCAGCTGGGTTCTGCTCCCTCCGAAACCTATGGCCCGTCATTGACTCGATTTCACCGACTGGTCAACGAGATTGATACCACCAAAAGGGATTGGAACGCCTTCGAACCATCCGCACTACTTCCACTTTTGAGAAAGTTCCGTGCCAAAGATGCAAGCGACAAAAGAGACAAAGTTTACGCGTTGATTGGGTTGGTTAATTTCTGGGGGCAAGACGAGCCCCTGATACCTGATTATGGGCTCAGGCTTAGCAAAGTATATTGGCAAACTACCAAACGTCTCATTCGAAGTTCGAAAACCCTCGCAGTCCTTTCAGGTACCACTGCAGCTGGGAAGCAAATACAAGCCGGCTTTCCTACTTGGGTAACGGATTGGAGTTACCGCCCTTCTTCCGATGAGGCAGATCGGCTAAACAGTCAGCATTTATACAACGCTGCTGACCAGGCGATGGAGGGCATCAAAATTCATGGACAGACGCTGCTAGAGGCTAAAGGCTATTCTCTCGACCGTGTCTCATTGGTTTTAAGCTGGAATGCCATCTTCGGAGAAGATCTTCGGACACAGGCTGCATACTGGAAATTCCGCCTACCTTGGCCCGAAAATACTGCGTACCTACACGGCGGCACACTCAGAACGGCGTTCTGGAGAACAATATGCGGTAATGTGATATATGTGCCAGAAGCAAGGACCGAACGGGAAAGGTTCAGAAAAGCGGTTGCTTCAGATGTCAAAGCTTTTGAGTCTTGGTGCAAAGTCGACAAATCAACAAACCGCCGAACCTCAATCATTGGTGGCACGTGGCAGGGAACTGTCAGCTCTGAGGAACAAATTACTAACAAGAAGCGCAATGCATACAAGCTGGCGGTTGAGTGCGCTTCGCGTGGGCGCTGTTTCTTCGTCACGGAACAAGGCCGCCTGGGTATCGGTCCTCCGTCTCTAAAGGCAGATGATGAAGTTTACATCCTCCACGGCAGTAGGGTGCCGATGATTCTACGCAGGGCGAGAACGTCGAGGACCTGCCGAGATAAGGTTGTGGAGAAGCTGGTGCTGTCCACCGATGAGGAGCACGCAACGATAAAGGCGGGAGGTCGAAACAAAGCGGACGCTGCGACAAGCCGTGAAGCAACAAGGTTTTCAATATGCAATGAAAGTCATGAGGATTGCTACAAGGTCGTCGGGGACGCTTACGTCCATGGGCTTATGGAAGGAGGTATGGTCTGGGAGGACCGAGCCCGCACACGCCTGAAGAAGACTAAGTCTGTGTACATTGTGTGACAACTAGCAGTGGATATGTTGATTGAGATGCGATTGTGGTGGGAATTCGTTTTGGCTTTTCTGTCAATCGATGTTCAAGGTGAAGGGCACAATCGAAATCGTGCACTAGCACATGGCCTGTGTTCCGCTTTAGACGGTGCCCGAAGCTTTTCATCTGAGAAATGCCCCAGGTTGGCAGGTTGGCTTTCTTTAATTTTGAGAAAGTCTCTAATTGCCTGAATCTCGATCCTCAGGTCGGCCGATCTGATCCCAGGAGCTCTCAAATCTCTTCGCCCACCTCCCACTCGACAAGCGGCTTGCGGCCACATGAGCAAACAACTAGGAACCAAGCATCTTCTCTACCCAACCTCTAGGAACGAACGGACGACTTCCGAAATGCAGTACCCAGATTCCAACTTGCGTCGCGAGTGGCTCCAGAGCCTGGGTCTGACGAAGCCAGAAGGGGCGCCTCACCAGAGCACGTCTCCAATCAGCTATGTATTTCACAGCCTTGCCTTCCCTGCACAGCAATTGCATATCAAATTTAGCAGAAGACTGACTTTTTTATGCCTCAGAATACAGAACTGTTCAAACAAACCTACTCCACCGCCATCCATGCTCATCAAAATGGCCAGAAAACGTAGTAAACAGCGCAAGGGCAAGGGAGTGCAAGGTCCCGTACAGCCACGGCGCAGCAAGGTAAGTTCGTGGCTCGTTGGGCATTTTTACCGAGCCTTTCGCTGACAATCGCTTCGAATAGATGAAGGGCCTCGAGTTCCTCAAGCTCCCCGCCGAGATCCGCAACATGATCTATTGCTACGCCCTGGCCGGAAAGCGCTATTATTACATGCACCTTTTCTCCCAACCACCCCTTACTGTTACCAGCAAGCAGATTCGCTTGGAGGTTCTCCCGATACTTTATAGTAACAAGCGATTCACCCTGCACTTCGAGGGTGATGTGCAAGGATTCCGAAGACTCAAGAAAACGCTCTTGGCGCCCTCGCCTCCAATGAGAGTTTCAGCGATTTTAAACCTGGGCTACGTCACGAAGCTGGACATAAATTTCTATTCCAGAAGTTACTGGGGCAATTCTAAAATGCGTGCTGCTGTGGTTCACATTCATATGAGAAAAAGGAGTACAGACTGCTCTATCCCGCAACGCCAAGTGTTGTGTGGCCCTGGTTTCGATTGGACGCAGCAAGAGAATGTCAAAGCTGTTTGCACATATTCTGCACGGAATAGCCTGAGAGAATGGCGGATTGATCCTCATGCGGCCAGAGAAGCAATGCGCTGGATATTTGGTGAAGGAATGAGCTTGATGGTTGAGTGCTTGGCGTTCTTCGCAGAGAAATGCCCCCAGGTCTCAGCCTGGGTTTGGATGAGGCTCGAGATTGCTTGGTAAGGTCAGACTCATTATGTCTCGATGGACGCACACCTTGCTGCTCGGCCCTTGTGCAATCGAGGGCTACTTCCGGGCCTCTATGCGAAGGCACTTGCCGTTTTTGTTGAAAGCATGCCTGTGCACCATGCTGAAGCTGAAGGCGTTATACAAGGCCACAAGAGTCTAAGCACAAATGTGCGATTTAGGACAGGCTACCATTGCCTGGATAGGGATAGATGAGATCCGTGGCTACAAACATCACGCGACGTTGACAAGAGGCGATAATCGAGTAGATATAAAAGAGAACAATCAACTGTTTCCCACCGATGTTGGCTTCTCTTACCCTGTTACAAAGAACCTGGTTACCACCAGTCTATCGAACCAGGTCCGTGAATATAGAAAAGTGCAAGCCACGCTGGCCATTCCTTTCCTGACATATCTGGTATAGAATGGCTTTCTGCGCATAAGTTCTCTATCTCCTGGAAGACAACCTGCTTAAAGATGAGATTTGCTCTTCAAGACATGGTTTTTCACCGAAAGCTTCACAGCATGGCGTAGTGCAAGCACTACTATGCATTCTTTTCACTTAAGACGGTTGCAGACTGGCGTGAACAAGTTTCAAGTAAGCAAGTCCACCAGTCCACAAAGTCGAACGGACCTTTCTCGGATCTCAAGAGTAGTTTAAGTGCCGTTGTAAGAAGTTCAAAGGCTGGGACCGCTGCCAAAAGAACGTAGAAAAGGGCTATGTAAAAATACAAAAGGTTGGCGGTCACATATACCCAGCGAAATGAACATAGCACCTGGGTCTTTGTAGATACAGTTTTGCTCAGCTCTGTAGCTTCAAGTTTGCAGCTTAGCCGAAAGACTCGACCGCACGGCAATGCATCTCTACGTCAGCCATAGCATGGATGCTAGTGTGGGAGACGCACATGGCAACCCCGCCCGGCTATCTGATAACGAACACCATTGAGATATCTACTGCTTATGTCGTCTCATCTCTGAGACACGATTGTTTCCTACACTCAGCCTTTTCACTTGCGCTTCAGCAGCATTTCTTATTGCCGAGGCCCTCGCCTCGTAATACTGGGGCAAAGGTCCAAGTCGTCTTCACGATAGTTCAACGAGCCGGCACTCATGTCACTCTCATGAGATGGGGTCCCCGATATTAGTAGTCGCGGTTTCCTTTCTCTTCACTCTAACCATATACCGCTACCTCCTGCACCCTATCTTGATCTCGCCCTTGCGCAAGGTCCGCCCGGCCCACTGGAGCGCGCCGTTCTGCTCCTTGTGGATCCTGTTCACCCGACGTCGTCGCAACGAGAATACCACCATTTACGCTTTGCACCAACGACTCGGACCTCTAGTACGCCTTGGCCCACATGAGATCTCAGTGAACTGTGTCGACGGCGGCATCCGTACTATCTATAGCGGCGGGTACGAGAAAGGCGACTGGTACGCCGTGTACAAAAACTATGGAGTCAACAACATTTTCTCGTCGCTGGAACATGGCCCGCATAGCGTGAAGAAAAGGATATTGAGCAATATCTACGCCAAGTCAACCATCCAGTCGAGCACGGCTTTGCATGACATCACCGAGGTTTTGATGTGTCACCGGATGCTCCCGAGGTTGCATGAAACCCAGAGCACGGCTGTCGAGGCCTATGAGCTCTTCTCAGGTGTGGCCATGGACGTGATTACAGGCTATTGCTTTGGTCTAAGCCAGTCAAGCAACTTCCTTGTGGACTCGGAGCATTGCAAGCGATGGGTTGTAGACTACAAGGCCAGGCAGGCATACATATTCTGGCCGCAGGAGCTACCCGGCCTCACAGCCTTTGCCAAAGCGTGGGGACTCAGGCATTGGTTGGTCCCCAAGTGGGTGGATGTGGCTAATGACAACATCGCGTCTTGGGTCTTGAGCCTGTGTGACAAGGCAGAGAGAGCTCACGAGACACGGAACCTTGTGGACGCTAAAGACCAAGCGACGGTCTACAATCAGATGCGGAGCGTGATCAAAAAGTCCAAAGGGGATAAGGCTGACTCACCTCTCACCGCGGATGAGAGGCTGGACATAGCCTCCGAGCTCCTCGACCAGGTTCTCGCCGGCTTTGATACCACCGGGATCACCATGACGTATCTGGCATGGCAGATGTCCAAGCCGGAGAACAAGCATATCCAGCAGGCTCTACGGGAAGAGCTCCAAGCGAGCCAAGCTATGTACAAATCGGTCACTGACGACGGACAAACTCACAGCTGCCCTGAATTCAGGACGCTGGACAGCCTGCCTCTTCTTCACGCCGTGGTAATGGAGTCGTTGCGTCTACACGCCGCGATCCCGGGCTGCCAACCACGAATCACGCCCTAGGACGCAGAGCTAGGGCCTCAAGGGTCAAGCATCAAAGGTATCCCCGCCAACGTACGTGTCAATTCCTACGGGTACTCGTTACATCTCAACGAGGACGTATTTCCCAAGCCCAGTAAGTGGGAGCCGCGGCGATGGCTCAACGCGCAGGGCGAGATTGACGGGGGTGGTGAAAAGGCCCGGTGGTTCTGGGCTTTTGGAAGTGGAGGCCGTATGTGCATTGGAAGTCATTTGGCAATGATCGACATGAAGAGCATTGTAGCCGCGATCTGGGGCAACTTCGAGACTGCCATCGTTGACGATGCGGGGATGATACCTAAGGGTGGTTACACCTGCGAACCTCTGGGATCTCCTGAGGGTAACTATTTGTTGCTCAATTTCCAGCCAGTGGAGCAGAGTGAAGTATAATGGCTTGAATGGATGGATTTGAAGGTTCAAACTGAATGCGGAAGAGTGTGTCACAGCTCTAACTGAGGATATGAGGCAGTCCCCGAGAGGAGATGGCTGACGTGGCTAGGCAATTGACTTCACTGGTATCCAGCGGCTTGGTTAAGGTTTTGGATTTTGTCCTGATCTGCTTTATCAAATGGAATCGGATTTCTCGGGTGTTCTATATTCACCACTGAGATAGAACTGCACGTGGGTATAATGAAAGTTACGCAGGTTCCGCCCTGACGGAATTAGGTTGGCACAGAGAGAGACGACCTGCCCACCAAAGCCCGGATAACTGGGGATCGATTGCCCTCTGCACAGCAACTCTATGTTCCGAAAATCATGAGCAATGGCGTTGCAAGCTTATTTCGTAGCGTTATGATATGTTTATGGCCCGTCGGAAGGTTATTTCACTACGCGGTATGGCGTCAGATACACTGGACGCGTCCCTTGCAGTGGTCCCTCAACGTCATAGACTCAGCTCGCAGAGCCGCACCCTTCCGATGATGCATGCCCATGTTGCTTTGGTGTCTAGCATTAGTTTCGAAAATAGTACTACTCTGCATTAGTGGCCGTACGGTAGAAAAAAAGTACCGAGAATGCGGATGGCCCTGAATATCGATCGTCATCACTGATCGCCTAGACCTTCGCAGCCGTTTCGATTCGCCAAGCAAGATCTGATCACTCCTGTATCGACTGTTGATAGTGTATGCCACCACGCACCCAACGGCGCACAGGCAGGAGAGGCAACACCTCGGGGCACTAAGGGACTTCGGACAGTGGGGAGCTTGTTTTCCGACTTCTCTGGCCGTGCTGTATGGATATCCATGACGCTAGCCTGGACGTCGTCAATATGAACAATTACGGCAGTACAAAATCAGTCGCCCACCTTGGTTGTATGTTGTGTGCACAATTTTTTGGTCAATTGAAGAATTTCTTTTAGATTTGCCAATTACACGGAAGTATCCTCTCGATTAGATCTAGAGGAAAAAATGAAAGATATCATTCGGGATTCCTTCTTTGGTCAGTGCTGTCGCATCGCCACAGGTGGGCGACTATTTAGGTATCCGGATGAGACCGACTCATCATTATGGCGCCGATACATCAACGATGGAAAATCTTCCAACATGCGGCGCCACGGTCAGACTGAAAATCTTGAGCCTTCTCACGAAAAGACTCCCGAGCGAGACAACGACAACGGGGGCTCCCCAAGCTCTCCAAGAAGATCTTCTTCCACGACAGTTGAGGAAGGGAATCAGACCCAGAATGACCTTCAGAACGACCTCGATGATCGAAAGGTTGACCCGGAGAAGGGAAAGGACCTCTACATAGTCGACTGGTACGGCCCAGATGATCCAGAGGCAAGTCACTCGATGCACCCATGACAAGGGATCATGCCAGCTAATCGTCCATGGTCAGAATCCTCAAAACTGGTCCAACCCGAAGAAATTTCTCGTGACCTTCGAAATCTGTTTCCTGACCTTCAGCGTCTACATCGGCAGCGCCATATATTCCGCCGGCACTCAGGACGTAATGAGAGTCTTCGGCGTCTCCCAGGTCGCCGCAACCCTCGGCCTCACCCTGTTCGTCGCAGGCTACGCTGTCGGCCCAATGGTCTGGGCGCCGCTGTCAGAAATCCCACAAATAGGCCGCAACCCCGTGTACATCCTGACCCTGCTGGTCTTCGTGGTCCTGCAGGTCCCAACCGCGCTGGCCGTCAATTTTGGCATGCTGCTCGCCTTCCGCTTCATCACCGGCTTCATCGGCAGCCCTGCGCTCGCGACCGGCGGCGCCAGCATCGGCGATATGTACACGCCGTCGAAGCGGACGTACGGGCTCGCCGTCTGGGGCATCGGCGCCGTGTGCGGGCCGACGCTCGGCCCGCTTGTCGGCGGCTTCGCGGTTCAGGCCAGGTCGTGGAACTGGGCCATCTGGGAGCTCATGTGGCTGTCTGGATTCTGTCTGCTGGTGCTGGTGTTCCTCCTCCCCGAGACGTCGACCGCGAACATCCTCTATCGCCGCACGCAGCGCCTGCGCAAGCTCACGGGCAATGAGAAGCTCATTTCTGAGGCGGAGCTGGCTGCGCAGGACATGACGAGCAGGGACGTCCTGTCCATGACGCTTGTGCGGCCGTTCAGTCTGCTCTTCACTGAGCCGATTGTGTTTGCGCTGGACCTGTACATCGCGTTGATATACGGGTTGCTCTACATCTGGTTCGAGTCATTTCCAATTGTGTTCGAGGGGATATATCATTTCTCCCTCGGCACGCTGGGACTCGCGTACCTGGGCATCCTCATTGGCACCTTCCTCGTGTTGCCTCCTCTCGTGTGGTACCAACATAAATACATCGAACCCAAGTTCAACGAAAAGGGCGAGATCACTCCAGAGTGGCGCCTTACGCCGGCCTTTGTCGGCGCGTTTGCCATCCCGATCTGCCTTTTCTGGTTCGGCTGGACAAGCCGGGCAGACGTCCACTGGATTGTGCCCATCATCGGTACTGCCTGGTTCAGTGTGGGTACGTTCCTGCTCTTCAACGCCGTTCTCAACTACCTGTCAGATGCGTACCCCGCCTATGCCGCGAGCGTCCTGGCAGGAAACGATTTCTTTCGGGGGTGTTTGGGTGCTGGCTTCCCGTTGTTTGCGTCCGCCATGTACGAGAGATTGGGAGTCAATTGGGCGAATTCGACCTTGGGATTCATCAGCATAGCGTTCATACCCATTCCGTTTGTGTTGTTCAAGTATGGCCATTGGATAAGGATGAAGAGCAAGCATGCAAGGCATGACCTGTAAAGGGTTATTGCATCTCCATGGTCAGTTAGTAGGAGCTTCAAATGAGAATGTATCAATCAGGATCTGACCAAACAAACAAAGACAAATGCCTTGTTGGCCGTGACCAGACAGGTCAGCTATGTGAGATTCACGAATGCTAGAACGCAGGCATGAGACATTGGGTATCTTAAAAGAAACACTATACAACAATACACCTTGAGACCGGGCTGCATTTAGAAAGCAAGCCCCAAGGAGGACCCACCTCACTTCCCTACATGCTCCCTCATGCCCTTGGTCCGTAGCGTTAGCTTGCTGAAGTCCTCCTTAAACGGCATCCCGACGTCAGAGATCTCGGGCACATTCGAGCCGTCATCATCTCTCGCGTCTGGGCCACGTAACCCCTTCATCTTCTTCTTCAACTCGTCTCCTGCAAGACGGCCGCTGGTAGGCAAGTCGCTGTCAACACTCCCACGGCGACTGGACATGATGCTGTCGCCGTCGTCTGCCAAGCTAACGCCTCGGCTCCTCATGATACCAGCACGGAGACCTCTGACGCCGCCCTTCTTACGTTCCGGAAGCTCGTCGGTCCCCGCACTGCATACGTAGAGAAGGTACTTGAGATTCGGCAGCGTGTGCCGGATATCCATTACCTTGAGTCCCTGAGCAGCACAGAGTGTTTCGATGTCCTTGTTTAAGATGAACCAGCCGTAGTCGAAGCGGAACTGGGCCGCTGAGCCGCCCCGAGGCAAATACAGAGGGAAATCGCGGATAGAGTCCTGGATGATGGATATATCATCTGTGATGTAGCTACGGCTCCCACAGTATGTGATTGGGTACGGTAAAGGTACACCGAGATAGAACTGCAGGTGATGCGTCAAGAGCGCAACGTGGCCCAATGCCGCAGAAAGAGCATCCTCGTCGGCGCCGCTCAATACTACACCACCGTATCCCTCCGCGTTGGGGAGGGATATTCCCCGAATCTGGAACTGCAACGGTTTGCCGTCGGGCACAGGTTCGATCCTGAATATGGTGTTCAGGTCCTCGCAGATGCGGCGCCGCTGTCCACGAATGTCATCTTTGACCTTGCTGGACCGGTCCTTGTCCGCAGAAAGCTTGTCCAGTGCGCTGTCCATATCATGGCCCGTCTTCTCCATAAGCGACCTCCCCTGAGCCATCTTTTCGCGGCGATCGGCAATAGATGTCTGCATTTTCTCCACCTGCTCCGAGGAGTTCCTGACCGCCTTCTGCTCGGCGGATACGTACTTCTCTGCCAGATTCAATTTGTCTTTGGCCTCGTCAAGTTCGAGTCGCTCGTCGTGGGTCTCGGAAATCAATTCGTTGATCTGCTGCTTCAGCGTCTCCTGGGTGACCAGAGCATCTTGTATGGAGCGTTCGAGGGTCGACAAGCGCATGAGGGCATTATAGGAGGAAGTCGGTTGCGGATGACCTTGCCTTGGAGGAAAGGTCTTTTGCGGTAGCTCGAGTGTGTATACACCATCAGTGAGGTGGAAAACGAGGCAATTGGGAGGAAAATGCGTTCCGATCGTGCTTCCCAGAAAGTTCAATGTGCGCAAATCCACCGACTCTTCGAGGTGCAGCGACCATCTTCCATGCCGCTTCGCCCAGAACTTGATCGTAACCTCAGGTAATCGTAAAGTGGGCGAACAGACAGCCCGGGACAGCTCGAAGAACCGGAAATCGAAGTTCTACAAGCCCGAAAAGTCAGCAATCGATGCAAACTTCTGAGCCCTTGCAATCGGGCAGGTAACTTTTGGGCTGGCAGAGGCTATTCGGAAGTTGTTCGTACCACCGATCTTTCGACAGTTTCGCTGATGTAAATAGGCTCCTCCTCGTCTCCAGCATGGAGGGTGAAGAAGGAATCAGCAACGCGACTGTCAATCGTGATCTCGAGTCTCTTTTGCCTCGTGACTGGGCTCGCGCTGCCCAAGTTCGTGCTCCTCCTACGGGCAGTAGACGGCCGCAAGCTCTCGCTCGAGGCAGAATGGTGCAAGTGAGCATTCTCACGGAGAGAGACGGCTTTGTCCGCCGAGTGCTTAACTGCCGAGTCGTCGGTCGTCTTCCCTCGAGGGCGGTCGAAGCTCAGATTGCGCAGGTAGATACCTCGAAGGTGTCGAATCCTCCGGTTCTGGGGCAGCAGGAGAGGTCGTGTCGATTCTGACATTGCAAAGGAGAAGAGCTGCGACTGGCAGCTTCAATCAGCGAGGAGCATCTATGCAGCGACTTGAAATGGATCACAGCATCATGGCTGCTGTCACCTGTTTGTTGTTGCTGTCGGTGACCAAGACGGAGCTTCTTCTGTGCACTACGTAAGCGGTGGAGAGCTTCCAGGTTGGAGGGGGAGCTCCTAGCGTCAGCTAGCGCCTGGAGCTCTAGCGTTGTAGCTGTCACGTGTAGCTCAACGCGTACATGGGCCTGTGGCGGTTCTCATTCCAGTGGAGTTTAGGCTCCTTTCAGCTGGAAGTCAACACAGGACTGACTCACCCTCTTGCACCCTTATTCACTTGGCCCAACACTTCATACATGAATATTGTGTTCTATGATTCACATAACTTGCTATTTATTCATCCTCTCCAGGGAGGATGAGTTTGATCTTTGTCTCTGTGAGAGTGATTCCCATGCATTGTGATTCCAACCAAATCCTTAATCTGTAATAGTTCCGAAAATGGAGAGCTCAACGGCTCATGGCCTCTGGTTGTAATCATCCTAATGAGGGATCACTTTGCCATGTAAATTAAGGCAGATCTATCGGATCGTATGCCGAGGTGATCTCAAAGGATCAACATCGATACCGAGATCTCAATCATCCGTATGTCATGTCGATGATGCGTCCAGTAACAAGACTTGGTCGTCATATGCATCGAGTGCGTCAATAACACCACCAGATCGTCCTCCGAACTCGCTGACCCTCTTATGTTGGGTCTGACCTGCTCAAGGAGGTGATTGGGGTCCGCTGGAGATGACAGGCCGTACCGTCGCTGGCGTTTGGTGACCAATATGCGCAATCTGGCCGGCTGTCCAACGCATCGCTTGCGCCACGTCAAGTTTTCAAAATTCTGCTGCAGGGCTTCATTTGAGTCACCCAGGCTCCGTTGGCTGTGTCCTCTTTGCCATGCGTATCTTCTTCCGCACTCTCCCTTCTCGGCACTCGCGCGCGCCTTTTCTTTGTATTCTGTCAGTTCTAAAGGGTGTTAGTGCCCAATTTGACAGTGTGACAGCCGCAAAGTAACTTACTTGATGCGAGCAGCGATCCTGATCTCCTCAAGGTGCGGGTCTTCCTCCATGTTGTCGCTGCCATTTACTTCGAGTTTGACTTGGAATGGCGAGCTTGAGTGCTTGCTGTTGGCAGCAGCGGCTTCCCCAGCGTCTTTCATGAGAGTATCTTCATGTTGGAAACGATTATGTGGTTGCGTCTGGAATGTTGGCTGACCACCTCTTGTGTTGTGCGCGTCGATCGGCCATTTGGAGACATGCTCGTCCCCGCGCATCATGAATGCAATGCGCTCGTGTCGCTGCTGCTCGTGGCAAAACAGCTCAAGGGGGCTCTCGGGCTTTTTCATAGGCGGCTTCGTGCAGACCATTACACCCATCAAGTCTCCCGACAACGTGACGGGGAGGTGGCTGGATCATATGGTCAGCATTGTGTAACCCGAGTTCCGGGAGGTGAGCTGATGTGCACACGCTTACCGCCAATCTTGGCCCTGGCCATTCTCATCCAGCTCGATTTCGTCCTGGCCAGCGCCGTCTCCGGCGTCTTGCTGGCCTAAGCCGGCGCTCCGTTCACCCATCACTCGACAGCGTCCCGTAATCGTGCAGGATGATGTATGGAGGAAATTGGCTGGAGCTGGGTTTATTGTTATGCAAGTTCCGCCGGGCTGACAGTCTCACCGCGCCTGCAGGTGGGTCATTCTCCGCACTATCAGAGGCAGCGCTGAGGAGTCAAGGACCCGAGACTCTGGTGCACAGTAGCTGTGGCGGGCGGGGGTTGGTCGAAAGCGGTCCGTCCTCAAGACCAACAAACAATCAGCTTACGGGTCTTTTTGCGTGCGGACCCGACAGTCTGGGTCGGGCTGCATGCAACCGATGCGAGTAAGATCAATGGTAGGTGATCAGCCCGTAGCTCTTCCAGATTGGCTTAAGCGGTCGCGGCGCAGCCAGCTGAAAAAGAAGTGTGAGAACAACAGAAAAAATAGAGGATGAGAAAGTCTGAGACCCGACTGAAAGGTTCGCCCAGCCAACCCGCCAGACGCCCATGCCGCATTTCCGGTGCGGGCGTCAACCGGAAGTTGTGCCTGCACACACGCCATGTAACATGGCATCCTGTCCACTTTGGCCAATCGGTGCGCCTTAGCTTGCATCCACCTACTTTTTCACGGTCTGAATGGGTCGATGGCTGCGTTCATCTTCGTGAGAGGCCTGTGAGGCGCTACGTCTGCGCGTCGCCTCTTGCGGAGGTCGCTACGGATGACCAAACAGAGAAATGATCGATGAAGTCTAGATTCGGCTGCGCGCCAGACTGACCAGACTGGTCAGGCCTGCACACACCACCGGTGCTGTGACGCAGCATGGCCCTGGCACAATGATCATCATTCGTCTGCTTAATGGTAATGCGGAGGTGGAGAGGGTCAGAATCTTATCGAACAGTGGCAAATGCAATCGGACTGGCCCTGAGTATGGAGTGATGTCCCAAATTTGCCCCTTAATATCCTGTCTGGATGGCTATTTGACAACTAGTTGCATTCCGTCGTTCATCACAAATCTCTGACCCTCTCAATTTCAAACCTTTCTGCGACTGCACAGGGATATATTTTCAGCATACATCGTGTCGCAGCCGAGGCTCATTTTCCCCATCCAGATCCCGCAAGTAAACATCAACAACGCTGCGCGGTATCACGAGTGGAAACATGACACACCCAAAACAGAATGGTGAGACCTTCACAGCACATTTCCGGCGCCCAACCCAATTTTCACTACGTAGACGTAGCTGAGAGCTCTGCCTCAGTAAGCAGCCTCGAGACAGCCTCAATCTCCGCCACCGTGGCATTCCTCTGTTCAGCAGTGCCGTAGTACTCGGCCGTAGTAATGACCCTCACCCCAGGATTCGGCGCAATCACGTCCGTCCTGTTCCGGTACGCCCTCCCAAGACCTTCGCCAGGCAGCGTGTCCAGCTTCGGGAAGTACGGCGCCTCGTTGTCCGTCAGTTGGATAGCGGCACAGGTTTCGAACTGGACCTTCTCGAAGTCGGCAAAGAAGCTGTCGTAGCTCGCGTTCATGGCCTGCGTGAGCGACACGAGCGTCGTGCTGTCGTCCGGCTTGAGCTGCGCCCACGGGTCGCGGCACCGGTCCTGCTCGCACGACTTGGTCACCATCAGCAGCGCGTTGAGCCGGTTGATCACCTGCTGCGCGGAAGCCTCGACAGCTCCGCCGCTGGAGCTGTTGCGTGCCAGGTTGGTGAGCTCGTAGGGGTCCGCCGTGACATTGTAGAGTTCCGTCTCGCCGTTGCACCAGACTGCGTAGGCCCAGTTTTGCTCCTCCCCTATGGTGCGAATGGTCTTATACGTGTTGTTGTAAAAAGGCGCGCCGAGGGAGGCTGCACTTGGAGCTTCGATGCCGATGAGGCCCCAATACTCGATATTGATGCTTTCCTTGCCATTACCCTGGCCGGAACCTGTGGCGTTGTATGAGACGGGATCGTGCCATTGCTCGAGGAGGGAGCGGCCGTCGAAGAACTCCGGCCACTTTGTCTTGTCTAGACCGGCGATTTCGAGAAATGTAGGTGCAAGATCGAGGTGCAGTCCGGGAATGGTCGATGTGACACCTTCAGGAACGCCTGGACCGCGCACCACGAATGGAATGTTGACATCTTCGTTGTAGAAGAGCGACTTGCCTCCAGGCACGCGGTGCTGGCCCAGGTGATAGCCGTTGTCGGACGTGTAGATGACTGCAACATCGTTAGAGATGGACAAGCGACTGTGGGGGCCTTGTTTACAACACGAAACCTACTGTAAGTGTTATTAATGACTCCCTTCTCCTCTAACATAGTTATTACATCCTCGACGATTTCATCTACGCCCTGCAGGGCTTGGAGTCGTGACATGTACACAAAGTCTGCGAAGTTGATTGCCGACTCGTTCATGGGCGACAGCCACTTTACCCATCCGGACTTGCCATCTTGGTACTCATCCGTGGGATTGAAGTTGGGAGGGTGTGGAGCCGTGACGTCCGTGAACTGATCGAAATGTCTCTTCTGGGGAATAGGTCTAGCAAACGATGTCAGTATATGAACAATTTGCATCAAGGCGGAAGGAAATGCACACCTGTGTGATGGCCCTTTTTGCTGGTAGGCAATGTGAGGCGTGAATGGTGTGATTCCCAAAAAGAATGGCTCAGATTGGTTGGTAAGGTAGTCCAACCGGTCAAGCCTGCCGCATGTCAGAATTGAAGAGTGGTTACACATGCGCATCTATACTTACGCCTTGATCCGCGTGATGTCAGTTTGGTGGTAGCCGGGATAATATGTTGGTCGTTCGCCGTTCTTAGAGAACACAGGAACATTGTAACTATTCAATTTTCGTCAGCAAATTCATGGACATGAGACCGTTCCAGCTCTTTCAATGGAATCTGTAGACTCAAAAACAGATCGCATAGCTTATCGGAGGCTAGAAATTGAAAGAAGGCATACTCGTCGATGTAAGGTTCAAGCTGCGACGGAGTGTCAACAAGGGGTACTCTAGTGGACATATTTTAGTGCGTAAACTACTCACCACACAATCTGCGTGATCCCACCCTTTCAATGTGACATTGTAATTAGAAATTCCATAGCCATTCATGATTTTCCCGACATCTGTGATCATATTAGCCGATGCGGTGTACAGGACACTATCAGATCACTGCATGCTTACACTCCGTCCTGTAGCCTGCTTCTTTGAGCCAGTGCGGCAGATAGTTCGTATCTTGGCCTGATAGAACCCATTTGTTGTATGCGCCGCTAAATATTAATTAGTTGAATTCCTCAGATGAATTATATTAGCCAGCAGCTAAACTTACCCCGGCTTGACCACATTCGTGATATTGGTATTGTGCACCTGTTGTCCTCGGAGCAGGGAGGACCGACTTGGGCAGCAGAGAGCCTGTGTTGTATAGTGATTGCTGAACTCAGTACCCTTTGCCACAAGCTCCTTCTGCACAACAGACATGTAGTCCAAAGACCCTAGTCGCTTATCTTGGTCGTCCGTCATAATGAAGACGATGTTGGGTCCCGAGGCAGTCTGAGCGTGGCTCTTGCGAGTCAGGAGGCCGGCTAACAAGCCCACGGCCAGGATGACAGATGAAAACATTATGATTATAAAAATCCACGTCTTTTTCGAAAAAGATTTGCGAGGCGTGGAAGATTCTTTAGGAGGCCCAACCTCTTGTGACGAACTGTCTTGAGGGTCGGAAGACGACTGTGGCCTGTCTTCTTGTCGTGTAGGGCTTGCCGACCTGGCTGGATCTGATGCTGCGGCCGCTGGCTTGCTCTTCGTGAAGAAGCCAGGCAGTCCTGAGAACGTGCCGTAGCCGTTCTTAAATGCTTTGCCTGTCCCCATCTTGGCCTGCGGACTTAGCTTCGCCGTATAGTATTGATCTTCTTCGATATTGCCCTGCCGGCCGTTCGCTGCATTCGAGCGCTCGAGTGTTGCGCGGCTTGACGTGACTACAAAGCACGCAATTCTGCAGGTTCGTGACGATGGGAGTGTAGGTTCGCAAACCCCGAATTGGCTTCACAGTGATGAGGGAACTCAAGCCACATCATAGCACAAGTGGGTATTGATCTGTGGATCTGCAGATAGTCAGGGGACCGGGAGATCGACATAAAGGGGGGTTCAGGATCCACTGCGTGTTCTATACCACAGCAGTCACCCCCAAGCCACCAAGCATTGGTGGCTGCTAATTTTAACTAACAGCCCTACGGCTGACGAATGTTTTGGCACTGACTGAATCAGATGCGACAAGTTATTCGTTTGGCAAGTCTGACTTGCTGAAAGGTAAGTCGAGCCCAACTCGAACCTCATTTTCCTGGGCTCCTGAGCCACGCAGTGAAATATTGATTCAGTACTTGTATCACGTAGAGCGGTCAACCAAGCGGCCCCATTGCAATATCGATCGCAAGCACGCAAGTCCCTGACATGTTGACGTTCTGACCTTCTAACATCACCTCACAGAATTGGGGGTTGCATCTGTTAGCCAATGGCCATCGCAACCGTTGTCATCCTTGGCATAACATCAAGGTCAGGGCAACATTCTGCGTAGGGATCGACATGGTACCCGCTGCTGTTGGCGGGGAAGGGCAGGGTTTACAGCGAGTCAAAGAATTCACACTACCGATATCCATTGTTTCTCCGATGATAAGTCCGGGGTGGTGTGGGACGCGGTTGGTCAGGAGAGAGATTCGCTGGAGATTCCAACAAGGACACGGGTGTCGGCCAACCTATCGCCGGAGCACTACAGTGGTTGCGTGAGTCTGATAGAATTGACAGTTGTGCATGATTGGCTTGAAAAGTTCCAACTTCGCCCGCATTGGCTGCAGGTATGCCTGGATTTGATTTATCAAACATCACTGCTCCGGCGAATTCAAGCCTGAACCACATTCTTCATCAGTCCAGGGGTTGCATCCACGTTCAACTAAATTATCACCGACTGGCAATTTTCACGTTCATTAACATTAATGATGTGGTTTGAATACTAGATCGGTCTTAAAAAATCGACATTTCGAGTCTCAATATTGAAGTATGAACGCTAAATTCAGCGGATACTGAAAATATCTCGATTATCAATCCTTTGCAATACCTTTGCATCTGCGAATGGTGCTAGGCTTCAAGGCTTTGGGGTCGAATCACTGTGGCAGATGATGCCGGTGAACAAGAGTGTAGTGCGGTAAAAAGTGCTGACATTTGCTTTACATCAGGCAGATGTTATACTTCCAAGATCTCAATACCCCAGGGTCCATACCCGAACATTCTCTAACTTTCCACAAGATGCAATTTGTTCAGGATACACGCTTCTGTACTTGATCAATGACCGTGTCGATGAGATTCTCGGCAATCATGGCCCCGGGCCAACTGAACCATGTCTTGGAGGTGCACACACCGGTGGTAATGTCTACAGCTTCAGAAAACGTCCCATCAAACTGGGCCGACCCCTCGATCTGCTTCCATGCTTTGCGCTCTCTGGCCTCGTCCCCAACCATCTGTGCGAATCTCCATTCCTGGAAAAACCCAAGAGTCCACGGTCCCGGGCTATGATCGCTTCCCAGCCCATGGAAAGGCTCGCTGCCCTTCCCCTGATAGCCAGTGTTGAACCCTGATGAAGCGGGACCAGGGGTGAAGGCCCAGACTAGAGTATTCTCCCATAGACTTCTCAAGTCCGCGTCATCACATGTGTCGCCGTCATCGCCCTTCAAGAAGCCCCATTCTTGGGCGTACAAGGTTGGCATGTCATTCCCGTCGTGGTAGTGACGATACCTCATAGGGTCATTGAGCTTCTTGGATGGGTCGAATCCGTATGCAAGGATGTCTTGATCGGCCCGTCGTTGACCCACATCACCATGTGCGATGTCTCGACAGCTTTTGAAGTTTCTTAAAACTCCCTCTTTGATCATGGCGGCGAAGTTGTTCAAGGCCTCCCACGGATGATCATTGCCATTCACTGCCGCTATTGCAACTGGCCTAAATTGCGGGCATGAAAGAAGCCTCGCCAGCTTGCGCAGTGTGTGCCAAAGCAGAATGTTGCTGGAAAGATGGAATTTGTAGTCGCCCAATTCATCGTCCGCTGGAGTTTCATCGGAGGGGAAGAGGTTTGTCACATTATCCCGCCGGGAGAGCAAGTCCTGAAGAATATTTCTGAATGAACCGCTTTGTAGGATGAACTTGATAAAAGAGTCATTTCCATAGGTCTCGAAGTATTCGCAAAGCTCCAGGAACGGATAGCATTGAGTGTCCAATTGAAACACTTCTCCGTCTTTGGGCAGCCCGTTGACAAGGTATGACCGTCGCCAAAAATGACGCACTTTTCCATCACTCTCAATCTCTGTCACGGCCATTTGGAATAGCCAGAAGAGATGGTTGGTAAGGGTTTGGCGGATCTTCTCCTCATACTGACGCGCCCTCTCATGGTTGTTCGGCAGCAGCTTTTCGAGCTTCGACGAGCCGAGCTGCCTCAGCAATCTTAATTGCCAATAGTTGTCCCGAGGCCAGCCAAGATTCAAGGCAAAATGGTCTGCTATGCAACAGGTGCCATGGCCCTGGGAGCTTGAAATCGGCACGGAACAACAGCCCAAGATATAGTTGACGTTGGCCCAGAGGATCGTGCTTTCGATGGTTTCCGTGGGATCCCGATTGAACCCAGAGAGGTCTTGAATGTGGCGTTGCATAAGGACTTTGGGGTCAGAAACGCCATCCTGGTAAGTGAATAGAGTATCAGGGGCGATTTCGTCCGCTCGATCTCCCCCGGCGAACTCATCAGACGCAGAGATGTCTTCAGGGTGAAACAAAACAATAAGCTTCATGGTCTCCCCGGGCTTTATTCGAATCAGTTGGCTAGCTCTCTCACTCGGTCGGTGCGGTGGATTCTGCTGGACTCCTCGCTGGACAAAAAGTAATTCATCGACGTCGATGTACTGTCCGGTCGTCGTATTGTAGAATAGCACGGAGGCAATCACTCGGCCGCCGAGACTCCGGTTCTCGACAGAGAGCACTCCAGCACCATTTTGCCCTCTAATGCTATTGAGGACATTTGAAGCATCTGGAATATCGATGGCGCCGCGATCTGTAAGCTGTCCATATCCCGCCCGAGAAACAGCAAACGCAACGTCCAATGAAACTGAAATTGTTTGCTCTTCACTGCTCATGTTGGTTACCTTGCTTGCATGGATCACGGTCCCGTCATTGCGTACTTTCAAGGCCGTCTGAATGAATGAATCGCTGTCATGGATCCGGTACTCGAATTGAGCATGGCTCCCCATGCTGTCTCGGATATGTCTGGTGACTACCGGGCCTTTACGCCCCCAAAAATCGATTCCTAGTCCGCTTCGTAGTTGGCTAAGAAGCTTCTCTGGTATCTTGCGGAACTCTCGAACATATTTTGGGTTGGTGCGCTGTGAGTGGTCAAATTGCGGCCATGGGGCTGCCACCATAATTCCAAACTTGTTGGCAGCAGCCAACGGAGCGCTTATCTGATAAATCTGACCCAACGGGTTGGCTGACACAGTTACTCCATTTGCTCCGATGTCGATGGTCTTGTGTGGCCATAGGTCCTGGTCAAAGGTGCGATTCTTGAGTTGATCACTAGATTGAGACGACATTGTCGGGGTCTAATTCGGTTCAAGGTGCGTAATAAACGACGTAGAAGTGTGGTATATGATGTGGTGGTGTGAGAGACAATGTACCAGACTCCGTGGGACGAATGACGCAAAGGGAGATGCGGTAGACTCCTTGCTTTGAGGCGTGTGATGAAAGGTAGAGTAGTATGACGGATGATGTATCAGACACTGTGGTGTAAGGTAGGTATGTGCCAGACACTGCAGCAGTGTGGTAGATGATGTAGCAGACTCTGCAGTCAAAGGTGAGTGATAGACGATGTAGTAGATACTGTGGCTAAGGATGCGCGATAGACGATAAAGTAAATTCTGTGTTTCAAGGTGTGCGGTGGACAATGTAGTAGATTCTGTGGCTGATGGTGCATAACGGAAGATTTGGTAAGTTTTGAAGTCCGGTTTTCTGAAAGAAAAGCAAAGGACAAGAAACCCGTTGGCTCTCAGAAAGAGACCTTGTATATATATATATATATACGTATCATACCTCCTTAGTCACATGCAGATTGCTTGCTGCATTTGCTGCATCCTCTGCATCCACAAGTCACGCAGCTTCGTTCTCGTCACTTAGTTTATGGTGAGACGGTCCCTGCGATGGATGGCAACTAAGCACAGTTTGGTCTTCCATTTTAATTTCGAATGATTCAATCTCAAATGCCTAAAGTAGCTCTGACTATGACAAAAGCACAATGCATTCATCAACAGCTGTTGTTCACTGGTAGAGGTGATTGAGAGAGACCAAGGAAAGCTACGAGGTCGTATGTACCCTGGTCGACGAATATTACCTTTACTATGTTCGAGTAGTGCATTCGTCACAATGTCAATTTAAGACTCCCTGCAATTTTGAATTACGATCTGTGCTCATCAAAAGCTTCGTAAGTGTTTCCAAAGGCGAATGCAGCCGACCATCTCCATTCATTATGGCGACGCCTGTAGGATCCGCTGGAAATGTCCCTCAGCATAACAACGTGATTTTCGCAATTGCCAATTGAATCATGGAAGCAACGCGACGTTTGAGAACAGACTCATCTTATTACGATGTACATATGCACTCACAGAAAGCATGGGTTGGCGATAGGGTCCCAAATCTTGAAGATTAAAGTGCGGTAACTAGCAACTCAGTATTTTCAATATTATCTTGTTAACAACGGCCTCCGATTGCGGTACCCCAAAAATGACCATAATCGGCAACATGCTATTAGTGACGGCAATACAGACAAAGGGAACATCATCTCGCCCGACTGCTAGCTCTGGCAAGCGGGCTACTCGGAGAAGCGGTTCAAACAACTACCATGGCGTGTCTAAAATTGACTACCCAGGAAGACGTCTATAATATTTAGACTGGAACAGGATTCGCGTTCGTGGGCTCCTCTTCCTCGATCGTGGGTTGCAAGCCTGTCGGCGTCATCGGCCCTATCTGAGAAAGCGGCCGCCGGGAGCTATTTTCCCAGGTCATCGTGAATCGCGGCACGGTAGGGCTAGAGGCCGCACTCTTGTCTTCCTCACTTGAAGCAGACGATATTGACAGGGTCCGAAACCGCGCGAGAGCAGAGCCCATGGATGCAGAGTTCATTGAAAGGCGTACCGACGCGGGGCGGGAGCTGCCGTCCGCTCCCTTCTTTGAAAGCTGGTAGGCGGTGTTCATGACGAAGTTGTTGTAGTCCTCTTCGCTTTCGAACAGACTTGATGCCACGCTGGCTCTGCGCATCTCGTTGGCGCTGCCACCAGAGGCTCCAGAGATGGTGGACATCCTCCGAAGGACTTCGTAACCTCCCGGATTAGCCGCAGCCCAGTTGAATACGTCTTCGCACATGTCCTGAAGATCGAATTCTGCCTTCCAATCGAGCTCGGTCGAGGCTTTGTCGGGGGACGCGGTTACGGTACCCAGGTCGCCTGGTCGTGCCGCGTCGACAGTGAAAGGAACAGAGGTACCAGCCGCTGTGGAGAAAGCCTTGATGATCTCGAGCACAGAGTATCCCCTGCCAGTTCCAAGATTGTAAGCATGATAGTTGGCTCCTGGGACGTGTGACGGTGACGTTGGCGAAGTCGGGGACGTTGGGGAACTTGGTGATCGGTCAACGGGGTTTTCCATGGTATCAGCAACGGCCTTTCGAAGAGCCGCTAGATGGCCCTTTGCGAGATCAGAAACATGAATGTAATCTCGAACGCCGGTACCATCGGCCGTGTCGTAGTTTGAGCCAAATACATGTACCCTGCTTCGACGGCGGGAATAGGCTTGCATGATGACAGGGACGATATTGTTAGGAGTTCCTTTGGGATCTTCACCGATGAGACCACTTGGGTGAGCTCCTGTCGGATTGAAGTAACGCAATGAAGTCGCGTGGAAATTCGGGTGAGCCACACAGAAGTCGTTGATGATCTCTTCAGATATCCACTTCGATCGACCGTAAGGATTGGTCAGGAGACCGCCGCCACTACCTTTGCCAGCAACCTGGACAGTGTCTTCTGTGATACCGGCCTCGTTACCTGCACCGTAGACAACAGCACTGGACGAGAAGACGAAGGTGTTGATAGCGTTCCGTTCAATGGCTCTGAGGATGACAAGAAGACCGGCAATATTGGTGTCATAGTAGTCCAGTGGCTTGGAGATTGACTCCCCAACCGCTTTCAAAGCGGCAAAGTGAATGACGGAGACGATCTTGCCATGAGTTTCGGCGTGAACAGCCAGTGGGGTGACTTGTGACCGCTTGGCAGGGTCAATCTTGTATTCCAGCATTGGGTATGCCTTTTTAGCTACCATCGCTGCAACGTCGATGGGGAGCAGCTCTGGATCGAGCGTGGCTTTGGCATTCTGCCAGAATGTGAAGACGGCGTTAATGCTGTGTGCATCCCGGATATCCACCTTATGAAAGAGTATTGGAGGGACCGGTCGAGAAGTCTCCCCGCATCTTTCGAACTCTTTTGTAACAATGTGGTGGACTCTACAAAGTGACTCCAGGTGGCTGTTGCAGAGGTTATCAATGACAACCACCGCGAAGCCAGCAGTGAGTAGTTCAAGAACTGTGTGAGATCCGATATAGCCAGCGCCGCCCGTGACCAGGCAGATCGGGAAAGGAGCCGCTGTTGTCTTGCTTTTGTCCGCGTTGATGCGAAAGGTCTGGTGGTGTACCGACTTCGGCAAAGTAGGACTCATCGGACTCATCTTGTGAGGACTTAATGCGCGTATATCGTGGACTGCACAGCAAAACGAGAGATCGTAAAGCCGGGGCTATTTCAGGACAAGTAATTATTATGGCGGGATATGGCCTCCAAAGCGGGTCGCGCCGTCTTGATATACAGGAGTTGATGGCTGGAGGGCCATGATCTTATTGCATCAGCTTTCTTTGTTGGAGGGCAAAGGCCCGAGGGTAGTTGGTAAGGCCATCAAATAAGCGTGCTCGTATTTGGCGCATTCCATGATGCGTATCGATCGACGCTATTGTCTGAATTGAATGTGAATGTGACAGATGCGGGAAGCCGAAGAAACGTGCGTGGGCTTCCATTCTGGAGTTCATTGGGCGCTCAGATCAGGGCATGTCTCACCTCGCCCGAGCTGTTGGCCGCATTCATACTGACCCATTTCTTTGTGTGGCGGGCTCGAGGACTCTGGAAGCGATCACATGCTTCTCAGATAGCCGAAAAGTCAAGTGTTATAATACCGAAGGTCATCTCAAGCACTTTGCCTACTTCAGTCTGCTGATGCTCAGAGCTCGGTCAGGCAGCATTTCAAAATAGGACGAAGGAGCTCCTTGTGGCTGCATATTAAGTAGCGCCTAGCCGTAGTCTTCATTCCAGCAAGTCAATAACGAGCCTAGGACAGACCGCCCTGTAAGATAAGGGATAGACCCCGTTGCAGATCTCTAACCAATTCATGGGCGCCATCAGCATCTGTTAGATTGATGCCTTCCTGAAGTTGGCATAGATTTTCAAAGATACATTTAATTGGATTGGAAAAGATGATGCCATTTTACAATGACTATGACCTGGCAGATGATGAGATAACAGTTGCAAACTCTTCACGGAGTTCATGACTGTGGCATGATTGAATGCGAAGACGAGAACTCGCGAACGTGGGTGGTAATTGCTTCAACAATGTATAATCGACCAGCCCACAGGTGCATCACCAATCTCAAAACTAGCGGTAGAGTGTTGAATCAGTCACTGTAGGCTGTTGTACGTAGCATGCTATGACTCGTGTTGATAAAACATCCAAAGGTCAGGTTTTGTATGTAGTATGGCCTGAGATGGTTGATGCCTGCAAAAGGAACACAAAATTGCTAATTAGTTGTCTCTTGAACTTTCCGATTTCCATTTGTTGAGGTCTTTAGCATGATTCCGGCACTGACTTAGCACTTGAGTCAAACGTTTGCTAATTCCATGACAAACATCGGTAGATCTCCCCGCGCCGAAAGTCGTCTTGCCAAGCCCTGATTACGTATAATACCTCAGTGATAGACCAGTAATCTTGCCTGTAGATTCAGGACACTTCACACTCTCAAGATTCTGCATTTGTGATGTTGCCGACGGACATTACGATAGGTATAACAACAGAACAAAACTTCAACAAATCTACGAATGATGACGGCTCAGGAGGCACAACCGGAGGCCAAGACCTCAGGATTGACCATCGAGGTCATCAACCAGGCGGAGGATTTCACGGATGCGTTTGAAAGTGCGGCCAAATGCTTTGGCAACCAAATCAACGATGCAGTTTGGACAGCTATGAACCCCGGCTGGAACACAGCCGAAGGGAAAGTAGCTGGAGCATCTCGGCTAGCAGATCGCTGGAAGTCAACCACTGAGACCAAGGACGGCAACCCAAATACAGTGTTCCTCAAGGCGACCTTGCCGGAACCACAACATGCTGATAGGCGCATACTGGTCGGCTTCGCTATCTGGGCACAATTGTCCGTGGTGGAAGGGTACGGCGACAAGCCGTCTACAGATCTCAGCAAAAGCGTCGATCTCGAGGCTCTTTATCCCGGCAACACCTCTGAGCAGAGATTCCTCAGCCAGGCATTTGCGTCCCTCGTCAAGCAGCGTGTGGAAACAGTACAGTCGAAGGCAGGTGCGAGCCCTCCAGCTACGTTTGTGTTGGATTTATGCGTGGTTGATCCTGCATTCCAGCGCAGAGGCATCGCACTCAAGTTGGTGCAGTGGGGGACCGAAGAGGCTAAGAGACGGGGTGGGCTAGAGGCTACAACGGAGGCCTCGCTCATGGGACGACATGTCTATGCTAAGTTAGGATTCAAACCTGTGGCAGACGTTGAGTATAGAGTAGATGAGGATACCATCAAGGGCCGCACCCTTCCACCGAACCTTTTCATGCGAACTGGAAAAGCAGTATAGACGCTTCCTTCTGCCCTAGAGACTAGAGTCTTCTTCAGCAACAATAAATTCCAAGTCAAACAACAGCATTATATGATTTGACTCAGCCTTCTAGGGGCAATGTTGCAAGTGCACATCCCTCGTAATTGGGACTCAGGATACATTCCTTACAATGTTGTTAGCATGGATTCAGATCAAAAAAGCATCGAATTGGGTTGAATTTAGACACTTTTGGCGGCTAGTGTTTGTCAAGTGAGGTATACGCATCCTGGGACCAAGAGCAGATGTTGCAGGTATGACAGTCCTCATCCTGTCCTCCGCATGTGGCCAAGAACTGGTCCAATCATGTAATGCATGTAAGATTGGTGCTTTGCCTGGCCGTGGTCGGTGTTCCCCTCACGGACGGGCAGAAGTCATTCGCTATGGCGCGATCTCCATCCACAATGACGCAGCCATTTTATATACCACTCTTCTATGAACTTCAGATATGAACCACAACTATTGTGACTATTGAGAGACAAGAAACTCGAATGTTATCGGATTTGAAATCTTCAAGGCTGATTCCGTCAGACTGGTAAAACGTTCCCCGTCATGGCCGCTGCAGTTGCGAATCCGGTTGCATCCGCGTTTTCTACGCCGAAAGCCGTAGCTCCTCCGGGCCAGCCAGATATTTCCTACGCCCCGGACTATACCAAGTATCAAGCCAGAGCTGCACGGAGGGTGCAGAACGAGAAACTGCCCAGTACCGTGCCGGAGGGGTTCCCTGAGCAGCTAGATGGCGATCTAGTTTGGGAGGGCGGAACTCTGGCGAAGACATACGACTGGACTTATGCACTCAATGAGGACCAGTTAATCGAGATCGATCAGGCAGTCAGCCATTTCAAATGTCAGTCCTTGTTCCGTGGGGGCGAGCGTTGACCGAAGCTGCAAAGACAGATCGCTAATGTATCACCTCAGCGCTCGGTCTTCCCATTTCACACGTTGCACAGGACACTTTCCCTCTTCCTAAGCTGCACTCGGAGCTTCGCCGCCTTTCTCACGAGCTGCATTTTGGCCATGGTTTCTTCGTCATCCGGGGAATACGAGTGGATGAGCATACCCGGGAGGAGAATGTCATCATCTACGCTGGGTTGTCGGCGCACATTGCTTCCCAGCGTGGCCGACAGGACCAATTCAGTCCCTTTGACGGCAGCCCTGCGGACGTTGTTCTCACACACATCAAGGATCTCAGTTATTTGCCCGAGCTAAAAGGAAGCATTGGCTCGCCGGCTTACACAACCGATAAGCAAGTATTCCACACGGATTCAGGTGACATCGTGAGCTTGTTCGCCCTCGAGACTGCTCTTGATGGAGGATCGAGCAAGCTGGCTTCGACTTGGCGGGTCTATAACGAGCTTGCAGCCAAGCGGCCGGATCTGATTCACACGCTCAGCCAACCTTGGGATATGGAGGTGTAAGTATTACCATTCCGAATCAGCACTCACGATTCCACGCCACAGCATTCAGAACACTTACATGAAGCGGTTCAGGTTCGAGAAGAATGCCAAGAAGAAGTTCACAGAGCGACCATTGCTGTTCCATCAACCTGCCACCGGAAGCACTCCAGAGCGTGTTCTCCTCCAATATGGCAGGCGATATTTCGTTGGCTTCGGGAAGCTGCCACGCAATCCCGAGATACCACCAATCACTGAAGCCCAGGCAGAAGCTCTCGATGCATTGCACTTCCTAGGGGAGAAGTTCTGTGTCAACACTCACTTCGAGAAGGGAGACATCCAATATGTGAACAATGTCGCACTCTTCCATGCTAGAGACGGCTTTGTTGACAGCGATGAGAAGCGGTACGTTTTTTTCTTCTTTTTGGAGAGACATTCTTTTGTCCGTTGTGAAAAAGCCTTTTGCTGACATTTCACAGACGTCATCTTCTTCGCCTGTGGCTTAGGGATCCAGAGTATGCTTGGAAGACACCTGAGGTGATAGAGTGGAGATGGAAACAGCTTTATGAGGGTATAGATCCAGCAAAGGAGCTTTTGCCCTTAGAGCCTTTCGTGCGCAATGCCGGGAAGGGCCGCTGAGGAGGAAAGCGCACTTTCTTCATGGAGCTGATTCGACGAAGCCGTCATGGTTGCAATGATAGGAATCATGTGCGGTGCAATCAAGTTCCGTTTGTAAGACCAGACATATCCATAAATTTAACAAATTGACCCATCAACAGACCAAAGTACTGATCACTGCAATTTCCGTTCTCTCACTCTACGCCATATCTGTGGAGGATGGCAGCGAGGATGTATGTGTACGAGAAGGTGGAAAAGAAATTTGTTGACGTTTTCGGGAAGAGTAGCGACCCCGTGTAAGACATACGAGATAAGAGCGTTGCAGTTTGTACAAATTCCATGCGCAGATCCAGCCAAATGCTAGCCGGCAAAGCTAAGAATCAAGTTCATAAGCCTTGAGAAGTTCTCCAATCATTCCGTCGTTCCTTTCCACCTGAACGTACATTTTTAACACTCTACGAAGCGGGTGATAGTAGCGGGCGACGTCTCTCATAACTTGATGGTTGGTCCGAGGACTATCATTTGCAACATCACAGTTACCACACAGTTGTGGAAATTGCGCCTTGAAGTGTACCGCAATGTGCATGGTATTCTCATGAGCTTATTCATATTTGGGCTCTAGGGAAGACTCGGACCAGCATTCAATGCCCGGTAACTATGTCAGGGGTCCGATGTCTTGGCGCAGTGCCATCCAACAAGCGACAGCGGTTTGAAGATGGCGGATGAAGTTACTCGAGATGAGTTCGAATTCAGGAGCAGGTGGAACAAATGCGGGAGTCAACCGAGCCTGACAGCCAAGAGCTTTGGGCAAGAAGTCGCTTGAAAAAGACAAGCGCGGCACTCGACGTGTGCCTCTGGTCCCTTGAGGGGAAGAAATATGGGTATTATCTCCACCAATGGCTTGGGGTCCTGATGTCGTTTCCTGATCGCGCGAGCTGCGCTGCGCAAGATCCACCGTTGCACCCGGAAATAAATCTACCGACATTCGCAAAGGGGACTGTGTAGTCCTAATTTAGTGGAGCTCCGCGATAGCTGTCCGGACTTCGTAGCCGAAGCTGTCAATAGCAACCCTCCCTCACGTTGACTCGCACTTCTTGGTCGGTTCTATGGTTACCCATAGCCCCGACGCCGAGGCTTTCACACCAATAGCACGGAGATAAGTGCCTATTTGAGCCCCTGTCTTTTCCATGCTCCGGTCTTCTCGAACCCCCTTTCCTGGCAGCTGAGCCGTTAAGCTTCCAGTCTCGAGAGTTTATTGGACGGATACGAACTTGACAACATCATGCACGTGGTATTCGCAAGCTTTCGGGTTGCAACCCGAGGACTGTCACCGCCCTCTTTGATACTCACGGAGCATGATGCGAAATTGGTGATGGGTCCCTAGAAGTGCTCCGGACCGGGCGCGCCGTGCGTGAAAAACGTTATAAGTCGCCGCTGCTTTCGAATGTACCATGTCTTTGAGCGATGTGATCACGGCCTCATCCGCCCGCGCCATATCAATTACTATCTGGGCCTTGACAAGCATTGTCTAGAGTGACACCTAGACAAGAGCCAAGATGCTTCTGTTCGCCCTTGTCTGGTCGCTCTTTGCCTCGGTCGCTTTGGCGGCCTTCGGCTACACGGACCAAGGGACTTACTGGACTATCGATTCCGGATCCAACCTTGTCATCCAGGTCAGCAAGACCAATGGTGACATCACTTCTATGAAATATAATGTGAGTACCCATATACGCTGATTCTATATAAGTCGGCTCGGCCCGGGGGGAGCGACCCGCAAGCTGATCAACGTCGTACATGCAGGGTGTCGAGTATAATGGCTACAGTGGGAAAAACACTCAAGTCGAGTCCGGACTCGGGGCTAGCACAGTTACCATCGAGCAGTTTTCCAGCCCTGCCTACATCATCAAGGTCTCGGTCACATACGGGACCCTGAAGCACTACCTGTTCGTTAGATACAAGAACGACAACGTCTACATATTTACGAATAAGGCCGATGCGTCCGTCACCGTTCATCGATACATCGTGCGAATGAAAGGCGGCAGCTTCACTTACAATACCGACGAATCCAGCAGCAGTGACTCGGACTTTTACCCTGATGGCTCTTCATTCATCGAGGCATCGGATGTGTCAGGCCTCAGTGATGGGACTACTTGGTCTAAGCACTACAACGGCGGTCTGTATGGTCGTATCAAGGACTGTATGTGGTTCCTCATCTGCTTCGGGCGTCTCTTAATCCCAGCTAACAAAGTCTAGTCGATTATGTTGGAGTGAAGAAATCAGGCGTGGGAATGTTCATGATCCGGTCAAATCACGAGAAGGCCTCCGGCGGCCCTTTCTTCCGCTGCCTCCAGCGCCGTGCCGACACAAGCGGCGAAGATCTCTACGATATCTACTACTACAACATGGGACATACTGATCCTGAGCGTTTCGGCCTGCAAGGTCCTTCGGTCCTGTCGTTCACTGACGGATCGACGCCCAACACTGCGCTGTTTGCCAGAAATGCAGACTGGGGCTGGTTTGACACTCTTGGTATCGACGGCTGGGTCCCTGCTTCGGGTCGTGGCGCTGTGGCGGGTGTTGGCTTGTCTAACATGAAGAGTGGTTTCACATACACCGTAGGCCTGTCTAACGCTAACGCTCAGTATTGGGCGACTGCGGCATCGTCTGGTGGTGCGTGGCAGATCACAAAAGCACTGCCCGGGACATACACCCTGACAGTCTACAAGGAGGAGCTGGAGGTCTACACCGGAAGCGTGACGATCACTGCGGGAGGCAAAGCCGCACTGAACACCATCACTCTCGTGGACCCAAGCGATACGACAGCCATCTGGCGCATCGGAGACTGGGACGGAACCCCATCTGGATTTTTGAACTTCGATACGACCCCGTGGAAACCGACGTACATGCACCCGTCCGACAGCCGCATCGCATCATGGGACGTTGGTAACTTCATCGTCGGTACCACTCCAGTTTCGAGCTTCCCATCATACATCTGGCAAGATGTAAACAACGGTCATGTGATATACTTCAAGTTGAGTGCCGACCAACTCACTCAGGCACACACCGTGCGGATTGGAATTACAGAGGCCTACATCAACGGCCGCCCGCAGATCACCGTCAACAGCTGGACGAGCAGCATCCCCGGCGCAACAACCCAGGCATCGACGAGATCCCTCACGGTAGGAACATACCGAGGAAATAACGTGGTTTTGGAGTACAGCGTACCAGCAACTGCTTGGTTGGCCTCTACAAGCTCATGGCAGGTCTTAACGATCAATGTAGTGACAGGCAGCACGGGGACTAAATACCTAAGCGGTGCCGTCTCTATTGACTGTGTTGAGCTGGTGTAAAGAACGTATGTGTTTTGTAAGGGTGATCATCAGTGGACCTGGCCACTACTTTGGTTGATTGAGGTGGTGTGATGCGATGAGCCCATATCATCTTAGTGCCGACGAGCCTTCGTAGGGTCTATAGTATGGGGGGAGGCGGACGGGGTTTGTTGGCCAACTCATGTCCTTGGAAGGCCTTCGCTGTCAGGCTGCCAGCATCTGATGTCTCTTTAAATAACATTATCTTCAGCCCATAATCAGCAGTTGCACCTGGCCTAGCGGTATGATCACTTGATTATATTTGTGACGGTCTGGGTTCAAGTCCCAAGCACTGCTACGTCGCTCTGTTGATGTAGGACCGTCCGTGAGGACATTCTGTGCCTACACCTAGTAGCTTGTTCTACCGGAGCGGCACGCTCTACTAATATCTAGGTTTCATTCAAGTGGCTGGTGGTCGGGTTCTTTCTTCTTCCTTTTTCTTTTTGGCGGAAAGCGGGGGGAGGGGCATCGTCTCTCCAACAAGAAGTACGTTTGAGCGCCCTTCATGGCAGTCTTTGTAACATGGTCCAGCCGGTGTCAAGCTTACGGGACACAATCAATTGTGCCAGCCTTGATCTCTTGCAGTCAAGTCTGTGGAGTTGAGCGAAATTAGTTCAGCAATGATTAAAAGTCTTCCGTTTGTCACTGAAGCTATCATGCCTGCGCTAGAGGGTGAAGGCAATAATGTTGACAAGAGAACGTCACCCATAGTCCAAGCTACCGAGAAAGTAACAGTTTTGGCCATGTAAAATTCCTGGCTGAATTCGTTGACACAATGAGTAGCTTGAGCATTGTGGACACAAGGCTTTTCGATGACGTTTTGGTGGGGACGAGGATTTGAACCGTGAAACACTGACGAAGGTTGTTCGAGGACCTCCTTGACTTTGGATGGTCAGCCGGATGACTTCAACTGCGCTGCTAGCCTCAATTTCTCACAATTGAATGCTTCATGCTTCTTGTTGCACCCAGCTATCGCAGCGATGATTCGGGTTTCCTAGACGCAGGTGTTGGCCAAGAGCTTTAAATGAGCATGAACACATCGTGTGACGGTTCGAGGCCTTTTTTGAGTGGAGTTAAGCTTTGTAATTAGGACATGATCTGCTGTGACTGGTCGTAAGGTATAGGAGATACCGGTGGGAACATACTTTCTTTGGCTCAAAGGGAATGCCTATGTTCTTGCAGCAAGAAAATCCAATCACACACAGAAAGGATACAGTTGCCAGCATTGGACCAAGTAAATAACACCGTAATGGTCAGTTATCTATCGAAAGAACACTCCTGAAGAAACGATTTAACGGCGAACGGGCGCCAGGGAATTGTAAGCAGGCTAATTATGAAGTTAAGAATTCAAATCTGCCTTTGAAGCGGAGCGATAGCTGTTTCTGCATTCACCGATCACCAAGCTTGGGGCGTTGAAGATGAAATCCAACGGTTGACAATGATGGTTGAGGATGTATACAAGTCCACTATCTCAATGCTGAGGATGTGAGGCTATCTGGCTTGCGGGCATTGCGGGCACCGAGGGCCGGTTCGTTAGAGCGGTAGGAAGCAGTCGCAGGCAGATCAAGACTGCAGCCAAATTCAGGCTAACTGGGGCTCAGGGCGAGATTGCATTGAAGCCCTGAAGTCTGGAAGGTTGGAAACAACTCTGGAAGGCACTGCCTGAGGTGTCCTGCCCTTGTCAGGCTAGGCGCGCAAGTCCAGCTCCTGCCTCATCGAAGCCAGCGCAGCTTCTGTGCTTTACAGAGACACAAAGCTCCTGTCGCTCCCTTCCTCAGACCCACTTTGAGGTTGAGAGCCTCCAGTAACTGCGCTGCCCCAATCCTCAGCTCCCACCAGCACCTGCAACCTGCACCCTTGACAAAGGAAAAAGCCTGATCAGGCACAGTCCCGAAACGTCATCAGACATACGTTCTGAAAACACCTTGGGAGACGAGTCTCGACTGCTTTCAAAATGGTAAGCGTGGTCGTCGTTCATAGCAGCAGCGATTGTATCCTATTCTTCAGCATGTCCTCCTTCACTGTCGCATTGCCTTCGAACAATCTCGCCCGCACACCTACCCTTGTCACCGCCTTCCATCAACTCCGATCTTGAACTTCACAGTCATTCTTGCGCACAGCACTGCGTGTGGTTGGCCAAATGATATGCTTGGTCGCCAAATCGATGGGTCGTTCCGCTTCTAACTCCTCTTTCGCAGTCCCAACCACCGCACGAGCCCGACAACATGCCTGACGTAGGCATCAAGCGCTTGCAGTCTGACTGCGAAGCCGGAAGCCTTGACCCAAAGATCAAGATTGAGCCTGACGTCAAGCGGCAAAAGCTCGATGTTGAAATCACGGCTCAAGTGAAGCAGCCACTAAACATTGTCAACATTGACCCAAGAGGCGATCTCACAATCAATCTCAGGTCCGAGGATGTTGGATTCAAAGTCGATTCAAACACACTGAAGAGGACAGCGCCAATCCTCTACCAAAAGTGTCTGGCGGTCCGTCCTGTCGACTGTTCCGCTTGGACCTTAGAATTGAGGACTACCACTATAGAGGCGGCAGAAGTCTTCTTCAATGTCATCCACGGCAATGTGGACCGGGTTCCTGAGTGTATGGATGCAACCATGGTCTACGAAATCCTCGATTTCACAATACACTACGGGATGAGGGACCGGTTCTTAAGCTCGCTAAAGCGTTGGTTCCATGCAATTACCATTACCGGGAGCTCGAAGGAACGAGAGCGTCTGAATTGCTGCCGACTTTGGATTGCAAGAGGACTCGGGCTGAACGACCCGTTCAACAATCTTCAACAATGGGCTGTTTTCAATTTGAAAGCTGATGACAATGGTATGGTTGGCGTTGACGGAGAATCCAGAGGATTCTACAACTTATCGCGGTTTACGCTTTGTGACAGAGTCGTCTCGGGTAAGGTTCTTATGTTTTTCATTTACATAATGCTATGCTCGGTGAGAGAAATGCTGACACATTTTCTTCAAGATCGAATCAATCAGCTCCGGTCTGAAGCCATCACTCTCATCCTGAAGAATCTGAAGGAAGCTCAGATAGCGCTTGTCCCTTTTGGCGCATTTGGAAGAGACGGACGTATCCACTTCAAGTTTGGTGGTTACGGCTGTCAGAACTGTTTGGACCTATGGTTCTTGTGCCTAGGAAAGAGCTTGATAAGACCCAAATGGCTGAACTCATCGACTTGGCAAGGCTTCCCTAGCCTTTTCTCCGTCATTGAGGCCAAGCAGTACCACCGCACTTTGGAGGAGCTCTGCGCCTTCATCGAAGCAGTTCAGAAGAAAATTGACTGTTTCAAGGCGTGTGATCGCATGGGCATTGAAGCTTGCCTTCCTCCTAGGCTGCTCGGCCGGGATACTGTTCAAAATCTCGTCAGCAAGGGCGTAATATCTCTACCTAGTGATACCTAGAGGCCACCGTGCGGTGTTGAGACTTGGCAAGACAACGATGGCGAGGAAGAATTCGAAGATGCGGGTGTACGAAAAGGTTTTGTTCAATGCAAAAGATTGCTGAGACAATACTCGGCAAGGACAGAGTGGAACTCGATGGAAGGCCCTGGCGGACATTGTACGCAGAGAACATGAGCTGGCATATTCAGCTAATTGTAGAGGTTGATAACACACAGCTCAACTTCGTGATGTCCTCCTCCGTAACTAATTTGTCACATTCCGATTGTGTATGAAGATGCAACCAATACTCAGAGAAGACGTTGGCGTTTGAGTGGTGCAAAGCGCCTCACAGATACAACATTGCAAGCTCATATGTTTCTATGATGTGAGATCTGGAACCGGCAAGCCAGTGAGCTCGATTGATTATGGCTGTAGTTTTGGACTTGACATGAGAGTTGAGAACAGATTTCGTGGTAGGCTACAAGTTTGATCTACACGAGTTTCTTTCCAGTTGTGACAGAGATTGGAAACACAAACATCTTGCGGTGCTCTGCTGCAGCCTGAATCAGGAGGTATGTCAGCTGGGTTAGGGTTCGTGTAAGTGAGTGAGGCCCCACTTACTCAACCTGGTGCGCACTTTCAGTGCGACCTTCGAGGCCCTCAACTCTGTTAAGGTGAATTCAACTCTGTTAAGGTGAATTTCTTGTTCAACACGGCGCAGCTCGCTCAGAACCATCGTCACGTTGGAAATCCATTAGACGCTTCGACAAGATGGTAAGTAAACTTCCTGCCACCTTTTATCTGCTCTAGTCTCGCTGGTCGAGACAGATAGGTGTGGCCCGCCGCTTCGCGAGCAAACAAGCCGCAGGTCTTCACAACACAAGCTGATTCGCCATCCCAGGACACCTCCCCGCCAAAGAAGAAGGCCAAGTTAGAGGACGACAGGGTGACCACAGGCCTAGATACCAAGAACAATCCCATCCACATCGACCCCAACGGAAATCTCAAGCTCATCGTCGGCCCAGCAGCCGTGCCGATGCACGTCGACGCCAATGCGCTCCGACGCTCCTCAAAAGTCTTTGACCGCATGCTGTTCGGCGATTTCAGCGAGTCATATCAGACGGACGGTTGGGCTGTCGAGCTCCCCGAAGACGACCCGGAGGCACTCCGAGTCATTTTCCATGCTGCGCATGCCAACTTCAGAGATCTGCCACCGACGTTGAGCCTCTCGCAGCTTTACTACATAACGGTGATGGCGGACAAGTACGGCATGATTGGCACTCTTCAGCCTTGGATGGCGAATTGGACGTCAGCGGAGACGCATCCTGAGCTATGGACTTCTGAAGATGAGAACGAGACGAGCCGCGAGGACCTTCAGCGGCTCTGCGTACTTTACTATCAGGGACTGCCTCAGCAATTCTACGAGATCCTCTTGAGAGTGTTGATCAAGACAAAGTCCAATTCGAGCTGCAAGCTGTTGTACAGTGCAGGCTTCGCTGGCGATGGGAAGGGCTCCAGCTCAGATTCACACGAGTGGGCCGATTTCACTCTGTTGCCGTTCGGTCTTCTTAGTAAGCCAACAATTACCTCCGTGAGATCATTTGTATGCCTTCTGAAAAACCCGTCCCAGGAAATGTGGAACACATCAGACGCAAATCAATTCTCCACCTACTTAAAGGCCTGGATACTGTGTTCAAGTCGTGCACAGAGAAGGACAGCGGTCCTAGTCTCAATCGTCGCTGCCGTGCGACAGCGCTGGGACTTATGATCCAGCACCTTGTTCAGAAGAAGCTGTGGCCTATTCCTCTCGACAGTGAGGTTTGCCTCTCCGTCGCTCAACTGTCTCATATTGCCAATGATGTCAGATCGCAACTGCAAAGCAGCATCGTCCAGGATTGCAAGTGCATCTCCGGCATCAGAGGGCTCAGTCCTTGCGACCTTACACTGCCTTTGGTCTTCAATGGCCCGTGGCGGCAGATGGTGGAGAAAGCCATTCCCACTCGGTTTGATCTTCACTTCGCGGAATTGGCAGAGAATGGTATTGGACCCATGAAACATCAGAACGCTTAGAGGTTAGTTGAGTTCCATCTTAGACGGTTTGACCGAAGCCGTGGGATTTAGAATTAACAGAATGGTCGATAGCGACACGAGTGATTGTTCGCCTAATTGATTGTTATTTGCGGCCGCAAATGGGAACCGCAACACCGAAAAGAAGCCGGCGGAGACCGACACTTTGTGATCTCGTGTCAGAACTAAGGAGTAGCACTTCAAAGACCACTGAAAGGCCTTGGAGCCTTTCTCATAGGGTACAGGGACTCAAGGCTTGCCCCCAAAACGATAACACTTACTCTTGTGCGTGGGAGTAGCCAGGGAAGCGTTGGAAGCGGTGACATGGCAAAAAGCTTTCTACAATTGTATTATCTTCCGTCGTCAAGTCTCAACGAGGTTTTCAAACAAGGATGGGACAACGAGGCTCAAAGTGACAAAGTCCAGAACTCACACAGCTTTAATAGCTATTTAAATAGCGATACACGCAAAGCATAAAGACCTGAAGCTATCTGCGAGGAGCTGAGCTGGGATTCGATTGGTCTTACTGTTGTTGATGAAGCTTGCCCTTGAACTTATTATTGCTACGGCTACAAAACACTCTTCAACCCTCCTTTCGTCAGCATGCAATGCCCGCCTGCTTGAAATAAAGAACTGAACCTGGACCGGGATATCGCAGTATAGCCATAGGCTTTTAGGAAAGTGACATAAAATCTCTCTAACGGCTCTGGATGGTCATTCGCTGTCACCGAGTCTCGGCTTCAGCTGGCAATATGTCTTGGTGGGTTGCCGAGCCCCGCTCCGCGTGAACAGAATTAACAGTTCATGTCATCACCGTGATCCTTCTCGCCCTTCGCATCTGGATCTGTGTCTCGATCCGCATCCGCCTCCTCATCCTCTTCCACGCGAACACCGTCCTCCCTGATCCTCTTCGCCACCTCGGCCAGGTCTTCTATATGGCTCTGCATCTGGATGAGCTTCATCTCAATGGCATAGCCGTGGTTGGAGAAGTTGAGCTGCCTGGGGAGCAGGTCGTCGAGGGCGCAGGCGTCGGTCTCGATCATGGTCATCATGCTGACGAGGTTTTCTGGGCCCGCGTGGTCAAAGAATCTGGTGCTGAAGTGGCTGACGAGGTACTCGAGGGCCATGGTACAGCGGTCTGCGGCCTGGTAGATGAAATTCTCTAGCTGGGCGGCCGCACCCCCTCGCGTGGACTCCATCTGTTGCTCTCTGATCTAGATGGCGTTGTTAGAAGAGAATGAGGACCAAGCAACGCGTGCATAGGTAGCCTACTGTATTTAAAGTCCGTGTTACATGAACATGGAGATTTCCGAAGATGTTTTCGGTCCGCCAAGCTGTATAGGTTTCGATACGAACTCGGTGAGGAGGTGTGTACTCGCGCTTTATTGCGGGCCGACTGGTGGTGGGTTTGTCAACATCTTGTTGAGTGGGCTTCTTGACGATTGGTCCATCAGGTGCATGAGATGTTTGTTTTTCGACATCGTCGCCGTCTTCATCGGGAGTGCCAGTCATGCTTTCGCCGTGGCTGTCAGCCTGGGGAGAGTCAGGGGTTGGGGCGATGTTTGCCGTGGTGGATGACTGGGCAGCATGGGGGGATGGATGATCGATCTGAGCAGAGGACCCATCGGCTTCGGGGGGTGGGGACGAGCTTTGCATCGAGTTCTCTTGAGACTGCTCGCGACTTGCAGTTTCGGGCTTGCGGCGATGCAAAAAGCGAGTCGACTTCGCAACGTGGGATTGCGCCTGCCCCATGTTGCGGTTTGTTGACCTGCTCTTTCTCTCTTAATTTGCTCCACAACGAGGCCTTGTCAAGCTTCGCGGCAGTTGTAAATGACCAGGAAAAGGCAAAATTGAAGTTCGGCTTGCAGAGAACAGTGGAACCAATCGTGCTTCGATAAGGTTAGTGATATCTTCACAATGTGTTGTAGGACAGCCTGACACGGCGTGCATATTGTCCAGCACGACGACAATGGCGAGCTCCCACACATTTCCCCCTCGGTCTTGCGTCTGGAAAGGCCCCTAGATCGGGCCAATTCTAGCTGCTGGAAGCCGGAATGTCCGTCCGTACACATGCAATGGCTTCTGATTACATATGCCAGCGGTATTTTGGCTTTCATCTGCTGGAAACGTGTACCACGGCCTGGGAGGTTCACGAGAGGGCTACATAGCATGCGAAGAATGCTTCCAGATTCATCCAAGTACTCGAGCAGTCTTCCGGGTATTTCTAGAATAACTTAACACAGGGACAATGTAGAACAAATGCTTAATTGCAAGCCCTCCATGGCATTGGGGAAGTCGACATCGATGGCATGGGAAGGCAAGCGGTTCACAGCAAGGAGACATTGCATCAAATGCTAATAGAGAAGCTCATGGTGTGTATGATAATTTATGTTTCACTTTACGGGCTGCATTTCCATGTGCACCATCTGAGAAGAAGAGTTTAACTTGATATCAATCAAATGCTTTATGCCTCTTCAACTCAGGAGTTCAAGTAAATGCGTCCTTCATAGGGCTGAAGGAGCAAATTCTCTGTCTTCTCATAGGTACTAAGACATAGTTTCATCTTGTTCTTGTCCTCATTCTCCAGCCGGATCGCTTGCACAGAGCCTGTGAAGTTCAGTGCGACCAGTGCAGCCTTTCCAGCGTATCTCTTGCGGTAGATGAATGTGTCCTCGTTCTCAGGATCTAGAAGCTCAAAGGAGCCATAGATTAAAACATCGCGGTGCTCTTTTCGGAGCGCTAGCGCGTGTTTGTAGAAGCTTAAGACGCCTTTGTCGTCTTGCTTCTGCTTCTCAATATTTATCTCAGTGTACAAGTCATGAGCCCGCATCCAGGGCTTCGCCTCCGGTGTCGTGAAGCCCCCATGGGCTGATGAGTCCCATTGCATCGGCAACCGAGCGTGATCGCGGGCCATGACCTGCAAGCCTTTCATAATCCGTTCCTTTCTTGTCGGATCTACCCCTGATTGTGACAATTTAACAGCCTCCGCGTAGTGGCCGATCGATTCCACATCTTTGTACTCTTCGATCAGCCATTCCTTCGGGGCGTTGATCATTCCTATTTCTTGGCCTTGGTACAGAAAGAGTGTGCCGGTCTGGCCGATGAGACTGAGAGCCAGCATCTTCGCCGACATTTCGCGCCACTGAGGGCTGTCGTTGCCAAATCGCGATATTGACCGACCATTGTCGTGGTTCTCATTAAATACTGTAGTCCAACCATCGGTGTTGTCGACGAATGTCTGCCACTTCTCGACTATTTGTTTCATCTCCGACAACTTCCATGATTGGTAGTCGTATTTTCCATCGAAACCATTGCCCATACCAAGATGGGTGAAGTCAAATTGGAAGACCATGCTGAGCTCCTGGGCTGCGGTCGAGACGTATTCCAGGACACCTTCTGGATCAGGTGTGAGAGACAGCTCCCCAACTGTCACCAGAGGCCCATGATCAAATGTTTGGTATTGATCCAGAACAACACTCTTCATTTCCTTGCAAAACTCGTGGATCCTTGGGCCATTGCACCAGAATTGCGGTGCTGCTTGAACGTAACTGTTAGGATCTGTGACGGGTGCGTCCACAAAGGGCAACACCTTGCTGTATTTGTTGACGGTATCAACCCTGAATCCGTCAATACCTTTATCAAGCCAAAATTCCATTGCACTTTTGTATATGGCTTTGCGGCATTCCTCGTTATCCCAATTGAGGTCTGGCTGTTCCGGTGCATAAAGGTGTAGATAGTATTCCTCGGTCTGCTCATCCCAAGTCCATGTGCTGCCAGCAAAGTAACTTCGGTAATTCGTCGGGGGCAGTCTGTTGCCGTTGGTATCGTATCGAGCTGGACGCCAGAAATACCAGTCTCTCTTCGGGTTATCTTTTGATGATCTTGATTCCTTAAACCAAGCATGCTCTATAGACGTATGATTTACCACGAGGTCCAAAATGAGCTTCATGTTTCTGTCGTGGCAGCCTTTCACCAAAGTTTCGACATCTTTAATTGTGCCGTACGGTGCATAAACGGCCTCGTAATCGGATATATCATATCCCATGTCGACCTGCGGGCTCTCAAACATTGGTGACAGCCAAACGACATCCACGCCAAGGTCCTTCAGATAGTCGAGCTTGGAGACCAGACCGGGTATATCTCCCCAGCCGTCTCCGTTAGAGTCTTTGAAGCTAGCCGGATATACCTGGGATCTTATGTTAGCGACTTCTGGTGTGTGCAGTAGTGCTGAAAGGCACTGTCGTACCTGATAGATACAGGCGTCTTTCCACCACACTCGCTCATGCTGTATGACGCCGACATCGTGCGACATATTTTGAGCGATTTCGGCAAATGTACCCGGTACGTTTCGCAAACTGATTGTCAGCCAACGCTTGTAGAAGTCAATGCTAGACAATGAAAGAAGCAGTGTTCCAGCACACGGGTTCTGTGACAGGTTTTTTACAGTGCCCCGTGCCCAAGTGTGTTCCTAGACTTGACGCAAACAAACAATCTTTGGATGGCCGACCACGGGCCGTTGACATGCGGGCCACTAGGTGGGGAATTAGTCTAGTGAGTGAACAAACCCCCTCTTTGGCTGCAGGCGTTGAGCTGAGCTCGGCATTCTGGCTCCCAGTGCTGGCGGAGCATTCTGTACTTGGCACTGTACTTGTTCTTACACAAGTATCCTTTGGCGGGCTGCACACTAGACTAATGTGCAACCGGCCCAGGAAGTCATGGGGAATCTTCAGAATTGACAAGCATAATCTCGTCGGACCGATGAGAAAGCGATAGACCACAACAATCCTGGCCGTCGAGGAGAGCCTTGCATTCTTGGGATTTGCTCACACAGATGCAAGTAGTCGTATGCAAGCAGTCGCGGTGACCAGTGCCTCTATCTTAGCGCTGATATTTCATGCGGTGGTGGTTTGCCAAGCAGCGGAGGAAAGTCGTCTTCTGGTCATCGCCGTGGGAAACTTCCCCTTTAGGACTGCATACCTGACGACGGTCGCCGGTCAATTCACCGAACCGCTGTCTTGGATTCGCTTACTGTCACGTTGTACCGCATTTCGGGACCCAGGGTGGTGTAGAGTGCTTTGTCTCGTGCATTGCAGTTTTGGGCATATATGAGCTGCCAGTATTAGTTGGACAGCCAGAGATCAAGACGGCAAATCTCCTGTCAGCTCTTCAACATTTTCACTCATCACGCCTCAGCGTAGCATCTATCATGTCGAACAATAATCACGACTCCATTGATCATGCACTTGACAGCATCGCCAAGCCTGTCACGGACAAATATTCCGTGATGGGAGCGGAAAACATCATCAAGCCTAATACAAGGGCTCAGAATGCTGCGTCTGAAGAGAAGACTATGTCTCTCCGTCAGGCTCTCAAGCTGTACCCAAAGGCTATCGGATGGTCTGTTCTCCTCTCCTCAACCCTCATCATGGAAGGTTACGACTTGGCTCTTCTCGGCTCGCTCTATGCGTCTCCGCAATTCAACAAGAAATTTGGAGTTTGGAACGATTCTGCCAAAAAGTATGCCGTGCCTGCATCGTGGCAGTCCGCACTATCCAATGGCGCCCGGGCTGGCGAAGTTATTGGGCTGCTCATCAATGGCATCGCTTCTGATCGATTTGGCTATCGCAAGACAATGATCGCCTCCTTGTGCGCTATGATCGCGTTCATCTTCGTGCTCTTCTTTGCACCGAATATCCAGGTGCTCGTTCTCGGAGAGGTGCTCTGCGGTATACCTTGGGGCGTATTTCAGACCCTCAGTACAGCATACGCTTCCGAAGTCAGCCCGGTCATCCTGCGACCGTATCTAACTACATTCGTCAACATGTGCTGGGTGATGGGCCAATTTATTGCCGCAGGAGTCAACCGCGCTTCCGTGACTCGAGGCGATCAGTGGGCTTACAAAATCCCATTTGCGATACAGTGGGTTTGGCCGCCGTTGATTCTTGCTGGAGTCATCTTTGCGCCGGAAAGGTACGTCCATAGTCTAACACAACAAATTCTGTCTAACGCACCAAAGTCCCTGGTGGCATGTTCGTCAAGGTGATAATCAAGCAGCGAGGCGGGCCTTGCTGCGGATTACTTCGAAGAATGACCCGTCATTTGATCCGGACGAGACCATTGCCATGATCGAGCATACAAATGAGCTTGAAAAGTCTCTCAAGGCTGGAACTACATATTGGGATTGTTTCAAAGGGGTCGACCTTCGAAGAACCGAAATCGTCTGTGTTCTTTGGCTAGGACAGACGCTGACCGGTCAAAATTTGATGTGAGTTCCGGACACGAGCACCGTATTCCTTTACCGTGGTATGACTGATGCTGCTGTAGGGGCTATTTCTCATACTTCATGACACAAGCCGGAATGGACACAGTGCATTCCTTCGATCTGAGTCTTGCTCAAATGGCACTCGGCTTGATCGGGACCGTGGGATCGTGGTTTCTCATGTCTAAAGTCGGTCGAAGGACTATCCATCTTTGCGGCGTCTGCACACTTTTCTCTATACTACTCATCATTGGGTGCGTTTCTTTCGCGCAGACAAACGCGTCACTTTGGGCTACCGGTGCAATGCTAATCACATTCACCTTCTTCTACGACTTCACTGTCGGCCCCATCACATACTCGCTCATTTCTGAGCTCTCTTCTACTCGCCTGAAAGCCAAGACAATCGTTTTGGCCCGTTCACTCTACAACATCAGCAACATAGTCGTCAACGTGTTGACGAACTACCAACTAAGCACGACTGCGTGGAACTGGGGTGCTCGGACAGCGTTTTTCTGGGCAGGTACCTGCGGTTGCGTTCTTGTGTGGGTCTACTACCGCCTTCCTGAACCTCGAGGCAGGACCTATGGAGAGCTCGACTTGCTCTTCGAGCAGCGTGTGTCAGCTCGCAAGTTTAAGGGCACTAAGGTCGATCCTTATGGAGACGGGACAAAAAGTTCATCTGTAGATTGACGTAACTTTGAGGACAATGAGTGCATCAATGCAATGTATCACTGGAGGCACAAAATCTGTTCTAACCAGCTGAAAGATTACTTGGGCGGACCTTTCAATCGCAGTAGGACTGACTGATTCCATCCCTCGTAGAAATGATTTTCTAAATATCATGATTTGATATGAATTGTGTCCATCTTCTCTGAACACGTAAAGTGTGCATGGAGAACAGGCCTAGAGGATTGTCAAATGAAGTCTGGTATACACTCTTAACGTGTGCGCCCTTTCAGCGTAGCAGTACAGCCTGGCGGCACCTAACGTACAGAAGGTATTCGTGGTGCCTGGATGCGGGGGAAGATTCAGGTACGTGCTGAACACCCAAACCGGCCCGCTTCGGGGCTCAATTTATTAGGAGCCCACGGTATTGCCAAGATCATTTAGTAACTTGCCTATCACACAAGCACTCGAATTGGTGCGCCTATGCATAACGTCTTGGCTGCCCGTGCTGTATGTGGGTCTGACGGAAGATTTAAATGACACATGATCACGAGAACCTGTTTTGCCTCGTCTAAATACTACTCCAGACTTATGGAGGTCCTCCGGATGTATAAATACGTGGGAAGGATACGATAAAGCAGCATGTCAAAATTGTGGGATATAGCGCTGTGTCAGCCTCCTGAGGAATCCTGTGGACTTTAGAGAGACTCAATATGCATTTTCTTCAGACCGCTTTCCTAGGACTTGTTGGCGCGCTGTCGCTGAAAGCTACAGCAATACCTACTCCCTCGCTCGAGGAACGTCAGACACCGACCATCTCCAATCAAGTCATCTTCTCGCCCCCGACCAATGCTGGATGGGTTGATCCCCGTGTCTTATATGCCCGCGCAGTTCATTTGAAATCCGGCGCTCTGATCGCAACGTGGGAGAACTATTCTCCTGAGCCTCCAGCCGTCTATTTCCCCATCTACAGGTCGACAGACGGTGGTTCTTCCTGGACAGAGATCGGTCAGGTCCATGACACCGTCAATGGATGGGGCTTGCGCTACCAGCCTTACTTGTACGAATTGCCCAGCGCCATCGGGCGCTTCCCTGCCGGCACAATCCTCCTTGCTGGGAACAGCATTCCGACCGACCTTAGCAAGACCAAAATTGATGTTTATGCGAGCACCGATGGTGGTGTGAACTGGTCTTTTGTCAGCAGTGTGGCAAGTGGAGGGGAGGCGCGTCCTAACAATGGGTTGACGCCTGTCTGGGAGCCATTGCTATTGTGAGTCTTGTAGCATCCTCATTTTGAAAATATCTACAATTTTTGTTCTTAAGTCAAGTAAATACTCATTCTTCTGCCAGCGTTTACAACAATCAGTTGATCTGCTACTACGCTGATCAGCGCGATTCGAGAAATGGACAAAAGCTGTCGCATCAAACAACCACCGACCTGGTCTCTTGGAGTTCACCGGTAGACGATGTCCGGGATGCAAGCAATTACGCCGCCCGGCCAGGGATGCCCGCAATTGTGAAGCTTCCAAACAATGACTACATCTTTGCTTACGAGCTATGTGGTACGGATGGCTGTCGGGTCCATTATCGAATCACAAGCAACCCACTCAACGTCGCCACAGCGGCCGATGTCCAACTCAGGTCCACGGCCGGAACATTACCCGTGAGCTCTCCGTTCCTAGCTTGGTCTAGCGTTGGTGGTGTAAATGGGACCATCATTCTCAGTGGAGGCAGCCAGTCTCAAATCTTTACAAATCGTGCTTTGGGAGCTTCAAACGCGTGGGTCCAGTACAATACGCCGCAGCCGAATGCGTACTCTCGCTCGCTTGCAGTCTTCCAAGATGATCCCAGCAAGCTTGCGATCATTGGAGGAGGATGGCTGCCACCTAGCAGTACCAACCAGGTCAGTATCAGTGTCATTGACCTGAGGGCTACAATTGGTGCTTGAGTGTGTCAGAAGGTTCCGGAGACGGCGGGTATGTGCATGGTGGGATAGATGTACATAATGAAAGTGTCCTAGTATTGGCTGGTACAGCTTCTGTATCTTTTTCGAAGACCATGCCTTTCATCCTCAAACCCCTTAATGATTAATGAAATGATGGGAAGACAGTACCGAGCGTCGAAGAAATGCGCTATTCGTTGGCTTTCAGGTAGTTTTGCAGAGCATCAGTGGTGTCGTGACTGTCAACGCCATGGGTTCATAAACGTGACTTTTCCAAATACGCCCGAAGGAACGAATTGACTACTCACTTACATGATTTTCAAGTTCATGATATGCCCTGTAGCAAGGATAAGTCGAATCGTTGAGCCAGGTTGACAAGAAAGCTCAGGTTTGACATAAATCAATCTGGACAAAACGGGCTCATCAGTGTCTGATTTTCGCTAGTACAAGCTTTCCAAACTATGCTCGTCAGCAGTAACGGCATCAGGCAATTGGATGTCAGCAAGTGTCTGACATTCCTTAGATAAGTCAATTGTCTCGAGGGATGCAAGTCAGCATCCCACAAACGAAAGTGGCGCAGCTCTGTGTACAGGTCTGCGCGCTACTTTGAGGAGGCCTCTGCGTTAGCTTCAGCTAAGGCAGCCTACAAGGCACCTGGAAAGTGTCTGAGAGTTAACATCTTGCATGCTCTATTAAATCCTGCCATTGAGCAACTAACCTTCCACCCGTGCTGATTTCCTCAGTCACCTCCATCCTCGTCTCCACGAAACCAGAGATCAAGCTTTCAACATCTATTGCAAACGAGATGCAAATCCCATACAGCCAAGACGATCAACGGCCATACGGTCAGCCAAATGACCACCGCAGTCCTTCGCCGTACGCTCCGTCCTCTCCATATCAACCCCAACACGCTCCCTACGGTGCCCCACCTCAGCCGTCTTATGGATCTCCGAGCGGCCCTCCACCATCATACGGACAACAATATGGGCAGCCAAGTTACGCACCATATTCTGCCCCATCGCAGCCGAGCTATGGTGGACACGACAACACGCACTCGTACAACTCCAATCAGGGGTCTCAAGGCTATGGATACAATGCACCCGGTCAGCAACAGTACGCACCTTCGCCTGCAGGTCACTCCCCATACCAACAAGAGTCACCCTACCAACCCCCAGGACGACCATCTCAGGGTGGTTATGGTGCCGCCGCAGACTACATGAATCCTGATCATCCAGGTAATCGTCCAGACGGAGAAGATCGCGGAGTAATGGGGGCTCTGGCTGGTGGCGCTGCCGGTGCATGGGCGGGCCACAAGATGAACCACGGGTTTCTCGGCGCATTAGGTGGTGCTTTTGCCGGGCACAAACTACAAGATGCTATCTCCGACCATAACAAGCACAAGAAGGACGAGTACAAACAATCTCATTCGCCTCAGCCACCACAGTACGCACAACAACCCCCGCCGCCTCCTCCTCCAAAGCAACACTACGCGGGAAACTTTTCCGCCTCGTCTAGTCAGATGAACCTTGATGGGGATTACGATCTCATTGCCTCGTGCAGGCGGATGGACGGCAGCCAGAGGTTGACGTCCATCAGCCTGAATAACTGCTTGACGAATGATGACGGTCATTTCCGCTGGGCCAAGGGCGGCAACTTCGGTGCTTCGGCCAGGAACGTGCGCCTCATTGATGGAGGGCGGACTCTGGAAGGTGAGCTCAGGAACTGCCGAGGCGGTTGGGTATGGGATAGAATCGTCTTGGACGAAAAGATCGGCAATAGCAATGGTGACTTGGTAATGGTTTGAGAGACATAGCTTGCGTAGCTGGGTCGAAGAATCGCATCAACTCACTGGGTTAAGGACGAGCAGGGTCTGGCTGAGCAGGTGATTGGTCTTCACGGCAAAGTGGTCATCCCTCTATATAAAATCAACATAGTGAAGTATAGGAGGCTGTCTATCCTCTGAGAGGCTATACAGACTCTCAAGTAGTGTGTCCACAGCCAATAAACATATTGTGTTAAAGCCTTCTTTGTTGTTGACCCATGAGCGTAAACACTGTCCCTCTGTATTAACATATCCAATTAAACGAGTTCTTATCTACGCGAAGGAACTTCACACTCTTATAACTCCAAAGCTGTGTTATCGGAACCTCAGCGTCAGATAGGTGCATCCTTATCTCCTCCTGGCATCGTATCAAGCCGGCGTGCCAAGGATAATGCTACTTCGAGTAAGTGCATGCGACGTAATGATAGTGAAGCGGGAACATCGCTGATCGCCTCCGCATCTCGCCGTCTTTGCTCCCCAGGCAGACTAGAACAGCGTTCGTTGTGGTATGGCTTCTCCAATGTCGCAAAGTTGGGCGCCATCGGAGTTCTGTCTTGTAATTGGCGCCGCCGTGTGTCACTTGACTTGCCAATTAAATGCTGGGTGACCTCCGGAACTTACCACCTTATTGCGTAGGCGTACCGGTATTTCCAGTCAAAATAGAGAAGGGATGCCACTATGCTTTCATGCATGGGGAGCTCCTTCAGCACAACAAGCGGCATGTGGGGGAGATAGAACAAGGTCAACACCTCTGAGGCTTGATGCGAGACAGACCCCTAGCCCACAGCTTGATAGGCCAAGATAAGGCTTATCTTCCCCATATACCTCTCCATTCTTCAAATAAGAAACTTAACCTGGTGCTTATGGCATTTATGTATCGTGACCGGGCCTTCCCGTTGTTCCCGGCAAGTTCGTTACCATTCTCATCGGAGACAACAGAGCCTTGAAGCAGCGTCTCGACGATCTGTGGTGTTTGCTTTGTGTTGGGAGAAGAAATCAGAAGATGCATTCTTTCGAGAATCATAGTGCGGAGGAGAAGAAGCCGGCGGTCTTTCCGCCATCCAGTGGCGACGAGGAGACGCAACCCACGGCGACACTCGGTACAGTCACGGAGCTTCACGACCTCACGGTTTTGGGCTACAAACCTGAACTACGCCGCAATCGGTCCATGTTCACCTTGCTCTTCCAGTCACTGGCAATCGCAGCAGTCAGTTCCAGACATCAATGCCCTGTCCGGTCAAGAAATGCCGCTAATGAAAACGACAGATACCGTATGGCTTTGGCGGGCCCCTCATTTCTGCAATTTATGGCGGAGGTGGGTACCGTCTTCGACAGCATGCTAAGTCCATGCTAATTATTCCATAGGTCAGCTTCCAATGTTTCTGGGTTGGGTAGTCGTCCTGATTGTCGATGAGTGTGTGGCACTGTCCCTCGGCGAGTTCGCGTCCAAATATCCAACCTCTGCCGGGCCTTATTACTGGTCTTTCCAGCTTGCGAGCCCCAGTGTTCGAACAGTGCTGTCGTTCATTACCGGTATGTCTTCGGAATACTGACTTTTCCGTCCATCCTTGGCGCCGCACCACAAAGACTACTCAAATGTGTTCCCGTTCCCAATACACCGCACTATTTCCTGTGCTAACAAATGACCGGCTAGGTTGGACTTGGCTGATCGGGAACTGGACAATCACGCTGAGTGTCAACTTTGGGTTCGCCTCCTTGATCGCCGCAACTGTGGCACTGTATCACCCGGACTGGACACCAGAATCGTGGCAGCTACTGCTGATATTCTACGCCATATGTTTGCTTACCTTCGTCATCGTAGCTTACGGGAACAAGCTACTTCCAATGGTTGATACCATCTGCGCCGCATTCACCGCAATCAGTATTCTGATCACTCTGATCTGCCTGTCAGCAAAAGCTTCCGTGGGAAGACATTCAGCAAGGGATACATTGGTGAGATTAATCTCTGGACGCCTACTTTACGTGCTGGATAAAGCTGACACCTTCCGACAGGGGTATTACGATACTTCTCTGTCTGGCTGGGGCGGGTTTTCCTTCTTTATAGGCATGCTCCCTGCAGCATACACGTGAGTATATTCTACTGCAAACACTTCACCTTGGAAAGCGTCCTTACATATTTGCAGCTTCTCGGCTCTCGGCATGATCACATCCATGGCTGAGGAATGTGGAGATCCTACGACTAAGCTGCCCAAGGCCATCTCTCTGTGCGTTCCCGTTGGGGGAATAGCTGGTCTCTTCTTCATCATTCCTATTTGCGCGACTTTGCCACCTTTGGAAGACATCTTAGCCGCGCCGGTGGGACAAGCCCTCCCGTACATCTTTGGAGTAGTCATGGACTCACCCGGCGGCGGCCTCGGCCTGACGTTCCTCGTCCTGGTTATTACACTGTTCTGTTCTATCTCCATCACGGTGGCTGCTTCGCGGTGTACTTGGGCGTTTGCGCGTGACAAAGCTCTGCCCTTGTCTCGACTGTGGTCCAAAGTTGATGCTCGGCACGGAACGCCCATCTTGGCTCTGACACTGGTAAGCTGGACCACAATCAAGGACAGTCGAGCAGGATATCTATCCGCAATGTCTTACACAATAAACTTCCATTCCTTTGTCCATACAGAATATGCTAACTCTGCCAACCACCCGCAGACTACAGTTGTACAGATGCTCCTCGGCCTGATCAACCTCGGCTCATCTTCAGCTTTCCTGGCTTTCGTCTCGGTCGGCGTGATCTCATTGGCTGTTTCGTACGGAATACCTATTGCCATCTCACTGTTCCATCGCCGGAGAGACGTCAACGGCGCACGATGGACCATGGGGAACAGTGTGGGCTGGGTCGTCAACATCATCGCCCTTCTGTGGATCATTTTCGAGATGGTATTGTTCTCAATGCCAACGGTACTGCCAGTGACAGAGGTCTCAATGAACTACGCGATTGTGGTTTTCTTTGGTTTTATGGCCATTAGTGCCATATGGTATGCGATCCACGCCCGCAAAGGTGAGAATAACACCCAGCCATCTAACGTCTCTCAATCTTCCCCGTTCTCGCTGACGCCTTTCACAGTCTATAAGGGGCCGCCAGAGTCGGATGGGCTCATTGTTACGCCTTGAAGTACTCAAAATCCTATACAGAGCCATGTGCCATTGTCCGATCCCGCGTAGCACGCTCGTCGCTGTTTTGGTTCCCTCGCAAACAGCACTTTGTGTACGGCGACATGCACATAACAACCATGTAGCACAAATTTAATTCCGTTAGAAATCCTCAAGGTGCGGCTTGCTCGTCTTCTTCGTCGCCGTCTAGGTCATCCATATGTTCCCGCGCCCAAGGGCTTCTCTCCCGTAGTAGTCGCCCGTGACGACTCCACACGAAAGGAATCGGCACCAGTATGACTGCGAGACCAGCGAGCAGTGTACCCGCCCACTGGTAGCCCAATTTGGTGAAAAGTCCATGCGCGAAAAGAGGAAAGCCGGCGCCGAAAAGGTTGCGGATGAGACCAATGCCTGCTAGCGCTGAAGCCGAGTAGACCTTGTACGAGTCTTCGGTGTATGTGAACGTCCTGCTCTATATCAGTGACTGCCATAGGCAACAAGTCGAATGTTTTTATGCGAAACGCAAGAAGCAGATTGATGTAATGAGGAACTCATACATGAGAATCAGAGTGTAGAAGCTGAACCCCCACAGGGCTGATGCTAGAATAGGAAAGATCGGATGTATGGCAGGGTCGGTTGTCAGCGCAAAAAGAAGTAAAGATATCGGGAATACTGTTGTATTAGAGTTAGCAGGGAGACCTACACATAGTGTACCACTTATGGAAAATCGAGACTCACAGATAGCAGCAATCTTGGGCAATATGCCAACGCGCGCTTCTGGTATGTTCTTACCACCAGACTCTTCAACACTTTTCTGGTAGTATTTCTCCTGCCAGATATTCACAATAGGACCAAGGCTAATACCTACGACTAGTCCAAGGAAGCACACACCCACACCCATTGTGTCGAATCCATGGCCCTGCCCAAAGACAAGGGCGAATGCAGTATTGAAAAGAAAGCTCAAACCGTAGAGGTACCCGTTATACACAGCAGCGCACACAATGATGAGCTCGGTGCCAAGAAATCTGAACGGTCTGGAAAGTGTGACGGCAAAGAGATCTTTGGCGCTCCTCTGCTTCATGTTTTCAGGAAGGTCAATGTTGCCTTCGCCACTGTTCTGTTTGCGTTCATGCTCTACCCGTTTGGCAAGGAGGATGCTGTGGCGGGTCTCTCCACAGTATATCAGTGATGCGGTCATGATGGCCCAAAGGCTCCCACAAATGGCAAGCAGGGCCCAGAATACATCCCGCCAGCCTCTGTGTTGAGCCACAAACGACATCATGAAGAAGCCAGACGGGGAGCCACATGTGGCTGCCCAGAGATAAAGAGACATGGCCGGGCCCGTGTCGTGTGGGTGGTAGAGATCTGCGATGGTTCCACCAAAGTTTGCTTTCTATATATCAGCAAAGCTGAACGGTTCATGATTCTGCACAGGTTTGAACCCTCACCGATGGTTACGGAAGCGAAGTAGCCCGAGAGCAGCCTCACCGGCAAGAAGACTGCAAGATTTGGGGATACTGCCGATACAGCAAGAAGGCACAAGTAGACGAAGTAAGAGTAGATGTAGACCGGGCGTCTTCCATAGTACTATCATAATTCACATATCAGTGCCACACTTGAAAACACAGGGAAGGCGTTGCTCGAGGCTGATACGCACCTCAGAAAGAGGAGCCAATGTCATAGGGCCAAACGCCAGTCCCAGCACGTAGGCAGACAGCCCCAGAGTACCCAGGCCCGAAGGCAGTCCGAAATCTTCGGCAAACTTCTTGCTCGCAGGTGAGAAGCCCGATGCACCCCAGCTGACGGACAAGTCGATGAGCAAGATGGGTCCGATCATGAGCCATTTCTTCCACTGTGGCCAGTTCCTTGGGTCTTCTGGGTCTCCATGAGAGAAATGCACGACAGTCGTCTCGTGTCCTTGGCCTTGATCTTGGAGTCTATTCGCACGAGCGCCATAGTCTTGAGCTTGACTCGCTGGCGCGAGCAGGGGCTGACGGGCTGAAAGTGTCTGGTCTGTCATATCTCAGCTACGTTGGAAAGACGCCGAGGAACTATGAGCTGGAAGTGTCAGGCAAGGCAACTAGAAACTCTCAGAAGGACCAAAAGACTGCATAGACCCGAAAAGGTCTGGAATTTCCTTTGCAAGCCGCCCCTCACCCGCCCTTATCGCGCAAGTGGAGCTACCGCGGTCACGCCTTCATTGACGTTTGAGATAAGCGGAGGGTTCCAGAAGCTATCGATCGGCGCAGAGGTTTGTCGACGAGAACCTTGGAAGGTGCCGATACAGTTGGTTTGCGCAGGGCAATGGAGATTCAGCCAGCATTGATGCCGTGTGTTGAGTTTGAAATATTCGGCACAATAATCTGAGGCAAATGTTGACTCGCTGATGGTGTTTTCCGAAGGGTCAAGTGACCGTTGAGGTCAACTGCTAGGCTATGTCGTGCATCAGCACCATCATAGCGGCACATGACGTCGGAGGTGCACTGTAGCTGCTCTAAGGCATCAGCTAGGCCATTGGGGTGGACAAGGGGGTACAGCCCGAACCCTTGCTGCCCTCCCCCAAGCTTCCCAGTGAGAGCAGGTGGGCATGATTCGTGCGGAATGTATCCCCCTCCAGATTCGGGGGCGCGGATATCAATGGGAAATACTGCTGGCTTCATCAACGTGGTCTTCGTCAATGTCGTGTTTCTACTATTTGACATTTTAATTTCTTATTCCTTTTCGCTGCCTCCATCAGACACCAACAAAGAGGTTTTGATCTCCATACACCGCTCTGCTACCCTTCAATGTAGATACCTAGAGGATGACAAGACAGTCTTGCGTGACCTATACAATTCATTGCCGAAATAGTGGACGAGTATCCATTATTTCTTGTCATCACTATGAATCAATGAAGAAGCCTGTAAAATGAATTCTCAATGAAGGCATGATGTGTCTAGGAGGAAGGCAAACAATATTGTGTCTGATCATCATATGTGGAGAGAATACGTTCGGCTTTGAGGTCATGAATGTCGTGAAGACATGTCGCTTTCTCGGAGACCTGCACGCATTAAGAAGACCTTTTATTGTGCCTTTTCACGAGCGATCGACGTTATTGTTGCATATATGTCAATATCTGAATAACATTGTCAAGAGCTTTGACATTTTCCTATCCATGTATGTAGAGTAAATATTGATGTTATCATTTCCACGTTCCGTTTTTACTTTGAGCTTAATTCCCCGAAGCCTAAGAACCAATGTCGTGATTTATTCCAAGTATGAAATTATCATGAGAAGGGAGTAGAGAGAGAAATGGAGAAGGAATACTCAGACCAAATTACCCCGTGGCCAAGAAAAAGGAATAATCTGCTCCGGTCCCAGGTAATCTTTGTCATTATCACAGCCTTCAATAAATCAAGCCTGTTACTTTTTCTCTTTCGGGCTGTCTTCTTCTTTTATTCTTTTTCTCCCAAGACAAACACGCTGCAGCACCACATGCAAGCGCGAAGGACGTCACCCCCATAGCAAACTGCACAAGTCCAGTTCCGCTAATACCCATCTCTCAATCTTCTGTAGTCCTCTACCTGATCCGCGCGGGGGCTCCTCGCTACGATGTCAGTCAGACTTTCCTGACCTTCACACCGATGGAGCCTGAAGCGCTGGAACAGGCCACCCTTGGCGTTGCGGCGAATCTCGACCCCTACAACATTGTAAAGCCCATCGTATCTTATACCACAGCTTGGTGCATAATGCCGCTGGCGTTCGCCCTTCGTGGCACTCCTCAGTACACGTACTGGTCGTCCATTCCTCAAAGACTCCAGCATTGAATCATTGGCCGCCCTGCGAATGATCTCATGAGGATTCTCGTTCTTTTCCGCAGACTCGCCGCTGTAATACAAAACTTCGCCTTCATCCTTGTCTTCTTCATATTGTCCAGAGACGACAATGGAATACGCGCCTCCGTCGCGATCCCCTGAGATTCCAGCTTGCATCCCTGCGTGTGCTCCCTGAAAGCGGGCAATGATGTTCAAGGGGAACCAGTCCCCGGGGGAGAGGCCATTATGGCCGTGCACTTTGGCGTCTCGCTTCTCGTGGATGTAGCGATTGTCGAACCCGTATTCGACTTTCTTGCCCGTGTTAAACATCACGGCCCCATGCATGATTCCGTCCAAACCCCAGATCGGATGGTCCACCGGTGGTTCACGGCCGGTGAGGCTAGCTCTTGGGGCTGTTGCAGTGCCTGCTCCCCAGCGCTCAGACTCGAACTTTTGGCAGAGTAGCTCTGCAGAAGCTACCAAGTCTCTTGGGAATCCATAGTCTTCCCGGGCAATATTTCGCAGCGATTCATCAAGCTTCGAGTACCTTTTAATTTCTGGCGTCATGCGTATATCAAATCTGAGGTAGGGGAAGAATTGCTTCCTCGCGAAGGCCAAATCCTGCCGGCCTCTGCTGCTAATTGAGTTGCCGCGTGAAGTGCGATATTCTTCGATCAACCTTCTAACTACCCAATTTTGAGTCTTCACCCAGCGCACGAGTCGGCGCGGGTCAGAGGGAGGCACCAGAACATCCTCGGGCATTCTTGTGTCATCTGGGTGTCTGAGACGTGAGGACGCGACAGCAGAGTTTCTGGCCATAACTTCGTTACGCCCAAAGCCTTGGTGGGAAATATGCACAGAGATGTGGCTCCTTTCTTGTCGGGGCTCGAGTAACGATCTCCGAGTCAGAAGCTTCACGTCCCGAAATGTATAGACAGAACGTCTTATTATATACTAGGTGATGCCTAGTCTTGATCTTTTATTTGTATGTATGTATGCATTTGGGTATCTTATCAAGCCTCAGCAACTCCACAGGTGTGGTATGTGAGCATCTGCAATGGCTCATGTGTGATATGATCACGAACTTGGTGCCCATCCACACAACAAAGAGATGGCCGAGTTGCTAGAGCTAGGGTAGGCCTATATGTTTGTTTAGTTGTTGTAAGTGACACACATTGTTATGATTGTCCTGTAAGCCTGATGAGTAAGTATTGAAAAGTGAGAAAGTTGCTAAAAAAATATGATAAAGGGTGTGAAAGGTGACTAAAATGGGGTTTAAATTTGATGGGAAATCAAGATTTAAATAGAAAAGACAATCGTATTATATAATCAAGTAGAATGTTCTAAAAGTTATAGAAGTAATAGAATGCATATTATAGGTCATATTTTACTTTATCCGCTCATTGCCATTGGTGCAAACCAGCTTCAGAGTTACCCCGCTACCCTGGCTGCGAGCGGGGAAATCAAGGCGGTGTCCACTCACAGCCCCCTTGATGTGAGACAGAAGCCCACTCGATGCGTTCTGTACTGTGGTAGGTCGAGACAAGGGGTACTCTCCGACTTCGTTGCCAGTGGCTCTCTTCTGAGGTGGCAAAGGGCCCTCTTTTGCCACTAAATCGCATACTGTAGACACTCACAGAATGGGTTGTCGCAACTGTCCCGCGCTCGTACGCATCTGACTGGCCAGCTCATTCTTTAAGTCCTTCTCACTAAACAATTACTGGAAAGGCATTATGGGAAACAGTGAGGCCTATCCGGAAGTCTGGCAGATTTCGACATGTATTATAAACTTCTCAACTCTGGTTGAATTCCAGGGCGAGCAATCATTGCTGTACCTGCTGGCACAGTACAGTATCGAGCGGAAGAGGCAGGAAAATTTGCGGACTGTGGGATTACCTCCCTCTGGGATGATTCCCTTCGTCACAAAACTTGATCACTGAACCTACCACCAGAATTTTCATGCACAAAATCTCGTTAGTGTTGCAAATATCTTTGGTTTGGGCCCTTTGTAAGATCAGATGGCCGACTTGCATGTATACAGTGATCGAGGGACTGGTTTTCTTGGAACCTAAAATTGTGTTATGCTCTATTTTACGGTTGACCACATCCATTGAGCCCGGGAGATCGGAAGACAAGACGTACAACATTGTTCCTATCATTCTGTGCGCCACTGGCGTGATGACTCGTAGGTTCTTTGTAGCGTACGTTCCAACTTGCCAAATGTACTGACAGAGAGCCCAGCTATGCGTGAAATAAGAAACAACATTGGTCTCACATCCCAGAGAGCCAGTGAAAAAAGGCCCAGCCCGGGAAGACAACGTCATAGGCAGGTTCAGGAGTCATACAAAATGTCATATACGGCAGTAGCAGATGTATATCGACAGCTTGACGGTGAAGTCGTGCCGTTGAAGAGCGCGAAAGAGTCTGAATTGAAGCAGCATCCGTGGGTTCAATAGTGGAAGATTGCCCTATATCACTCATATGATGGATATTCTCGTTGTTTGGGCCGATGACCCTGGCGGTGGTAGTTTCGGCGATCGCAATACTCCTTCAATTTTCTGCTTGATGTCATGAGTTGCTGCAAACTTCCGGACATAATGAGTATCTCGTCCCTCATGACTATTGCTGCCTCATAAGCACTTGAGAAGAGCGGTGCTTGATGGTAGCCTCTTGGCCGCAAGATCTAGGCAAGTCCAGTACATCTCTTGGACTTGGTGCCGTGTAAATTCAAACATATCGGTTTCGAAACCTCTATTTTCACGTTGCCACTCAAAGGCAGTGATGATTTCTGGCAGTGCTTGGATCTGGGCCGCGGTTACAATCCGAGAGACACATATACAAGTCCATAAGTGTCATCCCCAACTATGTTTGACCTACTCACTCTTCATGATCTTCAAAAAGGAAAAGGGTCTCCAATGAATCGCTGCATAAAGACGGTATTGATGGGCTCCGGGAAAATCGTCATGCTTTGTCTGTCCCTTGCATTGTTCGCGTGGAACAAGGCATGGAAACCAGTGAAAGACTTTGCTGCTGCCATAAGAAAAAAATGTATTCCTTTGACGTTGGGCATTAGCAAACGTTTAGAGAAACATTTGTGTTGGCCCATATTAACAACAGAACATGAACTTCGAGCAGTGTTGAATCCATCTATCAATTCGATCTCAACATCATCTGAGACCAGATCCATTCCAGTCCTGAGCATCGATCAAAGATATTCTCATGAACGAAGTTACAATGGGCGCGAGAAACAGACTTTCACGAAGACGTTCAACATTTCGCAGCGAGACTCGGTATTCGCGAGACGCTGAGACTTATCGACCCAAAGCTCCAGAGCTGTTAAGAGTGACGGCAATCCTGCTTTTGATTGGCATCACCTGCCTTCCCTTTTCATTTACGCCCAAGAGCATCCTGTCGGCTTCGAATATGCTACTGCTGTTGGCTCTCCCTTTTTGTATCATACTTATCTATATGATAGCCGCAGTTCAGCTGCTCGCACTGGCATTCGGGGATGATGGCAGACATATAAAGACTAGTGGGCACAGCATATACATGGCATGAAAGTGAATTCAGGAACCTTGGACGAGCGATGAAATCGAGCCAACAATTGAAATAATCGAAGTAGTTTAGATTAATATGAAAAAGGAAAAAAATTGAAAAAGGAAAAAGGGACGGGGAAAAAAAGCCACTTCAATATACGAGAGCCTTGTGAAGAATGTGGAAAACACATTTGAGACCTTGTTATCCAGGGCCACACTGATGCGCAGATTTAGGACCCGAATGACAAGAATGCTCAATCACAGAGCGCCACGCGACGTGTTTGAAGAATCCATCAGAACTATGCATGTTGGTTGAGCATCCTGACATGAAGATTGCGAATCGTGTAATCCGAGGAATGGTATGGCATGCTGCAAGCACGGGCCCGCTCCGGAGCCTGCCTCCGACGCTTCTGCACGATGGATTGCCCACCTGCATAATTCAAATCACTGCGGTTGATATCACGCTAAAAATGAAACCGGGCCTATCCCAAAGCTCACCGACCGGCTTCCCGGTATGGTACTACTGCAGTCGCTGCACTCGTAGCTGAGGCTGTTCCGCGGTAGAACTGCTCAATCGAGGCAGGCTGCCGAGAGCGCCGACCGGTCCCTGATCTTTTTTTTCTGAGCAGCAGTCAAGCGTGTAGATCAGACGGGGTGACAGCGCCAGACCGCCCATCCGAACGCCCCATAAATAGATGAACACGTCTAGAAAGATGCCTCGGTATCGCTCAACGCCTCGGCGAGTGGAGGGCGGTGCAGGCGGGCGGAGGAGCTGCCAGATCGCCAAGCCCCGCCGCCACTCCGAATGGAACCCGCCAGGCCGCTATCATGACATGCGGATGTGACGCTTTTATTCTCCGAGACGTCGCCCGCAATATCACCGTTGCACTCATCACTAGGCGTTTTCATGCACCTCAACGATCGAACCGTCTAGCACACTCAATTCGACGCAGGTCGAAACGTACCCGTGGATTCGCTGGAGCTAATCAAGAGGCCCAAGAGCCCGGCCGTCCAGCCGTCCAGCCGGGGCCACGGGATGGGATTCCCTTTTCAGCATGGCGGCCGGCCTGAAGGCTCGTGGTGGGGACCGTGAACAATGGGCCCGCAGAGCGAACATCACCGAACCAGTCCCGGCCGACTTGCCCTTTCGGTCTGACGAGGCGTGCTATCAACCTCTCCAAGCCTCGGCTCTCAACTAAAAGAATGCTGCGGGAAGAGTTTGCATTACAAACAGTAGCGCTGTGTGGCGGGCACTACTGTGTGGTGCCACTGCGGCCTTTTGAGTCAGATTGTGGTTGCGCTGAGAGAAACAGATAACTATTGAGTTGGTCCCGTCATAAATTAGCCCAGCCGTGATCCGCCAAGTCTCAGATGACATCGTTGTGACCAACCAGTGAACCAACAAACCAGCCTCCTTCGTCAGTTTCAAAACACTAGTATATCAAACAAAAATGGCAAGAGAAAGCGTCTCTGTCGTCTTTGCGAAGCGACCGACGGGAGATATCGTGCCCGGAGAGACTTTTCGCGTCGAATCCGGTCCGGCGCCAACGGAGGCAGATCTCAAAGATGGCGAGGTACTCTTCGAGACGTATTATATATCGCTAGACCCTTCAATGCGTGTTTGGTTGAGAGGTCAGTACTCAACTATGTAGAAAAGAAAACCTTGCTGACTGGGCAGCAGAAACCGCTTCATACCTGCCCCCAGTGCAGATTGGTGAGGTCATGAGAGGTATCAGCGCCGGTCGCATATTGGCATCCAAGAACCCAGCTTTCAAGGCCGGTGACTGGGCAACGGGATTTTCTGGATGGAGGGAAGTCGCTGTACTCGGTCCTCAAACTGTCTTCCCTGCGCCATTGCTGCCAGGCATAGAGAAGCCGGACCTGCTCGGAGCTCTAGGCATGACTGGACTCACTGCCTTATTGGGGCTGAACAAGATTGGACTGCCGAAAGAAGGAGAGCTCGTCGTTGTGTCGGGAGCCGCGGGAGCAACAGGGTCTATTGTGGGGCAGATTTGCAAGCTGAAGGGCTGCCGTGTCGTTGGAATTGCGGGAACGGACGACAAGTGCGCCTGGTTGAAAGAGCTTGGGTTTGATGTGGCCTTGAACTACAAGGCCCCAGAGTTCCGAGAACAATTCCTCGAGGCAACAAAGGTAAGCGCCGGAGATGCCAAGTGTCTTTGGCCAATTATGCTGACTATTATGCAGGACAAAATTGACGTATACTGGGATAATGGTAAGTGACTAGCTAGACCGTTAGTGAAGATTTTACTGACGAAGGGGCAGTCGGAGGCGAGATCCTTGATCTGGCTCTGGGCCAGGCCAAGCTTCGCGGTCGGATTGTGAAGTGTGGAAGTAAGCAAAAGATGCCCCTGAAATGCTTCGGGCAAGCTTGCTGAAATGAGATTTTAGGTATCGGCGAGTACAACGGTGATAAGTCTTCTGGAGATCTCATGAAGGTGACAACCAACTTAAAGCGAAAATTGGCAATTTGCACGGCTGACCCAGACCACAGAACCTCGGGCGGATGTCGTCGATGCGACTGCGGTAAGTGTGCCCTCCGCGTGAACGTGGCCGATAGCAGCTGATGATCAAATAGAATGGAGGGCTTCATTGTGCTCGACTTCGCGGCAGACTTCCCTGAAGCAATGAAACAGATGGCTGTGTGGGTTTCGCAAGGGCAGATCAAGTCCAAGAATACCGTAGTCAAAGGCGGACTTCAGAAGGCAGACCAAGCCCTCGCCGACATGTTCAAAGGCATCAACACAGGTGAGACTATCTCCGTCTTCGGTTCCCAATTTTGCAGGGAAGACATACTGACCCTACTCCGAAACCCAGGGAAACTGGTCGTCGAGGTCAAGGACCCCGAGCAAAGTTCATAGGTGTGCTTCAATTGCCCATTTCCGGGAAAGGGACAACGTAACTCGGTGGCCATGTATGTGCTGCGTGAGGTAGATATGAATGGCGAGCAGCGGCATGCAGTCGTGCTGCCAGACACTGGATCAAGCGTGGATAGATTCGTGACGCTAAACAAGGTGGCTCGAAGGCGTTTCAAGCGGAGAGGTTGTGAAGGGCATGCCCAGATTTGAGGTCCACAGCTCGGCTATACGATTCATGTAGAATATTATGCAGAAGCTTTGCCTTGCAATGATCATGAATGAACACAACTGTCTAAATTTGTCAATTTTGGCAATCAAGAGTGATGAGGTGCTCTTCAACATCATATCTCTGTGATCATCTCTCGGATCTCTAGAGATGATGTTGCAGAGCATCGAGCTGCATGCGCAAGAACCTTGCTGGTGTTGTACCCCCGTACCTAGGCTTACCTAAGCGCAATCGCATGAACGTCAATCTTCCCAGGGTCGCGTCGCGTCAGATGCGTTCGCTCTATCCAGCAGCGAGCGCATGTTTAACAACAGCGAGCCAATTCGCTGCTAGCTGCCCCTCCCCAAGGCCGCGATCCTGTACAGGGATTCGCGTTCTCATAGTTGTTTTCCATGCACTCAACAATGTCGTCCTGAGCCTCCTCTCCCTCCCCTCCTAAGCGGCCGTCTTCGAAGCCCACCAAATTCCGGCATCTCTTGGTCGACCAATTCTCGGCGAAACCTCCGATCGAAGCCCTTTCGACCTCGAGATTTGCCAGCGCATGCATCGCACACCCCGACGATTTGTTCCGTCTTGACTAGGACTCTGCATACAACATGGACAAGATGCTCAGACTCGGACCGAGCACGCAGCTTCTGTCCAGGTGTGGTAGTGGATGGTTGACCGGTGTTGCGCCCCTCAGGAATGCGAACACCTTGTACCAGAATGTACGGCAGGTCTCTACAACACGGCCAAAGAAGGCCCAGGCAACCAAAGAGCAAGTGAAGGCGACGAAAGAGGCAGTCAAGGAAATAGTAGAGAAGAAACCGAAAGCGACAAGTTCTACTGCTGCAAAGCCAAGAAAGGCGTCTACAAAGACTGCTGCTACCAGTTCTTCAGAGAAAGACGTGCCAGTAGCAAAAGCGGCCAAGGCTGTCAAACCGACCGCAAAGACCCGGGCATCCAAGTCTGCCAGTACAGGGGCTACTGAGCAGGAGACCAAGGGCGCGGCACCCGCAAAGAAAGCCACAGCGCCGAAGCCCAGCGCAGCGACGACAACATCGCGAACACCAAAAGTCACTGTCGCATCTTCAGCAGCCAAAGCCCCGGGACTTGCGTCATCTGCGCACACGCCCACGCCGACGTCCACGCCTAGGCCGACTGCTAGTTCCACGAGTCCTGCGAATACGCCGAGTTCGCCAGCGGCCCCAAAAACAGCAAACAGTGTCCCGACGCCAGCGGACAAGGGCAGTCCTACGTCGGCACCCTTGCCCTATGCTGCCCATGTACCAAAACCCGCAGAGCCCTCGACCGAACCGAAACGGAAGATCGATCCCTCCAGCCCGGAGTACAAGCGAGCTGCACGGAAGTGGGTGTCGACTATGATAGCGCTTCCCATCTTGCTTGTCACATCATACTTCCTGTATGACAGACGTAAGTGACTCCCTACACGAAGAGTAGGCCAGTTCTGTGAGTGCCGGAGACAAGGCTAACTCTGCTTGAAGTGGTTTTGGGTCATCATCCAAGTTTAGAGGCGTTCCGCCCCAAGCCTCAGGCGGCTGCTATAGAGTCGCAAGACGCATAGGCTCATAATGTCTAAGACAGGAAAGACGAAATCCCATGAAATTCCCAACTCGCTTGTTTGTTTGAAACCCAGGCTATGGTGCGCCATTACGTCGCATCGGCGAGCACGGCTCTAGGTGATATGCCTGCCATGTCCGCCCGCCCGACTAGACTGGAGGGTTCTTGGAGCGGCCCATCGTATATTTACTTTCCAACGTACGCGGTGACCTTGGACCTCGGGAAGCCCTCCAGATTCAAGGCACAGCTCTGACGTGGCAATAAGAGCTGCCCAGCCCGGTCAAACCCACTGAAACCTGCCTCTAGCATGCCTCGGTGGCCAAGTGTGTTCCTCAGATGCACAGTCCTAAGCACGCAAGTGCCTGGACGATGACGACCCTTTGCCATCGCGATGACACGTACAGCCATTTGAAGTTGATATTCCCTGATAGCGCCAGTGTAGACTGCGTATACGTGTTCCGTGCATCCTGACCTCCCGGGTTGTGACGGCACTAGAATAGTACGACATTATTTCCAGGTAGCACCAGGTCACAATTTCTTGATGTCGAACCGCATCATGAAGTCTTCAATGATGTCAACGTGCGCTATGGATGAAGCATGCCTCTTCGTAAGCAGTTGATGCTGCGCTGTAACGACCTGTACCTCCAGATCGCCGTCATCAGTGCCCGCCGCACGAGATGACACGGCCACACCGAACGAAGTCAGCTTCTCCGACAGTCCCACCATCAAATGCTTCAACAAGGCAATCTGCATTGACACAGCCGCTGTCTTTGGCGGCACGAAAGAGCCCACGCGCATGTCCGGACCGTCGAATTCCGGCTCGCGCCGTTCGGGGCTGGCCACCGTCACGCGCAAGCAAGCGGTAACGAGCAGGAAGAAGCAGTCGAGGATGTCCAGTAAGCGGATGTGGCACGACACGAGCACGTTGGCTAGTGCAAGGTCGGTCTTGAGTGCCAGATGCCGACCCGATACATGCTGTTCAATCTTCTCAAGTGCTGGAGGCAACTCGAGCGCGTGCGTGCAGACTGGGATGTCGCAGGCTGGAGGCGGCGCTGTGTCCGGAGGCATGGCGAGACTGGTGGCATCAGTGTACAGATCGATGAGTCGCTGAGCCAGAGCGAAGAGCTTCTCCAGCACTGCCTTCGAGGCAATCTTGTCTGTCAGGTTCTTGACATGTGCTTCATGTGAGCCACTTTGCGGCAGGTGCAGTGTTGTCTTCATGGGTAATTTTGCCCATAGCCTTCCCAAGTCGTGGAGCAGCTCTGTCAGTTTGCTGGTGCAGAGACATACCGGATCGGTGGTCTCGTCATCGGAGGTTGAGCTGGACAAGGCCGAAGTCGTGCTGCCGCCGTTTGACGAATCCTCCTCCTGCACGCCTTGGAGCCCGCTGGACGATTGTGGGAGCAGCGTGTTGAAGTCAATTCCACCAGGAGTGGTCCAGTTCAGGAAGTCGTTATCCTGCAGGCTCTCGTCCAATGTCATAAAATCCGCCGTAATGGCTGTGTTGACATTGCTGCACGTGGAGATGGTGCCTGGCGGACTGTAGATGCATTGTGTACCAGCCTTCGCACATCGGGTACAAAGTGCATTCCCTGGCTGCTTTGGACATCTCAGCTTCTGAGAGTGGCAGCGATCACAGGCTAATCTTGTGCGAGTGAGGGCTGGCATCCTGCTGGCCACTGGGTGCAGGAGAAGGTCAACAATATTTGCGGGTCGGTTTTCTCGTCATCTGACGGGCAGGGCCCGTCAATAACGCCCTCGGTTGTTGTTACTCAGATCGGGAAAAGCAGGTGATCCTTCGTGGTGAAGGCACCAGTCTAATGTAGGGAAGCCGGGCCGTGATATAAGCACGTCGTCTTACAAATCCAGCGTCTTTGGGGTGAGTAAACATGGCTATTCAACGCCATGTTGTGCTTGTTATGTACGTCCTGTGACGTTTCCTTGATCAATTTCCTGCATACTGTGTATATGGAGGTCTATTGCCTGTGTTTTGACGAGGTCTTCTCTGCTGTGGGAGCTGGATATCTAGGTATAGGTATCTACAGAAATAGAGCTTGAAGAAGTGATGGTTGATGTTGTGGGTAGGGCGGAAGAGCACCTCCCCCCTCCCAGCCCCCCCTGTATGCGGCCCATCAGCCCACCCCACCTGCCGAGTTCAGCTTCACCTCAAGACTCGGGATCCCTGTCCAACATACCTATAGGCAGCTGGATGCGACTGTAAGCTGCAGCCAGCCGTGCGACTCCAAGACAACTCCATTAAACGGTCATCATCACAACAATAACAACAAAGACAGGGCAACCTCAAAGGCCTTGCACCCCTACCGCCCGTGGTTATCTAACCCAGAGACCCATCCGTTCATGATTTCCATCACAGACTACCATGCTGGACTCGTCTCTGCATCCTGACGACCTCTAGCCTGGCAAGCTGGCCATGTCAATTGTTCCCTATCAGTCTCGCGGTCGCGAGATCGTCTTGTACGTCAACTACCGTTGTTCTACCCGTCGCTCTAGCCCCCGTTACTTCCGTCTCTAGCTCCATTAGAAGCTTGTGTCCTAGAACTTGCTAACGAAAGCCCTCGCAGGCGCCACCACAATGCCGTCGTCGTTCGCGACCCCTCCTCGCGCCGCCTTGAGCTCGACCGCGCCCTGGTAGAGTGCCCGACATGCCATCACCCGTTGCGATCGTCCTCTCCCGATCGAGGCTACGACGCCTCATCCGACAGCGACTCGTATGTCAGCCCAGACTACTTTCGCATGCTCCGAGACCGCCACGACCTATTTCAGCCCGAGCAACCCCCGTCGAGTCCTATACGTAGGCTGGTGCACTCCTTTGATGACGCCGACCGGAGCCTCCCGGAATATGCTCAAGATGCCGAGTTTGTGTCGAGCGCTCCCGTCCCGCAAGAAGGGAGTCGCATCAAGAAGGAGGCTTTCCAGCCCAATTACTTCAAATCGTTCTTTGTCGAGGAAAGAGAACTCGGCAGGGGCGGGAAAGGTGTGGTGCTGCTTGTGAGGCATGAGATCGATGGCTGCCAATTGGGGTACTTCGCATGCAAGCGTGTACCTGTTGGTGATGACCATGGCTGGCTTGAGAAGGTCCTCATCGAGGTTGAGCTCCTTGCCAAGCTGTCGCATCCAAATCTGGTTTCGTACCGACACGTCTGGCTGGAAGACGTCAAACTGAACCGGTTCGGACCCAGCGTCGCATGCGCCTTCATTCTTCAGCAGTACTGTAACGGAGGTGACTTGCTTCATAAGGTCGTTGGCAAGTTCCCGGAGGAGACAACCAAGGAACAGCTCAAGGCTCAGATGCGACGTCGATCCAAGGGTCATACAGATAGGCCGACGGACTTGTGGGCCGCACGCTCCCAACTCCTGCCTGAAGAAATCTACTCGTTCTTCAGAGACATCACTGCCGGTCTTGCGTACCTGCACGCCGCCAGTTTCATCCATCGTGACCTTAAGCCCAGCAACTGCCTACTGCATGACGAGCGAGGGAGGATCACATGTCTGATCAGCGACTTTGGTGAGGTGCAGCCAGAAAATGTTGTTCGTAAGTCGACGGGGTCGACTGGCACCATCTCCTATTGCGCACCTGAGGTGTTGAAAAAGGACGGGACAGGTAGGTACGGGAACTTCACCACGAAGTCAGACATCTTCTCTTTGGGAATGATCCTGTACTTCATGTGCTTTGGACGACTGCCATACCAAGCAGCCAACACAATCCATGAGGAGCTAGAAGATGTCGATATGTTGCGAGCCGAGATCACCGACTGGAAAGGTTTCGAGGACGAACGAAGAGAGAGGCCGGAGCTGCCTAGCAAGCTCTACACGCTTCTCAAGCAGTTGCTCGCGCTCAACCCGAATGACCGCCCCAGCGCCAACGAGGTCCTAAACGCGCTGAAGAACGTCACGATTCTGGAGAGCATGTTGAGAGGGGCCGGCGCTTCGATCAATGTTCCGGGGCGGCGAATCCAGAATTTGGATTCGCCAATGCCACCGAGCACTCCTGTGCCAGGTTGGTTCAGGCCCACCGCTGTGCCTCCGCGCTTGGCTAACACCTCTTAGATCCGAGAAAGCGTGCCACTGTCCAGTCGTCATCGCAAGACGACCTTGAAGACACGCGGCAGGAAGATATCCCCCAGAATACACTTCACCAGAGCCTACAGAAACTCTCGAATCCACCGCAAACAAGACATCGCGCACCTACGATGTCACCATCACACAGCCAGGACAGCCATCATCGTCCCCAGTCACCTCGACACAGACACTCCAGTCCAGCACGCGATCAAGAAGCTATCACCACTCCTCTACTTATGCCTCCGCCCACGACTTTTTTGGGGGAGATCAGGATGAGATACGAGGAGCTTACACGCTCATTAGCTGAGCCTACGTCACCATTCTTCCGATTCGTGCTGTTTGTGGTTAAAATGGTGGTCCTGGCCCGCGCCTGTTGGCCTACGAGTTTCAAAATGGCCATGGGTGGCATCCTAATCATCGCAGCGGCTGTAGATTTGGCCTGGGTGTTGAGTCTGAAAAGATCTACCCTCTTTTTCGTACTCCACCTTGCCCTCGTCTTAACATTTCAGAGACGTGGCGACCTCTGCCTGGACGGTCATGAATCGTGGGATTGGAGCCCGGCTCTCGGTCAAGATGGTGGCGCCTGAATGACATAGCAATACTTGTCACGAATCGCGACCTAAAGAGCGAACTCAACTTGCAAACGGACAGCCAGTGAAGTACTTCTGAACGAGTCTATTTACAGGTGCTAAGCATTTGAGCCGGGCGCTGCGTCGCGGGACACGAAGAGGTGGAGGGGCACGTAACGGTACGGGCGTCTAGCTGATGCTCGCAGGAAGTGGAACCGGCGCTTTGAGTTCCTGTTTGAACCTTCAGAATGGCCCTTGCATGCATCCGTTCTGCGGAAAGATCATGAGGCTCGGCGGCGTTTGAGGTCTCGATTAAGTTCCTTTTTTCGGGTGGCGAATGTGCCCGAAGTCCTGGTGGGCGCCAAGGGCATGAAAGCTGGAAGCAGTCAGCGTCGCGCGTAGTTGCGAGAACTTCGCTCTCGTTGGCAGGAGAATTGAGGAGCGGAGTGATCTGAGGTGGGCTGAGTGGCGGGGACCAGACATTCTATCCTGTGTATCCTTCTTGGGCCACTGCTGAACTGTTGCCCGGGCGCGAGATCAAAGTCCGTCTTTGGCATGCACTGCCCCTCTTCACGTGTGTGTTTGCATCGCGTGTTTGCATCTTTAGATGAATTTGTCGACCGCCGGGCCTTTGGACACCGGACCAGCTCCACTGGATCCTGTCCGCGCTTCGGCGGGCTTTCAATTGGTCGTGAGTTGCAAGTTGGATGCAAGTACAAACTTCGTAATAAACCCTGGCAAGACGTCGTGTCTGGATTAACCGCCGGTGTGCCCCTCACTTCAGATCCTCTTTGGCCGTTGTGCGCCTTGTAATCTTAGGTGAGGGCCTGGGCCCTTTCGGTGACTCGGACCCATATATCTCTCACAATGTTCGAATGAAGAAGCCAATGGTATGGTATATGTCTCCAACCTCGGAGGCCAATCTGATGTTTCTTGCCTGTTCTCGGCTTCTGTTATAAGCTGTTATATATTCATTCGAGCTAAAGCAATAATCGGAATCTTTTAATACACAAATCGCGCGACTGGAGAAAAGTCACAAATACGGAGCAAATCAGGGACATCGAGGAACCAAGGAATACGTCTCATACGTTCCTGGCTACCATGTGCACCCGGAGAAAAGTAATCATACACCACCGATGCGGTCACAAAATCATCAAGATCCTCGTCTCGGAACCATGCGGCGACGATGACTGCAGGAAAGTCAAGGAAGAAGAGGTCGCCTCGAATCAATACCCCTGCGTCGTAAACGTCTGCCCTCATTACGGGCGTTTCTGAACCCAAAGGGAAACGGTGGTTGGTCTTTGATCGTGAGTGCGTTGCGATTGTGTTCTCGACTAGGCGCTAGGCTGACTTGTTCATCACTGGTTGGCAGTGCTCGAGAATGACGTACTCGCCGTTGGCCCTCATGTGTTCAAAAACATGCCTTACAAAAGGTTTACTGGAAGGGGGAGTAGGCGGACGGAAACATGAGAAAGATGTGGTAACTCTCGACTTCGGTTAGAATATCCACAGATGCAGAAGCGAATGTTTAGAAGGCTTCCAATCAGAAATGCATGTCTCATGTAATGGAGGACCTGTGAGTACTTTAGCTGGATGGAATACTGAATTTTGAGCACTTTTTCGGATAATCATTGTTCGTGCGTGATCGATTCTTGACTCTCAAGTCGTCATACTATGTCCATGCAGTGGCAACTCTGCAAAATAGCTATGCGTTGCCTGGGCCTTCCTCCAAACTCGCCTTTAATAGAGGCAAACAACAAGGCTTACCTCCCGTTGACCAATATTGCACCCTGGTTGAATCCGAAAGCTCAAGCAGCGTGGAAAAAAGCTTGTGAAGAGTTCTGCCATATGCTCTCTATTGACACATGTGAACAGCGTCCGGCAAACAGAGACTTAAAGTACCCTGCTTTTTGTGCATGAGTTTCGGTTCTGACTGAGTATTTCACATCCGTTTGAATCCCGCTTTGCGAATGACTCGAGAAAGAGAGCAGGAAAGAGGCGATCAACCAGGCCTAGAACAACTATGTGCAAGTGTATCGATCTCATGCTATCGATTGCCAATCAGCGGAGCCGGCCCCTAGGGAAATCGAGCCCATGTCATAAATGAATGTTATATCTACAGGCATTCCAAAATCAAGTACAGTTTCATTTTATGACTTCCTATAGAGTTCACTTTCGTCAGAACGGGTGGCGCATAGGACGTTTGTTGTTCTCAGAAACAGGCAGTGTACCGGCATCGGGCCGAGTGAACGATAAGGAGCCGAAACTCGGCATGGGTCAACCATGTTATTGCTCAAGTGAGCATTACGCATTTCTCAAGGCTCGACCACCGTAAGCCCTTATACGCGATGTTGATCTAAGCTTGGAAAAATACCTCGAAGCAAATCTCAGCTTACCTTCACGGTGCTTTTCTGATCCGGGTTAATCCATTACCGACTTCAAGATGGCCCCTATTGCACTTGAAGAACACGCCCATACTCCAGGCGGGGTAGACCTCAAGCCCAAAACCACCAACATTGCTGTTGACGACGCCCTGAGGAAAGCCCTGGAGGCAGCAGAGGCTCGCTTTGTCAAATCACATCCGGCATCAAAACAGCAACATGAAATCGCCGTTTCCCACCTGCCGGGTGGAAACACCAGGACGCTGCTGCACACCTCCCCCTTCCCACTTACAATGAAGTGTGGTAAGGGACCATTCGTCTGGGATGAGGATGGGCATAAGTAAGGAAGGCCTGATCACCATTTCGACTGTAAGCTCTAACAAGCAGACAGGTATCTTGACTTGGTCGGGGAGCTCAGCGCAGGCATATACGGCCACTCGCACCCTGTCATTCGCGAGGCCATGGTCTCGACCTTCGACAATATTGGCTTGAACCTGGGGTCTACCACCAGCCAGGAACACAAGTACGCGTCACTAATATGTGAGCGGTTCAACCTTGAGCGTGTTCGATTTGCGAACTCGGGCACCGAAGCCAACATGCATGCCTTCAATGCCGCCAGGGTCTTCACGGGCAAGAACAAAATTGCTGTTTTCAGTGGAGGGTATCACGGAGCAGTCTTCAGCTTCGGCAATGGCAAGGTGGCCACGAACGCTGTCAACAGAGATGACTGGGTCATTGGTAAGTACAACGACGTCGAATCTGTCAAGGCCGTTATCGAGGAAACTACAGACCTTGCCGCTGTCGTTGTGGAGGCAATGCAGGGTGCGGGTGGAGGCATCAGGGGGACCCAAGAATTTCTATCCCAGATTCAGGTACGTCAATGAGGAACAATTTTCCATACCTCCCTTTCGTCCTCGTACTAATGCCGGCCAACAGGAGTCAGCCAAGAAAGTCGGCGCGGTTTTCATCCTCGATGAAGTGATGACTTCCCGTCTTGCTCCCAACGGCCTCCAGGGAGTCCTCGGCCTGAAGCCTGACCTGGTGTCACTCGGAAAGTACCTCGGCGGAGGGTTCGCCTTTGGCGCGTTTGGTGGTCGAGCAGAAATAATGGCTGTCTACGACCCGCGGACGACTGGCGCAGTGGCGCATTCTGGAACATTCAACAACAACACCATGACAATGCACGTTGGTCACGCAGGACTGTCGAAAATTCTGACCCCCGAAGTGAATATCGCGTTCAACGCGAAAGGGGACAAGTACCGCCAAAGACTACAAGATGTTACTAAGGGTACCAAATGCTCCTTCATAGGCCGTGGGGCGTTGTGGTGTGTCCACTTCTCGGACACAGGGCTGCGGGACATCAGGTCCGTGGAGGACGTGAAGGAACGGCTGGACTTGCATGACTTGTTCTGGTTTGAGATGTTGGAGGACGGGTTCTGGATCCACCGGCGGGGGTCTATGGCTCTGATCCTGGGTACACCCGATGAGGAGCTGGACCGATTTGTAGGGTGTGTTGAACGGTTCCTGGAAAGACACAAGGAGATAATGACGTTGTAACTCCAGCCCATCATCTTGTCCTATCCTATTGTCGAGTTCTTACATGGACATCATCGGTGTTGTCACCTGAGCATCGCCATCATTTTGCATGTATGTAAGCCATAGAAATAGAATTTTGGGGCTGCGATGGCAAGATAGCCTTGCGTGAACATGCTGAACACTACAAGGACTGGGGGTTCCTCTGTATCCGCCAACGCCAGGGCGGCGGTAGATACGCTCTCTTCGCGAAACACACCCAGGTCGACTAGTTGCAGCAGATAGGTTGCTACTCAGATGGAAAGAGACTTGAGGCGAAGGGTAATGCTGGCAAGCTGGAGAAGTGGGTGTTCGACGTGAGAACCTTTTTCAAATACCCAGCATATCCACAAATGCCTTGCCCTGAGTGATACATGTTCTAACCAGCCATCAACCTGTTTGCAGTTCTGGTCCTAATTGGTCCCTTCACAGGAAAATGGTTCCGGCCTGGTCCTCTCATTCTTTTCTGCTTGTTTACCCATGTAAAGCTAGGTACCCGGTTGAGGACAGGGCAGTAAAGCACGCAATTGTCAGAACTTTGTGTTAAACAACTGCTTGTCAATTAACAGCAAGGGCAGTGGTCAAGTATGTGTGTTCGTTTATTCTCTCCAAAGCATCAATAAATTAATATTTGAATCCAGAACACGGTAGATCTCAGGCTATGGGGCCCCTCATCTTGATCACAGGCAACCCCCTGCGTCGCTGCAGCCCCTTGCTCCTCTTGATAGCCGCAGCTCTCTTGCCCTTGACATCCGTGGCGGCCTCGACATCCCTAGTCTCCAGATCTCCCGTCTTTCCATCTGGCAGCACTGCCAGGCCATCCGTGATGCTTCCCGGCCCAAAGTCAGGCTCACCACCAAGCGACCCAAACACGTCACCGATGTAGTTGGAGGCCTTGACGCCAGCCTTGAAGGTGCAGTTCCAGTCGCTCAAGATACCCTTGGCGATCTCGACTCCGGCGTAGTAGATGTTCTCCACAGCGATTTCAAACCCGTTCTGGTCGTTGATCAGAAGGTGATCATAGGCTGAGGTACCCGGCGGTGGGCGATCGAAGTCGGAGCCAGTTCTCATGAGGATGATCCGGGAGAAGTCGACAAGGCCTTCGATGGCCATCCGGAGCAGAACCTCGAGAGTGGCGTTGTCCTCCTGCGCAGTCATGCAGTAGTGTCCAGACCCGTTCGTCCAGAGAGTCGTGGTGTTGTCAAAGGCCTCCGCCAACAGCTTACCGGAATAGTAGACATCACTGGTGGCGCTGTCGCAGAGGACGACGCTCGGAGGCAGGGTGGCCGCAACTTGGACCTCGCCTGCGGCAACATAACGCTCGCGGTACTCAGCCGCGATGGCGTTGTCACTGAGGTTGGCCTTAGACGCAAGCTTGTACGCGATCTGGCGCAGATCCTCATTGACCTCGAGCACTTCCGTGCCGTACCAGGTCTCGGGCATGATGCCCGGTTGCAAGGTGCCGTAGCCCACGTAGCCGGTCGTGTAGTTCTCAGGCATCTCGCGGGCGTCAAACTCGTACTGCAGCGCGACCTGAACGGCATACCGGGAAAGAGCGACACCGCCGAGGGTGGACCATTCCGGGCTCACGCCTGCAATACCACCGATCATGAAGTAAGTCGAAGTGAGATCGAACTTATCGGACAGCACGACGGAGGTGATGGTCGCGGCTGCGTTGATTTCCGACTCGCCGGTTGTGACTTGACAGATCTGGAAGTCTTCTGTGCAATGGATGTGGGGAAACAGCATGGACAGGCCAGGGGTGCTGATATTGACAGCCAGGAGGTCACCGAGGCCGCTGTCCGGGAGCTTTTCATACCAGATATCCGCCTCAGGTGTGAACTACAACCGAATTAGCCATGCATTCGAACTGTGCGCAAAGCAAGGCTCGTGGGCAAACCTACCATGCTGATGATGAAGAATTTGGGCGCCATCTTTGCTTCACGGATCGCCAGGGGCGCCTTTGGGGCCTTGACCGTGGCTGCAGCTGCGTGGTTGACAGCGAGCAGCGCGGAGGCCGCGATTGAGAAGAAGCGCATCTTGAAGGCAGGTGAGCTTCTTGAGCCGAGGTGGAAAGATGCTCAATACGGATCAGAAGCAGCTACACGACTACCGACGGAAGGCAATGGCGAAGGAGAGAGTGGGAACAGGGCACCATCAACTTTTATATAAACTTATGCAGGAACGAAGAGTTCAAGCTGTGGGGCCGGTGAGTGAATAACTTTCCTATCAGTAAGACGTGATCCACCATATTACCTCAAGCAAGAGTGGGAATCAACCGCGATAAAGTGAAAAGCCTCGCATTGGTGAATTCCTCTTTGACATCCACTTAGCTTGCATGATTGGGGGCCCCACTATTGAAGAGCCGGCATGCCGGGCTGCAAACAACAGACCTCGAGGGAGACATTGAGGGCCCCGAGGACTCACTCCCAAGCCACATTTCGTCCCAGCCAGCAGTAAGTTGACTAGGCGTGCGCTGAACCGAATCACCTGAAGCCCAACAACCTGTTGGAATAATACCATCAGCTGCAGCACTTGGCAGTCAGCCGGGGCATCGAATTGGGAATAAAGGACAAAGGAAAGGGTGGCATCGCTAGTCGGTGACGTCGGGCCCGAAGATATCGGGATGAGATTCGAATGGGGAGATAAGAGAAACATGGTTCTCCCGTGACTGCTGAGCAATGGGAACTGCTATCTTGACTCATGTCATCAAAACGCTGAAATAGGCCTCGCGGCCTGAGGGTGTCTTTGCCGATCATCTGTGGCGTCCAAGTAGTCCAAATTGCTGCCCGTGGGGTGGCACTGGACTGTCGTTGAATTGGTGTTCCAGCTCAAGTCGAGACCTGATGGCTGCCAAGGACGGCACTGGCCGATGGCAGACGATGACTACCGGCACTATGAGAACTCGGCCTGCTTGTGGGAGCACCTCACTGACTGTGACGCACCAAAACGAGAGCGGTGTGGCCATCAAAAGGGGTGAAGATAACGGACGATACCGGCAGACTTTTCTGCTGCACTCCAGAATTGTTCGGGCCGAGATCAAGCTTTGTGGAGCCTCGCTGAAGCCTCCTGGGAGATTCCCGGAAGCAACTGAAGCTGCTTCTGGTCGACTATCCTTGAATGAAGGTGACGTACGACAACTCTTCGCGGGCGGTGGCTCTCAGTGGTGCGGAATGATACCACTGCTCTGATGTGCGAAACGGTCGAAATGATGAAGTAGACCTGCTGGCTGCTGTTTGGCCGGGCAAGAGATCCAATCCCGCAGTCCCGCAGTCCTGCAGGCACAGCACGGCAGCGGGGTTGCTGGACCGCACATCGCATGCAAGGTACGCGAAACTGTCTCCACACTGCAACCACATGGGCGCGCAAAAAGTGGTTCATCTCATTTTCGCGCTGTCCAGCTGCGAACCTCTTGCCGTGAGGTTTCTCCTCATCGATGTCGCACAGATGATCCAGTATTCGGGCTGCTTGATTGCTGACGTGCATTTGAGACCTCATCTCGGTCTAAAGATGACAGTCTCGCCTGGTATTGACAGCTCCAGCTTGTCTGTCGTGTCGTTTATCCGCTCTGCAGTGTCTGTATCCGCAAAAATGAATCACAGATGTTTGACCTCCAGGCATGGGGGAAACAAATCCTCGCAACTGGTGATTTGAAGTCCTATCATCGTCATGAAGTCGGCCACTGAAGGCACAAAGAGTCGTGACCTTGCAAAAATGTCAATCCTGAACCGTCACATGCAGTTCAAGGGATGAAAGGCCTTGGGAAACCCTTGCACAACGCGACCCTCCCCCACAGGAGGGCCGGGGGGTTCGTAAGCTGATTCAGAAATACAGCTCTTCAACAAACACACTTAAATTGCCAAGGATAATATCGAGAGACGATGGTTAACTAATTTACATCTCCCATCTCCTACCCATCGTCGACCGAGATGGGGATCTAAGAGGCCGGACCAGCATTAATGAACAGCCTGTACGATCTGAAAGGACCCTTCCTGTTGTCCGTATTGTTGTACTGCCTCGACGGACCCAATTCCAGTTGATTTGTGCAAAAGTACAGATAACCTTGCAAAATCGCGGCACTGTCCGCGTGCTGGATTAGCCCGTTTCTCACCAGCGTCTTGACGTAGTAGTTTTCTGCTGCAACGAGACCCGAGCCACCAGCAGGCACACCGTTTACCTCCTCCGTGATCCTGGATTGTTCCGTCTGCACGTAGTAGATCGCATTCTGCTCGCTGGCTAACAGGAAGACTCGGCCCTGGTCATCCGCCGTGAACCCAGCTTGTTCCGAGCCGAGCTGGCCTGGGTCCTGAACCGCGGCGAGTACCTCGGCATCCGTGGCGTTGAAATTCTGCAGGATCTCCTGGGAGATATAGTAGAACCTTCGGGAAGAAAGGACACCCCAGTAAACTTGGCCATTCTGGAGGGCTATGCCATCTGATGATGTGGTGCAAAATGACTTGGCCGTTCCGTTCCAGCAGTAGATTGGCTCCCCATTGTATGAACCGACGTATCCGGGGTCAGCCATCACAGAAGACTGCCCAGCACGTCTCTTCACAACGCTGCCCGTGGCAAGGTCGACGGCCAGGAGCCCACCTTTCACCGAAGCATCCGTAAGAAACGCAAAACCTCCTGTCCCAGCTGTATTGTTGATCCGCAAGTCGTTGAGGTTTGTTCCACTCGCCAAGATGTCATCCGGGAAAAGATATGTGCTGGTCAGCTTCTTCGTGGAGGAGTCGAAACTCATTATTTTCGCACCCCCTGTGACTGCAGGCGCAGTCTTTTTGTAGGGAATCCCGCTGTCGAGCACCCAGAGCTGTCCTAGAGCATCCAACACCACGTTCTGCACGTTGATGAAACACTCCGACGCATTTTGGCTCGGTTGACAATTCTGAATCTCAGCAGAGGGCCATGGCTCCTCTTCGTCAAAACTCGCAGCTATGGTCACCGTGTTTGTTGCGTTCTCAAAGTTGCGCGGGTAAGTGAGGTAGATGTTCTCATTCAAGTCAAGTGCCAGACCTGTCGGTGCTTTTTGGCTTTCGTGAACGGCTTCGAGAGCACCGCCGATGATTTCAAAGTCTTGCGCGCAGACGCCATTCGTCGAATTGGAGCTTGACAATGCTGGATCGGGACAGACTGCAGGGAATGTCGCTTTGGCAAGGGTTGTGAGAGCGAAGACGACGAGTAAGGCTGATAAAATCATCATGTTTGTTGAATCAGTGCCCTGGAATTCTTCCACCTGTTGCGTAACACTCTACTACTGAGTATCGGCGAGTTGGGTATCCCGACTTGATGTTCTCGAAGGACGAATTGCTGACGGTGTAGGTCTTGCATAGTCAGGTTCCAAATCGTATGCCAGTTCTGATTGCGTCGATGGCTCATCCAATAATGACAGTCACTCGTCATTGGGGAATGACGACTTTATCAACCCAAGATGGCCGCGCTCCATCAACCGTGTCACGGTTCATTGTGTTATGATGGCCCTGATCCTTAGTAATCTCCCCGCACGTGCATGATGTCAACCGTTAATCACAGCGTCGTAGCCGGCATGTTGCTAGGTAGTCTCCAAGGACATGCGCGAAATGATTTCTCGTGATTTCCTAGTAGATATATGCCGTCAATGAATCGGAAAGGGTGTCGCAGTGACATCTTGCCACACGTGGACAGGGAAAGAAAGCTTACCGGAAGCTTCCGGTAGCCAATAGTTGGACGATGAAACGAACACAACACCAGCCGATCTAGAGAACTCACCCCACAATTCGACTCCTGTGAACCTGGAAAGAATGAAGAGCTGGTAGCTTTGGGAACTGCATACCAGAGGTGCTGTGGCCTTTCAATGGCAAGAAGGGCGCTAATGTTGGAATTTTCCGGAAGTCATCAAATGCATTGAAATATGAATGCTGTCAAGCATGTTGAAAGTCACATTCGAGTGAACATAAATTCGAGCACAAGAAAGCACTAATCACTGCGTTTGAATTATTTGCAAATCGAGTGGCTGAATACAAGGATATCGTGACTTGGAATTTTGGCAATTTTAAAGCATTTTTGTCTGCACGAGTTACATGATCACAACGCTGTACTTTTTGGGCTTGGAGGCTTCCTCCAGGCATTAATCGAAGAAAAATCGTTCCAAAATTTATGCCTATCCAGTGTCTTGATGCCCAGTCTAAAGTGACAAAACGAGTCAGGAGACGTTAGAAATGAGTTGCGTTCCGCTACATGCAGGTGGGCGATGCTCCGTGGCCCCAGCCCCATTCGATGCCCATCGGTCCTGTCTTGGTCCGCTGTCCATTCCGTCCTCTTGAGAGAATTTGAGCAGCGCCAAGAAGCAGACGAGCCAGTACAGCGGACCGGGTCCAGACGTAGTTCAATCTAACCTGCGCTCCAGGTCGTATTCTATTTATCCGGGCCGTCCAGAGACCCTGAAAACCGAGTTCTCGTCTGCTCTGCGGCCAAGCGCTTTTAAGCGCTTCTATGCTAGCCTGGCGTGCTTTAATATACCAAACAACCGCGATGCTACCCTCAAGGTCTGGACCCTCGGAGTCGAACCCAGAAAATGGGTAAGAACCATCACTATTAAAAGATTTAGCCTCTTAAACTCGCAGTAGTGCTGCACTTTATGCTTGATAGACAGAGCCGCCAGAGCGATGTTATATTGCACAATGGCGTCCCCGCAGCACTGATTCGGAAAGTAGGAATCACAGGACCAATTTGCTCTATATTGGACCCTTCAGCTTACTACCCACGGACGGATTCCAATTTTTACTCTAGCTTTCGACGACCTAGATGCTCTTGGCACCATGAGAGCCACTGAGATCTCGGAACCGGAAGCAACCGTGACAGCAATTAATACCAAAAGCGTGGAGTGGGCGTCGCGTTATCGTACGAGAAGCTACTACTGGGAGCCAGCGATACAGGAGTGAGCTCTGGCGTGCTCGAGGTAGGGATCCAGGTACAAGACTTTGTAGATCTAGACCTGCCAAAGCTCAATTCCCCCACGGGGAAGTGAAGTATAAGTATGTGATGCCCATCCGGCTTTCCACGATGGGGAATGATCTTCCTGCAACGTCACTTCATTCATCTATAACTCTATCTCTCTATTGATCGCCGACACTCTACAAATCCGTCGACAAAGATGAAGTTCCTCCCACTGCTACTCGTCCCGGCCCTGGCCGTAGCCCAGGATATCACCATCAAACAGGTTCAATACTCCGGGAACGGATGTCCTCAGGGAACTGTTTCAACGTCGATATCCAGCGACAAGACTGTAAGTGTCAGCGGGCCGGATTATTTCCCATGTCTTCCTAGATGTCTCTTGTGGTATGATACTTCATCTGGACTACGGGGCTCCCCAAGCCACTTGCAAGGTCTTCCTGGCTGAAATATAGCTGATGAATTCAGATTGTCACCCTCGGCTTCGACGGCTTCCAAACATACATTGGACCAGGAACATCCATTAAAGACCACACGAAGAATTGTGTAAGTCAATGATCCTTTTTGCATTTTAACCTGTCACCGTGCCACGGCGTCTTATGAGGTTCAACTCTGCAATGTTTTTTTTTTTTTTACCGAAGCGAAGCTTGTCCGCCTTTCTTAATAAAGGAACGATACCGAAGAGAGAGCACAGACCGAGGCTCTCTGAGGAAGAGACCCACAGTGGATGTCTCCAAAAGGAAGGGCAAACACACGGCAGGGGCTAGACACCGCTTATTTGATCATCTCACTGACACTGCAGCAAGCAAATTCACTTGACGCTCAATTACCCAGCCGGGTACTCCTTCGCAGTGGTCGACAGCACCTATCACGGATACGCTCAATTGGAGACAGGTGTGACCGGCACCTTCTTCAGCCAATATTACTTCAGCTCGAACGCCTCCAATACCTGCACCACCCAATCTTCGATCAGCGGCGGCGGTCTCTGGGCCGACGGGCAGGTTTACACGAAGGAAGATGTTGTCCCCACTCCAAACTACGTGAAAAGCAGTCAGTATAAGCCATTCCCCATTATTATATCCTATACGTCTTCCATTAGAATCTTCCAAAATGCATCGTTTTCGGGCTCCGTAGCAGGTGACTAAAGCGTCAATAGAATGCGGCACTACCGAGATCCTGAACGTCAACAACCGTGTCGCGCTCACTTCGACAGATAGCAACGCTATTGGCCAATTAACTGATGACGACGCCACTGTGGACGTGAGCCAGCAGGTTCATATCAAGTGGTTCACTTGCTAAAAGGATCTTACTTGGCGGTTGTGCTTTGTGACTCGTGCTGCAGCCATGGGGTCTTAGGCATGCCTCTGGATTAGGGATATCTCTGTTTTGGTAGTCTATGGTCTATCTGGATTTCACTTCAGTTTTGTTCATATTTGTTGACCAAACTTGACGTTGGTAACTGTTAGTCAATTCAATTGTTGGAACTCATTATCATGTCATCTTGAAGTTTCATGCCCCATTCGTGCATTCTTGATCCAAAATAGCTGGCAACGCACCAACAGAGACAAGCCCTCAAGCTTCTCAATGTCTTTGGTTACTTCAAGGTGCAAGTGGAGAAAACTGAACGCATGTTCCTGGGCTTGATCATACTCCTGTTTGAGCGGTCAGTTTTGCCCCTTCATTGTCATATTATACGTACAATTGAGTGCCTGGCCAACCTTTGGGATCCTTGCAAATTGTAGAACCACTTGTAGACAGAGTGATCCCAGGGCTATCCAAGTTCTCGCCTCACTTTCCTCGCCTCCTTTCTTTAGCGAACAGAATGATCCTAGAGATTGCGGCACTTCCCGTGAAGTACCTGTAAATTTGAAGGCCAGCCTTTCAGACCTGATCCTACCGGTGCCATTCTGAACACTATGTACGGACTTACACCAGTCAGCTACGGACGCGAATCAATCCCGCAGGAGCGACTGAGATTTCCCATCGCAGTTTCAAATATAGATTTCTGGCTATCAAGATGTTTGCCTCAGTTGATATACCACGGTTTTTAGACTCAAAACCCGAGAGTATCTCAGAGAGCTTCAAGCTTTAGGAGAAGCATGCCGGTCAATTATGGAGTGTTGTTCAGGATCACGGCAAAGCTTTTCCATATCCGATGGTCAGCCACGTGCGAAAAGGAGACTATCATCACAAACATAGCAACAGCCATCAGTAGCACAGGTAAATCGCGAGTTATTGAAGTACGAGAGTGACGCAACACGTCCGTCGCGTGCATGTATGTGATTAAGGCAATCGCATACGCAGGATAGAACGCCAAGGCTCTTGGCGGTGCTACTGTCAGGGGCAAGATGGGCAGGATGGGCCTGCAATCAATGCGTGTCGATCACTCGGGAGAAGCCCCACTGATGCTCACGCATCAAAGCTTATGTAGACACGCCAGACTCACAGAGAAGCTGCGCATGGTAAACTGTATTTTGAAGGTTGTGGACGACGGCGAGGCATTCTTTCCCCATACCAATATCACTTGAGGTATAAGACCCAAGGAACACTCAATCGAAGGATACCGAACTAGCCGATTATACGATCCCCAATGTCACTGCGGGTCCGTTCTCGCCATCCGATCTCCACAAGAGGGTGGAGATATATCCGATTGGAAAAAATTGCTGTGTCGAGTTTCAGAGGAATCCTGGGCCGACAGGCTGATCAGCACGCTGGTTGCCAAAAGCACGCCAGTGCCCTTAGGGAATAGTCACGGCACTGGTGGAATATCTCAGACCATTCTTCCAGCCCTGCGAATCTCCGAGATCACTCCCGAACGCAGAGACGGATCCGGGGGGGCCTGGGGGGCTGACGCGGACGCGTAGAATACATTGCAGTGAGCCCACAAACCAATCCACTTGAACTTGCCAAACATGCAGGCATCTGATCAAGGGATGTGGTGGAATGTTCTTTGTTTCTACGGGGAGGCTGTCATCGTACCCAGTATTTCAATCTATATTCCATTGCTTGCTCCAGCAAGTTCATCTTGCAACGGGTCTCTCTTTCAATAATCTCGGCGAGCCACCGCTGACGGTGAGCCACTGCATGGAAGAACGCCCCTTTTAAGAGGTAGAGAACAGCTCTAACAACTACAACTGTAAAGTACAAGCTTTCGTGATAGTATTGATGCCAGCCGAGGTCTTGCCATGACTGAACGTGCGGCCTCGTGATACGAGGCGGAGCGCATTGTACACCAGACACTTCCCGGCTCCAAAGGTCCAGTCTCACGCCTTAAAAGGCCTCGGTAGAGGAGTACCCACTGTACACGTAACAATCCTGCCATCCAAATTCTCCCGACGCCAAGGTGGTTTCCGTCCGATCAGGGGTTGTAAGCGGTAGACCAAACACCAACACCACGGTTTTGTGGGGACATGCAGACCCATTCACGTAATGTTTCCTGCAAGGCCCTCCTTCTGTTTCAATCCAATCTGGATTGATGGAGTGATGGCGGAGACAAGATCCAAAGGCCCTTTCTTATTTATATGACTTGCTCGGCCGCACTCAGAAGATTGTCCATGATCATCATTCACCACGCCTCGCAGGTTTCCGAGTAACTTCTTTGTCGTTGTTGCAGCCATTCTTTTCCGGGTCTCCCAATACATTCTTTTCACACTCAATCACTCCCCAAAACCATCAAAATGCATTCCGCATCCATCGTCGCCGCGGGCTTCGCGGCTCTGGCGCAGGCCGCCACAGTGACTGTCTCCGGAACCCCCGAGGGTTTCGCTGCCTCTGTCACTGGTGGTGGTGATGCTGCTGCGGTCACACCAACGTCAACTGATGAGCTGTGAGTTACTCATGCTGTAATGAATGTACTAGATATATCGTACTGATCCCAAAACCAGTGTCTCCTACCTCACGGACTCGGAGGCCCGTGTCATCGTGCTCACCAAGACCTTCGACTTCACCGGAACCGAGGGCACAACGACCGAATCCGGATGTGCTCCCTGGGGAACAGGCTCCGCCTGCCAGCAGGCCATCAACAAGGACGACTGGTGCACCAACTACCAGGCCGATGCCCCAACAGTTTCTGTTACGTACGACAACGCCGGCCTGACTCCTATTGAGGTCGCCTCTGACAAGACCATCCTCGGCTCTGGCACCTCCGGTGTTATTAAGGGCAAGGGTCTGCGCATGGCCAATGGCGTGGAGAACGTTATCATCCAGAACATTCGTATCACCGAGCTGAACCCTCAGTACGTCTGGGGTGGTGATGCTATCACTCTGGCCGGAACCGACCTGATCTGGATCGACCACGTTACCACCGACAAGATCGGCCGCCAGCACATTGTTCTCGGCGAGGATGCTTCTGGCCGCGTCAGTATCACCAACAGCAACATTGACGGCGAGAGCGACTACTCTGCTACTTGCGACGGATACCACTACTGGAACCTGTACTTCACTGGCTCCGACGACCAGATCACTTTCAAGAACAACTACGTCCACCACTTCTCTGGCCGTGCCCCCAAGCTCGGAGGCAGCACCCTCCTGCACGCTGTCAACAACTACGTGAGTCCACCTGATGCCGCCTGAGATATGCACAAACTAACTAGTCCTCCCAGTGGTACGAGTCCAGCGGCCACGGCTTTGAGATTGGTTCGGGTGCCTACGTCCTCGCCGAAGGAAACGTCTTCGGTGACGTCTCTACTATCTACGAGGATGGTGATGCCACCACCGCCTACGTCGTCAACGACTCCTCCATGGAGTCCGCCTGCTCCAGCTCTCTTGGCCGCGACTGCGTGTCCAACAGCTACTCCAACTCTGGCAGCTTCGCCATGACCGACTCCTCCGTCCTGTCCAAGTTCAGCTCTGCTGACAGCATCGCCGATGCTGCCGCTGTCTCATCTGTCACTGGCCTGTCCAGCTCTGCCGGATACGGTACCCTGTAAAGGATATCTACCAAAGTGATCCTATACAAGAATGGTGCCATGTGTGGTACCCGTGGAAACCACATGGAAGCGTCTTGGAGGCGGGGATTTAGACTTCAAAAGTACATAGCATTTTACCTCTGACATATAAAAAAATTGAGGACATACCAATTTTGACTGATCAAACTCGAATTCACTCCAATGGGTGTTCGAATGACGGCTTCTTCTCAAGTCAACAAATGTGAATGTTTCTAATGGAAGCTACAAAGAGTTGACTCAGTCGAGTCTTTCTCGATTTCACGCCCGATTCGGTTGAAAGTTGTCTCAATGGCAAGGCAGACATCTTGCTCACCGTGATTGGAATTCTTCTATTGTGGACTTGGATGGGCTATCTTTACTGAGGCCAGGATTACAAGATCATTTTGACTTTGTGCCCTGTCCCTACCGAGTAACAAGCGGTGTCTCATTCAACCTTAATCATAGAATCAGCTGTCCTTAACTTGGAATGTTGTAACCATCAGCTAGTAAGTATTTCTCATAAAGCATATGACTATCACTCACCACCGCTCGAAGGCTAGTGACACTGACGTAGCCGTTCGTTGATCCGACATCCAGGAAGTTTTCCGACTTTCCTGTCTTTTCACGACAGGAAGTCTCTCAACATTGTGGATCACGAAGGCTCTTAGAGCTGCGATTCAGGTCTTCCCAAATTGGAGGATTTGCAGTGCTTGAACAGTGGCCTCGCCTCCAACACTGGCCCTCCTCTACATGTACAACCCACATTGACGCCAAATGCCATGTTACAGCTTGTCTAGTACAGTGCATCATACTCGTTCTCACTTGGACAGACTCGTATGCGATAATCTCCTCTTTATCTATTGAGTTTTCCTCTTTCTTCTCCCTTTCTACGCGCTCTTGAAAACTTGGCAAAACTTTCGAATCCCAGTAAATTATTCCTCGTGTTTATAAAGCGGATTCAATTGTGTATGCACACTTTCACGATCAACTAACAGTGATTTCAACATTGGCGATTGTATGCTAAATGAGGCAACAAACTTCCAGACTGACTCAGAAATGAGCAAAATTGAATTGATTTACGTACCCATGGAAAGTCTATTTTGAGTCGATCGTCCAAAGTTCGCTGGAGCTTATTGCTCCTGCCCCGTAGACGCTTGGACCAGTTATGCTTAAATCCACCTCACGGGTGCATCAGCACCGAGACTTGCTCGCAATTCTTGCGCGCGTGATTTTGGCCGCCTTTTTCGTCTCCAAAAGAATCGATCCAAGATCGCTGAATCGTGTTGACAGCTGCGTTCTCTGAGCCTCGGTGCCGTGGCCAACTCTTGAGCTCACCCGCGCTGCCTTGCATGGCCAGCGAACGACGTCTTCAGCCGCCACAGTCATTTTGACGCGTTCTATTCACCCCTGGACCCTGGTCGGCGCTTCCCATTGAGATTTGAGGCATACTCTCTCGGAGTTGAGAATCGCTGCTGCTGATATTGTTGGAAGTTTTTCATTTGAAAATATGATGGCCCGCAGCAAATAACGTCCGTTCAATCAACCTTTGACTCACGACCACATCAACGGGGTTCCAGTCACTCGAATCGATGAAATTACGCAAAAAGAGTGCGCCAACATGGGCTTGGCCACAGAGAAAGCCATTTGGAGGAGCCGAAAAGCAAGAAAGACGGAGTTATTGATTGGTTACGAACAACGGCTTCATTCTTTTCGACGGTCTGACTTGGTCAAAGACACGATCAAGCACATCAGCCTACATACCGGCCTTGCAAGAGAACACTATTTTGACAAGTTCAGTTACGCTGCGTGGGAGGAGGTGGACAAATATTTTGAAGAAGCCGAGAAAAAGCGCAAAGCGATTCAGCAACGACGCAGACGACGTGAACAGTCTCTCGCAGCGGCCGCTGAAGAAGTTCATAAGGCTCGGGAGGAAGCAGAGACGAGTACTGGTGCGCAGAAGATCGCTTGCCTTCGTCGCGTCGAGCGCGCCTACAAAAAGCTCAAACATATCAAATCCAAAATTGAAGCCAGCGCCGTCGTGGACCAAGAGTTCTTTACACAACGTCGAGAATCTGCTTCTACGGCACTGCCCAAAGACCAAACGAGTCTGAGGTTGTTTCGAATAGAAACGTCAGCATTCCCTTTCCCGACCGCGACAAAGCACGTTGCTTACAAAAATGGCAGAAATGCGGGTGAAACACACTCAGGGAACCTTGGTGAGAGTGCTGTGTCAGTTCCAGTTTTGGCACCTAACCCAGGCTCAACCGCGAGGCGCAGACCCGAGCCTTTGCCTCCTCTTGTGCAAGGTCTGTCTTTCCTGGCTGACCCTGTGGCAAAACTTCCAGAATGGGCGAATTGTCTGGATTCACCTCTGTCATCACCTCAGGTTGAGTACGGCGAGGAACAAATGAAATCGCGGGGAGAATATTCGAACACTAGCAGAAGCCAGCGCGTCAAGGCCGTGGCTGGTGATATCCCGGTCGCCTTGAGATCGATGACTCGGGCTTACAAGCGGGCCCTCGAGCTTTCTGAGACGAATTCTAGTCAAATGAACCAAACTTCTTCCGGTTTAAAAGGTATCGGACAAGAGACAGCTTCAAGATCAAGCATAAAGAGTGCAATTGATATCAGCTCGTCTCATAAGGACAGTAATCTCACGGGGGAGGTTGATAGTGCGAAAAGAGCCCAGGAAGTCACAGCCCAGTGCCTACGAGTTGACAAAGGCAGCGACAGAATCAGGTTCGAAATAACTCAGGACACCGCGCAGGAGAACTGGCATTTGGTCAGCAAGTTTGTTACTGGAAGGCAATTGTATCCGCCCAAGAGGAGCCACTTTGCAGCGCTACTCTCTTCAACCCGCACGCGAGACATTGCAACGAGACCGAGAGTGAAATTCGTTGCCGATCGGCCCAAGAACGTTCGTCTGCTCATAGTCCACATAACTGGCATAGAGCTGCCCGTGCCATGCAATTCGTGTGCCTCAGGCCACGGACCTTTTAAGAAATGTATCGCGATCAGCAAGCAAGCAGCAGGCGAGACCACATGCGGAATCGTGTGCTGCACGAATTGCGCAACAGACGATAAGATCCAGCGTAAATGCAATGTAGAAGAGCTGCTTCGCCAACCAATTCGACGAGGCCGAGAGGTCGCCGCGCCTGGTTCGACTGAGGTGAACGAGGACAAGAGGTCAGTCCCAGATGCAATAGCCATGGAACTAGATACAGTCTCAGTTGATGATGGTGAATTAAATAGACACGATGGGACCCTATTGCCCGTCGCTCTCGAGCTCAGCAGAACGGCACCAAGGAGGCGGACCAATGAGGCTTTCCAGGCAAAGATAAACGCGAGAAAAGTCCCCACTTCACAGGACGGTCCTATTCCTGTGAACTGGACGAGACGATCGAACACTGCTCGCCGAACTGAATCCCAACTCCCAGGTCGTCTGTTGCCCGAGACAAGTAAGCAGGCCGAGCCGAACATTAGCTCACATGAAGCTAAGCTTGACTACCGATTTGCATTCGGGGTTCACGTCATACCGTATGATGGTTCGCTCCTCTTCGACGCTGAGCCCTCAAATGTCCGTCTTTGTTCGCTGATGACAGGAAAAATTGCGGTGGATTTGCAGGGGCACTCACCTTTCATCATCGGTCCCGGTGGGATATTTCAGCTGATGACGGGGATGTGTGGGCAGATTATGAATGCATCGGAAGTGGATGCTGTTCTCCATGTATCTACTGTGAAGAGATAAAGGTGTAGCTGTTTACCCAAGTCAAGCCGGCTACTTATGACAGCCTGCGAGGTATCTGTTTGTCTGGAAGTCAAGCATGTAGAGATCAGCTCACCGCTCAGGCGGTTCTTTCTCCGGAATTCGATGCCTTGCAGGTGTGTTCCAGCTCGTTGGTGCATGATAAGAATTATGGACTGCGAGATATTTTCAGCGCCATGGCTATTTCGCCTTCAACCAACGCAGTTCTCATGTCCAAAATCAAACGATGTCACCACTTGAGGATGCAAATGAATAGTAACTGAATGAGACTTAATTTTTGCGTAGGTAGCACCGCCGTCCACGGTAACAAACATCTCTTTGTGCTGCACCTCCTTGTTACATATTGGTCTCGCCAGGGTGCGCAAATGCATTTGCCAATCAGATTGATATTTTCGTGGCAGCCACGCCAGGACTCGCTGTGACTCACCAAGACGGGACTACGCTCTGAGCGTGCATTGGGGAAGTCAGCCGCACTATAGGCAATACGAGAGTCCCTGACTACTTAAGCAGTTAGCCACAAGTCGAACTTCAAAAGTTGAACTTCCTCACCTCGCCATCTCATTTCCAAGCTGGCTCGCATCTAATTTATGACTGAAAAGATGACAAGCAATCTTGCGAACGCGTTCGCATCAGAGAGGCTCGTTTATACAGCCATAGACGACACTGATGAAATCAAGACCTGGTTCCACGAGCGGTTCGAGAGCGACCCTGTTGGCCGCAGCACTGCCGATTCGAGCCTTCTGCGGCCACAGACCAGGGCACGCAGCGACGAGATCCTCGCTGACATCCGCAAGTCTTTCCTAGGCGTATTGATATGCCTGCCTCCAACGACCACTGAGACTACAGACTCACAGCCGAAGGCGTCAGCCGAGGCCGCACCAAGCATGCCCAAGCCGACGCCCATCGGAGTTCTGCACCTGGACGATGAGAGCGACTCTATGTATCGTCATCACCACCGCCTTGCCGTCATGAGCGTCTCAGTCATTGCCGAGTATCGTGACAAGGGCTACGGAGCCGAGGCCATCAACTGGGCACTAGACTGGGCTTTCACACGAGCTAACTTGCACGCCGTCAGTCTTGGATGCCTCGATTTCAACGAGCGAGGGAAGCACTTATATGAGAAGTTGGGTTTCGTCCCCGAGGGAAGGTTCAGGAAATGCCACTGGCATGAGCGAAAGTGGTGGGATGTAGTCTTGTACTCCATGTTGGAGGAAGAGTGGCTTGAGCTCCGAGGCAAGGGTACATCTTAAAATGCTTTCTGAATCCTGCACAGGATTTTCCCAGGTAGCTCTTCGCAAGTCAATTTAGTGCAATAAGCCAGCGATCTTCCGTGCATGAAGCAGCCGTTCACGAAAGACTAACTCTCGAATGATTTGGAGGCGGCCGCTCCAAAGGTCACAACCGTTACCACTACTCGTACTTTGCTTAAGTCCGCCCACTAATACCGAGTGTCTCACGCTATAAACTCAAGCTCGACCTACCTGACTCCCAGGCTGTATTTTCTTTTGCCCACTAAATGAGACCTTTTGCATATGCGCATTTAGCCAATTGAGAGACTGTGTGAACGTAAAACCCCAAAATGGTATCATCAAACGTTGAACCCGACCTCCCAAAGTTCACTACACCCGCCCGGCCACTAACATGGCTGATCACGGGCTGCTCTTCGGGCTTCGGCCTCGCCATCGCGCGGCACGCCCAAGCCAACGGGCATCGAGTCATCGCAACATCCCGCAATCCAGCCAAGACCCCGGAGCTGATGCATGAGATAGAGACCAACGGCGGGAAATGGGTGCAGCTCGACCTCGACGACCCCAGCAACGGCAAGGTCATCGATGAGCTTGAGGCCGAGGGTACCCCGGTCGATGTAATCGTGAATAACGCAGGGGTCGCCCTCCTACAGGCCGTGGAGCACATCACCGAGGACGAGGTCCGCGCGCAGTTTGAGACGGTTTTCTTTGGACCGTACCGACTGACCAGGGCCGCCCTGCCTTATATGCGCAAGAGACGGTTCGGGATCATTGTGAATATTAGCACCGGGGCGAGTTTGGAAGGCCGGGAGAGCATGGGCATTTACTCTGCGTCAAAGGCTGCTTTTGATGGTACACAGTTCTCATGCCTACAAGTACACCAATGAGGAGACTGACGTCGAACAAAATAGGACTTACAAAGGTTCTGGCCAAAGAGGTTGCAGAGTTCAACATACGTACACTCACGGTGTATCTTGGCGGCTTCAACACCCAATTTTCTTCTTCGGCGGTGAGCAGCGGCAAAGAACCGCTGTCCGATGATTATGATGGGACAGTTGTTAGTAAAACACTTCAGTTTATGCATGGAGGCAAGTATGTTGCCGACGGGGACACGTTGAAAGGTGCCAAGGCCGTCTATGAGGTGGTCATGGGCGAGGGAGTTGGGGCTGGCAAAGAAGCCGAGCTGAATCTTCCTCTAGGTCGGGAGATGGAGGCTCGTGTCAAACTCGTACGAGATCGCATGGATCACTGCTGGGAGGTGTTCGGTGACGTTGCTAGCAATGTGTACATTAAAGCAGAGCACTGAGCGTCGGCATTTGTGGGGTGAGAAGACTGCAAAGCCAGATGCTAATTCATGTATGTCAACTTCTCTTGGTATTGTTCCGCTTACAGTCTTGCATTCTTGTAATGTAAGTGGAAATGTGGACTTATGTGTGCCCCCAAATCTGCCTTGCGCTCATACGCAACAGCGCCAGAATAATCCTGACCCCCACTATCCTCGCTCAGCAGCGTCAGCATGATGCCTCCAGCGTCATGTGCAACAACACCGACTAGGTCATCAGGCATCATCACTGCCCTCACTGGACTCCTCTGTAGACCCGTCGCCCCGCAAGTCTCCTAAGGACTCGTCGTCGCGCAGCATGCATCTCCAATTTTTCCTGGTTCTGAAAATCATGCCATAGACCACACGACTCAACAATGCATGTTCTGGCTTGGTTTTGCAGACGCCGGGCAGGAGAATACGTAGCATTTTTAAGACAATCCAATGGTCCCCCATATCGTAGTTCTTCGACTCTTCGTAAGGAGAGATGACACCCTCCTCGACTCTTCCAACCCAGTCATCCCAAAATGAAACTCTGAAGCCGGATCGGATCCTATCGAAAAGATTCTTCATGCCGTCGTACATGAGCAAATCACTCACAAGTGCCACGTGCTGTACGTTTGGGCAACACGTGATGAGATCCGCGAGATTGGCGCCATCCGCGGTAAAGGTGAGCAATAGAGACAGTGATGCGTCAACTCCGAACGCGAGGAGTCGGACATTCTCGAAAGCCTGCTCGATGAAAGCCATGTTGTCTTTCTTGTCGAAGCCCGCCACCACATTCTGGCTCTTGAGACACAAGTAGTTTTGATGGCTTTTCCATGGAATGTCGATGGGAGGACAAGAGCTACTAGTTTCGCCTTGTTTCGTCTGGTTCAGGTGCAGACAACTGTCAAAAAGGCGCACACTCTCGTGTCGGGACTCTTTGTTGACTCTACGTAGACTGCGAAGTTCGCGTGTTAAGTCCCGAACTTCGTCCATTGGGACGAGGAAGTACTCCATGAAGTCGAAGGTCTCGTCTCCGTCGTGGGTTCCAGGAGCTGGCTCAACCACCAAGGCGAATTGATAGACGAGTGTGTCTGGGACAGCATCGTATGCCAACTCCCATATCCGAAGACGAAGTTCGGGAGGAAAGTCAGGGAAGTGGTAGAAATCTTTGGCTGGCTCTGGTCCTTTTGGAATGAGAGGCTGCATGGCCGGGGCTGAAGCCATGGTTTGCTTCAGCAAGGGACTTCGAAGTGACTGCCTGTACCATTGCACGTCAGTATTTTGTTCTTATTATCGGTGGGACTTGAGAGATTGTGTCCACACATCTTCAGCGAAGTGACGACTGATAAAGCGACTTGGGCTGCGCGGCTGATTGTGTGGAAATGATTGCTAGACGGTTGGGCACTGAACAATGCTACCGAGAGCAGTTACAAGTACGTACCGCATGCGCGGCTCTTTGGCGATTTTTTGAGGTCTTTGGTAATTGGGTTGAGGAGGAGACGGAGGCGCTCACTTATGTCCCTGTAGGTTGTTTGTCTCCGAGCTGTCGCCCTGCCTGGCGATGCGTGGGCAGTAGACAACTAGCCAGGAAGACTGGGACAGGCCAGTCAGGTTTGTGAAGAGTGGGGTTAGTTTTCTTCAACACAGCGAAAAGGTTTTGCTGTCAAAGTGGACTTCGGTGCGCATAGTCGGCAATAGGGGCCAGTATGTGAATGTTTCGGTGCACGGCCTGCTTGAGGGGTGAAAGCGTGCGAGAGGGCTTGATGGGTTGCGTGCTCTGCTAGTCACTTTCTTCCAATTACACCTTAAAGCGTGGATCCTGTTGAGTTTTGCAATAGCACAGCTACGTCTCAAGCTACAGGCGAACGGTTGCCTATTTTACTTTGCTACATTTAGCCTCGTCGTCCAGTCTGAGGCATCGAACGAACCCTGCAGAGTCAATGTGGGCACTTCGTAGATGATGAATTAGCCTCGAAAATATGGCCTAATCTGCTGCCAATTCTGGCCACCAGTACTTTCGCCGTCTTCATATGCGGGTGCCTGGTTGCAGAGTTTCAGACGAAATGATTGTGACACTTGGATCGACAAACGGGCCTATGCTCATCATCAGAGACAATCTCGCCCAGATCATTTTCTTGATGCGCACTTTGCCTGGTATTCAGGCTCGACTCAACCACTGGAAAGCAGGAGAAGTTGCTTAGGTATCCCGAAAGAATTTCGTACTTCTCTCGTAATTTACCTAGAAGAATCTGGCAGCAAGTTGGGTCCAGGCACCACTTTGGCAATTGTCTCCATTCTTCGGAACCGGAACAAACCGACACAGTGTTCCGAAGACCTATATTATGCGATGCTTCGGCCATCATTGAAGCATATTATTCCCCTCAATGCCATCCTTTGTTTGGCAAATGGCCACTTTCAGCGACTGCTCACAGAATAGCAGAAGATACATCATGGCAAAGAAGGCATTGTGTACGGCAGTTCGGTCACGTTGGGGACGGTTTTTCTCCAAGCCTTCAAATACAGTACGATGAGCATTGAGAGAATATTCATTGATCTTCAACATTAACCACTTCTAAACGCTGACCTCATCGTTCCAACACAAACTAATCCAGCCGACAGTGGCACTGAGTGTCCCTCTACAACCCCCATAAGGCACCACAGAAGCCTCATGACAACTGCCAACGAAGCTGAGCCAACCTCAGAAAACATATTACCCAGCCAGCGGCGACCGGCAGGTGAAAGCATTGACCTGGGGCGTCTCGAAAGCGGCAATAAGTGCCTCAATAGACGAGTAAGTCCCCATACCACTAACCACAAGCGAACCCAGCGCATACAATGTCAACAGGATACACGCCCACCAGTACCGGCCAAAGTAGCCCCTGATCCACCTCTTGATACCAGAGTCGCGGCGCTGGATCTCGCCCGTGTAGGGATCGAACGGCACCTCGCCCCTCATGGCCTCCTTCTGGACGATGAAGCCGAGGCCGAGCAGCGCGGGGAAGGTGTAGGTGAACTGGACGAAGAACATCGCGGCGGTCAGGCCGGTGAGCCCGAAGAAGTCGGGGATGGCGGCGGACAGGAGGAAGGCGATGCTCCAGTAGATCGGCACCACGGTCGCCCAGCAGTACTTGCCCTTGCGCGTCGTCAAAGGGGGAAAGTTGAAGAACTCGATCAGGATATTGTTATATATGACCTTAATTCCAATGTTGCCGTACAGCACAGCAGCAATGAGGCCGCTGAGGACGCCTAACATGTTGCAGGCTGTCTGCCAGTTGTACGGAGACAGGCCATAGTACGAAATCTGGACGAAATCAGTCAGCTGTCAGCCTCTGCCCAGCAGGGCGCAGAAGGGCGAACACATACACTGTTGGAGTACTGGCCCTGATAGTAGTAGACAAATGATCCATAAATCATGTAGACGGCGTAGATGAAGAACTGCGAGGCCCACATGACCTTGAGGAAGTCACGCGGTCGCTGCAGCTCGGCCATGAACTCGATGAACAACTGGGCACCCGCGTACGCGTAGACGCCCTGCATGAGACCGACCAGCGAGCCAACAAAGCCATTGTCGGATGGTGGCACCGAGCCGTAAGTCCGCACCGGTGGGTACGAGCCGTCAGGGAGCTGCGCAATCGACTCGCCCCCGAGCGCCGCTCCAGCTCCGCCGGCCTGGGCAGCGTCGTAGTTGGGCTCACTATGCGCCATGACACCCATTGAGATAAACATCACCATCAAGTTGAGAAACACCGCCCAATTGGCCAGCCATGTAAACCTGTTCAGAGTTCTGATTTGTCCCATGCCGTAACCAACGAGCGCCCAGATGAGACAGCAGATGCTGTAACAAAGGCGGAACTTGGACACCTGCGAGATGGATTGGCCATTGCTGATGATGATGTTGCCTACGGAAAGTAGTAGTTGCAGTCCTTGGATAATGTTGACGAGCCAGCGGAACCACCGTCCATAGATTCGGTATGCGAGGTCACCATAGTTCTTGGCAGGGAATTCATAGCTGTCAATGTTCAGGAACACCTTCCAGAGGAGGTACCCAGATCTGCATCGATCAATTGTCAGTAGCGGGCCAACATTCTGAGAAGAACTTGCTACCAAGAGGCAATGGAACTCACATTCCGGCACAGGCACCAAAGATAGTGTACAGGCCAAAGCCTTGTCCCCACCCCATGGTTCCCAGAGCAAAGCCGACACCAAAGGGGCCCAAGATGTCCGTGGTGATAAGATAAAAGCATGCCGCTGCCGTCGCAGTACGCAAAGCACGACTCGCGTTCGTCCACTCCTCATCTGATATGGTCGCACGGATCTTCGGGTCACTCAAGTTCAGCTCATGAATGGCCTCGCTGCTGCCGGTTGCATTTCCCTTGAGCTCACGGATACCGCCGTTCTTTGAGGGCAACAGTACATCCATGAGACCCATCTTGGACTTCAAGTGGACGCTCGCGTCCTCTTCGGCCCGCGATAGGGCTGCATAGAACATGTACTCCTCAAAGGTCACGTTTGGGTCGTGCAGGAGGCGTTCCTGGGGCCGGTGTGCGACAGAACGTGTGCGGAGCTCGCCCACCTCTGCGCTTCGCTTCTCTGGGCTTGGCGAGACATTGTCGCCGTGGTCAACCTTTTCAACAACACCGTCACTCATTTTCGGTCAGTGCGATGAAATGCAATGAGCTTAGAGCTTGTTTGGAAGTCGAGTAAGGGTAGGAAATCAGATTTACGGTTCGCAGGGACAAGTGGCGACCGACATTCTGGGGAAGACGAGACGGACCAGGGGTGATAGGGATTCCCCGAATAGATGACGGTGATACTCTGGTACTGTCACACCCCCCAGCACACATGCAGGCTGTCGGGGTGGACAGCAGAGAAGCCGTCGCATATCTGGTCTATCCCTGAATAGGCATGTCGGATCATTACCACATATCCTCGCATCCCTCTGCTGACGACTCGCAATTCCAATTGTCCCTCGGCCATTCGGCTGGGGCCTCGCGATACGCTGTCAGCCTGTTTATTATCAAAGTTCGAACCACTATCGAGATCATGCGAGGCTTGGCTGGCTTATCTCTGGAGGATTCCGATAGAGGGTGAAGACAGCCGGTTTCGAAACGAGGCATTTGAATTGGGGCGGGGCCTGCAAGGAAAGCTTATCTTGGACAAGCTTTTATCGCGACCCAGCTTGAACAAGCCACGTCCAGCTTGGCACATACGAATGCCGACACGAGATCCACAAAGTCGAGAATTGAGGGATGATATTCAACGGTTGTAGATGTCCAGCTCGCCTTAATGCAACCTCTTCTAGCTGAGATGTTCCCCCGTTGTGTTCTGAGGTAGCATCTTTCCCGCTCGACCACAAAACGGCTTGCCAACCGTGTCGCCCTCGTTGATGTAAGCCGTGAGACTTCTGCCGCTTCTGGAAGCAAGACTCGAAGGGTGGTCATATGGGGCTCGCATGTGGATCTTCACCGGGTTTCTGTGGTTCAGCAGCTCTTTCTCCTTGCCGTACTTCCGAGATTCTGGGGATCAGGACTTCTCCTTCCTGATAAGGCGATGCCTGACGTAGATGGCGCCAACATCCAGATCTGTCTTGACGGAACAATTCCGCGAGACGCGAATGCGCCACTGTAATTCTGTATTCGGATTTCCAAATGATAGAATTCAGCCGGCACCTGCCTCTGGCGCCCTCGGCAGTAAGTTCCGTGCATGCCAAGTCTTTCGTTCTTCTGGCCTTGGTACCCAATCACGAGAGGATACCAGAATCGCATGACACTACCAGACAAAAGAGGCTCCTGAGCTGCCTCTTGACCATATTACATGCCAACTCTGGTACAATTCGAATGAGCCCTCTGGGCGATTTGGCTGAGTAGAGTGTGCAGATGGCGAATCTCTCCAATTTTTCAGAAACTTTAAAGTCCGAACTGATTATCTTGTATAGGGCCCAACAGGGCCATTTCCCAATCATTGCCATCATTCAGCCACATAGCCGGGTCCAGTTGATCAAACATTTCGTTCGTCCAGATGCTGTCGAATTGCCAGTTATCCCCTATGGACCCCGGGGGCATTACGCCTTGTCCAGCCATTTCCATTTGTTTCTGAAATGCAGCGAGAGTGTTCTCTTCATTGTAAACGGGCTGCCGTCCGTGTGTGGCCTGGCTCTCATCTGCCGCCATGCCAGAATCCGCCATCCGAATGTCGTTTCTCTCGCTTGTGTTCTTCGTCGCGGCATCCGCCGTGCGTTCTGTCGACACACCACCAACGGCGATAATCTCGGCCCATTTTTCCAACTTGGCTCGAGTTATCAAGACTTTCTTCGAGCACAGATACCATACGTCGTTCTGCCAAGCCCCGCCTGTTCCCTCCTCCGTGAGCTCTCGGTGCACCTGTTCGCAGCGCTGTGCTAGGCTTGCTAAGATGCCGATGATGTCAATATTTAGACCCGGCTGTATTTGTAATTTGGCTCTCAAGGAGGCAACGACGCTAGGGATGGTTGGATCGGCGACCTCGCGGAACTGAGTAGCTGATATCTGTGTTGGGTCTGTGATTGGTGGAGGCAACTTCGCCAGACCCGAGCCTCTACTCGCTGTTGACACCTTTTTGGATTGTGTTTCGACATCGCTGCTCTTTTCAAATGATTGCAGGGGTGCAAGGCCAGCCCCAAACGTTGAGTTTGGGGAGGGCCGCACAGCCGAAGGGTCCCAGACAATCTTCTGTGGGATGAGAATGTCTGGCGCGGTATTCCCTCGTCGAGCTTGACCTGGACCCAAAAGCTTCGCCCACCGAGCCAGCATTGTGATGCCGTAGACGACTTCAAGCATCACAAATATTGGCATCGCAGTATAAAAGTCAGTCGGCATTTCGAACCACTTCTCAAAGAACCCTTTCAGGGCCGATTGGGCACGGTATAGGCTGTCGAGAGATGACGGACCGTGGAGAGTCACAGAGTTTAGCGAGTCCGCAAGCTTCTTCAACTGACCTGCATCGATAGGCGGCGGTTCATTAAGGTGAAGTGTCACGAAGGCAAAGTACACTTGTAGCAATCCTGGTGCGAGCTTTCCGTTAGCTTCCACTGTAGCTTATTGAGAAGCTGGTAATGACCTACTGTTATCAGTTAAGCTGGCAGGTAATGATGCCTGCAGCCTGCCAATCTCTCCGTGAAAGGCAACCTGATAGGCTGCTGGAGGTGCTTTCAAAATGGCCGAGACATCATCCTCTTCGTCCTCCTGAGACGTCCAGTTGTGGATCCGCTCGGTCAGACGTTGTATCTTGACAAGATGGACGAGAAGAAGATCGGATTCGTGTTCGGATGCTTTTTCTAGATCCTCGAGGCACTGTTTTATATATCTTGAAAACCTCATGGGCAACGCTTTCATTAAGCCAGTCGCCACCCTGAACAGTATCGCCTTGTCAGCATCCCTGTATTGAATCCATTCATGGGCCATACGCACGAGGAGCTGAGGAACCAAACACCTAGTATTGCTCGTCTATCTTCGTTCGTTGTTCGATTAGGCGCTGGCGGATTCAAGACCATGACATTAGATCGCTCCTGGACCTCAGGCGACCTGTTCAAACCTAAATCCGCCAGTAGGGCTTGAGCCAGGTGAAGGAGATTGTTGAGCTGAGCGTGCATCAAGCAGTGATTCTGGTACCAGGCTAGCATGACCAGTATGCCAAGAAGCAGATCCATTGATCGATCTATTCCGCGTTAGTCACCTGTTACGAAACCCGAAGCGATATATTCTGGAAAATTCTAAAGACCTAAAGACGGATGGGCTACCGTAGCGGGGGCAGGCTAAGGCTCATACTCACTACTTTCGACCATCATCTCGTTCATCAGGCGCTGAGTAAGGGCGACCATCTGTCCACGCATCGAATTGACATCTGAGATTGACGCAGACATGCATATCGCAGAGAACAAGAAGGGCCGTTCTGCCTTGAGGCGTTCAGATGTTGTGTCTGGGGGAATAACAACAAACGGAAAGACGGGGGTAAGTCTGTTCCGATAAATCTCCAGGAGCTCGTCGTCTGGGCGTCTCTGAAGAGGGACATCACCGGCCTGCGCCCGACAAATGCACCGAGGTGGAGCATGGCGGTTCCACGTCTGAGGTATGTGTATGACATTGCCGGCGGTACTCGAAGAAATTGGAGAAGGCCCTTGTGATGAACCTGAAACCATGTGCGATCAGCATACGCAAAAAGTAAGAGACCCGCGGTAGCACGTTGACGCACCCTGCTCATCCTCAAGTTGTGACGAAGAACTTTGCCTTGCCCTTGTCTCGTCTGACGGATACTCCCCTGATGCCCGGAGAAGATCGACCAGTCCATTCAGCCGTTCTTCAAGCTGTGATGTTTTCCTGAGCTAAATGTCAGCTTAAGTTTTTGGTTCTCATGGCCTACGAGGACAGCGCAGACGAGGTCGCATGCAGGGCGCATGTCGGTGACTTACGAAGCCTTGGGCGTTCTCTTTTTACGCGGTAGGTGTACCTGTCCCGTACAGTCCTTCCCCAAGCGTTTGCATCTGTTCGGGCATGAGTAAGCGATGGTCTCAATCCGCACGAGAGACTTAGAGACAGGAAGATGGCAAGGAGGGTGTGTGGTGGAGTGTGCATCCAAAGGAGGGTGCAATCACCTGTCACAAGGCGTGCCTGGGTCATCACTGCTACGAAGACACTTGGCCTGCAGGAAACAGTTAATTAGCATCTGGCAAGCATATCTGGGCGGAAACCCCGAGCATGCCGCGACGAGAGTGGGTTCCCTTCTCACCTTGGCGGTTGCGCACACGGCACAAGCGCTGCCCCATCGGCCCTGCTGGCTTTTGGAGCCGCGAGCCGAGGGCAGAGCTGAAAGAGGCTCGATGCTCCGGCGGTTCATCGAGTCGGCGTTTATCACTTTGCGCACCTGGTGTGGGATTGCCAGACAGGATTGTGGACATTTACCGCGAGCACGTATGTGTCAGATCATGGTGGGCGTGGGAACAAGTCCGAAGGCTGGATATCCGGCCTTTCCGTGAAACTCCGTTTCCCCTTTCCCCGTTACTTTAAACTTCTTTGGGAAAGCGTACTTTAATTTGCAGGATGAGAATTGGCATTGATTCTGACTAAGCCGTACGCAGACTCCTCTCTGCCACCTGCATACCCGTTTGGGTAGATCCCTGGCACGACGAGGATCTCGTGCCAAACCAGCGACAACAAGAATGCTCATGACTTTCCTCTCAAAATAGGTCGTCCCCTCATGTCTGAGTCCCTGGTGCTAGGGCACAAGTGTGCACGTCCATCGGAAACAGAAGTGCAAAGCGAGTACGACGTTTGTATCCCACATGCCACCTTTGTCAATCCGATCTTACTCCCAATCCATCTCGAGGACCTCTTTGACCAATTTGTCCGCAATCAGACCATCTTCTCCAGCTTCATCGTCCTGGTTGCCTCCAGTGCTGCCGTACGCCCTATACTGGTCCTGTGCTGGATTCTTTTGCCAGATGGCTCGCTGCTCTGCCATGAATTGGTTGATGCGTTCCTGCGCCTCTTCTTCGAATCCCATGATCCTAGTCGACCTTGCGTGAGCTTTGAGGAACTCCTCCGTACTCTGTAGCTCTCCTGTGCTGCTTCGGAGTCCGTCATTGATCTCGCGGCGGTTGTCAGGAGCCAGAATCGTGTACAGGAAATCCTGCTGGAGCTGCGCCTTGGCCTCAGTTATCCACTGCGACACTGCCCGAGGTCCTCTGTCGATGATGGCCTGCGGTGCAAAGATAGTTCGCTGTCCCAAGCTCTCCTCTAGAATTGCTTTCGCGTTGTCTATGGAGTTCAATTTACCGTAGGAGGTTGGTTTGAGGTCTTTGGGACTGTGCACCTCGAAGTGACCGTGTGCCTTGCCGTTCTCCTGGTACCAATCGCGGTCGTGCCGCTCGTACATGTAGGCCAGTGTCATTTCTGTGACTGGTCGAACTGTCTCCTCTAAAACGTTCCACAGGCGGACGTCCAAGGCACGCTGGCCATTGCCTCCCTTGGCGATGTCCTTCCAGAGCTGGTTAATCTCCCAGAAGGTGGCTTCATCAACGTCCTGGAGCCACTTCTCAACGGCTTCGCGATCGGCTGCCCCTAGATTGAGCTCCTTCATCGTGTTTGCGATGCAGAACTCCCTGCCGACGCACATGATGCGAACAGCTTTGAGAGACGGGTCCACAGCTGCAGTGGATCGGATCATATGAAGGGCAACGTAAAGAGCCTCCAGCTTGGCATTCTCCTTGGTCTGAGGCATGTTGCTCTCAACACAGGTGACCGTGTTCCAAGGAGAGTTCTGGTGGAAGAAGACAGCCGCGCCCGCGCTGCCGTCCTCGCAGACGACGCCTTCAATTGAAATGACGAGCGTCTGAGGGTCCGTCTGCAGAGCCCCAGTAGAAGGCTCGATGCCGCAGAGGTTCATGACGCCCCTCTTGTGGTTATAGGCCAGCAAATTCTCATCAGAGACATCTCGATGCCTCAGGCTCATCTCGGGGTCGAAGAAGCGGACGATGGGCTGGCTGTCGATGCTCATCACCGATTCATCCCAAGGACCCTGTACCTCTGCGAGGGTCTTGGTCAAGCCGCTACTAGAGCCATCGGTCTGGCACATCAGTCGGGTGTACTTGCTATCCTCATATTTATTCGGTGATGCGTTATACGAAAGCTTCGTAGGAGTGTATTGAGACAGAGGTGTGGCGCAAAGAGAGGTTCTGAAATCGAAAGTGGACTCGGAATCATCGCTCTGTCGAGATACAGGAGAAGTCATGGTCGGGGTACGGGGAACGTCAAGGGTATCGCAGTCCATCACTCCATCCGGGGCGCCATCAAACTGAGAAATGGTGTTGACTTTGTCGTTACTGGCCACGAGGAAACTGTCGAGGGTGCCGATGTCATGGAAAGCAGCAAACTCGAGCAGGCGCTCTTTCAGTTCGGGGACGGTCCAATCATGGTAGTCGGCCATGGATTGGAGATTCTTCTGGCTCCAACGGTCAAACATATGCTCTCGCATTTCGTCGGTAATGCGGTAGCCGAACATGGTGACGAGTGTGATAGGGTTTTTGATGAGGTGCGTTGTCGATGAAGAGGTTGGTCAGTCGGAAGAGCGACGATGAGTGATGGCAAGACGGTCTCCGCAGTCCAGGGCGACAAAGACGATCTTGCAAACAGGTTGTAGAGCAGTCGCCTTTCTTCAGCGTAGAATGAATGAAGCAGGCACTATGGTCTCTTGAAGTGAGCCGGACAAATGGACAGAGTAAGGCCTCGTTGGTGTTGGGAAAACTTCAGATACAGCTTGGCAGTTCCGTGAATCAAGGCACTTGGCAAGCGTCGGACTGTGACATGTGGGGGTTTGAAGGTCAACTGATGAGATTTCGATTGAAGTATGACCAAGCTTCGAGATATGGGCCGTTTGGAGCCTGAAAACCATGAAGAGGTGGGAAGTGGCTTTTATTCTGAAGTCGAGTTTTGACTGCGCTGCCAGTTCATCTGATCTCTTATTGCAAATATTCACAATAGGCACAACCACGAGCCTGGCCAACCAGAGATCAGGAAAAAGTCTTGCGCAGCTGTTCAGGTTCATTCTTCCATTTAAGGCCAAAGGCCATTGTCATTGAGCTTGCAAAGTGTAGTATTGTCATGACTTTTCACTGCTGTGGCCTTGTGATGCCCCAGCTACATACACCTATAATCATTAGCTTGTCAGGTCTCTCTCGCAATATCCTTTTTCCAATATGTGAAAAGTCCATAAAACTAAAATTTAGTGTCACATCCTTTCAAATGGGCAAAAGTCGGGGGTCTTTCCCAAACGCCTTGGTAAGTTTTGGCAAAAGCCCGATTTTCTTATGCATGTACAATCCAATCCATACCTACCCCACAGCTCTAATGAAGATTTTTAAGTCCTACGAGCGACGACCTGGATCTCCTTGATACATTCAGTTGAAGTAATTGACCAGAGCAACTGCAAATAGGCTACCTTCAGAACCCAAGCCACGGATGGAATATTGCTGTGGTTGTTCCAATTCATGTTTTAGACTCGAAGGCCTGAAGTTTGGGGATTGTGGCAGCCATGTCCGGCATGTTATGCCAACTAGTCGCCACGTTCGATGCCCTACTTTGCATATCTCCTAGCAAGGCCTACAAGGCAAGATCCATTCTTATATCTAAGAATAGCCACCTAGGGCAAAGTTATAGACTCTTAGTCTTTAGATCGCAACGTCCTTTGAAGGCATTCTATCTCTACTCCAAGATCTACCTGCATCTCTAAAAGGTGACTCTGGGTTGTGTTGACATAATCCGTCATCCCTTGTCTCCGCCCTAGCTTCGAAGCGGCGAGAGGTGGCGGGTTAACATTCCAAGGCCCCCCTTGTTGGCCCTGGCTTGGACCCTCATTCTTGGGCTCCATTCCACAAGACTGCGGTTAACAAGCGATTTCAGACACTAATACTGAATACACAGTCTCGGTTGCGGAAACATCGCGGAACCTTGGCTGTTTTCAGAATCAGGGGCACCGTTCTGTCCATACGCCCCCCCTGTCTTGGACTGAGAAAGGTCGTACAACTTGGCTATTCGTGCGACTTTCTAATATGCTTGGAAATGTAACGCCTGTTGTAATCAATTGGATGTCGGTTGAACCCCTTGGCATTAACAATCAAAAGAGCAAGACATCAACCACAGCAGGTGAAACAACACCACGTTGTCTCGAATTCCAGCCTACGTCAGGCTCCCTCCTTGGCTGATCTGCTAAATACGATTGATCCCCAGTCTTATGCTGATGTGACGGGCTCGCGCTCATTTTACACTTGACGCCAGAAGACTGCGTAAGCTTACGATAGCAAAGTGGTGAGGCCCAACTTGCCCGCCTCTCTGCCTTGTCTTATTCTACCTCACCATGTTCGACAGACCAGGTCACACGACACATGATCGAGATGACTTTCCACCCTTCATACCGCATGAGGATGTCGAGGAGCTAAAAGACTTGGATGGCTCACAGGAGGAAATCTTATTTCAGGATGGAAAACCGGTCACCCATTCTCTGGGTGCAAACAAGGCAACGCGATGGGCCCTGGGCTGTCTTCTGGTCTTCGTCCCGAGCTTCCTACGAAGCCGATTTATCGTAGGCCTACTCCAGGTTTTTGTCCCCAGTTTCCTGCGATCAGGTCCCAGTGAGCCCAAGAAACTCCATCCGACAGCATGGCTAGGTGAGTACGATGTCCCACTGGCAGTGTTGAAGGTCCATGTACTGAGAGCGTCTTAGATGGCATGCGCGGTATATCAGCCCTCTGCGTTGTGATATATCATTCAAGTCTCCTCTGGTTCAACTGGGACCTTCACTCAGGATACGTGCCTGGCTCGATGCAAATTCTCAAGCTACCGATCATACGACTCTTTATATCCGGCCCCCCTCACGTCGCCATATTCTTCGTCGTCTCAGGCTATGCCATCTCATACAAGGCTTTGAAGCTCGCCCACCAAGGGCGCTTCGCTGAAGTTGGCTCGACGCTTGCCTCGTCTTTTTTTCGTCGCCATCCCAGATTGTTTATGCCGGCAGTATTCGTCACCTTCGCTTCAGCTCTGATGACGCAGATGGGCTGGTATGATCTCCAAGGACTACCTGGAGTAGCCATCCCAACAAGAGAGCCACCACACGCTGGAAGCTTTCGGGAGCAGATGGTTCATTTTGTCTGGACGGAGATCTTAAACACCGACCCGATTGGTCAAGAGCATCCAAGGAGCGGTGTGCCGCGGGCTGTCGAAAACCCCTACGATGCCAACCAGTGGACGCTGCCAATAGAGTTCAATACCTCGATGGTCGTCTTCATGTTTCTGGCCGCATTCAGCAGGGTGAAGAATCGAGTTAGGATGACATTTGCGTTCGTACTAACTGTCTACTTCGAGTACTTCTGGAGCTACTGGGCGTTATTTCTGTTCCTTGCTGGAATGCTCATCTGCGACGTACACTTCGAGATCGATAACATGCGGGCCCAGTCAGCGAAGACCATGATGTCGGAAGAAGTCGCTGTGTTGCCAATTTGGGCTCGGGTGCCGCAAGGCATCTTCTCAAGGATATTCAACAAGATTGCAAGCTCTCGCATTCTCGGGCGCATCACCAGCATCTCGCTTTTCATCCTCGGGCTCTATTGGCTCAGTGCACCCGAACTAAATTACATCACTCATATGGGTGCAGTGACCTTGGTGTTCGCCGTCGACCACGCGATTTATCTGCAGATCATTTTCACCAATCCTGTCTCACAGTACTTGGGAAAGATCTCTTACTCGTTATACTTGATCCATGGTCCTCTACTTTGGACGTTGGGATCGGTCTTAGGAAGGAGGTGTGTGGCTTTCACGGGAGGAGAGACAAACGAGACATATGTCCTGGGCATTGCAATGGCTGCATTTTTATGGTGGCCGGTAGCAATCTGGATTTCAGATCTCACATATAGGGGTGTTGATTCGAAATGTGTGCAGTTCTCAAGGTGGGCTTATGAAAAGCTCTTGAGAAAGGAGGTTTAATTTCGAATTTTGTGAACAGCTGCACTATAGATAATTAGATAGAGATCATTCAGTCATTCTTTTTAACGTTCGTAAGGAAGTCAATTGTCACAACGATGTGGGTAAATATGTTTCGCTCGTTATTTCTTCAACGAAATTGTCTAAAGCTGTGGTGATGGACCTAACCTCAGTTTCCTAATAAAATCCCCCAATATTATTTTGTTTACGATTTAGACGTCTTCGAAACTGACATTTCTCCAAAATCCGTTTCCCCTGGGCGACTTGAGATCGCATTACCAGAAGTATATCTTCTCTAGTGAGTTTGACATTTGACGTGGATACGCTGAAGATTTCAATACTGAAGCTCGGCCGGAAATTTCGCCGCCAAGGAACCATCTTTAAGAAATCGTATTTCATTCTGACGCCACGGTCTTCTCTGGGCCACGATGAATGATTCCAGCTTGCCGAACAACTAGGTATCCAGGGACACTTGCGACAGCCCACAGCGCAAAGTTCAGACCTAGAGGCACAGTCAACTGTGACAGAGTCAGCCATATGGACTTGATAACCTGTGAAGTGATTTCACCTACTGGTGCGGAGGTTGAGCTGATCCCACTTGCTATACACTGGCCCGCCGCCTCTACGGCTCGCGCGACCGACATGTATCGAACAACTTCTTTCGGGTCTCTCGCCATAAGACCTATCAGCCAGAACCCATAGTTGTATGCAAGACTGAAGTTGATGGACCAGAAAATGTACAGTGCCCAGCCTCTTCCGAATCCGTCGTCACTCCAGTCCAAGGACGGCTTGTCCTTAGTATATCCGACCTGCACGATGGTACCCCAAATCCAGCAGCCTCCTATCAACGACATCATAAAAATAAAGCCGTACCTGGCACGCCGATTGAAGCTGAGGCTTGTCCAGTCCAGGAATGCACCGAAAAGAAGTGTCGTGAACACTTGCGCGAGAGCGGAGACCAATGATGCCAGTGCTCTAGAACGCACAGAGAAGTACAACGAAAGATAAGAACTGTTGTAAGGAAGTTGGAACGCTACATATAGGAAGTAGGGAAATCTGCGGCGTATCAATGGTCAATTCTCGCAGTAGTCACTTGAAGTTCGAGATGTTCCAAACTTACATCAACAAAACATCTCTGCGACAGAGTGCTTTCCCGAGCGCCTTTAGCTCATCAAAGTCTGAGACACGCTCGCCAATCTGGACTCGTGTTCCATTTCGACGTCGCACTTTGCTTGGAGATGACAGAAAGGAGACTACCACCGGACCTAGGCATTCTGCGTTGATGTAAGACTAGTCTTCTCTTTCAAAAACGGACTTAACAGACTCACGCAAAACCACGAAAACAATATAGGTTCTCCAGTCCAACTTGCCAGTAGTCCTCCCGGCATAATTGAAAGCAAGGTTGATGGCTCCTCCAAGGATTGAGCCACTGTTTCGGTAGGCAAGCCAGTAGGACAAATAACGGCCTCTTTTCTCGGGCTCAGGATAACTCAACATAATAGACCCTTCCGCGGACCAGAATATGCCGGCACTGAGCCCACACGCTGCAGAGCCTAGGTATATGAACCAGACAGTGCCATAGCGATTATTCGCATACAATGCTGCCGAGTACAGAACATAGCCAGTGGTCCCGAAGATCAAAGCTGCCTTCAGGCCAAACCTGTTTGCGACGATGCTTCCGGTCAGGCAAGCGAATGTCATGGTTGCGAACAGAATCGCGTTACCGGCCCTAGGAATTGTATCGTCAGCTTTAATCACTGCTCAAATGAGGTAGAGGCAAGTCGTTACATGACCAGGTATGGCGTTTGCTGACCACCAGCACCGACTGATTGCATCGCATTCCAAAGTCCCGGCGCTGCAAAGGCGGCCAGGCCCACAATGGTTGCGTTGAAAAAGACTCCTCGCCGCCAGTTATACGCATTTCCGCTGGCCTCAAGTGCATCCGGTTCTGATGAGACCGTCTCTTGAACCAGATTGTCCTGGGGTTTCACCTCCGGCATATCGTTGACGTGCGACGGTTGCCGTCTTCGAATATGCGATGTCGAAAGAAGCAACAAGAAAATGAATTATTCTGGAGTTGAGACTACCATCGTAGTCACGAATCATTTGCCACGAGCAAATTAATTACTTCTCCGTAGGAAGAAGATGTTGCCGAAAGATACCACGGCGCAACCATGAACAGAGCGTGGGTGATTCTACGGTCTGATGGCGTAACCAGCTCTTGTCCAATGGAGAAGAGTTGCTAGCCAGCAACAGTGGAGAAAAGTCCATATTGCGGCATCAACACATCCCGCTCTAAGACCATTTCACAATTCAAAATCAAATCGAATGAGAAAATTCGGCCCTTCTGGTCCAGGCTGGAAATACAGGACTCCGATGCTCAAGTATCTGGACGCTTTGGCCAAGGCCTAACGAGTCCCAAGGAAATCAGCTGTGAATGACCACTCTCCAACAACAAACCAAACACGACGTCATTTGCGAAAAATGCCTTTAACCAAGATTTTCGAGCCCTTCTCTTTCGAGGGACAGAAAGATGTGAGGAACTTTAGCTCGCTGCCAAGTGCTGAGTTCCCCCTTGCTCTGCGGCCAGCGAATGGCTGGGATCCGTCTCTACAGGAGTCCATCGAGACTGTCAGTCAGCTTTCTAGTTCGGGCGAGCTTAAAAGAATCATTCAGAAACACGGAGGTGCGCTGCTTATTCGGGGACTACCGATCAGAACCCCAGAGGACTACAGTCAAATTGCACATGCTTTCGGATTCATTGCCCATGAAGAGGTTGGACGGCCACCAATCAGGACGGTGCTGGCAAAGAATGTCAAGACAGCCAACGAAGGGTGAGCCTCTAGATATCATGAAATGCGGTATGGTTTGATTAAATTTTTCAAAGACCACCAGATCTGCCTATCTGGCCTCATAACGAGTATGGGTGGTCAACAATCCACCCGGACTGGATTAGCTTCTCAGCTCTTGCGGTTCCCGAATCCGGTACGCTGCAATCTCGAGCCCGGATGATCTCAAACTGACTTGACCACGAAGGTGGCGAGACTCCAATCATATCAGGATTGGGCCTTGTGAGGGCGTTGCAAGCACAAGCTCCAAAATTCATCGACAAGCTGCAAAAGAAAGGCGTCAAATACGTTTATCGTTACGGCGTGAAGGCGATAGTGTCCACCACTGGGGCAAGCGTCATCGATGCCTATGGGCAAGAAGTGAAATCAGACGACGATGAAGTCACCGTGAGGAGGAAGGTCGAGGAGCAAATTAAAAGACATAGTCATAATTTCGAGTGGCATGACGACGGGTCATTGAGTGTGACCCATGTTGTCCCAAGTACGTAATCTCCCGAAGCAATGAGCCTTAACCCTCAGTGGCTGACACTGCGTCACAGTCATAAGAAAGCACGAAGACTTGGGTCTTACTACGTGGTTCGGGAACCTCACCAGTGCGTGGGGGCGCAGCAGACATCATGGAGCTACTCAACCTCCTTATCGAGGCGATGACGGCTCATATCACCCTCCTCCTCTGTACGGAGACGGAACCGTCATTGAGAGCAGTTACCTCGACTTGGCCCTTTCGATCGCGGAGTCGTCGCAGGTCTTGCTGAGATGGGAACAGGGTGACGTGGTCCTGCTCGATGTGAGTTACCTCCCAGTCACTGTCAGAAATTTTTTACTGAACCGTATATAGAACTACGCAGTGTTGCACTCCCGCGTACCGTGGAAAGGTAACCGCTCAGTTCTGGCAGCGCTCTGGGATGATGTTCAGGAAGAGAACAGAATCTCAGACTACACCGAAGAATCATGGCGTATCGCATCCGAAGTCCAGGAGAGAAATTAACTCTAAATCACTCGCAAAGACGTACATGTAAGCATCTTTTTATAGGAGGGCGAAGGATCGCGCATATCTTGAAACCACGAATCATGATGAAATCCACTAAGGTGTAGTCTGAGGGTAGTGAATTCATCGCACAGAAGGGACGCGACATGTAACCTCTGTCAAATGTCTGAATGCTTTGCTGAAGACGCTGGAAACTTCAAGGCCTCCCCAAGCCTAGGTAGGTATAATTGCCACTCCGATTCTACACACCCGTTGTAGCAAGTAAACAGGTCAGTTAAGGCTGTTTCGTATCCCCAGCCACTTATATTTAACCATGCACGGTGGACCAAAGCCACCAGGCCTATATTAAAAGCGATGAGTCGCAGGGCTTTTGCCATCCGGCAACGCCACAGATGATCAGTGTTAAGATCCATCGAGCAACATCAAAACATCTTGCTTATACAAAGTGCACGAATATTTGGCAACTCGTCAAGTTTCGAAAGTCTCATCGCCATGTGGCTAAAGACCGGCGTACATACTCTGGTTTGGATGCTTTTGGTCTCGGGCTGATCTTGGTAGGCGTGCGGCTGTGTGAGAACGACCCGTAACTACACCAGCAGTGCCAGAGCTATTGCCCGCCACACTCGGTCGCGATGAATCACCCGCAAATTCCATCTCACATCGCAGAGGTGCCGTCGAGGTGCTACTTAGAACGTCACGATTCATCATGACGTCCGCTACTTTGACGATCGCAAGCCATATGGTCTCATTGTTATAAGGCAACCCGGGATCCTCCGATACTATCACTTGTCTTTGTATTTGCATTGCTTAGAGCTCATAATTCTTGCACAAAGTCTGGGCATACCTAGTTAACGGGCTGTCAACCAGCCCCGCCGTTGTGCAGGCTTTGACGAGGCACTGCGGCCAACATGCATGGTCTGCTCACAGTCTTCGCAAGGTCTCAAGTCTGGATGTATGAGTGGCTACACAAGTCCACCTACGCAAGCCATGATTTGTGGCATCCTTACATTCCTTCCAAATCCTGAGGCCACTCACTGCTGGGCGCTCCATCAAAGCAACCTCGCGATGGGCCGTAACTGGCTGGGCACAGTCTATTGATTGCATTCACGTCGCATCCAATGCACCTAGCCACTGACCCTGCAGATTACCTGCAGTCAGGACCAAGCAGCTCTCCTGCTCGTTCTCGCCCCCGCCCCGTGTTGGCACGCCCCCGGTCTTTCACTTGTGAAACAAACTTTTGAGAGCTGAATCAGACCAGGTCATGTTGATTGGCCTGATGGATGATACGTTCTTTAGCTAAAGCTACCTAGTATTTTTCGCCCCCTTCGCGCGCCTTTCAGACTTGCCAATCAGTGTGACTCATTCGTCACAAAATACAGATGAATCCGCCCTATTGATTCCAGGCTAACGCAGTCTCGGTCATATGTCTCAGTCGCAACAGGCGCGCCTTGATCTATTACATTTGTTTGTTCGCCCGCCTGCATGATCGCATTCGTGCTTGCCGCAGCTGATCTGCCTTTTTTAACTCACATGAAGAGGTAGCTGACCTCCTCCCATTCTGTGCCGTCCGCTGTTGGGTAGAATGTCGATCCTCGGATGGCTTGCATGAGGCTTCCCTCTGCTTCTTCGTCCCTTTTAGATTCCCGCTGCACGCAGGATAAGCAGTACCAAGCCAGTCGGATAAGCACTTGTCCTTTCGTAGAAATTGCCCCATCGTAACAGGTAAATGCTCGTAGACGTATTTCCGCCGTGTCTAGTTCACCGAGATGATATGCAAAAGCAGCGGCTTCAAGCTCACCGGCCTGAGGGCCCTCGTCGTAATCGTTGCAACTTGGTGGGGTGGGCGGCATTTCTGTACCCGGAGAGGGCAAGTCAACATCGGGGCTGAGGCCGTCAGAGCTCTCGATCTTGGGGGCGGGGGTGCTCTCGTCTGACAAAGATGGAGACTCCGTCGCATTTTCGTTATCGCTTGAGTCAATGAACCGTCGTGTGTATGATTGTAGTCCCAAGTATTGTAAAGCGCCCTCGACAATTGCAGGGTGATGCGATGAGGCCTCAATGTCTGTAGAGGCCTGGTTAATAGTCTGGCCAATGTTCTGAGCAAACTTGCTTAATTCTGGGCGGTGCAGAAATGTCGCGACGAAATTTGCGAGGAACAACTCCCGCATATTATGGTGTCCACTTGTTGCTAAGACGGGCTCGAGCACCGCTAGAAGTGAGTTCTTTCGCCTAAAATTCTTTAAACATGGATCTGAATGTGCATTTGTCCGCAAGCTCTCGCATCTCAAGGCCAGCTTGTGATGTGCGCGCACGTAACAATCCCAAATCATTTCCACACGTGGATCTTCATAGTGACAACTGTCAAACGGTTCAAATTGCCCGGCGTCACTCGGGGTAAAAGGCAGAAACGAGTCGGACACATGGGTGTGAAATGTCTCGGATCCAAAGTTACTGAAAGTGTGAAGATCGGTGCTTTCAATACGGAGGCCGTTTGAATCCAGACTGTCCAGCAAGTCCAGGCTGTCTTTGGTAGCAGAGGGCTCCGGAGAGGGAGTGCGGCATTCTACTCTTGACGGCTGATTGCAAGCGGGTGGTGCTGGTTCCGCTCGGCCCAGCTTCGGCGATTTCTCTTCCGCGGCATTCTTGGGAACTCTGTTCTTGCTGCGGCGGATGGTCTTCTGAACACGGTCAAAGTCGAGCTTCTGGCCCGACCGCACAAAAGTTGACGTCTTGCCGATTGAGTCTCTTGACGCTTTCATCTGAATAAGCCTGGCTGCATCCCTGGTGGAGAGGTTCTTCCAGAGCCCCCATTGCTTGAAACGATTCTTGTACTGCTTTGGCCTTCAAACACGCAGAAACAATTGAGTCAGTGAGTTGTCGCGTTCACTGGGCTGATGACAGCAGCGAGGGTTTTGTGTAATGGGTCGCGCGATCAATGCAACTTACGAGGCACGGAAGCTGTAGAGCTTCTCGAGGATCTCGGACACTTCCGAGAGAGTCTTGTTTTCGTCAATGTATAATTGTCGAATTGTCAGCCGCACGGCCTCCCATTCTTCTGGTGCCGGCTTATAGTAAGTCTCTTTCCTTGAGACGGTTTGCATGTGGGCAGAAGGTGCTTCCACCGGCGACGAAGCCGTTGTGGAAGACATGACGATGCCGGATGATAAATAGTGTGGGGCGTGGCGATGATGTTGATGTCGTATGAGATGAGCAACAAGTTGAAAGTGGAAGGTGAAAGAATGGGAAGCGAGCCGAGAAATTTTGGCAAGGGTGGGAAATGGGCACTGCATGGCAATAGGAGCCCCTCCGCCGAGGAGGCGCCACAGAACCGGCGGCCAGTCTGGAGCCAACCGTGCTTGCTCGCTCGCTGCTTCTGGCCTCGACTCCTGGCTGGGTACTTAGTCCCCGGGCTCAAATTAAGCCTACCTAACAGCCCGTGTTACAATTCACTAAATGTCACACCTTCAGCTGCTTGTCTTGCATGTGCTGCTCAAGCCTCTCGGCAGAAGAGTCTACATAATTGCTGTGCTCTAGACCAAGCATACTTGCTTTCGGCAACAAGCAAAAGCTGCTGCGACTATGCCCATCGGCCCTATCGTACGACTGGGTTTATTGGACAAGGATAATAAGCACTATTGTTGTGGAACTCCGACTAGAACGGCTATTCCCAAATATGCCGCGAGGCCGCAGAAGAATGGAGTCAGATTCGGAGTGGAATGGGGGATGCCATGAAGGATCCTACTCTGACTGTCAAACGCAACAAGAGTGTGTGAGCGGGTGAGCGAGGGGGGCGGAGGGCGGGCAAAGTCGTCTTTGATTGAAAGTGCGACATTCTGATGGAGTAACCTTACCAAGGCACACTCTGGGTTTTAGATTTGGCCAGATAAGCAAGCCTCCGCAAAGCCTCTGCAGAGCGGAGACCAATCTGGGCGGCGGGTTGCTTCGACTAGACGGGACCGATTGCCTTGCTAAGCACAGAAGAGCCGGAAATTCCTGCTGGTGCTACAGTACGATACGTGGGCCGTATTCAACCTTGTTTGCGCAACACGTGTTTCATCTCGCATCAACGGGCGGCCATGGGGGAACAGGGAGGGCATTGCGGCCCCCTTTTAATATTCTCCAATGTGTCGTCGTCATGCGTATCGGGTGAAAGCTCTTCCCATTTGCCATGTTAAGTTTCACAACACATAACGTGATGCCGACTCATTAATCGTATTAGGTCTACTAGTGTTGCTGATCGACTCAAGTCAGGCCACTCTAGCTTGGGAGACAGGCTGTGAATAGTTAGAATTGTACTCAATCGTATCTCATCGGGCCACGTCCAAGTAAAATAGTACATAATTGAAGAGTACTCATCTACAGCTCTACTCCGAGAAAGTATATTCATCTCCTGATGTTTAGGAATCGCCAGAGTTGCCGCCATGTAGTCCAGACGGATGTGTCGCAGCCAAGTCGGCGTTTAGCCCGGGCTACCCACGGCACTCGGCTCGTGATGGGTGAATTGAACCGGGACATGCCAGTTGACGCAATCGAAATCTGACCAACCGAATGTGCCACGTTACCAGAGCTCCTCCAAGCCTGGTGGTTTATCGATCACTAGTCCAGATCTAGATCTCATGATTACACTAGGTTCGGGGAAGATACTGCGAATACTCATTAAGGCACACAAAGACCTTGGCGGGATGACCGACTGCGAATCCATCGTTGATGCAATGCGTACGACTCACCCGATAAGGTGCTCGCTGCCGCCGTATTCGTTTCCATGGATGTCAACCGGATCCGTTCGGGAGTGCGATGACTGAAGAGCTTCCCATGTGGCAATGATCAAGTGACTATGTAAACCTTGGGCTTTATTACACCCGTGATACTTTCTATGCATTATCGTACTCGCTTTGGAAGTATGTTCCGCTAGCGATCACCATATATTCAGGTAAATGGCAATGACGAGTGTGAAGCTAGGCATATCACCGCTGGCTGTTCTCGCCAGGGAGATTCTAGAGTGACACATGGATCATAGGTACTCGTATGCGATTGATACTCGTGTACACATTGATGGAAACAACTCGAGCCAGACAATGTCATCGCTAAATTTGTCTGGTCGTTTCAGTGCTGGCACAAACCGAATGCTCACATCCTGTTTCTACTAATGAGACGAGTAAGACGCAATAAAACGCAGTATGAGCACTGCCGGTGCCAGGAAGGATTGACACAAGTATAACGTAGATAAATTCTGCGTAGAAACTAACATCAATTAAAAGGTACTCAAAGCTCATGACTGTGTGCGTATGATAGGCAACCGGTCATATCATCATTTAATTGTCGTGAACTGTCGCTCCTACTCCGTGTCTAGCAATACTCAAGTAATCTGAACAGGCAGACATTGGCCAGCTAGGCAGCTGACCTTCGATTTCAAATCAGTTAAAGGTCTCGATTTGGACGAATTCACGAGCTTTTGATAGAAAATACTATGATGACGAATGCAAATATTCACAGCCCGATAACACGCGAACGACAAAAAGGTACAGCGGAAGGTCTCTTCAGTCTCTACACATTGTGATGAATTGCGAGCCGAATATCACCAGAATCGCATCATGCACAGCCAAGCTCCTCACCCAGATGACCACGACAAGCCATCGTTGATGAAGCTAGCGAGCCAGGAGGGTTTGCTACTGGATTCACAATCATCCAGGCAGCCGTGGATTGAAGGGCAAGAATGCCCTCTCCCCACCCACCCAACTCGGCCCACCGGGCTGTCGCCTAACCCTCCCCCTGGTCCGACTAGCCTTCCATGGTTCCGGAGATCCCGATGGCCTTTAGGGGACAAACACGCAGTCCAGCTGAGTATATTTTTCGTCGCAAGCTGGTAGGCAACCTTTGTTAACACGCGTCAAGGCTTGAAAGGGGGCAAAAAAGTTTATTACACAAGCATTATGAAAGGATCTTCAGGGCGGTGGGTGTCTTGCACGAGCGTGTCGAACTGTGGGAGGGCGAATGCTAATTAACCCCGTGCTAACCTTGTGCTTGACCGGCCGAGGCATCCTACTTCCCTGGCCCATGCTGCTTCCAATGGGCCACGCGGTGAGAGACGGGTCACCAAGTCAGGCACTGCTGGATCTTCCCAAGCATGGAGCAGGTTTTTCTACTATTTACAATCGCACTTCTCAACGAGGCGGGAACAGCTGGCTAGGGTTGGAATCAAGAGCGTCCGGGCGAGTCAGTTAAGCGAAAGCATAAGTGCAAGAAGTCTGTATGCAAAGTAATTATTCCCTACCATGCGGGACTAAGTATACTGCATATGCAAACGGGAAGTTTCTCCCTGCCCCGTTGTATGAGAACAACTCTGTTGCAGCCGATACTGACCAGCATATGGATCGCGTCCTCTCCCGAGTCTCTGGAAATTTGGGATTGCTTGGTATTGTGGCCAGAGCTCATCACACCTTGCGCTCACCACATACACCTGGGGATGCCACCTTACCGTTGCACGTTGCCGTTCCGAAACATATTCAAAGAGGTCAAGTTGACATGTTGACAATTACTTATGGGGCAAAGCGTCTCAAATAGACTTTTTCAAATTCTAGCACTAGCACTGCAAAATAAACAGCGCCAGCTCGGAGTATAGAAAACACATCTAGATGTGAACGAACGGTCACAGACAGCACCCGACTCAATTCAAAGTGGTTGTCTTAAGCCTTATGCGGCTCTATTCGGTAGCTCGTGTCTGAATCATGATCGAATTTCGCACCGCCGACTGCCAGGGTTATTGAAATGACTTGTCAATAAAGACTACCGAGCTATGGTGTGGATCTTTGCCTCCATGCCTGCGATTTTCCACTGTTCCCCAGACTTCCAATATGCCAATATGCTACAAATGCCAGACCTCAGGAAACGCCTCAGCAGAAAAGGGGGAGAAGCCGTGTTCTGACCACTTGCCACTACTGTCAATAAGCGTCGCTGACGGATCAGTCATCGTCGGTATACCGCGGCCCGCTCGCCGCCGGTGTCTCCGCGCTGCCATAGGCGACAGGCGTGGGCGCGCTGTAGTACCCTCCGCTCGCCCCCGGCGTCGGAGCCCCGGCCGCAGGAGTTGGCGCAGAGTCAGCGCCCCAGCCGCCCGACCAAGCTGCAGGGGTCGGGGCATTCAGCGCACCTGGTGTGGGTGCGTTGAACGCCCCTGGAGTAGGAGCATTGAGCGCCGCGCCTGGGGTGGGAGCACCCAGACCACCAGGGGTAGGCGCATCGTATGCGGAAGGCGTAGGTCCCCAAGGATCGCTTGCGCCCGGAGTCGGCGCAGAGATCCCGTATGCCGGGGTCTTGGATCCCGCGCCCCAGGCGGAGTCGCCGCCACCGCTGGCGTAAGCGGGTGTCTTGGAACCAAGAGAGAAGCCATCGTGGGCTGGTGTCTTGGCGCCTGACGACCATGCCGGTGTGCGTGAGCCGGATCCGTAGGCCGTGCGGCTGCCGTCGTAAGGGTTGACGGTGCGAGAGCCGTCGCCCCAAGCTGGTGTGCGTGAACCAGCAGATGGGCCTTGACTCCATGCTGGCGTGCGTGCGGTGGCTGCGGACAGTGTTAGCAAGTGAAAAGAGCAGTGGAGCCAATGGTGAACAAAACTTACCTCGAGATGAAGCGCCCCATGCAGGTGTACGCTCCGAGCCCGATGAAATTTGTGGTGTGCGACTGCCAAAGCCCAAGTCGACGCCTCCACCACGACCACCTGAAAAACCGCCTCGGCCACCAAAGCCACCGCCTCTGCCATTGATGTCGATGGTCCGACCGGTGATCTTGTCCTTGAAAACAAGATCAACCTTAGGAACGGTGACAATTTTGCCTTTGGTGTGCAGCTCGACCCGAGCATGGGTATCTGTGGTATCCTTGACAATGCCCAAAAGACCCTTCCAGCCTCCCTTCTTGATAGTGACGGTCTGTCCAATGGAGCGGTCACGGCCGAAGGATTGCTTTGGAGGCGCTGCCATGCTGCTGTTGCCACTGGGGTCGCGCTTTGCTGCAGGGTTCATCTGCGTCAAATCCGGTCCGCCTGCAACTCGACCACCTTTGGCCGCAACTGTCATCAGGCTGCTAGAGCGGGTGACAAAAACGCCAGCATTCTCGTTGGATTCATTGTTGTGCAGATACACAAAGGATCGGTGTATGTGAATAATCTTGCCCTGTCGCTGTTGGCCACCATACTCCTTGACGACGTCATCCAAGCGGATCTCTGAACCATTGCGGTCGGCAGCGATTGTGTGCTTTCGCTTGGGAATCTTGTTTGCGATCTGAGATGGCATAACCTGTCTCGTGCTGCCGTTCTGGTCTAGAACAACAAGAGACTCCCGGTCCACCTTGACGATACACCCGACAGTCGTCACATCCAGCTGTACGAGGTCCAGCAAGGCGTACTGCCCCAGAGAGCCTTGTCCACTAATGTCACTGGCTTCTCTCAAATCTTTGCTAAAGACTGTGATCTCGGTATTGTTCTGGTCGGTCAAGAAGGTGACGCGATCGTCAGAGATTTTCACAACCATACCAACCTCACCTTCGTAACGGCTGAGGCTGGTGACCTTGACATGATCACCCAGCTTGAATCTCTTGCGTAACGAGGATGTGGGGATGTCAATACTTTGACCTTCGAGCTCGCCCTCAGTAACCGCGATGGTAACAATGTCACCAACGACGTTGGTAGCCTTTCCGATGACACCTTTTTGTTCGCCCTTGAACACCTCGACAATGTCGCCAGGCAAGTAAGCCACATTTGCACTGCTGTCTTTCAAGCTAACCGCAAGTGCCTTCAGGTCGAGATTCTCGGCGCCATCTTTCTCGTCCGAGCTCGCAAACTTGGTAACTTCTTCCAAAGTTGGGTTGACGTTTGTCGTGACGAGGTGCTGGATCTTGATGTGCTTGTGGAGGAAACCCTTCGAGTACTCCTCGTTCTTGTAGGTAAAGGTGTTTGCCAATGGGTTGAGCGATAGACCCGCCGGGTTGCGCTTCCGGGCCTCTACCTCACTGAAAAGTCTCTGAGGCGGACGAGGTTTGGCGAAGAAGCCAGGCCGCTTCCTCTTTCCGTCCTTGTCGAACCCGTTGGCCTTCTCTGCAGCAAGCTTGTCCTCGCGGTTACTATAGTCCACTCGAGGAATGATCTTGACAGCGGCATCAAGGCCAGTGTCGGTGATATCCAAGACTTGAGCCAGGTCACCTTCGTACAACTTGGGTCTCTTGATGCGGACCCACGTCCCTGGCGTCAGCTTGGGAGGTGGTTGCACGCGGAGGAGATCTGGCATATCCTTGATCTCAATCAGGAACATTTTGGTGTGTGGGTACACGTTCATGACATCTGCCAGAGACTTTTGAACGTCGATAGAGCTGTAGCCTTCGACGTAGATGTAGCCCTTCATGACCGAGTTGGGACCACCTCGCTCGAAAGCCGAGGTAATGGCAAGCTCGTGGTCAGTCCCAATGCTCTCTTCGTACTTCTTCTGGATGGCCATCACCACCTCGTTCTCCTTGCCTTCCTTGCATTTGACTGCCCAGATCGAGGGGTCATGAACGCTAGGCAACAGCAATCTCTTTGGGACCACAGCCGAGTCAGTGAGGGCGCCCCGGCCCGAGTATGCGTTCTTCCTGCCATAGTCTCTCTTCAGTCGCTCCGCCACCTCTTCAGCACCGACGTTCTCTTCCATTTGCTTCCGACGGTCGAGCTCTCGGTGGTATCTCTCGTCGTCGACATCTCCAGCTTCGGCTAGTTCGTCGGGGTGCGATTGGTCAATGAAGTCTCCTATCTCAGCTTGATCCTCCTCGTCCTCGACGTCGTCTTCGTCTTCGTCGACCTCAGCTTCCATGTCGAAGAAAGCGGCGCGCGTGTCCCTTCCCTTTCTGCGCTTGCGACGGTGTTGCTTCAGGTTTGTCAGCGAGTCAACTCAATCAGTGCACACATTGACAACGTGGTGAAACAACTGATCGCATCCCCCGAGTTTGTCAGGGGTAGGAGATAGCAGCCCAGCTGTCAAGCTGCAGAGTAGCCATTTCACTTCACATACAGGCATATCATCCTCATCTTCGTCGTCGTCATCATCTTCATCCTCGTCGTCCTCGTCCTCGTCACGGGCCTTTCTAGCGCCCGTGTTATCTTCATCCTCTTCGCCTTCGTCGTCGTCCCTCACGGAGTGCGAGTCTCCATTCGCATCGCCATCGGCATCATTGTCGTCGCGACTCGGGCTGCTTCGACGGGCGCCGTTCCTTGACTCGATAGGTGATGAGGGCTGTTGCTCATCGTCAGACCCGTCAGCAGGCGCAGGGTTGAAGTCGCCGCCGTCCGAATCCGAGTCGTCGTATGTGCGCCGCGGTGAGGCCATTTTGTGAGGCTCGAGGACAGCCAAAATGGGATTGGTGATAGAAGCCTCGGAGGGTAGGCGCGATTTCGAGGGTGAAGAAGGAAAGAAAAAGTTGCGAAGGAGGGCCGGGTGTCGAAAGAAATAAAGGAAAGTCGATGAGGGTGCTGGAGACGGATGGCTGCGGTTGACAGGATGCAACAGCAAGCAGCTCTGGCCCACTGGCAGGCATTTGAATGTTCTTTGAGGTGGGCAGGGATTTGGCCACTGGGCGGCGGGTTGACGCTAGTGCTGCGCTGGGGTGGCACGGCCCACAGAGCAGCTAGTCAGCGGCATTGGGCACTCAGGTATAGATGAAGAAGACTCAGGAAATCGAACATCACATCAATAAGTCCCTGGAATACATACTCAATCGAAGATGATACGACAGTCTAGGCAAATTTTTGATTATTTAGGTACTTTCCCTGGACCACTGGCTCATTAATGTACTGTGCCAGCAATGTCAACCCACGCGGTTGCTCGCAAATTGAGATGGCTTCTACAAGCGCCACGGCAAACAGATGCTACCAACTAACTGATCTCTGGCGAAGTGAAGCTACAAGAATACTTCTTGCTGGAGTTTAGAGAAATCACAGAAAAAGGCATCAGAAACCATCTCTTCCAAATTATCACAGCAAGGAGGACAGGTTCTCGAATGGCATATGTTACCTCGCCCGCGGCTTAGGCAAGATTGGAAGCACTGTTCTCTTGTTGCCGGTGAACTAGTATTCAGTGGCTTATCTTCCAACTAGCAAACCAAGTCCTCTGTCCCTACAGCGTGACGCCCATTAGGTCATGCTCGTTCGACTTCATAAATACTTCAGAAACGCCGTGCTTCGCCATGCAAGTCAGGGCGCGCGCGAGGGACAGCCCATATCGGATGGCCCTTCGTGCTGGTGGTAATAGATGAACGTAGCTGGTCACCCAGATTCTATGTGGACGAGGAGCCGACGGCTTTTGTCTTGCTCCTCTTGTCTTGTCTTCCTCTTTCAAATTTGTTGGCAACGATGCAGAACATTTGACAGAAGGTATTCAACCCCCCCTGCCGCACTCACATGCGCTGTTCTCAAGTCATAAGGGCAGTCAAATCTTACATCCTCACACCCCAGATACCACGGCCTGCACTGACTCCGAGCCACTCCCCAGCCTCATCACTGGGCACACGAGGCACCCATCCAAGGTTGCCCACCTCATAGTCGCATTGCCAGCTAGCGGCTGGGCTGCGGATGCTATCAGACTGGGGCGCACCGTTGGACTGTTGCTGGCTCATCAAATCCCACAACAGAACCTGACAGTCGTCACCTCCCGACGCAAGTTGGCCTCGGCGTGTCGGCGACCAGTCTATACAGTTGACGGCGCCTCCATGGCCGCGCAGCTCAAGCAGGGCCTGGCCTGGTTGTCGTGTATCAAGAATGCGGATAACATTGGAGTCTTGCGCAAACGTCGCGAGTAGCTGCGTATCGTGCGGGGAAGTGGCAATTCGCAAGAGAGGAGGAGGGTTCGACATTGTCTGTTGGGCAAGTGTAGGGCTCATCTTGCCGCCGTTTGCATCTACTGTTGGAATGTCAGCAAACAGAAGCGAGACACAAGCTAGCGAGAATGAACTTTAGTCTGTCACGTACCTCTGTCCTCCTTGCCAGTAGGCTCGTAAATGATGGTGCTGTGCTCCAGGCTCCTCAGGTCGAACATGCGCACACTACCATCCTGGCCACAACTGACGAACACGTCAACACTGTTTGCGCAAAACCGCACGTCGTACACTTCTTTATCGTGCGCGATGAGTTGGGTCTTGGCCGTCAAAGATGGTATGTCCCAGATTGTACATGTCGTATCGATGCTAGAAGTGATGATTAGACTGGGAGAGACTGTGTTCCAGTCAAGAGAGGTCAGCGGCGCAGTGTGGTCTGGAGTCTTGGAGTTGGACAGCAGCGCGAGTGGTGTAAGTTTCGTGGCCGCGACATCCCGGCTGCGGCCCGTTATCGAGTTGCCAGGGTTCGAGGGAGTATCAGAGGGAAGAGACCATAGTCTCAGGTGATCTCCCGATGTGGCGAGAAGGTCCGTCGACTGTTTCGTTGAGGATGGGGGCTCCCACAGGAGGCGGGTGACCGGGTAGGAATGCGTGGCTTCGGCGACCCTCGTGAAGTCCATAGTCCATTTCGAGCCGCCATGGTTGTTATAGACATCAGAGGGTGTCGGAACGATTTGGGTATCAAGAATTTGAATCTGTTCGTGATAAGGTCAGTGTCGGGTCACCCGTGCGAGACAATTCAAGGCTGACAAAATTGTGACCATCCTCCAGGTAACTTCCGATAGCAACCTTGCCAGCACCGTTGCCCTGAGGCGCCCATTTACACCAGTCAAAGGCGTAGGTTGCCCAAGGCGCCATATAGTTGCTGGTCCCGGGGGTCGAGTTTTGCATCGTAAAGTCAACACCACTGGGCAGGCCGTCGGACAAGGTCGAATCGGCGCGCGGTCTGATGTCAGCCAGGCCAAGCGGGGTGTGTGACATGTTCCTCTGCGAACCCGGCGCATTGTAGCCTCGGTCGGTCGGGGACATGAATTGGGAGTTGGCAGCCGATCCTCCTGGCGTTGTCGGGGTGTAGGGCGAGTAGCCAGGATTTTGTCCGTCGTAGCCTGCGGCAGGGCTGGACCGGGAGTAGCTGTGAGCCAGGTTCAAAGAAGGCTTGGAGGGGGTCTGATAGTCTTGCTGCTGCTGCGGCATGGCGCCTTGCATCGTGGGCAGAGTAGGAGCCGTGTTGGAACCGATTGCTGGTGGCCTACCGATAGGACCGCCTGGCTGTAGCACGCTCGGAACGGCGGGTGTGCCCTGGTATGAGGGCGGATTGCTGGGAGTTTGGTCCAGCTTGATCTGAGGGCCGGCGCTTGGCGTCGAATATTCGCGGGGGGAGAGTTGGCCGTGCTGATATTGACTAGGACCGGGGCCTGACATGTGATGCTGCTCTTCATATCCACCTGTCCGCCTGGCAGAAGCAGCATATTGCTGCTGTTGCTGCTGCTGGCTCATTGTATCTTTGCTTGTCGTAGCCGGGGTAGAGGACGAAGTGGTGGTGGTGGAGGCTGGCGCGGGCGTCGAGTCCGGAGATGGATTGAGGTGAGGTATAGAAGAAGCAAAGTCGTCGTTGGACGTTGGTATAGAAGGGAGGCCGAACATCGATCGAGCGATTGGACTAGGACGCGAGCCGAAGCCTGAGCTTGAGCCTGAGCCTGAGTTGGATGTCGACGGTGGGCTCAGTGCCGGAGTGAGAGCATCAGCAGGGGCCAACGCGCGAGAATGCTGTGGGAGTGGTTTGCGGGCGGGGGGATATTGCGCTGGCTGGGTGTATGAGGCTGGAGGACGCGAAGATTGGGCCGCCAGCACGTTGGGAGAAGACGATGCGGCTGGGGTGTCGATCTCGCGAGGGCGAGGGCGAGCAGATGCAGGAACAGGAGCAGAAGGAGGAGGAGGATGGTGATAACGGCTCGTAGAGGTGGATGCTGCTGCAGACACAGCTCTCTGCTTTGATCCAAAACCAATGCCAGTGCCGGTGCCAGTGCCGGGAACACCAGCGGCAGAGGATTGGAAGGGTGGCGGCCGATGCAAAGAGGTGTCGGTGTCGGTGTCGGTGTCGGTGGTGGTTGGTGGAGGTAAGGCAGGATGGAAGCGAGCGGGAAGATGTTGTGGATAATGCCCAATGGCGCCAGGGCTGCTGGTGCTTCCGAATGAGGGAGAAGTTGGACTGCTGCTGCCGCTGACAGTGGAACGCAGGTGCATGTGGTCGGGGTGTGCAGGGGCACGGGCAGGAGACGGGGCAGCAATGGCCCCCAGCGCCTGTCCTGCCTGGCCCAGCATTGCTGAGATGGAACTGGCACTGTTGCCCCGCGAATGTTGATGTGCAGATCCAGGTGCTGCATGGCCTGATCCACCCCCGCGACTAGCAGGGCCGCGGTAGGTCTCCCTAGCAGGAATCGACATAGTGCAGGCTGCTTGCTGGGGCTGTAATTAGCCAGATGCCTAGGTAGACAGATAGACTGACTGGACGCAGGTCGATAGATGTCCTAGATAGATAGATATCTGTTGCACGTATGGGAAAGTGAAAAAGATGAGACACATAAAGGTCGACTTCGGCTTGACGGATATGCCTTGCCTGTGTGTGCCTGTGACTTTCTTTTGCTGGGCTTCAGAGACTCCAAGCTCTCGGATGGGTGTGGTCTGTTAGTGACTACATTCAATTCGGTACGCCGTCAGTGATGAACCATGTCTCTCTTAACTGTTGTCTTTACCTGCATCCTGCTTCCCCCTCCCCCACCATTGATTGACTGACTGACATCAACGTCACCTTGTCGGCCTTCTCGACCTCGTACGGCCGTAAGATGACCCACCTTTCTACATTCTGCGTAAAGACTGAACACCAATACTGACACAGAAAGAACCTTCTACGATCAGCTTCGAGAATCTCAATTCACTGTCCCACTTTCCTGCTGTCCTCACGTCCATCGTGGGACACCTTTGTCTGCCCTCGGCTACCCTCGTCCCCTTCGCTCCCTGTCCCGACAGTCAGCCCACAGAATGAGTCGGGACAGCCTCCCGTCACTCCTCTTGCTGCCCTTTCCTCCTGATCCTGCCACTCGGCCTGCACTGAGTGCTGCTTACCGTCCGGCCCTGGAGGCTACCTTTGCCAAGCTCAAGAATGCCCCAGCAGCGCAGAAGCTCATCGTGGCCGTGGCTTGCCCGATGCTAAGAGGACCGGGCCCGCGGTATAAAACTCTCTCATGGCCCCAGGCCCAGTCGCTCCTTGCCGGCCTCTACTCCATAATCTCTGTTGTCTGTGCTGAGTTGGATATCCCCTCGTACTTGAATGGTGGCCGCGGCTCTGTCGACGCTCGGGTGGTGCTCGTCGACCACAGCCGGACAACACGCTATGGACAGGATTTCCGGGCCGCCGTTGAGTCCAACAACACGGCTATTGTTGACCTGGCAACTTTCGCTTCTACTTATTACCCTTGGAATTTCATCTTCAACGCTGACAGCGAGCTCTCACACGAGATCCACGCCCTATATCTGAAGCTAGCCGAGAAACGGCAAACATTGCTGCAAGAACAACTTATCACTGTCAAGGCCGGTGTGACTCTCAATGTGCCGAGCTTGGGTGGGCCGCCGTCACCGACACCCGGTACAATGCCTCACGCAACAGTATGTCTCGGTGGCACGTTCGATCACCTGCACCCCGGCCACAAGTTGCTATTGACAGCAGGGGCATACCTCCTGGACATCCCGGAGAGCGGGTCGTCCACCACCTGCAAGTATATTATTGGTATCACGGGCGATGAGCTTCTCAAGAATAAGAAGGGTGCCGAGTTCCTCGAATCCTGGGCCGACCGCGCACGAAACGTCATCAACTTCCTCGCAACCGTACTGGAGCTGTCCCCAGAAGGCTGGGAGAAGGTTCCGGCACCGCACATTGCTGAGAAAGACGGTGAATTCACTGCAACGTTCCGAGACGAGGCTGTCACTATCCAATGCGTCACGATACAAGACCCTTTCGGTCCTACCATCACCCAAGAGGACATGGACGCGTTAGTTGTGTCAGCTGAGACAAGGTCCGGCGGGAAAGCAGTCAACGACAAGAGAGCCGAGCAAGGGTGGAAGCCGCTTGAGATCTTTGAGGTTGATGTGCTAGATGCCAAAGAGATCACCGATGTTCCGTCATCGACTGAGAACTTCGCAAACAAGATCAGCAGCACAGCGATCAGACAGGAGATAGCCCGGGGCCCGGCAAGTCGGTGATCGGAAAATGAGGAGTCATTTCATATTCAATAGATGAATCGTGAAGAAAAAAAATGTACAGCAGATTCATAGTAAGTACAAGTTGTGGTGGATCATTGTCCCTTTCGTCAATTCATAATCACCATTTCTCCAAAGAAGACTTCGTCCGTCTAGTAACTTCGGAAGCAAAGCAAATACATCAAACTGTTTGACCGCAGACTCCTTTCGCTCCTAATTTTCACATCGCTTCCTTCAACGCATCGCAAGAGGCTTCCAATCAGTCCTCATCCTCATCAGCGTCGTTTTTCTTGCCACCTCCAGTAGCAGCTCCAGCACCACCGGCAGCGCCTTGCGTTGCTCCTCCTGCAGGCTTGGCTGCCCCGGCGCCAGTCGCCGCTCCAGCAGCACCACTCGCTGCGCCGCCCGCAGGCTTCGTTCCAGTAGCACCTCCCGCGCCAGCCGCAGGAGTTGCCGTCGCAGAGCCACCGAGGGCCGCAATGCCGTCGTCAAGCGCCTTGCTGATCATGTCCGTGCTCTGCCCGGCGATAGGTCTCGCGAGCGCGGGCACCTTGCTCAGCAGGGCGTCGCTCAGGCCGCCTGAGTCGGCCTTCTGCTGCTGCAGGGCCTGCAGGGCGATGGGCGTGACGCCGAGCTGGTCCAACACGGGCTTCTTGGCCGTCAGGTCGCCGATGGTCGTCGTCACCTGGGTGGCGAGGTCGGTACCCGTCTGCTGTAGGCCCAGAGAGCCAATAAGGCCAAGGTTGTCGGCCGCCTGGATCTTGGTGGCGGCGCCCGAGAGGGCCTTGGAGGCTGCCTGGGACGAGGTCAGGATGGGTGCGGCGGTCTGCGGGTCGGTGGTGAGGCCTTGGATGGCGGTGTCGAGGTCCTTGAGGGACGACATCACGGGCGCGAGTGCATCCTTGATGGCATCGACTTGGCGGCGCTCAATGTCGACGGGCGCGGCCATCACTGATGTCGCGCCCGTGAGGGCGAGGATGGAGAGGAACTTCATCTCGGCGTTGGTGTTGATTTAAGTAGATATGTTATTATAGATCAGTAGTGATTTGGCGACCTGCGCAAATACATGTGTTGGTATCGTATTCGTAAAACAAAAAGAAGACTGTAGCGGAACTAGTTGATGGAATGTCACGATCGTCAAAGGCTTCATCACGGCGATCAGGGAAACTTATACAAACTCAAGCACACACGACGCAACCCACAAGCCGTCGCAAAGCAACAGCATGCTCGCAAGAGCCGCTTTTCTCCTCCTCCTTCCGAATCTGGAAAACGATACGCGCCTGCTGCCATCGCTGGCATGTCTTGGCCACGCATCTTCTGGGACAGGCGGGTCATGCAGGGGGCATCGCATCTGGAGCAACTGTGTACGCTGCAATGGCAGCATGCGGCCATGGCGGGTGTCATCTGGAGTGGGCGGAATGTTCATCGAGGCAATTTCATCTGATATTCCGGCGCCTTGCGACGCCCCAGATGGGAACTCTGGCTCTCTTTCGCTATGCCATTCCGGGTTGCGATGCGATGTGGAGGCGAGCCGCATCGCCGACCCGAAGGGGACTAGCTCGAGCTGTCAGATCCCATTTAGGGTTTTCTGGAAAGAGTTTTGTCGGGGTGAACTCTAAAGGGCTGGGCGTGGTTTCGTCACGAGCTTCCCCCTTCTCTGGCGTATAAGGCGTGAGGCTCAAGTGGCCCACCCGAGCGTTGGTGTGTGAGAAATGGGATGAAACGACCGCACTTGGTGCCGCTGTCGCTCAACCTGCTGGCGTGTGGCCTTTTCTCGCGCGAGATTACCTCCTGTCTTATTTATCTTTCATCGAATTTCTGCTACGCGGATCTTGGCAGTATGTTTTTCCCCTTGCTACAACTATGGCCCTTGGTACCCAGTTCCCAGCGCCACTCTTAAGCTTAAAGGTGAACTGCCGGGTCTGGTCTGTGAAACACCAATCATCGGAGGCAGGCCGTAGGAGTCTTTAGCAGCCGTTTCTTGTTTCGAAAAACATCTGACTCAGCCATGGCCTGTCAATATGATCCTCGGTAAGGCCAGCTCGTGATGCTGTGCTGAGCATCATCTACGACGTGGAGCCCTTTGCTCATCCAAAATATCCAACACCTCCGTGATGAGGCACCTCACTTGCGGTGTCTCATCTTCAACATTCGGGGCTACCTTTCCTCAGACCGCATTTCTCCTTCCAGGCAGAGAGAAGATGTGTCGAGTCATTGGCTACCACCTACGCGATTGCCACATCCTCAACGTTTTGTATCACTCATCACACGAGTGTCCAGTGCCCCTTGCCTCGGCCTTTTCCACCCACCAACATCTCACGCATGTGCAATTCGTACCTGGCTTGAGGGCGTGGAAGAAATCCTCATTTGAATACAACTAAGCTGAATTTCACACCCGGCACACTTGACCACGGGATGACGCGGGATTTATGTTGAGCAAGAGAGCTAGCCGGGAGATGGTTTGATCGTTGAGACACAGAATAAAAATCTGGACGCTCCTCGTTCAACGATTTTCTGGGGTTGGGTCAATTCAAAACCAAGAAGTTGACTACCGTTGTAGCGGTCCTTGCTACTCACATGCGCTAAGTGTTGTGGATAACGCCGAGGGTAGCTCCACGCTAGATTCTTGTCATTCTCGTGGCAAAAGCCCTTTTCTATAAATAGTCCACCGTAAACAAAGACAATAACTCCGGAAAATCTAAGATGTGGCCGTGTGCTTCTACAAAAGAAACAATATGCATAAGTATAGGGGACAGCATGGTGTCTATAGTGGAAAGGGACACATTCATCACCCTGAGAATGGTGTTGGGTTGTAACATAGCCAGGAACCACGACGGTTTCCGTACACGTTCGTTCTGGTGGGTCATTCTGCTACCAAAACACTCTCCAAAGGTCAGTGTCTATGATCTTCGTTCCCTGTCATGTAGCCTTCGATAGGCAATGACTGGCGTCCGTGTCATTACTTAAATACTGTGAATACTTGGCCAAGCACGTGAAACGCTTGATCAGCTCGTTGTGTTGGTCTGCTTGCCTCGCTGTGTTTTCGTCCCTCTCTTTCTTCCTTCTCGGCGCTCGCCGTTTCACGGTTTGGGTCGCTCACGAGAAGATCACCGGTTTTGACCCCCTTTCTTTTCAGTATACGTCGAGGCGTGAAAGGAGCACCTGAAGTTCACCGTCGAGTAGAGGGACACCACGCCTTACATATTACTCCCGTTGCTCATCGAGAAATTAGTTGTCAATTCGCTCCCAAGAAGTTCGAAATCCATAATAGCACTGAAGCTCAGAGGAGTTAGTGACTCGGTACTCCCGCAGAGGCATTACAGAGCACCACCATGCCCTCGCGCTAGCATGGTCTTAATCCCTCTCGCCGGCTAAAATCGAAAGCGGTGTAGGCTTTTCGATTGTCATCTGCGACACAAAAGACCCTCGGATCTGGCTGGATGATGTACTGCGGCTGATCCTCAGCACTAAGCGGTTTGTGCACTCAGGAGAACACGGACGGGAAACGGAAGGGAATGCATGTTTTGACCACACTAGCCTCTCCTGAATGTGTCTTACTCGAATTCCTACTCGCCGGGTTCCTGACTTAGCCTCCAGACCTTTGTACCCGATTGACTTGGCGGTCAACACTTGACATGCACGTCAGATGTATACGAGCGACCTGACGTCCAAAAAAACGCCATTTTGATTAAAAGACATCAGCACTTGAGTCCCTGGCTCCTATGTGAGCGAAGATTTTACATAATTCCGCCGAATCAATTTCCAAATTGCCTGCACAAGAAGTTAATAAATACCTAAGTAGGTATTTCAGAGAGAATATGATATCCACAGCAAGTCTCAAGTCTTCTTCCTCGTACTCAGTCAACCCGACCAAATTTCTCACGATGTGGCCCTTAGCGTCCCTACTCCCTCTTCTTGCGGCTTCTGTTCTCGCGGCACCTACGCCCCAAGCAGATGGCACCACCTGTCCCACCTCCTCTTTCGCTCTATTCTTCGGACCATCCCTCTCCGACGGGCGGGAAGCCTACGCATGGAACGACCTCACAAACTGGATCCGCGCCATCACAAGCCTTGACATTGACACACCCGAACGTGCGACATTCCAAGTCAACAACAACCGCCTGTTCCCCATCAGCAACAGCACCATCTTTGCCACTGTTGCCAATGAGGGTGGCGTAATCGAATTCCATGATTCCGAGACCACTGATCGTGCTGCTATCAATGCCGAAGTTGTCCCTGGCACCGATGGGAAGTGTCGCCTCTCATTGACAGCCGGCACAAACAAGTACATCAGCATGCAGAACTATAAAGGCTGGATGCATCTCACCTCTGACCCTCAGTACTCCTCCAGATGGTGGGGTGAGGGGCCGTTCGAGATGGTGCCCTTTCCTGCTGCCGCTCCTGCTGTTTCTACCCGCCAGGAAGAGTAGGCGGGAAGTATGAGGAGTTGACTTGCGATCCATGATTTACAACAAGTGAGCGAGCGAATAGAATGATAGCGAGATTAGAAGTACATTCAACAAGATTTAGGCTGGAAAACACTATCCTTGCTGCTGATAAATCATGACTGCATAATTTCTCGACGTGAATGGTATGAACTCAAGTGTATAAAGCAAGTATTTCGCATGATCGAAAATTATTGTATTACTTAGAGTCCCAAGGGACATATCCCTCTGACCATCAATAATCATGCAACTCCCTGCACATTTCCACACCAGTCGAGACCAAGCCTCAACGTACTTACCTCTCAAGTTCACAACAGGTGTATTAGATTTAGGACTTACCAGTGGCCTATAAGCTACAGCGTAAATGTGAGGGCAGAAATCACAGAAATCCACCCTAGAAAATTATCAGCACAGCTCAACTGATGCATGACTCACCTTCAATCTACTTCCTGCTGCTCTTCTTCGACTTCTTGCCACTTTTTCCCTCGACACATTCGAGGCAAACAAGGCCAAATCGCTCCGTAGCCTGCTCTTCGGGTTTGGGACCGCACTGGAAGTCGGGACATACTCTGCCGTAGACCTGTGCGATGGGGCAATGCTGGAGAGCCGCGTTAGCCGCGGGCTTGACGCAGCCGCATCCGCTGAAGTAGTTGGTCTCAAAGTAGCACATCTTGTTTAATTAAAATGAGCAGGTCTAAACAGAGTGTGGTGCTTGAATGAGGTTGGCAGCGCAGCTGTTGTGTTAGAAGAGCGTATAGAACGAATCGGGTCGACTTGAAGAGAAGAAGACGAAGAAAATATTGAGCGGAAGGAGAAAGAAAGAAGCAAGTCCCGGTCCTGTTGTGAATGATCAAACTCGCCTGCTGAGCCAGGAAAGAAACTGCAACAGTTGAGCGCGAGTAAGACTTAAATAATGCTATCAAATTGGGACTGGGACAGTGAGTATAGGGCGTCCTAGGCTGGGAAACAATACTACTCAAGTCACAAAAGAGTGTGCGGGACTAGTACTCTTTGAAGATTTCCAGAATAGATCGGGCCTCGGCTTGACTCCCGTGTGGTTGATCGACCGATATCAAGCACAAAGACACGGAGCGGAGCTGTGTCTATTTCGAATCCAGACAATCCCTTGTTTCCGGATTTAACTTCACCATGAATTATTGAAGTAAAAATATCCTGCCTGGTCATGATATCATTGACCCATTGCTTTCTCTCTCGTATCGGGCGAGGGGAGGGAGGGCGGCCGCCCCTGAAGCTGAGGCTTTATGCTGTAGTTTCATCCACATCTACATCCCCTCACTAGTTTTTCTGTTTGGTCTCTTTGACACATTTGGATTCAATGGAGTCAATTGAGCTCTTTGCAGCAGCTGCTTTGGATGATTAAAATGCGAGTGAGTCGTAGTCTTCGGCTGCCAGCTTCGCGCTTAGTGTACCGGGTCGGAAAATTGAATAGCCCCCGCGCGATTCTAGGCAATTTCAGACCTTTGGCTCTTTTGTTGGCTTTCGGTTCGGTATTTTCATCGCTTCCATCCGCCTTGTCTATTCGTAGCCCCTCTTGCAGGGTTCGCTCCCGACACGTTGTCTACTATGCCTCCATCCTGCTCTGACTACTTCGTCGCGTGGGTCTAGGCCTGAGGATCATGCTTTTGTGATGACGAGTCCGAAGCACTCGTATGGCCCAGGGAGGTCTTCAGAACCTTGACCGGTTTTTGATTACCGCTCCCGCCATCTTCTGCCCCCTCGGGATCGTTGCGTGGTCGCTTCAGTGGGTTGTTCGTTCTCAACGCAAGGTTGACCAAGATCTGAGGAGCCGCCGGAGTGCTCTGAATATTGGTGCTGTGTATTCCAATGATGAGATCATCAATCTTGTGCGAGTGGCTAGTGCTCTCGGAGTGAACCTCAGGCGCTGCCAGTGACTGCTGAGGCCCTGAAGTCCCGTTCGAGCTCGTGAACCGGTTGATACAGCCCCACCATGCAGGATTTCCGACGGAGACTTGGGAACCGAATCGTGCCTTGCGGATTCGAAATCCATTCTCGATTCTGGGTGCCACATTAACCGGTAGATACAACTTGTTCAACGCGGCATTCTCTGCCGCAGCTGACCCCTTTCTAGATGTCTTTTCGGGGCAATTCTTGTCTGAGCCGATGATCACATGGTGTCGCATGATGGCTTTCAATTTCTCGGGCCTGCCACCGTACTTAGAGATTCCTACGGAGAGGAATTTGTCCACAGCTTGAGCTGCGAGGCTGAGAAGTTTCAGCTGCGACTTCTTGTTTGGCTGGTCAGCCATCGTCGTATCACCGCCAGTGTCAGAACCCAGGAGCTCGTCGACCTTCTCGTTTTTGTCCTCTTGGCTACAAATGGTGCGCGCAGCCACTAGCTTCATTGCCCAGTCCCATACCACTAGATTTTCCGCAGTATCTGCAGGATTGTGAATTCCAATCTCCTTGGCAACATATCCCCAGAAGTCTGCCGCAGCCGTATCTGAAAGATCGTCGAGCCGAGCGGTCGCCTTATTGGAGAGCTCAGCGCAGAATCTGTCCATGTTCTCCGCATCGAGGTCTTGGACATGATCGTTGAAAGCTTTCTTCATACGGCGCGAACGCTTGGATTCGAGGGTGAACAGACCATCGGTGTCGTAAAACTGTTTCCAATCATACCTAAAGCCAGTAATCGGAAGATTCTTGTACATGGGCATCTGCAGCATTGTGTCGAGCTGGCTCTCCTCCTTCAGCAGTCGGCTTGCCTTCTCTGCCGTGGTCTCTTGTCCATAGTCAATCTGTCCGACATGGCGGAATGTTTCGTAGTCGATGGTCACACCGTCAGCCATGCTGTAACAATGAGAATTAGCTTGGCGATGCGAGGAAAAATCTTGCAGACTCGTGTGTCTCGGGGTCTTGTTGATTGGGGTCTGTAATATCGTACGCATGAGCAGAGGGCAGTGAGTATGTTGGTGTATCGATGCGCACTGATATTGAGGAAGGTCAATGAATCGAAAATCTTGCGTACAACGAAAGCGAAAACGCAAGAATTCACTGACGTATACTGCAGAATGATTCGAGGGACATCGATGGGAATGGAAAACAACGTAATTCACCAGGAGGACGCCGTACGCTGAAGCGATTACGTACCCAGATTCACTTGCAGCTGGAGTTCATGTTCGTTTGAAAATCTGACCCAGTATTCACTCGAGAGTTGCAAACAATAGCCTAATGCTGTTTGGTCATCACAAACGACCAGGAATACTGATCATCTTGAGTCTGTCCATGCATTCACATCGTGCGATTCATTTCCCCAAAGGTCAATCTAGTATGTCGGGCTTCAGCAGTAACACCGCTTTCTTTACTGCTCAGGCCCATATAACGATGACCGCACGACGTTGGCTCTCTTTAACCCGTACTCCTCTCCAGTGTCCTTGATTCTTGGAAGCGAGTTTGTGTATGGTTGATGCTTATGGAGACCACTCATCGTGGAACCACAACGTGTGAGCCTGAGTTAAAGAGTCTTGCAACCATCATGAAGTAAAACAGATAGTTCAGATATCTATCATAAACTGAAGTAAACCAAGCAGCATTCAGCATCGAAGAGGTGATTGCTATCTCGGACCCTCAAGCAGGCGCAGCTTGGGTCTCTCCGACCATCTGTTGTAATACCACCCACTGTACACCTTCGAACCACACTACAGCCAAAAGTAGACACCAGGAGTCTTAGGGAGACTCTTAGCAAGTCAGGGGAGCCGGCCCAGGGGGGACATAGTTGGTTGGGACAGGGTAGTAGATATTGACGACCAGACCGGGGTCGGTGGCCTTGTATGCGCCAGGGAAGGACACCTTGGTGGGACTTGCTGTCCCGGAGCCTCCAGAGACGGAGACTTGCGCGCAAGACAAGTAAAGCTGAGCTCCTCCGACCGAGCTGGCCGAATGGAGTGCAATGTGCTCGGCTCTGAGCAGGTACTCGCCATCCGCGACACACTTGGGGATCGGGATGTTGATAGTTGATTTTCCTGTAGGGGATGTCAGAGAACTATGAAAACGTATGCTGAAGACAAGACGGCAGAGTCCAGCTCACCTTGCGATGGCCACGTCAAGCCACTCGAGGCTACCGTGGGGTAATCCTGATAGATTTTGAACCTAAGCCCTTGTCAGCTCTACTTCCCACTCGTATCACTCCTGATACATCCAGACCTGGCGTAGGCCGCTGCCCTCCGTTATGCCGCCTGCCAAAAATGAGTATAGAAAGACATACCAATTTGCTCCAGATCCATCATATGTGGCAGCAGTCTGACCAGAGGGGACCTTGGCCAGCCACGCGGAGAATGGACCAGGGTGCGAAACGCTCGCCTTGACATTGTAAGCCACAGAGGAACCAGCTTGAACATTAACAGTTGTGGCGCCCTCGTTACCGGCGGCGAGCTGGTAGCACGTCATCGCGGAGGACGTTACGTCGGTCACCGGACCGTTCGATTGATAGTTCGTGGTTTTTCTGACATTGGCCCAATCGGCCTAGTATGTACTTTCGTCAGTATCAGTTGTAGTAGACAGATATGCTTGCCAGCTCAAAGGAGACCACGCATTTGGGCTGTGTTTAAGAATAGTGCAAGAAGTCCCAGATGATCCGTAAAAGTGACTATCCAACGTCCTTGAGAACCATACAAAGTGTTACACCTCTTTTTTTCTTCTTTTTCTTTTCTTTCGTTTCTTTTTTTTTTCTTTTCTTTCTTGGAAGAAAAATGTATCTCATGGGAGCTTTGAGGGGGAGCTTGGGGATCGTCAACTCACACCGCCATTGATAGAGGGCAGGGTATAATGCGCTTCGGCCACAGCAGCCGCAAGGGCGGCGACAGACAGCATGAACTTCATCTTGATCTAGACGATACTGATGTAAGGCAAAAATACTTCTTTATTCGGCTCGTAGTGTTCTTCGAATGGGCTGACCAGAGAGTAGCAGGTCGATTGTTGCGATAAACGTGGAAATACGGGTCAGCGAGCTGTCTAATATTCACTGATACTAGGATCTATTTATCATTGTTTCTCGAGCCCCTTTGGTGCTTCCAGTTCAATTTATTCAACGCCTGCAATCTGTGATATCGTTATTTCGAGAGCTCCTTAGCACTCGCGTGCCTTGTGGATAAATGCCTTTCTCTGGTGACCTCAGACCGGTTAAATACGAGAAACGGCACCAGGGCCAACAGCAGACCGCGTGTATATTAAAGCAAATGAATATGGAAGGCATGATGCCGCGGTTCACCCAGGTTGACAGCCCAATCCGGGCTCAGATTGCCGAATCAACCGCCTGAGCATGGGCCAAGGTGGCTCGGCAAGACTGCCGAGCACCGTGTGCCGAGAACGTGGTGCGAATGAAGGGGTGTTCCCCTGTCCCTTAGATCTTCAGCCTTGATCGCTGCCCATGGTTATGCAAGGGCCGATGCTAGCGAAAGAAGCATGTCGACTTGTTACATATATAATGTAGTTTCTTTCTGCTGCCTTCATGCACGTCTACGCTACATATCAGCAAGGCTATAAGCTGCTATTTTCTCCGGAACAACTGAATATGGTCGTCATTGAAAGTCCCATTCAGCTGAAATGCTCACGGTGCTTGCAGAGGTCTGGATATGTCTTGTCCAACAACAAAGCAACATTGGCTATCCTGCCCGAACCGCCCTCGTCGAGCTTTACTGAGCTTGTCCCGGGTTTGTGGAACGGAGGCTCCCTTCCGCGTGCCAAACTTGATGTCGCATTATAGATCAGATGCGACCTTTCTGTCTAATCGTTGATAACATTTCTAAGTTAACCAGGTTCCTCAAGACATTCCAGCCGAATTAATCACAGCTCTTCAAACGTGACAGTATTATGAGAGCAGGTCAAACGAATGTGAGCGAGCTTTCAGTTCATAAGTAGCGATGCTTCAGTGACAAAAAAAAACGTCGACCGCATATTTTCGTCTCTTGTCAGAGACGCACATTTGGTCGCAACAATATCGCGGGTGTGAGAATGTCCGTGAGCTGCTCGGTCTCGTAGTTCCAGGTTTCATCCACTGGCCTCGTTCTGCTGGAGTCGTAAAAGTAATGAATCCCTATGCAACGAGTACGCAAGATAATTCTCAGGGGTCTTTTCAGACTGGCCCAACAAGGAAAGCTATCAGCAGGATGCGCACCGCGCTTCTGCACCTGCTACGTCCCTAGCCATTCCCCGGTTCAGTAGGAGAAACAGATTTCCATACCTCTGCTATGATCATCGCTTTCTGTAGTGTTGAGTCTTGAATTATGGTTGACATCCAAGATCAACTCCTCGTACGAAATCCCAGCGGATTTCTTTGATAATCTACACACTCCTAGCCATAGTTGAGTGTATTCTCTACTATCTGGTCCATTCTAGGTAGCATGGCTCACTGGCAAGGATGAACTCACAAGCAGGTCAGATTCTCGTGGTCTCCTGCTCTTAGATCGCCATTCCATTCCAACTTAAATCGCCGTATTGATGCCTCGTTCACCTCCCTCCATTTTTTGTTCAACTAATTATCGGGAATGAGTAGTATATTTCATGTGCGAAACAGAATTCTATCGATGTCACAAAGGAGCAGTTTCGTTCAGAACTAATTTCTGATGATACCTTTTACCACATTGCAATCAAGTCCCGGGATATTGTAATACATATTCACCATATGAATTTATACTCTGAGACTTGCGTCTCATCAAGATGCGAGACTTCGACTGTGCTATAACGTCAGTATCTCGTCAATAGAGCTACTCGCAATTGAAAGAAAATATCCGCAGGAGCCGGGTCAAGGGGCAAGAGTCTCCCTCTGGTTGCGTTTATGGCCGCATCTTCCGTCTATGAGAGGACCTTCTCGTCGTAACTAGAAGTTTTCAATTTGGCCATTGAATTGATGATTAGTTGTGAATCACTGACAAGAATGTTGTCATTAGAACGGCGAGGAAGAACAAAAGCAACGCGGATGCAGGATGCTTGATGTGGGTATCTTCGGCCAGGGATGCACTGGAATGCAGTAAGCTTCAGGTGCTCCAGCGCTCTACAGCACTGCCCAAGACTGTGTCATTGGCCTTCGACCCACGACACCTGTCCTCTTAACTCATCGTCAAGTCTGAAAATGACCACCCCTAAGGATCAACAACATGTCCCACGACCGGCTCAGATCCTGTTCGTCTGCCACCCCTTGACTGGCCACATCACGCCGGCGCTGCGCGTGGCCTCGGAGCTGCATCGGCGCGGGTGGCCTGTCTCGTTCCTTGGCCCCACCACTCACCAGCACCGCATCTCCGCGTCTGGTGTCGACTTCATCCCACTGCAGGACGAGGCTGATATTGACGACCTGCTCTACTACTCCCCTGACAACCCAAACCCACCAGTGCCTTGGTACCATTGGAAGCTGTGGTATGAGCGCGCCCTCGTCGACGTTGAGAAGCACTGCCTCGAACCCATACCGGCGCAATGGCGATGTGTGAAGCAGGCACTGGCGAGCCTGCAGGAGCGCAGTCCTGATATCCCCACCGTCGTCATATCAGAAGCTTTCTTCCATGGTATCTTGCCCCTGTACTTTGGTGCGGCACTGCCAGACGGCGTCAAGCGTCCCAAGACACTGTGTCTCTCGGTCACGCCGCCAGCAATCCGTAGCGTCGACCTGCCTCCCTTCGGGTACCCCCTCCCATTCTCTCAGTCGTCCGAGGGCAGAGCTCGCAATGCACAGGCCTGGGACATCTTCGGAGAGGAGACCTCGTCCTTGAAGAAACTCTTTCACTCAAAGCTAGCTGAAGCAGGAGCAACACACTTCCCCTCCGGTCCGATCCTGGACGGCACCAATTACACAAGCCATGATGCGATCCTACAAATCGGCGTCCCTAGTTTTGAGTATCCACGAAGCGATTGGCCCCAGCAGTTCCAGTTCTTGGGCTTCCTTCCGCTGGGCGCTCCTCCACCCAACGGATATCCGAACCTGCCCAGCTGGTGGGACCAGTTGACCAGCACCAAGAAGAGGGTCGTCGTCGTGGCTCAGGGCACAGTCGAGACGGACCCTAACGATCTGATCATCCCAACCATCGAAGCTTTGCGTGAGCGAGATGACGTGCAGGTGGTGGCCATAATGGGCCGTAAAGGGGCGACCTTACCGGACGGTTTTGCACAGTCTCGTAATGCGCTCGTCACCGACTATCTTCATTACGACGCCGTGCTGCCTTATGCGCATGTCTGGGTGCACAACGGTGGCTATGGGGCAATTACCCACGGCATTGCGCACGGAGTTCCAATGGTGGTGGCTGGTGAGGGCCAGGACAAGCCAGAGAACGTGAAGAGGGTCCGTTTCTCAGGCATCGGTGTTGGCCTTGGGACTCCGAGGCCTGGTATCGAGAACCTGAAGATCAGTTTAGATGCTGTGCTGGGCGACGCGAGATTCAAGACTAGAGTAGATGTTCTTAGACAGGAGACGGAAGATTTAGACTGCTTTGGGCGCGTCGAAGATGCGCTTCTGAAGGTTGTTGCTAGATAGATTATCAAGTAAACGAGCTCAGATTCGGGTGTTCACTTTGCGGCCACAGTATCTATGTAGAACAAGTATGGTAAAGTAATCTCTCAAGGGTACCCAACTCTAAGACATTCTCTGATAGGATAATTCGCTGCCAGGGACGATTTCCTATCCGACTATCTCCGGTGGGATAACCTCCTATAGTATAAACTTCTATAAAAGAACCTCCTATTTAACAACCCCCTATTAAACAACCTCTCATTGAACAACCTCTTATTGAACAACCTCTTATTGAACAACCTCTTATTGAACAACCTACTATAAGATAACTTCCCCTGAGATAACCTTCCTTGGGATAACCTCCTGTGGGATAACCTGCTGTGGGATAACCTCTTTCAGTATAGCCTCCTATGAGATAATCCCCTGTTGAATAGCTTTCTATATGGGAAAATAAATAAGCCCCAAAGACTCCGTGATGACATGTTGCGACTTCAAGAGTATGGCGGTGTTATTTCGATAGTAATTGTGACGGTGCCATGGGTAGTGTTTCAGTGTACTACAGGGAGGGAAGGTTGCTAGTATGGCCGAAGAGCCGCGACTAATAGATCTTGAACCGTTTTGTTTAGATTATCGTAGTTCATAAGACGCAGCAGACGCAAGCCGAATATGACCAAGAAGGCGAAGCCTGCACATGCGTTACTTATCCGGCTCAACCATCGAAAGGAATAGAACAACGCAGATCAACATTATAGGCGCTTGTGCGACTTCAGAAGGCTGCTGTCGGCATTCCACCAGTCTGCCTGAGGCTAAGCCGGAAAGCGGCGGATGTCAGCCGGTGGCTGCATGAGGGGCATTCTCGTGCTACTCCTGACCAACCGCCACTTCAGCTGCACATGCACAAATTGTCTCACCGCCTTAAATTAAACGATCGCCATCGACATTCTATCCTATTCTTGGTCTCTTAATGCAGGCTGCGCGCCATACTACTGCACTCTTGAGACTATTGCTCGAGCAGCCTTATCTGCCTGGTCTTGAGCTCAGCCTGAGCTGAGGGCCGCTCAACCCTGGATATATCCCTCTCTCACCTGCTTCATCTCCACAACCTGCGTCCGCGCAGGCAGCATCAATATGGTCAGTGAACTGACGATACAACCATTCTGCGAAACCTGGCTAAGCCCAACCACTAGGGTCCCCGAAAGTCGCAGGTCGTGTACATCTGGACGTGCGTAAGTAGACGTCCTCAAAACCCCTCTCTATCCTGCTAAGCTTGCTTATAAACACGAATAGTGTTACTGTGGGCATGGGGGAATGAATTCAAATACCATTTATCAGTGTATCAGCTGCGGTGTTGTGCGGTGCGGTAACTGTAGAATGGAAGCTCAAAAGGTAATACAATAAGTGGTATCGATGGAGTCTATAAGGCAGGACAGTACCTTGGCCACACGCCTTGGGTATGAATGGAATCCAGACTTTGCCACGCCTCAAACGAAGTCTCGCGGAGGCCAGAACGTACCGTTTTGGGCACAAGGTAACCCAAATATTGGTCTCCCTCGAGACACGGACGATATTCTTTCGCGGTTCCTCGGCGAGGTATTCGATGATGCAGGCCCTTTTCTATACCAAGCTGTACCAATCAGAGAATTTTGTTTGCCAGCGGACATATCGATACTAGCGGCTGGCAATGATACACGCCTTCAACGGAAAATGGCGCTGCTCGATGAACGAAATGATGAGGGTCTAAGAAAAGACGCCAGAGGAACGTGTCGCAGGAGCCTACACGATGGAGCTCTTAGTGCCAGCGACCTTTATGAATCTTTACGCAAGAAGGTATGTGATAGTGATTCTGTGTGTTAATATACTATTTTTAATAGGAAGATCTTCGCGCTGACGATTGTCTAACGAGCTGATGATTGTCTAGAGATATAATGAGTCCTATCACTCCGCCACAGGTACAGCCATCTCCACCTCATCGAACAACCGCAGAAACACTCATGAAGCAGACGCGGATCGGCGCTTGATGTTAGTCAATTCTTTGTTCAGGCGCAGTGTTCTCCGCTGACATGCTTTGGCATAGATATGTTACAGACATTGATAGCTGGTGCATGCTCGCTATAATTTCTACTGTGCCTAGTCTCCAAGCTGCTTTCCTACGAGACTTCGTATATCGGCACATAGAGTTCAAAACACACGTTGGCATCCAAGTCCCCGTGAGTTCACTATAATTGATCAAAGGAACGCCATCGTATCCTAACGATAAGAACAGACGAGCGGATTCCAAAACTTCGCATTAGAATTTCACCTTCCTTTTTACGCGTGCAAGAAGGGCCCGGACCTTGTCAAAGATCAACGTCTCAAGACTAACCAGAAGCCCTTAAGGCGGACAGGTGATCTGCAATTCCTTAAGCTCGCCCCATTTCAAACCGATGCGTCCGGTCTGGACGATTGTATATACGAAGCACAGATATCCGTGCTCGTGACAGGAGTAGATCACTGGTCCTGGACAGCTTTCGCCTTTGTCGATACTTATTACAAGGGTCCTGAAAACCAAGAAAGCGTGGAACACTATCTCGAACAAGTGCAGTATGGGGCCAGACTTGATCCGCTGACAGAAGGCCAGTACTACGGCGAGCCTCCTGTGTGGAGGCCACGAGAGTACTTCCTCAGAGTCTTGGAGTCCAGGGTGAAGCAAGTCAAACGAGAATGGCACAACACAGTCTTCCGTATTCTGCAGAGGATTGAACCGCAAGTAGGTAGCAGCTCATGAGAGAACATTTCTCCACGATAGTATCCGATCTGTTTTGTCACTGGACTACTGACCGACTTCCCGCCCAAAGACTCATGACGACTTACTTTCAGAGCCAGAGCACCGCCAAGGCCATGTGCTGGACAGGGGCACACAGATCTTTTTCGACAAGACAATACGACTCTTGCAACAGATGTCATACCTGATATCGCTAACGGTCGATGCATGGATGCGGTTCATGAATGTCGAGCTGGCCTATTTCACCAATCTGGAGAACCTTCCAGGGAAACAACGAACGCCGATCATGCTGATATCTGAGATCAATAAAGAAGTTGAAGATTTGCTCGTGCTCCGGAAGAACCTTGATCATCAGCGAGACCTTCTGTACGGTCTCTCACAAAAGGTGCGCTAGGCTTTCACAAGACCTCATATAACGAACATTGAAGAGAACTGACGTGCTCTTGTCTGGAAACCAGCTAGAGAAGGGCCTCCAGCTCGACAACAATGCAATTGCAGCACTGCAACAGAAGAATGCCGTGCTAATAACTGCTCTCACTATTTCTGCCTCAGTGAGTCCGTTCCTCTGTCACATGCACTGTTGGAACACCATCGCCACATTCTCAGAAAAATGTTACATAAGAGGTTATCCAAGGGAAGGTTATCCCAAGGAAGGTTATCCCAGGGGAAATTATCCCAGGGGAGATTATCCCAGGGGAGATTATCCCACGGAATGTTATCCTAAGGAAGGATACCCTAAGACAGGATACTCTAAGGCAGGCTACTCCAAGGAAGGTTATCCTATAAGAGGTTATTCTATGAGAGATTATCCTATGGCTAGTTATCTGATAGCTCCCCACTTTTCTTTTGTTTATCCCAAAGATACTATGGCTGCGAAGTGGATACCTGAGCTCAAGCTCGTCACTGTATATGCCTATACTAATACCATTATAGTTCCTAGGACTCGTTTCTACAACGGCGGCCATTTTCAGTATACAAAACGTCGTGGCCCCCAGTAGTGTAGTTGGGGTAGTGGTAGCGCTCGGCGCAGGGCTGCTGCTCATCTTTGCTATCGTACTACGGTGGTCCTGGTACAGGAAATCTGTCAGTATTTTAGCAAGAACTGTGCCGTATTGGACATACATGGGAAAATGGATACGCACCAACGTGGGACAATCGAACATTGCAGCCGGAGCTCTTCCGGCAGCAACACAGATGGCACAAGTGCAAAACTCGACTGCGGTATCATAGATCCTCGTTAGAACAATCACTTATACTATTGAAACAATACTACTACACTCTCAAAACTCGCAACACTTTATTATGAAAACCTTATAATTTCGACCACTTCTTTGTTTAGAAACTTATCCAACAGGAACATATCCTACAAGGGTTTGTCCCAAAGGAGGTTATTTCACAGAAAGTTATCCCACAGGATATTGTCCCATAAGAGGTTATACTATAGGAGATTAACACTAGGAGATTCATGCCTTATATCTAATTCCCTCTTCTTTGTTCTATGAATTCTACAAAAATACTCTGGCCGCGAAGCGGACATCCGAGGTTAAGCTCGTCCAAGTCAATGGGAAGACATCAAGTCTTTTTGCCTTATGCATGTTAACACTTCCTTACCTATCGCTCTCCCAGGAGCTCATAGTATATTCTTCTCACAAAGATTTTGACCAGCGCGATTTTATTGGAGCCTCTTACTTCACTCAACGTGTTGGTGCCTAAAATGCGTGTCGATGCGTTAGGGGGGTGATTCGAGACCGAGATTACAACCTGCATCCACCCCTATGCATCCACCCCTACTAGCGATGTGCCCTCAGAAAAACATGTGGACGAATACCTTCAAAGCCTCCATCTGCTTTCCCGTCAAACTATTTCTTGCGAGTGGATTCCTCATAAATACAGCCAACCATGGCTTTGTTGGTGCCACATGAATACCTAAACTAAGGAGACTGTGACACTGTAAGTACTATTTCCTATACAATTCAATCACAACCTATTCTACTATTTTGCCTTGCATTGAATAGAGGAATTAGTATTCTCATTACCTCTTGAAGAGACCGTGGTAGCCGTTAAGTAGCTAGTCCTCTTCGGGCAGTATTATGGGGGCCCGCTTTTTGGGGGTCCGAAGGCTGCAGGCAGTATTCCTCCTTCCTGATGCCTAGATTGGAAAGCTGAAGAACAGAAACAGCATGTCCTATCTATCACTCTAGTTGAATTGCTGAACGCGACTAAACAGGACTCCATCGCATTGCGCCATTGATTATTTATTTTTGACAAGGCTGGCAGAAATCGCATTCCAACTGCTTGTGTCTCATTGCGCCAACCACACTCAAGGAGAAGTTGATCAGCTTCAGAGAACGTGGGCACTTCCGAGACAAGTCTCTGCCACCCATCCAACCAAAATCATGGCCAGTAATTGCCATCAATGTCGAAATATCGTATTCACGCCCGGTTCGGATCAGCTGGGCTCGGACAACGGCCTGGATGACTTCGGAGCACTGATACATCCCGATGTCGCGACGTTAAAGGCATGTGCAGAACAGCGTATATGCCGGCTATGTGTCGTCCTGTACGGGATGTTCGAGCATCGAAGACTTTTCGGGCCATCAGAGCGGCAGTCATCTAGTCTGCATGGGAAATATTTGAAAATCTGTCTCTCTCTACACTTCGGGGGATATGCAGAATCCGATGAGTGGGATTTCTTGGAGGATGGGAGACACATCGAAGATACTCCGAAGGATATCGTTTTCTCACATCCGCTGGGCACAGACGAGATTTGCATTCGGAATCCGCAGGTTATCGCCAGATCAGCATGGAATGACAAAGAGATCGGAAATTTGGACTCAGGCTCCAAAGCAGACAATCTCAAGATATCCCCAAATCCAGGTCCTACGGACATCTCGACAAGTAGTGAGGAGACCTTCAGGCTAGCAAGACTTTGGATCGATAAGTGCACTAAGACGCATGAAAATTGTGCAAAACGTTCATCGTCGACGAGACGGGTTCCGAGGCGGCTTCTCGATGTTACTTGCGTCGTGGACACATCCAGTGGAGCAGTACATGTGGTCAATTCCGCAGAGCGCATGTCCCAAAGCTCAGAGATACTACAGTATGTCACTCTCAGCCACCGATGGAACCCAAGTTACAACTGCTTTACCTTTGCATCGAACATACACATACATGAGAAGCAAGGCATTGAGATGGCTCGGCTGCCGAAGACGTTCGCGGAAGCTTGCGTCACTGTCAAGAGGTTGGGCTTAAGGTATCTCTGGATTGACTCCTTATGCGTCATCCAAGACTCCAATGCAGACAAGGCATTGGAGATACCCAACATGGCCGACTACTATCAAAACGCCGACCTGAACCTCTCAGCATCGGCGCAGTCGACTGCGGGACTTTGGTCGGAGCGTGACGGCGAGGCTACAAAGCCGTTCAAGATCAACGCTGCGCTTGACCTGCCGGAAGGGAGGAAACAAGTCACCCTTGAGCTGGCTCCAGTCCTCCGTGCGGACAAGTCCCATCTTGATTATCGAGGGTGGATTCTACAGGAGAGGATCTTTCCTCGGCGAACACTTTTCTTCGATCCTTACTGGATCTCTTTTGAGTGCAGCCAGATGAGCGCCTCGGAATCATGTCCTGAGGGGATGGACCTGACAGCTTCGTCCAACCCGGTCACGATTGAAACAGTGATGGGCACTCAGCTGGACAGAGACTGCTCGCTCACCATTATTGGGGGCATCATTCGTTCAGTAGATGCCATGGGTGAGGCCGATGGGCTGGGTAAGTGACCTCCTTAGGGGCTGAACCATCTGATAACAGGGCAATCTCTGACACAACACGCACGCACAGCCACGCGGAGACAAATGCTCATATTGTGGTACCGAATCCTCAACGAATATTCCCTCCGGCAGCTCTCCTTCGAATCAGACCGCCTGGACGCAATCTCAGGTCTAGCGGAGCGGCTCTCGCGCATCACAGGCGACGAGTACATCGGCGGGATGTGGAAGGGCAACCTGCTCGAGTGCCTGCAGTGGCGGCCCGACACGCAGGACCGGGGCAAAGAGGCCGTCCGCCAGACGCACCGGCGCGCCCCGACCTGGTCCTGGGCGAGCTGCGAGCTGCTGCCCCGGTCGTCCTTCTCCCGGCGCTCGGGGAGGCTGCTGGTCACCAACGACTACGCCACACGGTCGAAGAGCCTGGCCGCGATTAGGATCCTGAGCGTGATGTGGCAGTGCGAGGGTCCCAACCGGTTTGGAAGCCTGAGTGAGGCCAGCTTGACGGTCCTGGGACGACCTCTCCGGGGGCATGCGTATTCGGGAGGGAACGGCCTGGGCTTCGACGTGGGCCAGGTGACGATGGATGAGGACATTGAAGAGCTCCCGGCACTCAAGCCGAGTAGAGCAGAGGGGAGTCAAGGGTCCCAGAATCGACAATTTGTGCTGGTTCGTGGAAAGACGAAGTCGGGGGAGCGGGCGGAAATGGTTTCTCAGGTGATCCCCGACACTTCAGATCAGAAGGTGGAGGGTTACGTTCACCTCCTGCCAGTTGCTGAGAGCTGGGTTGTTGGCGGCGGTGATAGACTATTTTGCTTGATTTTGAAGGAGACCAGCCCGGGTGTATTCGAGCGCATCGGGTCAGCATTATCTCGGTCCTGCTATGTGATCAAGGTGCCAGAAAGAGAGATAATTCTGGTCTGACATTAAGGTCTGCGTGGTATCAACTTAAAGATAGTGTACAAATTCGAAGCCTCCAAAAGATCAAGACTATCTCTCCTCTCGACGTGTTCTTGTTGGAGCCCTACAGGCCCGCTTCTACTGCAGTGAGAGCCTCGTCATAGATAGCCAATGCCTTTTCCGCGTCCTCCTTGGATACGTTGCACGGTGGCACGATGTGTACTCTGTTCTCGACAAAGAACGAAATCAAACCTCTCTTTTGACTCTCAGCCTTTATCTTCGCGACTACGTCCGCAGATACCGGCTTCTTGGTTACTGGATCCGATACCAGATCCAGCGCCCAGAAAACGCCGAGACCTCGCACTTCTCCGATCAGCCGGTGCTTTTCAGCAAGCTTGCGCAGACCAGGACCCAGAACATCCTTCCCGATGGTAGCGGCATGCTCGGGTATCCGCTCTTGCTCCTGGGCCTCGATGGTAGCCACAATGGCCGCCATGGCAAGCGGGTGTCCTGAGTAGGTCAGGCCTCCCGGGTATGAGCGCTCATCGAAGGCGTGCGATATAGCTTGGGAGATGATCACACCGCCAGCGGGGACGTAACCACCATTGACGCCCTTTGCGAACGTAATGAGGTCGGGAGTGATGGCCTCTGGGTTCAGCTCCTTGTTCTGCCACGCGAACCAGTCGCCCGTCCGCCCAAAACCGGCCATAACCTCATCGCAGATCAGCACGATGCCGAACTCGTCGCACAGCTTCCGCACGCCTCCAAGCCATCCAGACGGAGGTACTATGACGCCTGCCGTCCCGGGAATCGTCTCCAGAATAATAGCTGCGATGGAGGCGGGACCCTCGCACTCGATGACCCTCCGAAGATGATGCAGTGCCCGCTCATTCTCTTGCTCTGGCGAGGTTGACCAGAACTCTGATCTGTAGGGGTATGGGCCGAAGAAGTGGGTGTGGCCCCGAGCAAACTGATTGGGGACTCGGCGGAAATCCCCAGTCGCGCAGATGGCCGCCCCCGTACTGCCGTGATAGCTGCGGTAAGTTGAGAGCACTGTATCCCTGCCGGTTGTCAACCTTGCCATGCGAATTGCGTTCTCATTGGCGTCAGCCCCAGCATTGGTGAAGAAGACCTTGTGGAAGAACTTGTCGTCGGGGTGGAGCCCATTGGCGTGCTTGAGTATCAGCTCGGCGGCCCTTCCACGAGCGAGATTGGCGTGGGCTGGAGCTATAGTGGCCAGTGTTTCCGCTTGCTGCTTAATGGCCGCGACGACCTTGGGGTGGCCATGGCCAATGTTGGTGTAGATAAGCTGGCAAGAGAAATCCAGATAGCGCTTGCCGGAGTAGTCCCACACCTCGCTGCCCGATGATCCTGCAATGGCCAGTGGGTTGAGTGCTGCTTGGGCACTCCACGAGTGAAAGACGTTGGCTCGATCAAGCTGGTATGTGAGCTCACCGAGGTCCTCGCTGGTCGGTGTGACGCTGCCCATCCTGTCGAGATGCCCGGTAGCTTATGTCTGGTTGTGTCCGTGAGCGCAGGCGATAGCGGTGATGATACCTGTGTTTGATGTTGAAGACTGCCACACAGAAGTCAAAGCAGACGTTTTGGAACTTCAGGGAATGAACCAAGCGGGCCAGATATGTCACAGCAGTCCCGACATCGCATATGTCTGGCGGAGTGTTGCACAGGGCGAGACCTGGACCACGCTGGGCCACGCTGGGCCTCCTCCCAAGATCGGCCGGGTTGCGACCCGGGAACATACCGGTACGGGCTAGGAAGGCGCAACCGGGAAGGAGAGATAATATTTTGGAATTTGGACCCATGCAGCCGACTGCCACACAAACCACAGCACTCTGACTGCACTAGTATTCTGCATGGTACTTAGAGGTGCTCCTAGCTTCCCCACCCCAGCCAGCTTCGACGTTACAATATCTCCGAGTGTAGATTGTCGACCGTCTCAATCCATCTTCACCTTTTCTTTCTTCATCGAAGCCCAACTCAGACAGCTGGAGATATCCCCAGACGTCACTCAGACTCAAGATGCTGAATCATCACCACAGAATGACCCCCTGCATTCTCCACTGACGTGATCCCGATTCCCTCTTGCGTGCTTGGAATCTCACTCAACTTGCAAGAGTACCCGAGAGTCGAACCACCCAGCCATTGACGTTCCAATTTCATGAGACAATGGACTGTGTTGCCGTGCTGTTCATGTATGTCACCTACCTATCCCTGACTCGTTGTCGCCAATCCGTGAACCATTTCGCTCTACGCACGTTTGCCGGCTTCCCTGCTCCATATCCTTTGATACGCGTCATGGTCCCGTTCCAGAAAAGCTGCCAAAAATTGGTGTTCGACAACAATCGACTCGACCTCTTCGCGAATGTGCCCTCAGCATCTGCTCAAACAAGTTGTCATAATTGATCAATTTCCTCGCCTCGTCCGGCGAAAGAACACGGGGGTTTCACTTGTATGCCAATTGATAGCTGTGGCTGTTGCTATGACTAGTGCCACTACTATTAAGCACTTTTCCCAATTTTTGTGTCACTGCAAGTGAGTTCATATATACTTCTGTGGTGTTTGTGATTAAGAAGCAATCAGTCTCGAAGATGGCTTGTTGATGACCGGAGAGTTTGGTCAGAGATTTCAAACCCGCGCTTCCTGACCAAGCTTGCAGGTGCGATGACTTGTTGTAGACCAACGAGGTAGATACCGCTTGATATGGGGTAAGAAGAAAATGTAGCTACTTTTTTCTAAGCAGGCAAGCACCACCCTCCCCCCCCTCCCACACGAATCATCCATACAAGATGGTCCTAGGGAGGCGGGGCGTTTGATGCCTTTAAAGCTCCTTTTGTCATTCACATTCGGCGTGTCTCGTATGTTGGTTAAACTCATGAGCACATTGAGACAATTGATATCCCCCTCCGCTAAGAATACGACTAGTGAGTTTTTCAGGACAGATATGAGAGCGACCCCTCCCAGCTTCCGTAAAGTCTTCAGAATACCATCAAAGCACTCATTTAGGCTGACTGATCAAGTAATGGCTTGAATGCCTATAACGAAATTGCATAGGCATGCTAAGCATGACGGTATACCTCGGTACTTGGTGCAACGTACTTATTTTAAGGTCCATGAGTTTGAAATCACAGTGTGCAGAAAAAGAGCCAAACTTAAGTGTTACAAGCTTCGTGGCAGTTACGAATATATCAGAACCGAGTGGGCGAAGTAATGAAATGGGAGCGTCTTCTGGGTCCATGCCGCGTCAGCGAGCTCGGAGCCGGTTCGGCCGGTGCACTCGATCAGGGGTTGCAATCCTGTGGGCAAGCTAGAGGCTGCACACCTATTACTTCGTGTCACTACGACACGTTTGAGAAACGCGCTTCTCAGGTACACCGTCCTTCAACCCGGCCATCACCCACTTTTCACCAGCGCGACCAAGGGAGAGCTGTGGCAGAGAATCCGGCGCAACCAACGCTCCTCTGTCCTGTCACTGCCTCAAGAGCCGTGTTTGCATGAGCTACGCGTCAGCCTTTCTTTCGACAGGCTTCGAGAGATGTCCGACAAGAGGAACGACGACTACGTCGTCCCGATGCCCGGCCAGAGCTATGAGCTCAAGGGCGCCGCGAGCGACACTTCGTCGCAACGCCCGACGAGCCAGCGCAGCGATGCACCCGCAAGACCGGCCTCCGGTTTCACCAACAGCCCGAGCGCTTCCATCCTGGGCTACTGCCTGGCTTCCATCTCCATGACCGTTGTCAACAAGTACATCGTGTCTGGGAGCGACTGGAATCTCATGTTTCTGTACTTGGCTATTCAGGTATGTCTTCCAGGCACAACCCAAGTGTCGTCCGGTGCTGACCTCTCTTAGTCTGCAGTGTGCATAATCGCGGTGCTGGCGTGTCAGCAGATGGGGCTGCTGACTCTGGAGCGCTTTGATGTTGAACAAGCAAAGAAATGTACGTTTTGAGGCAGCCAAGGGAGTAAAATGAGCATCTGAGGTGCTGACTGCTCACAGGGTTTCCCATTTCCGTCCTCCTGGTCGCCCAGATCTACACAGGCGGAAAGGCATTGCAATTCCTCTCAGTTCCGGTGTTTACGATTTTCAAGAACCTGACCATCATCGTTATTGCGTATGGGGAGGTCCTCCTCTCTGGAGGCCGCGTAATGCCTCTTGTTCTCTTCTCGTTCGGCCTGATGGTTTTCAGCTCCATGATCGCTGCCTGGGCAGACGTGAAAGCGGCCACGGACGCGGACATCCACCCTTCGGAGACTTCAGATGCGCTCAAGACGCTAAATGCAGGATACGCATGGATGTTCGCCAATGTCTTTTGCTCGGCTGCGTATGTTCTCGGGAGAGGACGGATGATCAGGAAATTAAAGACCAAAGACTGGGACAGTAAGTCTCGCCGCACAAGGCCATCCAGAGATGCATTCACTAACATTGCTTACAGCCACGTTCTACAACAACCTGCTGAGCATCCCTGTCCTAGTAATCGGGTCTCTGCTCGTCGAAGACTGGTCCTCGGCGAACCTGGCGAAGAACTTCCCCGAAGAGACGCGCCGCAGCCTCTTCATCGGCATGGTGTATTCGGGCCTCGGCGCCATCTTCATCTCGTACGCAAGCGCCTGGTGCCAGCGGGCGACATCGTCCACAACCTACTCAATGGTCGGCGCGCTCAACAAGCTCCCGATCGCAATCAGCGGGTTCATCTTCTTCGACGCGCCCGTCACGCTTGGGGGCGTCTCTGCTATCTTCTTGGGCTTTGTGAGCGGGATCGTCTACGCTTGGGCGAAGATACGTGAGAAGGAGATGGCTCGGATGACTTTACCAACGGCGAAATGAGTGTATATGGTAGAGTAGAGGTGGTACATGGCTTTCCTGACCTACATTCAGCACGAGATAGACTAGAAAGTAGACTTGTCTTCGGAGAGTTGATTAGATACCAATTTGGATGATACATTTTACATGATGACGGTAATATTGTGAAAAAGCCGTCCATAGTAAGAATGATATCCTGAATCAGGACGTCTGAATTCCTCTGAAAACATTCAAACGCTACCGCCAACCATCAACTTAGGAAAGTCGTGAGGAGTCAATGTGGCTGTTCATCTTTAACACAATCCTTCTGTTGCTGCATCGATTGTTCTGAGAGCAAGTTGAACGGTAGAAATCAATCTTGTCATGCTCCGTTTTCTATCGCCTTCATCTCGCAATACTACCAACCTCTTTCCCGATTCTCAAGTTGCAGTTATCTAAGTACTAGTTAAGCTTATAGACGTCTCTTCGCACTCCAGTCCCCAATCCTATACGGCATTCTCAAAACAGAGTACCAAGCTAATCTACTAGGAGCTTTACCATCTCATCCCAGACAGCAATAATGTTTTCTCGATCCTCCACCCACACCGTGTTACCATTCTCCTGCAGTCCCAATTCCCCACCAAGGAAACATTTCCCACTAAACTTCCGGTCAGGGAATGACAGATTCACAGTCTTCTCAGGCGTCTTCATCTTCAAACCCTGAAGCACAACTCTCAGCGCCTCAGCGGCCCTGCCGCCGCCGTGGCCGCCATAAGACACGATCATGCCAGGCTTTCGCGTCCACTCGTTGAAGAGGAAGTCGATGGCGTTCTTCAGCGCCGCGGGGATGCCCCAGTTGTACTGCGGCGTGACGAAGACGAATGCGTCTAGGGCGGCGATGCGGGCGGACCAGTCGCGCGTGTGCTGGTGGGCGTAGCCTGCCGGGTCAGTGATGGCCTGGGGGATGCCCGGCTCGTCGAACAGCGGCAGGTTGAAGGCGGCGATGTCGACGGTTTCCAGGGTTAATCCGTGGCTGCTTGGCTGAGATGCAAGGTGGGACTCGATCGCCTTGTGCACGAAGTCTGTGATCTGGGGCCCGACGCGGGGCGCGCGAGTGCTGCCGCAGATGATGCCCACCTTGAAGGCTTTATCGGTAGAAACCATGTTGATATTCTGGCTTGAGGACGAAAGTGCTTCTGAGGCAAGGGGAGAGGCCAGCCCAGGGGTCCAGCTGGTTCGCTTGGATGTTCCAGCAATTTGCGGTCAGGGGCTTCAGTGCGTCTTGTAGAGACCAGATCGAGGATATGAATAGACGAAAACTTTAAAGAATAGCAGTCGTGCAGGTAAATCGAGCAGAGATATGGCGAAGACTGTGCAAACAGGAACGACCTAGTTTCGAGACTGGTTAAAGATCCGGGAGGTATTAATACTTGAAGGTTCAAAGGATATCCAGCTAGTAGCTTGCTGAGAAAGCTGACCTGATCGCGCCGCGAGGTAAACCGCCTCGTATCTAGGAGCCAGGCTTAACACGGTTCGCACGATTTCCTTTCATCCATCACAGAGCAAGCCCAATCAGAGAATGACAGAGTAAAGTCTCACTGATGACCCGTGAAGACGGAGATGCTTGACGGGTCGCGGCGCAGAACGCCGGCGTTTACTGGGGACTCCGGCCCGGAACTCTGCAATATGACAGAAAGCCCGCTCCTGTACTCCGCCGTCCCGCAGGAGCTAGCACTACAGTACTATATTCCCGAAGGATCGATTTAGGAGCAAGACACATACCTATAGCACAATAACGAGAGGCATATGTGAGAAATTAAGACCACTCTCGGAGACGGAGAGGCTGCTGATCTTGGGATACAGGCAGCAGTGCTATATGACTGCTATAAGTCGACGCCCTTTTCATGTCACTGCCAGGCAGCATTCGGTGTGGAGACTGTTCCTGGATAGAGCTGTCACCCTTGCAGACGAGGGGCACAACGCTGAAACCCCTGTCGTAGAAAGTTCCGCGGCGGAGGAGTTGCCACTCACCCGCAACGCTTCATTGAAACACATTGTTACGACATCGAAGCAAGCCAAATAGACGCAACCAGGCTGTCAGACTGGCGGTGAGCTTGGGGGAATGGAGACTCCAGTCAAGTAGATTTTTATCTGCTTGCGAAGACGTTGCTTGAGCTATGGCATAACTCTTGAAGCATAGCGGTGCATCTGTAGACTACATGACGAAACTTGCGCCATTGAAGCTTGCTTGGACCTGTGGGACTAGGAAAAGAACTTTTGAGCGATGGAAAAGATAGCTTAGGCGTGAGCAATAGATGGGGCACAGCTCAGCGTTCGTCTTGCTCAGCGGGTCACAATGTATCCCCAAGAAGACATTGGCTTCTGAAGCACCAGCTCCCGCCTCGTTGGAGAATGGCGGGGTGGCGTTCCTGCCGGTAACATGTACTCTGCATCTGCAGCTATGTGATTTGTCATACTGGCTGCAGCTCAAATGTGCTCGAAACGGCGGCGAATGCCAATGCGGTAGACGTCACGACTTCATCTGTATAATTGATGCAATTCTCCAGTCCCTGACCGTACTCTTCTAAAGATTTCTGTCTCGACTGTATAGAGTCTGCACCTTACAACATCCCCACTATATAATCAAAAAACTTCAAACTGTCTCCCCCCACAGAACACAGTCAATTCCAGTCCCCTCCACCACCAGCTCCAGCACAGAACCTACCCCGCCAAGGTCCGAGCCTTCAACCGCAGACGCTCATCGCCCTCATCGTCGCCTTCCTCGCCGCAACGGCAACAATGACCTCCATGATGCCCGGCTTCATCGCCCGGCTGACCCGGCCCTTCACCACGGCCACCTCGCTCGGCATCTCGGCCGAGAACGGCGTCGGCGCCGCCGCCATCCCCGACGGCGCGCAGAAGGCCACCGTCGCAGCCGGCTGCTTCTGGGGCGTCGAGCACATCTACCGCAAGCACTTCGAGGGCAAGGGCCTGTACGACGCGCGCGTGGGCTACATCGGCGGCGACGCCAAGAACCCGAGCTACCGGGCGGTGTGCTCGGGGAGCACAGGACGTGAGTTTTCTTCTTCTTCTTCCCCGGTGCATGGAAGGCGAGTGCGAGAGGGAAGCGGGGAAAAAGGAGGAAGAAATAGTCCCCGGACCTGGCTGACACACGAGGGCAAAAACAGACGCCGAGGCGACACAGATAGTCTTCGACCCTGCGCGCATAACCTACCGGGAGCTGCTCGAGTTCTTCTACCGGATCCACGACCCGACGACGCGCAACCGGCAGGGCAACGACGCGGGCACGCAGTACCGCAGCGGCATCTTCTTCCACGACGCCGAGCAGGAGAAGGTCGCGCGCGAGGTCACGGCCGCTGCCAACGAGCAGTGGTACAGCAGCAAGATCACCACCGAGGTCATCGCCGCAGGCCAGTGGTGGGACGCCGAGGACTACCACCAGCTCTACCTCAACAAGAACCCCGCGGGCTACCAGTGCCCCAGCCATTACGTCCGGGACTTCCCTCCGTTGAAATAGAGGGAAATGGGGAGACGAGCTAACATGGAGTCTGGTGAACAAGAAAATAAGTTAAAATGTCTCTTGTTTGTGAACATCTGTACGCATGGCTACATATCCTCAACTATTTATAGGCGTTACAAATCTGGATTTTTATTGATTTTTTTATTTGTTTTTTTTTAGATGTGACGCGGTGCACACTGAATACTTATGCAAAGACCTGGCGCGATACAGCGCCAATAAGGTAAGAGAGGAGAGTAATTACGTCCCATAATGATATTGGTTCAATGGAGAAAACTGTCGAGAATCCACCCCAGCCTCACGACAATATGCGTTGCCGTGCTGTGCTTGTTCAATTATGCACCATTTACTTCCTCCGGTTCTGCTGCATCATCAGGATCTGAACCATCCGAATGAAAATGTTGAGGAAGTCCAGCTCTAGCGAGATACTCTCGTTGACAGGGTCTCGCTTGATTATGCCCCGCTCGGCAAGCCTTGCGTGGTGGAGCACCTTCTGAACATCGTAGAGAGTGAAGCCGCCAAACACTGCCAGTCCTCCGTACAGCCAGATGTTCTCGGTAAAAGCCAGAGTTCGGACAGCGGTCGCGGGGATGATGAGGGGCGCGAGGCCTGAGGCGAGGACGAGGCCGGCGCCAGCCAGGAGGGGACCGCCGATGTAGAGGTACTTCTCCTGCTTGGCGGTTGCGCCGACGAAGGAGATGGAGCCCATCATGGCCACGGTGTACAGGCCGGCGCGGGCGATGAGGGCGCCGGGCGCGAAGGCGAGGAGGGGAGCGACGAACGCGGCTTGAGTTGCGTTGAAGGCGGTCCAGAGAGCGTACTTGGGAATATAGCTGTTGAAACGGATTGTCAGCGCCTTTGCCGTTACCGACGAGCATGTGAGACTGATGGGGCGCAACTCACTTGTCAGGCTCAATGGCCCGAGTTCCAATCATGGTACCGAAGCTCAACGCCATGCCGCCAATCGCAACGACCCAGGGGTTCGTCACCATTATCCTGTAGACGAAGCCGCTCTGCACCATCTGCCGCGCCGTAAGTCCGATGATGCCGACGCCCAGCCCGGTGTGCAGGAAGGTGTTGTTGAGGTAGGACCGCTCGAATGGAGGCATGCCGCCGTCCTCGCGCGTCTCCCGGTTGAACACGGCGTTGATGGCGACGAGAGTGCCGCCAAAGATGGCACCGCCGACGAGTAGTTTCCGCATGGTCGAGGCATTGTCTGCTGCTGGGGGCGCCTGGGTCTGGTAGCCGCGCTTGCTGCCGGCGGCGATGAGGCGGGCCGTGAGGGAGGCCTTGGGTGTGGACCGCGCGAGCGAGGATGTCAGCAGGCCGCTCTTGCTTGTGAAGAAGGCATTTTGTTGCCTGCTGGAGCGATGGAAGGCGCGGGCGGCCATGGAGGAGCTGGGAGAGGAGGTCTTTGCCACCGTTTGTGACAGCTGGGGGAGGCGGGTCGCCAGGCGGGCTGGGCCCTGGCGTAATGTTATTGTGAACGACATTGACGCTATGGTTTATTAGAGAAACGAGGAGATGAGAGGAAAAGAAAGGGGTGACAGAGAGTCTGGTATCACAGAGAGGTTGAAAGATGAGGAGTAGACGAAGTTTGACGATGTTGGTAATGACGTTCGCCAAAATGGAAGCTTCGGCGGAGAGCCACCGTAAAGTCCGGGGTGGCCCAAGCTTCCGCGGCAATAAGTAAGCGGGATGCTAGAACCACATCGAAGTGAGGGCGGCGGGTACTGTGTAGGCTAGACCACTACAGCAGCGAAAAGACGAAGTTCGCCAGCTCCGCCGTCTACCTGACAAACATTCTTCAAGTGTTTGTTTGTTTACTGATGGTTTTTGCAAGACCAGCGCATTGCCAGCTTGCCATTGTTCTGATTGATTGTCAACATGGAAGCTAGACGCTGCTGAATGTCCTGTTTGTGGCGCTTGACCTGCGACGATCCTGGCGCGTGCCAAGAGCCTCATCTCGTCCCCAACGGAGCCCCTCCACGATGTCTCTCTTTCGTCCTATGGCCGGCTCAGGAACATCCCTCATCATCTCCGGAGTCCGGACACAGCTGTGAATGCATCGCATTCCTGGGGAGCCCGGTTGCAGGCGCAAAAGCTTAAATATTAGCAGCGTCATCGCCTCAACTTTGTCCTCAAGAAAATATCATGGGGCGGGTCTACTACCTCTTTTCGCGACCGGCCCCTCAGCTCGTACTACTCCGGTATCAGCAGTCGGCCATCTGCCGCGGCTGAAGTACCTCCGCCCGCAATGCCAAGCATCATGCACCGACCAACAGGCTGCTTTTTGCTGAAATGAGCTCCTCACGGCCAGAGCCATTCATAGATACTCCATATCGAAAGCTTGATTCGGTTGCATTATTGGATGACACCTGACGCGAGAGCGCGGGCTTGGACGTGACGCTGGTGGTTTTAAATGCAGCTGCAACTCCTCGGTTGCGCGCTAGATAACCGCTTCCTCTGGCACATGGGAAATTAGCAGAGTCTTTTTTAGACGTTGTGCTCCCTCATCATTGCTTATTATCCTCTTGTTCCTACCTCGCCTTGTCCTGGTCGAGTTGACAGGATTACAAGAACCGATTTCTACTCTTCCCGGCCCCCTTCATTGCTGTCTCCTATCGGTCCTTTCTCTTCACCACCACAGCCAACCTGCCTACTACATACCAGCCGCCTCTTGAACCCGAAATTCTTTTCCACAGGCTACTTGTGCTGAGCCTCGAGCTTTCTGACACCATGAGGATCTATCCATTGCAGGTCATCATTTGGGCAATGGTTGCCGCAGTTATAGCCGTACCGATTCGCAAGCAAGCCCCAATAGGCGACAGCGAGCTCACGAACGCTATCGAGGAGGGTAGCGATCCAGACCTGACCGAATTTATCTTTCGACTTCGGGCCGGCAAAGAAGGGTCTGAGCTTCAGACCGCAGAAACCCCTTCTGTTACACGCACAAGTGAAGCGAACAATTCCGGAGGGGTCCTGAGGAATGCGCAGGCTGGTGGATCTTGCTTCTGCTCTGGCGGCTCTGTGTGCTGCCGGCAGGGCAGTACCACCGATTGCGGCTTTGGGCTTTGTGGCATCTGAGAGCAAAAGCATTATCTAGTCCATCAGGACTTTTCTTCAAGATGCGATGTGCAATTGCCTACAAACCCTGTCTTGGCGATGGAGGGCCTCGCAACATATAGGACAAAGACTGAGCCTCACGTCCGCGTGGAATCGTCAACACCTTCGCTTGCAGAAATGTCAAGCATGGTCACTTTCGCAAGAATCAGAGACGGAACGGGCAGCTTGTCTATATCTATGCAGAGATCAGCCCAGGATCACGCCCAGTAATCTGTCAGGATTGTGGATAGGAGATTCTATCGGGGGGTTCCACGATTTTCTAAGCTTGATTGCGTCGGCCTCGACGTCTCAAGTTCACATATTCGACGACCAGGCCGCTATAGAATTACCTGCCGCCAGGAACCGGAACTTGTGTCGTTTGCGCAGGGCTGGGCGGCAGGCATGGGGAGCGAGACCGGGGGCGCGGCGCTGCGGACGTATGATGCACATCATAGCCGGACGTGCGAGGCCCAGCGCGAGGGCTTGGCTGCTACTTTGTTGCTGTGTTGCAACGGCGGCGTCGAGTCAAGGCGTGTTTGGGCAGACGAGACTAGCACGGAGAGTGCGGGGTGCCTTGCGCTCACGATGGCTGGGGGGATTGCATGGTCTATGGAAGCGAAAGGGAGGCTTCCGCTTCCATACTCCCCAGGTGCGTCTTCTTCAGCTCTGAAGAACACACTTCTGGGAGCTTGCAATATATGGGCTGAAGAGGTCAAGGACGGTGACGATGTCGGCCGTATGAAAGAAGGAATGCAGACCTGCGACAAGAAACAGCTTGGATGATGTCAGAGCATGTGATGTCCGCTCCGGGTAGAAGTTCAGACACGTACCTAGCACAGCAGGCAATTCGAGTCATGGATGTCTTGAGTAGCTCGGAACCACGCTTTAAGCTTGATGATCATGGACGCAGGTGTGCTCTGATGTGCAAAAAAAGGCAGCTTCACCGACGTTCCGTGAGCCGGGCTGGGCCCAATCGGCTCAGCTCACTTGCCGTATCCACTTGGCATTAAGCTCTGCAGTCCTCGTGCTTTGGGCAACAGCTTGCAGGAAGTCCCTGGGTGTCCCGTGGGGGCTGGCTTGAGGGTCCAGCGCATGTCAGTGTCCTTGCCACCATGAACCCATCTGTGTGTCGCTTTCCGGCCGGCGATGGCTGCCACGCAACAAAAATTAAACCTCTTGTGGTTGCCACCTTCTGAGCCCCAAGTCATTTCGCTCAACTTCCTTCACTAGTCTGGTAAAATCTGAAAACAACGGCGCGAATAGATCCTGGCTTGTTGGTGGGGGAGAAGGTCGCAAACCAGGGTCCAGGACAGGAATTTCCAGCGTTGACGAGAAAGGAATACCGAAAAGCCAGACCGACAGGGACAACTCAGACGGCCCCCAGGCACAGACCACACGCTAGAATCGTTCTAGAAAACGGCCCGCAAATGCAACCCCTGCCTGCCCTGAAATCTCGAGGGGCGATGGAGGGGACCCCTTGCATGAGAGGGGAGCACTGAGCTATCCTCAACGCTTACACAGAGCAATGCGCTCCGAGACATTGATTCAGCTCGCCAGGCAGCCAGCCGTCAGACAGTAGATGGTGTTGGAGAGACTGGACGAAGCAACAAGTCGTATCTCAGGAGGAGATCTATTTTCCCCTCTGATTTCCAAGCACTTTGGGATGAAAATGATCCATTCAGCCTGCCTGGACTGGACGGACCATATCAGTCGGTGGAGACGTTGCTAACAACACTCGGACTGGCCCGCAACCGTGGTCCCCGACTCCCGTAGGCATTGAGACCGTTTTACGAAGATCTAGAGACTGTACAGAGATAGCTCGCCTCAACTACTATATGTGAATAGAGCCATTTGAATATCAAGTCTTGCGAGCCCTCGCCAAGTAATCCCAGTCTTGCGGCATGTTCATTGTACGTCCAACAGTCTCAGACGACGGCCCCAGCCAGCAGAGGGATGGAGGGAGAGAGCCCAGGGCCTTGCAAGCTCGTGGCCACATGCACCGGGGGGAGGGGGGCCAGGGACCAGCTTGCTCACCGACATTTGAGACCCTTCGCTTTCCCTAAAACGCACATTAGGAAAAGAGGGGTCTGATGAAGCTCATCCCGACCTACCAGGACTGTTTTCCGGTGCACAAGGGCAGGCAGGCCCTCAGGGTGTTGTCATTTCCTCGCTGGCGTGAAGTCGTGTGAATTTGTGATGACCTCCCAACTGGGTGTGTCAATTGACTGCCGGTCTGGACACATGCAGTATCTACCGAGTCTACATACGGCAGCTCATATGCATGTCTGCTGATTATTCCCCGAGGCCCTTATCTGGGTACTACCGTAGCAGGAGATAGACTAGATAGCCTAGACTGTTATGTAGGACGGTACGAGGGCACAGCAGGGCACAGCCAGGTCCCCCAGCTGCACCCCCCAATCCCACCACCTCTGTCAGCCCAATGAAGCTCACTCAACCTGCCCAGGTAGGCTTAGCCACCCGGCATTTGCAGCGTGTGCTTCTTCTCGGCTTCCAGGTCTTTCTCGCCGGCCCTACATTCCTTCCAGGCCTTCTAGCACGCCTTCTAGAAGCCCACCGGCCTGGGTTCCATGGGTTCCTATGGTTCCTTTGGGCCCCCCTCCCCCCCTCCTTGGGCCCCAAAGGGTAGGCTCGCTAAGCTTTGCTTTTGCCTCCAGTGCAACCCGCCCTGCTCGGTCGTCATGCGCCCCGAGCTTCTGGAGGGGCCCGGCCCTGCTGTCCTGCAAGTCCCACGGGTCGAGCTCAGACTCCCTCGCAGCTCCTGCTCTGGGCCGTCCAACGACATGCCCTGCATCCCACCAGGAGACCCAGCTGGTTGTTGGAGACGTTGTGCTGGGCCAGACAAACGTCAGGGCGCATGTTGCGTGCGGCAAGGGAAGAGAGCGAGAGAGAGAGAGAGACAGACAGATAGACTTGCCCACAGACCGATCCCACACACACTCACACACCTCACCACGTACCCATACCCAACCGCGCGCACACACACACGCACACATATACAACCCAGGCCAGTTCATGGGATGGGAAGGTGGTGTGGGCATTTCGGACACACACACATACACACACACACTTTACTGTAGACCGTATAATCTGGATAGTCCAGGTTCAACCGGTGGGGTATCATCTAGCTAGGAGGGCTCTGTTTTTCCCTCGCCCACCTCACCTCGCCTCTGCTCTGCTCTGCTCCGTTCTGCTTTGCATTGCCCTACTCTGCTCTGCCCTGCTCTAATCTAATCTTCTCTGGTGTCTGCTTTCCTCCCCTCCCTTCTCCCCTACACCTCTCCTGCTTGCCAGGTCTCCAGCCTCGATCCGAGGACCGACTCTGAAACAGAAGCAGACTCTGGGCGACGCTTCTTATCCCTGGAGTGATCTCGACTGGTAGTTGAGCTGATCTGATCTGATCCGATCTGGTTTGATCCGAGCTACTTACTATCTTGCACCCGTTGCTTGCCATCGAACTTCAACCCAGGACCGTGGGCACCGTTACCACCATTACAACCCACCGGCAAACAACTTCCCTGGCCTTTCAAGTACCATACCATACCCATACCTTGCCACCTCGTTCGGAAATTTGAGTGGCAAGAGGAGGAGAAAAAAATTCCTATTATTCAGTCGCAACGCCTCCATCATCACCCCGTCTGGAATACCTCCATCGACATCTCATTCAAGGCAGCTCTTGATCGCCTCGCGCGCAGCTCTTGCACCCCTGCCCCCTCCCCTACCGCTCCTGTCAAATCGCGCCTCCTCTGCGACAGGCCGTGGAGCTGGAAAGTTTGGTCGCGCGCCCAGTAAAGAGAGGGGACAATAATTGAGAGCTCGGAAAGCTGCATCTCGAAGAAGCGCGATTTCAGCCATCACGCAACAGGCGACAGCCGACACGCAAAGGCGCACAGCTTTTGGTGGTGGTTGTTGTTGTTTCATGCAGCCCACCCACTCAGCCCAGCCTTTTGTGTCTGAGAGAAGGGCTTCCTATTCCTAGCTCTGAGACAAGCAGCTGGACCAGGGTCGCCAAAGGCTGAAAGAATTCCAGAAAAAAAACGTCTGCAGCACTACCACATTCCTGCATCGACATTCCTGCTGTAGACAATTGTCTGCTCGCTTCCCCTTTGCCCGTCGCTCAAGAAAAGGTGGAGAGGGGACCGACAGCCTGGCGTTCCCGGCCCCACGTCTCATCAGAACACAGACACAGACACAGACACAGAACACAGATACCGACGCCGACCCCGACACCGACCACAAGCACAAGGGCACAGGCACAGGAACAGGCACAGGCACGCTCCCGCGAAACACAGCAACGTCAAATCGGCCGTCTGAGCGTAAGAGAGACATCGACGCAACCCAACCCCAGCCTGACAACCCCAGAACCACCCCCAGGTGGCCCGGCTTTGCCCAACGCCAATCGGTTCGGTTCGACTCTACCACCTACATACCAAGCTGCTGGCAAGCTCCTCCCACTACCTATCCACTGCCCACCCCTCGTCTCGGCCATCCTACCTTATCGCCCACTAGCCTGTCGATCGCCGTCGCAGTTGCACCACACGCAACAGAAGCACTCGCTCACACCTTGTCCATTCTGGTCCTGTGACACCTCAAGCTCGAGACTGCCCCTCCTCCCATCGCCAGCTCCCCGTCTCGGCTACTTGCGCTTCTCTGCTCGCAACTCCATCCCGCTTCCAATTTCTGCTGTCCTCCTCTACCCCTGCGGCTCTCAACGAGACTGGCAGCTGGGCACGCGTCATTGCTCCCGTGAGCGAGTTCCCCACAAGCATCCCTTGCGCTCCATCTAGCTTAGGCCGGCCCAACGGCGCCTTCTGTACGTTTCAAACAACCCAGCTCGAACTTGGCCTCTTTCCCCACGAGGTTTAGGTAGCTCTCGGCCCGAGAGGCGCGAGGTCTGAGCATTGGACGCTGACCATACCTCCGACCTAGGGCCCAGCAAGCAGGCCGTGGAGCTCGAGGTCCTTGAAGGTCCAGCCAGCCAGAGCCAACCAGCGCGTCCTCTGCGCAATCCTTCCATCCGAGACCTCACAACCGTTCCACGACAGGCAGAGCCGAACTCGCGCATACGGCCGCAGTCTTTCTTCGGTCGCGGCTCTAGGTCTGTACGAGATCTACAGAGCCGCTCAACGCTGTTGAGCACGCGGCTCTCCGGTGTAGTCCCCAACACGCTCAGCTGTGGGCCTACGCATCTGCCACCCACTGTCCCTCGAGTCGAGCACACGAGACTGTGCAATCGTCGAATTTTCCCCTTGACGGCTTGCGCGCCTGGCGACGCTGCTGAGGCCCGAAAGAATCGCCCAGATCCAATCTTACTGGGCATGAGTTAGGCCCACGAATCACTATTTGATAATACTGTCGAGAAAACAACCAGCACACGTACTATTCCGCTTTTCACGATCATTCACGGGCGAGCAGGCGGGTGCAAAGCGCAGCAACTCCCCAGGCCTAATTTGACCATCGACATACTTCGCATGGAAGCGCTACCCGGCCGCATACTTGGTCAAAGCGGTGGAAGGTAGCTACACGTCCCTACGAGGCTGGTCTGAGCTCGGAGGAGACAATAGACCAAGCCTTCGTCATGAGGCGTAGTCGAGTCGCGACCCCTCCGCCATCGCCCTACAGGGCGCTGGCCCACCACCATGCGCAAAATGGCCAGCAAATGGCAGGCTCCGTGTCGTCCATGATCAGGTCGTTCAACGTCGAGACCAATCCCAGCCGCCCGATCCGCCCGTCACCTCTCGCAGCAAGCACAATTCGCGACATGCCACTCGACCTTGTAGATCGAATAAGGTCTTTCCCTTTGTTTCGATCGGCCCCAGACGAGTTCCTGGCCGCCGTCGGCAAGCACTTGCGGCCACAAGTGCACGCGGCGCACGACATCATTCTCAACGAAGGAGACGACGCCAGGGCAATGTACTGGTTAGTGCGGGGGGTCGTCGCGGTCACATCTCGAGATGGCGAGGCGGTCTATGCCGAGCTTAAAGCTGGCGCTTTCTTCGGTGAGATCGGCGTCCTAATGAAGATGCCTCGCACGGCCACGATCATTGCGCGTACGAAATGTATGCTCGTCGTTCTGAAGAAAGAGGACCTCCACGCCGAGCTTCCGATGTTTCCAGATATGGAGAAAGCGATTCTGCAGGAGGCGCAGGAAAGGCTGGCGATCTTGAAAAAGAAACAACGGGAGAGGGGCATGAAGCCCGCCCGTAAGACCGGCACAGTCACCCGTGACGTTGTGCCCGGTGAGGTGACAACAGGCGACGCGGGGGCTATCAAGGAGGGCGCCGTTGTCAACTCTAAGAAGCGGAAGTCACCGAGTCCTGGGGTGATTGAAGATCCCACCATCGGGGGAAGTGCTCTGGGGAGCGGATACGTCGATGTGCGGACCACATTGAAAGAACTGCCTCTGTTTTCTGAGCTTCCAGCCGATGTCCTCCACTTTCTCGGTCTCAGCGCACAACCCGTCTCTTACCCTCCCTTCACCGATATCGTGCGACAGGGCACAGCTGGCCACGAAATTTTCTTCATCGTACGGGGCGAGGCTGAGGTGGTCCGTGAAACACCCGGAGACAGCAACGCCAAGCGATTGACGAGGTCATCAATGTTGAGGCCTCGGCTCAAGGCCGGCCAATACTTTGGAGAAGTTGCCAGCTTGGGGCTGGCTTCTGGACGCACGGCGACAGTACGATCAATCACCTCCGTCGAATGCCTCATGATCGGCGGCGAGGCTTTGGCGGAGCTTTGGAAAAAATGCCCACCTGAGATACGTTCGCAGGTTGAGGAGACGGCGCGAAATCGTTATCCGAAGGCAGATTTGGATGTGGACATGAAAGACGCCGACGAGAAGGAGCAGCCAGACGAGGTCAACCCGTTAACACCCACCAAGGAAGTGCTTCCTTCGGTGACATTCAATATCCCAAAATACAGTCCATCTGCTACGAACGAGCCGCAGGACACCACGACAACATACACTGACCCGGACCCATACCTAAGTGTCGACATGGAGAACTTGAGAACTCGGAGACGCAGCTCAATCGCTCCACCTACACCAGCACCATCCGAGCCCGCTTCCTCGCCGACTCTCAATGGGATCAAGTCATCTCAGACTCTCGAAAGCAGCCCTCTCAAGCTGTACTCTATGTCCGCGCCTAATACACCACCAGAGAACGATCAATTGGCCCCGTCGTCCAAGCGGCAAAGAACCTTGACTCACAGGCCAGCATCTTTGCAAAATCTGCAGAAGATCGCACTCCCAGACGACATATTGATTATGGTCTTTAATCAGCTTGATATCGTGGAGCTTCTACGTCTCCGCCAAGTGTGTTCGCACTGGCGGCGGCTCTTGACGGTTTCTGACAAGCTTTGCAAAACTGTCGACCTTTCGCCCCTGAACCGCTATGTCACGGACTGGGCCCTGGCAAACGTTCTGGGTCCGTTCATAAGTACCCGGCCCGAGGTTGTCGACATATCGAATTGCTACCACGTCACGGACGAGGGCTTCCAGGCGTTCTGGAAACTATGTGGCAAGAACGTCAAGTCCTGGCGCATGCGATCAGTCTGGGACGTGAGTGCTGGCCAGATACTGGAAATGAGCGAGAACTCCAAAGACCTTGAGGAGGTCGACTGGAGCAATTGTCGCAAGGTTGGCGACAACCTCCTTGCCAGAGTGGTAGGCTGGGTTGTTCCAGAGCCCCCACCTGAGCGCAAGAACGTGGTTATCGCCAGTTCAGGCGCTCCGGGCAAGAGGGGTTCAAAGATGCAGGTCGTGCACTGGCAGCAACATCCCAACGCGCCACCGCCTGGCACCGTCATAGGATGTCCAAAGCTCAAAAACCTCACTCTTTCCTACTGCAAACACATCACCGATCGATCCATGGCCCATCTGGCTGCACACGCCTCTTCGCGCCTCGAGTCGCTCTCTCTCACCCGCTGCACTTCCATCTCCGACGCAGGCTTCCAGTCATGGGCACCCTTCCGTTTCCCCAATCTGACGCACCTATGTCTGGCCGACTGCACCTACCTCTCGGACAACGCGATCGTTGCACTCGTCAACTCGGCCAAGCAGCTCACGCATCTCGACCTGTCCTTCTGCTGCGCCCTTTCGGACACCGCCACGGAAGTCGTCGCGCTGGGGTTGCCGCTGCTGCGCGAGCTGCGACTCGCCTTCTGCGGCAGCGCCGTGTCCGACGCGTCGCTGGGCTGCATCGCATTGCACCTCAACGAGCTGCGCGGGCTGAGCGTGCGGGGCTGCGTGCGCGTCACGGGCGTCGGCATCGAGAATGTCCTAGAGGGCTGCGGCCGTACCGAGTGGATCGACGTATCGCAGTGCAAGAACCTGGGTGCGTGGCTCGCGGGCGGCGGCATCACGCGCTGGGGTTACGACGAGCGCGGGCCCGGCAGGTGGCTACCCATGAGCGTTGTGCGAGGCGTGCCTGGCCAGCGCACCGTGAACCCGGCTCTGCTCATGAACAACAACATGAATGTGCCGCGGCCGCAGACGCCTGTCAACGGCGGCAGCGCCAACGGCAATGGCCCCGGGCTTGCGCCGAGCCCCTTCGGTAGCCCCGGCGGGGGCATGAACATGGGTATGGGGTTCGGCGGCGCCGGCGTGGGCGGCCCCGGCCCGATGATGAAGCCGGTCGTGCCGCCCCGGGGCATGAGGAACCGCCGGCAGAGGAAGCCGATCCGGTTCATTGTGGAGAAGGGGGCCGGAGGGTTAAGATGACCTGCCGGGATGAGCCAGGTTGCTCTCCTCTTGTTTTGTTTTTTTACGCTTTACATGCACATGCAGAACAGCAAACTTCGAAGAACTGGCGAATCTGGATGTTGCGGATGCAAATTATTGTACAGTAAGTGTTGTTGCAAAGACAGTGTGGAGGCGGGTATTTTGTTGTTTTGGGATATCGAGGCATCATCATCATCATCATATCACTTGCATCACAAACGGCGCTGGGGGGTGAGGTGTTCAAGAACGAACAACAGTCACGCACAAAAAAACCATGGTACACGGCACGATCTGAGTCTTTTTCCCCGCCTCATATGATGACTGGCGCCCGGGCTTGACTGTGTCCCTGTTTTCTTCTGTCTTTTTTGTTTCCTTTGGAGTTGAGGCCAGCATTTTGTCACTGGTTACCCGGAGTGCAGCATGGATGGATGGTGAGACAGGCCAGGCTCTCTTTTGATCACCCGCTCACACGCTCACACATACCACATATCACACACACACACACACATACATACATACACACCAAATACCTTCTCTGGACAACTAGCATTTTTGGAATAGGGATTAGACGGGTATGATAATAGGAATTGATTATCTTAATCTCGCACCGGGTCCATCTCAGATGAACGCGGCCCAAGTCTCGGCCTCAATTCAAAGGGGGTGACGGGCCAGCACCTCAGGAACTTGCCCTGCAGACCAAGAGGAATCCCCAGCCATTCCTGTCCAGCAGTAGATGAGGTTCCATCTCGCCCACGCCTGTCTCCGCCGGCCGCGCACGCCGGCTCTCAGCCTACGAGGAGCAAAAACGCCGTGTCCAAGGTCCACCGAGTACCATAACAACAGGACCACACACACGAGAAGAACACGAAACAACACACCACAGCGCCTCGAACAAACAGCCAAGCTTTTGCTCGCCCGCGAGTATATTGCTTAGCTAGGCCTGGCCCTCCCCCATCCCCCACTACTACAATCACCAGCCAGCCCTCCAGCCCTCCGTGCACACAATCAAAACGAGGTCGGTGCCCACCTGCGCTCGCCCGCCCGGGCGCCCGCCAAGAGGAAGGCCGCAAAAATCCTGACCTTGCCTGGTGCCCACGCATCCGGTTTCCCAGGGGGGGCGCGATCGTCGGAGGCCGCTGAGTCGTGCAGGCAAAGCCTGGCAGGGCATGACAGGACGGCGCTCCGCCCCAGAAAGGGAAGAGAAGGGCTGGGGTGTCCACCTTGGAGGAGTCGAGACTAGCTTGGCTTGTACGGGATGGGCTTGTTTACGGGGCAGAGGCTGGAGGGAGGGGTTCTGTCCCGTCTTGTCTCGTTGTATTCCATCTGCTCCCGTCTTGAGGTCTGGAAATCCAAGGCTAGAAACAGGGAGAGGTTAGTTTTCAGTCTCATGTACACCTCATCCATACACACAATACAAAGACCTGAGATATCACATACGCGCGATCAGCATTGCTCTTGTCTCGAGTCTGCTCCAATTTTCTGCGGTGGCAAAAGAATCGAAATTGGTGGTATATTCCTTACTGCGCTGGGAGTCAGGCCCACAGTTATAAACAAGTTGCGGTACGAGATTATAGATGGCAGACCAGTGTAGGCCCAATGGTATATTTACATGCCAGAAAAGAAATAAGTCTATACAGCAAAGATTGGGAGAGTGCTCCCAACATCTTGCCTCCCAAAGGACCCTGCAGCTGGTAATTAAGCCGATGTTGTCTTCCCTCCTCATGCCATCATGGCATATGATGTAGAGGCATGTCGAGAATTTCCATGTTGCACATCGCAACATCTTGTACACATGATAAACCTAGCATCAGGTTCTCATTACCTTTCCCCCACTTGATCCACCGGATCCCTCCATATCCATCCCCGACTGCTTTCCATGGCAAGTGACCATTGGTCAAACATGCAGGATGGTCTCTGAGAATTCTCTTTGTATAGTACAATGCCGTTTCAAAACGCCGACGCTCAAACAAGCACATACACACGCACACGCGACACAGGAGGCGGCCCCCAACAGCTGTCTAGGTCTCGTAGACCGTGATGGTCGTCACCTCGACAGGCTGGTGAGTAACTTGCCTCCCATCAGGGAGTCAGAGGGTCTTGGAGGCCCAGCCAAGCTGCTCGTTCTCGCCATCGAAGACGACGAACGCAGCCTTCAGGGCGACATCGCCGAAAATGGCGAAGCCGATGCCGCTGTCGTCCTGGATACCACCGTAGCAGCTGCTGTTGGCGCTGTCAACGGGTGCGTAGTTGATGTAGCTGCCAGGAACGGTGACAGTGGCTTTGCCGACACCGAAGCTGAAGTCCGGAAGGTCGGTGTCACAGGGGAACACGTAGCCGCCGTTGACTCGGTCGTAGCTGGAAGTCTTGACAGCGGAGTAGTAGGCATTGACGACGTCGGTGGGCAGAAGCATCAGCGTGGTGCCGGTGTCGGCAATGGCAGTGATGGCGTCTGTCTTGTAGGTATCGGAGCCAACCTGGTAGCCGGTCGTGTTGAAGGTCCAGAAGCCGTCGGAGCTGTCGACGGGGATGTACTCAATGTCGCCCGTGTAAGCCGACTCATCGATGAAGCCAAAGTTGTAGGTACCAGCTGTGCAGGGGTTAGCAAATTGATAGGGTCATCCATGCTAGGTATTACTTACGCTGTCCAGCCTTCAGGTCAGCCGTGAAGACATACTTGTCGAGCGTGGCTCTAGCAGCCTCGAAAAAGGTCTTCTGCTTTGTGGGCGAAACAGTGTTCAGCTTGCCGAAAGCCAGGCCGAGCAGACCATCGATGTCGGTGTCGGCCGTGAACTCAGCAGAAACATCAGTTGCGGCCTCAACAGCCATGGGGTAGACCGACAGGCCACCGACAGTCACGTTGTCATAGTAGACCTCTCCGCTGGAAGAGCTGCCGTCACCGTAGCTAATGTCCCAAGTCGATCCCTGGAGCTTGGAGCTAGTGTTAGAGGCACCGGGGTTGTACACCTCCTGTCCGTTGACATCGCTAGCAGGAGTAGCGGAAGAGTACACCCAAAGGTCGGAGGAGCCCGTGTCGAAGTCGAGCATAAGCGTCTGAGCGGGCGAGCCAATCTGGACTGGAGTGAGGTATTCAACGTCGTACTCCTCGGGGGTAGCACTCGCAGATCCAGTGGCCCTCCTGTCCTTGATGGGAAGGCTAGGGAGGCGAACACCCTGGAGCTCGGACATGATCTTGTTGCGGATGCGGGAGACGGCGGTAGACAGTTCGTCGGGAATGGCGGCGCCGTACTTGAGGTAGGCCTTTTGGAGTTGGACGGGGCCGGTCTTGCTCCTGCCCTTGTACTTGACGTTGCGCACTTGCTTCAGAGAGGCAGTGCCAGAGACGGGGACCGGCACCCGGGGAGGGATGGTCGGGAAAGCGGAGGCCACATCGACCACGGCCATGGTAGCCGCAAGGAATGCGGCGAAGGAAGTTGTGGGTTGCATTTTGACTGGAATTATTACTGCTCAAGCAGTATCGACACGCGATATGAGTGAGATGGAAGAGGACAAGCCGATATCGAATCGAAAATATTAGGATACCAGAGAGAGAGAGCGACGTGCAGAAATGCGACAGAACTTCGAGGAACGACCGTAGCGACCCTCGAGCAAGAGAAGTAAGAAAGGCAAAGAGCGACGAGAGTGTACTTCCAAGTAAATAACGATATTGGGGGTCTCTGGAGGAGGAAAAGATCGGGGCAGAAACTGTCACGGGCGGTTCAACTCCTTTTTAATATGAAGATGATCAAAGTGGACTGGGCCAATCCGGCTAGGAGCCACCACATAGGAGGAAGCGAAGTCACCATAACGCAGTGGATCATCATCGAGTGCCCACATATGATGTTCAGGGTACCTAGGTACTGCCAGGGTACGGAAGGCTTGGGCCAGGACCACTTGGGCCACTCAAGCGCACGTGAGCGAGATTGAGTCTTCCCCGGGTAGGACGGGTACGACAAGGGCGACGACAGAGCCACGCACGATGACCAGGGTGCTACCATGTGTCGCCCGATGAAGCCTGGAGAGCCACTGGCAGCAGGCCCAGCAAAGCCTGGAGGGGGCGCGCAAGGCTCGAGCTCACAGTCTGTTCTCGTGTACTGTACCGTAGTATGCGCAGCTCAGGGGTGACAGATGGGTTGACGTGAGGGCTGTGTGGTTCGGATGACGTTCGGTTGAGCACGCAAGAGTCAAGCAAGCTACCCGTTTCGTCGTCCAATGAATTGGTTGGCTGTGTTTCCTCGGGGCCGCCAACTTGGCGCAATATAGACGGAAACATGTTGGCATGTCGTCGGCGGCGGTCGTTTGCTGGTTGTTGCAGGTTGCGGCTGCACGACGGCAGGGCATAGCGCGTGTTTGAAACAAGCCAACACCAGCGAACAGGGGCAGAATCTGCAGGACATGTGGGCGGCTGGGTAGGCGCAGCTCAATGCGGTGGAGGTTGCCCAAAGCAGTAACCATCAACAGGAGGAAGACGAATCAGAGGTTGGGACCGAGGAAGACAGGTGGGGACACGCAGGACGGCGTGCCGGGCGTTCAGGGGTTGAAGGACTGATGAAGGAGCAACAGAGGCGGTCGTTGGCAGGACAGGAGGCTCTGGCCCAGACAGCCCTGGCAGCCAGAGGAGAAGTCTGATATCGGCAAACCAGGGTTGGAGGGGCGCTATGCCCTTGGCAGACTTGGCGGGATGATCCTCTCACTTCAGAGAAATAAGCTTAGCCAGCGCTCGTCGCGGTGGACGATCACCGAGATGCGAGCATGCAGATGCGAACTGCGGGTGCAAATCGACTGGCTGACCCTGAAGCTTAGTGATGGCCAAGATGGGTGGGCGGCTGCGAGACGTCCAACAATAGACAGCCATCGCAACGGTCAGAGCAGCCGTTTACCAGCCACGCATTGTGCGACTGTGAATTTGGTGGGGCCCCGTTTTCTGATCTGTAGCCTAGAGGACTGTGTTGTGACAAGGCCACGGCGTCGATCTCTCTTTGGTTGGCTGCTGGCCTTGGTGCAGTCGTGAGAATCCATTTCGTCCCATACTCGGGCAGACTGGCACATTGGCCAACTGCAAACGTGCATTTGCGCCCTCAGCCGAACCCCTGAATCCTCCGGTTCCCGATATTGGATGTCACAACAGCTAGATTGCAGCTCTCAGCTGTGTCTGCCAAGGCCATGGGCCAAGAGAACAATTAGGTCAGGACACAGGTGGTCGAGGCGGTAATAGGGTAATAAGGTAACTCCAGACTACTGCAAATCAGCAGGACAAGGTCGATCGACTGCTGCGGACGGCTACACGGCTAGACGACGGGACAGTGTTGGGAGGCCAAGTCGAGCAAGCAATCGAAGCTTCGCTGACGAGGTTTCTAGCCCCTGGGCGTCTTTGCTTGGTCTGACTGCAGACGCACTGCAGACGAACTGCAGACGAAGACAGTGAGAGCAGACGAAGGGGGGGAGGACAAAGATGGACAGACGACTTGGATGCCCGTCGACTCGCCAGGGCAGGGCAATCTTCATTCAGTCATCCTTCATGCTTCAAGAACGCAGTCACCCGCAACGGAAGGAAGCAGGCGCCGCCCTGGATCAAGAAGGCACGACGTCAGTTAGAGTCGCACTGGAGTGGCCCGAGGTACCTAGGTACCGAGCTACCTCTGGGACTGTGTGTGTTTCTTGGTAAGCCCCAATTGATAGACCCGACTATCAACATCGGACTGCAGCAGTTCTCTCAGCTTCATCTTCATCGACAACCATCAATACCTAGGTAGCCATTAATCAACCAAAATTTTCCGCCAGAGCCTCTACCGTTCTCTGTCCGTCAAATCCACATCTGCTTTTCTTCATTACGCCGGCGCTTCATGGCTTATCCCTGCTGCATCCTGGCCCCCTTCGGCATCAACCGCCGACTGCAAGGTTCCAAGGTTCGTGGGAAACGAGCGCGACCGACTCGCGCCTCCCGAGAGGTCTCGACCGTGGCACAAGCGGAGTCCCATTTCATGCACAACGCCGGCCAAGGTCATTGCGCAATACTCCACGGCATTCAAATGAGGCTTGATGACAGCTCTTCTAAGGAAACATCCTGGCTATACTGTCCCCGGAGGCCGCCATGTCTATTGCCCGCGACTTTCCTCCATGTTCTTGAGCATGTTACACTTTGCTCACCAGCAATTGTCGCGCCCGCTCTCACTACTCTTGTGCGACGGCTTCGCTTAATGTCTACATCAAGGCTAAATAGCATTCTAAATACCCCAAAATCGAGGCTATCCTGAGCTCATGGGGGTGGGTAGCACGGCAACTACCCAGACAGTTGGCCTCAAGCGCGGCGCAACCAACACAGGGCAAGTTGCTCCAGAACACCTACGGTATGATACTGCAATTCGTTCAGGCCTTGCTATCTCTGGGTCTGCTCAGGCAATACAGTAATCTACCACGCCCTCTGTTTTGTTTCGTTTTGAGACACGTTTCGAGATTAAGCTGAACATCAGGTGCTCCTGCATGGCCAAGATCGAAGCCAAGGGGCGGATTCTGCACCGTGCTTTGTTAGTTGGCGATCTTTATCTCGGCATCTTGCTCTTGCCATGAAGCAGGCCGATTGGTAAACTGCTGTGATACTGTGGCTACGACAAGCAATTCCAACCAAATCTTGGGGTTTCCCGACTCATCTATCGCGGTTGCGACAGACTCTCCTCCCCTGTCATGGCTGTGTCTGGCTAACCTCGTATCTCGGCACACTTTCATGCACTGTGTCCTGATGAGGCAGTGCTCTGGCTTCCACAGCCTGTAATATATCACACGAGGAATATTATCCAGACCAAACGTGTGCAAGAAAGCCTGCTACTTGAAAACAGGTCCCGACTGTTCAGCTGAAACTCAAACGAACATTTAGACATTGTTTTACGTGTCATTCGGTCTTGAATCCTTTCCTTCCTCTGCTGTCTAATCAGAGGCTTGCACTTGTGCAGCCCGAAGACCTGATTCTTTGCCTTGGTGCCGAAGTGGTAGTCCTGGGGCATAAAGACTCTCGCGCGCTTCCTCATGAAATTTATAGTCTAGACTTGCGACTCAAGAGCCTTTGCCTACGAGCAATTCAAGTCGCTGTGCTGACCGATAGCTAGAATGAGAACGGCCATTGTATCTTGCTCCATCAAGCACTATTTCTTCCTCTTTCAAGATATTTCACGGTCGTTTATGGGTTCATTAGAGCAAAATATTTGTACAGATCAAGCATCTCTTTGGCAATCACTTGTTCAATGCCGCGCTTCATTCAGAACAACAATGCTTCCAACCAAAAATCATGAATCAAGACGTCTCCCGCCCTGTTTTGGCAGCACGGCGCTCAATTCACACTTGCAATCTCTTGTCAACTTCGTACTGCGCCTTGGCGGCTCATGGATCGCACAGTCTTGGTAGTGGCTGGGCGCTGGATGCCGTATGTTCAGTCTTGAGCGGATCCTTCTTAATCATGCCTGAGCAGAACTTGTCCTCAGGTAGGTACTCTGAGATCGTGAATTGTCTGACTGTAATCACATCAAAGTAGGAACAAGTGAACGCGACGCGCAATCATTGCACGAGCTTTCCAACTTTTTAAAAGATTAAAGCAAAACACAGATGGTTTCTTGACTGGTGCTGAAGGTGAGAGCAGTCCTTGCACATTAACGGCTCGGAGATTTTCACCTAGCTTTCTCTCAACCGCTAGAAAATCAAGGCAATTGAAAATGTTGATTGGTTCTTTGATGTCAAAGGGCCCTAACTGTGGTCGATTACTTCGAAAGTCTTTATTCAGCACACTCTGGCCGGCCGCCACTCAACCACAAGCACCCATGATGTGTCAGAATTTCTATATATTGCCCATTCCCCACGCAATCCGTTGTCGTATGCTGGGCTCAGTGCGTCATCTCGACAGTTGTATCACCCCTCAGCCTCGTCCGCAACGACAGACTACACCCTGTTTCCGCCCACTTCCGCTTCATCCATGGCTGGCCACGGCCCCACTTCACGGAGCCAAGCAAACCCCTGACTGAAATTGACAACCCTCCGACCAGGCGTCCCCTGGCACTATCGTACGAGAAGGCCTTGTCCTTGCACAGCAGTTGACGCCGCTCTTGCAGCCATGCCTCGAACTGTCAGCTCCTGGGCGGTGGGGACTGAACATGACCTAATAGGCGATAATCAACAGGGCGACAAACGAGGCAACAAAGAGAGAAGATTTCGGTGTTAGTCAATCTTTTCATATCCTTGTTCTGCATCTTGGAATGACTCGTCTGAAAATAACAACATTCCTCCTTGTCTGTCTGGTCTGAAAGGGCTTCTATTCTTTCTCGTAAGAGGGTCCACAAGACAGCATGCACCAGCTTAGGATGTCCAAGCTCTCACTGCTTGGCAGCAGGCAGCTTCTCCGTCTCGGCACTTTTATCCGTCTCGTCCACGAGTCCATCCCTCTCTGGTCCAGCCAACGTATGCCCCGTGACGCCCTCAATTTCGTCCACAGTCGACTTGGGGCCGGTGAACCACTTCCTAGCAGCCACAAAGTAATAGATGGAAGCTCCTCCCCAGACTCCCATATTCACCACGACTGTGTAATTCATGGTCTCTGGCGTGGGGTCCGGCCCGCCAACAGGGAACATTGCCAGTGTAATTCCAAACACTAGGAATATGATAGCAGCCCACGCTATTGGAATACTGAACTTGGTTCCAGTGTAGAACGCGCCTGGCGTGAACTTCTGTCTACCCCAGACTACGCGCGCGAAAATAGGGATGCCCCAGGCAAGGTTATTACCAGCCACAGCAAGAGAGAACAAGGCGGATGCGGCGGCTGGGGCAATCAAGCAAAGAAGGCCCAGTATGATCGCAGCGAAGACGGCACCCCACACTGCGCGTAGTGGAATGTAACCAAATGTTTTGGACTACGTGTTTCATCAGTACAAGTTACCAGTTGACGCTTTGGTCCTGAAAGGTCGACTTACAATGGGGCGGAAGAACGACGAGAAAGGCAGAGCTCCATCTCGGGAGAACGCCCACATCTGACGTGAAGCGGCGATGGTGATGGAGTACCCCATTAGGTATTGCACGATGAACAAAAAAGCAATGAAGCCCATGGCCCCTTGTTTTCCTAGAGCGTCATAGTAAATCTGGGCCATCTGCAGTGGAGTGGTCAGTATCGCGGAGGGGACTCATTGAAGCAGACAGTGGTGGTACTCACGGGCTGCCCAAAAGAGCTTCCCAGAACATTCTCAATATTCGGATCGATACACGCAGCGAGCACGATCACAATCACGAAACCAAGGCCCCAACACATGCCAATCGAGCTGAGGATACCAAGTGGCACAGCTTTGGCCGCGTTGCTTGCCTCCTCGCTCATATGGACACAGCTGTCGAAGGCTCCGATGGTCCAGATTGGGGACAGCCACGCAAGCATAAAAGCCCACCCCGTCGGCCATGTGGTCAGATTTTCTACGGTGGCGAAAATGAAGTGTCCATCGTTGCGCTTGTTCGCCATACCAACCGGCAGTGCGATGATAGTAGAGAGGATAAGGGCGATGTTCTGTCCACAAGTCTCAGCAGTCCGTCTCGTTTGGCTGTCGGGAAGGGTAGCATACTAGAAAGACCGCAAAGGTCTGGAGCTTGTTCATTATTTTCGTCAGGGTCGACGCGATAATGCCGTGTGTGAGCGTGCAGATCATGAACACAACATACACGATCCCGTTGCTTGGGGTCCACTCGCCGTCTGTGGAGATGACGATGACTGCGCAAAACATGAGGGCGAATCCATCTGCGATAGAGATGGAGATGTCAGTCTCTTTCCACAAGCACTAGGCAGGAATTAGATGTCTTACAATTGATGGAACATAATCCACCGATTAGGCCCAGACTGTTGCTGTACCCAACCAAGAAGCACAGATAGTTTCTCGTCTTGGGCGAACTGAAATAATGCGTCCACCAATATAGCCCTCCACTGGTAGGCATTGCACTGCCCAGGTCCGCCATTGCTAATCCAACGACGAAAATGCAGCCGCTGGCCAGGAACCAAGACCACACCATGCCCGCCGGCCCAGCTGGAAGGGAGAAGGCAAGCGTGCTGGCGATGGAGGGCAGGAGGCCCATTATGGAGAAGGCGATTCCGAAGACCTCGAGTGTCGAGAAGTTCCGTTTCAGCTCTTGTTTGTATCCCATCTTGGCCAGCAGTTCGGCATCAGCTTCGCTCGCAAGGACAACGCCATTATCTGCCGTAGTCACCAGCTCCGGATGGTGCTGTGGCGTCTCGGCCGGGGCGCCATCGGAGGAGGAGACTTTCTCCGCAGTTGACATTTTGAAGTTTGGACCCCCGTTCTTACTGTCTGAAAGCTTTGCTGCAGATGGTCAGATGGTCGTGATGATGAGGTCTGCTTGTTCTCGTCGCCAAATGACGTGAGAAAACAATTGCACAAGGTTTGAGATCATCGCAAAACGGCCGGCAGATCCAGCGGGATGGTACGTCTCAAGTATCATTTGCCCTAACACAAGTAGCTGACCGTCGCACAGGGACTAAGCTGACGTTGGAGGTCCCCGGCCTCAAGCTAACGATAAAGCCGTTGGCATTGGCGAATGATGCAGCTTCGACTGGTTCTCTCCCACCGATAAGAACTAGGTAAGCTGTAGATGAGTGCGTGCCCATATCGTGCTTTAGCTTTGGCCGGGGGCGGGGTGGGGATATAACTGCCACGTTGGGGAAGCTTGGTGAGATTTCGCAAGAGATCAGTGATAAAGCTACCGGAGACGCCAGGGGTTGTTTCTTATCTTATTGCGGGATATCCTTCTCTGCATCCCCCACTTGCCTGTGTATGTGCTTCTCAACGGGCCCGTTCTGATAACGACGCCGGATGTCAACCATACAACCACGTGGATGAAATCTAGTGCGAACCATCATCTATGAGCGGCGTGACTTGGAAGGTCTATATCCTGGTCTGCGTATAGACAGGAGCCCAATCTCGGCCCCCAGAGGCCAAAAGAACCTGCAATAGCTGCGGCCGCAAGAAGACCGGATTCCTGTTGGAATTACATGCTCTTTTGCTTTTGGAGCTCTCAGTTCCTCCTGACACCTTGCATGACTAAACAAGCACCCCGGGGCCCCACCAAGCGCTTTACGATTAATATCTGGCACATAAAGGCCATCAGATGTCACTTCAAGTTGTCTTCCTCGAGACCTAATCCGATACAGAATAAGCAGGCAGAGGTAATGTCTTGTCCTTTGACGAGTCTAGACAAATCTCAAGAATCCGGTATCAATCTCGTCCGAAACCACAGATTTCGTTGCGTTTTCCTTGATTTGGAATATGCCGAGGGCTTTCCGAGAAACCACAGGTCTCATGCCAACAGTGATGCGGAAGAACAGCTCTTTCGGACGATCCAAACGGTTCTCTCGCTCGATGGAGACAAAGTATCTGCCCAAGCGAGCTTCGAAAGGCCCTGGTGGGTTGAAAGGCACACCTACTCCAACGAATTTGGATTGTAGCCAGTGAGGCACAAGATTCATACTCGTACGCCGGTGCGATCCTCGGTCAAGACCATCGTGTTTTTCTAGGGGAGAGAGCAAGTCTTGCCTCACTGTCCGGACAGAAACATTACTCTCTATCTTTGCTAGCAACAGGAGCCATGCTCCGCGTTGTATGGCCATGACCACAAGAATTCTGTCTATTCCGTTGCTCATGATGATAAAAGCCCTCCTCTTTGTTAATCACCTGCTACGGAGCCTAAAGGGGTGCATTCTGGAACATTCTGGAACATTCCAAAACACAATAGACGGGGAACCGTAAAAGGAGAAGACTTGTACTTACAGATGCCGGCCATTTTCATACGTTCTCCGGTCGAACTCGACAAAGTCAGCCTGTATGCTCCTTGCTACTGTAGCTTTGTGCAGGTCGGGAAATATCTCCCGCCCCGACTCGGTTCTCATAGCCCATCGGTTTTTGAAGCTGAGCATGAGAACCTCGTTACATCTTAAAGGACAGTCATTCATCCAGTACTCCGCGATGTGGATGGTTGGATGCTTTTTGGCAAATGCCATGTATACTCGTCGGTCAATCTGTCCACCGCAGACACCTCGTAGGGATGGTGTGCCGAAAGGATCGCTCGAGTCCTGTTTCAACACAAGCGGCCAGGTATCGACTGACATTTTGATAAAGATGGATTCCTTGTGGAAGTCCTCGAGGCCTATCTTCCTGTGCTCCATCCACATACCCTTGAAACTGGTCCGAGTGAACTGACGCATACCGCCTCCCGGCTGGCGGTGAAGGTAGATTGTAGCCCACTCATCTAGCGTGGACGCACCTAGGTATCGCGCCGCGAGGAACGCGTAGTAGTACCCTGGGTACTCCGGACCGATCTCCGCTATAGGGATCTGGATGTTCAAGCCATAGTTCGTGACAGTAAATTCAGGTCTTGCCTGCGAAAGGTCAAATGCCTGTCGATAGACATCGAATGGAACGGGATGAAGCGTTGCGCCACAAAATTGGTCTGGCGACAAAGCTAAAATTCCAGAGGTGATGGAAGACCCTTGTCCCCACCAGGTGAAGATGGTGTGATCGGTAGATACACGCATGATCTGCTCTTGCAATCTCCTGAACGCATTTGAGCCCCCTTCACCGTAAATAGGCGGCAAGTGGACGCCAAAGAGACCCAGAAGGGAGTAGGCAAGGTCTTCTTCTCGGGTCGTACGTCGTCTGGCTGCCCAGGATATCTTCTCCGCTATGCTTGTATCGTGCGCATACAGTCCATCGACAAGTATACACTCTCTGATCCGTGTGATTCTTGATATCTGTTCCGCGAATTGGGTCTTCGTCCCAATGTCTTGCCAGTCCGCGGTGAGAAACATAACTTCCACCGGTGCTATCAATTCTTGGAGCGTCCATCCTCTTGTGAACCATTTGCTCTTTCGAAGATATCGCAGGTTGAATCGGTCATGGAGGTCGTCTAGATAGGCATAGCATATCTGCGACATCTCGTACCAGCGGAACATGGAGTTGATTGCTTCGGATAGCTCAGCACTGGAGCTTTTGTCGATGCAGCAAGTGTCGACCCAGACATATCCTATTCCGTCTTGCAGGGCCCGTTCACATGCTGCCACTATCTTAGCGAAGCCTTTTTTCAAAGTGATGCTGGACTTGGCCGTTATATCATCAACACCGTCGCAGTCCTGAAACGTGACCTCGCCATCTCCCCAGACATGTGAGAGAATGGCGTAGGGCGGAGGCTGCTCGCCGACTTGTTCAAGATGGATGCTCAATGGCTGATCCAAGTCCCCTTTAGTGCAATGAAGTAGATTCATATTGCTTGTCGCCGGGTTTCTCAAAGACAGTCGTGTTGCGCAGTCGTTTCCTTTCGAGCCGAAGACCCTGCGGAACTGCTCGCTTGTACTCAACTCAAAGTAGCCCTAGTTCCCCAAATGGGAACGGGGATATGAGAATTTTCATGAGTTTGGGATTGTCTGGACGCTTTGATTTTCAAGGGCGAAAAAAACTTGCCAGTGAGGTGTTTCTAAATAGCTGCTTCGAATGCACGTTGTGGACTCTCTGTAACTAGGTATGGTTTTTGGAGGGGGATTGAAGTTCTAGTCTCCGCTCCGATAACGAATGTTCCACAGTTTTTTCTTTTAGTCTCGTACTGTAGGATTTGTAATGGGGCACCCCAGCAGGTCAGCTGATGTAGCATCGCTATATATTGGATGCCAACATACAGTAGTAAGCCATATGAATTCTGCTCCATGTCTGGACTGATTCTTTTGTGTGATGCACTGGAAATGGTACCGATGTAGCAGGGGAAGTCGTTGCTGCTATACTTATATATGAAGTCTTTGCATCTCACGATAGCCTAGGGATCAATTTGATCAAGTCCCTCGTTTGTAACACCTTTTCTTTGGCACTTTGGCATAGAGGACGATACAACTAGTGAATTGAAAAATTGAGGATTTGGAATCTGTTAAGTACAGACCGAGATGCGCTATTCCGCTGCAACTTTTTGGACATGTCGAACCTGACGAGGGGCAGCTCGTTCAGCGAATAATACAATCGTTCCAGCTTACATTTTAGAATTCGCCTAGCGGTGTGATAGACATACCTTTGAAGATGCAGCGAGATTGTATTGAAATTACGATGATGCACACCTTTGTAACCACACTGAGCTCAAAAATCTGCAATGTGAATAAAATTTATAGGCAGAATCTTAAGCAATTTGCAAGCTTAGGGAGCATTGATGGACAGGACTTAACTACTCTGACACTTTTCCATGTCACGTCAAGCGGTCAATACCAATACCTTAGACAGCGAGATTTGCCTCGAAGAGACTCTCGTGTTGTCAAGAAGGTGGAATCCGGCGGCTTCAGACCTTTCAAGCCAAATTTGGTGTCATCGGATACTCAGGTCGTCGCCTTAATGCGCTAGCCCATCGTCGTGGCACACCCGCCCCATTGAGTACGCAACGCCCTCCAACACTATCGCAGCCAGGATATGTCAGACCATTCCATCTCGCATACTCTTCATCGTCAGACAGTTAGAACCCAGCTGAAGCCCACCCTCGGTCATTTGCCTCAACCTCTGGTCGTTTCTTGGGTACACTGAAAGCCAAAACAATACTCCGACAAAGTCCACTGAAGCATTAAAGCTGATCGGTCCCAATCGACATCTTGGGCGACAGGCTTTCAAAACTAAAGAAATTCGGAACATATGACTGAGTTGTAGCTTTTTGTTCTTCCCTTGGCTCATGTCGATTGCTGCGCAGCGTCTAGAAATTTCAGCCAGCCTCTGTCCCACTAATTGAGGCTGAGATGCGATGCTTCGGAGCTGAGTGCTGAAGAAATCACACCGTCTGTCACTACCCGTCTCATAGTACATACGTCGATATCCCAGTATCAATGAATTCTCTATAAAAGTCTCCTACCGTGAATCCTCGGCACCGCATTTCGGTATCATCGACTCAAACAGCATCGTTCTTTCAGGTTCAAAGCCTCCATCCAACGTTCAGATTCCCTTTCTGCTAGTTGCATCTACTATCAACCCGTATCCTCGACATGAAACCCATAAATTCCATCCTCCCCCTTGCAATCAGCTCTCTCAGCACCCTCGCCGCTCCCAACGACGCCAGCCGAGACGAGCTCACTGCCAAGTCCGAGGACCATAGGGGAGATCCTCCCTTGGAGGAGAAGGACAAGAGAGGCACTGCTCAGTGGAGAATTGGGCCCTGTAAACTTGGTGGCGGCGGCAGAAACTGCACCCAGGAATGCCTCGCCTCAGCAAGGGCCGACTGCACTGATACTAAGGGGAGTCTGGGTTGGCTGGGGTGTTCGACTCAGCGGAGCGAAGTCTTCCAGTGCTGGTGTTCTCGCACGGTCTGAGACGATATGAGCTGGAGCGAATGGGAAAGGGTTTTGGATGGTGTTATAATCCAAAGCAGACTGGTCCCACCGGGATATGAAGGTGGTTCGGGCCTCACAACGTGGTCGATGCATCATGATCAAGTGAAGAGGCAGTCGCATATATCATTTGACACATCTCAAGTCTCTTCAGTGGTTGAAGTCCAAAAACGGCAGATCTCAGACGGGCTTTGTAATCCGCAACCAGACAGGGCTCCATTTCAATTCTTCTTGAATTGGGCACTGGTTAGCGTTTGCCATTCCACTCCATAAGTGCCCAAGTAGTTGTCCTGCAAAGCTCCAATAACGGGACGAGAATTTTCGCTCTCCTTCCTGAACGCATCCCACCACTCGGGATTTGGTCCTGGAAGTGGCTCGTAGCCACCGGACATCAAATCCTTATTGGCCCACCGCATCAGCCTGCTAATCACGAAATCGTCCAACAGGAATAGACTATTAAGAATAGTCCCTGGCAACAACCGGTCCTTCCTGCGCCTTTGCTCTGCTTGCATTTCGGATTTCGGTGGGAGTCGAACTTTGCCTGAGAACACAGCAGCGAGGACCTGGGCCTGGAAGTCGTACAGCGAAAAGGTAGATGCGAAATGTGAAACGCCTATGAATGCGAGGGTTGGATCAGGGATATAGAATATGTCCTCGTGTAAATTGTGCACTGTTCTGCCGTCGGCCGTAGTAACTACCGTTCCGTCGGCGTCATGTGGAGCTGTATCCGGTTGCTCTAGCAGAGGGCCGAGGAATGGAAACACGGTTAGGTATCCCGTCGCGATTATAACGTCGTGGATATTTTCTATGACCCGGCCATCTTGGAGGCGCGCCATCCCTGGAATAGGGCTATCATCATCTAGGATCGGGGGGCCTGGCGTGGGTTGATTTGCATTGTCGCCCTGGAGAGTGAACTCCGCGACCATGGCCACTTTCTCAGCGTTCTCGTGCTTGGACTTGTCCCTTAGATCAGCTCTAGTGTCTTTGGCGCTCTGGTAAACTCGGGCGCCGTTCTTGACAAGCTCATTTGTGATTTCCATGGCCGAAATGAATGCCCCGAGAACCAGCACTGTTCTGCCGCGGTACGGTGTAGGAAAGCGGTATTGCTTTGAATGTGTCACCCGGCCTGGGAATCTGTGCTTCCATATGGATAGGCCTGGTATATCGGGTACACGCGGCGGTCCGTATCTGCCTGAAGCCACCACAATGGCGTCAAAGCTCCAAGACTCCTTGCTCAGTGTATAGCTTGGGGGTGAAACAACCAGCTTCGAGGTCTGAACCTGCCATTGATGGTCATCTGGGCTTTTAAGAACCGATTCCACCCGTGTGCGGAAGATGATCGTTTCTTGGACGTGATGATCTCGAGCAATTTTCTGAAGATAAGCGACCACCTCGGTGTGATCCAAAGGCGCCCGTTTTCCCTCTGGCCAGCCCTCAAGCGAGGTACGCATGATTTCCTCGCTGCCCCGACTCTTCATATCAGCGTATACTGGACCCGGTGGATCGAATAGCTTCACCGCGTCTTCGAGGCTTAGCCCATTTGCTTGCAATCCTTCTATTTCATCCCACTCTGGCTTCGGTGGTCGAATGCTGGGAAATGGCGGGTCCCGATCCGTTTCTGGGTTGAATTTCCAGGCCCCACCCGGACTGTTCGCTCTCTCGAAAACAGTGACATTGGTTCCTCTGCGGAGCAAGTGCGCAGCTGTCACAATCCCACTGAGGCCAGCGCCGACGACTCCCACTGTTTTGATATGAAGAGATGAGGAAGACATGATTATAATGTCTTTAGATTGGCGAAAAACTTTTGGAGTATCCTGTCACCAGCGTAGAAGGCGGGAGTCTAATGAAGAGATTATAAGTATAAGGAATTCTCCATGGAAACGTTGCTATGTACTTTGATTAGAAAGGAGAGGTTAAAAAAGGCCATTGGGGAGTAGATAGATAGGGAGTCTGCAAGCCATTGGAGGCTATGAGCGGGGGGCATGGTCACTCGCCAGCGATGTTGTATTACTGCATATGTACTCTGCACAGTGATCACAACGTATATGGATTAATTGGCTCAAATTACCGACAGTTGCGTAGTTGGGCAGCTTGTACGAGCGAATTAGTGGTGGTTGCAGGCAGTATTTACCAAGCACCTGATTACTACGCCAGCCCCTCAGTTGAACAGGTTCTGAGACTAAATATTGGGGCCCAACCCGGATGTCCTCGTATTGATGTGTCTGGGAGGAGGACCCCCAAAACCAATTCGCTAGCAAATTATCGCCTTGAACTCACCACGCTCTAGCCCAAATGCTTCTTTCATACACCAGAGTCTCTGTAAAGGCTTAAAGGAAAAGATACGCAACGGCACAGATTCAAGCAGCTACATTGTCGTCGATACCAATGTCTGAGCTGAGATACGATCCTGAGTGGTATGAGCTTGCGAGTCCAGTTTTGGAGAGTGCGCGGATGCGCGAATCTCTTCCGCTTCACGATATTGAAGGCCGCAGAAAGAAGATCGAGGCCAAGGTCAAAGCTAACCACTTCACGCTGCCCAAAGATATTGAGCAGACCATCCAATACACTTGCAGTCAGGACGGCCACGAGGTCCCCATCTACCATTACCGCAGGAAAAGCTTCGCAACCTCGCCCTCGCGCCCTGGCCCGACCATTATGCACATCCATGGCGGCGGTTACAACACCGTGAGCGTTACAGACATCATGCCCGACCTGGTGCCCTACGTCTCGGCTGGGGCCGAGATTTGGTCCGTCGAATATCGTCTGGCCCCAGAACACCCGTTCCCCACACCCCTCGAGGACTGCTGGGCAGCGCTCTCATGGCTACGATCCAGCGCGACCAAGTTGGGCATCGATCCGAAGCGCATCGCTTTGTTTGGCGAGAGCGCCGGAGGGGGCCTCGCCGCGGCCTTGGCGATCATGGCGCGGGACCGAGGCTTCTCGCCGCCTCTCGCCAGACAGATCCTGATTTACCCGATGATAGACGACCGGACGGAGACGGACCACACTGGAGGGCGCGACGTCTTCACTATGGTCGACAGAGTCACGAGTTGGGCGTCCTATCTCGGGGATCTGCACAGATCCGACACGGTGCCGCGGCATGCGGCTGCGGCTCGGATCAGGAAAGAGGAGGTCAAAGGCCTTCCTCCTATGTATATCGATGTGGGACAACTGGACAACTTTCTGTTTGAGGTGCTCGATTATGTGCAGAAGTTTGTCAAGGCTGGTGTCCCTGTCGAGTTCCATTTGTATGAGGGTGTGCCACATGCATTTCATATCTTTGCGCCAACGTCCAAAATTGCTTGTCGGGCCTTCGACAACAGGTTAAATGCGGTCTTGAATATTTAGGTTTTGAGAGCATACCGGGGTGGCCGTCAGCGCCTGTGTGGTTGGTAGCTCACTAAGCAAGTACTGTACCCCTTGGTTCGGTCGACGGAATACACAGACAACAGCACGGATCTGACAGAACTTTGATGAAAACCTGTGCTCACCATCTTTTGCTGTTGTGTTAGTTATTCCGTTCAGGGAGCAGTTGTAGATGTCGTTAATTAATTATGAAGAACTTGAAAAGATGAAGGAAACACATCGGTGATATTCTCCATCGCCCATAAAAAGGCAGGAAATGCGGCCGCGATTTAGGTAGTCTGGATCATAGCATTGACTTGAGCTGAGCATGTCCGCCTGCAGATAGCTCGATATCGCATATTGATCACGCGGCAAAATCGAGTGGTTAATAATTGATAAATTGTGCGCTCGAGATGCTGTCGATTCAGTTAAAGTGATGAGACAGGCAGTTTTTCAGATTTCTATCTTCTTCATTGCGAGGACTTTGAACAATTGTCATCACAAACTTGGAATAAAGATGTCTCATCTTATGGAGAATCTATTCCTATTCCGACCTTGCGTGGCGAGCAGGTGGATTAATGCCTCTTTTCTGGCAACGGCTCGATATCGTACGGCTAACAAGAGCCAGAGAGATTGAACTAGACATAAGCCTGCATAGACAATCCTACGAGATGCAGGATATGTCGCGAAATCAAGATCTGTAGTCAGCACTGGGGTGTTGCTGCCTTGGTTCTGCTAGGCTGATGCTGGGTAAAAAGGAAGGCGGTGGGATTTCGGACGCGCTGCGCATGGAGCAGAAGCCAGCGTCAAAGAATATATAAACCCGCGTCCCCGGACCTTCGCTTCAACTGACTTTCCTTCTCCCCATACTTACAGCCTGAGCTACAGTAGATCAAGAATTACTGTGACTAGTTTGGAAAGGCTGCATAGCACATCGTGGCGCTGACCAGTCTGGTTGTTCCTGCCGGTTCGACCTGGGCGAATTTTTGATTTCCATCAACAATGCCTTTTCATTGTGCTCATCTGCTTGCGGGTGACGTGACGAAGAAGCTTCTGCTATATTCTTGTTCTGGACAGCTAGTTGCTGTGTCCAAATATGTGACATATTCTCTAAAAGGCAGGCTTGCAACGCGATCTGAAGGTGAGGTCCTATACCTGCTTCTTGTTTACTAACAGGGCAATGATTCAGTGTTGCAATAGAACAAGCCCGTTCCGTGCTCAACGCCGGTAGCTCCGGTACCAAACGGGGCCGCTTGGCGGAGCTCTGCCCTGTGAAGCTTAGTGAGCAATTGCATCATACCCCTCATTCACATGGGTAGCTGTCGATCAATCGACGGAGTTCCTGCAGAAGCGCACCTAAGAAGCTGGTTTCTCGAGGCCTGTGCATGTAGTACAGTATAACGACTGAGTAATGGTGTTTGGTGATCATCGTAAAAGCTAAATTCCGCCTATATGTCAGCCCAGGAATGGCATCATCATCGCAGCATCGAGACTCATCGCGCGCGAGTGGGGAGCCATCTGCATTGGCACAAAAGCTGCCCCTCCCTCGCTTCGATGGCCCCACGATAGATGCTATTCAAGTCTACCTTCACCATAATCACCTCTGTCAATAACAGCACGACCAGGCGCACCCTTCGTGTTTTCTCTCCAGGCCAAGCATCACCACCACGTCCACCATGAGCAAGCACGTCCTCGTCCTTGGCGGCCATGGCAAGATCAGCCAGCTGATCACGCCAATCCTGCTTAAGAAGTCGTGGACCGTGACCAGCATTATCCGCACCGAGGAGCAGGTCCCCACCATCCAGAAGCTCGGCGAGAGCCTGCAGGGCAAGCTCAACGTCCTGGTGCGCAGCATCGAGGAGGTCAAGAGCGAGTCCCAGGCCAAGAGCATCCTCGACGAGGTCAAGCCCGACTACGTCTTCTGGAGTGCCGGAGCGGGAGGCAGGGGAGGAGCCGAGCGGGTATGCCCCCTGACATGAAGCACTTATTGTAGACAGAGGAATACTGACTGGACTCTTTCCACACGCAGACGTTCGCCGTTGACCGCGACGCCGCTATCCACTTCATCAAGGCCTCCGCAGACCACCCAAGCATCACCCGCTTCCTCAACATCTCGTACCTTGACTCGCGCCGGAACAAGCCCAGTTGGTGGAACGACGATGATTGGAAGGTAAGATAGCTTTCCCGATTTAAGAGCAGATCCCGCGCAAGCCATACCAATGACAAATGTGCTGACACCCGCGACAAGGCCGCCGAGGAGGTCAACTACAAGGTCCTGCCCAACTACTACAAGGCCAAGATCGCGGCCGACGAGGTGCTGTACGAGGAGTCGGCCAAGCGGGGCAAGGACTTCATCGGCATCAACCTGCGCCCGGGGACGCTGTCCCTGGACCCGGCCGGCAAGGTCGAGCTGGGCAAGACGAAGACGAGCAGGGGTAAGGTGAGCAGGGAGGCTGTGGCGCGGGTGTCGGCCGCGCTGCTCGAGGCTGAGGGCGTCAAGAACAGCTGGATCGACCTTCTGGATGGCGACGAGGAGATCGGTACAGCGGTTCAGCGCGTGGTCAGCGAGGGCGTGGACGCTGCTGAGGAGGACCCTGTTTATAAGGCTTGAGTCGCAATTAATGAGCAATGAATATCACGATCATCATCCCGTTTATGATCCGTGTTTTGTGACAGCTGCATCATTACTACCAGTATTGCCATTTTTCGGGCGTAAATTATGGACTCGAGTCTTTGTGAGTACTGCTCAGCTGTGTAAGCGGTCGATTCACGGGAATCCTCAAAGCTGAGAAAGTCCAACCCCGGGTTCGTAGTCTATCGGGGCCGAAATGAAGGCCTTGAGAACTTCTTACGGGCGTATATGCCTTGTTTGATCACATATAGGGCTGGAACGGAACGTTGGCAGGCTGTCTGGGGGTATCTCTCCTCTAATTGATAAAGCGCTATGCTATGCAGGGTATCTAAACCAGATTTCTTGTTTCTTCGTACCACAGTCAAGGAAACAAAACAACAGACATTAAGATTAGGGTAGGGGTAATTAAGCATTACGGCTCGATGAAGCCACCGTGGGTTCCACGTCGTGCACACCGTGACCGTGACCATGGGTAGATGTAGAAGCCTCCGGACGCTCATCGACAGGCGCCAGGTTCTCAGGCATGGGGATCTCGGGCGCCTTGCCGGCCCCCCGCGGCTGCGAAGCCTGCGTCATCTCTGGTGCACCAGCAGCCCCGGCGGCAGCCCCGCGCGACGGCAGCGGGGGGCCCGACTCGCCCGCCTCGGCACTGGACACCGACGTCCCGGCGTCTTTTGCGGGCAGAGCCTTATTCCTGCGGTGCCTCCAGATGAGGAAGCCAGCGAGGCCTAGGAGGAGCGCGCCCAAGCCGATGCCCAAGCTCATTCCGATGAGCGCGGGCACTGACAGGACCGCTGCTGGCAGTCCGCCCACGTCGCTGTCGGAGTCGGAATCGGTACCATCTGACGACGTCGTCTCGTAGCAGCTCGAATAGATACAGCGCATCGTCGACGAGGGGGCGGTGGCGCCGTACGTGGCGAAAGGGACGATGTTGCTCGTCTCAGTCGCGCCGAACTTGACTGGCGCGATGGCGACCTCGTCATTGACGAAGTCGAAGACACTGTACGTCCGGCGGAGAAGACTGCTGCCGAGGTTGTAGCTGGTCGAGGAGCTGTACGAGTATCTCGAGGTGCTACCGTTTTGCACGCCAAAGAGGCACTTCCCTGAGTCAAGTTCCAAGGAGGACGCGTAGGTCGAATAGTAGCCTGCCAGGTCGACGTCTGTCACAGGAATGATTAGGTCCTCCAAGGCGACGGTGATGTTGGGGCCATCGGAGCCCTCGCCAAGCCTGAAGGTGAAGTTTGTCGAGGCGTCATTGCCAGCATTGCACCCAATCAAAGCCATTTCCAGATCCGAGTCATAGTAAGCTCCTGCGACGCTCCAGATCTGAGAGGCCACGTCCGAAGGCAATGTGCTCAGGGCGTCAGGCGGGGAGAACACCGCGGTGAACATGTAGTCACTTGAGGATGAACTGGAAGACGAACTCGACGACGAGCTGTAAGAGGAGCTGCTGTAGGAGCTGTCACTGTCCTCATCGTATGTGATCGTGATTGGCCCACCGCTGTCCTTTGTCGTCGCGTTGATGCTTGAAATTGCCATCAGCATCTGATAGCCGGAGTAGTACGACGACACCCGGGACAGGCTCCCTTCGAACTTTGACGTGTCGATAGCGCCGAAGAGAATGTTGCCCGCGTTTGCTTTCGCATCATCGACCCAGATCGAATACGCGGTGCTGTTGATTAGCCCTTGCTCCAGCAGCCGATCCGTGAAGGTTGAGTATTTAGTGTCATTATAGCCGAGGCCGAGAACACCAATGTAGCGGTTGGTATCGTTGACCAGGCCAAGGCTGAAGTTGTCAAAGGTCACGTCGCCCAGGGAAATCACGTCGTTGAAATAACCCCCGTAGGCCCATGATCCGTCAGAGTAGTCGTTACTGAAGCTGTAGCTAGAGCTAGAGCTGTAGCTAGAGCTCGAGTCGTCATCAGAAGAAGAAGACTCGTCCTTGAATGTGGACGAAACATTGGGTGAGACTGCGAGAGTTGTCAGCACGTGGGAATCAAGACAATTGCACCCCATACGGCGGAGTATGACTCGGTGATTGACATTGCTCCGGATGGGGCCCAGGGGCGGGATAGATCCGAGATCGTAAACTGGTGGAGCTGCGGTCCGGACTGCTTGTTACTTACAGCTTCCCCATACGCAGTACTTAGACTCGGTGCTTTCAGTAGAATCCCCTGAGTCAGAGGTATCATAATCATCGTAGCTGCTGTAGTAATTGCTGGAGTATGTGCATTCGTAGGCTCTAGAATCGACAACCCATGTGTCTGACGAGGATGGCGAGAGAACAAGAGACACCGGCTGGCTAGGCGTCCCGACCGAGGCGTTCACAACGTATGTCAAAGCTCCCAAGAAAAAGTCCTGGTTCAAGGCTCGCGATTTAGTAGCGGCCCCGGCGGCGGTGTTGTGCGCTGGGCTGCCATGCTTTGCGAAAGGGAACTGGACGACTGCATACGCTGATTGTGTGCACGCGCCAAGCAGCGACAGGACAAGTGATGCCTTCATGCTGAATGAAGACTGGGAAAAAAAAAAAGGCAAACGAGTGACGGCGAAGAGAGTCGCGTGCTCAGTGATGGAGACGTAAGGAGAGAGACTGGGGATGTCCCGTCGCAGCCATTGTGTGTATATTTGAACGGACAAGGCGATAGGGACGGCCAGGCAGCAAAAGGATTTTCAGACCCAAAGAAAACTCACGTCGTCCCTCCCAGAGTCACACAGCAGGATCGCGACCCTGGGTGGCTTGGTGGTTTCCTGCAAGCCGCTTCTCCTTTGTCTATTCCTCTTGTGGCCGAGCCGCCAAGAAATCGTATTTTAAGCTTGACAGTGATTGGGTTACGCCGGGTCTAGCGAGATGAGTAAGGCCAGACAGGGCCTAGAGCACAGGATCTCCTGTGGCTCTAAGGCCCTGATTCCAGGTGCGACCCTGCTAATGGCTGCCAGATCTAACTCCCGCGGGAAGAAAATAGGCAGCCATGCGGGCCTGGGACAAGTTCGTGATGGCTTCTTCGTGTCACGATACCGCCACAGGAGGACCACCAGACGACACGATACGACGTAAGAAGTGACTACATATACGAAGGAGTCATCGCCGCTTCTCGTCTCCTGGGGTCACTTTCTCCTCAGGTCGAGGCACCCGGAAGTCCTCTCTGCACTGATTAGAGGGAGGCGACGCTTGTGAGAGATGCAGAGCAGGTAGTGGCTCCACTGTCATGGGCGGCGGGACGCCGCCTGACGGATCAACATCGTTGCATCGGGTATGAAAATGAGGACGTCTTCCTGCATCCATCGAAGGTGCGGTCAGAGGCAACACAAAGCAAGAGGTCTGCTGGTTCTTAACAAGACTGTGGGAAATAAAGGAGGCGGATTTAGCATCTTGGCGACGGCAACTGATTAGACTGTTGACTCAGCTTGTACTCCAGCCTTATGTTGTCAGCTCGTTTAAAGATGGCGGCTCAGCCGATTGCATGGTTAGGACCTGTCATTTGCCCTATTATGCCCTATCTCGAATTGGTGCTTACAACAACGTCCGGCGGCCCCTGGTATTCGCACACTTTGGGTACAGGACTGTAAAGTTTCCATTCCTGTGAACAATTGGAAAGATTTGACTTTCTTTGAAACTGGCAATAGTGAGGCGATAGACAGCAAGGTTGGCGGGACCATGGGGATGGGGTATGAGAACGGTCGTTCGTGCAGATCCCAGCCACGAGTTCACACAGTCCCACGTGTACGAAAGCTGCCGGCGCGGAAGCTTGTCAGAAGCTCCGGTAGAGTGCCCATCGTTGAACAGCGAGTTAGGTAGAGATTGTTGAGGTCCAGCTCGAGAGGTGGAGGCCGGCACTCGGCAGTCACTGAGGGCGACGATCGGTGCGACAATCTTGCTTGGAAGGAGAGAACCCTGAAGGATTGAGGAACTCTGGAAATGGAGATGGGAAACTTGGTTGGCCTTGACAACGCGCTTGCGCGTTGGTGCGGAGCACCAAAACGTGGGCGCCTCGGAGGTGAGGTCGATAGCCTACTAACTGCACTTGCCCGTCTCAGTGGGCAGTTTTGCTACTGTAGTCTCTTCAACAGCCTCAAAACCAACCCCCCGACTCTGGTGGGAGTGTGGAGCAGTTATTCCACTCCGAGAGTCTCCTCTTCCATCTTATTGTTCAGCATTTCTTGGACACCTTGTACGTCAACTGTTTGTCAGTCTGTCACCTCAATCAGGTGTTCCATTTTATGCGGTGAATGGCCACAGGGGTCTTGAACTACACAGCCGGGACAGACCCTCATGAATTGATGTAAATTGATTGGATGGGGGAGTCTCTCGCCTGCCTGGGCTGCCATGGAGGAGACGAAGCTGAAGGTGCTCCTTGAGCACTACGTCCAGAGCCAGTTGTGGTGGGATCATGGCCAAAACACCATCCATCAGCGAAGCTTTGGGTATCAAGATCATCGCCTGAGTGATCATGTTCAACGTGGTAGGTCCTCCACAAGTGCCAAGGGGGTTTGGTAGTAACCGAAGTCAGAGATACCAGGCTCGTGACCATCTCTTCCATGTCCTCCGCCGCACTCGTGCAGCAACAATGATGGCACGGCCCAAGTGATGGCCTCAATATGAGAGACCAATGCATCGTTGCGTACTGCGGTTGAGCGATTTTGCCCTTGTGACTTCAAAGACTTCCGGTTTCTGTTCGTGGGCGCTGCACAGTTCGTTCCCCACACCACCAAGGTCGGCCATATCTAATCTCTTGTGCAGCTTGACAGCTCAGCAGCTTCCAATTGTCCGTCCAGTTGTTGCCCTGCCTCGCGACGCTTAGGTACCAAATCTCACGATCCTGCGGTGGGACCAGCCTGTTTCAAGACGGGGAAACATGGCTTTTTGCCGCCAGGTCCGCGGTCCCCTCACGCTGGTAGATCAGGGACGCCTTCCCCGCGGTTCGTCGGTTTCTCTCAGGTGGGTTCGCATCTCAGGCAACGATTCGCCCTTGTTTGCTCCTGCACTTCATCCTTGGAAAACGCGAGACAGCGAGCCCAACTCGGGGCCTGGCATCAAACCAACTGCTGCCATTGGCAGGACCCCGTCCCCGCCATCTATCTATGGAGTCAGGACCCAATTTAGACATTAATACGCGAGACTCGCTGCATATCGCACGGCCAGAACAGCTCACCCGCCCCCACAAACAGCCACTTGGTTCTTCTTATCGTTCAGAATATCGCGCGACGTCCTTGGGCACCCAGCTCGACTGCGGTCTGAGACGCATTATTCTCGAAGCGCGCTAGAATATGGAGACACCGCCATGTCGGCGTCTGCCCGCGTGACCGAATGTCTAAATGAGGATTGTAGATGAGGAATACGGTGGATCTCGGTGTTGGACATCGTTTCCGGGGTCTCCAGACCGCCAACACTTTGGGATGACTCCTCATGAATATCTAGGCTAGTCCGGAGGCCACCTGATTATCGTGACTGCTCTCTGTAGACCGAACAACCTTATAATCCAAATTCACCTTCAGCTCGAGCCGCACCTCCATCCTCAGCAAACTCTATCGCCACCATCTCCATCACCCTCAAGCTATGTCTGTCTCGGTCGCATCCAGAAATCCTCTCCATAGGGATCCAACAAGAACTATGGCCCACCTATCAATCCTTCCTTCCACCACATATACACCACCAGCCAGAAAAAGTACCCGAAACACCATGGCTCCTTCAGCCAAAAAAAGGTCACAAGGCGTTGAAAATACCGCGATTTTTATGGTCCCAGTCTACGACGACAGACATCAGGGCGCAGACCTTCTCATAATACCTGCACCCAAAGCGAGCCCCGGCCCCAAAACAAGCCCTCAAGAACGCTCAGAAACACCGGCCAGAGCACCCACGCCTCCCCCCAAGCCTGTGATTCCTCGGCAATGCCAGGACTGGGATGACTTCATCTCATGGAGGAAATCTGAGGCGATATGCAAGGCATCCAAGTCGGAGAAGCCGCGCCTCGCAAATTCGGCCAAGGAGGACATCATGCGGGGGTTTGAGGAGTGGAAGGACTACTTGGCGCAGATGAGGATACCAGGCAGGAAAGCCAGGCCTGTCTCTATCATGAGCACCAGCACAACCGGCCGCAGCATGGCAAGGTCGAGCATGTGCTCCATCTCGAGCACCAGCTCAGGAAAAGCAAGGTCTCTGAGGAGGTCCTCGCGTTCAAGACACCTGAGGGCCTATTACTCGATGGGATCTCTGCTGAGGAACAAGTTCAGCTTAAGAGACAACGGTACGCTTCCCCTTCCCAGAACGATACACAATCTTCATCATACTGATAATTTACAATAGAACCTGTCATAAGTCCCATCGCAGACATCCTGCGCAACACAACAGGCCGTCACCAACCCGCGATGCGGAGGCCAATCAGCCAGCACTCACTGCCGGCCAACTGGACATACTTCAGCAGCCCACCTCCTCATCCTCCTCCCAACAAACCTCTCCCTGCTCTGCCTGCCGACGCGCAGCAGTTGGAGAAGAGGACGAGGAAGAGGGGTCGGTCCGTGCTCGAGATGAGGGAGAAGAAGAGGTTCCAGTTCATATTTTGGCAGTGATGGATATCTCTGGATTGAAGGCGAGCTAAGAGAGGCGAGACCGGGCTTGACGATAATTTTTAATAGATCACAACTCGGACGTCATTGTCTGCCCTCATGCTTAAGACCATGTCCAGTAACCCAAAGTACCGTCCCCTGACAAGTGATCGAGAGGAGACCTCATCCATGTTCCCGCCGTCCATTTGCATGCTAGTCCTCCACAGCCGAGGTTTATTTTTTGTTGCCAAACCATATTTCCCCCACACTCGTCCACGTACAACCTCTTGTATCCTCTTGTAGCATCGTCGATCGTGCTTCGAGAAAAGATCTGGTGGTCCACTCGTATGGTCTTTGTAATCTTACAAACCCCTGTCATCGAGCCTTTCTCATATCTTCGATCCCGCGACCACAGCAGGCTTTGGCTTCTGGACGCAGGGTTCCGTGCTGTCCTCGCTACCCAAGTCAAAATGAACGGCCTTGGTAACTTTGTTTGGATTTTCGACAGTCTTAAGCTCAACTGCATCATCCTTGGAGCTGATGACCGTATCCTCCGTATGCGACTCGGCTAGTTTCTGCCAGGCTTTGTGGCGCATTATAGGGAGGTCTGTTGGTAAGCAAGGTCAGCCTGTTATAATCCAATCTGAATGAGGTGAAGTTTCCTTTTTTTTTTTGGCATCATACCTTCTATGACGCTCCCACTTCCATTTCGGCGGCGGCGATGACTATCAAAGAGGCCCGAGATGCACCCTCTAGCTTTCTCAAAGACCTTACGACACTGTAAGGCAAGCGCCCCGCCAACAGCGATGGCCATTCCACGCATCTTCAACGCGAGCTGTCGGACTCTGCCAGAGAGTGGGTTTTGGCGTGTTCGCTTGCAGATGGGCTGCTCAGTCGTCGGCAAATTTCCCTCGCGAAGCGCAATGTTGCGGTAGTACTCGGCTGGACCATGTTCAGTAAGTAATCTGCCAAAAGTATGGTGGGGATCCAAAGAGACAAAGTTCTTGTCAACTCACTTTCCTTGACTTTCAGCCACAAGAGTACCAGAACCATGGGGCAAGCGGAGACCAAGATGAAGGTGAAGATGCACAAAATAACTACCGCGGCCTTGCTGCCCGCTGTCCACGAGCTCTCGCTGTCTTCCATCGTGGCCTGTAGCTGATGGCTTCTTTCAGGTTTGACCTTGAAGGGCGGTGGAAGGCGAGTAGTTGATGTTGAGGATGGTGGGACTTGTTGGTACGAAAGGGGCCCTCTACTCTTAAGCACTGTGATCTTGGTAACGAGTGAACGAACGAGCTTGAAGTGGAAGATGAGGTCTGGGCTTGTAGTGGTTAATTGGATGGCAGAATACTTGCCCATGCCTACTTTCGTGATTAAAAGCCGAGTGAATTGCTAGCTTTCTCCCTACTTGTGTTGGCACAAGCATAACGGCCCTGTTTGGGCCAGCGTGCGAAAGCTTGGATGAAGTCTTGCTGTCCGGACACTTGCGCAAATGCATTGCGTCTACTAATCAGCTCAGCACATTCATTTCAACGAGTCCCCGTGTCAAACGCTTTACTGAGCTTTGAAAAGTTGCCATGGGCAATGTGGAGCACGAGGATCGCAACCATTCTTTGTTTACTCTCCCTTACAATCACCGCTTTCAGCCCTCACCTACCCTCGTCATCTTTTCAAGATCTTGAAGACTCGACTATCCCACTTTGAGGGCCAGACCATCAAGACTTGCAGGGTTGCTAACAAAGCTACTCGTCTGGCCCGTCGCCAGCATCACTTGCAGGTTTGTTTGTCGCGACACTGCAGGTTTACCGACCTTCGTCAAAGTCGTCAAGCTTACCCTTTTCAACACAGTGATATGGCTCCCTACCAGATGAAGGCGGCTTCCAAGCCGAAATTCCAGCCTGTTGCTGGAAGAACGACGCTCTCTGGCAGGATCACGAAACAAGATCGATACGCGTCCCAGAAGAGCCACTCATTCCTCAGCGCCCTCACCTTCCGACCGAAGCAAGATTCCCCCGTCGTCCAGACCCAGATTGCAAACCAAGCCAACGAGTGTCCATCCCAGAATGCGGACTCACCCAACAACACCCTCCCCTCCCCTGTGAAGCAAGTTTCTCCCATCGTCGACCTCTCGGTTGCGATGCAAGCCATCAATCTACTCTCTGAGACAAAAAAGAAGTACCCTTTCAAGCTCCGTAAAGCTATTCCTAAGGCTGGTTTTCGATTCCCAGGCGAGACCAAAGGAAAGCGGTCGATTCTGGGCAGATGGGAGAATGAAAACAAGGTTGCCTGGGCTTTGTGCGCTGATATGAACCACATTGACGATATGGAAAACATCGACAAGAACGTTGTGCAGAAAGTCGTCAGCCCAGTCTTCTACAAGGCGGCCGAGATGATTGAGAATGGATACCTGTGGGGCCTAACCAGACGTGAGGACATCACACGGGGAGAAGGCCGTCGCATCTGGAAGCGCTTCTTGGCGAAGCTGTGGGTTGAAAGCCCTATGAAGTGGCCGCAGAGGCTCACCCAGAAACAGTTCTCACAGTTTGTTTCTTCTCTGGCAGAGGCCCATTGGGCATGGATTCTCCAGCCCAGGACAGATGGACGGGAGCATGGTCTGCTGGCTAAGCAAATCTCCTTGTTCTTGCAGGCGGCGGACGAGGCTGACTTCCCTTGGGCGAATGGAGGAGACGTCTTCCTTGCTGATGAGGAGGACAATGAGGAGCTGGATCATGAGGAGCAGGACTGTGATGAGCAGGACTATGACGAGCAGGATTATGAGGCACACGATCAGGAGGAGTAAGAGTATCACCTGGATGGACCCTCTGTATGTATTTTGAGGCAGCTTCACGTGTGTGACAAATCCACTGGTCCTCTGCGAGGAATTCGCACCTGAGTGTTCCGAAGCACCTGACCCCATTCTGCTGTCTAATGTATTCTGTGATACGCCCTGAGACTTTTTGTGTGAGCTGAGCTCCAATTTCTGGTTTCCTCGTAGTTCTCCGCTAAAACCATCTCTAGGTAATCTGTCTGTCCATTACATAGAGGTAGAAAGGAGCATAGGGTGTAAATTGATCATCGCCAGGTGCCAGATAGGCGTCGGGGTGGGATCGAACTGAGGGCAGAACTGAAGCAGGGTACATGTTTGGGCCTGACGTTGGCTCTGAAGTGAAGTGAACCTTCATCTGATTCCTGTTTACACGGAGAGACCAGCTACCTCCTGGCCCAAGTCACAGTCACCGAGCTTGTCCTTGCTACTTAGGACATGATTTTCACCTGATCTGTAACGACCCTTGTATCCGTGGCCGAGTGGTCTGACGCTTTCGATATCGATCCAAGTTCACTTGGAAACCTCGAGGCCACGGGTTCAAGTCCTGGTGCTCGAAGGACCTCAATTGGTAAAACTAAGCTCAGCTTGATGACTGCATTGATGTCGTCGTCGTCTTCGGACGCGGCCGCACGGCTAGCGTCGCGCCTCTTGGCTTCCTTCGAGCATCATTTTTTTCCTCTCCATTTCTTTGGGTGGTTTAAATTTTTGCATGAAGACCGTACTTCGTCCCGGGCACGATTATATCTTTGTGAGGGGGGTGGGGGGAGATTGTTCACTATGGGCCAGAAGCGCCAGGACCAGTTTGAGGAGGCATGGTCTTCTCTTGATGGCAAGAATTCTGATTAAGATGTCGCCAAAGCTTCTAAGATGGTCTGAGCATTTACTAATTACACCCAAACTTAGGAATGGGGATTTCGTGATGAGTTGTGGTTGCGGGAAAGTGCTAGCTCACATACTCGTGCTCCCCACGCGAGGCTCCCACTTACCTTCCAACAGTGTTCGTCGATTTCAAATATCACTGACGGTTCGTTTAGACTACAACGTTATGTGATTGGTATACCTGCATCGAGACTCATCGCCAAAGTGGTGTCAGGCTCATCGCTTCCCCCACTTCACATGTTACAAGATAGAACACACATGCCTTTAATGCTCTGTACACTCTCATTTCGTGAGCGATGAACCTGTCGAATTTTACATTGAGGACTTTGGATCGCGGATTCAACCTACAAATCACCTCAACGACTCATAAAAAACAGCACTTTCGACAGTTGTGGTCGCTGAGTATGTGCCTTTCCTCACCCTCGTTCCTCCCAACTCATATTGACTAGCCGCCCCAAGATAATTTGAAGTCTCGCCTTCGTAGGCTGCTACAACAAACCATAGCACCAAGGGTGACGAACAGGAGATGATTACAAGTAGAGCAGTGACTTTAATCCTAATCAACAGCAAAGCAGAGCAACAATTCATCCAACACGAAGTCGACGCCAGCTACATCCTGCCCACACCCCCTATAGCTCGCGGTCACCTGAGCCGCCCTTCCACAGACCAGCACGCCGGGCTACCCCTGCGACTCACCCGCCTGACACGCAACCCACGACCCGAGGACGCGGTAACCAAAGGGGTATGGGCGGGTTTTCCGGTCGAAGTTCTAGAAGACCCTTTGTCCCCATTGCTGTCAGTCCGTCCGATGTTAGAGAGGACACCCTCGCCCCCGGTCTCTCATGCGACACTGGAGCCGTTAGATCTGTTCATGCCCTCCCCCGAATCCGAAACCCGGTGTGCATTTTCCCCGGAAAATTGTACAAAGGCCAATCGCAATGCGAAAGGTTGTCTCCTGGCGCCCGCAGTATCACGCCTTACAGCCTCACAGCCCATAGAGAGACGGAAGGGCGGGACAGTGCTCGCTGGCAAAACCACACACACACACACACACACACACATGATGAAAAACAAGTAGAGTTGATGGATGGAAGACTTTTGATTTCCTTCGCAATGATGCGGACATGCATGCACGCGCTCTCTATACACACCTCAGAACACGCAGCGCCTAATGTATGCCCTCTGGCTGTGCGTGAACACTTGAGGTTCCCTGCTGCTTTGGCTGTTGATGTCTCGCCCCAACTGGTAGTGGGCTGAAAAGAAATGTGGTATCCCTGTGGCCCCATCCTGAAAATTTGAGACTTGATATCATGACCCTGTTTGTCCTGTGCCTTTGAAAGACTCGAAAAATAATATATGGGAGAAAAACATCCTGCCTCCCCGTGAACTCCACCAGATAAACTCCAACGCTGATACCCAATAGATTGTGTGATCAAATGATCCCTCGACCGCTGCGTCCGTAGGCGTATACATAAAAAGAGAAGTGATTGCAAGCACAATGATGCGTTATTAGTAGCTGAAATCAACGTGGCCCATCTGTGTGACTGCCTTGTTCTCGTCCGCATTGGCCGAATTGACACCAGACACCGAGCTACTCGACACTGAGTCTGACTGGTGCGTTGTCGTTGGTTCCAGCTCCTGCTCTTGCGCCGGCAATCCGCTGTCGCTGTAGCCAAGGTCGCGCATCTGCTGGAAGCTCCAGCTCGGCTCGAAGTGTGCGCTCTGCCATGCGAATGCCACCCTTTCGTACATCTCGTCAATTTGCTCAAGGCTGATCTTGCTCGTCTCGTAGACCATGGCCCAGACGAAGACGGCCGCGACAGCACAAAATGCCCCCCACACGAAGAACACCCGGGTGCCCATGTCGGCGTAACCGGCACCCTCCTCTACCATATATGGACTTCCGTACGAGATGCCAAAGTTTAAGAGCCAATTTGAGGCTGTGGATATCGACATGGACTTTGCTCGCACTTTTAAGGGATATATTTCGGATGTGATGACCCAGGCCACGGGCCCCCATGTAGCGGCAAAGAAGAATATGTCGATGCAAAGGAAGATGATGAGAATCTGGTTGGCAGTCGTGGGCATCGATTTTCCGACGGCTGCAGAGAAACTAGCAATGAGCAGCTGGCATATAGCCATAGCAACAGCGCCGTATATCAGGACCTTTCGACGACCCCAAGCTTCGATAACGAATAAGGCTGGAATCGTGGAGAAAGTGTTGACAATGTTGATGATCAGGGAGATGAGAAATGCGTTTTGAATACCGGCACCGACAAAGAAGGTGGTTCCATAGTACATGATGAAGTTGACGCCAGTCAACTGTTGCAGCATCTGGAGGCCGCATCCCGTTAACGTCCGTCGTCCAAGGTGTGGTGTGCCGAATATGATGTCCTTGTACGTAGCTGGTCCCAGGGCTAGTTCGTATTCGTGGTTCGCCTCGATCTCTGCCAGCTCCTCGAGTAGCGCGGGGTGGAGGCGGTCTAGTCGTCGTAGTCGACTGAGAGAAACGGCGGCGGCGTCTTTTAGTCCTCGCTTAATGAGATAGCGAGGCGTTTCGGGTAGGACCAGGAGACCCAGCGACAGCACAACGGCCCAGGTGAACTGAAGACCCAGAGGGATCTGGTACGCAGCAGCCCCTTCCATCTGGGCGGTGAGCATGTTGACGATGGAGGCTGTAAGCAGTCCAATGGTGATGGAGAGTTGATAAAAGCAAACTAGGGTTCCTCGTATCCATTTCGGGGCCATCTCGGCCTGGTATATGGGGACAAGTACGGAGATGGTTCCAACACCAACACCGGCGAAAAACCTATTGTATGTCAGCTAGTTGCCAGAAACACAAGCACATGGGCCTCGCAGTCCCGCTAATTCCCACATACCTTCCGGCCAGGAGCATAGGTATAGCCTTGGCGCAGACCTGGAATATGACGCCGAAGTTGAAAGCAGTGACAGCACCGATCAAAGACTTGCGCCGACCCCAGTGGTCACCTACGGGGGCGGCAATCAAGGCACCGACGAGGGTTCCAGCACTTAGAATGGCAACGATGATGGCAGTCTCATTCGGGGAGATGGAGGGTTGTCCATTGCGGACGTATCCGGTCGAGAATTGTTCCTTGAAAGCGCCCATGGCGAGGATGCCGTTGATGGTACTAGACGCGAACCATGTCAGTGGGCGGGGATTGATACTCCAGAGACGCGGGCTCCTCACCCTGTATCGTATCCAAACAGCAGACCTCCGGAGGCGACGAAGATGCCGATCATGATGGCGGGAGCGGAGGACCCGGCGACATTGTCTGGCTTGCGCCAGCCCATGGCAAAGGCCATGGTGGATGGATTGAGGCCTTCAAGCCAGGGTGGGAGGGATGAGGCCGTCGAAGATGGGAATGACGAGTCGCTGGAAGAGTCGACGTCGAATATCGTGGTCGACCATTTGCGGGGGTTCAGGACGGCGGGCGGCGGCGGTCGATGATGTCGTGTGTGTAGCAGTAGGGGAGGGAAGGGTAGGGTTTGAAGGAGGTCAAAAGGTCGAGGTCACGGTCGAAGGTCGCAGTGGGGACAGCAGACAGGCTGGACCCGAGTGTCTGCTTTGTTGGTGCTTCGACAGCTGACTTGGAGAGAGAAGTCTGGGTCGGGGGTGGGCGGAAAGAGACGGAGACGGAGACGTAAATGCAGGAGACGTAGGCACAGATGGAGCAGGAGATGGAAAATGGAGACTAAAGACTGCCAGACGGAGGAGCGAAAGCAACGAATAGCGACGAGGATTTGGGGAACAGGAGAGCGGAATGGCGGGCGAGGCAGAAGACGCAGAGGAGGCAGAGGCATGGATGAGCAAGGATGGCATGGCACGCATGGATGCGGCGTAGCGTGCTGCACTGTAGGGTATGGGTCTTGGGTCTTGGGGTGTGGGAGGGAGAGTGTGGTGGACGGGGGAATGGAGGGAGGGGCCATCATCAGCTGGTGGTCCGCCTGGGGGGAGCGTGCTGTGATTGGTTTCCAGGGCCTGGAGGTGGAGGCTACTTTGGGGGAACAGGGGGGACAGTGGAAAATGGAATATGGAATATGGCTTTGGGACCAAGGGGAAAAGGGCTAAGACCATAGACCACTGCAGGCCTAGCTCGGGTTTTGGGCTGGCCGGCTGGGGGGGTTGGTTGATTTGGAACTGGAACGAGTCGACAAGGCAGAGGCAGAGAGGCACAGGCACTGTCTGTCTATCTGTCAGGTGTGCCAATGCAGCCAATTACCAGTCACTTTTCTAGTCTGGCTGGGCTCCTCTCGTCCTGGCTGTTAACGGGCCGCTCACATGCTTCACCTGTCTCTCTACCACCCAGGACCAGGCCCAAGCCCAAGACCCAAGACCCAAGGCACAGTCCCAAGCAAGACGCAGGCCTCGTCCTACTCTCCCCACCGGCACCTGAAGTGGACGGTGAACGTTTATTAGCTCCAAGCCCTGTCTGGCCAACTATTGCCCGATTGGCGTCGAGAAAGAGGATCCGAGCGGAACGGGGATCAGACTCCAGGCCCAGCCAAGTCCCTCCTCTGTGCGAGACGTTGATCGGGTGTCGGTCAGTCCTCCTCCAGTTCCTCGAATTCTAATATTGAAGTCTGTTTCTGTTGGACAAGCACAGGCTGGCCACAAGACGGATGGGCTGCGATGGCATTGGACGGGCCCTGCTGCATCACCTGCCACGCATGCAGCCAGGGACCTTGACGATCGCTCGTCCATATTTAGTGGGTAAATTCACTGCAGCCAGAAGCGCGCTTGTTTCCTTCTGCAGCATCTGACGACTCTTGTTCTACCACAGTACTGTACAGTATGTATCACTGCCCAGGCTGGAGACTGGTCTGTCTTGGTCTGCTCGGTTGAGGCGCGTTCCGACACCTGCCGGGCGTAGTACTGTTCAAGACACACGACACACGACACACTAGGCGCTCGCGGACCATCTGTTCTCAAATTGGAGTCGAACCGGAAAGAAAGGCCTACGGAAGCCTGGTCTTCTCTGAGAGCCCTCTTTTCCTCGACTCCCAGTCCCAGTTCTGGCTCCAATCCCAGTCTTGATCGATGTCAATAAAGTTGGCGACAGTCTTGTTCTGTGGGGCCTCTCAGTTCTGACAGCCTGGGACCGGACCCCGACAGATTGCGGGGATCCATAAGTGCCTGCGCGTACGGTGCGCTATAATCCCCCTCGACCACTCTCACACTGGGTGGTTAGCTGCCTTTTTAAGTTTTTTTCTCTCTTCTCTCTTCTACCCCGGACGAAGGATGAAGCTCGACTAGGACTTGCATACGGCACACGCACAAAGACAGGGCTCGGTCAACGTTCCCGGTTGAGCGCTGGCCATGTCCTCGCAAGACACGGGCGGGTTTCTTTTTTTGCACGCAAGAGATCTGTCTGTGCTTCAGCCCCCGATTGACCGGCTGTTCACCTCTTGAGACTCTGTCCTCGCCTTGTGCTATTCATGATATGTTACTGCATAGCAGCCGCCTGCAAATACCTCAAGCACTCGTCTTCCTCCTGCCCTACTTGTGGCCCGTCCCCGTGAGCCTGCAGCTAAACGCCCCAGCGGCGCATCTGACATGATTCGATACTGATGGCGGAATGAGTAATGACTTCTCGAAGAGGAATGGGTCATGCATGTGCTCGGCTGCAGGCGCTCTGCACGCCTTTGGTTCGCAGTTTCGTGGCGTCCTTCCCATCACACTCTCACACACACAGACACGGGCATGCCGGGAATCCTTTCTAACTCTCTACCCCCGCTGGCTTTTCTTCCAACGGCCTAGCGCACCACGCCTGCATCGGCATCTCAATTTCCTTAGGGCACTTGGCCTACTACTTCCTGCCTTACCCCGTCCGAGCTTCCATGGCTGACGATGCCTTTTTGGGGGCCATGTCGGCAGAAGTGGGTATACGCCGATTGCGCTGGAATAGGAATTTTCCAAGATTGCACCTTGTCCAGAAGGGCCATGGACTCTGTCAAAGGAGCGGACTGAGCACAAGTGCTGCTTGTCTGCCTCAGAAGATGTCCACAGACGCGTGGTGAACTGTGGCGCCCCGACACGGGAATCGCAGGCGCGGCTCAGTTACTACATCACCACCCATAGGCCGACGCGGCCACCCGCTCCAAGGCCTGACGGCTTGTCGCAGCTGACCCGTCACCATATTCAACCAGCTCTCTGCCTTGGCCGACCTCACTGTGGGCCTGCAGCTGGCGCCGATGAACGAGTGGGCAAGGCTGGACTGCCCCTTGCTGGGACTCGGGTGACACTGTCGCCCTTGTCGAGACCAAAGCTGGCTGACATCGATCGGTCTTCAACGGCCCTCGAGTCAGTCCCCGGAATCGAAACGTGCTTGCTCCATGCCATGACGCAACATGGCTCTGAGTCCGGCGATCTCGAAGAGGCATGTACGCTCACGATCAAATAATGTTCTGTGAAGCAGTGGACAGGACATCGTCCTTGTGTCACCCCAGGGTCGTCTCAGATATATGTGTGGTGACCTGCCGCATCGATGACGGGCGAATAGGGACTACACAACCAACAGTGAGTACAGAGGAGAGAGGGTCATTTTCCTCAGTTGGTTGACAGGCTGGCAGGCTGCAAGTGCAGATCTGTCTCGTTACCCCTGCGAGAGTATCCACGTGTTGTAGATACGGCTGGCAAGCTGGATATCACTTGCCAAAACAAGCACAGGTCTACAGAACTGATATATCGACGAACCGCCCCACAGGCTTGCAGCCACGCCAGGCGCATGTGGAGCGCGGACAGCCCCATCGCACCAGAGTGCAGAAGGTATCACGGAATTTTCTCCGTGTCCGATTCAAAATGTTCTTGTACAGAGACTGGTTTGTTACCGGACTTCGACCATCGACAGTATCAGCGCATAGAAGACGATGTGCTGCGAGCTCTCCCTCACGCTACTGGCCGAATGTACTTTAAGCTGCAAAGCGTGCAGGGCATGGTGCAGGTCGAGTAAGACAATGCGACCCTTCAGTGAGCGGAAACCATCCTTAGGGGCCGCTTGAGCTGCGCAGGAGGGAGACCGTGGATTCTATACAAATTGACACGCCGTGCGACGTCCGCACACCTATAGCCATATCCACTCATCCACCCCCTTCAGCCCGGTAGCCTGCATGATGCGGGTCTCACTTATCGCGACGGCGAGCAAGTGCACTTCTCGCTTACTGTACATTCAAAATATCCCCAAAATGCTCCAAAAGCTGACATCCTTCCAATGGCCTAAATCGACTGTCATCTTTCCCACCGATGTCGTACAGGACTCGCGCCACAACGGACAACTTCCCCAAACCATCCAAGGCTGATAATTATTTGGGGGCGTACACAGGACAGGCAAAGCCACTTACTGTCACGTTGCCTCGTGCTGCGGGGGGCCTTATCGAGGAATGAGGAAGAACAGGGACAAGATAGAGAGAGAGACTGTGTAGCACGAATCCCCACTCCACCCTCCTCTTGGCCCTATGGAGATTAAATGAGCAGCTGAGACACGCAGGACGCATGTAATGTAAATGTGTGTCATGCCATGTACGCAGCCGCGAACATACAAAGCCACGCTCTCGCCCGATCTCGAGGACTTCCTCGGCTGAGTGGGAGGGGGAGAGGCGCCAAACACACCACGTGAGCGCGTATCTGTGATACCTCCAGGGCTGTCCATCCAGATGTGTTTTGCTGTGCTGGATACCACCTCACGCCATTGCTCACACATGCCGCCCACGTTGGGAGGAACATGCTCGAGGTCACATGTGACAGTTTGCTGTGCTATGCTGTACGTGGAGCGGGATGGTTGAGACGGGGTTGACAAGTGTTGCGGATATCTGCACCGACGCCTCGTCGAGGACCAGTGGGCAGCAAGCTACCTTACTCTTTCAGCCACAGTCAAATCACTGAAGCGAGACACATGTGTGACTGCTGTAGGACTCCGGCGCCAGCAGTGACCTTTCAACGGCGAGCCATGGGGCGTGAACACACCCCGGGGGGGGGGGGGGGAGGCGACGAGCTCGAGGCATAGGATATATGAATACAAAAGCTATACGATAACAGAAAAAAGATACCCGGATGCCTTATCTCTCATCCTTCAACAACAAGATCGAACCATATTTTTGGTAGTATAATTCCGTCGCACATTCATTCGTCATTCGGACACCGGCTACGCCCACGTCGTGGTACCCAAAAGTTCCATGCATGCCTCTTGCACACCGCCAATGCTGGTCTACTTACACATGCGTGTTGCACCGTTCTCTCACAGCCGAGGAAGCACTATAATTACCTCAGCTGATTCCTTGTATCACACAGTTCGCTTTGTAAAGCCGTGACTAATTGCTTGTCTTCCATTCAACCGGACGTTGTATTTATAGCTCCAGGCTCGGTTCCTGTCCCTTGACTCTGCCAATGACCTGTTGTGGTGCGTACTTGGGGATGACCTCGTCGTCGTGCAACATCTCGAACTCTTCCGTGGCATCACGTCCCATGAAGTTCATGATGGCCTGAGGACCACCGGGGTGCTCGTCCAGCCAGTTGGTCAGGTCCATGACGACACCCTTAACGACGACCCAAAGGTCGTCCTTCTTGTTATGCTTAGCGACCTCTTCCAGAGTGAACTCCTTTTCAGGAACCTTGAATTCCTTGGGGTTGTTGGGCTTGGAGGCGGCCTTACCAGAGTCCGCCTGAGGCGATGGCCCAGCGGCCGAGGTGCTGGGTTGCGAGGTCACAGCGCCAGAGGAGGAGGCACCGCTGGAGCCCCAGTCCAGAGTGACCTTGCCGGCAGCAGGGTCCAAGTGGAGGGAGATCTGGCCAAGACGCGCGGCAGGCCCACCTGCTGCGCCCTTCAGGGCCTGCTGGAAGAGGTAATTGCTCGCAGTGTCGCCAGCCACACGGCCGTAAACGACACATCCCAGAAGAGACGAGCCACCCAGACGGTTGGCACCGTGGACACCACCAGCCAGCTCACCACATGCGAAGAGACCGTCGAAGGGCTTCTGCTCGGTGTTGAGAACCTGAGCCTTGTCGTTTATCTCGATACCACCCATGGTGAAATGCAGCACGGGCTCCATCAACGCGACGTGGAAGTCATCGTTGATATCCACGGGGCCGTTGTGGAAGAACTTCTTACCCCACGGGTCCTTTTGTTTGCCGTCTGCGATGGCATTATATGTTGTGAATGTCTTCTGCAAGTGTTCTGGCGCGCAGCCAATCTCCTTGGCGAGCTCCTTGCCGGTCATCTTCTTCATCAGACCACGGCCAGAGTAGTGGCGAGTGTGGAAGTCCAGGGTGTTGGAAGCCTTGGAGTTGAGAATGAGGCGAATGGGGAACTTGCCCTTGTCCTTCTCTTTCCACATCATGCCGGAAACGTAGTCTCTGTGGCCCAACTCGTCACAGAAACGGTCTCCATCGCCGTTGATAAGAAGACCACCTTCTCCTCGAAGAGCCTCGGCAGCAAGGAACTTCCACTTGGAGCCAGGGTCCTTGGGGTCAACAAGACCAGTAGGATGCACCTGCACCTTGTCCATATCGATGCCGTTTCCGCCAATGGCCATGACCATCTTCTGGCCGTCACCAGTGGCGTGGGCACCGTTTGTGGTGGCCAAGCCGTATGTGTCTGGCCTGTGCTTCTTCAGCAGAGAAGAGTCGCTGAAATCAGCCGCATAACCACCGGTCGCAAGCACGACTGGACCGTCCAAGGACTGCTCCTCGCCGTTAACCTCGAACTTGACACCAGTAACAGTGTTTCCGTCCTTGTTGAGGGTCGTGACGCGAGCCTTCTTGATGATTTCTACTCTCTCAGGCTCGGTCTCGGCGAGCTCTTCGAGTCTTTGCATGAGAGCGTATGTGATGGCCATGCCAGGGAATTTGGCGTCATGACCTCGGTGGGTTCGTGGCTGGGAGTGACCACTGCGAGCAAATCGAGTCAGATAGAGTGCACCATGAAGAAAATAGCCAGGAGGAGGCGACGTACCCTAACCGCGATACAAGAGTCAAGTCAAGGTTGAAGACATCCTGCAGCCACTCAACGGCAGCGGCGGACTTGTAGGTCAGGACCTTGATCAGGTCTGGCCTTGCCTTGTCTCTGGCGGACTTGAGCGTGTCATCGTAAAATTGCTTGACGCTGTCTTGAATCTGGTGGTCGACCTGTGTCCTGGTCAAGGCACCGTTGATGCCGGAAGTGGCCTTGGTAGAGTTGCCTCCGAAGAAAGCTGGAGGGCAACTGTGTCAGACCAGATCATGCGATCGTTCGAATTGCGACCCACAGAAACAACGTACCTTGCTTGTCAAGAACGACAACATTTCCACCAGCGAGGTAGATGGTATGCGCGGCGCTCAGTCCGGACACTGCGAGAGTCTGTCAGCTGTGGTTGGAAGCGCGGTTGTGGTGACGATGACAATGCACGCAGTGGCATGTGATCGAGCCTGGGACTCGACTCCTGGCTCGGGAGAATGGGACCACTTACAGCCGCCGCCTACGACGATGACTCTGGGTGCCATGGTGGGTGATCCTCTGGACTAATCGATGGAAAGGGAAAAAAAGTGAAGACGACGAAAACGATGGCGAGGAGTTAGTGAGGCGGAAAGATGGAATTTAGTATGTTAAAGAGAGAGAGAAGGAGAATTGGAATGCGCCAGGTTGATATGCAGTCAACGGCTCGAGCGCCGGCTGTTGCTTGGGTCTTACCCCAGACTTGCCAGGTTCCAATTGGGGGGGAGGTAGCACTAAGCCGATTTGCTGACCTTCTGATTCGTGAGCCGAGGTCAAAAGTCTAGCAGGGATGCAACGTCCCAGAATCCCCAAACGGTGGAGAGAGCTGGCAAGAAGGGGCGACAATCAATGGCTTCTTTTGTCCCTAACGTGGGTATTTATCGTGGCCCCATCTCGGAAACCCTCACGCTCTGTGAGGTCATGAGAAGGCTACAAGTTGAAGTTCACGATGCATTTCCAGGAAGACAGCCTCGACCTCAGTGACGATGCCGACAGGTTAGGCAATCGGCGGCGAACATGACCCTGACCCGAGGGATCCCTCGCTGGCCCACTGCCTGGCCGTTGTTGGTCGGGGAAATTCTGCCGAGGCAGCACGCTCCCGCTGACCAAAACCTGCCCAAACCTCCAGACCCCGGGTCTCGTCCGAGTGTGGGGAACCCTCGTTCGATCTGCCTCCGCGAGCGGAGCCCTCGAGGGGTCGTCGTCAAGCCGAACGGGGTTGTCTGCAAAAGAGAGGGTCCTCGAGCCACGGCACAATGGACAAGCTCGCCCCGAGACGCTGGCTTCAGACCGACGGCCGACTCTGCACCTGTGTCAACACACAAGACACGGATAGACTACAACATAGTATAATAGTGAAACACAGCCCAGTGGCAACCTCGAGTCAATTGCGTCTACCATTTCTGGCGGCAGGGCGGTCGGCGGTCAGCATGGTCACGAGTTGGTAAATTGCAGAGGCGCTCGCTCGCTCGCTGTCACATGCGAAACTGGACGAATGAACCCCTACTTTTTGTCCTCTATGCCATTCCAGGTTCCCGGACGAAACACCCACGCAGCGCACGGGAAAGCATGGCAGTCATCTGACATGCCTAGGAGTGACCCCGTGGGAGAACCTAATGCAACCAGCCATACTCTACTACTCGGCATGTGAAAATGGCCTGGCCTTGCCCACGGCCTGGCCTCAGCCTTTCTACCTTTTGCAGTGTGCAGCGTTTGCTCCACGTGTCGTCACAGGGATGACCAAGTCAAAGAGCCAGACATTCCACAGGCGCGGAATTGGAGACTACAGAGTGGTTGAGTCGGCATGTGCATATCGTACGACAACAAAGTCTTGGATGTTGACAGTGATGTACCTCATCGCAGAGGTTCAGAAAGACGCGAAGCATGTGTCCTAAACAAAGAGGACTAATATAGAGTAGTGATCAGTCAGTCTATGAGACCAGTCACTCAAGGTCTTCGGCAGACACCGTCGAGGCCTTCCAAATGCTCTGGGAGACCTGCTCATTCGGACAGTTCGCTACGTAGAAAACCGTGGCACCAGTTTGGGATGCCCAAGGAGACAAGGAGACCGGGCTACCCCCTCCCCTTACAGCCGGAAGGTCCAGGGTTAGGGTGACTATCTTTCTTATCAGCTCTGAAGGACTAAACTACGTCATCAGCCCATCTGCGAATAACGGTGGGCAGCCTTACGCATCAGATCAAGCCAGCTAACTGTCAGTACATGTACTCGTGTATCGTACGACGAAAAGAGGCATCCAAAGAAAATAACATTTCACACATAACATGAGGGCTACCCAACTCACTGTTTTGCTGTCCTCCGCCCTCCTCGCCCATTCCCTGATGCCCGTCTCCGTCTCGCTCCACAACAGGGGCCGTGGCGGCAAAGCGATCCCGCCCCCCATCAGCGCCGACGAGGTTCAACGACCCATCATGGACGGCCCAGGCCCAGCACTCCCACCCGACGCATCCCACGGCGAGCCAAGCGGCCCTCGGGATCCTCCTGCCGGGGGACCAGGGACGGTGATCCTGTCAGACGTCATGGGCAAAGATCGCAGCATCAATATCTTCGCCGGACTAGTCCGGGATGTTGACTCCCTGTCGCGCCGGCTCGACGACTCATCGCAGAATTCGACGGTTCTGGCACCGCTGAACTCGGCAATGGACAAGCTGCCGCGCAAGCCTTGGGAAGACGCTGGGGATTATGACAAGCTGGGCGCGGACGCGTATGAGGGAGACGACGGGAGAGAGCGGGCACAAAAGAATATCAGGAGGTTTGTTGAGGCGCACGTCGTTCCGAAAAGTCCCTGGAACGAGGGTGACAAGGTCAAGACCCTAGGCGGCGATGGTGCTGAGATATGGTGGGAGGAGAAGGACGGCAATAAAGTAGTAGGTTCTCCTACATGTCGCGGCTTGCTTCAAATCCACTCCTCTAACAGTTCGCGACAGATACAGCCTGGGAACATCGAGGTATCTAGTGTAGCAAGCTCGGTCCAAAATGGTCAAGTTGTGAGTGACAACCCACCTCTTCCCCTAATGCACTCTGCAGGAGGAAGCTTGTTGACCCGTGCTCGCGATAGTGGATACTTAAGAATGGGCGGAATTATTCGTAATTGTCTGAAGGCCTGACATGGTCGGGAATCCAGGATTCAGTTCAAAATTTTAGCGATCATACCCCGAAGAGCAGAACAGAAATGCAATGTTATGAATATTATGAGCTGTACCTTATCTTATAAACGCGATGCATACGCTACAAACGCGGTTTCCCATGCGTGTTTGCAGAACGCGAGACATGAGGCTGGTCTACTACTTGAGGATATCGGACGGTACTGTATACTTTGAATATATATATATATATATATATATATCTATATATATACATGTATATATGTATCATGTGCATATATGTATATGTGCGCTTCTTCTGGGGCACGACCTCGCGAGATAATTTTACTTGGCCGTTCCAACAGACTAATAAGGCTTGCGCTCCTTGACCATCTAGGCAGTGACGCGTTTTTTTTACTTGGATGGAAAACTGCTGCAGCCCCTGATTTAGGCAAGGGAAAGTTCTCATCGGCAGGCAAAAAGACGGAACGTCACTGCCAGAAGCCACGAAGGGAAGTGGAGTCAGCTAAAGAGGTCTGGTCATGCTAACAGTCTTGGCGGGGTGTTCTCCGCAGTCACAGTTATTGTCTCTTCTCGTCACTAACATGCTTATCTACACGTGAACGGTCCCAAAGGAGTCGGTCGATAACAATCCCGGAGCCGTTGTCGCATTGCCCTGCTCTAAGGTTCTCTGGTCGCCAATCCCAGCTCGCTTCGGTCATTGTCGTGGTGTCGGGCGATCTGACCTCCATTCTCCCCTTCAGAGCTTGCAAATCGTGATCTACACAACTCCCCTCACGCAGAAGCCGCTGCCGTTCTGTCTTCAAGAAGCCTTCTAACAAATGTATCATGTCCATTTTCAGCTTCCATGCCCTCGAATGACAGTAAGTAAAGACCATCTTCCCGTCTGATCGTCTGCTGGAGCTCCAGCTCAAGCCCTTTCTCGAGATTCTCGACTGCGGCTTTGTCACGCAGGCGCACAACTGGATGCACAGAGCTCGTCACCCCCTCGTATTAGTGATTGTATATCACTTGTGTAAAGTGCACAATGCTGATTTCCTGCAGTTACTCTGAGGTATAGAACGTGAGCTGTGGCACCGAGTCCCATTCTCCCCTGAAAGCTTTCGCCGGCACCCAGCCCCACAATATGGAAGAGCAGCGTCATCGCGCTGCTCTTCTTGAGCAACAAGACGAGAGGATCATCCGCGAGCGCGAGAGGGAAAGAGAAAGAGAAAGAGAACAAAGGGATCGTGAAAACGAACGCGCCAGCCGAGATCCGTACCCGCCCAGTGCGCCTCACCACAGCAATGCTGGCTCCATCCCAATCCACCAGCCTGTCGCAAACCGATTTCCCGGCACAATACACAGCCCTGGTGGCCTTTTGGCAAACCATGGCGCAAACCCATCAAGTATACCTCTTGGCGCACCTTCTGGCCCAGGAGGTCCTCCTGGCGCTGCGCATGGAGATTCCAACAACAGGCAAATGCCCCATGGCGTTCAGAACGGTGCTGCTTCATCGCAACATCAGATGTTCGCCCCCTCAACACATGGCCCTGTGCCACCGAACGGACCCATGAGCACATCCAGTGGTGCAGCGGCAGTGTTCGGGCCTCCACTCCAGCCTGAAGGAGGCAGAGGTGCCGCCCAGCCGTTGCCGTTCGGTGCTGGCATGGCCCCCGGCCATGCAATGGCTCCAGCCCCGGGTAACATGAACCAAGGGCAGCAGCCCATACTCAATGTGAGATATTACCACAGCTCCGATAATGCAGACCAAGGTCATGAACAACTGCTTCCTCGGAACACCCGTGCTGATGTCCGCCTCAAACAGGACGCTCTCAGCTATCTTGACCAGGTCAAAGTCCAGTTCTCTGAGCAGCCTGATGTGTATAACAGATTTCTCGACATTATGAAGGACTTCAAGAGCCAGACGTGAGTGACAAATGCGGGCCCCCTCGCGACTTCGTTCAACATGTCGTGCGTTGCTGAGAGACCGTAGGATCGATACACCAGGCGTCATCAGCCGTGTTTCTGAATTGTTCGCCGGGCATCCTAATCTGATCCAAGGCTTCAACACGTTCCTCCCTCCAGGGTATCGGATCGAGTGTGGCTTGGAGAATAACCCAAACAGCATCCGAGTGACGACACCCTCGGGCTCAACAATCCATTCAATCGGCCCCGGTAGGGCGGTGCAGATAGAGTCTGGCCCAGCGCCTTCTTCTGCTCCGAGTCAGCGCTTCGCAGAGCAACGCCCGCCGAATTGGCAAGGTCCAGTTCAACACAGCATCGAAAGCCCCGAGGCCCAGTTCAGCACGCCCGCTCAGAGCGGTCACGGGGCGATGGGCCATGGGTCTGGGCAGAGCGCGCCTTTCGACGCGCATAGCCCGGTGCAGCAGCGAGGACAGCCACCAGCCCAGACGAGCTCGGCAACTTCTCACCCTCCTATTCCTCGGAATGCACTCACCCCAACACCAGCTGCTGTTCAAGCATTGAATGGGGCTGCAGCTCAGTCGCAGGCGAACCTGGAGAAGCGGGGTCCAGTCGAATTCAATCATGCAATCAGTTATGTTAACAAGATAAAGGTGAGCCTGTCTGTTGTAGCTCGTTTTGTGGTCCATTGTGTAGTCGATTTTTCCATTGTTTTTCAATTTTCTTGCTGCTGTGATTGGTTGCCTGGGGCATGGAATGCGCATATCGCTGCCTCTCCCTCTCTCCCGTATCTATTAACTTTTGACCCAACGCCTCTAACCCAAATTCTGTCGCAGAATCGCTTCCAAGATAAGCCCGAGATCTACAAACAGTTCTTAGAGATCCTGCAGACATATCAGCGAGAGCAGAAACCCATCCAGGACGTCTACGCCCAGGTCACGACACTGTTCAACGCTGCGCCAGATCTTCTGGAAGACTTCAAGCAATTCCTCCCAGAGTCCGCTGCGCAAACTCGAGGAGCTGCACAACGTGCTGAGGACTTCAATGCCATGACGAACATGGTATCGACGCCCCAGCCAGGGCACACAGCTCGAGACGGGCCCAAGGGTCCGCCAGTCGGTAACTTTGCACCCCCGGCCAGCGCAAGCAAGGAGAGCAAGAAGCGCACGCGACCAGATAAGCAGGCTGGCCCTGCGACATCGCAAGTCGTCGATCCACCAACGTCTAATATGCGAGGAGCGCCTGCATCAGGCAGCAACAAGAGACTCAAAACAACTCACCCGAAGCCTGGCGCTGCAGAAGGCGTTGAGCCAAACCTGACACCTTGCATGCCAGTGCCTCTCGCGCCTACGTCCCCTGCCTCCTCTGCCGACCTTGAGATAGCTTTCTTCGACAAGGCCAAGAAGTTCATCAACAACAAGACGGCATTCTCCGAGTTCCTCAAACTTTGCAACATGTTCACTCAAGAACTGCTCGACAAGGACGATCTCATAGCCAAGGCGTCACAATTCATCGGAGGCCACACTGAACTTTTTGGCTGGTTCAAGGAGTTCGTCTCGTTCAGTGGAGAAGACTACGTCATTGAACAACGTCCTGAACCTGCTACCGGCCGGGTCTCGTTGAGCAATTGCCGCAGTTACGGACCTAGCTACCGTCTCTTACCGAAGCGGGAGAGACTCAAGCCTTGCAGCGGCCGAGATGATCTTTGCAACTCAGTCTTGAACGATGAGTGGGCGTCTCACCCTACTTGGGCTTCCGAGGACTCTGGTTTTGTCGCCCACAGGAAGAACGCATTCGAGGAGGGCCTCCATAGGATAGAGGAAGAACGCCACGACTACGACTTCTACATTGAGGCTAACCAGAAGTGCATTCAACTCTTGGAACCCATTGCACAGCAGATGTTGACGCTGACACCCAACGATCGCGTGAATTTTAGGATGCCTACAGGCCTCGGGGGGCATAGCCAATCTATCTACAAACGAGTTTTGAAGAAGGTGTATGGCCCAGAGCACGGCCCACAGGCTGTGAACGACATGTTCTCCAACCCTTTCAGCGTCGTGCCGGTGGTTTTGGCCCGTCTGAAGCAAAAAGACGAGGAGTGGAGATTCTCTCAACGCGAGTGGGAAAGGGTCTGGCAGACGCAGACCGAGACCATCTATCTCAGGTCACTCGACCACATGGGGCTCTCCATCAGGAACAACGACAAACGTACCTACTCGGCCAAGCATCTCGTCGATGTCGTCAAGACGAAACACGAAGAGCAGAAGCGACTACGATCCGCGAGGCACAAGATCCCACACTATCAGTTCCAGTGGAATTTCGAGGACAAGGAGCTTATCCTTGATCTCCTCAGGCTCATGTTCCTGTACGCCATGAACAGCGGGCAGCATGGCGCTACCGAGAAGGAACGTATCTTGGACTTCTTCGAGACATTTATCCCGCAGTTCTTTGACCTTCCAGAGGACAAGGTTCAGGAGAGGCTTGCCAATATCGACAGGGACTCGGGCGATGAAGATGCCGAGGAGCTTCCCCCGACTGAGCTGACCAATGGGAGGTCAGGCCGTCGCAACGGTCGCAAGTCTGATCTTCTTCGCGGCGTTCTTGACCCCGGCCGCAACGGCAGCAAGCCACGCAACCACAAGGAGGGCAGCGCAGCATCGGGAAGCAAGGAAACGACACCCGATGTCGCCTCTGGGAACGAGGAAGAGATGCCTGATGCCCCCGAAGATGCCTCTGTGCCCGAAGTTGGTTCCAACGATAGGTGGCTTGCGACTGCTCCAGTGCCCACGGTCGCATCCGGTGACAACTCCCTGCTTGACGAGCAGGGTGATTTGAGGGCCGATGGCTCTTTCCCTCGCCCGTGGTTCAACTTCTTCTGCAATCAGACGATCTATGTTTTCTTCAGCATTCTCCAGACGGTATACCAGCGCCTGAAAGGTGTCAAGGACAACAAAGAAAGCGTTCTCAACGAGATACGGCGTGAAAGACTGGAGAAGCCAGCCAAGGTCCTTGGTCTTGTTCAGGACGATCTAAAGTTCTTCAGCAACCTTTCGGAAGATAAGTTCTGGAGCCGAACGGTCGAGCTGATTGAGGATTTCATTAATGGCGATATCGATGAGAACCGCTATCAAGACGTCTTGCGGCACTACTACCTCAGCAATGGCTGGCAGCTTTACACGATCCAAGACTTGCTCAAGACTCTTTGTCGTCTTGCCCTTGTTTGCAATAACACCGACAACAAAGATAAGACACCAGACTTGATCAAGCAATACATGGTCAGCCGTCAGCATGATGAGACAAGCTATCAAGTCGAAATCAGCCACCGCAAGTTTGCAGAAAAGTGTATCAAGGACGGAGAGATGTTCGTCATCAGCTGGGTAAGTACTTCTTGACCATCAACTGCTCCATGTGCAATCCCTAACATCGTCCCAGATTCCATCAAAGAGCGAGGCAACCGTTCGCTGGCTTCAAAAGGACGACACGACCTTCCATATGGACGAGATGGAGCTGCGCGATCGCTGGCAATACTATATCTCCTCTTGGATGCGCACCGAGCCAACCGAAGGGGTCCCTCGGTCTCGTATGCAAAAGGTTGTACTCACCCGCAATCTGCCCTCAGGGGATGCCGACTCCGACGGCGATTACCAACCCAAGGCTATCTCGTACAGCGAAGGTCTGGTCCTTAAGATCTGTCTCAACACGTCCAAGATCAGCTACGCCAAGGGCACATCGAACTACTTCATCTACAACATTGACGGTGGGTCTGGGGAGGAACGTGAACAGCGCGAGCAACAAAGGCAAATGGTCAGGGAAGTTCGCAACCAGAAGTTCACTGAGAAGATGGCCATGAATAGTCCTTGGATGAAGAACCTCAGCCAGGAGCAAGTTCAGCATGCCAAGGAGGCCTACGAGAAATGGAAGACCGAGGGTATCGCGCCCGCTCAAGATGACGACGAAGCTATTCTTGATGCATCGCGTCGCCGCGAGTAGCTCAGCGACGTCCCCTGGTATTGAGAATGGTCTGGTAGTCTTGTGGAAGAATTACTCTCGGGGCCGAATCTCCTTGTAGCAAGAGGTCGTGTCTTTAGACACAACCTCTTGCGTTTCCTGGCGTCAAACATCTCGACCGAGGCCCACAACTCCATGGGCTCGAGCCTTCCAGTGAGATTGGGTTTCGCGAAATCTACGGCATACTGGCATGACGACGAAATGAAATACATTGGCATATGCGGTTTGAAGAAGAAGAAGACAAGCAAAGGGAACAGCAAGGCCCCAGGAGCGGCCCAGCCCGAATGGCAGAAGGGAAAGGGGGGGCGAGGGGCGGGGGTTACTTGCGGTTCCGTTTGGTTGCTTGGTCAGTTGGCTGTTGTTTTGGCAGCCCACATCATGATTCCCTGCGCAGGTCGAGCAACCGCGGCTGGCAGACACGCACGTGGCCGCCAAAGCCTCGAGCTCTGCGGTCCTGCGAGCCAACCGGGGCGGGCTCACTGCTCGATGAACGCTTCGCTGCTCGTCTCCTGTGAGCTGAGGGTAGCAGTCATTATTTATTTCTTTTACTTGTTTCCTGTACTGATACCGAGCAATCAATATTCTCGCGTGCAATGAATCCTGCTCTTCCGTCTCTGTGATTTGGCCTGTTAATCTGCTTGCCCAAGGCCGGATGTGTCTCAAGATCTATCTTTCGTGAAACCATCGAGCATGGTTGTACCACCGCATCATTCAAAGCGAGAGAAAGATAAAGTGTTTGAGCTCTTCGAATAAAGCAATAATCACATGATCTATGTTGGTATCTTTGTTCTAATGGAAGTCTAAAAAGAAAACAACCCGCTCCTTCTCTTTCCGAAGGGATAAACCAGTAACGCCGCGAGTCCAAGTCCCACTGATATGCTAATCGCCACCTGTATAACGCTGAGAAGCACCGTGAATGCACCTGTATTGAGGTCAGACGCCCCCATCGTCGAGGCTGCCGCCGTCTTGTTCCCTGTGATCGCGTTGGCGCTCGTCACGCCTGAGACGAGAGACCCGCCGGAGGCCAGGCCACTAGGTACCTGTACGAAGATCGCAGGCAGCATGGCTGCTGCCGCCAATCCATAGCCCACGCGCCGAGCGGTTGTCTCGGGGTCCTCGTTCGCCTTCGCAATGCCCTTCTCCAGATCTCGGTTCACCTTGCGCATCTTCAGGTCCAGCCAGAAGTTTTCGGCTGGACGGCTCAGCCGAGAGTACAAGTTGGCCAGCACACCAATCGTCAGGGCTCCCAAGGTGTTGGAAATAGTAGATGAGTCCAAGTATTTGTTTGTGTAGCTGTTGACAACGTACCCAGCAAAGGAGATTGTGAGCATGACGGGAAGCTGCTTGTACTTTGCCTGGTTGATGACACATAGACAAAGTGTGAAGAGCGGTACGAATAACAAGTTCCAGTAGCTGTTGAGGGGGTTGGAACATGAGGTTGAGCTCGTAGCGTTCTTGTCCATGAGACCGTAGAGGACTGCCCCAATTGTAACGCCGTAGCCGAGGAATAGTGTGTAAATCATGGCATACACCATGCGCACAGAACCGGCGATCATGTTGTGGCTCTGAAGCTCAAGACTTCCGCAGAGGACCATGTATCCCGGGAGAATGAGTGCAATAGAGGACTGTGAGAGAGCTGAAAAGCAGAACAAGTTCTCTCCCTTGTACTGGATTGACCCAAACATCCTTCCTGTATCGAGTTATTAGACATTCGACAAATGGTGATCGTTCGCCCGGGGGGGGGGGGGGGCGGACGATGGGGTGTAAAATCAAGACATACCTAGGAAAGCCATGAGCAAAGCTGCCGAGGTTTCGAAAACATTGGCGTAGAGCTCGCTCGAGGGTGCCATAATAAGCTGCATCAGGCCCACCATACAGCCCATGACTAAGTCGGGTCAGTACCTGCGTATTCGAGAGATGGCAAGTGATCTCGGAGAGGACAACGTTGTTGCAAGAGGGGAGGGTTGCTTACCAAAAGCAATAGGCATATCAATCCATCTGCCCTCGAAAGCAAAGGGAGCAACACAAACAGCAGCTAAACCATACGTCACCACGCGAACCCACTTGTTGTACTTGTGCTTCCTGGTGACAACCGCATCCAGCCGGAACATCGCCTCATCGACGCCGATGAGATCGTGGACGACCAGCTTGTAGATCTCGTGGACGTCTCGTAGCTTGCCCAAGTCAACGCCCTGTGGTACGCGAACAATTTTGACCTCGGTTGTGTGGGTTTGTTTGTCGTCAAATGAAATAATCATACAGCCAGGGAGGTAGAGGAACTGTCCTTCAATTGCCAGAACCCTGCGGCCTCGATTAGTCTTAGGTCCACACCTTTGCCTTGATTCGATATAGTCCATGGCTCTCGTGATTCCATTGGGACAGCTCCCAACTCAAAAGCCGATTGGCAGGGAAGTCTTGTGCTTACCTAGCGGACATGGCCATGTAGGCCTCTAGTCTGTGTGTTGGAGCACCAAACTCCATTAAAGCACGACATAGCTTCACCATATATTTGTGTCGGCTGATGATTTCAGCGATGTGCTTCTTGATCAGAAGTTGGTCCACCTTCTGCTGGGGTGTCTTAGAAGGCTTGCGCTTGTGCTCCTTCTTCGGGCGCTGCTCACGCTCACGCTCGGCTCGCTCCCGCTTCAGCTTGTCTGTCACGATCTCGGACCAGTCCTTGTTGGAAGTCGCCGGGGCCGCAAGAGTGGATGACGAGCCGATCAGTTCGGCAAGCGTGGACGCCGAGTTGCGAGATCCCAAGCCAAATAGTCCGCTGCGTGGGCGCTCTGGTCTGGGCGTACCTGGGGCCGTGCTCGGAGGTGAAGGGCGGGGAGTCCTGTTGGGGGTCCGCGCCGGGGTGGTTGTGCCGCTGCCTTCGCCGCTGCCGTTCCGGTCCTCTGCATTGTACAACTTGAGTAGTGTTCCCAGGATACCTCCGTGGTAGTTGGTGGGAGCAGGTGGGACAAACTCGAGGTCGTACGCCACTGGTGTAGTGGTGCCTGACCGGATTCCCTCGATATCCGGGGTTTGTGCAATTGGAATTGGGGCGCCCCTGGCCGCACGGCGTTTTGTATGACTTCGTATAAGTCTATCTGCGTCTGCTTCGACCTTTTGGCGGAACTTGAGACCCGATTGGTCTATGTCGTCCTCTAACGTCGCGGCTCCTGTAGATGCAGCGTGGTCGCGTGTTTCCATCCCGTTCAACAGGCCGATGTCGTCGAAGTTGCCCATGAGTGGCGAGTCATCGGGTGAAGCCCTTGAATTCACGCCAGACACACTCTCGGCCAGTCTACCTGCCCTGTGCCTTGCTTCAATCTCGGATGGATGGGACAGTCCTTCGATTGGTTCGGAGGGGTTCTCGGGACGGTGTTGTTTCCGTAGCACCGGCTTGGGCAAGCGCAGGTTGGGAAGTGGCATGCTGGGCTTTTGCGGGCCGGCGTGATCCTCTACTTTCAGAATCCTTTCCAGTGCGTTCGTGACCTCTTCTTTGTCGAAGGAGTCTCTGCGGGCGGGGCTGGTTATGGCGGCATCTGGGAGACCGGGTGTGCTGGCGCGAGAGTCGGCCACGGGGATATGCGAGAAATAGTCGCCTTCCTTCGGAGGAGATCGATCTTCAGCACTGCCCGCCCAGCCGACCTTCTTCTTCTTTTCACGCGGAGTGGTGACGGTGATAATTGGACTGAGCTGATTTTGATATGCTCGACTGGGGCCAGGTTGTCCATCTCGTACAGGAGAGGCCGGCCTTGAAGGAGACGTGTTGGAAGACATGGCGAGCTTGTGTCGGAGGCGAAGTATGGGTAAACGAGATGACGATATCCCAAGGGGAAAGTCCCAGAGGGACGTGCCCGGGGGACAAGTCGAGAGCCAAATGTGTCAGAGATGGTTGTTTCAAAGCGGTTGTCCCAAGGTGCGTTATACCACCGTCAATTGTCCCACAGAGGATGTCCCAATCTCCAGGCCTAAGTGTTCCAGTGGCACACAGTGGTCGGTGATCCCAAAGCCAAGTATCACCGCGTGAATGAAACCCCCACTGGCGACTGGCCCTGGCTGAGATTGTCGAGGCTAAGAGATGATGAGACGAGTGAACACAGATTCTCAGGAGCCCCCAGCGTTGACGATCTCTTTGGGATGTCCCAGGTGAAGGGTGGAGAGGACTGCGAGTTTTATGGGTCGAATAGAAGACGGTTGTGGCTCAAAAGGGGGAACGAATACAAGAATAGAAAACGATCGGACGGGATGATGCGTCTGGATGTTGTGCGCTCTGATGGCGGTCGCTCGTAAACCGGGACGAGAAATGGGTCCTCCTGTTGTCTGTCTGTTTGGGGGGAGATAAGAGGGAGGGTGATATAGGGCAAAGGGCAGAGGGCGAGTGGATGGTGTGGACGTATTGATGTGTGTGTCAATCTGGAAAGATGGTGGATAAACTTGTTGGAAGGCAGGAATGAGCACGGGCAAGCGCGTATGTATGTATGTGTGTAAGGTATGTATGTACAATATGTGTGTGAATCCGCAAGCAAGTGATGAGAAAGGAAGTCACGGTGGGCCCAGGGTATGTCCTTCTGTGTGTGCCCGACGAGTGCGATCAGATCACAGAGGGGACTGAGAGACGAGACGAGTGGATGCTGTTGCTGCTGATAATGACGAGGCGGAGGAGGAGGAGGAGGCAAGATGAAATGACTGGCATTTTGTTCCTGGCTGCTGGCCTGTCAGTCAGTCAACAAGTCAGTCAGTCAGTCATTCAATCAGTCGGTCGTGTGTCAGTTGCCCAGTATCCAGTTGTGGGATAATCCAGACTCTTTTTGCCATTGTCTACAGCTTTCCATGGTGGATCCCGTTCGGGCGGGAAGCAGACAACCCCCCCATTGAAAACGTCACCTCCGCAAGTCAAGCAAGTCGCCGTGTGGGCCGCCCTCCCTCTGGGACTTCCAGCCTTCCAATCGACCTGCAGCGACTCGAGTTGTTGCTGTGTGGCCCAGACGGTGTGGTGGGAAGGACCCAGCTCCCAAGAAAATCCAAGAACCCAGGAACCAGAGAGACCCAGAGACCCAGCAGCTTGATCCATCATCCACCCCTCGGACCGTTTCTTGCTGCAGCGTGCAGCATGCAGCGTGCAGTGTTTTTTTTTTCTCTTCCCGCCTCGCCTCCCGGTCCAGACACCAGTCAGACTGGCACCGGCCACTGAGACACCCGCCCGTGGGTTGCGCGGTCGGTGTGGTTTGCTGTCGAGTCTGCTGTTAGTCTCGGAAAGTTGGGCCGAGTGGATCGCCGTAGCAGCGCGAAAAATGGGTCAGAGCCTCCATTATGAATGAAAATCTGGCGATAGCCAAGGGGCGAGGCGGGCAAGGCTAGAGGTATCAGGCATGGATCTACCCTGCTTGGTTTCAAGCCACGCATCTGACAGCGTGGGATGATTTTGCCTACCACGCCTACCTGCGGCCACTGGGTGCCTGTGTACCTGTGTCACACTGCTACAGTGCCCCCGTGCCCAGAAACACAACGAACGGTCCCTGTGCTAACATGAACTGCTGCAGACAGCAGTGCAAGAATAGCACCGAGCCTCCCGAGTCGATACGAGGCCGAGGATCTGTGCTCAGCCTGCCAGGCTTCGCCCACTACAAACCATAGATAGCACGACAGCAGGGTTGCAGGTTCCGGATGTCACGGTTACAATAGATGGAGCCAGCAATTCGAGAGTCCAAGTCCAAGTCCAACTAGAGCCCGAGAAAAGGAGTGGCCAGGGCTGGCAGACAAGGACTGTGTCACAGAGATCCAGAGAGATCGTGGGCGGCCGCCAAGGCCGAGATATCAACTCAGGGGCACACTCAACGCGCTTGATTGCGATCCGATATTCAACTGGTTGATCAGCGCGCCAGCTGTTTGCGTGCTCACGGGCTCATTACTCTCGCGCAGGAATGATTGGGTGCCACAATCACAACGGGATCGGGAATGGCACACATTACCGCCCACCCTGATCGTCAGGGCCCAGCTCACTTGCGCTTTCACATGCGAAACAAGACGCCATCTCGCGAGACGGCCTTGCCATCTCACCCCCCAGAACACAGCACAAACCAGAGCTTCGAAAAGAGTCAACACCTCGATCCCCGGCACCGCTCATCCCTGCTTTTTAGATGGGTCTCATGCCGTCTGGCCCGGACCCTTGCGTCGACTCATGCTCGCCTCTCTGGCTCGGCGCCACGGGAGCAGACCCAGGATCTAGCAGTCCGCGTTTTGAGCCTCAACAAACCTAGACTGCTACTGTGTGGCCAACTCATTACTATCTCTGACACGGACGGACTGGCGGGTAAATATCTGGTTATCATGCGCGGCCCCCCATGCAATCCGAGTGCTGCAGCTCATTGCAGGAGACGGGCGCTACTGTGACCTAGCGAGCTGCTGGCTGAGCTGTCGGTTCCACCGTGCCGGTCACCAACCACCTCGAGGCCATCTAACTTTTGCTATGTAGACACCCAGGAGACCACAGCAATACATCTGTCTGCCCACAGGCATTCTAGGCATTACGCAAAAACCACGCCGGGCCTTGGAATACGACCACAATTATGAGGTGCCCCCTAACTATATGCGACGTGGCTGAGGAGCCTCGTCAACAGCCAGTCGACCGCCACCCTGCACTGACGTCGTCATTCTGCATCGCGACCGCTGGTCGTCCCGCCAGCCTAGCCTGCCATCACCAGTCCGTTTCGTCTGACACATGGGCAGGCACGATTGGACGTGCAGATCTCATCGAGTGTTTTGCGTCGCATCGGCATAACAACCCTACATACGCCCGTCCGCCCGTCCACCCGCCAGCCCGCCCGTCGACATGCCCCCTTGCCGTCAACCTTACCCCTGCCCCTAGCCCTAGGCAACTCCCAATGCGGTAACCCGCGAAGCTCGCGCCTGACATCGCAGGATCCTTACAGTCCACTGACCCAACAACACCCCATTGCGCAGGAGTCAACAGACACACAAACGTCGCACTCCTTCAGGTTTCCGAAAATAAAATACGGTGAGGGTCCACCCGTCGCACGGAGAGCTGGGCACCTCAAAGGTCCAGAATGTCTGAACGGGGTCGCAGATCGGGCCCACAGGCACAGAGTCTGGGCCCAGCGGGCGCCGAGAGGGTGAAACGGGAACGCAAAACCATGGGAGAGGAAATTCAAATTCAAATTCAAATTACTCGGTCTAGGAGACGGTGTTCTTCGCGACGATGCCTCGAGCAAACTCGCCAAACGTGATATGCTGTTCACGGTCCACCTCCTCGCCCAGATTCGGCTGCGTGAAGACGGCCAGCGTGTTCCTCGCGATCCTGCTGCTGCCGCCGTCACTACCGCCCGGCGCGGCCCTGGCGCCCCTGACAAAGTGTGGTACGGCCTTGAATCTACCCCCCGTGATGCGCTCCAGGGCCTCGCCCGTCTGGAAGGCGATGCAGTCGCGCGGGATCTTGACCTGCACCGTCTTGCCCGTTCTAGACTTGATGTACAGCCCGGCCGCCGGGTCTGGCGACGCAGCCAGTTCGTCGAGCGGCTGCAGCGTCTCGGGCAGGGCGGGCTCGAACCGCGGCACGGCTGGGTCCGCCCTCGCCTCGTCTACGAACATGGCCGACGTCAGACCCGTCAGGCAGCCGTGGTCCAGGTGCGTCGCGCACCAGTCGTCCTCGTCGTCGCCATTCGCGCTTCCCCCAGCAGAGCCGTTTGCGGAGGCCCCACCGACAGAACCGGCTGGCTCGGGGAAGTAGTGCAGAAGCCTCGCCTTGGTCGTCATCGAGCCCGACACCATCCGCTGCAGGTAGGCCGCTGGATAGCCAGGGATGTCTTTCTCAGCGTACTTGTCGCATGCACCAGCCACCAGGACCGCCACGTCGATGATCAGCCGGCACAGCGACTCGACCGACGCCTTGATGCCCGGAAGCACGGCCTCCTCAGGCCATATGTTTGGGCTCAGGTACTCAGGGAAGCTGTCCTCGGTGTACTCGCCCGTGGGCGGCGCGCACGCCAGCTTAGGGTCGATGTAAAAGGCACAATTGGCGTAAAAGGAGCCCTTGAGGTCATCCACCTGGCCATTCTTGAGCGTCTCCTTGCCGAGCGACCAGCCGGTCAGGTACTTTGCCTTTTCATTCTCCAACTTGTCTGTGCCAGGTGTTAGCTTGCTGTGCTTGATGACTTGTCCTATGCATATCTATGCATATTGTTAGACGGCGGCTTGATTGGGAGCCCGTCCCAACAAACCGGTAGTGCCCGCGCTACTTGTTTCATCACCTAATGATCTATATCTGTCCCGCCTAACGCGCGCCCGCGTCCACGAGCCGACCACTGGGTTCACTCTATTGCTTTTTCAGACACTCATTTATCCACTCGCTTACTTACCTAGCTCAGATTTGGGAAGATTGCCTAGATAAGACGAGTATGACAGGGCGCGACGTCTCAGATCGACAAACTCGGGTGGCACGTCCTTGACGAGGAGGATCCCCAGCGACTCCGGGCCGAATGCCTCCTGGAGCGTCTCAAAGGACACGGAGCCTAGAATTCGCAAAAGTGGGTTCAATGAGTGCTGGTGGTGCTCTCGCTTGGCACTCATAACGCGATGATCATTACGTACCTTTCTTGAGATCCTCCAGTGAGACGGTGACAGCTTGCGTGATAGGAGCCATTGTTTGTGATTTGCTTGTTCCGGGTGGCGAAAAGTTGGACGGAGGAACCCCGAAGTGGGCAAAGGAGGTGAAAATGGGAAAAGGTTCGATCTCACAACCGACTCTGTGATGTGATGTGTATCGGGAGAGGAGGATCGCGGGCGCGCCAACAAACCACGCGAGGGGCAGGTTTTGCATAAAAATCCTCCTTATTAGTTAGATATTAGTCCACGTTGGCGACTGTCATGCGAACCACCACCACCTTCCAGCTTGGGGTTCGGACAAGCCCACCTGGCGCACCCAGGCGGCCGGAGCCGAGGCCGATTTCAAGCAGCGGAGCAGCGGAGGTGGCCCTGTGTGTCCAGCGGGGGCTCGGGAGTGAGAGATAGGCTTAGATAGCTGCATCCTGCCCATATCCTCACTCACTCACTCACTCACTGGACAGTCCTCGACGTTGCATTCAGCGCACGGATGGTCCTCTGCGCAGGGAGCTGACAGCTGCCTATTATGTAATCCATATGAGGTGCCATGCGGTACGATGCTGGGGCCCTGGAGCCCTGCACGAGCTCCCTGCCCCAAGCTTCTGGAGCTCTGCCCGTTCTCGAACCGCAGATGAACCATGGATCGTGAATCGCGACAGCAAAGCTTCAGCTCCAGCTCCAGCTCCAGCTCAAGCTCCAGCTCCATCCTCGAGTGGGATTAAGACTCATCTGGATCCTTCGAAATTCGAAACCCACCTGCAGTTCCCGCACCTCGCCTATCCTAGCCTGGCTGCCCAACGCCCCACGCACGTTACATCCACTCATCTCACAACCGCCGTCGACCGCGTTGTCGCGCTCCTGATCCTGCCCGCTCAAGTGTCAGAGTTCTGGACCAGGGGTTCTAAAGCAGAGGGAGAATGGTCAAGCCGCTCACCTTTAAGGGCGACAAGAAGCCGAAGAAGAGAAAGAGGGAGCACAGGGAGGACGGAGGGGCCGAGGTGGACGATTCAGGCAACCCGGTCGCCGCAGCCACCACCAGCAGCAGCAACAAGGTCGCCAGGACAGACGACGACAATGTCGAGAACGACGACAGCTGGGTCTCGGCCGATGTCGTGGCCGACGTCTCGGGCCCGGTCATGTTCGTCCTCCCCACCGAGCCGCTGACTGCCCTGGCGTGCGACGCCAATGGCAAGGTCTTTACGCTGCCGATCGAAAACGTCGTGGAGGGCAACGCCGCCACGGCCGAGCCGCATGATGTTCGCATGGTGTGGGTCGCCAACAAGATCGCCGGCACGGAGAATTACAGGTTCAAGGGGAGCCACGGGAAGTAAGCAACTGACATTTGACCCTCTTTCCACCCCAACTGGGATCATGGATCACCCGTCTCGCAGCCCAAGTAGCTAACCTCACACCCCATCTGCCACCAGGTTCCTCGGCTGCGACAAGTACGGCATCTTCAGCGCCACGTCCGAGGCCGTCTCGCCGCTCGAGTCCTTCGCGCTGGCGGCCACGGCCGACACGCCGGGGACGTTCCAGGTGCAGACGCTGCGCGAGACGTACCTGACGGTCAAGGCGTCGGCGTCGTCGCGCGCCAACGCGCCGCCCGAGGTGCGCGGCGACGCCGCCGACATGAGCTTCGACACGACGCTGCGCATCCGCATGCAGGCGCGCTTCAAGCCGCGCTTCAAGGCCACCAAGGAGGAGAGGGCCCGCGAGAAGATCTCCCGCAAGGAGCTCGAGGAGGCCGCCGGCCGGAGGCTCGACGAGGCTGAGGTCAAGATGCTCAAGCGCGCGAGGCGCGAGGGCGACTACCATGAGAAGTTGCTGGACCTGAAGACGAAGAACAAGCACGACAAGTACGGTTGATCTGAGTTCTTGCTGGCATATGAAGACTGTGCTCGTCGGGTGCTAGTTTTGTGACCTGGGAGTTAAGACTCACGGTATGTTGCTGCCATGGGCAGAAAAACCACGTCTTTGACGAGGAAATGCGCCGTCTCAGTACCTACACTCGCTGCAACTCGTCTGCAACGATCGGCATCGCGATGAATGAAACAGGACAGAAGTCAGACTGCGCAAGCTTAGGAGCTGTCCTGAGTGTGAACTTCACGCATGGACGGAGAAGTCGTGATGCAATTGGGATGTCCTGTGTGTCGGGGCTGCGAGGCTGCTGGAAGTCCTGGGGATTCTGGGGATTCTGGGCACCAATCGCCCATCAATGTCTGAGAAGTGTGCAAAAATATGGGGCAACACTGGATTGAGGCAGGAGAATGGCCCAGGTAAGGACTGGGCAAGAACGAGGGTACGGACATATTTTCGGACGCGGCCGTAGGTTATGCACGCTACCAATGACTATCTTCCATCCCTTATACGACTTCGAGACCATGCTCATGAAGGGTGTGCTGTCTTTAGGGTTCGCGCGTCTCGCTGCACCCACCCGACCAATTCTATGTTCCCTAGTCCAATGCCGAGCATACTGCCTCTCCTGAAGCGAAAGTCACATCTTCGTCACCACAGGTGAAGGATTCGGCGATATTGATCGGCCAAGATGTCAGTCTGATACACCGGAGGTCCTGAGTCCATCCGGGCAGGATCACTTCCCGCTCATCATTCCTCCCAAGCAGGTTCTTAAAGCAAAGCCATATTTTTTTGGGGCAGGGTATCACGAGCTAGATGTCTAAGCGAGCCTCTCTCTTCATCCATTCTGTGGAGTAATCAATTAGGCCTCCACGCTATGATCTGGCCGTCCTCGCCCGCCGTGAAGACAACCTGCTCCTGGTCGAAGAAGCAGAAGCTCCGCACCAGCTCCGACCCGTGAGCACCGGGGAGTCCGACGCTCGTGTCGGCGCTAAAGCCCCAGGCCGGCGACTTGGCCATGTGTACCAGCTGGAAGAGCTGTTGGCTGTTTTGAGTGTCAGCATGGTCTTCCGAAGAGATGTGAGGTGGAAGGCAGGAGACGGCGGTCTCAAAGAAAGAAAAAAAAAGATAACTCACTCCTGCGAGCCTGCACCTATGACAGCGCCCATGTCGCCCAGCTTGGGGTTGATGTTGGCGACGTACTGGCACCCGAGGGCGGCGCGGATGTCGCCGACGGCCCAGGTGGCATCGCCGCCCTCGCGGCTCTCGGACACGTCGTACAGGGCGAACTTCTCGTCGTGGCTGACGGCGTAGACCTCGGTGGCGTTCAGGAAGCCGGCGTGGTGCACGGAGCCGTGGTTGAAGGCCTGCACGACGACGTCGTCCTCGTCCGCGATCGCCGTGTCGCACACGTTGACGAGCCCGTCGGTCGAGCCCGAGAGAAGCATTTGCGGCGTCGTGGGGTGGAAGTTCAGCTGTATGAGGCACGTGAGATGGGGGGCGAGGGTGGTTTGGTATGGTAGAGGACACGCCTTACCTCTGTCACGTCGTCGCTGTGGACTTCGTTGTAGCGTATCCGGGGAGCCGAGCCGCTGCGGGCGTCCCAGATGAGGATCGAGGCCTGGTGGTTCGCGTATTCTGTGCCGGCTGCTATGGTGTTGCTGGATGAGCTGCATGCGAGGGAGACAATGGGCGCGTCACTCCCTGTCGGCGCAGCTACCTGCGCTTTTGACCCGTCCAGTCGCAGATCCCATAGCGCAACGGAGCCGTTCGAGCCGGCTGTGCAGACGATGGAATTTGATGCGTCAAATGCCCTCGCACAGCTGATGTTCTCGTGCGGTGTCTGTATTGTCTTGAGGGGCCCCTGGCTCAGTCGCTGTGGGTTGAACAGGGTGAGCTTCTGGTCTGATGAGATGGCTGCCAGTCCTCCGGCCACTGGGGTGATTTCCAGGACATAGGCAGGATCAGAGCCTGGGTTTTGAAAGGCATCTGACTTGGAGAGGTTATACATCTTGTCACTGTGACCTGTGACTGGGGTATGATAGATGATATGCTGGGCCTCTGTTCATGTAAGTCAAACAAGCCAAATGAGTGGCTAAAATATCCGCCAGAATTAGAGACTGCCTGGGTTGTGTCTTTTCTCCCGGGCCTAGAGATAGGATACAGTGGAGTTTTAAATCCTTGAACGGATCTAAGTCCCTTGGAGAAATGATTTCTGTTAATTGACCACCTCAAGAACTGGTATGTGGTGGTGTTGGCTGTGGTAAACTTGCCTAAGATTTTGATAGCTCTTCATATCAAGATTTCCAGGTACAGTCTAACCTCTAGGGGGTCCAGGTGCCGTTGCGTGCAGTGGCCAATCAGCTACCTTCCCGAGAGCCAGGTACCAACAGCCTTAGCGCAAGGCCACCCGCGGCAACTTGGACTAGATGCAGTGCATGCAGGAAGCTCCGGCCGGGATCAGGACAGCTTGTATGTCAAGAAGACAACACTTCAATTACCAATTCGTCAGCTGGCCGAAGGGTCTGGCAACACAACCCCCATCTTTTTGATTTCAACAGGACGAGAAGAGTGCAGACATGATATAGCTATTGCTATGCGTTGCTTCAGCACTTTTCATTCACGATGAAGCCTCTTGTATGGCCTCTCCGTAAGTCGCCTGACCCCCCATGATACATGCAGCTGCCCTTCTTGCTTCTCATGACCCTTCTGACACGCGCCACCGCCAGTGCTCTTGCAGGTCTTCTCGCCAGTATGGGCAGATGCGAATCGCGAACACACCACAGCGGCCGCAACAGACATAGTCAACGGCCATGAGACTGGTCAGTCTTACCGAGAGCCCGGCGCGGACCACGTCGATGCCGCCATTGCGAAACTGCACGAGATACATCCTCCATCCCACCACCACCAAAGGCGGAAGAAACCTGGAATATTGGGCACTATCGGGCAACTCGCATGGAAAGCTGTCCCGAGTCTGCGTATGAGCGCCCCGCCGTCAGAGGATGGCAGCAGCAGCAGCAACCACAAAGTGATGGATGCGCGGCTCGTCGATGCCGTCAAGCACCTCGAGGCAGCTACGCACAAGAACAACTCCGACGCACTTTATCTTCTGGGACACATGAACTTCTATGGCAACTATACCCACCCAAAGGACTTTAAGAAAGCCTTCGATTATTTCCAGCAGCTCTCGACCCTGAATGGAAACAGCTCGGCCATGTACATGGTCGGTCTCATGTATTCCACGGGGGTCGGGGGCTCCGTGCAGCGGGACCAGGCCAGGGCGTTGTTATACTACACCTTCGCGGCGCTCAAGGGACACACTAGAGCTGAGATGACCCTGGCATCCCGGCATCACACTGGCGTGGGCACCCCAAAGAGCTGCGAGACGGCTTGCAAGTACTACAAAAACGTCGCGGATAAGGTCATGGAATGGTACCGATCGGGGCCGCCCGGTGGCATGAGCTGGAGTAGAGAGGCCTCTCATATCGCTGACGACTTTGGTGGCTTATACGGCGAGGGAGCAAGTGTTTCCAGCTCTGGAATCAATGCCGTTCGACACCATCCTCACTCGGATGCCTATGCCTCTATCGAAGACATCATTGAGTATCTGGATTTGATGTCGAACAAGGGCGACTTCAAGTCGTCCTTCAACCTTGGCCGCATTTACTATGAGGGGCAGAGAGGCTTGGAGCGAAACCTCGGCATGGCCGCCAAGTACTTTTTCATGGTGGCCAAGAAGTATTGGAAGCCTAACGGGCGTATTGAGGAGAATTTCAAACCGGGCCTCGACAAGATCGCAGCTAAAGCCGCGGGCTACCTCGGCCGCATGTATATGCGTGGCGAGGGCGTGCAGCAGGACTTCGACAGGGCAAGGTTCTGGTTCGACCGTGGCATCTCCCACGCCGATGCGCAATCCCAGTTCTGTCTGGGATTGATGTTGTTGAGGGGATATGGAGTCTCCAAAAACATTGGAAAGGCTACTGACCTTTTCAAGGCATCAGCGGACCAGGACTATGCCCTGTCACAGGTCCAGCTCGGTGTCCTGTTCCTTGACCGTGGACAGCCAGACGACGTGCGAGTGGCGAATGACTACTTTGAGCTCGCCGCTAGATACGGCAACATTGAGGCCCAGTACTACCTCGCAGAAATGATCCACCATGGTATTGGCAGAGACAAGGCCTGCGCTCAGGCGATGGGTCTGTACAAGACGGTAGCAGAGAAGGCCGAGCCGTTGGTGTCGGCGTGGAATGAGGCAAACAACGCCTACGAAGATGGCGACTACGAGCTTGCATTCCTGGGTTACTTACATGCAGCTGAAGAGGGTTACGAATCCGCCCAAAACAACGTGGCCTATCTGCTCGACGCGAGGCAGTCGATGCTGTCCAACGTTCTTGGAATCGGGGAGAGCAGGTCTTCTCTGATGGATAACCCTGCACTTGCGCTCATTTACTACACACGATCATCGAGACAGGGCAACATGGACTCGCTGGTCAAAATGGGCGACTACTACCTGGACGGCATCGGGACTGACCTCGATATCGACAAGGCTGTTAAGTGCTATACGGGCGCCTCTGAGTATCACCAGTCGGCTCAAGCCCTGTTCAATCTTGGCTGGATGCATGAGAATGGGGTGGGGCTGGACCAAGACTTCCATCTGGCCAAGCGTTACTATGATCTTGCCCTCGCTACCAACGAGGAGGCATATCTCCCAGTAAAGCTCAGCCTACTCAAGCTGCGCGCAAGAAGCTATTGGAACACGGTGACACATGGGCGGATCAACTCAATCCAAGACGAGCCAGGTGAGTACAACACATGCGCTGATCCTTCTGAGAATTTGACTGACATGGAGGGCCACAGAAAACAAGAAAGACTGGTCCTTCAGCGAATGGGTCAACAATTTCATCCAGGACGACGGATATTTCTATGACGACGTCATGTACGATGATATATACGACGACACCATGCCGGGAGGCGACGCACCGCACTATCCTGGTGCGGAGGATGACGGGGTCGTAGATACGCTGATCATCATGTCGCTGGCCATGGCGCTTGCGTTCGTCGTCTACTACAGACAACACCGGGAGCGGGCTGAGCAGGCTCGGAGGCAGAGAGAGCAGCAGCAGGCGCAAGGGCAACAGCAGGGAGGAAACGCTGGTGCTGCTGCTGTTGCTAATAATAACGGCGCTGCCGCGCAGCCTCCAGCGAACCCTGCGTTTGAGGACTGGGTCGCTGGCGGAGTTCCTTTTTAGTAACGAGACGGAAAGCAATTGTAGATAGGATCACAGTATTTGATATTGATTCACAAAATGAAGCACTGGCGTTAGGGTGGGGGTGGTAAATTGTAGGGGAGCAGGGAGTGCGCCTAGAAATGCCACGCTAAAATTGGACCCTGAGCTGCGTTGCAGCTTCCCTGCACCTACCTAGGTACCTCACTGAGTTGACCTGACTGCCATTGCGACGTCAGCTCATCACGGCCAATGTCTATCGTCAATGGTCAATATGAAAACTCGCATTCCATGCTTAATTGAGCCATGGAATCCCACAAATCCCGTGACGTGACTTGAACACCATCTTTGACGGGTTCTAGCCGACCTCCACTGCGATTTCGAGGATGAACACGCCAGCAGCTAAGCGAAGGCGCGTCGACGCCGCCAACAAAACCCTCAGGAAGCCATTCCACTCGCCGCTGCTCAACCGGCGGCCAGGCACGGGAGATGAGAGCACGCCAGGATCCAGCAAGACACCAGAGCCAAACGCCAACAAACAGCCGTCCGAGGATGTCTACTCGCCTTGCTCGCCGTCGGTATCGAAACAGCCTCAGGCAGTGAGGCCAGCGCGGTCGCTGGGGAACCTGCACCACACCCGGCCGGCGTCGCCTTTGAAACTATCCATAGCTTCCGGGCCTCCTCAGTCTGCCAAGAGGAAAGCTACAGGCTCGGGTGAGGACGACGTCGGGCCGGACCACGACAACCCGTTTCTTGCTCTTGTCAGAGCCCACAAGACGGCTGGCCGCGATGCCGTTATGAAAGACCTGGATCGGCGGCTGGACACCGTCGAGCAGGCGAGGAAGATCGAGGCTGCGTCCGAGGAGAGCCGACCCGGGGAGCCTGTGGACCAGGAGCTGAGGGACCTCATTGCCAAGTGGAAGGGAGCAAGTCGGCTGGCCGCTGAGGAGTTGTTTGAGACTGTCAAGGAGCGCGTTGATAAGTTGGTCATCCCCTCAGAGATTGATTTCGCCGTCGCCATATTCTTTCAAGGCTCGAAACTGACCTGAGCTGCAGCGCTGGGGGCTCGAAGGCATGGAAAGAGATGCAGCAGAGGCAGTTGGAGTTCTACCAGGGATTTGATCAGGAGTCACCCTCCAAGTCGAAAGTTTCAGACGAGGACTTTGAATCGGAGTACTCGCAAGACGTTCAGTCTCACCTGAAAGAGGGCAGGAGAGCCCAGAAGGCTGAAAACGTACCTGACGAGGATGATGAGCCCGTGAGTGTCTCTCTTTTTCCTTGATCTGATCCCTTAGGCTTACTGTTTGGCAGGAATTCAACATGGCACACATGCTCCATAGCCTGAACATAGATCTTTCACTCCTGGGATACGATGAGAAAGAGGATAAATGGACCAATGAGACCTAGAGGTGTTACCACTACGCCTCCTGTGAACATGCCCGTGGTCAGTGTGTCGCCTTAGAATCGCCACCCAGGTCCTCCGGTGATAAGCCATTTGTCCCCTTCAGCCACCCAATATCCCTTTCCACCTGGAAGATACCATCTGCCCACTTTTTCTGGATGCGACTACAGGCAAACCCCATCCAAAAATATCAGTTTCGAAAGTAGAGGGGATTTGGGTGATCAGCACGTTCATGTGATCGACATGGTCGTTCCCCGCCTCATAGCAAACGAGTGCACCCACGTCACCTGGGCTTTAGTCCAACCCGGGCGGCAGAATTGGGTGCATTGATGGTGCGCGAAGAATCTATAGATCCCTTGCAGACCAAGGTCAGCACGGCCGTAGGATCCGGCCAGCGACAAGATGCCGGGGTCCGAGATGATGCTGTTAAGAGAGCCAGGGCGTCAAGATCAGCCATTGTCATAGGAAGCTACGCGGTTCGTCATGGGAATACTCACAATTCACTCTGGTGTGTACCCCCCTGGATGTCACAAAGCAGCATCTGGCCGCCGGGGTTGTGGTACGAGAAGTGGCTGAGGGCCTGCACCACGTCGCCCCACGGGTCTCCCGGGAGAGGTGCCCACCCGGTATTACTGTTGAGCTTGCGAAAGTCTGGGATGAACGGCTCAACTTGGTTCATCTCGCCCGAGGGTGCGTAAGCCCAGATCTGAGGAGTGTTGAGAACAATGCGCATGTTGATGACCCTGGCGGCGTTCCACGCGTCAATGATATGTTGATTCTGCCGTATAACCTCCATTTCGGTGCTGAAATAGGCGGCTTCGAAGACAGATCCGGTGTTGAAGAATACCTTTGACACGCATTGTTCTCCTTTGCGTGGGCCACGGGTGTAGTACCCGAGCCACACCGTCTTGAATGACCCTTGAGCGAACGGGACATTACTTTGCTGAATCATGGCATTTGTGGACATATTGACTCTTGAGTATGCTAGCTCGACGTTTCTACATGGGGATCGCGCCTCCTGCTCTCCTGGTACGTAGGGTCTAATTTGAAAGAATTGGCGTGGATAAATTGGGGGCGGTCTGGCACTCGAGGGCTTGCAAGACCATGACTGTGGAAGAAACGGCCTCGTGTGATGCTGGTAGACCTAATGTTTTACAACCGGCGGTGTCTTGCGGACTTCCTCACATCTTGATTGCTCTAAGTATTTTGTTTTCCAACGCATCGACGTTGCTAGCCTCTCCTCGCTGAGACGCATCCTGCATTGGATTTTGAAATTGGGCGCACAAACAGTGCTCTTTCACCGTTGCGATGTCTTGTCTCGGTATCATACTTTTTTACTCTATTGCAAGCGGATTCCTTGATGCAGAACAATCATATGTCACTTTTTATAGTGTGTATCGAGTGGCTATGGTGTTTCAGCTCATGACCTCCTTCGTCTTTGACCTCTTGAGGAGTATTTGTTCTAAGCTCGGATCCATTTCACTAGCTATCAAATAGAGCAAAGTGATTTGTTTAAATTCTCAATATAATGTCGATCATTTATGAAATGTCGAAAATTTGTCGTCCACCGTCATGTCACGGGCTTGAGTGGGGAAAAGAGCATTTCAATCAATTCATGAGTGTCAAGCAGGAAGATCTAGTGCGCTCGCGAAGCCTCGATAGCCGATGAAAGCTTCGGAGGGATCCCACTTTTCCCTGATCCGAAGCCATTTCTTCAATGCAGAATCAGTCATTACCTACAAATTTGTTAGTTCCTGTCAATGCCTTTTTCTTCATGAGCCATCGTGAGAAGTCGCTTATGGACCGTCATACCTTGGTCATCCTATTGTTAGCATTAAAATCTGCCGCATACACACCGCAAGACACCGCGCCAGCTTTCTCATAGGCGTTTCGAAGCCACTTGTCCATGAAGACATCACGCCCAGGGTCTTTCCAGCACAGCATGCTCGAGATGTAGCTTTTCTGAGGGAGGCTTAGAGCTTGGTCGCTCTCATCGGGATAGTAGTCGAGGGGACAAAGGGTTCCAGTAGAAAGACGTGACGGGAGGTCGTAGAGCGCCGGGGTAATGGCCTCGATAAGCTTGTGCTTTTGTTAGTCCTAGTCCATGATACGAAATGCTTATGGGGCCAATCTTCACCTCGTCATCAGAGACTTCGGGGTTCGCCAAGATGCTATCAACGTTCCAGCGCTCTCCATTTCCGCTCGGCTGGAAATTTTCTTGTAGCTCCCACAGCCCCTCACGATCTCTCTCCGTTAACGGGACGGTTGTGATAACATGCCTTTTAAACTCATCAGGTATGGTAGCCCAGGGGCTGGCGAGGACCTTAGCCTCTTCGAGAGAATCGGCAAACATGGTTTGGTTAATGACAAAGAACACTCGCTTGCTCTTGGACTCCTCGCCCCCTTCTGGATCGTCCTTGTCTGCGTAGAAAGTGCAGAAAAAAGGCTCAGCCCCGTACTTCGGGATCGACTTGACAGTCGTCAAAACCCACTTCAGCAACGGCTTGAAGATGTCTGTGGAGTCCACAATAGTGGTCACATCGACAAGCCTCTTGTTGGGAATTGTTTTGATCCAGATCCTCGTGATGACGGCGAAGAATCCCTGCCCGCTCCCAGGCATCGCCCAGAACAGGTCAGGGTTCTCCGTCTTGCTTGCGATGACGATCTCGCCCTCTGACGTTACTAACTCGATCTTCTCAACCCAGTTGGTTGAGGTATAGCCCCATCCTCGGATAAAAAGGCCCTGCCCACCGGCAAGCAAGAAGCCGCCAACTCCTACGGACCGTGAATGGCCTGAAGGGAAGAACCTCTGCAGCGGGCCGAGGAACCCAGCCAAATCTTCAACGGTATGACCAGGGCTGATGGTGGCAATCTTGGTGGCTGGGTCGAATTCCATGCTCTTGTTTAGGTTGCGGGTGTCGATAAGCATTCCATTCTCGACGAGGTCGGGGTGGAAGAAGTGATGTCCGCCAGAGCGCACGCCAATCTTCCGGCCGCACTGGCGTGCCCTTTGCACAGCTTCTACAACGTCTGCAGTTGTGTTTGGACTCACTATCTCTGCTGGCTTTGCATCTGGAATGCGGTCGTTGAAGCCCCTGCGGCGAAGCTCCTCATAGTTGGCAGACGCTGGCGTGGAGACATGGCTAGTCATGATGGATTGAGACCAAGGCAAAGTGAACGCGGATGATTTCGAGTTGACGGAACTTTTTTTTGGCAATTTCAGTGATTGATACACTGGACCGTTGAAATCGAATGCATATAGTTGTGCCCCAAATGCACACCGGTTAACCGGTATATAGGAAGTTGCCGACGCCCCGATGTGTACATCACTCTTCCTACACATCAAAGCTATATAGAGTTCAATCTGACATCATGAAACGCACTGATTGTTGATTTGTACTTGTGAGACGACTGCGCGTAGCCAAAGCGGCCGACTTGGTCAAACGAATACTCCGACGTCCGTTGAGGCAAAGCGGTCCCCGTCCACTACCAACGAGCACAATCTGCCTAACCACCCGAGGTGCATCAGACGGCGGAGGATCGCATATTATAGCTACATATTGAGCTTTAAAAGAGCTACACAGCATGAGAGAAAGGTTACTCTCACGGTGAATGCATAGACACATTGTTCACTTGAGTAGACAGCTGCCGCACGCATCAACCTTTAGTAGGAGATTGTTGTTTAGTCGAATTATATGGACAAGCAGCGATTTTGAATGACTGATTGGTTCAATCATGACATGATCAGTACGAAGTGAAAGTGACAAAAGTGACAGACCGGATCTGTTTTGTAAGCAGTCATCTGCAGGAGCGATTCTGACTTACGAGAATTTTCAACTCGAATCAGGCAAACCAACCCAAGGACTTTCAGATATAAATACACGAAGCACTTCTGGTCTCCGGTTCAACAACGAAGGAAATTCGCTTCTAACGCCTCCGTACATTTGAAGTCATGACAAGAAATGCCATCAGAGTGTGAGTTTCCATCACGTTACGCGCTCGAGAATCGAAAAGAGACGGTAGCTAGGAACCTCATCAAGCCAAACGCACCAGCCCTCGACATCCTTTGATGGCACAGGTGGCTTTCATTCTCGTGTTATACTTCCAGCCTGATGGCTCGGGCAGCCCGGCGTAGGAGCTACTCGACGTTGACCTCCTTTCCGGCCCCTGCCCCTACAAACATCAAACCAGCTCTCACGACACCTTTCCACGCCTCAAACTCAGCCTCGTCCCTCGGCGCATACACCATCACATAGCTGAGCGGAATAGCACCACCAACACCACTCAGCCGGTGCCGCTCCGCCCAGCCCTTGCGCGTCAGCTCCTCGGCATCGGCCAGGCTGACGGTGATGTGCGAGCTCGCCTCGGGGTGGACATGGACAAGCTCGCCCTTGACGCCCCTCAGGTAACGCGGGAGCTCGACGGCCGGGTCGAGCCACAGCGCAGGCGTGCCGACGCCCTCGAGCCCGGACGGCTTCAGCACCAGGACGCCGGGGTTCCTCGCGGCCAGGGCCTCGAGGAACGCCGTCATGCGCGCCCGCGTGTCCTCGGACCCCTGCTGCGTCACCTGCCGCTGCGGCGCCACGTACCCGGGGACGTCGGGGCGGTCGCCCTGGCGCCTCGGCAGTGGGGACGCGGCGAGGAACGGTGTCCTGCCGTGCGGCTCGTAGGGCTTCTGGTTGGCGGGCCTGCTGAAGGGCGCCGGCGTGCGCGTGTCCCACTTGGCGATGAGCTGCAGCAGGCCCTGGAGGGACCACCCGAAGACGTTGTACGGCATGCCGCCCGGGCCCAGCGCCAGGTACCCGCGGTAGCTCTTGAGGGCGTACGAGGCTGTGGGGAGGGACAGGGCGATGGCGAGGACTAGGGCGGCCAAGGTTCTGGGCCTGTTCTGGAGAGGGAGCTGTGCCGCGACAGCCGAGAAGCTTTTGGGAGCCATGATGGCTTCGAGCCTTCCGTGGGGTCTGGTTTGTTTGCAGTCAAATATACAACTAGGATAGGAAGAAGTCCATGAGTTTGTGATGCTGTGGTTATAGAAAAAGAGCTGTGCGAGGTTTCAGAGCCAAGATCTCAAGGCGGCGCGGGGAACGGCAGACGAATTGTAAAGATGATGTGACAGACAGGCTCGGGTCATCCGACAACGTGAACCCGAGCCAATCCTTTGCACCGCTTATTCTTGATTTTCCACGTAAGTTAGACTACAAGCAACTATAATCCGTGGCATATTCCACAACATTTCCTCGTTCTCGCAAATGTCTGGTCTGGCGGTTAATTCACGAGCTCAGTCCGGTGCATGTGAAACCTTGCGGTGTCGCGTATCGCGGAAATCGTCAGCCGATTTTGAGAACACACTTCTAAAATTAGCCGACATGGTATCTATTATAAGCTGCCGAACCACAAGCTCCCAGCCCGAAATTGGGTTGTTTTTTGCGCGCCGCTTCTATGTACATAGTGATGTGATGCAGTCCAACGCAGGGCTGACGGGTTTCCCGTATATATGTCCCCGTCCGAGCCCAGACCCAGTCTATTATTCCCCGTTCCCGCAACCTTAAGAGGCGAATACACGATGCTTGGCCACAGACGCCAAAAAAAGAAACAGAACCAGCTGAAATGCCAGATTGCAAACCATGTCCTAGTCGTAAGATGAGACCGTGTGTCACGGGGCCAGCGCCGTGGCTGCTGACCCGCGACAGTATAAATCAACCATAAACGCCATGCTATGTGCAATGGACACGAAGACGGGCAGCAACTCTCAAGGATACTGCCTCGTCTTGCTCGCCACATCGTTTTCCAGCACCCCAGCGCGCGCCTAATCACACCTTATCCGAGGATATCCTCCGCCTCAACTCCTCCCTCTGGAACTTCTCCACGTTCGCCTGCGTCAGCGAGTCTCCTTTTTCAATCAGCGGCGTGTGCCCGTGCGGCGTGACCGCACCTCCGGCGGCATCGAAGAGCTTGTCGTCTCTGCTCTGCTGCGCCAGCTCGTCCGTCTCGACCCGCCTGATCTGCAGCTGCGGCTTTCCGGGCGACGGCGGTTCTGTCGGCGACGGCGTGTGAATCATCGGAGGTGGTGATGCTTTTGGCCGCGGCGTGGGGAGGTCGGCGCGCATGCCGTCCGCATCCAGCTCCTCCTGCGTCGGCAAGGTTAAGCGTCCTTGTCCGTCAAGGCCTTGCACACTAAGGGAGGGAATTCCCGCATTCGTGCAGCGGTCGCTGCCTTCCGAGCAGACCGAGACATCCGAAGACAGCGCCGGCGTCGAACCGCTCCGCTTATTCAAGGACCAACGCACCAGCATCCGTTCGAGCATCTTTGCCTTCACCGGCTTGGCTAGATAGTCGTCCATCCCTGCTTTCCTGCACTTTTCTTGGTCACCTTGGATCGCTGAGGCCGTCATGGCTACAATAGGCACGTCGCGAACGAAGGCGTTATAAGGGGAGTGGTGGCGAAGAAGGTGAGTGGCTTTGTAGCCATCGATGACTGGCATCTGTACATCCTGATAGAAATGTGCTGTTAGTATCCCAAATCATGGGGTGTCTGAGTTCACGGAATAATAAGGCTAGAAAGACTCACCATAAGAATAATATCAGGCTTTAGGCCCTGGCCGTTCTGAGCAGTAGCCAGATACTCCAAGGCCTCTTTGCCGTTCCAGGCGGCTGAGACGTTGAAACCCAGCTTTTTGATCGTCTTGATGGCAATCTGCTGGTTGATCGGGTTATCCTCGACCACAAGCACGTGGATTTTGGAGCGCTCAGAAGCCGGGAGGTCCTCTTGAGAGGAGGACGGCCTGAGCGATCCCTTGCGCCTAGGCGATATCCCTAAATCCGCTGGGAAGTCAGTCGGAGGTGGCGTTCCCATTTGATCGAACTCTGAGCTGTTGCACGAGACGCTCATTTCTGACTGCAATCTGTCCGGCAGGGTGGAGACCTTGACTACATTCGATGGTTGCGTCTCTTGTGGCTTGTTGAAAGGCACCCAGAAGTATGCCGTCGTACCCTGGTTGATGACCGAGTCGAGCTGCATTCTTCCATGCATGAGTTCGAGGAGACTCTTGCAGATTGTCAAGCCCAGCCCGGTCCCACCGAACTTCCTTGCGGTGGATGCATCGCCTTGGCTGAATGGCTGGAACAGCCGCTTGCGAGTTCCTTCGTCAATGCCGATGCCAGTATCTTGAACCATGAACCGAATTTCTATGATGTCGTCCGTCTCCCTCTCTTTCGCAACAGACAGCTTGACAAATCCCTGGTGTGTAAACTTGATGCTGTTGGTCAGGAGATTCGTGATGATTTGTCTCACACGCCCTGGATCACCAAGGACGACAAGATCGTCGGCCACTTCCGGCGAGATGTCTGAAATGAACTCCAGGCTTCTTTTTTGAGCAGCGAAGCTCAACATTTTGGCCACGTCTCGCACTAGTGAGAGACAAGAGTTAGCATGAAGTGACTAGAATCGGGTTTTGTCATTAGCGAATCGACTCCGACTTACCTATTACTGACATGCTGAACTGTACTTCCTCGATATCCAGACGCCCAGACTCTACCTTGGAGAAGTCCAATATATCGTTGATGACAGTCAACAGTGCATTAGCAGACCGGTAAATGTTTTCAGCGTAATCTCGCTGCTCCGCATTGAGCTCGACATCCAGGAGCAGCTCGGCCATACCGATCACTCCAGTGATGGGAGTTCGAATCTCGTGGGACATCTGGTGACAGTCAGCAACTGCACATACCAACAACGGGTCACATGCCAAACTTACGTTTGCGAGGAATTGACTTTTCAGTCTGCTGGCTTCTTTTGCAGCAGCCTCACGCGCCAGCAACTGCTGCTTTTCCTGCGCTTGAGCCTGCAATATTGCCTCTTTGGCTTTAAGCTCTGTTACGTCCATGATGACTCCGATGGCACCTTCAATTTCGCTGTCTCCTGCCTCGCCCTTAGCCTTCTTACTAGTCATGGGCAGGATACGAGTCCGATAGAAACGCCCGTCGATCGCATGCTCAACCACTACATCTCCAGACCGTCGGGAGAAGATCGAGTCTATAGCTGACAGAAAATCGGGGCGCTCTCCTTCGGGGAGTTGTGGATTCAGGCTGTTGAACACTTCATCGACGTTGCCACCGATGTACCATTGTTTATCGTCCTGTCCCGACGTATCGGCATCCCAGATAAGAGCGCCTTCCAACATGGTTATTTTGCGATCGAGGTCGACGGTGAAGATAGTGATGTTGGCATGCGTAATGACACTGAGAAGTTGTTGTCTCATCCTTCTTGCGGCGAGCTTAGTTTCTATGCTCTCATGGACGTCGGTACAAGTTCCTGTTTCGAGATGTCAGTGTGTGCCACAACGGCCCAACCCAGCGAATCGGTACATGAGAGACATTGACTCATCCGCCAGTGGTCAGCACGTGGAAGTAGCGTTGTGACTTACCAAACCATTTCTCGATTTTTCCAGTCTCGAGATTCCTAAGAGGCAGCGCCCTGCCTAAGTGCCACCGCCATTCGCCTTCCTTACTTAGACAGCGGTACTCCGTGACATATGGATCTCCTGTCTTGAGTGAATGCGTCCATCGTTTTGTAGTTTCAGCCATGTCGTCTGGGTGGAAAGGATTCTTCCACCCCAGTCCGAGAGAGTCGTCCGGTGACAGTCCCGTGTAGTCATACCATCGACCGTTGAAAAAGTCGTGCATACCGTCTGGAGTCGTGGTCCACACCTAAAATGTTGTTAGCAGTTGATAACAAGATAGTCAAGTTTCTCAGACGAAGTAATGAATCCAAACACGACACAATGACAATCCGTGAGAGCGGGCAAACAGATTTCGATCTCGGTGCTGACAGTATATCCGCTTCAAGATACTTGCCTCGCAAAATCGAGGGACATCCTCCGAGGCCTAGAAGCCCTTTGGACTCTCTGAGCAAGAACTCTTTGCTTCTTATAAGACTTGGGAGGATCGAGCAGAAACTGTCTTGTCGTTTGCTCCGGGGGCTACACCGGTAACTGCTTACCAATTGCGGCATAGTGTCGCAGATGAGCTTAAATCTTTCCGCATCCCTCGCCTTGATCTGGTCGATCTCCTTGGCCATTTCCGTAACGTCACGGCAAGATATTACGCCCGCCAAAAATTCTCCGGTCTCGTCGTCGCAGATGGCCTCTGCCAAAACGTTGTACCTGATCTTTTTACCATCTCTGTCAATGACCCCGATTCGCATGTCTGAGAAGGGTGTCTGGGTCCTTAATAGGACCCCCATTGGAAACTCGCTTGGCTCGAGTGTTCTGCTAAAGTCGTCGGTATATAAAGTCCAATTGCTCAACACCTCGAGACCATCAATGGGCTTGTCGAGAGTAGCGTCCTTCTCCATGAGTCTCCTAGCAGCTGCGTTGGGGAAGGCTACCGTGCCATCCTTCCACATAGCTAGAATGGGCATTTCCGTGTTGTCAAGAAGCGCATCTTTCAGGATCATGGTCTTTTGAAGCATCGAAGGGGCACTTTGAAGCGACTTTTCTCGGTACGGTGGACCCATGGGTGGAAACGGGCTGGACGAGAGGGAGACACTGCCTGGGCTGATGCGGTAAGAGGGCGATGATGACGAACCGTGGCTAGATGCGACCGACGGTGGGTTCGATGCGGTGAAGATGGTCTTGCGCTCAGCAGACTCGAGAGCGGAGGCCCGAGCTACTGCCTTTTTCTTGGAGCTCACGGACGATGTTGATTCGGTATTGGTGAAGGTCAGGGTAAAGTATGTCTGTTGTTCTGAGATCTCCCAGACGCTGATAATCATCTTTGCAAACGCTTGATTCTCCGGAGCCCTGCTAGAGACTCGGGGTTCAGCGATGGCTCTGTTAGAGTCTCGCCGAGACACGACGACTTCTACAGCCGCTTGCGGGCTGTAACTCGGGATCTTGTTGTCTCCAGCTGCTCCAGCTGGCTCCGCGATGGGTGTCAAATCGCCCTCTGGGTGGCTCGCTTGGCCGGTTTGCCGTTGTGCGTTCGCTGACTGTCCCTGACCGGGTCCCATTTCCTCTGCGATTGAGTCAAGGAAGGTTTCCCAAGCAATGAATACAGGCCGTCCGTTTTGTAGCATATCTATTCCCACTTGCGAGAGTGATTGTCCAGTGAGGCTTCCCACACCATGCGCCAGGTCTTCGCCATCGTTGGAATCGGAAAACATGCCCAGCAACCTGCCCATGGCTTCGTTGGCCAAGACTACTGTCTTGAAGTTGTTGAGAACCAGGATTGGCACCGGAAGGAACTGAAGGGCAGAGAAAGCGAGTTGCCCGGGTGTTATGTATGGCATCTGAAGGCGAAACGGGCTGCTTGATTGAGATCTGTCGGTGTTTATTTCTCGAATGAAACGGCGCCCTGCCGGAGACTGCGCGGCCGAGCCATCGCGTTGCGAATGCATCGACTCTTGCGAGCCCGCAGCGGCGCTGTCCATCTGCATTTCTAGGCGGCGAGTTCTGAGGTCATCGGTCGGGGGCGTTTGCGGCGAGCCGGACATGCGCTTGCGGAGCAGAGGAGATTCGGCCAGCACATTGTTATTCATTGTTACCGGCGGAGGTGAGCCATGAGACTCATCATTTGTGATGGGTGGCCGGCCGGGTACCATGATGGGGTGCGGGCCGGCATGGGTGGTATTGAGTCCGTTCAGGTTGGTATATGCGCTGGATCGAAATGTCGATGAAGAAATATGGGATTTCTGGAGACACGGGTATCGTCACCGCATGAAATTAGGCGGTTGCTGATCGGCAAAACAAAAGGCTTTGCTGGAGAATAACATGCAATTCTAACTGCGGGGAGGAAGAAGACAAGAGGTCGAGTCTCTTGCTCTGTTGCCGTTAGGGGTCCGGTCTAGGCCCGGCCAAGAAATGTTCACGGACCTGGAGCTGACCTTGGAGGAGCCAGACTAAGGTGAGCTGCTGGTTAGAAGCCTATGCCGTAAAGCCGTGAAATGTCACCTAGGGGAGATGGCACAGCGGCGGTTCATGGGGTGAAACAGGGCAGGCTCAAGACTATCCACGGCCGGATCCCCGAGTCTTGTCGGGATAAAGGAATTGTGAGCTGAAAGCAGCGGGCAGGAGGATATCCAGCAGAGTGTGTGTGGAGTGGTAGTAGGCGGTGGTGAGGAGCCCGGGAGTGGTTGCCAGCAGCTTTGGTAAGCAGCTCTGCTGGCGTTGGCTAGCATTGACAATAACAACAAAGGTATGACGGATGGTGGCGGTGGGAGAAGCCGGTGCGATTGTTCCCAGGTGTAGTAGTGTAACTGTGAAATGACGGAGGGCAAGAAGGACTGGTTAGAGCAAGACAAGAAGAAATGTTCGAAACAATGAAGCAACGAGCCGCGCTAGACTTAGAGAAGTTGGCTAGCCAGCCAGCCGCTGGGAACTGACGAACTGGACTGCGAACGACTTGGCCTACAATACTCCGTGCCAGGGCAGGTCGGATATGGCTATGGCATGGTGTGGCAGGGGCATGGTATGGGACGGAACGGTATGGTAGGACCAGATGGACTATCCAAGATCCAAGAGCAGAGCATGAGGCCAGTCCAGTCCAGTTCCGAAGAGCCTAAAACAACCTTTCCTGTCTACACAGTAGCGGCGAGCGGTCATGGCCCAACGACAGTTGCGTCATCTCTCACTAAGGGTCGTCCCTCTCCATGGACAGCCGAACCGAAGGGCAGGGTGAACCAAGGCATAAGCGAAGCTGAAGGGTCCGGAAACTGGTCTGAAAAGGCCCTTAACTGAAATAAAGTTTTTGGATTCCCGAATGTGGACATGGGACCCGCCAGCCACCCCTGTTAGTTACGCCGAATTGATCGCTCTCAGCCGCGTCCGCGTCACTTTTTTACAGAGCACCACAGTACTTCTGTGGGTTATTATTATTAACGGACAGCCCTGAAATGCTAAGGTTTACCTTCTCCTTGTTGCCAGGGCACAGACGATGACCTCGGCCCAGGCGGCCCTTACTTTGTCTGCGCCTCTCAGGATGGAAGTGTATCAAATCTCGATGTCCAACCTCGGAACTGCATCTCATTGAACTATATCGCGGCGATAGAAGAGAAGTTGTGTGGAATCCTCGTACGACAATGACATGGCCCTGACACTTGATGCCAGACGGCACCTGACGAGCACCTCGCTACATTGATGGCGCGGAACTGGTAGAGCCACGAAGCTTGCCTAGGAACAGAGCACACAGCTGTGCGAACCCAGGGTCCTGAGGTACGTACATGCAGGCGATATGTGAGATGTCAGGATTGTCTCCCGTGCGCCGCAATAGGGGTCCTGCATGGGAGGAGGGGGGGGGCCAGTCGTTGAGGGGCGCGCAGGTGGCAGGTAGGCCCAGACCCCCAGGGCCTCTTCCGGGCTTGTGAGAACGAGGGACGATCGTCGGTTACACTGACCTGACAACCGCAAGCCATCCAACAGGACTGCAGCATGGCGCTCTGTTGGGTCGGGTCCTGACGGGGGCATCTCGTGACGACCACAACATTTATCTCCTGCACTGCGTTCATTCGCTCATCAGCCCACTCCACAACCATCCAGCACACGCATAACGAGAAACTCGTCACCTTCTCGTCAGCAAACTGTATCCCATCCCAGGCGCGCCCGCTTGTGCGACCACAAGATTCGCCGTTGTCACTGAAGGTGCCTCTGGCGCTGCAGCCGGTTGCAGCTTCTGTGCGACGGGCTAATGCTCAATTGCATCAAAACAATAAGTGCGCAGGCCGCAACAGGGCCCAAAACCTGCAGATCGGCGATCATTGCCAAGCCAGGCTGCAGTCTCACGTACCCTACAGTGGGCTGGCCGCCGGACAGGGACGGCCCAGCAAGAGGGTTTGCCATACCGCTATTAGGTTCTCGGCCCCTTGCCTGCTCCCTCTGCCCAGCCCTTCAGGCGCTTTTTTCTGCATCGGAGATCTGCAGAATGCCATCCCGCGGCAACATGCCGTACCCCTGGCTGTTCCCGGGTGGTGGCAGCTACGTCATGGCTGACATAAGGTGCGTTCGTGCTGGGATGCACCATGTCCTGACACCATGTGCTTCGACCGTCGCGGGTTGTGTGGGTTGCAGTGCGATCTGGATGATGCGGCAGTTCGTTGTGATCGTGGCCTCCCTGCCTGCGTGGCTCGCGTGGGTCTGGCGTAGCAGTCTGTCGCGGGGTTTTGATCCTGTGGGTCGCGATGACTGCACAAGTGCGCGATGACGACATTTGATGACGGGTTTTTAAACTGTAGTCCCGACTGACAGGCACAGGAATGTTCCAGCGCTACATAGTGGCGTTTTGTCCCACACCCTACATAGTACAGTAGACGTCCCCAGCTTTGACGTGCAGGCCGAGCTGCCGAGCTGCAGAGGGGCGAGCAGCTGTACAGAGTCATACTGTGGTATTCCGAGGCTCTGGTATTGGACGTTTGGATGTGTGGATGCGGGGCCAGGATAAGAGGCCATGATGGAGCTGTCAGATCGCACAATCCATGGTAAAGCTACGCAGCCAGCCATATGCATGTGAATTCCAGGCATGCCTTCATGATGATCATTGTACTCATAGTATAGCTCATGCAGAGCTCTCTTTCACATTCCCACACCTTGCGCAACTCCACCATTGTCGCTCGACAACGTTACCGCATCGTGAGCATTCCCAAAATTCCGGGCCTGTAGGTGCGGCAGGAGGCTTGCTACTCGCACTGCCGCTGTTGCTGTTCCTGAAGGAAACCATTCTTGAGTGGCTTAGATCAGCACTGCTCAAGTGTCGGCCCGGTCGATTGATCACTCTCGCTGTCGCGGGAGTTGTTCGAGGTCGCTTCGAGGACCTCTCATCTGCTGGCTTGCGGCTCCCGTTCCCTGGCTTCTCGGAGCCACATGCATCGCAGACTGAACGGGTGAGCGGGTTCAAGAGTGTGCAAGTACCACAAGCCCAACCCCCCGTCGAGGTGGGGGCGGATGGGGCGACTGTCGCATTTGGCCTGTCAGCGCCACAGGCTTCGCAGCTGAGGCATCTCGGAGGGTTATGCAGAGTACATGTTCCACATGTCCATCCCTTTGCCTGTAAAGGTGGTACAGACGTGGCGTTGACGGGCTCAGGGGATTTTGTGTCTCCAGTGACTGGTGGTCGCGACCACACCGGCACTGGCGGCGGCGTGGGTGTACTTGGTCCACCGTCAGAAGTCGGATAGAATGTACCGCCTCCATTTCCACCGGGAAATTGTGCGCTCGGCGGAACATAGTTGTTTCCGTGCTTTTTCTTCTCGTCTTCTTGCACGAGCTCCCACAGTGCCTGGGCAATGGCAGCCTCGTTGGCAGCATCCTCTTCAGCTTGTGTTCTGAAGCCGTTTTTGGTTGCGGTTTCTGACAAGGTCTGAATCTCCCTGTCTGTGAAGTTGGTACTCCCACACCCTCGGTCTGCTCTATTTCGGCGCTCAACTGCATTCGTGATGACTTTTCGTATGTCTTGGCCTCTTTGAATCGGTGCGCCGCCCAATCGTTGGCCAGATCCTCTCTCTCTCGCAGCTTGTTGGGATCGCTGCTCGGCAGCTGCACGAGCAAGCCGCCTCGCCTCTTGCATTGGTACCCTGCTGCTTCCTCCGAGCTTGTGTCCAGTACTGAGGAAGCCTTCACCGGTGTAGCCCTTCATGACCAAGCCCTCGTGTTCGTCGCGAAGCTGGTCCCACAGAGCGTGGAATTTTCCATCATGGGGCCCGTGTACGATATGACAGAGTTCGTGAAGCATTGTGTCGGTGACTTGTTCGATGGGTAGGAACTGGGTCTTGTCGCCCGGGTAGCGAAGCCGTAAGAGGATCTTCTGGCCCCTGTTCACGTTCAACCCTGTCATCGCAACGCATTAGTGGGAGGCAGACATAGTTCTTGAGGTACTTAATTATTACCGAGCAGGTTGTGCTGATCAGGGTAGAACTCGCTAAGCTCTGACACCTTCCAACCTCTTGCCCTCATGATGGGCTTCACCAAAGAGGCGATCTTCTTGAGCGTCCGGAGGGCGTCATCCTGCCGTGGGAGGTTCCTCAGGTGTGTATAGGAAAGCACCAGTGCATCAAACTCCCCACGCTGAGCCATGACGACTTTCGTGGGACTGGGATCGCGTTCAGGGCCGAAGCTGAGATGGTGCAACGCAAACCTCGGACGGACCGGTGGCTGCGGGACTCAGAATCGGGGTGCGCAAAGACATAGAAGCAATCATGAGAGGGCAGTCAGGCATCCAAAACAAAAGAAAAGTCCAGCCATATGGCTTCTAGAACCGTGTGGAAATGATTCATAAGTCATCCATGTCGCCGCCGAGTGGCGCTGTAAAGGTAGATGTCACTGACTTCACTTTGCTGCGGGAAGTCAGCGGGAAGGACGCGCAGAGTGGGTTGTTGCCTGCCCACTTCCATCCAGTGCTTGGTGGGGGGCCACGCCTCCTTCACTCGAGGCTCCCCCACCAGCTCCACCTGCACATCCCGCATGGATAGCCACTTCAGGGTCCAACCCGCATTTCTGCACCTCCGTCTTTCCCCCAACCTTAGCTGAGAATCATTCAGCGTGATACCAATGCTCCAAACATGTGAAGGCAAATGCACATGCGGAATCCGTTCACCACCCCGCGTTCGCCCACTCTAAGGCTGGCTTTCCCTAGAAGAGACATTCTTCCAAGAGCTTCCTTCAGAATGATACTGGCTTCGTCAACGTTGGATGGATTTGCGAGGCTTCTCATTGCAACCGTCTCACACATCCGGCATGGCACTCCAAGTGCAAGCCTGAAGGTAGAGGAGCCTCACGTATACTGAGACGGTTGAGCAGCCTACATTATGAGCTCGAGGTCTATTGCAGTCAAGAATGCTACATAGTCCGCAACCTCACCAGCGGGCATGTACACCAGAGTTCATTGCATACCTGCCCCAAACGAGTGCGTATCGCCCCGGTATTTCAAAGCCAAGGGACTTCTATCATCCGAGCTGATCGTCACACTGAAACGGTGTGTGTCTGCGGCCCCACATCCACGGGTGAGGGCTCGCATCGCGAGTTGGTCTGCCAAAAGTCGAGGGGAGAATCAGCTCGTGCAGCCACAAAAGAGGGACCAGAATAGAGCAATCGGTGAAGAATTAACGAAAGATTGGTTCTACAGATACTCCATCGTGCGAGTCGGATTGCGCTGGCCGAGGGCGTGTTGGGTTCCTAGGTAGGCGCACGCTTTGATCTACGCATGAACCAAGCGATTTTCGAGCGGTTCGTGCTCTCTTTCCCTTTTCGGCCACTTACATGGAGCATCAGCGGCTCTCGAAGACTTCTCGTCGATTCTGCTGCCTCTCAGTAAAAAGCATTTATTACGACGCTTGTCAACGCTCAAATATTCCCCACAGTCTGTTCCTGTCCGATGTTGAAGACTGACACTTCAGACCATCGAAATGCCATCCCAAGCCTCGGCGGGCCATAGTATAAGCTTCTTTCAAGCTTTGTTTCATCTCGACAGGCTTGTATGCCAGGCGCATAGCGGGTTAGCAGCCAAGGGGATCATTGACCAATGATGGGCAGCATCCACAATGCCTGAACTGACCCTTCGTCTCCTCCTTTCGTCTCATCATGGACAGATTCAATGCGACTCCCATCCGTCGAGGAAGCCCTCACCATTTAACCGCCCATGCAGCACCAACTCTTTTTTTTTCTTCTCGTTCTTGCGTTCATTAATGTCTGAATCAGCCACAAGCAGGTGGAAATATGGTTGAGTTCTTCTCCCGAGCGGGAGTCCCGAGCGGGAGGCACGGCAGTGACAAACAGGATGGGAGGGTATGGGTGGTTGTCACAGGTCTCCTTGAATGATCTTCCTCGACGCCGTCTCGCGATCCCAGCCGTGAAGCAGCCCTGCCCATGCTCCCATCACCTATGCCGCTCGGTTTCTGCCCACTAGTGGTGCGAAATCACGACAGGACCTTGGCTCCAAACCTAGCATCTGCACCTCGGGATCTACCTCCTCAAACACCTCTTTGATACCAATTGTCTTGGTATCTTGCGCGTACCCTCGCAGTGACAGGAGGGCGGAGCTTCCACCCACCATCTCGAGCTGGCAAGCGCTGGATCTCGAGTCAATGGCAGGTCAGGGAGCCAGATGCGCATGATCATGGGCGTTTATACCCCCTTCGCGGCGTTCGGCCGACTAGGACGATAGACTTTTGCCTACTCCCTATCTTCTGTTTTCTCTCTCTCTCCTCCACCTCATTTCGGCTAGCAGGTGCTATCTGTCGCTCTCTTGATAATATAGACCTCCGCCTGAGTAGTGCGGTCCTTTCCTTCTTTTCTTTTTCTTGGTAGATCTGGTATCTCCTCCACTCCCAGATACCCAGCATGAAGTACGTCAACTTGGCTGCCGTTGCGGCGGGTCTGGCGACCGCCGCGCCGGCCAAGGGCCCTTCCGCCTTCGAGGGCCTCGTTTCGAAAACAGCTGAAGAAGTCTCCGAGTTCGAGGTCCAAGTCCTTGGCGGTATGACCCTCCGAGCGCCGCAGGTGTACAACACAAACTTCATACAAACGAAGCGCGGGCCCAGGGCCTATGTCCAATCGCTCAGGAAGTACTCCGCCTTTGGGGCCACCATACCTCCAAACCTACTCCAGATCATTGACGAGATCTTGGGAGAGCTTGGCCTAGGTGATATACTGGGAGGCGGCACTGGTAGTGGCACAGGAACCGGCACTGGTGCTGGCAAAGGCAATGGAGGTAATAGTGGGAACGGATCCTCGGGTCGGCAGGGAGGTAACGGTACTCAAAGTGGCGGTGGCAAAGGGGGAGGTACCGGCTCAGGCAGCGGTAGAGGCAGTGGCGGCGGTAATGCCACGGCTCCGAGCAACGGCACTGCAAAGGGTCAAGGTGCGTTCATGTGGAGTACGATGATGCATAATGACTTTCTAACACGAAAGCAGGCGAGGTTGCAGCCGTTCCTCAGATGTTCGACAGCGAGTACCTGGCGGCCGTACAAATCGGAACTCCGCCTCAGGACGTGACACTCGACTTTGATACCGGCTCCTCAGACCTGTGGGTGTTCAGCAGTGACACTCCGGCATCACAAGTGTCCGGGCAGAAGATATATACCCCTGGTCAGAGCTCGACGTCCAAGCAACTTGATGGCGCGAGCTGGCAGATCACCTATGGAGATGGAAGCGGCGCATCTGGGATCGTGTACACCGATGTTGTAACTGTAGGGGGCGTCAGTGTTCCGAACCAGGCTGTCGAGGCTGCGACGACAGTAGCCGGCAGCTTCAGCCAGGATGCTGCCTCGTCAGGATTGCTTGGACTTGCTATGGACTCGAGTGAGTAACGCTACTCAGTGTTCCTTTACCCAAAACAAATCCCACTGACACAACCTCAGTCAATACTGTCCAGCCTCGTGCTCAGAAGACCTTCTTCTCGAACGCGATGGCCAACCTCGCTATGCCCCTCTTTACGGCGAACTTAAAGCAGGGAGAACGTAAGGACATCACAGCCGCAGATGCAATGGGAGAAACGTGTGTTTTACTGACACAGGCTCGCAGCGGGTAACTACAACTTCGGCTTTGTCGATCAAACCGAGTTCACAGGCAACATCAACTTCGTGCCTGTCAACGCCTCCCAGGGTTTCTGGGCCTTCAACTCCGAGGGCTTCACCGTGGGCAACGGGCAGGCGCAGGATTTCCCGCACCAGGCCATCGCGGACACGGGCACGACTCTGATGCTGGTGGCAGACGAGATGGTGGAAGCGTACTACGCCCAGGTGCCGTCGGCGCAGAACAACGCCCAGATCGGCGGCTTCGTGTTCGATTGCAACGAGACCCTGCCGTCGCTCACGGCCAACATTGGCGGCTTCCAGGTTGCTATCCCTGGCAGCATCATCCGCTTTGCGCCCGCGGACACGGACTCGTTCGACACGGCGACTGCGTGCTTTGGGGGCGTCCAGAGCAACACTGGCCTCCCGTTTGCGATTTACGGGGACATCTTCCTGAAGGCCGCCTTCACGGTGTTTGACGGCGGGAACATGCGGATCGGGTTCGCTGCCAAGTCGGGCCAATGATAGAAGCCGAGGCGAGCTGATATTCCTGGGCCATGATTATTCCGGCCTCTCTAGAGAAACGCACTACGTAATAGGTGGGTTCTGTGCATATTGTGACACAGTGGCATTAGACTTCCTCTGCTCTGGGAGCATTGTATGTGTGTGTGTGTCAATCGGTCGTGTTTGCAACAGGCCAGCTAGGCATCATGTTGATAGTATTTATTTAGTCTGAATTCCTATTTCGTTGTCATGCTTTGTTCTGTGTCCCTATGGTCATGGATTGAACTACGCAGTCGGACTTTCGAATAACTTTTGAATTGCAATTGGTCGCATGCATTTTGAAGAATAAACACCTGTTTTAGGAGTCATTATAATAGACTGACGGTGTTTTATGTGATCCAGAAGGGTGGATTTTGGTGGTATCGAAGAGAGTGGGTAGGAATGTGATGCTGGCATTGCCCGCCATTGTTGCCTGGCCAACCCGGGCCCACCAGCCACCTCGCACATTACCCCACAAGCTCCAAGCTCCATTGTCAACATCAAAGCACCACTGCCAGGGTTCAAGGTTGCCTGTCAACAAAGCGCGACTTCTTCCTGACAGGGCCATTTTCATTTTAGATCGCCACTTCTTCCCGCTGCGCATCGCACAGCATTGCATTGCATGTTCAGCGTGATGCGATTTCTTCCCCAGATCTTTAATTACTGCGCGTAACCAATACTAACCCAACCCAATCCAACTCCTCCCTACCGCACCAGGTCCATGATTCAACAAGCACAACCAGGCAATATGGATCCACCAGCATCTCCCCCCAAGCGGGTTACTCGATCAAGGGCTGCTCCAAAGAGCAGTGCTACCTCTGGTACAGCAGCCTCTGCGGCCAAGTCCAAGCCTGTCGCCGCCGCGTCAAAGACCACCAGAACGACCCGTACTGCTGCTGCTCCCACTGCCAAGTCTTCTCATACTGTCGCTGCCCCATCTACAAGGACATCGGTCAAGCGTAAGACGCGGGCCGACGACGATGAAGATGAGAGTGAGCCCGAGACGGCAGCCAAACGGCAACAGCCCGCTTCTAGGACTGCTACCAGAGCGACACGCGGTCCAGGCCGGCCCAAGAAGACTGTCGAACCCGAACCTACGCCGGCTCCTGCGCCGGCTCCTGCACGAGCTACGCGTGGCAGGCCGGCCAAGAAGGCTATCAAAGAGAACGTGAAAGAGGAGGAACCAACAAGAGCTACTCGCACACGGACCAAGAAGACACAAGCTGGTGAGGATGAGGCCGCGGATGACCTTGCACCAGTGGCACCTGTCAAGAAGCCCACCCGCGGTCGTCCTGCCGGTACCACTACGTCTACTAGTGCGCAAGTACCCAAGCCTGTCAAGAAGACAGTCACCTTCGCGGAGCCTGACAAAGAAAATCTTGCACCATCTGCAGCAGTCAAGCGCAAGCCCGTAGCTGCCAAGGCTGCCGAACCCACCGCTGCTGGCATGCGCGCAAAGCCAGTGCGAAAGCCCACGACTGGCCGAGCGACCAGGACAGCGGCAACAAAGAAGGGCACGAACGCGACCGAAGACAAGGCGCCGATGCCCCTCAGCCCTAAGAAGGTTACGCAGCTATCTGCAAACAGGGACATTGACACCGAGTCTGAGGATGAGCTAGCCATGGACAAAACACCGGCAAGGGCATTCCGCCGGAGTCCTGTGAAGCCTCCTGTGGCCATGAAGCCCACGGATGAGACGAAGGACGAGGCACTGTCCACAGACGAAGGCACAGAGGCATTGGCTCCCACAGAGCCTACGATCCTGCTTGGTAGCCCCGTGCGAAGACCACCACCATCACCGTTCAAGGATTCAATGAAGTCCCCTGCTAAGAGGGTAGAGGGTCTGCAGTTGGGACTCCCTGCGATCAAGGAGTCGGCGCAGTCAGCCAACTCCCCGTCCAAGGCATCCTTGTTCAAGTCACCAGCAAAGCGATGCCCGGTGCCGATCAACGCTACTGATCTCAATTCATCCAGCCGACAGGACACAATTGCTTCGTCTCCCTTCAAGCAATCTCTCTTCCAGTCCCCGGCGAAGCGACCGTTCTCACCCATGAAGTCTCTGAGATTGCCGGAGCCGGAGCCGGAGAGCATCGCGCGGTCTCCTGCTCCGACTCCCGTACTGCTTTGCACACCATTTCCAGCACCTGCAGTCGACCCAGTGCCCGCAGCCGAGGAACAAGAAGAGGTCAAAGCTGGCGCAGAGGCCGACGCAGAGGATGCTGAGCTTTCAATTGATGAAGATGCGACTGATGATGAAGATGCGCCTTCTTCTTCAGCTGCCGAATTCAACGGTCGAATGTCCACAGTTCTACCTCGTGCAGCGGATCCCACATTGACGCTTGAAACCTCTCTCACAAATGAGTCAATCAACGAAGACAACGAGGATGACCGGGAAACGGTTGTCCTCGAGCGGGAGCAGGAAGAAGAGCAGAAGGGCGTTATCGAGAGCCACAGTGAAATCATGGTCTTGGATGAGGCTGTACTCGAGGGTGAGAGTGTTGCCCACGACAGCATCAGCACTACACCACCAAACTCGCCTCCCAAACAGGCACTGAGCATGTTTGGACTTCAACAGAGGGACACCGTCTCTTTCGATATGAGCTTCACAGAGTCCGAAGACGAACTTACGCGCGTCATGACCCCGAAATCGGCGTCTCCCACTAAGCACATGAAGGGCAGTATCATGAGGCCCCGGACTTCTGGGTTTGGATTTACTCCTCTGGCACAACGCTTCGACTCGTGGCAAGCTGGCAGCCCTCTCAAGAATGAGCTCAAGGCCACGACGCCAAAGGGAGTCAAGTCGACACGACCAAGAGAGACTCGAGCCTCGCTTATGCAGGACGATTTCTTCGAGGACGAGATGTGTGTCCGCCCTGACACGGATGCCAACGACTCCATCAACGAAGACGATCCGCTGGCTGGTATCCCTATGATTAAGGATCCCATTGTCGAGGACATATCCGTCACAGAAGAGGATCTGGACCTTGCCGCAGAGGCGAATGAAATGTCTATGATGTCGCCGGAGCAAGTCGAGTCGATGCTCAACCTGGATGGCCACGATGACACCATGTCGGATGCCAGCCAAGAGTACGGCGATGAGAACGAGGTCCCCGCTGGATTTACCCAGGATGGCACACGGGTTCCTCCTGTCACTCCCCAGCGAACCCTTCGACGAGAAGTTCACACCGTATCCAAGATACCTCTCAAGCCTGCGGATGAGTCCACCCCACCACCACAGCCATCGTTGAAGAAACGAAGACACAGTATCTCTCGTCTTCCCGCGACGAGACCAACTCACGGTCTGACTAGGAGTGCCACCGTCATTTCCTATTCTCCCTCGCACAAGATCCACGTCGAGCCTGCCTTCGAGGAGGCCGCAGAGGAGGAGGAAACTCGGTCACGAGCTGGATCTGTGCCTCCAGTCACCCCGACTAAGTCCGAGGGCTGGTCAAACGCGGTCACTCCTGCTCGAACCCCTCGCCAAGACGTGGATCCTGCCTTGCTTCGTGGAGCAGTCGTGTTTGTCGACGTCCACACCGTGGAGGGCGCGGACGCCAGCGCTATTTTCGTTGAACTCCTCACTCAGATGGGCGCTCGGTGCGTCAAGTCTTGGAACTGGAACCCCAATGACGAGGATGCATCTTCCAAGATTGGGATCACGCATGTGGTATTCAAGGATGGCGGCAAGCGCACGATGGAGAAGGTTCGTGAGACGAATGGTGTTGTGCAGTGTGTTGGTGTGGGTTGGGTTTTAGAGTAAGCAGCTGCATGCCACTTCCAGTGTTCGCCCTTTTTGCTAACTTTTCCCTTCAGCTGCGAGCGTGAGAACGAGTGGCTCGAAGAAGCCCCTTACTACATCGATACGTCCCTCATTCCCCGTGGTGGTCACCGCCGCAGAAAGTCAATGGAGCCCAAGGCCGTAGCAAACCACAATGGCACACTGGTGCCCGACTCTGCGATACGCAAGGCGTCGTCAAGGGAGAGTCAGACTGCTCCTACTACACCCGCACCGGCGAATCGCCGCGATAGCGCTCTTTGGATGCATTCTCCTGATTTTGAGGATGACGAAGGTGATGACGGCGAGGAACACTTTGAGAACTTCTACGATGATCACGAGGACTGGTTTGACGCCGCACCGCTGACCCCGGTTCCTAAGACTCCTGCCCCTGAAGCCATCCGCCGGTTCGCCATGGAGGCCACACCAGGCGGCGCGGACACTTCAGTGAGCGAGGCTGATGACGAAGAGGACGAAGAGCTGTCGCAAGAGGAGCTCATCCAGAGGACGTGCCCGCCGAAGGCACAGCACATCTACGAGAACCTTGGCGCGGGAATCCTGGGTCGGAGCAAAGACGAGAACGTGGTCAGAAGGCTGATGGATGCGCGGCGGAAGAGCCTGGCATTCGCACCTAAAGTGTCGAGTCCGTTGGCCAAGAGCTGGAAGGATTGGAATTGAAGCGAGCGAGCGCGTTGTTGTTGAGGCATCTCGTCACGAGATGATGCTCCTGGTTTACCGAATTTGCTTCATGGTCATTGAACCTCTTGCCGGGCTTTACATATTTTGAGCATGAGAGGCCATCTGTTATTGCGGCGCTTGTGGCCGGCGTTTAGCGGGGGTGATTAGGCAAAGGAGTTCGTCTGGATTTTGGCGTTCACTTTTCTTGCGGCGTTGATAGACTCACCTGGCCGGTGATTAGACACTCAACATTGTCTTCATGAATCATGGTCGATCACTTCATGTTCCTCCCTTACTCGGCTGCTGCTGTGAGACCAAAAAGCTTATAAGAAGCTTAACGGCCAACCGTGAACGGGTTCATTCGCGCTGTAGCTGTCAGTCTGGGCTTGGCGCAAAGCGGTCCGCAACCCTATAATATGTGAGCTCCGCATTCACATGCTTCATTTTGCAGAGATAAGTGTGTGGGCTATGCCACTTTGCGTATTACAACAGCAGATATGACGGTGACGTTTGTTGGCGAGCTTGTTTGGAGTGTTAGCTTTCGGAACCGACTCAAGAGCAGCTCGGGCCTTGTGGGATTTGTGTTGGGAAGCTATCATAACTTTCTCGACTAGTCAAGATCTCCCTACCATCCCATGTCAGATCTAATTGGATTGTGTTTTTGAGATCTTCAAAACTAAACATTGAGGTTGACTCCGACGTTGGCAATGAACACTCTGTTGGAGAATTTGTAGGGCTTCCTTAGAAATGCCCGAATAACTTCTTTGCGCAACTACACTCGTTTCTTGGCCGCTTTCTTTGATCTGCTTGCGCTCTTTTCATTCATGTCTCTTGAAGTAATGAACTCAATTGCTGAATGACTAGGCCGCCTGACTAGTCAAGCTTTCTTGATTCAGAGACGGAAGAAGTCGAGATACTCATGTTCACGCGAAAGAGAGTTTTAAAAGAGAGGTCTGCATGTAAATCCACCTGCACAATATGGTTTCTCGACCCTGGACTTGCGTAGATGAGGTAATTGATATCACGTCCTTCTGACTCATTTTTTGACTGCTCATAGCGATCATCAGAGACGTTGTTGACAGTCAGGGGACGATAGGGAACGATGGTCGCACTTATAAATAATCCTGTAATCCAGTGATACCTGAATGAAGTGATTATAGCGTCCTCTATCTTCAAGAGCATCAGTGTCATCCAGAATGTTGTCCCACGCTATCGTTGCCCTAATTGTAGCAGCAGCTCCGGCGCTGGCCATTCCGCCGCCGATATTCGGTCTCCCAACCAGCGACTACGATGCGGAACTGAGTGTGGCCTATACACTCTCGGGCAACACGACGGTCTTACAGGCTGGGCAGCTCTTTGGGGGTAACAGTAAGTCTATCTGGGCAAATTCTGTTGCAGAAGTGGTCCCCGCTGACAAACTCCCCAGTAACACAAGACCAGCCAGCTCTGGCCCTGGACCCTCTGAGATATCCGTCTGTCGCCAGCTACGAGGGCCAGTACGTGATCGTCATGTGCGACCCGGACGCCACGACCCCAGACAACCCAGACCGCCGCTTCATCCTGCACTGGCTGGCGCCCAACATGACGACGGGCGCGCCCTACTCGGCGACCCGGCCGCAGACGGGCGTCGCGCTGACCAACATGACCGAGAACTTCACGCCCTACCGGTCGCCGGGCCCGGCGCTGAATTCGTCCGCGCACCGGTACATCCTGTACGCGTTCCGGCAGCCCGACACCTTCACGGTGCCGGCCGAGTTCGACACGTACGCCGGCGGCGTCAACCGCACCGGCTTCAACCTGACCAGCTTCATCGAGCTGGCTGGCCTCGGCAACCCTGCCGCCGCTGAGTACATGTACGTCAGCAGGGAGCCGGCTGTGCCTGGGGACTTTGTGGCGCTGCCTGGGGGTCAGTTCCCTGGGGGCAATGGGAATGCCATCTTTGCTGTGTAGATGGATAGGTATCTCTGGGATCGGATTGCGAAGAAACCTAGACAAGTAATATGTGGTCACGACGTCTGTTGTCTCTGTGACAGCTTCCGATGCATAGGCGATTCGCCTCTTGGCTCGACCTTCTATGCAGATTGCCTTCGTTCTGGCGACAGTCTAGTATATAGCAACATAAATTGGTGGCTATCGAATTCGAAGGGGCACTCATGCATTAACTCCGACAACGAAGCCTCAAACTCAGCCCAAATCGATTTCGTATCTAGCATTTGAAAAGACATCATTTTCTACAAGTTTTTTAATGCCGACCCGTGCTGCCCTGCTTACTGATGGGATTCTCCCAATTATTGCTCATCTCAACTCCAGCACTACCCAGCAATTCACGCCTACGAGCAAGGTGCAATCACTTGAAGACTTGTACATAAATGAGAAAGCAGTAACAAGCAAACGCTGACATCCGCAGGCCACCCATTCAAATTGGGGCTTACAAGTGTCGTCTAAGCTGTATACAAGTTCCAAGACAAACATCGATCTCTGCTCTTAGGCCCAATTCTATTTATCCGCCGTCTTCTTCACATTCAGCTTCTAAGCAGATATGTATCCAAACTGACCGAAATTTCCCGCAGATCTGGTACCGCTGCCTCAATGCGATGGACTCAAAGTGAGGCCGTTCAACTTCCACGGCCCGCAGTACATAGATTTCATCCGACACCTCAGCGAAGGCCGGCATTCACGTGTCTTCAAAATCGATATCCAGGACACTTTTACGCGCTGAAACTCGTGAGAGAGATTACACCAACCACAGCAGCCTGTGAGTAATGACAAAGCTAATACATCTGCATTCTCGGTTTACTTCTTGTGAAGACTGGCTTGGCCCGGATCCAGAAACCACGTTCGAAGTCCTCAATTACGAGGTTAAGCGTACGTTTTACAACCACACAGACCCATTCAGCAATGAGTACCGCGCCTTTGGTCGCCTGCAAGAAGCGGGTCATGAGCAGCTGGCCGTCAAGTGCTTCGGCTACTGGCTTCTGGATGAACAGCACGAACGTATCATAATGGCGCGGTTCCCACAAGTCAGACACGGCCTCAATGCGAACGCTGACCAACGGATCGTGAAGGAGAGGCGATCTCATTTCCATTCCTCAGGGGCCAGGCCCGCGCCTATCCGCGGCATCGTAAAAGCATTTGCAAGACTAAGGAGCCCATGCGGGCGAAATATATGGGACGGATCCTCCGAGACACAATTTGGCAGCAGCAGCTCCGTATCATCCACCTGGATGCGAGACATGAGCACTTGATCAACAGCTAGCTCTCGGACTTCAGCGCCGCCATCACCACACCGCATTTTGTCGCCAACCCGGAGCTGATCCCGCGCCTCTCAGTGATGGAGCTTGAGACGTCCCTGTACAGCACGAATGACTACTTGGGGCTCGAAGACCTGGCGGAACGCTGGAATTGGAAACACAGTGAGAATCCGAAAAGTCACATCCCACCTCAGTATTTCGCGGCAGGCGTAGATAGAGGCTCAAGTACAATTTGATAAGAACGCCAGGAAAGGAACGGGTCTACATATTGAAATGGATCCTCATTGATTATCAGAATAAAGGAAGATATCTTGCAACTAAATTGGTACATGAGCATCCTCCGGTCCTTGAGTAATTGGACACAACAACGCATTCATCACCTGTATCAATCAGTGACGGGGGATCGTATCACTTTCTGAGAAATGTCTCATGCTCAGCCGAAGCCAATCTCCTCCGAGAATTGAAAATGAATGATCTCGGCCGTACTGACAATTGTGAGAGTACTAGTTATTAGAAGCGGATTGCCTCGCTTTCCTGAGATCACATAGGTGCCTAGCAGCCTGAAAATTTGCAGAAGAAAATCTGTGCATAGCCTCCAGTTCGAAAGCTGAAAGATTGAAAGCTCAGGTAAGTTTAAAAACCGGCAGCATATTTTTCGTTCAGCTGGCTGCTTTTTTTACCTTCGTCTCAACTTGGAAAACATTTTGGCAATGTCCCTTTTCTGCATTCTCGGCAAATCAGACAATCAACACTAAAAACCTCGACCTCAACTTGAACCACTTGCAGCAGCACATATTGGCACCATAAGTGGCAAAGTCAAGCTTTCCAAAGATCCAGACCCATCTTGCCCACCCCTTTCTGCCAACTTCCACAAACTTTGTTGACAACTTCACTCCCCTGAATGAAAGCCACGCGAAGCTTTTGCTTTTCCCCAATCTACCACACCATCCGCCACCTACCCTCTTCTATTGCAATCAATGCCCTACTTGAAGTGTTTGCCTTCACAATAAATTCTACGACGTGCTTCTACCGCCACGTTGATTCGGTAGTTCTGTCCAAGATGACCTCACGAGGCTATCAAGGCGGTTTCCTTGCCATCCCTAGCTTCAAAGCCCAATCTTCATCGCAGACGGACATAAGCCTCACTCTTGAGAAGCTGCAGACCGACGAGCAGCGCCGCGTTCTTGACACAGTATCTCAGGTGCGAAAATGCGGCCTGGAAAGCGTACTTTCTCTCCCACAGATTGTTGTGTGCGGTGATCAGTCCGCGGGGAAGAGCTCCGTGCTGGAGGCCCTTACCGAGATTCCTTTCCCTCGCAATGACAACCTTTGCACTCGATTCGCGACTGAAATTTGTCTCCGACGCGACCCAGTTAACAGTCTCACCATTCGAGTCATTCCCGACAGCGACCGTCCCCAGAAGAAGCAGGAGCAGATCAAGAGGTACTCCGAGTCGACTACCGATTTGAAAGATTTGCCCAGAATCATGGGCAACGCCAAGAAGGTGATGGGTATCTCTGAAGGCGGCAATGCGTTCGCTAAGGATACTCTTAGCATCGAAATCTGTGGACCAGATCGGCCCCAACTTACCCTTGTTGACATTCCCGGTTTGATTCAGACATCCACAAAGGGTGTTTCCGATGCTGATGTGGCTATGGTTGCAGAGATCACAGACCACTACATAGAGCAGCCACGAACGATTTGCCTCGCTGTCATCTCGGCAACAAATGACGCTGCTAATCAGGCTATCCTCCAGAGAGTCCGGAAATTTGACCCTCACGGTGATCGCACCCTGGGAGTCATCACGAAGCCTGACCGACTCAGCGCGGGTTCTGGTTCAGAAACGAAGTTTCTCGAGCTCGCTCGAAACGAGGACGTCTTCTTCAAGCTTGGATGGCATGTTACCAAGAACAGGAAATTCGAGGAGAAGAATTTCTCTCTCGAGCAGCGTAACCAGTCTGAAAAGGACTTTTTCAAAGCATCAAGATTCAACACACTTCCAAAGGAGAATGTTGGTATCGATGCACTGCGTGTACGTCTCAGCTATCTTCTTTTCGAACACGTAAAGCACGAGTTGCCTCGTTTGCAAAAGGACCTTGAGTCTGCATTGCAGACGGCCCAAAATGAGCTCAAGACGCTTGGCACTTCCCGGTCGACTGCGGCGGAGTGCCGGACCTATTTGACGCAGCTCAACATGGAATGCTACGAGATCTGCCGTGCTGCCGTGGATGGAAACTACGAGCACCGCCACTTCACTCTCATTTCTGATGATATCGAGTCTTGCAGCTACTCGGTCACGGACACAGTCCCTGTGCGACGGCTACGCGCTTGCGTGCAAATGAACAATCGGGCTTTCGCGGAGGACTTGGAAGCAAAGGGACACAAATACGACCTTGACACCGTACGTTCCAACCATGCATCCAAGTCTTCGGGTCCACGGGCCCTCTCTGGGAAAGAGGCTTTGGGTTGGGTGGGACGGAAGCTCCAACGAGCACGAGGTACAGAGCTGATCGGTAATTTCAATCCGAAAGTGATCGGTGAGTTGTTCTGGGAGCAATCCAGTCCATGGGAAGGCATGGCCAAAGCCCATGTTGAGAGAATTAACACGGCTTGCGTTATGTTTCTCGCAAATCTGTTGGAGTCAATGACAACGCATGAGCTCAAGTCACGAATTTGGTAGGACTATTCTCACTGCAAAACAGCGGGGGTATGAACTGACCAATTTGCTTGTAGGGCTAAGATGGTTGCTGATGTCCTGAAGTCGCGTAAGGAAGCAGCCTTGCAAGAGCTTGAGAGACTCATCAAGGACAAGAAAGCTGTTCCCATCAATTACAACCACTACTACACGGACAACGTTCACAAGAAGCGCGGAGAGAGAATTGAGGCCCAGCTCAAGAAATACGTTCCCCAAAACACCTCACCCGCATCTTCCACGAGTCGGTGCAGCCTAGGAACCCATTACTACCAGTCTCAGTCCGAAACAAAGGACCAGCTGGAGCGGGCAATATCCAAGTGGAAAGACAGTGTTACCGCTGACATGGAGGAGTTCAGCTGCGAGGAGTCGCTAGATTGCCTGGATGCCATCTACAAGGTACCAAGCCATTAGCAAGCCCATTCGCACCTACCGCCATCTAGACTCTAACAATTTCAAACAAATAGGTCCAACTGAAGGTATTCGTCGCCAACGTCACGACCCAGGTCATTGAGCGTCACCTCCTCGCCGAACTTTACAATATTTTCTCACCCATGACCGTCCTCCAAATGTCCGATGCCAAGATACAGGGCATCGTTTCGGAGCCCGAGTCCACGAAGCGCCGGAGAGATCTCCTCTCTCATCAGATCAACAAGCTGGAGGAGGGGCAGGAGATCTTTCGGGGCGTCATGGACCCCTGAGGAAAGCGAAATAGCTAAATGCCGTACTTGGTAAGGTGGCTATTGATATTTGGCCTAACAAGTCGCGCAACATCGATGAAAGGAGGCCAGAAAAGGAGTCCTTGTTGGGCATTCACTCTTCTGATCTTTGGACGTCATGCCAGGAAGATTCTCTTGCGCGTGAGAGCCTTCAATTTTACTTCTTTCTCTTCTTTTCTTGTCTGGACCAGCATAAGAGGACGGTTGGCGCAATTGTCCTCAGTACGTCCTCAGTACTGGCCATGAGCAGGAGACAGGAGCGCACCAGAACTATTTTCCAGGACTGAACGGGGGGATGTCTGTTGTGGGAATGAGAGCACCGGCTGGAAGGCAAAAGAAGGATTTTTTTTAAAAGAAAAGAAAAGACAGGATTCAACAGCGAGGATGTTTCACCAATACTAATTTCGGATCGAGGGGGAGATCGAGATAGTTAATTACAAATGTATACGTGTGTATGACTTAAAGGGAGCCTGTCCAGCGGATGACAGATTTATTCACGATGCAGATGGGCATCCGAGAACGTTGCTCGATAGAGAAAGGAACAAGAGAATGAATACACTTGTCCCGTCTAAGCAAGCACAGCTTGTGTGCCATTAAAGCGCCGAATCAGTCATCGCATGAATGGCATGTCAATCTGCCCGTGGTGCATGTCATCGCTCAGGTCTTGCAACGTAGGCTGAGCGTGTTGGTATCTGGGCTGGAAGAGACTACTAGGCCATAGATCTGCTGGTGAGAGTGGAACTGAAAATGGAAGGAAAGTACTGTTCGAGCTCTTGGACGGTGACCGCTCCGGGACAAATTCAGATGAGACATCGTGCGGCGATCTCACTCACTTTTCTCAATGCCCACAATTGTATGAAGGAGGCACGAAAAGCGGGCACGGCAGTTAATTAGACGACCCCTCGGACTGCAGGAGCAAGACATACTCTCGTTGATAGGCTGGAAGGTTCGTATAGCTTAGATTCTCGGCGAACGGGGAGAGAAGATGCGGACTCTTCTGCCTGATGAGCACGAGATGTGACTTGGCCATCAAAAGCCAAGGAGTTCATCTCGAGAGCTGTGGAGGATGGGCAACAATACATGGAATATACGGAAGCTGAGGTGAGCGAAATCCAAATATATCATGGCACAGCAATATTTTGGGCCTGCACATAACCTTGGAGTTAGCATAGAGAGACTGGGCTTTGAATGATGTTCGTTTTTCCGACAAGCATACTCATTCTAGGTGTCTCGAGCGTTCTAGCCAAGCGGAGTCCAGCCTTATTGGTGTGCCCCTTGAAGCCCTTCGACGCCCTGCCAGTAGTGGTGTTCGTATCCGTAATGCAGACCTTCCCGCTGGTATAACTTTTTCCATCTTCCTGGCTTGCCTGTCCCGCGTGGTGTATCTGGCATGACCTAACGCCGTCCTGATGCGGAATCTGTGCACGCAAGTCACATGGCCCGATCATTTCACCGCAATGAACGCCCTCATCGCCTTGACTGCGTCGCCCTCGTGCTGCTTGAGCAGATCGGTAGCCTTTGGCTTCGTCAAATCTAGCTCGTCGACCTGCGCAAGAAGTCATGTCAGTTCCTGATGCTCATCCCGTTGCAGCTCCGGCCTCGCGTGAGGCTTGTGGTCAGACTTACCAGTAGGGTGACGTCGGCCGGGTCGACCTTGACCTTCTTAAGGTCCTTGTTCTCCGCCGTCTTGGACACGCTGAGCTTGTTCATGGCCTTGCTCAGGCCCTCCTGGTCCACGGAGGCGCCGGCGACATCGTCGTCCCTCGCATCGAGCTTGGACAGCGCTGCGGCTGCCTTGCGGTCCTCGGCGGACTTTGCCTTGTCCTGGACTTCCTCCTCGACTTCACCGGTGGCGCCTTCGACGAGGCCTGGCGGTTGCTTCTCCTCTGCCATGGCTGGGTGGTGAAGATGTGTTGTTGTTGGGTGTGTGAGAGTAAATGTCTTGACTGTACCTTGGTTTCGTTGCTTCAAGCATTGGACAGGATGTGGGGGTGGGGCACTTCAATGCCGGGGTTATACCCTGTTGGGTCTCGACGACCACCCTCCCCCAGTTCGCATGGCGATGCGGAGGCTGGCCATTCCATGCCGCATTTAGCCTTTTCATTCAAGACCAATTTTAGACATCAATACTCCGTGACACGCCACGAGGTTTCTAGACTGTGTCCAAAATAGGTGTCACTCCTTTGCTGTCCTCTCGAGACGAGACCTGGCAGTGTCCCAGTCTACTTCAGTCCTTCATTCTCACGAGCAACTTGACAGCCAGAAAGATTGTACGTCTCTCAATGCGCAGTGTTGCGTCACACATGCTGACTCAAATTATATAGGACTTCTCACTGAGTCACTCACTCTCTCACTTATATCCGTCCCGAGTGAGATCAACTACCTTTCATCACTCCAATTACCACCACGACATAACCATCATGGCGGCTTCCGACAGCAAAAGCACTGGCAGTGCTGCCTGGTCACCAGATTCGTGGCGCTCAAAGCCAATCAAGCAATGCCCCGAGTACTCGGACCAGAAGCCGCTGGCCAAGGCCACCGCCGAGCTGAACCGCATGCCGCCGCTGGTGACGCCCATTGAGATCCTCAAGCTCAAGGCGCACCTCGCGGACGTTGCCAGGGGGGAGGCCTTCCTGCTGCAGGGCGGCGACTGCGCCGAGCTGTTCGACTACTGCAACCAGTCGGCCATCGAGTCCAAGATCAAGCTGCTGCTGCAGATGAGCCTGGTGCTGATTTGGGGCGCCAACAAGCGCGTGGTGCGCATCGGCCGCATGGCCGGCCAGTACGCGAAGCCGCGGTCGAACCCCACCGAGATCGTCGACGGCAAGCAGGTGCCGTGCTTCCGGGGCGACATCCTGAACGGCTTCGACCTGGACGAGCGCGAGCTGGACCCGGGACGCCTCGTCAAGGCATACCACCACTCGGCCGCCACGCTCAACTACGTCCGCGCCGCCCTCGCCGCCGGCATCGCCGACCTGCACCGCCCGCTCGACTGGGAGCTGGGCCACGTGCGCGAGCCCGAGCTCAAGGCCAAGTACAGCCGCGCCGTCAACTTCCTGACCAACATGATGAGCTTCATGGAGACGGTCGGCGCGTCCGGGTCCAGCTCGAACCTCGACACCGTGGACCTGTTCACCAGTCACGAGGGTTTGGTTCTGGAGTACGAGCAGCCGCTGACGAGGTCCTTCTCGTCCGCGTCCATTCACGGCGGGCGCAAGGCCGCCGTCACAGCCAGCGCGGGCGCCAATGGCGAGCACGTCAACGGCAAGCAGCAGCAACAGAAAGAAGAAGAGCAGCAGCCAGAGAGCCAGTACTTCGACACGTCGGCACACTTCCTGTGGATCGGCGACCGCACGCGGCAGATCGACGGCGGGCACGTCGAGTTCTTCCGGGGGATAGCGAACCCGATCGGCGTGAAGGTAGGGCCGACGACGCCCGTGAGCGACCTGCTAGAGCTTCTGCGGACGCTGAACCCGGCGCGCGAGCCGGGAAAGATCACGCTGATCACGCGGTACGGGGCGTCCAAGGTGCGGTCGCTGCTGCCGGCGCACATCCGGGCGGTGGAGGACTCGGAGTACCGGCGGAGCGTGGTGTGGCAGTGCGACCCGATGCACGGCAACACGCGCAGCACGGCGGCGGGCATCAAGACGCGGCGCTTCGGCGACATCTTCAGCGAGCTGCAGGAGACGCTGCGCATCCACAAGGAGGAGGGCAGCTACCTCGGCGGCGTCCACCTCGAGCTCACGGGCGACGCCGTCACCGAGTGCATGGGCGGCAGCGTCGGCCTGGACGAGGACGACCTGTCCACCAACTACACCAGCTTCTGCGACCCGAGGCTGAACGAGAAGCAGGCCTTGGAGCTGGCCTTCTTGATTGCGGATCACTACCGGAATGAGAGACAGGTTGTCTGAGTGGTGTCTTTCTTCTGCTGCTGTTTGGTTTTGGGACTCTTTTATATGCACGATGGGCACTTGATGCAAAGTGGACACGCATGGCGCTTGGGTTGGCATTTGGCATTTGGCATTGCGGAAAATTACGCTTGGAATGGAAAAAAGTCGGAAAAGATCAGGGTAGCTTTCCTGTGAGAGAAAAAGTATCAAATCATCTATTTCATATCCCCTGGCTTCATACCAGTCATGCCAGCACCGATGTGTCTCTGCCATCGCTGACAGACTCTATTCACCTCCAAAATTCATGAAAGCCACTTCAATCACGTCTGGCACTCATCACGAGCATCACAGCCTCCAAAATCGATGATCTTCACCACCACCGGGGAATCCCTCGCACCTTCACAGTGACAGGATTGTCTGCGCGCCCTCGAAGGCATCGCCGGCCTCCAGCGTCTGCCATCCCTTCACACTGCCAGCCTCGATGCAAATCATGTTCTTGTAGCCATCCTTGGGCGCGAAGTCGCCTATTCCGGCAGCCTTCTCGGACCAGGGGTTCCAGACCACTAGGTCGGTCAGGTTGTCACGGACGACCGAGTACACAGGCTTACCGCCCTCGATGACCTTGACTGGCTCACGGGGGCCCTTGGCGGGCGTGTAGACGCGGTCTGTCTCGCCAGTGATGGTGATAGCAGACGATTGTGTCTTGACCTTGAGGGAGTCGACCTTGTCGACATACTCCGAGGCGTCGAGGCCCTCGACGGAGACCTGGGTGATATCCTGTAGCGAGTAGGTCAGCATTGGCCTTCCTCTTCATGTCTCCCTGATTATTCGCCATGGTAGCGACTCCGACGTACCTTGACCCTCAGATAAGTGTGCGCCAGCACCTGGAACTCCCACGGCTTGTCATCCTTGTTCGTAATGACCAGTGACGTGGCGAGGCTACTCCGCTCCAGGGTGACGCTGTAGATAATGTCGAACTCATAGGGCCAGAGCTTCTTGGTGTCAGCGCTGAGCGAGGAGCTGCTAAGTCCAAAGTCGAGCTTGACAGAGAGATCCTCGGCGGCGGAGTTGCTGGCCGACTCGCTGGTGGACTTGCCCAGGAACTCCCACCGCGACGTGCGGGCGAAGCCGTGCTGCGGGAGCTTGGACGTGGCGGCGTGGTCGGGTGCAGTTCCGAATACCTAGACAAGGCGGTGGTGGCCAGCACCCCCGGGTCAGCCCAGTCCCACCCACATACAGCAAGCTAGGGGGGAGTGTGTATATGTAAGCTTACAGGGAACACGATCGGAATGCCTCCCCTGACCGCCTTGCTCCCGTCCAGAGCCGCGCTCTCGCTCAGCCAGAGCTTCTCGTCGCCGCTTGCATCTTTCCAACTGAGGACGGTGGCGCCGTGCAGCAAGACCTCAACGGTCTCGCCGGTGGGGAGGGCAGCCTGGACGCGGCCGTCCTCGATGTTGACGGTGGGCTGAGCGTGGGACTGTTGTGGCGTGGCTGCCAGAGCCGAGGGCTTGTTGGGACGGTCGACCATTGTCACTTCTGTACTTGTTCTCGTCTAACGGCAGCGGCACTTGGAGCAGCCGTTGTTGTTGTTATTGCTGTTGTTCTTGTTGTGCTTGTGATATGGTGGTGTGGTGGTTGCTTTTGTTGTTGGTTGTTGTTAGTGTAAATAAGTGCTGGATGCTATGTCCAGCTGGTCAGAGAATGGGCTGGAGCTGTAGGCTGTAGGCTGTAGGCTGGAGGTTACGGGAAACTAACTGTTCTGGGGAGCTTGCTGTTGGCAGATGGGTTGATCTATCGTGTTTTGTCTTTGTGTCAAAGAAGCTTGATCCCCTGTCTCGACACCTGTGGAAAGATGTCATGGCGGGGTAAACCGTCACAGTAAGTCGCTCCCTGGACTGGACCCCTCCCGCCCTCCAGCCCTTTGCTGCAACTCGCAATTGCAACTGCAACTGCAGCTGCAGCTGCAGTCCAGACGACAGGCAGGGGTAGGTCGGTTAGCATATCGTGCACGACTACCCACCCCCCTGACGAAACGCATCAAACCAACCTTTCCCTGCCCTGCACAACACAGCCGCAGTAAAAAGCAATCAGCTATTGGCAGTGTCTTGCCCTGAGGTCGGTCGGTCAGACATTTCACCGCTACTATTATGCAGAATGTCATCTGTTATATTCCGTCTGGACAGACAGCAAGACACCAAGCCAGATAGATGCATATAGGCCATACGCTGGCTGGCTGGCTCGTCGGGGATATCATTATCAACTATTGTACCTTGTTGTACGCTCGCCGTTATTCAACCTGACCTGCTTGGTATCTTATACATGGGCCCAGTGCCGAACTCCTGATAATAAAACACATGCGCCATGCATCTATTTTCTCCCACGCCTCTCCGCTTGGTACAGCTCCTGCTTCATGTCCATGAACATGTCCTCGAGCTGGTTGGTCTCCTCTCTCGTCAGGTCAGCCGACCTTAAGATGCCCAGTCCGTTCTGGAGTAGCACTCGCAGGCTGTCAAACTTGCTGGCACCGTCTTGTCCTAGCTTGGCAGGCTGCCGCTGTACGGGAACCTCTTCCTCATGGGCCGCTTGCTCAACGTGCTTGGCTGGCTCCTCGAACTGTGCAACTAGTTCGGCTTCCAGCTGTGCAGATGCAATATCAAGTGGGGCCGTGGCCTCCTTTTCAACAGATGCCTCCGTCTCCTCCCTGGCAAGCTGCGACTGGACAAGCTCCTCATCATCAGTGTGCTCTGATGTTTCGCTTGTCTGCTTGCTAGACTCGATCTGCGGCCGATCTAGTGGCTCAGGGAATGCCATTGAAAGCTCCTGAGAAGCCGATTGCTCACTCGGCGAGCTGCTCCGGCTTTGCCTAGATGTAAGTGAGACATCATTTTCGTACAGCTCGGATGTGTGCACCTCAACGTCACGACCTGTAACAGTAAAACGTCAGTAATGGCAATTTGAAGCGTAACACCTTTGAGCACCGTGTTGACATACCTTGTTGGACAACAGCAGCGGGCTGGCTATCGGGAACCCCGCCTTCGCCTTCCTTGGAGACGAGGTCCTGATGCCTTCGTTTCTTCTCACCGCTGCTGTGCACCGAAAGTGACCGCTTGCGTTTTCTCAGCCAACTGCCATTGCCAGGCGAAACGTTCTCGAAACCGTCTTGCGAGCTCGATCTCGCTAGCTGAGCCATAGGTGTCCGAGGCCGGCCTACCGAGCCCTGTGAGCTCACCGAGTCTTGCGTATCTCGTGACGTCTGGAGCTGCGTCGAGACCGAAAGTCGTTGGGACTTCTTCGAACGACCGCGACGTAGCTGAGTGGGTGCTCCGCCCTCGACGATGATGCAATCCATGTCCTTCGCTACCTCCTCCGCAGCCTTCTCTGTAGCGTTTTCTTCGTCCTCTGTAGCATGCTCGGGTGATTCGGGCAGAATGTCATCGTAAGACGGAACGTCCTTCTTCTTGGGCGAGCTCCTGATTTCAATTTCGAAGCGCCCTGTCCCAATGTTCCTCAAACCGTTCTCGAAAGAATCACTGACGCTGAATGACTGGCTGTTTCCTTTGGTCCGAGGAGATTTGCGCAGTGTCATATGTGAAGAGCCTGGCCTAATCCTCTGGCTTGGTGTGGGCGGAAGAGGACTACTCGGGGCATCCACAAACTCGTCATTGTCAGATCTCGGGGTTACTTGGAATGTCTTGGACCTTAAGGCCCTTCCGGAAGGAGTGTTTGGTGATTTGAGAGTAGGCTGGCCGGCCGGCGCGACAGTTTGCAGCTCAGCCTCGGCTTCTTGATGGAAATAAGTCGTCTCTTCAATCACTTCAGGATCCACCGCGAACTGTGACGACGTCACGTCCTTTTGCTCAAACGTGCGCTCAGCGATGTTCTCCCCATCATCGAGTTGCAGCTCCTCATTGACATCGTCCAATTCCATTGGTTGCGATGTGGAATTTGTCGGGTGCGCTAGGTTTGGAGATCCGGACAACGGAGATGAGGAAAATTGCCATTCATCCAGGGAGTTAGTATTATTGGCTTGAGTCTTCAGCTCCGCCATCAGGCGGTAGCCTCTCGGCTCCGGAGGCGACGACGGGGGATCGGCAGCCAGTCCCTGGTCTTGCTCCGACAACATGATGGGCTGGCCGCGTCGCGGCGTCGGGGTTGACGTCAAATAATCTTCAAATACACCGTCGTGGTCTGGCGTTGAGGCCCGCCCTGGCGCAATGGCCCCCGTGGCCAGCTCTTGCTGGCTAGATCCAGACCTAGCCTTCCTCGTCGCGGCACTGGGACTGGATCGCATGTCTGGGAATAAAGCAGCAGTGTCCCTCTGTCGCTCGCGGGTTTCCTTCTGGCGCTCGGTGAGCAATTGGGACTCATACTCCATAGGGGCTGGCGAAGAATCAATCGCTGCGAATTGTACTTGTGAGTCCTCATGACGCAGCTTAGGCTTTGGAGTGCGTCCCTTCGATTTGATCCTAGCTAGAGGGCTGCTCTGGGCAACCTGGGTCGATTTCGATAGACTTGAAGTAGCTGATCGTCGAGTTGTGGAAGGACGAGATCGTGTGGTTGGCTGTGACTTTGCGGGAGTGACAATCGGAATGCTCGTATCTTCCTGAGATTCCGCGAAATTGGGGCGCACATCTGACCTATCTTGTGGAATTTCCAGCCCGGGACGGACGACATCCACGGAAGAACCAAGGGCAACAAGCACTGTCTCTAATGCCTTTGGATACTGCATCTCCTCGACGTGGCCATAAACATGATTCCACATCTCTGCTGTAATATTGACGACATCGCGGTGGGTGCTTTGGAACGCGGCGCACAACAGTGGCTCGATATTCTCGAGCTCCAGCTGTTCGGCAGACCTTTCTTTTATGATACTGCATATTCGCTCCCACAAGGACTGAGTCTGAGGAAAGTTAGCAATAGCACTCGGGGCCAGCTTCGGACAGCTTCTAAGGGCATACATACCGCTTCTACCACACTAGGAAAATCGGCTCTAGTGATGCGGCGATCCTTATCTTCCAGCCAGCACGCAAGACCACCTTGGATGGCAATCAGGGTCCGAGAGAAGAGATGGCGGTTTCCACGGTCAAAGAAGCTCTTCGTCTCATCCAGCAACTGCTCAATGGGTCCAGAGGCATGTGATTCAACGTCAGCATACAACTTCTTCGACAAGTCCACAAGAAGCTTGTACATATTGTCCATAGGATCGAACGATGAAAGACGGGTGCCTGCATTCGAGGTGCCCCACAAACGCCGTCGTGCGGCATCAGCGGCCTGCTTGTCGCGCGGCTGTGTAGATGCTGCAACAAGCTCGATAGTCGCTCCGATACAATTCGTCGAGATGGCATCGCCATGTTCGTCAGAGATCTTCTCCTTTACAGCTGCCGCCAATGGCTCAATGAGCGCAATGGCAACACCGGCATCGCCAGTCTCATCCCTGACACGACGAAGGGTAGCTTGGAACAGTTGAAGCCAGTGCTGCCAAGGCAAGCATGGCACTGACCTCAAGCCACGCTCAAGAACTTTAACAATATCGCGGAATTCGAGTCCGAGGCTGCCACCACTGCCGGAAGTAGTGCTCTGGTGACTGTGCTGGCTGTGCTCCAGAGACGCTGAGATTTTCGCAGCTGTCATCACCCATGGCCCGGACGGGCAAGGTGCATCGATAGGCAGAAGACGTAGAAGCTCCTGGCTGAGGTCGGCCTGTGCCCTCTCGCTTTTGCCGTCAAAGAAAGGAGAAAAGACGGCAGAGAAGAATTTGATAAACGTGTCATCGTCGGGAACGCTGGGCGGTAGTTGCGATAGAAGGCAGAAAAGATGATGCAGAGGTACTCGTTTCATCCCCTGTTTCTTTCCAGGGCGGTTCGATTGTGCGCCATGAACGACAAATTGGCCATCTCTGGTTTGTAGGAATTGCTTCTCCGTGAATGGGTTGGGAAGAAGGCCGAGAGCGTCTACGAGAATCAAGAGAAGCTCCCGTACGCTGTCCAGGAATTGAGAAGACGTGCAAGTCGTACCGTCGGTCCAGGAAACTGGCCCCACTGTCCAGACCTTGTGTAAGAAGGTGAAAACACTGGCAACAAACTTGGCCGTATCATCATGTAGTTTGACATCCTTCGTTGACGCGGAGGCGACGGAGTGAACAAGCGCCTTCCACAGTTTTTGAAATTGGCTATCAGCCTGGGATATTTCTGCAAACCCCTTTTCCAGAATTGGAGCGACGAGTGCAAAGACGCGTGCTGGGTTGGCCCTGACCCATTTCGACTCAATGGCTGGCAACTCATCGGCCTTGATTAGATTCTGATCCATAATTCGATCTCCCCTCCATACACGACGAGTTTGGCAGTCAACCAAACCAGTTAATATGGCAGCTGCTTGGGTGACGGCCGGTGTGTCGTCCAGGCCTTGGTCAATGAGCCCCTGCATCAGAGGAGCGACAGCCAAGTTCCACGTCTCGTCCAACATTCTCAGATTCATATCTGGCTTGAATGCATAGTAGTAGAAGTTGCAGACACTCCCCAAAACTGAATCGCGAAGACCCTTCCGCTTCAGCAGGCTGAGCAAGGGATCGCGGATGAGGTTGTAGACCAAGCGACCGTCCAAATGAAGGCGGTACGTGAACCGGTTCCAGGCGAGGATAGCCTCTCTCTTAACCTGAGGGTTGGAGTTGTTGAAGGACAGCTGGATGATTTTGGACCAGGAACTGAAGTAGTCCCACTGATGAGGCTTTGGGATGAACAAGGTGACGACACTCCATATCCGTGGCACTGACGTGGATTGCTGCGGGTTCTGGAGCATGACGCGGAGCCGCTCGGTGAACTCCTCGACATATTTCTTATCCTCGAGCGACAGATTGAGAAGCTCCAAGACGCGGCCAACAAACCTCCTGTCCTTATTCAGGGTGAAGGCGGCAGAAAGACCGAGCTTGATTGCGGCCAATCGTATGTCAGAAACACTGCTCAGCATGTCCGTGAATAGGTCTTGTAACCAGTCTGAGTGAACAGACATTTGCTGCGTGCATTGCTTTACCAGCTTCTCGTAAACGACGATACGACTTTGGACAATGCTCTTTCCAGTCAGGTGGTTTTCAATGTTGTGGAGGGCCGCCACAAGGCGACCGACACGGTCGATGGTCATGACCTCCGCTGGAAAGTTCTGTAGAAACAAAGCTTGCATGAGATGCTTGACGACCTCTTTGGAAGCTTGCTCGTCTTCAAAGGTACGAATTGAATGGTCCACCAGGAAGACACCAAAGTCGTAAGAGATACTGGAGGCTATGCCGTGGAAATGCAGGAACGTATGGAGAAGCTTGAGGGCGGATGTGACTAGCAGAGCGTCGACGGATCCGTTTGGCGTCCTGGATGTAAGGTCTCGCTGTATGAACTGCATAAAAACGGTCATCTTGTTCTGGAGCGCAATACGATCAGGCAGATTGCTCGAGGTCTTCAGGCCGCGGAACAACATGGTGTAGGCGTCGACCTTGCATTCCCTGTCAGCCCCAGCGAGCTGCTGCAGGGTCGATTCCAACATGTCGGCAATGTTGACCTGGTCGGATCTATCATCGCCCAAGTAGACCCCATTTGGAGGGCCAAGTCTGTTTGGCGTCGGACAAGGCTTCAAGATGCCCTTGACGGGTCTCGAGGTGCTCGAGGGCAGCGACAAAGGACTTGGGTTCTGTCTCGTCGCAGAGCTTCTGGCTTTGTAGTTTGGGGGTTCCTGGTATTGCGCCTGGGAGGAGAACCCGACCCGTTTCCTCCTTGTGGTCGAGAGCGTGGACGAGGATGTCGGGGAGGCGATGCCTGGAGGGGTTTGCAGGCTCCGAGGACAGACGCCAAGTTGCTCGGGCGCAATCAACAGCTTCGGCAGAGAGTCGAGATCATGGCTGTGGGTTTCTCGTGGAGGGGTGGGCGGTCGTGCTGGTAGTGATCCGAAGAGACTCGAGGGCAGTTGGTCGTCTTCCACCGAACCCATCGCTGCAGCTAGTCGCCGACCTAGTGCGCGTGTGGAGGGAACTGCACGCAGCACCTGTGCTCCTTCACCAAAACCAAGGGCTTATACACCAAAAAAAATAACGTCGCCGCCTAATTGAGGAACAGAACCATATCCAGTTATGGGAACGCCGCTGCCCGTCCTCAATTTGCGATCTACGGTTCGGCGTAGGGGTTCCCAAAACGCGTACAAGGCTGGATGCTGAGCCGAGCGCGTTTCCTGCAGCTCGCTGAGTCGTGACTGAGGAAGGCTGGTGTGAGTCGGGGTGGGGAAGGGGGTGGAGGTTCGCAGGTGGAAAGCTGTCGATTGAATTGAAGACACGAAAAACTGACACAGAAGGGGAAAAAATCAAAAGCATCAGAGTCAAGGTCAAGATCAAGGTCAAGGTCGAGCTTGTTCCATCCCCAGCCTCGGTGAGGTGTCGAGTACTTGGTCTGGACCGCCAAAGGAACGTAGCCTACAGCCTATGGACTGGGTGATCAGAGGAAAGCCTCAAAGCATGAAAGCAAGAAAGCTCGGGAAAAGTGGGGAGCTTCTGCCCATTAAACGCGACATGCAGGTCAGTCGCGTCGAGAGGTGCCAGTCCAACACGCCCCGAGGCTCAGACCCGTGTCCACGCGATTTTTGTGACGGGTTCTAATCTCAGGATCCAGATGGGCTGGGCGGGAAATCCGGTGGCTGGCTGTTGCGCGCTCAGACGGCAAGTAGGGGGTGGGAGGTCTTAGCTGAGATACAAAAAGCATAGGGCTCCCCTGCCCAGGTTGCAGCTGGAGGGGGCAGGCCCAACGCGCGGAGGCCTAGCGGCACAGCCAAAATCCAATGACGGCACTGCGCCATTGTGACCGGCCTACTGCATCACTTAAAGCTGAAGCAAGAAACATCCAACGTCCCCCTTCTTCTTCCCCTTGACCTGACTCCCGTGCCCTCGCTCGCGCGTGCAAGCCTCGTCCTTGCTGTTGGTCTATTCTCCGACATGCCATGATCTCGATCCTGTCCCGACGTTGCTTTTCTGTGTCTTCTGTTTAAAATCCCTGGTCAATTGGGACACTTTTTCTCTCTTTCTCCTTCTCTCTCCCCTCAAAAGCTAGACTGCGCCCTGCCTACCTTCGTGAGCATATCGTCAAGATTCCTCATCTCACTCCCTTCACGATACCCCCATCTCCTTTCGCATTTGTTCTTCTTGCCTCTCTTCGTCTGTCTAGATCTCACTCTCACCCTCGCCGTCGGCAACTTACGTTCAATCTTTCACTGTACTACTCGATTTCAACTCTGTCGCCTTCACCTCGTCCTCGCATACCACCTTCAATCCCTCACTCAATCCGACCTACCATGTCGTCAGTCAAGCGCAAGGCCACTGGTCAGGCTGCTGGCTCCGACCCAAAGAAGCCAAAGCAGAATGCCAGCATCACCTCCTTCTTTGGAGCCCCCAAGGCTGTGCCCTCTACTGGCGCTGGTGTCAAGTCGTCTCTCAATGGTGGCTCTGCCCCGTCTGCTGCAGTACCTGAGCCTGCCGCTGCCAAGTTTGACAAGGCCAAGTGGGTTGCTACCCTGACTGAGGAGCAGAAGCAGCTCCTGCAGCTGGAGATCGATACCTTGGACCCCAGTTGGTTGGCCCACTTAAAGGGTGAGATCGTGACCAAGGAGTTCCTGGATCTCAAGAGATTCCTTGACAGAGAGGCCAGTGCGGGCAAGAAAATCTTTCCCCCACGAGAGGATATCTACTCCTGGTACGGTTGAACCCAACTGCAGCCTCTGATTTTATCACCACTAACGTCCTCTCAAGGTCTCGTCACACTCCCTTCAGCAATGTCAAGGTTGTAGTCGTTGGTCAAGACCCCTACCACAATGTGGGTCAGGCCCATGGCCTGGCCTTCTCCGTCAGGGCGCCTACTCCAGCCCCGCCTTCTCTCAAGAACATGTACACTTGTCTCAAGAACGACTACCCTTCCTTTGCACCACCTCCAAACCGTGGTGGTCTCCTTACACCCTGGGCTGACCGTGGTGTTCTCCTACTGAACACTTGCCTGACGGTGCGCGCTCATGAGGCCAACAGCCACGCCAACCGTGGCTGGGAGCGCTTCACACAGAAAGTGATTGACCTTGTCGCGGCGCGGCGGACGAGTGGTGTGGTTTTCATGGCCTGGGGAACCCCAGCTGGCAAGCGTGTGATGAAGGTCGACAAGAAGCGGCACCTTGTTCTCACCTCGGTTCATCCGAGTCCGTTGAGTGCAGCAAGGGGCTTCTTCACCTGCGGCCATTTCAAGAAGGCGAACGAGTGGCTTTTGACGCGGTATGGTAATGATGGAGAGATCGACTGGAGCTTGGGCAAGCACGATACGCCGACGACAACGGCGGGAATGGCTGCTGTAGCAGCCAAGAAAGAGACCCTCGAGGATGATGTCGACGACGACTGGGAGGCCGAGGCCGCAGCTGCCATTGTTGATGCCGAGAGCAAGGCTAACGCGATGGGCCCACCCCCGACCCCGTCTCCCAGGAAGACCGAGGCTCAGGTCGAGACTCCGGATTCGACTGAGAAGACCAAGAAGATTGGCATTGGCAAGGAAAACGAGCAGATCGACATTCCAGCCTGACTAGCGGCGAGGCTGTTCTACAAACTCCGATAGACCCATACGATCCGCTTCCTCAACACCAAGATCAGGGTCTCGTAGGACAGGCTCTCCCTAGATGACATGCACCTCACAATTTGTTATTTTTGTACGGCGTTCAAGGACTTGGCCGTCAACGCCGTCAGCGGGACGGAATCGTTGCATTCGGGAAATGATGATTGGCATGGTAGTTTGGATGAGCTGTACATTGAACCCTTACATCCAGGGAGAATCATGCTGCAAGAATGAGATTGCATACGTGGGGTGAGAGCACCCCGACGACTTATGTACCTGTATGAATATATGGTATTGCCTGGACTGGCATCTTGTCACGCTTTTCTTGCTATTTCCCCTTCCCTTTGAATGATCTGGTCTAGAGGGGCCACGGGTAGTGAGTAGTCGCACGTTTTGAAGGTTGTATGAGTCTCACACAACCTCTTACGTTCTTCGACACACTTTGCAACTCTTTGCGGTCAGTCACTGTCCGGAACACACAGCCATGCGTTCATGGTTGTGATCCCTTAGTCTCAATAAAAAGAAGCACACGTTTGTGTCCGAAGTTTTCTGCCAGATCCTTTCCATTTGATAATTGTCCATCAGAAGACAACATCACATATTCTGCAGCACAGTCGTCCCGTCTTCCTCTTGAACAGTTGCGCAGTAATGTCAGACCAACTCGACGGTCAATGCCTGACGACAATGGGACAGCCATCCACGCCCCAGCCTCCGCCCCAGCCCCGGAAGCCAACCTCTCCGGCGCCAGTAGCCAGCCTGATCCAGCCCGGGTATACTGATCTAGGACCGCCGCCGCCGCGCCCACTGCGGGCGCCAGTATATCCCTTGTCGAGCAGACCGTTCCTGGACCAGGATATGTCAAATCCTCCGCGCCTCCGAACCAGGAGCCCGCAGCGACCACGCACATCTCGTCCAGATCGGCCGAGCCACGGCACAACGCAGCTGGGGATTCCCACTGCTCCTTCAGCCCCTGCCGTCTCAGCTCTAGGTCCCCGAGAACCCCCTCCCCTTGATGTCCCTTTGCCTCCAGGGCCATCTCTCTACCCACAGGTACCCACCCCTAATCCCACAGTCCGGCCCCTCAGCGTCCCAGCCGAGTGCCACCTCCCGCGCTCTCGAGTCCACCACGCCTCCCTCCAGCCCGGCCAGTCCGCGTACTGCCAGAGGTGCGCCAGGGTCCGGCAGTGCGTGATCGGGCTCGCGGGCGGACGCAGTTTGTGTACTGACTGCCTGCGGCAACACTTCATCGACCGCCTGGGCTAGACGCCGCTCTCCGAGCCTTCCCGGTGCTGCGTGGTGCTTCGGCGTTGCTTGTTGAATGTGCGTAGTTTTGCTGGTGAGTGGGTAGTCTGCGACAACAACAATTCAGCGTCACGCTCGCTGCTGTGTTGCCGATGATTCTGCAATGTGAAGCCGCCGTATGGAGCAGTGGCGAGAATTAGTAGACGTACACTAGTACAACTTAGAAAGAAAGACCGTAGCAGAATACAAAACAGTCAACTGGGACATTATCTCGCCATCACGCTGTGTCACTGCCCCTTCCGCGCAGGTACCCTTTACCCAGAGTGACGCTCAACGAACGGCTGTTTCATTTTGTGCTGCCATCTCAACTCTAATCAACGCGGCATTATTCTAATAATACAGAAAAAACATGCCCCGCAAAACGCCATCCGAAGCAACGTTCCGCTCTGTGTATCCCGGGTGACTAACTACCGCCCCGGGAGGGATGCGCTAGATAAAAAAATGACAAAATAGCCCATGCAATTGTAATGCGCTTTTTGTTTCGAGGAGAGAGTGTGCGCGTGTGTTGAGCATGCATCCGGACAGGCGCCTGAATGATGTATGATAAACCCGAGGTCCGATGTCCGGTCGTCAAACCGCTCCAACCCACTCTGCTCCATCAACAAATGAAATTCTCATACTCCGAACAAAGAAAACCGAAAGCCCGCCATCAAGGAGGTGGGATCATTCCACTAGTGATGTTGATGCCCATCCCCCTCGGCGTGGCCGTGACTGTGTGCCGAGTGGCTGCCGGTGCTAGCGCTCTCGACGGCCGTGTCGTCGCCGGACGTGGAGCAGCAGCCCTGGCCCACGCAGTCGTCGACGCACTCCAGTAGGCAGCTGCCCCCGGCGCACCTGCGCAGCTCCGCGGGCCCGCTGGCATCGCCGGCCAGCTGCCGGAGCTGCTGCTCGGCCTCCTCGGCGTGGTCGTGCGACTCGTCGAGGCAGAACTCGGGCTGGATGGTGGCGCTGTGGATGCCGAAGCCGTGCAGGCACTTCCTCACCCGCTTGGCGAGGGTCATGTACTCCTTGCCCCCCGCCTCAGAGATGGGGAAGGCGACCTGGATGTGCATCGAGGCCACGATCTTAGAGTCAGACAGCTGCCAGATGTGCACGTGGTGGCAGGTCACCACACCGGGGAGGCTGGCAATGTCATCGCGGACGTCCTGGACCTCGATGCCCTCTGGCGTGGCCTGCAGCAGGATCTTGGACGTGGCGAAGGTGAGCGGCAGTGCAGATTTGAGGATGATGAGGGTGATGAACAGAGACACGGCTGGGTCGGCGTAGTACTTGCCGGGCCAGTCAGTCAGCCAGATGATGAGGGCCGTCACAATGACGCCAACATTGCCAAGGGCATCGCCGAGGACGTGGAGAACCATAGCGTTCATGCCCATGTCACCATGGCTGTGGCCATGGCTCGACTGACCTGGCTTGCGAGGCTTGTTGTGGTTGTGCGCATGGTGCAAGCTTGAATCTCTCCTGTGCCGCTTAGGTGGGTGTTCAACTTGTTTAGCGTTGACCGAGGCACCCTTCTTTCCAACCAGTGGCGTAGACTCGGTGGCAGGCTCCTCGGCGACAGCATTTTCCTCATCGGTGCTCTCCGACTCGTCAGTGGAATCATGCGGGCGAGGCCTGGTCGCAGCAATGATGTCTTGTCGGAAGCTGGATGGGTAGATGCTCATGTCGTCAATGTTAGTGACCTGGTTACGGCCACTACTTGCCCGCCTCCGCGATCTGCCGGCGTGCGCTGTCCTACTGCTTGCTCTCTCCGGCGTCTGCTGGGTCTCGTCGAACGATATCCGCTTCGATCCCGTGGATGGGGAGCTCTTATGCTGGAACCTCGACACGGCGACCTCAGGGAGATACTCCAAGACCGGACCGTCATCCTCCTCTTCCTGGTTGGCCCTGCCCTGTTCCGCCTGGCTCAGCTCGTCTTCGCCGTGAGCATGCTCGTGGCTGTGGTCGTGTTCGTGCTCGTGATCGCCGTGCTCGTGTCCGTGCGAATGCCCGTGGCCTCCAAGCACCACAAACCCGACAAGGTTCGAGGCGAGGCCGAAGCAGCCGACAATGAGGATCAGCTTCGGATTGGAAATCTCGGGAGGCTCGAAGAATCGCGTAACGGCCTCAAGGACGATGGAAACGCAAAGCGCGATCAAGAAAACGGCGTTGAAGAAGGCGCCGAGGATCTCGGCTCGCAGCCATCCGTACGAGTACTTGTCGGTAGTGGCCTTCCGCGCAAGGGTGACAGCCCACAGGCCGACCAGCAATGATATGATGTCGTTGAGCATGTGGAAGGCATCGGCGGTGAGGGCAAGGGAGTGGACCACGAAGCCGATGATGAGCTCGACGAGGAAGAAGACGATGTCGATGGCCAGCATGATGCTGATGCGGGTAGATTTGGACCACGCCATTTTTCCTGTCGCCGAGGGCGCCCGACCCTCGCGACGATAGTACCGAGCTGGACACTCAGTGCCCGAGTTTGTTCGTTGGCCGTTGGCCTCGCTGGAAGATGGCGGCGTTGTTTATGTTCTGTGTTTGTGTTTGTGTTGTCGTCAGCCGTGGGGGTCCCTGGGGTCCGAACTCGCAATGTGCAGTTGTGGCGTCGTCGCACACACACAGGCACATGGGGTGCAAACAGGTATGCCCCGATCGGTGGTCGCTGGGTGTGATGCAGTGAGTGTACTGTGCCTGAGTAGGTAGGTATGTTTTGTATAGCGTTGTTGTTCCGAGCAGAGGCAGCAATGGAGCCAGCTGGCTAAGTCTTTGATTGGGGATTAAGTTTTGTGATCGCCTGAGTTTTCTGATTTTCCCCAAGGTTTGTTGGCGAACCTTGAACAGTCTGGAATTGAAATCCGTACGGGTCCAGGTCCAGGCAAGCAGGAGCAGGCCAGGGAGGATTGCAGTGCTAGCCCGCTAGGGAAACCTAATCGCGCTGCCAACAGCGACAGAGTTCGGTCAGATGCAGGGGTGACGACGCCAGAAATAGGTCCCAAGGCAGGTGCAGCCGAACAGAGATGAGATGGGCTTTGGCGGTTTGTTGTCTGTCGTCTGTGTATGGTATGATGTTGCTGCCCACGAGATTTATTGAAGCAAGCCGATGAGCTGCTGTGACACAAAAGTTGGCGAGTGACTACTGCAGAGTCAGTCACAGATTGTAAATTGTAGATCTAGATTGCTGATTGCAGGTTGCAAGCAGATTGCAGATTGCTGAGTACAGATTACGTAGGCATCGGAGCGTGGAGCATGGAGCATGGGAGCGTGGAGTGAAATGGAGTGGAGATGAGAGAGCTGACTCTGGGTCTCAGTGGGTTTTGCAGCAGTATCACCCGTACCATCCCTCTGTGGAATTCGTCCAGACAAGACAAACACCTGTGACATCAGAGCAGACCACATGCATCAACAATGCAATGCGCCATGCATGTGTAGACTAGGTAGTCAATGTGTGTCTGAAGAGCCGCCTTCCTGCCGCCGTCGGGCCATCTCGCTTTGTGGTCTAGTCCCCAAAACTGACACGCCTCTTCTGGTTTGTCAGCCCCGACATCGCCATCGCCACCACCACCGGTGTTCGTCATCTACGCCGAGCACCGATGTGTCACACACGTAAACCTGCTCTTGCTTCTGCTCGGGGGGCGCCAAATTCATCGATGATATTGAAGCATCCGTATTGTGACCTATGTCTAAAACCCGGGACCATCCATGCTGTATTTGGACTATTTTCCATAATTGTTCACCCCTCGAGGTCAAATAGCAGGCCTCGTGAAACAAGTGGCTCTGAAAGTCATTCAAGGGAACCACCTGATACTACTATGCTTCATTCACTTGCACAGACCAATTTGATGATTGATGAGATGATTAGTCCATTGATCAGAGCAAATGTTGGTCGCACAATCGGTATATAATATGTAGCAGGTCGACATGTCTTTGTCTACCTCAACTCGAGTGGTTTGGGTGAGGGGGGAGGGGGGCTGTGACCAATTCAGCACCCAGATTACGTACGACAAGTTTCTTCCAGGTACTGTAGCGCAGATGCCGATATTCTTCCATGCTAAATGCACATTCAATACCATCTCCCTTCCTTTCTTCCCTTGAAGGCCGGGGGGGGGGGGTTCCTTCTAATTTCCACCACTCTAAATACTTCATGGCTCCATTTAGAACATTCAGGTTGAGTGTCAGGAACGATTCGAGTACGTTTAAATTAGACTTATCTAGGCAAGTCCATCTATGGGGTGCGGCTATCACGTTCAGCTAGAAATACATCGCCTTCCAGCTTCTCTGGAGTTATCCACGTAGGGTACCAAAGGTAGTAGACAACCATGACCGTAAACATGAGAACAGAGTCAAAAATATACAACGTCCACTCGTGCCCCAGCAGGTATCCATCGTTACCTGTAGCAAACTCGACAACGCGGAAGCATGATCGGATCATAATTAGAGCGCTGACAATAAAAAGCATACGCATGCTCTTCTGCCAAGGGATGGACGAGTCGCAGGATTCGTTCGTCGGATTGGACTTAATCCGCCTCTGAAAGATGACTGCCGTGGCTGCGAAAAGGCCAAACATGATGATCTGAATCATCAGCCCAGCAATGACGATCCCCTCGCCGAGTTTCGGGTTCTTCCCCGTGACCATGATGCCCGCAGCGCCGCCCTGGACCACGAAAGACAAGACGTCTCCTGAGACAAACGTCCTGGTCAGGTTCCGTGGCTTAATCATCGAGTGATGGTCGGCACGGATTCCGCGAATTATACGGCTCAGGCACATGTATATAGATGCTGCGAAAAGGGCTGGGCCGAGCAGGATGAAGAAGTTCTGGACGGCATACGGCATGATCCGACCCGTCTTGTTGTGCGCTGAGGTTCGTGCACAATATCCGGCAAACTCAACTGCGCCGATTTGTCAGTTCCATGATCACAACCTTCTGTAGGTGCAAGATACTTACAGAAACCACCAATCGCGAATGGGAGGCAGAACCAGGTCTTGGTCTTGTACATGCGCCATGAGATCACGGCCGTCATGCCGAGAAAGAGCAGGAGGAAGATGACAGCGGCAGGAACCGAGGGTAAATAGTTCCAGAGGTAGTAGCCTCCCTTGGTAGGCTCCAATTGGGCCATGGTAGAAATTTATGTTGGCGCGAACGGCACGGGTTGATGATTTAACGAGAGGCTGGAAAACGAACGAGAAAAGAAAAGGCGCGACACGAATGTTAAAATCGGAATGTAGAAGCATGGAATGACCCGATGGATCACAAGAGGATTTCTATCACAAGATATACAAAGACAGGTCGCACTGCGAAAAAGCTTCGGTAGACGAGGCCACCATTTGATGATAACAATGCGACGACCGCTGGGGTAGAGCGTATTGACATGAATACGACGTATTTCAAGGTGGTGCAGCCGTGTAAGTGGCCGGGGTCCGCACGAAGTACACCCGCAGCCAAATACGGCTGCGACTCGATACGCCCCAAGCTAAACGACGAAATACGACACCATGCGTATCCGCCTGGAACAAGCGATACGTCAAACATGTACTCGCGTCGACTCTCTGACCGAGCCAAGCACATTCTGCATGTGTCAGTGAGTATTCGCAGATATTCTCGACAATCAACACAGTTGCTCACATCTTGCAGGATCTTTGTGACCGAAGACAACAGCTGGCCGCTGGGCCAGAATGTCATCACAGAGGCGGCTAGGAGCAACGTCGTATAGGATTGGCAGATACGAATAAAGCACGAGACACTCCCAGTTTACCATCAATTTATACGCACGCAACTAGGAAGCACATGACCTGAAGCCATTTCAAAGACAACTTTCTTCTCTCTAGACATTTTCTCCTTTCTAAGTGGTGATATTCACTTTGCTAATCAAATCAAAGGGATTATCTAGCATGCGTCAGTCAAGCATTGCTCAGCTCTCTTAGAATCTTTGCGGGCCACCGACGCCGCGAAAACCCAAATTTTTGAAAGAGTTAAATTTCTCAAGAGCAGCAGGATACGAAACTGCTCTGATAGTCCTATAGTATGTACAAAGAGGTATCTTTCGTGTGAGATTAGGCAGCAGCCTACCCAGAAGAACCCGAGAAAGAAGAGAAGAATTCCTGTCCTACAACGAACCCCTGCCCACCCTCCTGCCTGTTGCTCGTTCTGTCACCAAACCCTCAAGTCACCTCTGCATATGCCAAAGCTGTGGTATATAAAAAGATGGCCACAAACGCCATTTGGTAATGCCATGCTCTACTGACACCTCCAAGCATTCTCATCAGTGTAGTTGCCAGGACCAACATAGACATTGCTGCTAGGGTATTTGCAATGCTTCCGCTTGAATGCAGTTCCCGAGCCTGGCAGCCCGGTGTTAAAGCTGGTGCCGCGGATGTACTCTGGAGCTTCGCCGCGCTCGACCCACGCCACAATGCGGGCCAGTACGTTGTCGTCTGGGTCCTGCTCCATAGCATTTTGAATAGAGCCGAAGGAGTACATTCCCAAGCCATACGCGCCATTCCCGAGTGCACAGTGACTCATGCCGCTCACGCGGAAGTAGCGATAGAACGAATCGAGAGAAGACGGGGCAAGAGACATGGTCTCAGCTAGTCGATGATAATACAAGGTGCTGATCTCTGACGAAATGATGTAGTCTTCCATACCGTGGAAGGTGAGGAATTTTCCGCCCCGGCGATTGAAAGCCGACAAGTCGGCATCAAAGGTACTGATATTGTAAGGGTCTTGCGAAGCGGCGACGGCAAAATCCTCGCGCGTCAGAGTCTCTGGGTCAAACTCGGGGTCGTAGACGACGTATTTGAACCACTCTTCAGCAAGGACTGATACTTGGCCGGAAAAGTATGTACTATAGCTCACAGTCTCGGTCCCTGGTTGGAGGCGCGGGTACAGGAGCGTACCATCGATACCGTATAGAGGCTCGTATAGAGCCCGGACTCTGGCAGCTTGAACGCCATTCAGACAACCAGTGGTATTAGTAGCGTCTGTTGTGCAAATCAAACGCTCAAACTGAGGATGACAGACGTCTGTGTTCTCGATGATGCTGTGCGTGACATAGTCAGTAAATGATGTCGGTGTTTTTTGAAAGTGTTGCAAGCATACCCATCGACTGCTCCATCCAAGCCATCACACTGGTCCAAAACCTCTTCATGAATGATCTGCCAAAGGTCCTCGCCAATAAAATCCGAGGAGCTAGTGTTGAAGCCGGCTATAGTGCTAAGCCAGCCTCCGAAGTTAATGAGGTTGTTGAAGTTGATGGCTGGGGCGGCAGCAACAATGCCATCGAAAACCTCTGGGAAGGACTGTGCCATTTTGAACCCTTGTCTGCCTCCTCCAGAGCAGCCCATGAAGTAAGACTTGGAAACGCTGTCCCCATAAAAAGCGCCAGCTACCTCCTTGCCAACGACTCCTCCGGTGTAGATTGCGCGGTAAGCATAGTCTTCCAGCACCTCGGGCTGCTGGTACATTGGTGCCGCAGACGAGCCGTTGTGGCCATTGTTCCCACTGACTGTTGCGAAGCCTGAGGAGGAGCCATAGGACAAGTCGACATACTGGACGCAACCAGAGAGGCCACCATTGCCTCCGCTCAGAAACCTGCCGGTCCAATTAGAGGGGAGCCAGGCTTCCAGAGTCATGCTGCTGCTGTCGGACGTGTTGACCAGCATGGCCACACGGCAGACCTCAGAGCGGATGATCTGATTAGGAGAGGAGCCTTGGGATTCGATACATGATTGCGGCTGCAAGCGTCTGTCAGTAACTTCGGACAGAATTATTAGAACTCTCGGCTGCAAACCTACAAAGTCTGGAATAGACAGGTTGTAGCCCACGGGAAGATATTGACTGAAGTGAACTTTGACATTGGGGATATCTGCCTCAGAAGCAAATGCAGAGCACGACTCCTCGAAGGTACGATTTGAGGAATACGCATGGAGAGTGGGCAGGAAGGCAACGGCCGCCAGCAATGCAAGAGGCTGGGAATAATGAGGAAAGAAAATCATTGCGTCGAAGCAACCAGTGGCTTGACAGACTGATGCTGTTCTTACAGATTGGTTATCTTGAAACATTGCAGTCACTTGTTTATATGCATGTTAGCAAATCTTGTGGTACATGTCCAAACCGCATATGAGCTCGTATTCAAAGCACGGCGTAATGTGGGTGTGCAATGCGTATCCGGCAGCGCCAGGGGGTGGCCCGTGGGTGGCCCGTGGGCGTATTCGACGTCGTATGAAAGCCCGGCACCGTCCACTTTCCCGCAGCTCCAGGTTCTTGTCCTCATCCTCACAGACTCTTCGTTCCCAACCCGCGCGTATACGTCGTATACGCTCCTACCGCTCTTGCTGTTCGTCGTATAGCATCGCATCTGACAAGACTCGCCATGCCACGCCGCACAGCACCCATACGCAGGCCACACAAGAAGTCAAGATTCGGTTGTCAAGAGTGTAAACGTCGCCACGTCAAGGTAGGCAGGCAGCTTGACCTCATTTCCACACGTCCACACCTTAGTAACACAACTTGCTAACGCATCGTAATCTCCTTCTCCCAGTGTGATGAAGCCCGTCCCACATGCGGCCACTGCTTGGCTACCCTCAAGCCCTGCGTGTATCGGTCTCCGCCACCACGCACAACTCGGGCATCCTCTGTTCCAACGACGTTGCGCCCGAGCTCTCCTGCCGCTACCACCTTTCCCGGTGATGCAAGGTCTGCGACGTCTGCGCCTTCACCAGCCTCCGTGGGCCTGAAGCCATCTACTCCGTCAAATCTCGGGGCCTCCGTGGCTTCCCCAAGTGCAACGCCAACATCGTCGGCACAATATGGCGCCTTGGACCCGCCTCTTAACATGCGTCACATGCAACTATTCAGTCACTTCATCTTCAGCACAGCCCCAAGTCTCGACGATGGGCCTTCCCCTGACCGGGAACAGCTGCAAGTTATGATGCCAGCTGCGCTCTCTGTCCCGTATCTCGTGTATGAAATGCTTGCATTCTCTGCACTGCACCTCAGCCACACAGATGCATCTCAAGCGGACTACTACCGCGAGGAAGCCACCGCCCTGCAAACCCAAGCATTGTCCCTGTTCAACAACTCCCGGCCAGAGATTACAGCTGACACCTGTGCGCCCATGCTGATGTTCTCGGGCTTTCTCGGCATTTATACGCTCGCGGAAGCAGTCACGGCTTCGAGGGCTGACGGAAACGTATTTCTGGATAAATTCGTCACGTATCTGAATCTTCACCGGGGGGTTCGCGTCGTCACAGAACGAGCATGGAATCTCTTAGGGCAGTCCAACCTCTCCCCTGTTCTGAACCGTGCAGAGCGCACATTAAATGCTGTACCCTCACGGCAGTCCCAGGAGCAAGCCACAACAATTTCTGACCGCCTGCAAAACATGTTGGATAATGCAGACATGGGTACACAGTCCAATGCGGCCTGCCGTGACGCTGTATCACGACTGAAGCTCGTTTATCAATCCGAGCTATCGAGAGCAGAGATGTCTGGAGAGGCGCAGTCAACCAGCGTGATTTGGGCTTGGCCTATCCTCCTGTCAGGCGTGTTCACCAAGCTTCTGATGGAGCGGCGGCCCGAGGCACTCATCATCCTTTGTCACTATGCAGTACTCCTTCACTGGCGACGTCGCATATGGCTTGTTGGGGATGCAGGCCGATTGTTAATCGAGGAGATGACAAGGTTCTTAGGCACGTACTGGAAAGAATACCTGGAATGGCCGAACCAGATGCTGGAGGAATCATGATGATAATAACTGAGCCGCATTTGGGTATTGGAAGTAGCGAATATGCGGCGTATACGGCGTATACGGCTAGAGCATTTTTGGACTGTAGAGCTTATACGAGGGCTCGGCAGGATACGATCAGAATCGTTATGTACGTGCTCTGTTCAATTAATTTATCAAGGCGGGCCGATTCATGCACTCCGCGACGATCGACCTCAGCTAGGGCCCCTAATTTCCGGCTTGTGATTGCTCTTTGAGGCGGTGGTCATTTCGGTCTCTACCGTCGTTAGAGCTCTCACAGCAACTCATAGTAGACCCGAGAGTCATTGTGAGAGAACTGCCCTTGCACGACTCTACGGTACTGTCATGGGTCCTGCCATTAGTACGTATGTGCAGCAAGGATAGATGTCATTGGAAATAGGCTCCTAGGGGCCCTCTGAAGACGTCGGTACTACGAGGCCCAGGGGTAGATGCTAAAGCGCCTCAGTGACTCTGTAAATTTGAACAGACAGTGCGAGCGAAGATACGGCTGGTTTCCGCTTGTCTTTTGGTATATATGAAAGCTCACGCTTGACCAAAATCTCTTGAATTCTCGCTTCAGGAAAGGCATGTAATGCAATTCATATTCGCTCCGCTCTCTTTACCCTTCCACTCCAACAAGATGAATAATACAGCGGTTCCATTGTCAGCATGCGCGGCCAGTGCCATCCCTTACCCCACGGTGTTTGGCGCAGAGATTCTTGATTTATCTGTCAATCTTGTGCAAAACTTCACCCGAGAGGTATCCGATCAGCTTTTCTACAACCATCCCTCCGTCTCTCTGAAAGGTATCGACTACTGCAATGTCACTGTCACTTATACACACCCGGGCCAAGATGACACGATTAATGTCGAAACCTGGCTTCCGATGAATTCTTGGAACGGCCGTCTTCAAGCTGTCGGCGGCGGCGGGTACGTGGCTGGTCGGTTCGCTTTGTCGTACACCGCCATGGCTGGAGCTCTTGGAGAGGGCTATGTTGCAACAACTACCGACGGCGGTATTGGATTGAGCTACGTTCCTGATCCGTGGGCGCTGAACAGTCCCGGCAATGTAGACTTGTACGCCCTTCAGAACCTTGCCTCAGTATCACTGAACGATCAGGTATGTATGGAGCATCGATCACTCCTGGATCTTGCTGACTCGGCCTGCGTTCTAGTCCATCATCGCGAAGGACATCATCAACAACTTCTATGGGCAGCCTGCCAAATACTCATACTGGAGCGGCTGCTCTCAAGGCGGCCGTCAGGGGTTCATGCTTGCTCAACGCTATCCGGAGGCCTATGATGGCATCGCCGCCGCGGCTCCAGCGTTCAACTGGGGTCAGTTCATTCCAGCAGCCTCGTGGGCGCAGGTCATGATGGATATTACGGGGCAATTTCCCCCCAAATGCGAGGTAGATGCGCTCACGGACGCCGCTGTCGCAGCTTGTGATCCCTTGGACGGTGTTACCGATGGACTCATCAGCGACCTCGCAGTTTGTTCCTTTGATCCATTCTCGATGGTCGGAAAGGTAGTCAACTGCACTTCGACCGGCGAACAGGTCACAATCAGCAACGCCTCTGCAGGAATCGCCAACCTCACCTGGACGGGGCCTCGGAAAGGCAATGGGGACTTCCTTTGGTATGGTGTCGACTACCAAGCACGGCTGACGGGTGCGGACAACCCGGCGGGCACCACATCTGATCTTGGCTACGCAACGACGACTTGCGATTCGAATGGGACATGTGTTGGAGCACCCACTGGGCTCGGTGAGGCCTGGTTAAAGTTCTTCGTGCAAAAGAACCCCGAGTGGAACTACACTATGATTACCTCGGTTGATGAATATGCACGCCTATTTCAAGCTTCTGTTCAACAGTTCGATTCCATCATCGGAACGTCCGATGCTGACCTGTCCAATTTCCGTGACACGGGAGGCAAGCTCATCACTTATCATGGTCTAGTACGTCACCAAAACAATCGAGCGGTTGTCTCCCTTTACACGATCAACGAGCTCGCAATTCTCCCATGCTAACTCAAATACTACCATAGGCTGATGGTCTCATCCCGACCAAAGGGACCAGCGACTACTACGACCGTGCCATGAAGCAGACACCTGACGTCAAAGACTTCTTCCGCTACTTTGAAGTTCCAGGGCTGGCCCATTGCTCCGGTGGATCTGGAGGGCAGCCGACGGCGACATTCCAAGCGCTGGTCGACTGGGTCGAGAACGGCATAGTCCCAGCGACACTCCCTATCAAATTCAATGACACTGCTGGGACGGAGTACGATAGGGTTCTATGCCCTTACCCGGAAAAGGCACGACTTGTTTCCGACTCTGCGGACGTAACCAAATCCGAGTCTTACCGATGCTCAGTATAAGTGCTGTGATTCCAGCGCAGTTTGTCCTGACTATAAAAGAGTACTTGTTTGCTCAAGCTAAGTCTTTCTTTCCTTGTTGGTCAAAGCTGGATATCATATAGCCAACCTGGATTCTGTCTCCTCTTGGAAAGCCTTTTCTACCTTTGATTCTCTTTATGTATTTATTATCGATGGGATACCTACTAGTATAATTGACTATTATCATCAAAAGCATGGAGACCAAGCTATGGCGCGAATATCAGATCATGTTAAATTCTTGTCAAAGAACTCTATCTTGGATTCTTTCTACGTAATGTATTATCAAAGTGTCGTCTATGAGCTTCCTTTATAAATAATGCAGCTCAGGATTCGAGCTTAGGTACCCAGGGTCCACTCCATCTCTGGTACGTTTAGATCAGAGCACGTCTAGGAAAGGAAAAGAATATATATTGCATAACTTTTTTGGAAGACCCCGTATACAAGGTACTTGGGTGGAGCATCAGCAGGAATCAGTCCCACGGGGAACGAGCGTTTCAAGGCAAGAACTTAGTGCTTCATTTTAGACATACAATAGGGCACAGAAATTGGAAGCGATCACAATGAGCCTTCTTGTTGGCGATCCACGGGCTCTCCTCAGGCTTACAACGTTTTCTTCAAAGTTTACCAGATCCAAACAAGTCCAGCTCGTTCGATCTCCAACGGACAGCACGAAGGCTGGCATGAGATTCAAGGTATATCCAGTCGCCAGTTAATTCACCAATGTCGAACTCACGTCCTGCATCCTGCCGGCCTTAGAAGTTGCAAAGTGGATAATCTCTCTGCCGCTCAGTCTCCACTATGGTACACGAGACGGCAAACAAGTGGGGTATTTGAAAAACAGCATTGCTCCAGTGTCACGACCTGCCCGGTCGACAATATTTGTACGGATCAGCAGGGCATTGGCGTCTGATTCGCGCGGCTTTCTTAAGATCACCCACCCAGGCAAGCTTAGGTCTTTTATCTCGGGCTGGTCACCCACAACGATCTGAGGAGAAATCAAAAAAGCTTTTCCATAGACGGAGGCCAGAACTTGTAACTCGAGTAGGGGCCAACATGATAATACATGGCTCAGCATGCCATCCGGACAAACTGCCCAAATGCTGGCTGTCTTTGCGAGAAGCCAGCAAGGGACGAGCTGAACGTCGCCGCCGCCACAAATACCCCATCGACGGTTGAGATAAGGCTCCACGAGGAATGGTACGGTCGAGAGGAGCGATATGTTGCTCGGCGCGGTCTTCCGGCTGGCGAGCTCCTCAGGCAGAACATATACCTGCCTGTCCGCACTCGCATCCCGACCACGGTCTTTGTATCGGCTTCGAGCCAAACCTCGCAACCTATCGACTGCGCTGTCACAGCACGGGAAGACTACCGGCCAGGGCATAGCCGACACCTGGTAGACCGGATGTGATCTGAACAAAGCGGGGGTCCTGATAATTTGTGATGGGTAAAGCTCGTCATACGCACTCATGCATATGCGAAGCTTGCCTCTTTGGCCATCACGAAGTTTCTTGTCGGACCAGGCTTCCGGAAAATTCTTGGCGACATCTTGATGGTCGTGCTTTAAGTATGCTTGAATGTGATTCTATCAAGCTCGAAGAGGCAACGGTGGGTAATATCGTGCAGGGCTGCATGCATAAGACCGATTACACCATGACACATTAGTCTGGGGAAAAGAAGTACCGATGTCAAAAAAGAGCTTGATTATTGAAAGGGTTTACAGAAGGTAGCGCTGGGAGGACCGATCATCTCGAGACACGAAGCCGATGTCACTGGAGACGGGTTTGACTACCCAGAAGATAGCCTTGCTTCCGAATCCATTGACCGGGCGCCTCGAGCCGGAATCTACACTGCATTTTCCACAACAAGGTTTCTTGGGAACCGCATGTGTGTACATGTGGATCCGCCGACCAAGATACCTAGGTCCAGAGCTGGGATTCTGCCTCTGATGGATTTATGCATCAAATTTCGCAACGGGAGCGAAGTTCGGTGAAGCAACCCAAGTTCCTGGGATATCGTGACCAAGCACGGAAAGTCGAGGCGGACATGTCTACCGAGCGGGCATCATGGCAATACCTGGGAGCTCGCCGATCCGACTTCACGTGTACAAGCCGAAAATCATAGCAGAAGACGTCCTTTGGCCAGGATCTGACGCATTCAAATCTGGTACCAGCCCAGCCAAAGTTACAGACCCACAACCGTCGATGTCGATATCACATGTGTCTGGCATTGGCTTTCAACATGAAAACATATTTCAGCTGGTGTTTTTTGGGCCTTATGGAAGGTTGCACTGTCTATGGTGCTCCACCTTGATACGAGAGTCACTGCTTCGGGACGCACCGGCACCTGCAGCCTTTTGCCCAGTCACGCATGTGCTGGGAACACCCAACAGCCGACAATATTTCCGATTTGTCCACAGTCGCGCATGCCACGACAGAATCAATCCCACCGTTTCACTGCATAACACTCCAGGATTCCTTGCAGAGATGTTTCATACATACATCATACATCTGTCAGCATTTCAAGGGCTTCGTGGAACTGCAGCAAAGATACCCGACGGCTGTAGTGCCGCCCTCCCGCGACGCCATGGCGGGTAACTCACAAGTGCCACTTATAAGCATGTGAAATCGTGGCATTGCTATGAACAGGGGCACCGGGTCTCCCTCCGAGAACAACGACAGAAACAGCATGATGGGAATATGAGAAGCTTGCCATTGCCTGCCCACTCCGCATGGCGAATATTGGGGAGTCCAGCACGAGTGGCAACCCGTGATCCGACTCGTTTGGGGCGGATGCTGACATTCCTATCTGGCCCCGTTCTAGAACACCACGCCGTGGTTTGTGGCGCCGCGGCTCGTTTTAAGCCTCCTTCAACGTTTAGCTTCTGTTTCGTGAACAGCCCTACTGGCCATGTGGATCGGATACAGTGGTACGGCTAAATTGTGATTGATGGAAACAGAAGTACCCAACATGTGGTCAACCAAACTCTCGAAAATGCTTATACGGAGAGTGTGCACAGACAGGCTCCAGGGCCCTGGGGCCAAACTACTCTAATCCATCAGGGATTCTGTCTGAGGAAACTACTCTGATAAACCCGACAAGAGGTATGCAGATGGAATAAGCTTACATATCAGCTAGAATCAGATAAGCTTGCCTCAATACCTAGGCGATTCCTAAAAGGAAATAATTTGTCCAACGGAGGTGGATGCCAATTTGGTGAAGCAGCTGCAGGGACAAGACGCGCGAGCTTGCATCTCGCACACCCTCTCAGTACACACAGCAGGTTGTCAACACCTGCTTGATTACAAACCACAGCAACGCAGCAAAGTCAGATGCAGCACGCACATGCATTGCAGGGAGTGTTCCGTTCGAAAGCGGCTCCGGGCGGCCGGGCTTACGTTGTTGAATAGTCGTGATGAAGTCTCCGAGCAGCCAATACGCCGCGGCTCACTGGGTCCTGAGGGGTGGAGTCGCGGGCCGGATTTCCGCACAAGCAGACCCCCACTTGATAACTATCTGCGAGTGGGGCGATTTGGCTCCTGGGGGCATTTGGTCTTCTTACTCTGAAAGAAGCCCAGAGCATTACATATCAGCCGTGCCGTCACGAGCATGGAGTGCTATGAAACTCTTGATGGCGGCACGGCAGATCCCGGCGAGCCTCTACCCATGAACGCAATCTGCATATACCTCGGTTGACAGGTACGAGTATAATCCTTCGAACCAACGATAAAGCGGCGCCCTGCTCGGCTTGGAGGCGGACTTGACGTCGGAAGGAGGGCAGACGGTCCTCGGCCCTGATCAACCTAGCAAAAGCTGAAAGCGTCGCAACTGGAACAGCAGGCATTCGAGTATGTCATAAGCCTGGGCATCGAATTGCTTATGTACTCTAGAACTGTGGTATTCTGGTACCTTGCTGTGCTACTAGAATGTCGGCGGCAGCGGCAGGTGAGAGCCGCCGGGACTACAAACCGCCTCGTGGACAAGGATCCCCGTTCCCAGCCCTCTGTCTCGAGCCGTCAGTCCCGAAGAAACCGTGGAGTGCATTCAGGAACATCGGTTGGGTCTGCCACACCTTCCCACCTCCCACCTTCACCCTGCCTCCACGCCGCAGGCCAAGGATGCTTCCCCTGCCCCTGCACTGCAACCATTGGAGAAGAAGCAGGAAAAGCCCCGAGTGGCGTCTCCTCTGCATGCTCCTCAAGATGTACAAGCTTCGAGAAGAGTTCCCTATTGAGCTCTCATGTTCCGCCCCCGACGCACTACAAGGCCTCTTTCGTAGTCGATCCTCGGCAGCTTGAGACCGAGCGATTCAACGACCAACGCAGATACGGAGGAAAATGTCGCAGCTTTCAGCAGGCATGATCGAACGGGGCCATACCTGCGCTCGTGAATACACGTATCTTCATTCCATCCATCCTTCCATTAGACAAAAGATGGCCAGCTCTTGGGATAGATGGGCCCGTTCAAGGTCTCATCATCCGAACTGCGACCCCTTACAATACCACCGCTCACTCGGTCCGTCCCTACCGATCTAGCTATCCCCCCATTGCGAGCCGCAATAAATTGGATCTCTAAAGCACCAGCAGTCAAGTGACGGAATCAGATGCACTTCAACAGTGCTCACAGGGTCTATCCCTACTCTCCACGCCGGCCCTCTTCCGGTATGCCTCCTCCTAGCTCTCTTGGCTCAATCAATGGTGTCGATCCACACGAGCATCGGGCGGACGTGTCCTGCAGACCACACCACATCTCCAACGTGCTGTTACTTATTATTATCCGTCATATTTCATGTTGATGAATCCAAGGCGTGAGGCACCCCCAAACACAGTTCATCGGTGGTATGAAACGGACCTCAGTGCCAAGGACGGATCTTTATGGCACTTGGGCTCTCACTCGATGGTCTTTCCGAACAATTCATTTGGGGCGGCTAAATCTCGGCAGGGGTGGAGCAGCCATGCTCCGGACCTGCTGATCCATCGCGTACGGCTTATATAGATATCAAGCCATCCCCGTGACTCGCCCTCGGTGTGGGTGTGTTGGTGCCAGTCAGCCAACACACGTATCCAGCCTTGTTCAAGTGAAGAAAGCATTGGTCACTGGTCTTTGATCCATCTTATCTCTTGGTTGATAGTCAGATACCCACGCTCGTTCCATACCCTCGACCTGGAAGCTGGACTTTTTAGCATGTGTTGGGATCCTCGGTCTCACTACCAATCTTCAAAGTTAAGCCAAGACACATCAGAAGTACGGTGATCTAATAAACTGCTAGCCAAGATGGCCATCATATCAGAAGTTGCCAGGGACATGGCTCTGGACAGCGACGTGGACGCTGACTCCTCCCCTCTGGGCATGGGAAGCGCTGGCACAGTTTCCACCCCGGATACAGAGGTCACACCACCGGAGAGTCCTGTTCAAGAGCATCGAAGCCATCTGTCGAGTGAGAGATTGTGGGCCAAGAAGAAACTGTCACAACTCACTCAAGAGGAAAAGGTGAATCGAGGATTGATGCCTCACGATATTATCCGACGAAAGTTGCTGATGTTGGTTAGGTTTCACTTCTCACCGCTGCAGACTTCTGGAGGACGAAAGCCATCAATTCGAAAGGGATCCCAGCAGCAAAAACAAGCGATGGGCCGAACGGTGCCCGAGGAGGAATCTTTGTCGGCGGTACAAAGGTGAGTGACAGATCCCTAAGGCTCCACAATTGGCTGTAAACGTACTAAATGATATCCAGGCAGCTTTATTTCCCTGCGGAGTCTCACTCGCCGCAACATGGAATCAGGACCTACTGTACGAGGTCGGCCAACATCTTGCGAATGAGGTCAAGGCGAGGTCGGCTCATATATTGCTTGCGCCTACTGTCTGCATGCATCGTCATCCTCTCGGAGGCAGGAACTTCGAGTCCTTCTCCGAGGATCCGCTTCTCACAGGGAAACTCGCGGCACAGTACATCCAGGGATTGCAGCAGAAAGGGGTTGCTGCCACTATCAAACGTTCGTGGCACCAGGTTTGAGACTCGATGTGTAATATTGCTGACATTTCGGGCAGACTTTGTCGGAAACGAGCAGGAGACTCATCGATTAACGATAGATTCTATTGTACAGGAGCGGCCGCTGCGAGAGCTATATCTCAAGCCGTTCGAAATTGCTGTGCGGGAGGCAAACCCGTGGGCTATTATGTCGTCGTACAATCTCGTGAATGGTGTTCATGCAGACATGAACAAGCACACCCTGAAGGATATCTTGCGAGGCGAGTGGGGCTATGATGGGTAAGTCGTCTGTTTTGTCACAAAATAAGAAGCAGAAACTCTGACCATGCCCACAGGACAGTCATTTCAGACTGGGGCGGCATAAACTCGACCGTGGAGTCTATCGTGGCTGGGTGCGACATCGAATTTCCCTTTTCGACAAATTGGAGGTTTGAAAAAGTCCTAGACGCGCTTAAAAGCGGAGATCTCTTGCAGGCGGACATCGACCAAGCTGCTGAAAATGCGCTGACACTGGTCCACCGAGTCACGGGTGGCGAAGCATACACCGAGGAGCCAGAAAGGCAAGACAACCGGGCCGAAACGCGGGAGTTGATCAGGGAGGCTGGAACTCAAGGTCTGACGCTCCTCAAGAACGAGGGCGGCATCCTCCCGATCAACCCGAAGACTGCGAAGCTGGCTGTGATCGGCCCCAACGCCAACCGCGCAATCGCTGGGGGTGGAGGAAGTGCGAGTCTGAACCCCTATTACAACACACTCCCCTTGGAAAGCATCAAGAAAGCCGCCGAGCAGGAGGTCATCTACGCCCAGGGCTGCCACATCAACAAGTGGCTCCCTGTTGCATCACCCTACTGCAAAACGGAAGACGGGAAGCCGGGTGTAACAATTGACTGGTTCGTAGGCGACCAGTTCAAGGGTGCACCGGTCGTGCAGCAGAGAAGGACGAACACAGATCTCTTCCTATGGGACTCGGCACCGCTCGCACAGGTCGGCCCGGAATGGTCGGCGATCGCGAGGACGTCCTTGACACCAACAATCACAGGGAAACACACGATTAGTTTTATGAGCGTCGGGCCGGGCAAATTGTACCTCAACGACAAGCTCGCTTTGGACCTCTGGGACTGGACGGAAGAGGGCGAGGCCATGTTCGACGGATCGGTGGACTACCTTGTGGAGGTGGACATGGAAGCCGGCAAGGCGGTGGAGCTCAAGGTCGAGATGACGAACGAGCTGCGGCCGATTTCGAAGCAGAAACAGTTCAACATGACGCACAAGTACGGAGGCTGCCGCATCGGCTTCAAGCAGGAGGACAAGGTTGACTATCTCCAGGAGGCCATTGAGGCCGCAAAGCAGGCCGACGTTGCCGTCGTCATTGTGGGACTCGATGCGGAGTGGGAGTCTGAGGGATACGACAGGCAGACGATGGACCTGCCGTCGGATGGTAGCCAGGACCGCCTGGTCCAGGCTGTCGTCAAGGCGAACCCAAATACCGTTGTTGTGAACCAGTCCGGATCACCAGTGACGATGCCATGGGTTGACGAGGTGCCTGCGATCGTCCAGGCGTGGTATCAGGGGCAAGAGGCAGGCAATGCACTGGCAGACGTGCTGTTCGGTTTCAAGAACCCCAGTGGGAAGCTTCCGGTGAGTACTGACCCATCCATGAATGACATCTCAACACGAACTGCTTATTAACGGTCTTCCACAGTGCACTTTCCCCAAGGCCCTCACAGACACCCCGGCCTACCACAACTGGCCCGGCGAGAACCTCGGTGTCGTCTACGGAGAGGGGCTGTACATCGGCTACAGGCACTATGAGCGTGCCAACATCGCACCGCTGTTCCCCTTCGGCCACGGCCTGTCCTACACGACCTTCGAGTACGGGCGGCCGTCGCTCAGCGCGCGGGTCCTCTCCGAGGGCGAGCCGCTCGAGCTGCTCATGGCCGTGAGTAACATTGGCGACGTCGACGGCTTCGAGACGGTGCAGATTTACGTGCGGGACGAGAAGTCGAGGCTGCCTAGGCCCGAGAAGGAGCTCGTCTCGTTCGAGAAGGTGTTCCTCGAGAGGGACCAGACCAAGCACCTCAAGATCAGAATCGACAAGTACGCTGTCGGGTACTACGACACGTCGCTGAAGGCGTGGATCGCCGAGGAGGGGAAATTTGAGGTCCTAATTGGGGCCTCTTCGGCTGATATCAGGTTGGTGTCCTTCGCTCCCAATTCCAAAGCAATACCCTGGCAATGATACTTGCTGACACTGTTTCTCCCCCAGACGGAAAATATCGTTTGAGGTCAAGGAGTCCTTCACCTGGGTCTTCTGAGGGGTCAGGAATACGACCCGGCTCCTAATACCTGCAATGCCACGATTCGCTCGCAATACTATTCGATACAATCCTTAACTTCCTACTTGAAAGCTCGTAAATCCGCCTCACTTTCGCGGTGATACAAAGGGCGCAATGGCATTTTCAATGCATCTGCAGGAGGAATTGGTGGTCCGGCGAAAACACCGAGACCAAGGCATCATGGCCTCCTCAATTTTCGATGGCTGTTCGGTCTAGGCGGTTCTTTTCTTTGCTCTTATTCACTGTAAATATATACCCGTCTTGGGCCCGTTTTGGGACTGGTCAGGCCAAGGTCGTTAGGGACAATCAAGGAGGTCCTGACCGGTGATATGCCGTTGTTGTACGAAGATAGCTGAGCAAAGACCTCGAGAATTGATCTTCGAGACTGCAATACCATGAGTTTGGACGTACCAGAAAACAGTCAAAGTTCATCCAAGCCAGTCTTGATAAAGTTAAAGCGCGTTGGTTGGCTGTATAAATGGCTGCCCTCTCTGTTGTCGTAGATTATGTTGGAAGACAGCCCAAGAAAGGAAAAGTAATTTTCCAGACAGCATGGCCTCGACGGGCAGGTGGCCCCCATGTTCGTCGCGACCATGCTATGTCTGTCAGGAACGCTAAAAACATCAATGTGACCATCATTGACCTGCTGACCTGCAGGTTCTCCAGTCAGTATGGTCGGGTGGGAGAAGCCAAGGTCGCAGTGCCGTTCATTTCGGGGAATTTTGTGGACGAACGGTTCCTTGGGGGCGGGGATGACATGACATGGCTTAGACAAGGCTGGTTTGCTACATTTCTCGGGGGTTTGCCGTTTGACTTCAATAGTCAGTTGTATGTTCTATTACGAATGAAATTGTTTCCTGCTATGCCGTTTATATTGACCAGGAATGTGTACTGCGTAAGTGCAAGTGAGTAATTTCGAGCCGAACACGCTGCGGTTGATTGCCAAGTCCTGCAAATATGCCGTGCTTACCGTGCTGTGCAGCAAAGTGCAGTGTAGTGCAGTGCTGTAGTAACGCAGGGGCCTCGGCTCCAAGTCGAGATCATCTCATCTCTTTGTTTTAGCGAAGCTGAAGCTCCCGCCGCGCTACTGCACCGCACTGTAGCTCCCGCGAAAGTCAATGAGACATGGGTTTGCCAGTTGTCAGTACGCAGCTCTTGTGCATTCCTTGCCACAACGCGTCCTTCTGTTCCTGAAACCTTTCTTGACACTGCAGTCCTCTTCAAGTCCCCAGTCACCCCGCCGCGCAGCGCACGTAGCTCCCCAGAACTGCGGGTCAGGGGTCGTCATTGCACTTGGTCGTACCGTTCCGTCGCCTTTACATGGTGCGCTTCCTACAGTACAACTGGGCAGGCTGGACTCAAGGCATGGCTGTCAGACAAAGGCCACCACCACCGCCTCCATAGCCTACATTCCCGTGTCCGACCACCCGCTCGACACTCCATTTCGACATCTCCCTGACCTACCTCATACCGTCTGCCTCCTATGCTAGCCCTGTCATGGCTGGCTACACTGGCAGCAGCAATGGCGGCCCTCCCTCCTCGTCTGGCTACGCTCCCTACGCCCCATCCAACCTCCGCCAGAACTATCCTCACTTCGAAGAGGAGGATCCCGTAGGAGACTTCTTGCGCCACCTCAAGCACCAGATGCAGTCACTGCAACATCTCTGGAACACAAGGGGGAAGAGGGCTACGCTGGCCTTCCTGTACGAGGTGGCGCATCAGCTGCGCAGGAACCTGACTTTGCGTCGCCTTTCCAGTTTTCCGCACCTCCTGGTGGTAATATGGGCCTTGGTTCTACTCTGGGGGGAGCGCTGGATATTTCACACAAAGGTTGAGAGTTGTCATTGGAGTAATTGGGAGAAATGGGTAATTACTTCCCCTTCCTCTCGCCGCCGGCACCCTACCAAACAGCCACAGGAAGCTGACTATTGCCTACTATCCTTAGCCATCCGATGCCACGCCTCACCATCTGATCTTCGTCGCGGATCCTCAGCTGATCGATCCGCACTCTTACCCCGGGCGACCTTGGCCCATCAATTCATTGACTGTCATGGTCACCGACAACTACATGCGCCGGTCGTATCACCAGCTGCAAGAACAATTACACCCTGACACAGTGTTCTTCTTGGGCGACCTGTTTGACGGGGGAAGAGAGTGGCGGACCTTCCACGGCGATTCTCAGGATCCGAGCTGGAACCACCGACCGAAGGGCGAGGTAGGCTACGCGAAGAAGTGGAAGAAAAAGTATGGAGAGGATTTCTGGCTGAAGGAATACGCGAGGTTCAGCAATTTGTTTGTCAAGCCTTTCAATTTGGGCGGCACAGAAGCTGGGCAAGGCCAAAGAGGAAGAAGGCTGATTGCCAGCTTGCCCGGGAACCACGACCTTGGGTTCGGGTCTGAGGTCAAAGTACCTGTGAGAAATCGCTTTGAGGCATACTTCGGGGATGTCAACAGGGTGGACGTCATTGCAAATCACACGTTTGTGTCGATAGACGCGCTTTCTCTGAGCGCCCGCACTTCAGATGACAGGGCCAAAGGCGATCTGACCAACATCTACAAACCAACAGAGGACTTTTTGAACAAGGCGCAGCTATCGAAGCGGAAAGCGGTCGAGCGAGAACTGCGCCGTCTTCGCGGGGACGTCGAGGAAGTGCTACAGGAGCACAAGATCGAGGACGCGCTTACGGCGGACTTCAGCCATATCCCGACATTGAACCCAGGCGAGGGCAAGGCGGAACTGCCAACAATACTGCTTTCGCATGTGCCATTATACAGGCCGCCAGGGACGCAATGCGGGCCGATGCGAGAACATTGGCCCCCATCGAACCCGGCGGACCCCGGAGCCAGGGACGACAGGAATGCGATTTCCGTGTCCAGAGGCTATCAGTACCAGAATGTGCTCAACGAAGTGGACTCGATAGATGTGGTCAACAAGATCGGCAATATCATCCACGCGTTCTCCGGCGACGACCACGACTACTGCGAGCTCAGGCATGCCGAGAATCAGGCGAATGTGAAGGAGATTACTGTCAAGAGTGTGAGCATGGCCATGGGTGTCCCCACGCCAGGTTTTGTCATGGTCAGCATGTACAACCCCATCGATACGGAAGGAAAGCCACTCTCGGGCGACCAAGAGCATACCCTCCAAACACACCTGTGCCTGCTGCCCAGTCAGCTGTCTACCTACGCGCGCTACGGCGGCTTCGCGTTCGTCTGCGTTATAGCGCTCACGATCCGGGCGTTTCTCGTCCCCATCCTCGGCCTCCAGCCTTTCGCGCTCGACCCGAGTGGGCCGGGCAGTAAGTCACGATCCGCGCTTCCGACGTACAAGGCAAAGCTCGACGACTACGACTCGGAGCAGGCTTCATCAGGATATGGGTATGGATCCTCGGCGTCATCATACAACTCGGCGTCCCCACACCGATCCGCAACACGTGACAGGAGCGCATCCTTCACGCCCGGCGTCAGGGCAAACGGCCTCGCATCCCAGGCGCGAAACGCGTCCCCCAAACGCCCGGGCGGGAACACCAAGGGCCTCGCGAGACACAGCTCCAACAGGGAGAAGAACGGGAGCCGGTGGGGCTGGAGCAACGGGCCGAAGATCGAGATCGACATTGGCGAGGATGAAGAATACTACTACGATGCCGGGAAGTCACGCTGGAAAGCAGCCACAGTTAAGAAGGGCAGCAGGAACACCCTGGTGATAGCATGGAGGGAGCTGTGGACCACGGCGTGGAGAGTGTTGTGGATGGTTGGGGGGTTCTGGCTGTGGCTGTCTTATAAAGGGTGAAAGGACCGATTCGGTTAATGGGCCTGGGAGATGTGTACCGGTCTGATAATTCAGTGTATAAATCCTCTGTTTTCACTGCATGCATATGGGCGATAGGCGTTCGCGTTCGTGTAATATTACTTATATCATGATCACTCAGGGGTTATTGGGTCTGGCCCGTGTTTTATCGGCTCGAGGTGTGCTTCATAGCATAATAGGGGCCAGTTGTATGGGCGGTCAAGGCAGCAGGTGGCGAGCCTCAACCAGGCAATGGTCTGAACTGGAAGGGAAGAAAGAGACCCACAGTCTGTCTTATTTTAACTTAAATCAAATTTCAAGAAAGGAAGCGAAGACGCGCATATTCACAATAGATCAGGTTAAGATGGTAGGCGCAGTATACCTCTCTGTACTGAGAACATGTGGATAATTAGGCCCATTGTTAAGTGATGCCAGGCAACCCTAGACCGACACTACCACATCACCCGGGTCCTTTGGCTGCCGCTTATCTGCCGCCGATAAGCTGGCCACCTTCTGCCAAGCCTTTGAATGGGGCAAAGGCTTTCAAGGTTGTCCGCATGAGGCGATCCTGCATCTGCCAACTTCAACCCCAGTGACCAAACATAGGGATCAAGCGGGCCAGCACTCCCTCTGCCCGCATCGTGACCCGTCACCTTCTCTCGCCTTACCTCCCCTGTCGCTCTCGTCGAAGCTCTCACTACCTTCGATACCATTCACATCCTCCAGAGGCGCCATGTTGCCTGGCTCGGTGCGGCGCGTAGCCTCAGCGGCGCCACACTCGCCGCTTCTGTCATCCTTGAGCTCATCCGTCCCACGAGCCGCCGTCGCCAACGTCGCTCTCAGCTGTAGACCCCTCCAGCAGAGACGATACTCGTCATCCAAGCCATCGCGGGATAACGACTCAGGAGACCTGCCTGTCAACCAGTCCGTCCAGCCATCCACCGTATCTAAGACCGCCGAGGCAAAATCTTCCGGTGAGAAGAGGAAACGGAAAGCAAAGGAAAGCCCAGAGAAGCAAGACCTTCCCAGGGTGCCCAGCACACAAAGTATACCCAACGAGTGTACGCATAGCTAAATTATCCTTCATCGTGTTCTGTATGCCGTGCTGACGTATGCCACAGCGCTCGCCCTATCCTCGTTCTTCTCTCTCCACAGGCCGATCTCGGTGACACACAGCCTACCCCGAATCATAACCGACGATGCCTTCGCAGCGATTTTCACACAGCGAGCGGGAACGACGAAGCCCTCCGAGGTCATGTCCACCATTTCGCGCACCGTCCAAGGCCTAGAACAGCCCATGGCCAGCCTTTCCATCGAGAGCGAGGCCGACGCCGCCCACCAGGCTGAGGCTGGGGTGCACAAGATCGACCTGAGGCAGGCCGACGGCACGGACGCAACCGTCTCCGTTCAAATAAACTCTATGTCCGGCAGCTTCCTGCCCTTCCGCCCCCCACCCCTACCGCAACCGCAATCCGCCACCGGCACATCCGAGGCGGCAGAGAAGGCCCGGGCGGACGAGGCCCTCGCGGCGGAGGAGGACCAGCAGCCGCAGACGCGCGTGTACAGGGCCGTCTTCACGATCGAGGAATCGACGGACGCCAGCGGCGAGGTCAAGATCCTGGCGCACAGCCCGGAGCTCATCGAGGAGCCGCAGCCGGGCTCCTCGGCGGCTGGGGCGGCCGCCGAGCCGCGGTCGTTCCTCGACCGCATGGCCCTGCGGCAGCTTCGCTACGACGAGTCGCGCGACGCGCAGGAGCACGCGAGGAGCAACAGCATGCTGGCGATCAGCGTCAAGCGGCAACGGAAGCTCAAGATGAAGAAGAAGAAGTACAAGAAGCTGCAGAAGAGGCTCCGGCACGAGCGGAGGAAGCACGACAGGTAGAGTGTGTGTGGTGAATCCGGATTCCTCGGGCTGGGAGTGCGCATCTAATCTTGGTGTGCACCTACGGCGTCATAAGTTTTTTTTTTTCTGCACGGGGGTCGTTGGGGGGGACTGCATTAGAGGCCGTCGGAGGCGATTTCATGGCGGGGCTTAGAGAGGGCTTCTATATCCGTACTTCTCTCTTCGACTACATAGCTCATACTATTACATCGAGACCTTGGACTTGGCCTGCGAGTATGTGTGATGCTATAAGGGTACTACTTCTGTGCCTCTAGACCGGTGTATCCATAGACTGTACCATTATAGTTGACAAACATTCGGGTATAACTTATCCAGGCCATATTTTCCCGTGGGGTAACCTTATATGTGATTATCAACTTTGAGACAACATCTTCGAGAACGATCTCTCATAGCTTGCAGTATGATTTGTAAGTTGGGCCACTTCGTAGAACCATTAGGCTTGCTTTCTGCGTGTTCTCGAGTACCGGGCAGGAATTTCGGGATCCCTTTCAGCTTTTTGGCTCTTCATCTCCAGGGACCAGGGAACCAGTAGACTCACAGATGGCGAGAAGACAGAATTTGTCGCCAATGAGGTACTGGCGCGAGAAGTCCTGGTCGTACACCTGGTACTGTCCCTCGTGCCAGCAAATATTTTACAATTATGCTCTTTGCACTCCGACCGGCTCCAACCTCGATCAGCCTTCCGTATAATTGCGACCGGGAGGTATTTCTAGCTATGAATAGGTGCTAGTACATCATGGCCAGCTCTCGTGTGGTCATATGTCCCCGTATTTCTCGTCCCTGTCTTATTAATTCATGACCACCTGCATGGGTTGAGGCTTCCCTAAGAGCTAATTGTCACGATGAGTATAAAAGCATTGAGCGACAAGTAATGGCTCGTCAGGTGAACTAGACGGCGCTATTGAGCAGGAATAGATTGCAATCTTGCCTCGAGTGAGGAGTCTGCAGCCGTGTTCTGTAGCGTATATCTGCATCGTGACTCATAGCTGGTCCAAGTGACGAAGCGGGACTAAGTTAGAGAAGGGACCGTCTGTCAGTCTCATGTCTTGTATCCTTAGTCACAGGGTAAATATAGGATAACCTCCTATAGGATAACCTCTTATACAATAACCTCCTATAGGATAACCTCTTATACAATAACCTCCCATAGGATAACCTCCTATGGGATAATGTCTTGTGGGATCATCTCCTATAGGATAACCTTTCATAGGATAATCTTTTATAAACTAAGCTTTTGGAGTATAATCTCTATGGAACAATTTGTTGTGGGATGCTTTGCCGTAGGCTAAACCTGTGTAGAAGTGTACGCCGTAGGTTGTCATTCTTGAGAGTGTGGCCGTGGTATTCCATTAGTGTATGTGATGAACTCGGATTGAGGTCAAGTCAAACTTGAAGAGTCGGGCGTGACGCCGGCTGCCCCGGGCCACCCGATCCCTGCTCCTCCGGACGCGAGGACCCTGCCGGCCGCCCCACCACCCTAGCGAGACCCACTAAAAACTTCAAGTGCCTGCCAGAAAAAAGTTCAAGCTCTCAGTAGCTTCTGATTTTGTTTGCTTGTCGCATCCGTCCCTGATTTTCTTTGCCTGTCGCAATCTGGACTCGAGATCTCCTGCGCACACGACCTCGTTAAAATGTCGCGCAAGCAAGTGTAGGTTTCAAGACCCCAATAGAAATATCAAAACCTTACTGACCTTTGTGCAGAGACTCGAGAATCCCAGCGCTCATCCGCAACGGAGTGCAGGAAAAGAAAAGAAGTTTCTTTGTGGTTGTCGGCGACCACTCCAAGGATACCATCGTCCGCCTGCACTACATCCTTTCACAAGTCGACGTCAAACAGAACAAGTCGGTGCTATGGGCGTACAAGAACAAGTTGCTGAACTTCACCAGCCATCGAAAGAAGCGCGAGGCGAAGATCAAGAAAGAAATCAAGCGCGGCACACGAGAGGCCAACTCCGAAGACCCATTCGAACTTTTCGTTTCGCTTCATGACATCAGATATGTCTACTACAAGGAGACAGAAAAGGTTCTCGGTAACACATACGGAATGTGTATCCTCCAGGATTTCGAGGCCGTGACTCCAAACATACTTGCGCGAACGATCGAAACGGTCGAGGGCGGTGGTCTCGTGGTGCTACTTTTGAAGGGAATGAACAGTCTGAAGAGCCTCTACACACTCTCCATGGATGTCCACTCGCGATACCGAACCGAAGCCTACGACGATGTTGTCGCCAGATTCAACGAGCGTTTCATATTATCACTCGGCAGCTGCGACTCGTGCCTGGTAATCGATGACGAGTTCAACGTCTTGCCCATATCAGGAGGAAAAGATGTCAAGGCACTTCCACCCCCAGACTTGGATCAGCCCAAGAGCGCAACGCAGGAAGAGCTGGATGGGGTCAAGGAGAGCCTCCAGGACACCAAACCTGTTGGGTCACTCGTGACGCTTGCGAAAACGGTCGATCAAGCCAAAGCTCTATTGACATTCTGCGATGCCATTTCAGAAAAGACCTTGAGGAATACGGTCACACTGACCGCTGCGAGAGGAAGAGGCAAATCTGCGGCAATGGGTGTGGCTGTCGCAGCGGCCGTTGCGTATGGCTACAGCAACATCTTCGTCACCTCGCCTTCTCCCGAAAATCTCAAGACGTTTTTTGAGTTCATATTCAAGGGCTTCGACGCCTTGGGTTACATGGACCACGTTGATTACTCTATTATCCAGTCCCAGTCTCCGGAGCTGAACAAGGCCATTGTCAGGGTCAACATTCACCGTGATCACAGGCAAACCATTCAGTACATCAGGCCGCAGGATGCGCATGTTCTTGGTCAAGCAGAATTGGTCGTCATAGACGAGGCTGCTGCCATCCCATTACCATTGGTAAGGAAGCTGATGGGCCCATACCTGGTCTTTATGGCATCCACCATCAATGGTTACGAAGGAACAGGACGCTCTCTATCACTGAAGCTCATCAAGCAGCTAAGAGAGCAGTCAAGACCTGGGGCGGTCACAAACGGGGAGGGTGAGCTTGCGGACAGATCTACGGGCAAGGCCGCCAAGAATCAGGAGTCCTCTCATCTTGGTAGCAGGACATTGCGGGAAATCACTTTGTCGGAGCCGATTCGTTATGCACAAGGAGATTCTGTGGAAAGGTGGCTGAACAAGCTTCTCTGCCTGGACGCGACGCTTCCAAAAGCCAAGCTCAGCCAAGGCTGCCCTGACCCGGCGCAGTGTGAACTGCTGCACGTCAACCGCGATACCCTCTTCAGCTTCCATCCCGTGCCGGAGAAGTTTCTCCAGCAGATGGTTTCTCTCTACGTTTCAAGCCATTACAAGAACAGTCCCGACGACCTACAACTCATGAGTGATGCCCCTTCACATGAGCTGTACGTGTTGGTGCCGCCTGGAGCAACAGAAGGGAGTCGCCTGCCGCAACCGCTTTGCGTCATACAGGTGGCTCTTGAGGGTAAGATCAGCCGGCAAAGTGTGCTCAACTCTCTGAGCAGGGGAAGAAGACCTGATGGTGATTTGATCCCATGGCTGGTCAGTCAGCAATTTCAAGATGAAGAGTTTGCTTCTCTCTCTGGAGCCAGAATTGTCCGGATTGCAACGAACCCAGACTATGCCTCGATGGGTTACGGCTCAAGAGCGCTGCAGCTTTTGACTGATTACTACGAGGGAAGATTCACGAATCTCTCAGAGGATGCGGACATTGCGGGCGAGGGGACGATGACCAGGGTGACTGACGCAGAGCTGGCAAATGCGACCCTCCTGGATGATAATATCAAGATCAGAGACCAGACCAAGATGCCGCCGCTATTCTCCGTGCTCTCTCAGCGCAGGCCAGTAGAGCTCGATTATGTCGGCGTAAGCTACGGATTGACGCAGCCATTGCACAAGTTCTGGAAACGGGCGTCGTTCGCGCCGGTGTATCTGAGACAGACGGCCAACTCACTGACAGGTGAACACACGACCGTCATGATCAGGGCATTGGAGAGGGGCGGCGACAGGAGCTGGCAAGGTGCCTTCTCTCGTGATTTCCACCGCCGATTCATGGAGCTTCTCTCCTATCAGTTCAGAACCTTCCCCTCCGTCTTAGCTCTGAGCATTCACGAAAGTGCCAATGCTGGGGCAGCTTTGGACGACGTTGAGCCCCGCCCGTTATCAAAGGCAGAGCTCGACGAGCGTTTCACCCCCTACGATCTCAAGCGCCTAGAGTCGTACTCGAACAACTTGCTAGACTACCACGTCATCCTCGACCTCATCCCAAGGGTAGCAGAGCTCTACTTCTCGGGACGCATCAAGGGTGCAGTCGATCTCAAGGGTATTCAGCAATCGATGCTGCTCTCAATCGGTCTACAGCGCAAGGACATGGACGCTGTGGTGGAGGAGCTTCCATCCCTACAAATGTCACAGTTGCTCGCCATGTTCATCAAGATCATGCGCAAGGTCACGGCACACTTTAGCAGCATTGTTTCTGGGGCTTACGATGCCGAGATGCCCCGGAAGGACATTGGCGTCAGCCGCGAGAACGCTGCAGGAGTGCACGACGATGAGATAGTCGACAGCAAGTTCCAGCCTTTGGAGAAGTCTCTGGAGGAGGAACTTGAGGAGGAGGGAGATGAGGCGCTGAAGGAGGTGAGAAGGCAGCAAAGAGAGTTAATTGACTCTCTTCCTCTTGAGAAGTGAGTCCATCCACAAGATCTGGAAAGTGTCACAGCGGACGTTTATTAATTTTAACATCTCAGATACCAAATCGAGGGCAACGACGACGTGTGGAAAGAAGCCGAGGAGCAGGTGAAAAAGGGCAAGGGAAGCAATGTCGTCAGTGTCAAGAGCAGCAAGCAGAAGAGAAAAGCTGGCCAAACCGCGGAAGAGGTTTATAACGAGGCGTTTGGGGAGAAAAAGCACAAGAAGCACAAGAAACCCAAGAAGTAAGGGCGTGCGAGCCATGAGGGTTAAATTTCGAGGCTTTTCCGATGTCTGCATTGAGGGAATGGCGTTTTGAAGGGGATCGAACCTAAGATCATGTGCATTTTAAGAACACTTACAGTATTAGTCTACTTCTTGTGCGATGTGGTCTATCCACCGCGAAGTCAACCTTGCCTCGAACACGTATGCAGATCTTCAGCCCTGTGATGGGCCCTTGGAGAACATCCCCCGCGGGCCACCCTGGTCGCCAACCGGGGTAGCTCTGCCTGGATTTAAGCTTGTCCCTTTTCGCCCCTGAGCTCATTTCGCGTAGCCAAGCTTTCTCGCTTGGCCTGTCGGCGTGATAGCGCGACTTCTGGGTCAGCCACTAAGAGCGTTGCCGGTGCGCTGAAGGAGGAAGGACAAGGGCGGGCGATCACTGTTTAATTAACGAGCTCCACGTCCTTTTCTCCAGGGACGATTGTTCTCGACCTTCGCGACTCATTGCGGCCGCCCATCTCCCATCCGGATCTGCGAGGCTGCTCTGGGATTGTTGTTGATCCATTGCTCTGTCATTCATTTCTGTGGAGTCAATTGGATTGATCGGTTTTCCTTGGGTTAGAAGAAGAGCTCTTCTGTCCGTGGAATTGCTTCGTAACCGGCATTCCTCGCGAGAAAACAGAGCCCCAGGTCACAATGTTGACGCGCACCAAGCTGCTCGCAGCGGCATCACTGCTCCTCGGAGCCGCATCTGCCCTACCGCCACTCGTCACACCGGTTCTGGAAGCTCGAGCACCAGCAGCAACAGACCCATGGGTCAGCGTTGACACGTCAGGCACACCTGTGACCGTGACGCCAGTGGTCACTGTCGTAGACGGAGCCACAACCACAATATCTCCTGCTCCAAACGACCTGACTGCGACTGTGGTGACAAGGACGGATTACGCTGAGATCACGACGAGCACTGGCACTGCGCCCCCCGAGCCGACGGCCACCAACAAAGATGGATCTGGCTCGTTCATGGTATGCAACAATGCCGATGGGGTGAACGCGCCATTCTGTCAGCCGTCTCAGAACAGCTCGCTTTATCCTGGCACGACGTACTATGGTATATGAATCTCCGAACACCCTGAATAAAAACATGCAGGTATCTGACCTTGACGTAGTTACCTGGGACACCTCCGTCTTCAACTCCACCAACACCACTGTGATCCTAGAGGGGTCTTACATAAACGCCACGACCGGCGAAATTGCATCCCAGGCATTTTCCTCAGACAAGATCACAGCTGGGTGGTCATACTATGCGTGGGCAGTAGATAGCAAGTTGATGCAAGGCAAGAGCGGCGTCAACATCACGCTGTTCCTCAACGCCCTCGATGTCGACCAGAACACGACCGCGAAGTCATACAAAGGGCCCACAGTGCTCGTGACAAAGACTCCAACGTACCACCAGGCGCCGCCAAAGATGCCCACCGGCGCCGCGCTCTACATCGGCCTGCCCACGGTGCTAGGCTTCTGCGTGGTCATGATCTTCGGCGTGTGCCTCTGGAACCGGAAAGCGCGCAAGATCGCCATCGGCAACATCATGTCGCGCAGCAGGCACGGCTACGGCATCGCCAAGGGCCGCGCGAAGAGGCTGGGCCGCCGCGACAAGAAGGCCGCCATCCGCCTCATGGACCAGCTCCCCGAGGACCAGCACTACCGCGACGAGCCGCAGTACCACTCCGCCCGCGCCGACGACGATGGCTGGGGCCAGCAGCACGTCGTCTATCACCACCACCAGCAGAATAACAACGAGTTCCTCGGACACGCCAGGCGCGACAGCGATGCCCTTGGTAGCCTGGCGGGGACGCCGACCAGTGCGCATTTCCCCTCGACGCAGCCGCCGCAGGGAGGGAATGCGTTTAGGGAGGAGCTGGAGAGGCAGCAGAGAGAGAGGTCATAGGAATGCAAGGTGACCCAGGATTGCGTGCCATACCAGTGAGACCGTGCTGGGACGGCCGGAGGGCTCAGAGCACTCGAGCTGAAGCGCAAGTGATGAGCGGGAGCGTCTGATCTCCTGTCTTGGAGTAGTTCGTTGTTAATCGTCTTACTACGAGGCGTTGCTAAGCCATAAAACCAACTAATTATGCAAGTCTTGAGGCAGGAGTGTAGTCCAGAATGATGCGAATATCATTCTCGGTAAATCTGTTCCAATCCAAGTTAGTAATCTGTCGAATTCCAAGATCGTTCGCCTGAACGTAGTGCCGTCCGGCGGCTGTGTCTAGATGCGACTGGATGACGCTGTGATATCTGCGCTTCGTCGTTGGCGTCTCAGAATCGGTAACGGAGGTCAGTTCAGGATAATATTGGAACAAAAAAAATACAACTCAACCAGGGAGGGCTAGGTGGATGAAGCCTTCTTTCAGATTCATGTTGTCCAGGATATCCGGCATAATGTCCCCTGCGGCAGGAAAAGAATTAATTGTCAAGTCGACGAAATTTGTGGAGTTGTTCTTACTACCCCGGCTAAGTGGGATGAATACCTCAAGGACAAGTGCAATTCTACAACAGAGGAATGACATAGGAAAATAGAAACCTATCGGCCAAGGACATGATGCTCGACGCTGGACTGATAAGTGACTAAACAAGTCAGGCCCGAATGTTGGTATGAGATGGTGAATGCCAGCTGACTTATGGCGGCCAGATGACAAATAGCTTGCTTGCCCACACCTTAAGTATATGAGCAAACCTGGTGGATCGGACTGATGTTTTCGGGTCAATCTTCCATTATCTCTACCGAATTGCTTCATCAAGGCTTCTTGTTTTTAGTGATTTTCATTTCTCAGGTACAATGCAATCGATCACGGCAACTATTGAAACTCTTTACACGCTGATCGGACCAACTCCACATTTCAACATACGAGACACAAAGACCTGTCTGCCACGCCGTCTCTTTCATTGACTTTTTCGATAGCGCTTACAGCGAGATCTACAAGCTTCTACCTCACTAAGCAGACATAGAGTGGTGGATGGTAGACATAAAGCACTTGAGGACTGTCGGCGTGATTAAATACTAAGGTCGAAAATTTGCAAAGCAGTGATCCCAGGACGGCCCACCACGACTGTCACATGTGACGGCTCTCTTCCGCATTTTAAAGGACTCGGAGCCAGATTCCAGCCCCAAACCTGCAGCTGAAAGGACGCCGTGTAACTGCCCAGGTGCTCTACGGGTACTCAAGGTGGACGGACACCTACCCGCAGTAGATAGGGATCCCATTGGGATGTAAGGCAGCCACATGTGATGATGCCGGGCTTGTTCAGATGAAATTATTTTCCTGAAGGCATGTCCAAAAAGCAGCCAAAAATTTCCTCACCGACGTCCATATACAGTCACGTTCGCATGGACTCAAACACCGCATGGTCTTGTGGGCTCCCAGCCCAGGCGCCGCTCCTACCGTTTGAAAATTCTTGGAAAAGAAACTTTTCCAGCTTTCGTTACCTAGGTACGTGGCATGGCATCCATCTATACGCAATTTCCCGGCCGAAATCAGCGCTAATGCACAGATGCAGAGGGGTTTGGATCTGGTGGTAGGTACCTGCATAGGTACTATACAGTGTACTCCGTACAGCTACATGTGTCCCGATGTCAACCTTGCGCACTACCAAAGCCCAAGGCAGACAGGCAGACAACGAACATTGCGCAGACTTGGCAGTGGCGGGCATCCGAGCAGTATTTTCCCGAAGATTTCTAGCATTCTAGATCGAGACGTTGATGGGAACAGCATCCGTGTGCCCCGGGGCCGTTGGTGCTTCAGAGTGGCGTCCATTGTTGCTTCTTGAACACAGCCGTGCCTACGGGGCGCTTCCGTTGCCATTGTAGATTAGCTCGTGTTTGGAAATCTAGTGGACGAGGGCATTTCTGTGTTTTCCAAATCGTGAACCTCGAAGTCGTTTGTGGCATGCGTGCTGCTTTTCCATGAGATCGAACCTCATAGACTTGAATGGAATGATCGATGTCCCATCGGGGACCAGTCGACGACGTTGGAGCCCGAATAAATCACCTGCAGTGAGGCGCAAGCTTCCAGGTTCCTGTTAGTTTGAAGGTTGTGTTACATGGGGACAGTGGCTCACCCTTCAATGTTGTACCTGGCTGACAAAAGCCCCCACGGCACATGCATGTCTCGTGCCGGAAGGACGTCAGTATCAAAATGCTGAAAAGCAAGCCCCTTGAAAAGGAGATGTTGGGAGGGAAAATGAGATGTTGGGAATAAGAGGAGACGCTGGGAGGCCCAAGAACACATAAACGTCGTCTTCAGCCATGCCACTCCATACGTGTTGATAGACTGAACTTGCATCCATTCCTTCACCGTTCCCAACGAGTCCCACCACCTGAGTAACGGCTTCACTCCCGCTGTCTGTCCCAGGGTAACCATGGACCCCTCTTCCAAGCACTATCCCCTGCATCGCCGCCTACCGGCCGTCCTCAAGCTACGGCCTGATCCAAGGCTCATGTCATCCTCGCACCGCAGCTGGCTCTCCCCTGAAATGCTCATGGAGTTTGAGTCCGAGCTTCGTCGATCGATAGCCTCCTCAGCAACCGGCGTGGTGGTCAACTCCGCCATCGCCTCCGCCTGCCATCTTTTCGCCTTCTCGGCCGCGATCAACCTCTGGCAGACCGTCGTAGGCGCCATCAACCTCCACAAGGTCAGGAAGGAGATCAAGAAGCGCATCAAGGCCCTTCCCGAACTGAAAGCCATCTTCGCCGAGGGAAAGGCCTGGGGCCCGCGCCTTTGGGACATCACGATCGGCATCTTCACCAAGCTCGCCTTCACCACCCTCGCCGCTGGCCTCAGCGGCGACGAGAGCATCGCCGATGCCTTCGTCGAGGAATTCGACCACTCGCACACCAATACCGAGCTCGCACACGTCACCGAAGCCTTCCAAAACCTCAAAGCCGCGCATCCCCACATGGACCACTTCGACCAGTTCTTCCACAGCGCCAACGCCGGGTTCGCGGAGAACACCGCGGACGGCCTGAACTGGCTCATCTTGCCGCATACTTCGCCCTCGATGACTATGGAGGCGTCACATCATGACTTATCGCAGCTGCACCATATTTATGGCGTGCCGACAACGCGTATCGCCTTGGAGGCCGGGGCCATGGCGGCAGCGTACGAATTCATGCAACCGGTCGTCATGGCGAGCGAGCATGCGGTCGAGAAGGTCGCAAAAGCCTCCTTCAAGCATCGCTTTCGGAAGTTTTTTAAAGGCCATTAAGTCCTACTAGTAGCGACATTAGAAAAACTGCTATAGTATGCCCGCGGCAGCCGCACACCTCGTACGCTCGCCTCGTCCACTCAATATACCCAGGACGAGGTGAGGACAACTCAATTTAAAATCTGCCGGCGAGCTCGCCAGCCATACGATCTGTCAACATCATTGCTTTCCTTCGCAGAAGCCGGAGATTAATGAGGCCTCATTCTCGAACGATCGCGGATGATGATTTTGTCAACCTTTATCTTTGTCTTTTGTTTATTGTTTTCGCCTTCTCTTTTCTTTTTCTCTATCATAAGGACCTTGGAAAGCGAGGGGGCTTAGAAAATGAGATCGGAGACTCACAGGGCTAGAGACGGAGGGTACAGGGGTACATACACAGCAGCCCCTGAGTTAAGTCTGGTGGTTGAGGGCTAGGGTAGACCGTGCAGGCCCCCATGTGGTCCCTGCAGGAGCCCCCTTATCGATAAGGCCTGCCTACCCTACAACTGCAGCCCAAGGGCTCCGCCAGTGTTGGAAGTGACGCTCAGGACTATTCTCTTCTTCTGTATATATAAACAGTGCTCCCCCGGAGCCCTGTTTCCTCAGCTTCTTTCCTCTCCAATCAATCAAATCGCTGCTATGGCTCAACAGCAAGAGCTCTCTTTCCTTCCTTCTTTCTTAGGCCAGCCTACTCTTAAAATCCACACAATTTGGTGCAAACTTCGAGCCCACGTGCCGTAAAGCCCAAGTGACGTCTCAGTGTCACGAGAGGGACATAAAAGAGGCGATGCTCTCAAGTCTTGCTCATTATTGTAGAATTCTAAATAAGACCTTATCTTGCTAAGAAAAAAGAGTAGGAGGGAAGGATGCCTCCGATTGCAGTTAGGCCTTAAGAGCAGAGGGCCTTGGGGCTGCAGGTGGTCTGTGCGCTGTGGCCCACCTGCAGTCACTCAACCTGCCCGCAGCGCCGTCACACTCAGCTGCCATATTATACTAGGTGCTTTAAATAGCGCTATTCCCAGATATCATGGAATATAGGTCACAAGAAACATACCTTTACAAACAATCGCATCATATCTTGGTTCAATTAAGTATTTAATAGCTTCCGTGTCTGCTGCGTGTGGGAGAAACGGCATGGGGTAGACTGACTGATTGGGTAATAGCACCTAGTGGGTGCATGCCGCAACGCTCCCAAATTAGCGCCCGCCCTACCACATGGAAAGTTGGGAATCTGTAAGTGCGTTCGGAGGCATAGACCTCGTCGCTACTACCTGTCTTGCATGGTTCTGCGAGCTTCGGAGGCGACGGAGCTTCCGTAGGATTCGCAGACCAGGCGCAGCCCTGAATTTCACGTTAGAGCGATAGAACTCGAAGAGAAGGTCGAGGCCCCGCTGCAGCCTGCCGCTTTCACAGCAGCAAAAGTGCTCTCCCCAGACCGTTGGAGGCCCTCACGCCGGGTAGCGCTAGATGATAACGGATTGTTGTACAGTGGCCGCATAACAGCCTGGTCTGAATCTACCGTGGACCAACCGTTGGCCCTATCGCTGCCAGGGTCGTGAAGGAGTGCAGCTGGTGTGCTAATAAAATGCGACTGGACCCCCGCATGCGCCGAGCCGCCTCAAAGGACGTCCCCAAGCCTCTCGATGCCAGATGGGCTGATGTTCTCCTCGTTCTTCCCTCCATCGCTCAGGATGCGCCAGTAACAGACATAGCCTCCTCTCTCGCCTTTTTCACTGGGCCAGGATGCGACTACGGCAGAGCGGGTGAGTCATATGCCTTGCGCGAGGACAATTTGCAGTTTGAAGATCAATTTCAACTACTGACTAGAATTGGCGTGGCCCTGGAAGACCTGTAGCTCGCCATACGAGAGCTACAGCAGCCACTGAGTTTGGTAAAGACTATCTTGGCAAATTCGAGAAGCAACAGCGCCAAAAGAAAGCGAAGAATCGCACGGCCGCTCTTGGACGACCTGTGTCAGCCGCGAGGGAGGACCATCGTCCTTCCCCGGACACGGCAGCTAGAAAGCCAGAGAAGGAGGCATCGGCCACAGAGGACCAGCCGCAGGTTCCGTTGGACAGCGACTCATTTATTGACCCTCCAACGGCAATTCCTGACGCGGATCCGGATCTCGTCATAGGACTCTTCCCACGGCGTTCTTTGTCACCTCAAGCTTCATCCGCTGACGAAGACACTTTGAGCACTTACTACAGTCGCATTGGCTATCTACCTCCTCTTAGCGAATCAACTCTGGAAGTCGTTCGGCAGGTGTTAGCGGATCCTACCATGGGTGCTGGAGCAGGTCGACTCACGACTGAGTCAGAACAACAAGACGGTCTTGTCGGTCGGAATGTAAATTGGTACCCATGGCCTGACCCTTATCGCACAGTAATAGAGTCACTACCAACTTCAAACCATGAGGCTGCAATTCCGTCACTATCAACAGATGATGAGGAAGAAAAGAACAAGAAATGGGATGATGATTTGGCGAAATGCAGGCTAGATCCCCAGGAGTTTGTTTTCCAACGAACGGTAATGATGTCAATGGTGAACCGACACCGCTTCATCTACGACACAAAGGGGGTTCTTGATTTCGCAGTCGAGAGGGTGTGGACTTGCTCGCCAATGCCGACACGGGCACTCTTGGAAGAAGATGGCAAGACGCTCCCTATGTCACAGCCCGACATCTCTATTGCATTTCGCAGGACCGCTGTAATTAACGATCATTACGAAACCCTTCCGCCAACGGTGCGTCAATTAGTATGTTACGAAGGCTTGAAAGCAGCTCAGCAACTTCGTGCCTTCCATTTCTTCGCGATTGAGGCAAAGAACACATACAAGAGTCTCCGTGATCCAGTTTCCCAGTTCCAAGTTCTGAATACCGCCAGCCAGTCACTGCACAACATGTACGAGTTCTTCAACGAAGCTGGCCCAGAGCACCTAGCAAACTTCTTCGACAAGGTTAGAGTATTCACCGCTGTGTCAACGACCGATGGCATCATCATTCGAGTTCACCGGGCTTGTTTGACCAGGGAGTTCCGCGGAGCAAACCCATCCCATCCGGACTTGCCGCCCCCTAAGGATCACATAGTCCCCGACTATCCACTTCAATTTGAATATGATATCTATTTCGAAGCACATGCCAATGACTTCACCCGCAAGACAGTTTTATCTACGCTAGAAAAAATCATAATCAACTACGGGGCTGGGAAACTCCTCGGCCTTTTGCAAAATGCAGCGAAGGTTGTCGCCAAGAATTTCAAGGCTCACAAACTGAAACGGAAAAAACACTACTACTCTCACCACCAGAACTCAGAGAAGAAAGGTGGAAAGAGCACCCCTGCGCCGTCTCATATATCACAAGTGACGGCAGAAACCTCCAATCATGGTTCTTTGCAACAGGAATTATATTCAAAGAACATACAACTGATGCATACCTTGAACAAAACAAGCAGTTCTAGAATCAACGATGACCCTGAGCATGAACCGCCTGCGTCCACACCCCCGACTTCAGAACAGATATTAGTTCGAGACCCTAACGCGAGCCTGTCCGAGAACTTTGAGAGTGGGCTCAATGTCGACGACCCTGTACGCTCCAGTGCGGAGCAGCCGAGGCCGGCGACCGTGCCTAGCCAGAGAGATGCCTTGCCGCCTCGGCAACCAGCTGGCAAACGTCGTGAAGTCCATGGGAGCGAGGTCGCGGGACATCAACCCCGGGCTCGGTCCAGTCGCCCCACGCGTTCCAATAAGAAGGCGCGAATCGAATAGGTCCCTGAGATTACTGGCTGCCAAAGTCGAGTTGAGTAGATGTGGTTACGCGAAGACCGCAAGGAAGACAAGCGAAGATGTGGTTGTATATGGCCGTGAAATCAACACGGAGTACGCTGCTCGTCTTACTTTGACATTGCAGGTAACAGCAGCAGTGCCACAAAAAGTCTAGGATCCAACAAAATGTTGGAAACTAGGCTTTCAAGTGGACAGGGGCGTATTGTTCAACCCAATACGCGGGGAACACTCTAACGGGTACAGCAAGTCACACGGATCAGGCCAAGGATTCTAATTCAAGTAATAAAAGGGCTGCTGGGTTGTTAGGAGGGTTCACGCATCTGTGAGCAAGTATCAAAGAACAAAGGTAATCTCATACTGAGGAGGCTGTATATGTGTAAGTAAGGGCGCATTCATTCCTAGTAAATACCACTCTCAACATATAAATTAGCTCTTCAGTCGCCGGTCAAGTACCCAATCTACAACTGGAATAGCCTAACAAGGAGTGACCATGACACTTCGCATTAAGCAGCACCACAGATGCCTGTGCAGCCATTCCGCTAGCATAAACACCGGTTCACCTTCCTGAGACTCTACAAGTTCCGTGTGCTGAAAAGCATGGCCGGGGCCAAGAGCGGTTGTTCCTACGTCAGATCAATGCTCAATTAAACAAAATCACCAAGGACACTACAGCAAAAGAGATAGGAGAGCACATAGCTGTAATTATTGAACCAATGCCGGGGATTGAGCTTGACTCATACTCTAATAACATCGGCGGGTTGCAAATACGGTTTGGGAAACTATTGAAGGTGCATTGTTCGACTGAATACTTCTGGGAAGATGAGCGCGCTGTCATTGGTACGATGACTCGGGGCGACTCTGTGTCAGAGACTGGACTGTGAGTGAACAAGAGTCTACACCACGACTTGCCAACTCTCTGCTCAGAGAATGGGCAAGAAGTGCAGCCACGTTGCCGAGACAAAACGCCAATCCGGCCCCGGGAGAACGTTAGATTTGATCGGAGAAGGTTTCATACGCCGAACGCCACTGAACAGCAGCATGCTAGCCAAGAGGTTCCTTTTTGAAAGCTACCAGACCCAGTATCAGCCTACTAAATACCAGTAGTCACGTCGCAGACAATATATAACGTTCAAACCCCTCCGTATCCACGTCAAGACCCTGGGAAAACCGCGTGGAAAACCAGAGCCGAGGGACGAAGCAAACAAACAATACATCCAGGGAACAACGACAAAGAAGGCGACTCAGTTGATTTCCAACACGTTTGAATCGAGTCAGCCGATGAAACAGCTCAATTGATAGTGAGACAAGACAGAATAGTTGATAAATATAAATGCACTGCCCGGACATCCTAATTCGGGAGCTTTTCTAAATCGGCTAGACTTTTTCTCAGACTCCATACAATGTTAAGAAGGCTTTGTCAGCGCTATATCTGCTGCTCGGTTTCTGATCCGATTTGCATTAGTCCTTGTTAGAGAGAAGAGATACTGAATTGGGACAGAATATACGAGACAGAGGCTATATGAGATGGCTTTGGTTACTTATCTCGCAACGTTGTGAATAAACATTTTCTTCGCGAACTATATTCTAGTTAAAAACAACATGTACTCAACGGTCTTCGAGTATTGATCAGGTTGAGGGAACTTAAGACTGAGCGAAGTAGTAATCATTCATTCCTGCACAGCAGCGAATAATAAGAGGGAATAGAGAATATATTATGTGAGGAAACAGAACCGAGGAATCATTAGATCATATGCGTGGAAGGGCATCCATCATTGCCAGTGAAGATAGGTAAAAGATCACCCTGCCTGTAGTACCGTATGGACATCATGTTGTCCACTGTGGGCATTTAGGACGGACATGTATTGATCATTGAAAGCCTCTTAATATCCTTAATTGACATATTTTCGATTTCCCGTTTTCCTATCTTTTACTCCCTGCTCGCCGTTCTTCTGCTCTCCGTTTCCCATTTTCCCTTTCTTTACCCAGATAGAATTTTACCAGAAATACTTGAAAGAAAAAAAAACCCCTTGGAAATGAGAAACAATGACAGGAACCAGAAGCCGGGAACAAGGACGGCGTGATAGTCTTGTAGGACAGGGTGAAGGGGAAAAAAAAGAATTATCATTGATGAGACTGGGACTTGAACCCAGGAGGATTGCTCCACCAGGAATGAATGTTAAGATTAACCTTAACCTGGCGCCATAACCATCTCGGCCATCTCACCGAATTCTTTTTGAATTCTTTAATTTCTGGGGGTTTGTGAAGGTTGTGTGGGATCGACATCGGGTGCCGACTAGGCCGGGGGCCCGGGGATCCACCGGCATGAGTCGGGACCGGAGACCGCCGGACCACACTAAAAGACGTGTAAGCACTCAGCATTAGATCAAAACACTGCTAATAGCTTCTGGAGACGTCATGAATTGTTCAAAGTCACTGTGTGGGCCTGAATCCATGTTGTTGAATAAGAATATGGGCCGGGACTATTCTGGGTGAACACTACGGTCTGAGATTAGAACTAGCAAGGCAGAACAAGCCACGCCTTTCCAGCCAGTGAAAACCGAATTCTTGTGTAGAATCATTGGATTATCAGAATAATATAGTCAACCGAGTCTAGCTTTCATAACGTTGTTGTTCGCACATCCTAAGGTTGGTGGTGCCAGTACTTCACTAGCATGACCACAATGTAGCCCAGCCTTCCACATACTGCACATAGGGAGTCATTCATGAACACTGCTACAAGGACATAAATATGACCCTGATGTATACAATGTGAAAGAATAGCCCTCATTCATTGTTCTCGAAAGCAGGGCGAGGGCCGACAGATTGGGTCCCCGAACGTGATCGCAGGGTTCAGCCTGAGCTCAGCAGCTTTCTCAAGCATCTTTCCACGAAACTCACTTTCTTGCAATGACGGCTCTCTCACATTATTGAAGGCCAAAATGTAGGATATATTTTGAGGAACTATCAAATGAAATACAGCTAAGTGGGAAAAGGAAACGGAGGTGTGAAAGCTGTCATGGAGAAATTTCACCCTCAGACCACGTACCCCAGAGCACCATTCTACCAAGAACTTTCCCGTGGGAAACCTGTATATCACCAGGCCAGTCCTTGTTGAATCAAGATTTACTATAATATTAGGTACCAAGAAGGAGTGAGCATACATGGGATTGTGGTTGCTTTAACCTGGGCCACTGTGAGCACCTAGGTGAGGCGTGCCACATGCCGCCTTGATGAGCATAGACTACCCACGCGAGTACTCTTCCTTCACGAAGTCAGCTGCCCTCTCCGCCACGGCAATCACTATACTCGTGATAGTCCCCTGTGGCACCATCGGAAAGACGCTGGCGTCCACAATCCTCAGCCCTTCAACCCCATACACCCTCAACCTATGGTCAACCACGCCGCCGCTGTCACGTGGGAGCATAGCGTTATTCCCAGAATGGTGGTAAGCAATCAATATCTTGTCCGCCACAAACGCATCCACGTTATCCTCACCCAGGAAACCACCATCCAAATACCCCGACTGGAACACCGTCCCGTTGCCCTCCAGGAGCCCACTCAGCGGTGGGTTCTGCACCACGTCCCGCATGTGGAAGGCCAGCTGCCTCTCTAGCTGCCTGTCCATCGGGTGTGAGAGGTAGCGCGGGTCGAGGCGGGCCTGCAAAGCCGGGTCGCTGGACTGGATATGCACCGAGCCTCGGGAGAAGGGGTGTGAGACGAGGCCGATGATGCTGAAGTAGTTCCCGCCGTCGCCTGGGCCGGCAAAGACCTTGGAGCTGTCGTTGTAGTACCATGGCGAGATGCCCCCCGATATCCAGATCTCCTGGACCGCCGAGTTCTGGGAGGAGTTGAGGCCTTCGAGGAGGAGCTTGTGCTGGGCTTCGTACGGAGCTGTCGGGGCCGCATCTGTCGCGTTGTATGACCCACCGATCTGCTCGAGGGAGAGGAGCGCTGAGCTGCCGTTCACGGTAGAGAACGGCCCGCTCCTGGATGAGGTGTATTCTTCCAATGCTGCGTTGAATGCCTCTGTAGAGGAGAAGTCATCTGTGGTCGTGACTCCGGGAACAACGGCCCACCCGAGGGGAAGCATAAGGTGGTTCTGGAAATTCTCGCCCACGTTCGTGTTGTTGACGAGACAGTCGATGCCGAAGGTGCTTAGGAGATCACAGTCGCCGATCCCTGAGAGTTCCAGCAGCTTCGATGACTGCATCGATCCCGCCGAGAGAATTACCTCCTCACTCGCCTGCACTGTGTAAGTCGAGTTGTCCTTGAGATATTCCACGCCAAAAGCTCTGGGAATCGCCACCGTTCCTTCCTCCTCGCCGCCGTTGAATAGAATCTTCGTGACAAAAGCTCCAGTGAGGACTGTGAGATTAGGTCTCTGGGAAGCACGGAGGTGGTACTCGGTCGCAGGGTAGCTTCTCTCTTTTGTCTCTGGGTTGATGTTGAATAGATTCGTGTACCCTCCCAGCGCCTCGCCTCCCCTCGGGTCCCCAGCAGGGAACTGCCCCAAGGCTTCGAACATCTTGGCCCAAGCTTCCGTAAATGGACCGTACGACGTGGGAAAAGAGTTGATAATAGGCCCGTCCGTGCCATGTAGACCTGGATCTACATACTGCGTCTGCATGTCCTCCACGGCCTCAGCTGAAGGAGGAGGCACGTACGCCTCGGACTTCTTCAAGTAAGGCTGCACCTCGTCCCAGCTCCAGTTCGCGTTCCCAAGGACGCCCCAATTGTTGATATCCTCGCGAGATGCGTGCGTCCACCACATGAAGTTAACAGCACTGCCGCCGCCGAGACCTTTGCCGGCAATGTTTGCATGAGTCCGGTTGTTGAGGTATGGCTGAGGAGAGGATGTCAATTACCACGGTTTGCAGGGGATCGTGATGACACATAGAAAGACTTTACCTGCGGAACATTTCGGTAGTCCCAGTCGTATTCATGGTCACCGTACATAGAAGCAAATATGCCAGGGCACTGCGCTTTGGTGTCGTTGGTATGGTCGCTCCCAGCCTCAAGGACAAGCACCGAGAAGCCTGGTTCCTCTGAAAGCCGCGTCGCGAGCGTCAAGCCGGCCGCGCCACCGCCAATAACTCTGATATATCTCGTTAGTCTGATCATCTGTAAGGTAAGAGATGTTGCATGTGCTCAGCCCTACATGAAGTTGTACGAGTCCTGTGCAGCAGCGTGCCATAGGAGGCAGAGGCCGATCATAGGAACGAGCTTTCCTGTCAACATGGTCTTTGAATGAAAACAGAAAACCCGCTATTCCCGTAATCCTAGCGAAGGGTTCCTATTTCATTATAAGCAATGGATTCGACGATTTCCACAGGATCTGAACTGCCGTCCTCACCTTGCGCCTCAGCAACACCCAAAGTGGTGGATCAACCGAGAGATCATCGTCTTGGCTGCTTACAGTCTTGTGTGACCTGACCTGCTAGTCTGCATATGTCCAGGAGACAAGAGTGGGCTCTGCTGACGGACACGCAAGGAGAATACCACGTTCCCCATTTTGATACCGGTTCTGTGGCATGAGATTGACGACAAAAGCCGTGCAAGCTCCTCCAAAGAATTCAAGTCCAGGCCTGGGATCTCCGCAGCTTCGCGCACTTGTTAGCACGCGAATGCAACCACGCCATCTCTTGCGATTTTTGACTGGTAGATGCTGTAGCCCCCCTACATAAGCAGGCGGTTGACTAACAAAATGTACTGGCCTCCTCAGCCGCTGCCGCTGCAACTTAGTGATGATCTCCTCGCATCTATAGGCCCGCACTGGCGAGCTCGTGAGCGTTGAATCAATCACACATGGTACGAAATCACCAAAAGCACCAACAACAACTCCTTTTCCGTCTGCCCGTGGGCGGAAAATCGGTATCCGGAATAATTTGCGAAGGGCAGAACTCCTTATCAAACATCAGGCGGGACACTACAACCAGTAGTCATCCCGAACAACAGAGGCGACGCTGTTCGCAGATATCGAAATTGAAACGACATTAACCCAATATACATGGGCCAAGTCTGTACAGAATACGAACCCTCAATCGTCTTATGGGTTTTTGTGGTGTTATAGCAGGGGAATATCCTCAGATTCATGATCTGTACCAAACTTCGACCTTGCACACCTGCACATCGACCGTACGACATGTTACACAAATCTCCCACGCCGGGTCGAGAAGCATGGTTACCAGGCAGCATCAAGAGTAGAATGAAGTGGAGCCATGACCGTCATTTCGATAGATATGCCACATTGAGGGCCATGCATGGGTGGGATACGCGGGGCTGGAGACGGTGCTGGAGAAGAATCGGGAGGTCGGAGGGCGATGATGGTTCACTGAACCACTTCAAACCCCACGGCGTTGGAGATAAAGTGCCCATGATATCGGAAAGCTGATTCGTACTGCCGTACGCTTCATATTGTGAGTACCTAGGTAGGTAGGTAGCCAGAAGCAGCTGTGACTCTTGACTCCTCTAAAAGATAACTGAAGCCTAGCAGTGTTCCCATCGCACAGACCCCTGACATCAAAACTTTCGTTGAGAATGACTGGCATTGTTCGACGCCGAGCTTGTGCAGCAGCAAGGAGCATCAAGCCCAGGCTTGGGAGAGTAATAACCTGTTGGAGGCTGATCAAGTTCGGAAGTTGGAAAATCTGAAGAACAACGGCCAGATATCGATGTTTCCATGGTGGGTTCCGAACGGCTCTCGCGTATGGTACCAAGAACACAGAAGGTCACTGCAGCTTCAGAGACAGGATTGAGCCGGGCTTGTGTCCATCGAAGCTGACATGGGGACGACCAGAGGGGAGAACACACCTCAGGTACGTACAACAAAGGCCACAACTTTGCTGCATAGCAGAACATTCGACACATCTCCCAGCCCTAGGTATCAGAAACGGTTTCTACCTGGAGGTATCACAGACCACACAAGATAGCGTAGAGCGGGTGGATATCGTCGAGCGCTCCTAGTCCGGATGGCGCCCGCACCCACCTGGTACTCAGGTAGCTAGGAATTTAATTGTCATTCCCAGGGTGAGGGCATTAGTAGAGTCATGGTCGGTCCAAGGCCTGACTCTCTCCTGTGCCGCCGGCGCCGGGCATCAAAAGGTGAAGTAGACCGAATTCAGACCGGGGAAACGCTGGCATGTGCCGAAGGGCCCCTCCCCCCTTTGCATCAACACTTGGTAATCCAGAGCGGCCGAGCGCTGGTAAGGAGGAGCAAAGAGACCGGAGAGACGCTAACCTCGATCGAGGCCACGGTGATCCGCGAGCCGGAGTCAGCGACCGCAGAGTCTGAGAGGCTTGAGGCACATTGTGGTCAACCAGCTCTCGCAAGGTGAGGCCAGTGGACAATGTAAGGTTGTTCTGTGACTCGAACAGCGGGGAACACTTCTATTGGGATTGTTCCCGCCTGAAGCGTTGTTCAATCAGGATGAAACGGTAAGGGACGGACAATTCTTGCTTTCGGAGAGAAACAAAAGACGGACATTCTGTTCCATGGTTGGATTCAGGTGCTTCCAGTCCACATAGCCATTTGGCCACCTGCGAGAAGTTGCGCTGTAGCTGCATGCAAGCTCTGGCCGCATAGCCGTGAATTCCCCGGTCCGGGGACGTCGAGATGGGTTCGACAGCCACGCAGGTGACTCGTGAAGAGAGGCTGGTCCGGCAGGATGAGACAAACGCCTCTGGACGATGCAACACAAGACGCATGCAAAAACCTTGATAGGACGGAGAAAACACGGGAGGATCGCACGAGACCTGCTTCTGTCGACCAGGCTGCAGCTCGACTGCATGTGTCTGTCGAGTCTGGAACAGTCACAGCCGCTATTCTGGATTATTCGCCATACTCTGCGGAACACATAGGTAGGCAGGGCCGTGATATGCCATCTATAGGACGACCGTCGTCTCTGGGGCTTCGCTTGGCCCTCGAGGCCCAGGCAGGCAGCCGTCAAAGACCAGTCCCGTGTGGGCAATCCACGCAGCCTCTACACGCGTACGGACGAATGAGAAGGGACCAGTGCAGACTGGATATGTTGCTTGCTTGCTGACTTGCAGTGGTCTGTAGCTGGAAAGGGAGGGGAAGCCCGATGACAGCGCAGGCCGCAGGAGAGGCCAGGCCTGATGGACGGGCGAATTGGCACGAACTGGATAGGGAAGGAGTCTGTGTTATGCCCAAGTTGAGAGCAAGTTGGGCAGGAAGCTGAACAGATGTGGCGGCGAGGGAGGGTAGCGAGGATTGACGAGCATACCGGCGCCTCCAGACGTATAAGTCTGGCGTGCGCGTGTCGATGGCAAGGGGTTGCTTGGGCTTCAATTATTGCAGGCCGGGCCACTATACGCGTCAGTATGGGTAAGCACTTCTGAGGGCGTCGAGATTTCGACGGTTCGGGTTAGCAGCGAGCTGGCACGACACTTGCCCCTTGAGGCAGACCGAGCCTCCCCGCCCTAATCGACGTGCATGTGGCCTGTGGACTGCGGACTACTGTGTGCATATGTATGGGCTGTGGAGATGTCTCGAGTCAAGGGCGGGCCGGTGTCTCTGATTCTGGAGGGCCGGAAAGTCTGCCTAAGCGTGGAAGATTGTGAGACAGACCACTTCTAGAGCCATGTGGGATGAGCGTCGCTGACCGTGCCGTCCTGCTCGTCGGACTCGGACAACTTGAAGTGGTGATTACATTCCGTTGCGCCCCCCCGTCAAAACGCGAACAGGCCTCGACATGCCGCATCGAATGCCAAGGCCACACAAGACAGGGCAGAGGGGGGTGTAGTCAGTCATGGTGGGCTAAAAGACTACCTTGGGCAGGTACTGTGCCTGGGTAGACTGCTAGGTAGATTACATGTCCAAGCCCAAGACGAGGGGTTCTCCTCACTTAGCACATCGAAAGTCGACAACGAGTTCGAGATTGATGCCCGAGGTGAGGGTCGGCCAGGTGAGGGCGTGGGTAGACAGCCTGGCGGGCTGGCTGACGGGGCTGGCTCATGCCTAGGCGGGTTGGGAAGTTGGAGGTTGGGAGGGAATATTGAAAAGCCCAAACTACTGGGACTTCTCGGTCTTGTCCAGTCGCCTTGTCTCCCGTGTGTCTTGTGTCGTGCGCCAGAGACGGAAAAGGTGAAGTCAGAAGATGTCCAAGCTCCCTGTGTCTGCACCAGTCAGTCGGCGAGTGGGTGGAGAAAATAGTTCACTGCATACAGGCAGGCAACGCCGTGTCATGGTGAAGGACCGAGGTAGCTACGGTATCTTCACTACCTCGTAACTTCCCACCAAGGTATTGGGTATTGGGACACTGCATCGGCTTGTTGATCTCCCCAGCTCCCCTGCCTGGCGTCCTGCACCTTACTGTGTTAGCTGTGTGCAGTTCGGCCGCACCCTATGCGGAAGCAGCAGACCACCTGGGGCAGTTCAGCATTTGCACGCCCATGTAGGTCTCGAGCAGCGTCTAGAGGTCATGAGGTACCTGGGTACCTACCCAGCAAGTCCTCACCATCGGCTTTCTACGGGTGGCCCTCGCTGCATCCATTCCTTCCAGAGAAGAGCAGACTTGTGGAATCACGCGAGACTGGAAAAGAGCTACCTCTGAATTCATCTAACGCCATCGTGTACTCAATTACATTGAGTTTTACCTTGCCGTCATTATAGGGTAATAGGAAAGCGGCCAGTGCCTCCTTTTCTTGCCACTGGCTCGCTGGCTGGCTGACAGAACTGAATGACAGACAGACAGACAGACGGACGGACAGCAGACAGCAGACAAGATGGGATCGTAGACACCCTGGCCTGACGTGTGTGAACAAGAAGCAACCCTGTGGATGCTGATGAAGAAGGTTTGGAGTGTCAAAAGGTCTCAGGGTCCCCTGGGTGGGCCTCTCCCTGCCAAAGACCATGCTGTTCTGTGGCAGATGCCGACGCCTGGAACCACCACCCATCCGACGACGATACCACCATACGATGAGCCGAGGAGGCAATGAGGCAGCACAAGACAACGAGAAAACAATGCAGTGGATTGACTTTGCGACAACTGGGTACGTCTCGTCAAGTACCGAGTACCCAAGGGACCCAGGGTCTTCCTCCACCGGACGCCCCAGTTAAGTCCCGCTCCTCGCCCTTTTGGGCCACTTGCGTTGCTCGTTGTCTGTCGCGCTATGCGACAGGTTAATGCTTCATTCATGCCCATGCCCTCTCTGTCAGCCTCTGTCTCTGCCTGTCCCCATCTCTGCCTCTCCTTAGACTGACTAGGAACTAACCCCAGTATGCCAGATCCCGTCCTGTCCCATCCTGTGCTGCCATCGACACCCTCATCCCATATGTTACCATGCAACCGCTGCATGTCACGCCGTGCCCATGCCATGCTTTGACACATTTCTAGACCAGCTGCTACTACCATCACCACCACCACCCTGGCCTGCTCGGCCTGCTCACCCCCTCAACCCTATCGAGCTGCCCCCACGACCCACGACCATCCACTGGAGCTTGTGTGAGCACAGACCGGCGACGGACCAAGGCCGTGCGAGATCCCAAGAGCGATCGACACGGCATCCTCAGCTATAGCACAGCATCCCCCGGCTATAGATCTGAAGCTTGGGCCCTCTGCAGCGGGCCAGCGGCGCAGACCTAGACCTTACCAGACCTCACCTCTGCGGCCCAGGGGTTCGACCGATCGGCCATAGTGGCAGTCTACTATGCATGTACAACATCCTTCTTCACCTCACCTCCCACTGCCGCACTGCCGTGGGTCCGTCCGTGACGGCGCTGAACCTTGACGGCAGACACGGTTCGGCCGTCGTGCGCTATTCGGCTTGTGCGCTCGCTCGACTGGCAATGTGAGCCCGCCGTCTTGATCTTGCTGCCGCCGCGGGTCAGAATCTGTTGCCAAAGGAGCTGCAGTACAGTAGCAGCGAGCCTCTCTCTCAGCCGCCCCACCAGCTGCCAACATGTTCTCCATCTTTGAGGGTCGTTCTTATGGATACATGCATGGCCTCTGGCGCATTGGCGGGCGGGCGGGACTTTACTCGTTGGGTGTACCTAAGTCTACCTAGGCACCGCACTGCATGGGTGGACTCGTCCAGACTCGTCTCAACCACTGCGCTGCACACTACGCTGCATTGGACTGCACTGCGCAGCACTGGCAGAATTTCCTCCGTGGCCGGCACACGGTTCTGTCTCCGTTCGACTCAGCTTACCCCTGAACTCCTCCCAGAATACTGTGACACAGATTTTGACCAGCAAGGGATGCCACCTTTGCGACCTATGCGTGCTCAAGCTATCCTGTCCCCGACTTCACAGGCGGAGTGCCAGGGCACTCCGCCCCACCCACTCGACCTGACCTGACCTGACTTGACTTGTCCCGTCTTGACATGATTTACTATGCAGTAGATACGTTGTCTTGCCTTCCTAGACCTAGATACCTTGCCCTGCCCTGCCCTGCCCTGCCCTGCCCTGCCTGGCCTGGCCCTGCCCTGACCGTCCGTCACCATCACGAACACTGTGACCGTCTGTCTGGGCCTCAATGCAATGTATGCCTGGCGTCCATCATCCCAGCTTCCCCCGGACCCGTCTCCCGCCGTTGCGAGCCCCTCAGATCCCAGAGCCCCTCTCCGTCCTCGGCTTGTCGGGTCTCCGCTGGCAATCGACAGACTGAATCTGTCTGTCTATGTTCGAATTTTCTCTCTCCCTCTCATCTCCTCTCCTCACACGGACGCGCTCTAACCATTCCAGGAGCAAATGTACCCTCTTTTATCCCCGGGCAGCCTTGACGTCGCTCCTTCTTTTGCTGCCGTTTCAACGCTTGCTCTTCCCATCCCTTCTCCTTGTTGATATTTGTACTGTACATACATTTTGTACACCACACACCATACCACACCATACCAAAACAGCTCAGCACAGCTCAGTCCCTGCCAATACTGCTCTCCTTCCTTAGATTTGTATATACTATACAGCGCCCTGTCGCATTCTGCCCAAACCCTACCCTTGTTCAGATCTTCGAAGATCATCTCGTCTCATTCTTCTGAACTTAATCCAGCAACTTTAAAACACAATAGACACCACTGATCAGCACACGGGAGGTCACTTCCTCGAGTAGACTTGCCGAGCCCCACATCGAGTCGATTTCAACTCGGTTGGAGGCAGCATCGACGACAAACTACTCTCGCAGCCCAACTCCTTACTGCCAGGTTGAGCCACCCTTCCGTGGACGCCAGCCTAGCCCCCAGGAACAGCGCGCTCATAGAACAGCTTCGAGACCACAGAGTACCACCGGATCTTGCCCCATTGATCGAGTTCTCTTGGCTTGACGCCCTTATTTTGTGCCCACACCTCGGTCAAGAGTAGCCGTCCGTGCTCCTGAACTACCTAGATTGGTTACTGTCTAGGTATCGAAGCTTGATTATAGCTCGACTAGGAGGTACTTGATGCCCGGCCTCCCGAGCCCTATAGACGTGGACTCGTCACCTGACGACTGATTAGTTCGGCTACCCCCGAGAGAGGACCCCCAGGTCTTTGTGGTTCTGATCGTTTCTCTAATGATGCTTTGAACTCGAGGCAGAGGGGAAATAACGAATGGCATCGGCGTCAAACCCAAGCTATGGACTTGGCGCTCGTGACGGCACAAGTGCAACGGCGAGCAACATGGACATCGGCAGTGTCATTAGCAGTGGCAGCGGCGGCGGTGGAGGAGGCAGCGGTCGAGCCATGCATCAAGCCCCCAGCCTGGCCGAGGCTCCTGCAGGAAGCGGCTCTCGACCAGACGAGCCTCGCTCAAGCCAATACAACATGCAGGGAGCAAATACAGGCGTTAGGAGCCCAAGCCCCGGCGACGACGACGACGGCGTCGACTTTGACCTCGACAGAACACGACAACCTCTGCCAACTCGGCGAACCCAATCAGTGTCCCCGCCACCTCGCCTGGACACGTACTCGTCCGCTTCGGCAACTGGCGAGACCGTCAGACAATCGAGGGCCCCGTCTGCTGAGACGACAAGTAACGGCTACAGTCTCGCAGGATTCTCGCCTACCAACCACGCTTCTCAGGGCGTCTTTCCCGTGAACGGGTCAGATCCGTCACAGAGTAGGCGAGCCAATAGACGGCGCACCGGGCCCTTGTCTGCCGAACAGCGGGAGAAGGCCGCCATCATACGGAAGCTCGGTGCGTGTGCGGACTGTCGTAGGAGGCGGGTTGCTGTAAGTATGATTCCGTTCAATGGGCACCTTTCTCTGGGTGGAAGATTGCCACTTGCCCGGCGTACTGGGAGTCGGATGGCAGGCGAGACATCAGCTCTCGGGATGTACATGACAATATCACGAGGACAGGAGTCGGGCTTGTGCAGACCGCCCAGCGGATGATCCGGCCTATGTCTTTCGACTAAGCTTAGTCCTACACATGTCTGCGGGCTCAAGGAGCTATGCTATGGCTTACCGTCAATGGCGTCCACCTCTGTTCTGCAGAGTCGTCGCTAACACAGGGGCCGTTCGAATTATGTGCTATAACCCTACGTTGAAGATCATTCTTGCTCTCCCGAAGCAGCCAGCTGTGGATCTTGATTGCTGATTCGAGCATTCTTTAGTGCAACCCGAATCACCACAATATGTCATGGGACGAAGCCAGAAAGAGATATAGATCTCATAGCCAGGACCTCCAGGATCCGATTCCAATAAACTCTGACCGCGGGTTCCAGCCAGTCAATGGCAACTACACCTACGAGCCCCAAGGCATGGATCTCGATCAGTCACCTACGAGCCAACAAACGGTCCAGTCCTCTTCGACCGAGGCGCAAACTAGGACAATAAGGACCCCATTACCGTCGGGCCCTCGATTAGAGCGAACTGCCCAGGCCGCAATGTCATTGCCTGGTATTGACACGTTCAAGTCCAATTTGCAGACTCACGCCTCGAGTATAATAGCGAACCCAACCCGAGGCCGATACAACGCCGTGTATGCACTCCTGCTCGTTTGGGAAGACGAAGAGGATATTGAAGTCAAGCAGTCTGTGGAAGAATTGCGACAAGTGCTCGACAGGCACTACCAATATACGTTTGAGATGGACGTGATACCATCTGACGAGCCCGAGCGCTCATGGAGGTGGTTAACACGAAGGATCGACCATTTCATGGGAGCAAACGATCAACGAGATGTCTTGAAGATCTTCTACTACAACGGTCGTACACAACTGGATGGAAATCGGGCAATGGTCCTCGCAAGGTATGTCTCGTTCTTTCTGGGCACATCGACAAGTCGCCGCCTGCTCTCTCAAACCCTAGTCATTTGTGCGATGTTTTCCATACGTGTGCGTGTGATGTTCCCACTTGAAAATGGCACGGCACTCTCGAGATCCGGATCTGCATGGTCATCGAGAACCTGATGAAACATCCAAGAGAACGAGCTGCGAATGGAGAAGGACTCTGCACCAGCCGGGAGGATTGAACGGATCTCGACGAACATAGTCAGCGCTGGCGGATTGAAATTGTCTACAGACATTGACTTCCACATGAAGTTTGCTTGACACAATGTTGCCTGACAGCACTTGTAACGTCGACGATATTGCCTTGCGAATATTGTTCTGAAGCTGTTTAATTCGCCTTCTAGAATTGCTTGTACAATGCTAACAGCTAAATCTTCAGCTCCACAAAAAGCAAGCAGCCCTGCACCTTACGATGGGGCACCGTACAACCCTTGTTCGAGCAGGCGATTGCGGACACACTCGTCCTCATGGACGCGACATACTTCGGCTTACCGGCAGCTGCAAGGCGTCGCGGCACGCTGGAAATCATCGCGGCTGGTTCAGTTGAGGAGCAGGCCAGCCCGCTGGCACGTTGCGCCTTCACGCGAGCCCTCGGCGAGAAACTTCGAACACAGGCAATCCGCATGAGGCCATTCTCCGCCGCCGATCTCCACGCGCAGCTCCTCTCCGAGTACCCGAGACACATACAGGAGCAGAGCCCCGACCGCGAGGTCCTGAGCAAACTCCCCGCGCCACTGCACCTACAGCTGGCCGACAGCCACATCGTGCCATCGATCCTCCTCGCGCCCTTGCGGCGTAGCAGGCTGCCCAGCATCGAGAGCGTCTCGTCTTCCTCGCCGGGGCCACATCTGAATCTGATGGTCCGGCTGGATAAGGAGCCTGATGTTGAGTGTTGGGCCGACTGGCTGCGGTTGATGCCCGACGGGGTCAAAGACGTCAAGGTTGAGGGTTGTTTCCGGTCGGCCTTTCGGTAAGAGCGCAGTCGGCAGCCTTCTTGGATCGAGTGCTTTGGCTTGTGGCCAAAACTACCGTCCCCTTTATCGGACAACACGGCCGAAGCCCTAGAGATTTTGTGTCTTTTCTAGGACGAAGAGCCATCTGGGCCCGTTGAAGAGCGCGAATACCATGCTTTGCGCAAGAGAAGGGCCGAGTCAAGCTTCGGTATTGGTGGGGTCCGTTTTGCTCGCAGTATTACTAAGTATGGATTCACTAGTACGCGCGAATTGTTTTCTTGGATTTATTTATTCAGTATTTTGGGTTTGACGATGCTGTGGCTTTTGGTTTTGGAGGGTGGCCTTACAACAACAACAAGAAGACGGGTTTGAGCTACTAGGATGGGAAGCACCAGGGAAGCAAGGAGTCTCAGGATGCAAAGACCTAAACAAGGTCGCGCGGAGTATGGTACCTCGATGTATACCAATTGTCATGGAATAAGGCTTGGGGGAGGAAATACCTCGGAGTATGAGATTTTGTCTATGGGCGTAGGCGGCTGTCGGTCAGACATGCCTGCCCGCCCCGCTCGCTCGGAGACACTTGCGTGCTCGATGGGCTCGAGAATTATTTTCATTTTTGATTTTTGTTTGCGTCCCAGTGCTTGCTATGGATCTGTGCAGGCATTCTTTCTACGATGGGCTTGCCTTGCTAGTGTTTGGCAATAAGGACGACGTACATCAATTGCAACAAATTCGAAGAGAAAAGAAACAGAAAAAGACATAATATGGGTCCGACTAGGTGGTTCGTGGTTATATTCCTTTCGCTTTGCGCGTACGAGCCTGGTCTGTGGGCAACGCCAGACGCGCTTACGTGATATGGACATTATTATTGGGCGTACTCCCTGGGCCTCACGAACAGGGGCACAATACAACAGCAACGGGGAGAAAATGCATAAACATTATTAGAACACACAAATCCAACACCCTTGTTTATGTGATTAAATTGTCCCATCAAATCTTGACAACCTGCCCGTAACGCCTTGCAACCGTCCAGAATACAGAAAGCCAACCCGCCCAGCCTGATCGAGACTAGTCGAGGGGGATGATATCGTTTATTCATGCCGAGGCCGTCATGGCTGTAGGTATGTGCCCGTCCCTCCCAAGATTTCCCTGGCTCATGCTCCGATAACGCCGTAGTCTGCCTGCCTGTCCGCCTTGGTAGGATCCGTACTCGATTACTACCAATTGCCGGCGCTGAGTATCATTATCATCATGCTTGTTTGCGTTTCGCGCCCCGAGAAAGCAGGCGTTACTCTGTCGGTTTTCACTCTTGAATCGCTACGAGGTTCGGTGATCCATGGATCGAGTTCATGACGGGTAGTTTCGGCTCCGGTTTGATGCAGCTGAAAAGCAGTGTGGTGAGAAGTGCAGCTGCCCGACTAAGCCAGCAGCCAAGACGCGGCCACGAGGCCAACGGCGAAGGCCCAAGAGGTAGGTCCTGTCTGCACGCCGATGGACGAGGCCGTCGCATTGCCGCTGCGGAAGCCCGGCTCGTACGACGCTGGCTCGGTGGTGTCGAGCGTCCCGTTCCAGCAGTAGCGGCCGAAGCAGTTGTCGCAGGTGGACGGGATGGCGGTGTTGGTGCGGTCGAGGCTGCGCTTCAGGATGGCGCAGGCGACGCAGGCGGGCCACTCGGCGTCGAGGGTGCCGTTGCTCTGGGTGGCGGCGTTCAGCCCGTTGGTGATGATGTTGACCTTCTCCTCGTTCGAGTAGCTGGGCGTGAAGGTCGACACGTTGGAGTTGGCCGTGTACGGCGCGTTGGGCACGTAGACGACCAGTGGCGGCACGACCTGCCCGGCGCTCAGGGTGAAATTTTTGGGATCACAGCCGAAGAAGGTGGGGCGGTTGTTCAGGCCCAGGTTGATGAAGGTGTTGGCGTCCGGCACTGGGGGAAATAGTGTGCCGTTGGCGATGGGGCCCATGCTGCGCTCATATGTTGCGCGCAGGGCCGTCGCGTTTGGCCAGTTGAACGGAGTGTCCGCGCTGCTATCTACCGCGAAGATGACGTCCACGGCACGCACAGGCTGGAGAAGAGGGCTGATTGGAATGTTTTGAAGATCCTCGCCACCATCGACAAGACCGAGCTCAGTTTGGTCGGCGATGGGGTTGCTCGCATTGTTCCAGCCCAAGAAAGGGTTGGGGACCCATTGCGCAATATCATTATTGTCATCACTGCAATTATTGTTAGCAAGCTGGTCTGCGATGAATGCACAATCTGGAAAGTATTGGTTATAGCCCAGTGACCACTTACCCGAGTGGCTGTAGTAAGCTCGTGAGAGCGTCCCCTACAAACGAGGGCACATCGGCATACTGGGAAATGTTTGTGGTCAAGAACGTGTTGAACAGAGAAGAGCTGGTCCCCATCATGTAGCCGGCGTTATCAAACCCTTGTACACAGTTGCCACCATTTGGAATCACTCCACCTGAAAAGTTAGATGCCAGATACTGCGTTGGTGCGAACCCAAAGACTGTCGGGTCAAATGTTCCCATCTCCCAGGGGTTGATCTCGAAATTGGTCGCGTTCAAGCTGACAATGCGAATCCCAGGGTCTCTTCCATCGGTGACTATCATAGGCAAAGGGATGGAACCATTGATCAGGCTCGCGTCCTGGGCGAATGAGCTCCATGTGTACGCGGGGCCACCGTCTGTGTCGTTGATAAGCTGGTAGGACAGAGCCCTTCCCCAGTAGTCTGTGACCGAGGTCTGGAAGCCTGCATCAGCCTTGCTGGTGACGGCGTCACGAACATCGTTCCAGTAGGTGACGGTGCTAACGATCCTTATGCCGTCCTTTGGCCCCTCAAAGATGCTATTATCGAAGTCCCAGACAGCAGATCCGCCGTCCCTCAGGTTCACCACGGTTGAGAAGTTGTTGCTGTAGAGAGAACCCACCAGCCACCCAGCGCCAGAAAGCCCTGCGACGTAAGTCGTCGCCTGCAACAAGCCACCGATACCCCCGGCGTCCGTGGAACCTGGGGTCCTGTCGTCTGCGGCGGCAATGAAGCCAGCTCCATTCATCAAGGCTCGGTATCCTCCCCCGCTCATTGCGATGCCAATATTGGGCAGGGCGGAGACGTTGTTGCTGAGGTTCTTGATGTAAGCCGCGCCATCAAAGCCCGAGATTCCCGCTCGGGAGATCAGGTCAGCCATGGGCTGAACGGTGGCGGCACGCCTTTTCTTGAGCCAGTCGGTCTCATTTTGACTGAGAGTCGCAGCACTGCGGATAGTTGGACGTGCTGTTGGACAGTCGACAACGGCAGGGGCATATCCGCCACTAACAGCATTGGGAAGAGCACGGGCGACGTCAAGTATAGCCCTTTCGCGAATTGGAATATTATTGCCAGCCGTCAGGGTCATGAGAGACGCCGGGAGGAGGCACGCGACCAAGTACGACGAGGTCGGTGCCATGATGTAAGAGGAGTGGAGACGATGAGAGATCAAAAATGGATCTGGTATGAAGAAGAGGACGAGGCTGGGAAGAGGATAGGATATGAGAGGCAGAGTGCCTATGGCAGCATACTTATGACACCAAGCGAAAAGTTAAAAGAGAGAAAGTGACTGATTCAGATGAGATGGGACGGGTTGGCAGAGGATTGGGGGTGTCAGATGTCTGACCTGCATGTAAGAGTTCAAGAATAAGGAGGCGTGGTTTGGGCTGGGTGGTTGCTGTGGCCGGCGCGGGTGCCTCGGATCATAGACTGCGAGAAAACATGCGCCTCCTAGTGCCTCGTGGTCTAGCGTATAAGGCGTCGGCCGTGTGCGAGGTGTACGAGAGAAAGAGTGAAAAAATCAAAAGAGGAAAAAAGGCTGCTGAGTGTGACGCAATGTACTTTAGAACAAGCCCAGGCGAGCATGCGGTAAGACGGCTGGAAGAACCTACCAAACATCAGATGAGATGAGGGAGGAGGGCTCGGCACTGCGCCTCAACCGCGCAGTAATAATTCGGATGGACGAGAGACCTTGGTGATGGAGTACAAATGCTTGACTGTGACCTCGTGCTGCCTCGGCGTGAAAGGTGTGTGACGGCAGTTCAGATATCGCAGCATCTAGACACTGCCTAGGCGTATGGTGTTGCACACCGTTGCTGCTGCCAATGATGCCGAAGGCCCACAGCCAAAATGCTAAACCTCGACAAAGTTGAGCAACAGCATCATGCGTGCTGCAGCTGGCAGCGTGCGATGAGCTCACAGCCCTCTCAAGCGCAATGTAGAAAGCTTCTCGGCAGTTTCAGAAACTCTGTGTGGGCGCATCCTAGCCTTATTCGGGCCACTGCAGATCGCCTGGATCGGCCACTACGGGACGGGCGTCATGCCCGAGGGTCCCTGATCCCCTGGTCCTGGCCCAACTTGGCCCTCACGCCCAGCACGCCCCTGCATTACGGCCTGTACGGGTACCGCAGACTGCTGCACTGCGCATTCTGTACGCATTCTGCACGCATCCGTCCCTCCTCTTCTATCCACTGTGCCGCCTCCCGAGGTTGCAAGCCGCAGTGTCAGGCCAATCCCATCCACCCGGGCGCTGGGGCTAATGTGACCCAGACACACACACACATACATACATACATACACCTGCACAACACAAGCACACTTTCCATGCCATGCAGCCCGTGGCGTCTCTCCCGCCCTCGCCGTGCTGCCACTAGGCTCGTGGGAAACCCCGAGCTGTCACCACCAGGCTGTGACGGGCGAGAGACGGCTGAGAGGGTGCTTCTTGGTGTTGTGTGGCTGACGATTGTGCTACGCAAGCCACCACATCTCGACGAGGCGATCCCTCATTCGGCACTTGCTGACACCCTAACAAACACGTACACATACAGCAGTCTGTCACCACATGTGGCAGTGCGTCCCTCCAAAGAGAGACGGAAAGGAAGGGTGGTTCGATTGTCAGACTCCAGCCCCCACGCCTTGGGCTCAGCTCGCTTTGTTTGAGACCGAGGTCGCCATCGCCCTGGGCCGGCCTCAGCGCAAAACCCGGCCCGCCGAGACCAGTCTGCGGCGTCTCTCTTCCTCGGACTCTCACAGGCCCCGGCTGGCTGTGAACCAGGGCTACTCTGTTGCCCGCCAACGGGCCGACCATACGTGCCGCCCACAGCAACGGCCCTGCACAGTTCCTTTACGCAGCTGTGGCAGGTGCTATCGCTAACCGAACCTCCTTCGTACTCGCAACTTATGGCCTGTTCTAAGTCTGGCGCCGGTGCAAGTCAGGTCAAGGTCAGGGGTCTAATGCGCGTGCGCGATGATCACTTTTATCATTCGTCGGGCCGGCTCGAAGCTCTATCATGCGTACAGTTTCCCAGGTTTGAGTCGATCACCTCTTCTCCGCACTCCCGGCATCGAAACTATAGAAATCCTACTGTGCTGGCCGCTATCATCAACCTCGTAGCCAACAGGTGGCAGTTTCTCCAGCTCCTTCATAAGCGTCCCGTCTCTGTAGGCTCCCGTGTCACGGCCCAGGTCATTCTGTATTGCGCCGGCGGCATCGAGGATGTTCCTAACCAATCCAGACCCCCGGCGGTTCATCCGGAAGTTGTTGCTGTTGATGTGAACGTCGAGCCACATCCCGAGGCACCCCACAACCCAGCACAACTCGAGGATGATGCCAACAAGCGTGATCACACTGGAGAAACCCCAAACGTAACCCTCCTCGCTGATGCAGACGAGGTTGTCGTCCCGGCGGAAGTCAGACGTGAGCAGGGCGTCCCGGTAGCAGAGGCACATACCCCGGACCGGGAACCAATCGCAGTCGGCCTCGCGCGCGTAGACGTCGATGAACGGAGCGTCGAGCGCGATCGCCGAACCATTCCACCAGAGCGTCGAGTTGTAGGGTATTGGCTCCGACGAGTACCTCTCCCAGCCGCTCACGTTGACCGACGGGTCCAGCTGAAAGGTGGTGTTGAACCATGGCTCGTCTTCGCTAACTTCATTCTCTTGGCCCGCGCTGGCAAATTGGAAGCCTTTCAACTGCCGATATAGTCCCTGGACTTTTGATGACTGGTCGGTAGTGTGGTAATACTGCCCGGAGCTCTGGTCGGTAAAGATCATAGCGCCCTGAATAGAAGGCTTCTGGTAGCTGTATTCCCAGTCGTTGAAATCTGCCGTTTCATTCAGCACTGTTGTAGCGAGCGGATTACTATAGAAGCTCTGGATAGTCCATTTGGTTTTGTAATCTATGATACATCAGTTTCACGATTGGGCCGTCGGCCGTCGAAGGGAGGGAATTCTTACAGGCGATAATGTTGGTCCAATCGTCTGAGCCTTGCCTGATGTCACAGGTGGCCCAGTTGCTCACAATATCAGAGAATGAGTCGAAACAATTGCTGAACTGCGGCCCTTGCACCAGAGGCGGCACCGTCCCATTGAGCCTCTCCGTGTCCACAGACATGCACAGGTTGAGGCTGTCCGAGTCGGCCGTGACGTACGAATGATCACCCATTAGATACGCGGGCTTGCTCGGGTTCAGGTAGCCCGTGGCGGCGCCCCAGACGGACGTGAAGGCGAGGACGTACACGATGGCGAGGAGGAACCACACCGCGGAGAAGACGGCGCGGGCGGGCCGCTTCCTGCCGAGGAAGCGCAGCGTGGACCACAGCGCCGGCAGGGATGCCGTTGAGAACAGGATGTTGAGCTGGAAGTGGTACGGGACCGACGAGTACTCCATCATCCAGGTCAGCTGTGATGCCGCGACTTGGTAGAGCACCCACCCATGCAGGAACCGCCCGCCCTGCCCGAGGATCGTGTCCCACGCCAGGTCGAGCAGCTTCGCCCGTGTAAAGGACAGATCCTTGACGATCTGCAGATTGATGTAGAAGCTCCGTTCCACGGCGGGGACGCTGTATCCCCCGCAGTCCTGGGACATGGACGGCACGGAGAACAGGTCCAGATGCGGCAGCATCCAAAATCCCTTGAGGCTGAGGATGAACAGCCCAAGAACGACGAGGAGCTCAAGAAACAGCAATGAAGTTTGCCCGTTTGTCAAAGGCGTGAGCGTCTTGGGTGGTAGATGGCGTCGGCCGTCGCCATCGTGGCGATGATCATAGCTGCTCGAGTCGTCCGTCTCTGTCAGGGATTCGAGCGTGGGTTTGCTGGGGATTTTCTTGGTGGTGTCACGGTTCGGATCCAACAGATGATAAGAGGGAGGCAAGCCCGGGCTGTCTGCAACCTCTACTCGAACAGCGTCGGCGGCGGGCTCGTCCATGTATTGCTGTGTATGTATGGTCGAGTACCGCTCTTCTTCGCGTCCGAAGTCCTCATTTGAGACTGTTGCGTAATGTGAGACTCGCTGGCTTCCAGCCATCTCGATCTCTTGGACCATGGCTGTCTCTGGGAATTTTGTCCCGGGTGTTCATCACCGGCAGCAGTGTGACTGTCCTCAGCCGTTCTGTCGAGCACATCGATGGGGCACTGGAGCGACCTCTTGGTCTTAAGAGACAACTGGTGTCGAGGATAAAATGATGATCATTCCCTATCTGCACAGGCATAGATCTTCAACGATGCAGGTAATACACCCTCCCTTCTTGCTCATTGTGTCACAGGCAACTAAATCAAGCTTTTGCTCAGCTCCCAGGGCGGTGCAAACCGTAGTTCATGTTGAGAAGGATTTGACTTTCTAATCAACAGGTGCAGAATATCAGGGAATTTGGCGCTGTTTGTTGCGGCCGAAGGAATCGACCCCTAGCCGGATGCACCAGATCTGCTGTTCCTAAGTGGACAGCACGCATAATCAAGCTGAATGATCGGCAGAGTTATGTCTGCGCTCAGGCCGTCAGCAGCAGTTGATAGAGTGGTGTTCGAATCATTTTGTGGCGACTGAGGACTTGTCCCCGGAGGGAATCCTACAATTCGTCATTTCCAAGCAGCAGGCAGCAGGATCAAAGTAATCGTGGGTTGGCCTCCTCATGCAGGCAGGTAAGTAAGCTCCCATTCGGACCCGGCTTACATAAGTCAGCCACTCTCATTCTCTTCGCGTGGAAATGTTTGAGAGAAATATCAAGTAAACGGTAGTGTCAGGTCAAAGTGGACCAACGAGAATTGCAAGACGACGAGGGGAGACCCAGATTCACTGGTTCGGCAACAACGCTACACAAGCTTCCGAGACTAGAAGATTTGACCTCTGTTGGAGACTTGAGCCAGAATTGAGCAATGAAATGAATAGACCCACCGAGTACATCCAGTCTCAGACAAGTGGCTGGTGTCATACAAGGTGTACTCAAATACTCGGGACTGGAGTAAGGACAAGACGAACCGTCGGTCTGACCCCAGTATGGGATAACTAATGTCTCTGACTGCACTCACTCACTGGTCACGACAGATGACTGCCTCACTCCGACCAGATTGGGTTTTTGCTTTTGCAATAATCATAGCAAAGTCCTCCGATACGAACGAGCCATACGCATATCCTAACCCGTGGTAAAGTGAAGAAACAGCCATGGCTGGGGGCAAAAGTTGACCGGCTTGCTGAAAAAAATTACACATAAACTTTAAAAAAAATGTGGAGTACTTCATAGGGCAATGATCGTTCTGCCTTTATCTTGGTCGAGTAGTCATGCTTCCACGCTGGTTGATACGTGAGAGTGTCTTGCCGTGTGTCGACTTATTATCTCCGTTACAAGCAGGCACTAGGCCTGTAGAAGTGGAACAGGTCAGGCTGGAGGTCAACTGAATTTGGTAGGCCTCAGTGGAGGCATCTCAACATTGACCTCCTATTGCTGGTTGCCTGGCTCATGCTCTCTCAAGCCGCAGGTGCCTCTGAAAATAGACAGAATAGACCCTTGAAATGCGGAAAATGATGCCAGAGGACAGTGAATGCATGAGTTAGATAAGAAAGTGTTGGGTGTAAGTGAAGCCAAACTTCTAGATAAGTATACTTAGACCGGGATCTGGTCCGCTTATGTAATGCCGCTGCCGGTCCCGAGGTCCCACTCAATCTTTTTCGAACTCGACCAGTGTCTTCCCTCAACAGTCGGAAATTCTTCACATGCAGCATTCTGCACACAGCCATACCAACAACCACCGAGATGATTACAAGTCCAAATCCAATATAATATTCCAAATACAGTACGACCCGCCGTACTGTTGACATCCTTACGCCCCCCAGAAAATGGACGCCCACGCCCTCCTCAAATCCCAAGGCTGGCGGGGCTCTGGCCATTCGCTGCACAAGTCCGACGACTCGATCGGCCTGGCCAAGCCCATTCTTGCGTCGCGCAAAGACAACACGCTCGGAATCGGCCGCAAGAACCACGTTACAAGCGATCAGTGGTGGCTAAACGCGTTGGATGAACAATTGAAGAGCCTCGACACTTCCAGCAAGACCAGCATCGTCCAGACCAAGAAAAACACGAGGCTGGACAGCCTTCTCACGGCTGGTGCGGGGAAATACAAAGGCGCAAATGCTCTATACGCATGTTTCGTGAGTGGTGGGATGCTGGAGGGCTCATTGAAGTGGAAGACGGAGGGCGAATCAACGGATGCGACACCAGAGGCAGAAGCTGTTCCAGTGAGGACAGAAACCAAGGAGGAGCGCAGGGCAAGAAGAGCGGAAAAGAAGAGGAGGAAGGCAGAGAAGTCAGCGAGGAAATTGGCTAAGGAGTCAGCTGCAGCTGCCGCCGCGTCGAAATCTGTCGGGGGAAAGGATAAGTCAAAGAAGGACTCGATGAAGAAGTCGAAGAAGAGCGCATCGCCAGAAACGAAAGAGGAACGTCGGGCTAGGAAAGAGGCCAGGCGGAAACGAAGGCAAGACAAAGAGAAGCGCTCGAAGATTGAGAAGGGTTGAAAGCAAGGTCTTGAAGGAGTTGACCAAGTTTATTCCTACGACCAATCTGTTGGCAGCCTGCTCTACTGCGTGATGAGCCTGCACAGCCGTTCTACACCTGACGACTGGACGGCAACCCGCGACGCTGAGGACCCGACCAGAAGCGCAGCGAGCCAGTCACAGTGACCATGGCCAACGGAAAGATTAATGGTCACAACTGGCAACGTGTCGCCGCAGGCGGAAGAGGGTCCAAGCCGGGCTAGGATCCGGGTGAGACAGCACGGTGATCCAAATCCCACAGTCACACGGGGAATTTCATGCCAGGAGTTCAGGCAAGATGATAGGCCCTGTTCTCTTGTCATACTATTCATGTATATATCAAGAAGCGTCCTGTCATGGAGTTCGAGAAGCGCCTTTGGCACCTGACGTCGAGTGCAGGCTGCTCGATCTTTGAGAGCCTTCACAGCATTTCAGACCAAAGACAATGACAATTTGATATTGCAGATGGTAAACCAGGTACAATGTGCGCTGCACTGTCTGAGTACTTCTAAATGCGCCAAGGTGAGAATGTCTACCATAGTAAGCTGAATGCTGAAGTCGGAGTGTAAGTAGTACCATCCTTGTAGGCCATGCGGTATTGGGCGGTGTGCTTTGGTGTGGGGCCCGATTGGGGTCAGGCAGCTCAATCGCCGGCAGAAAGAAAAAAAGTTTGGAGTTGCATCTCACATGGTATACCTTTGGCTTGTCAGGACTCAAGCCGGTCTCTAATAACAGCACCATTGAAGATCGAGTTCCAAAATAATGTCAGCCGATATGGGTTCAGATCACGAAGAAAAGCGCCATAAGAAGTCGAAGCGCAAGCATCGGCACGAGGAGGCTGGCGACAAGATGGACGTGGACGAGGCGCCAGCAGCCACGGAGACACCCAAGAAGGAGAAAAAGAAGCACAAGGACAAGAAGAGGAAGGAGAGAACAGAAGTGGCAGAAGTTGACGACGTCGAAGCCGAACCAATTGCATCGCCTGAAAAGAAGCACAAAAAACACAAGAGTACAGACAAGAAAGAAAAGAAGAGCAAACACCATAAATCCATAACCCTGCCCGAGAAACCAGCAAAGCAAGCAGACCCAACAGAAACACACCAAGCCGTCGTACCGGACGAGAAGGAGTACCCCTTCTTCACACAAACATTCTCCCAGCGCATCCCGATCTGGCCGGCCGCCTTCGACGAGCCCCTCACCAAGACGGCCCGCGAGTACCTCGACCCGATGCTGAACCGCTACTCGCCCAAGTTCAAGGGCGTGCTGCTGGCCTACAAGAACGTGAACCTGTCGGATCGGCCGCGGCGCGCGGACCCGGCGGACCCGCCGACGGACGACACGCCGGTGGTGTTGGAGTCGGTTGAGTGCTACGCGCCGCCGTTCGCCTGGCTGACGGCCGACCTGCACCTGTTCATCCCGTCGCGGGGCGCCTGGATGGAGGGCGTCATAAACCTGCAGAGCGAGGGCCACATCGGCGTGGTGTGCTTCGAGAAGTTCAATGCCAGCATATCACGGCGGAGCTTGCCAAAGGGGTGGACATGGGTGGACCAGCCGGATGAGGAGGAGGAGGTCGAGCCAGTCGCCGAGGAAGACCCCTTCGTCGAGGGCCAGGAGGGTGGCGAGGGCAATGAGGGCAAGAAGGCCGAGGAGATGCCCCAGCTGCGGAGCTCGGGATACTGGCTGGACCACAAGGGCGACAAGGTCACGGGCAAGGTGTACTTCCGCATCAAGAACTTCTCCAGTGGATCTACGGGCGACTACACATACCTGAGCCTGCAGGGCACGATGCTCGATGACGAGGCCGAGAGGGAATCTGTTGCGGAGGAGAAGGCGATTGAGAAGGCAAGGCGTGCGAGGCAGAGTCCTGGGGCGCTTCTGTACCCCACCATGAGGTTGCCGGAATTCAGCATGACGAAACTCAAGGACGTCTCAATATGAAGGAGAGTTTGAATTTTCATGCTACCCAGATATTCGGATGACCGACGACACCTAGAAAGTGCGTTGGGTGTGGCCCATTCTGGCGGATCGAATATTCCCACAGGCCTCAGCCAGCCTGTGGAAAGAGCAAAGCAAGCCATCCAGTGCTTGATTCAAAGAGGCAGGGGTGACAGTCCCCATCAGACTTGGCCCGCTTCGAGACTTTGTCCGGAAGCCTCCCGTTGTCTGTGAACACGAGCGGAGACCACAGCGAAACTCATGGTCTTTGTAATGTGCCATGAGACGTGAGACGCGTCTTGTGGAGGTTGATGGGGCACCAGAATGGGTATTCGGGACACTCCAAATGCCCATCTGTTCATGTAGACTTATGAGGCTTGGGGTGGAATTAACATAATCATAACTTGCCTGGGCCAGGGCTCGGCACTAACAAATCAGAGGAGACAGACCTATCACGATTTGCCTACAGACTCAAGCCTGATCCTAAGACGAGACTGCCAGGGTTGGCAGGAGGCTGATCAACCACAAGATTTTGGCCTTATCCAAGCTTCATGAACCCTGGGTACTTGTCTGTGTCCGAATGCTACTTGCCTGTCTATGATGCTGGCCATGCGTTGTGACTTCTGCGAAATGCTGCTCACCGGGCAAGCTCAAATATTATGAAGTTTCCTCCGCTCAGCATCCCCAAGCTTTTCGAGATCATTTCCACACGCATCATGCATAGAAAATCGTCTTGTGGCAGGGCACGTACTTAGCGACGATTTCGCTGCTGCTCTTGGCACTGCATAGCGCACATCGGCAGGGCAAAGGCGACGGCATCAAGAGCTGATCTGCATGATCCCTGCAAACCGTCAAAAGAGCCTCGGCTCTCCACACCTCTTTACCCCGGAATGCCCCAGATCTCCCATCTGGCACTTGCTTCGTCAATCTTCGCCATCTCATTCCCGCCGTTTACAGATCTTTCTATTTCCTATACTATAGCATCGTTCCACAGAGCATCGTTCCCCGCAAGTCTTCATTACGAGTGTTCTTGACAAAAATATAAGCTGCCGCCGTGCAACGAATAGTCAAGATGAAGGGCATACAAGTATCACAATATGTCAAGGTGCGTGCACACAGCTGTGTCTTCAAACAGCAATCGGCTCCTAGGACAAGCGTACTCACTTGCAATCCAGAAACTTGACGACCTGAAAGTCACCACACTTGCAGACCCTGTGCCGGGCCCCAATGAGTATCTCATCAAGGTCGAGGCAGCTGCCACCAACTTCTTCGACATCCTGCAGGTCCAGGGTAAATATCAGCACCAGCCACCGTTTCCCTGGATTGCAGGCATGGAGTTCGCCGGCACAGTGCTTTCCACACCATCCGCGAGCTCCAACCCAAAGTATCCGGTCGGCTCGCGCGTGTTCGGTGCCTCCCAAGGCGCATACGCCACACTCGCCACCGCAGCCGAGGCGAACCTGCGCCCGCAGCCCAAGGGGTGGACGTCGACGGAGGCGGCCGGGCTGTTCGTCACGGCGCCGACGAGCTACGGGGCGATGGTGGTGCGCGCAGGCGTAAAGAAGGGCGATTGGGTCCTGGTGCACGCGGCCGCGGGCGGCGTTGGGCTCGCGGCGGTGCAGGTAGCCAAGGCGTTCGGTGCGACAGTAATTGCTACGGCCGGGACCAAGAGGAAGCTCGAGGTCGCGAAGCAGTTTGGGGCGGACCACGTCGTTGACTACAAGGACGAAAAGTGGCCTGAGGTGGTGAAGAAGCTCACGCCCAAGGGGCGTGGAGTAGATATTGTCTACGACCCGGTTGGCATGGTGGACAAGAGCACCAAGTGTATCGCCTGGAACGGGCGCATCCTGGTGATTGGATTTGCGGCCGGGGCGATCGAGAAAGTGGCTATGAACAAGGTTTTGTTAAAGAACATCTCCATCGTGGGGATCCACTGGGGCATGTATTCGAAAATGGAGTCCGAGACAGAAGTGAGGGTGTGGGAGGAAATTCTGCAGCTGGTCGAGGACGGCAAGTTCAGGGGCACCGAGTTTACAGACAAGGAGTTTGTGGGCCTGGAAAGCATACCAGAGGCTCTGATGGCTCTTGGAAGTAGAGAGACCTGGGGCAAGGTCGTGGTCAAGGTGCCTCAGGACGGCCAGGCGAAGCTGTAAGTACATAGTATGGCAGGCTATCGTATGGTTCTGGATAGGTATTTAGAGTAGATAGGTATGTAGTAAAGACAAAGACTATCATTCGACCGTGATGAGAACAGGACGGCGCTGAGAATCCGCCCGAGATACTGTTCCTACATGTGCCTAGGTAGACACAGTACCAGGGTACATATGGCCAGGACCCCTGGGCCCTGACACAGGTACGTACCTGGCAGGATGACCCGCCGCTGTGGGTGAGGTTGGCGCTGAGGAACAGACAGGGGTGAGGTGTCTCTCCGACCCCTCCATCTTTTTCTTTGTCGCGTTGTTCTTGCCGCGTCTACCTGACATCATTTGTTCGATCGTCACCCGCGCCTTGTTGCAACCTCGACACTTTCACCAGAAAGCCAGTCCAGCGCCGACAAGATGAGCTTCGCTATCGAGGTGCCTGGCGAGGCCAGCCCCCTCACCATGCAGGAGCTCTGCAAGGCCCTGGAGGCTGCCACCTCCATGGATAACAGCCAGAGGCAGGCCGCCGGCCAGCAGCTCAGCACCTGGGAGACCCAACAAGGCTACTTTCCCTCCCTACAGGTATGCAACTAGATACCCTGCTGGCTCGAGGCTCATTTATGCTTTTCAACACGCGTGTCCCCTCAAGCTGGACAGCTAACCAAGCTTCATCTCACAGAGCGTCTTCCTTGACAAATCGATCCCACGAGAGATTCGCTTCCTGGCCATAATACAGATCAAGAATGGAATCGACAAATACTGGCGCCATGTTGCCAAGAACGCCATGAACCCCGACGACAAGGCACTCATAAGGTCAAGATTGTTCCAAGGCACCTTGGGAGAGGAGGACAGGGCTTTTGCACTCCACAACGCCCTTGCGACCGCCAAGGTCCTCCGTATCGACTACCCAGACTCATGGCCAGAGGCACTTCCGAGCATCATCGACCTCCTGAGGACGTACAAGAATGGAGACCAGATACTCTTGGGTGGTGCTTTGGTCATTCTCCTCCGGGTTGTCAAGGAGCTCGGCACTGCTCGAATGCGAAAGTCCCAGACAGCCCTTCAGTCCGTCACACCTGAGCTGGTCTACCTCCTTGGCGAGATATATACGGAGAGAGCCACTTTGTGGACTGAATGGCTGGCGAATGGACGTGGGGACGAGGATGCCGCAGACCTGGCCATGCAAAACAGTCTGTTCGCGGCAAAAATCCTACGGCGGTTGCTGATCCTCGGGTACGAGAACCCTGTTAAGGATAAGGTTGTCGTCGAGTACTGGTCCGTCACCCAAAACCACTTTGGCCAATTTTTGGGCTACGTGAGCCACGATTCCGCTGTCCCTGCTCCCTACCAAGAGGTTGTGGGGAAGCATCTCCTCCAGTTCACAAAGCTGCATCTCGAAATGTCCGAAACCCATCCTGCCAGCTTCCCTCTTCTGCCAAACTCAATCCCGCTCGTGCTCGCGTACTGGGACCTCGTAGCCAAGTTTGCCGAGGTTTTCGACAAGTCCGGCGGCCTGAGACAGACAACGACCGCGGATGGAGCCGGCGCCAAATCCAAGGTTGAGGGCCCGTTGCTAGAGAAATTGGCCCTCAAGGGTTTGCTGTTGGTCAAAAGCTGCGTGGCTATCGTCTGGAAGCCTGTGCAGACTTTCAAGTACCTTAGCAGAGAGTTTTTGGAACAAAAAGACAGAGCTGTCCAGATCATCAAAGACGAGTTGCTAAAAGACGACCTCGTCATGCAAATCGTCAATGCCATTATCACGAAGCTTCTGATCTTCCGCCAAGCTGATCTTGAGGCATGGGAAGACGACCCGGAGGATTTTGAGTCTACGGAACAATATTTGGGTGATGTATGGCAGTTTGCTGTGAGGCCATGCGCCGAGCGAGTATTTCTGGAACTCTTGGTGCACTACAAGACCCTCTTGACACCCCCTCTACTGTCTTATTTCCAGCAAGCGACAAGCGCCGATTCGGACGTTATCACAAAAGAAGCCATTTACACTGCAATGGGCGCAGCCGCACCTAATATTTCGGAAGCTTTCGACTTCGACAACCTCCTCACGACAACGCTCGTGCAAGACGCACAATTCACTGGTCCACTGGCTAAGGTCCTCCGACGGAGGATCGCGATCCTGATCAGTACCTGGGTGCCGGTCAAGATCGCTGACGCGAGTCGGCCATTGATCTTCGAAATCTACCGACACCTTCTTAACAACAAAGATCAGAACAATGATGAGGTTGTCCGGCTCACCACTGCGAGACAATTAAAAGAAGTGGCCGACGACTTCGGATTCCAAGGCGACGTGTTTGCGAAATACGCGCCAGATTTCCTCCCTCAACTTATCGGCCTACTCGAAGTCACGTACCTGGAGGACACTAAGCAGGCTCTCTTCGAGACCCTTCGCGTGTGTATACAGAGGATGGAGGAACACGTGCTCCCCTTTGCGGACCCCATTATGGCGGCACTTCCGGATCTGTGGGAACAATCCAATGAGGCGTACATGGTCAAGGCTGCCATCATTGGGGTTCTGTCAGCGCTGGTGAACTCGATAGGAGCTGAGTCGCAACGCTTTCAGCAAGCAATGCTCCCCATTATTACTCAATGCATGAATGACAGCTCAAGTCAGGCTTTTCTCGAAGACATCGTGGACCTCTGGAGGTCGCTCATCACTCAAAGTGCCTCTCCATTGTCTGCAGATATGATCAGCCTTCAACCCATGATACTTCCTCTTCTGGATAATGAGCCTCAGCTGGCCGAGGCGGCGTATGAAATTCTGAACGCGTACATTGTCTTGGCTCCTGACGCCACATTATCAGACAATTTGCGAAGACGCACTTTGGAGGCACTGGTAGTCCCTCTCCAATCATCTGGTCGAAGCCGAGGCGCCGATGTCTTGACTAGCTACAGGAAGATCGAACTCATGTTCCTCGCGGCCTCAGAGCTCGGCGGCTCAAACGGCGCGTCTGTCATCACACAGGACCTCGTCGAGCTCGGCATCGTCCAACTTATGCTCCAGCGCATCCACACCGACTGGGAGCGGTCGCAACTGACTGGCCCCAACGCGTCGAACAAGGAGGCCCTGGAATGGTCGCACAAGCTCGCCTACTTCAGCATCCTCGCCCGCATCGCGCTCGCGGACCCCAGCCTGCTGATCAACGTCATCTCCACCGTCGGCGCCGACATCACACAGGTATGGCCGTGGCTGTCAGCGCAGTGGTTCGGCTCGTTCGACAGCATGGCCGACATCGAGCGGCAGAAGCTGTCGTGCATGGCCCTCACGCGGCTGTGCGAGCTGCCCCAGCCCGTCCAGGACCTCGCCTGCTCCAGCCTCCAGGACTTCTTCACCATGTGGCCGTCCGTCGTGCTCCAGTGCCACGACGGCAACGCCCTCGGCGAGGACGGCCTGGTCTGGGACGCGCCGCCCCAGTCGGACGAGAGCACGCCGCTCGAGAACGCCGAGGCCGCCCTCGTGGCGAGAGACCCGGTGCACACGGTGCGGACTTACGGGTTCGTAACGGAAAGGCTGCAGGGGTTGGTGCAGAGGGCCGGCGGGGAGGCCGCCTTCAGGGACAACTGGATGGTCAATGTGGACAAGGACGTGTTGGAGGGCTTTGAGAGGTTGGCTAGCGGTGCCGGTGCACAGTAGAGATAATGGGAGGAGGAACATCGCATCCATGAGGGTATGAATTCGAGAATAGACTTCAGAGAGAAGGGAAAGCAAAGATACCTCGGCGTGCGTGAATGAATAACGAATATATGAAAACATGAACACTTGCATTTACACCGGCTAATCTTGACCGTGGAGAACACACTACGATTTGACGCCTGTAAACCATGCATGCATTGAAGCCATCCTCGTACCTGTCTATAAAGCCATTTCTCTGCTTTCTTCTTTTTTCTGAGCCTCTTGACATATCAACCAACCCACTTCCTGGCATTCCTGAACATCCTCAGCCACGGGCCAAACTGGCCCCAACGGTCGATCTCCTCCCTCGGCGCCCAGCTCGCCACGTCCGCCATGATCGTCCGCTCCGGGTGCGGCATCATGGCCAGCACCCTGCCGTCTGCGCTCCTAACACCCGCGATTCCCTGTGGGCTGCCGTTGGGGTTAAAGGGGTACTTCTCCGTGACCTTGCCGTAGTTGTCCGTGTAGCGCAACGGGATCAGCCCGCTGTCGTTGCAACCCTGCAGCCCGGCGGGCGAGGCGAACTCGGCCCTGCCCTCACCGTGCGACACCACGATCGGCAACAGCGAGCCGCTCATTCCCGCGAAGAAGACGCTGTTGTCGCCTTCGTCCTTGACCTGCACCATGCTGTACCTCGCCTCGAACTGCTGGCTGGTGTTCTCCACGAAGGCGGGCCAGTGCTGCGCGCCGGGGATCAGCTCCTTCAGCCGTGACAGCATCTGGCAGCCGTTGCACACGCCCAGACTGAACGTGTCTGGCCGGCGGAAGAAGGCCTCGAACGTCTTGCGCGCGTTGTCGTGCATCAGGATCGACTTGGCCCAGCCCTGGCCGGCGCCTAGCACGTCACCGTACGAGAAGCCGCCGCACGCTGCCAGTCCGCGGAACCCGTCGAGCGAGAAGCCTGACAGAATGTCCGTCATGTGGATATCCACGGCGTCGAAGCCTGCGGCACGGAATGCGAACGCCATCTCGGCGTGACCGTTGACACCTTGCTCGCGCAGGATAGCGACGCGAGGGCGTTGCGTCACCAGGGACTTCAAATTTGTGAGGGCTGGAAGGCTGGCATCGGCAGGGTCGTATTTCAGTTTGTATGAGAGACCTGGGTCCTTGGCGTCGAGGAGCGAGGCAAACTCTGACTCGGCGCAAACTGGGTTGTCTCGAAGCTTTTGCATCTCGTACGAGGTTGTTGACCACCATTGTTGCATCTGGGCTCTGTCTAACTCAACGAGTGGTGTCATGCCATACTTGACTGACAAGGACTGCTTGGAAGTCGACCGGACGTAACCAATCTTCTTGATCAGGCCTGGCGGCGGCCCGCAAGTGGCGAAGCAGCGGAGGAATCTCTTCTCGTCTGACTTGCGTATCTGGAACACCGCACCAAGCTCCTCGTTGAACAGAGCTTCAAGGACATCAGAGGTCGAAGCAGACTTCGCAATCTCATCGATCGAGACGTCAGCTGCACACCGGCCGGCGAACATCATCTCAGCGATGGTGGTAAGCAAGCCACCATCTGAACGGTCGTGATATGCCAGCACGATGTCCTCTTCGTGAAGCTGCGACAGAGCATCGAAGTAGTCAACAATAAGCCTAGTATCGCGGACATCCGGTGCTTCATTGCCGAGTTGTCCCAGGGTCTGTGCCAGAGCCGAGCCTCCCATGGCCTTGCGACCTCCAGCGAGGTCGACAAACATGAGCACAGAGTCGCCAACCTCTTCGACGCGTCGGAGTTGTGGCGTCCAGGTGCTGCGAACATCTTCAACAGGTGTGAAAGCAGAGATGACGACCGAAACAGGTGCCGTCACGCTCTTGGATTCTCCACTCTTATCCTTCCAAGACGCCTTCATCGAGGTTGAGTCCTTGCCGACAGGAATGGAAACATTAAGGTCTGGACATAGCTCCATGCCGATGGCCTTGACGGCCTCAAACAGCGCGGCACCTTCGCCGGGGTGGTTCACAGCAGCCATCCAGTTGGCAGACAGCTTGACCCGTCGCAGATCCCCGCGAACATCCGTGGCGCCTTTGATGTGAGCAGCACCGAGGTTCATCAGGCTTTCCACGACCGCCATCCGTGCAGAAGCTGCGGCAGAGATGAGAGCCAGAGTTGGTTTTTCTCCCATTGCCATTGCCTCGCCATGGCGAAATTTGTCTTCAAACCCAAAGGAGCCGAGCGTCACGGCAACATCCGCCACGGGCGTCTGCCATGGACCGACGAGTTGGTCTTGTACTGTTAATCCACCAACAGTCTGCGGAGAGAGTCAGTATCGACGTGATTGGATGTCAGGGGGGGGGGGGTCTTTCGTACTCGGTCTGCTATGGTGATCAAGAACATCTTCGATCCAACAGAAGGAAGCGAGAACACCAATTCAGTAGCCTTAGAGATCACTTCCGTCTTGTCCGAAAGGCCGTACTTCTCTGAGATACTCGTCGCTGCATCAAAAGGAGCCAGAGGTGCCTTGAGACTCTCAACCACTCGCTCTTGACGGCGGCCTGGTGGGAATAAAGCGTCCATGGGTAGATCAATTGGTACGGGGTACTCCCTGGATTCCCGATCCTGAAGTACCAGCCGGGAAACACCATTCTTGTCCTTGGCAACTACGTTTCCAACATTCGAATAACCGCAACGCTCGCGCTCTGTTCATGAAGTTAGCCTTCGGGTCTGCAGCGGCCGAATTCGATATAGCATGAACATACCGCAAATGACCTGGAAGCGGTTCATGTTGTCCTTGTTGACGAGCAGCACATATCGTTCTTGTGCCTCATTACACCATATCTGCAATGGGCTCATGCTGTTGTCGGCACTCTCAACTTGTCGCAGCTCGAACTTGCCGCCGAAGCCTGCGTCTTTGACCAGCTCGGGCAGCGCGTTTGATAGACCACCAGCACCTACGTCATGGATCATGGCGATTGGGTTGTTGCCACCGAGAGCAACACAGGTGTTGATGACCATCTGGGCTCGGCGCTCCATCTCTGGATTGCCTCTCTGCACCGAGTCGAAGTCGAGATCCGCGTTGCCCCCACCCACAGCACTCGAGGCGGCACCTCCTCCAAGTCCAATCAGCATTGCAGGTCCTCCGAGAACGATGACATGGGCGCCGTCGAGCACGTCTGCCTCATTTTTCAGGGCGTGTTGTGGCCTGACGGAGCCAATGCCGCCAGCAATCATGATTGGCTTATGATATCCCCTCCACTCGGTGTTGGAGTTAGAATGCTCGCCCTCGGTGTTTGTGAGCAAGGTTCTGAAGGTGCCAGTCAGACAGGGCCGACCAAACTCATTGTTGAATCGTGCAGAGCCAATTGGCGCTTCCAGCATGATGTCGAGACTGCTGGCGTAATGACCAGGTCGACCAATGTCGACCTCCCATGGTTCTTTTCTGCCGGGAATGAGCAGATCTGAGACCCAAAAGCCACACAGACCGGCCTTGGGTGTTGAACCTCTGCCGACGGCGCCTTCGTCCTACATTGACCAGATCAGCATCGGGGCACTACTGATGGGCTACAAATTTGCAAGACAGAGGCCGCAGAAACACTTGTTTCTAGCACCTACCTCTTGTCTGGAAGCTGAGGATAACATATAGAGTAGCATAGTAGGAAAATCATACCCTGATCTCGCCTCCAGAACCTGTAGCAGCGCCAGGAAAAGGTGAGATGGCAGTGGGATGGTTGTGGGTTTCAACCTTGATCAATGGGTGGATCACTTCGTTGGAGAGCTTCCAGGTGCCCGTGGAATAGTCTGGTGCCCAGAAGTTGGAAAGTCCACCCTCAAGAACCGCAGCATTGTCGCTGTATGCAGAGACGGTATAGTCAGGGGTCTTCTTGTGGGTGTTCTTGATCATCTCGAAAAGACTCTTGCCCATAGGCTTCCCATCGATCGTCCAAGCTGCATTGAAGACCTTGTGGCGACAATGTCTGTGCAGAACCGACAGTCAGAAATAGTACTGAACAGGGGAAAGGGTCGATCGGGTGTAGAATGTGTGACACTTGTCATCCAAACGACAAGGAACGAAAACGCAGTTGTCTTGGAAGACATACTCGGAGTTGACCTGAGCGAACATGAAGAGCTCTACGTCGTGAGGTGGTCTGCCCAGTCGTGTGTAGGAATCGACTAGGTATTGCATCTCCTCGGCACTCAAAGCCAAACCCATCTTCTTGTTATAATCGTCCAGCACCGCCAATGGTCCACGACTATCCTCCGCGAAGATGTCAACGACCACGAGAGGAGACCGATCACGTTCAGCGAACATGGCGTCCAGGGAGGGCTGCTCAGTGGCGAGCGTCTCGGTCATTCGGTCATGGATGATGTCGCGGAAGGGCAGGTCGTCACCTCCATTGTTCGAGTCCTCATACTGGATGGTAATCACTCGACCCCTTTCGACCCGGTGAACCTGGTCCTTGAGGCCACAGACGTGGGCAATGCTCGTGGCTTTGGAACTCCATGGCGAGATGTTGCGAGGAGTGATGTAGAAGGTCACGCTGTTCTCGGAACGTGATGTAGTAGCGGGCCCCGAGGCGTTGCTGACCTGAAGCAACTGCTGGACCTTGTCGAGTCCAGATTGGCCCTTTTTCAGGTCGACGTAGTAAAGCCAGTTGCCCTGGATGGACTGAAGCCTGGCGTCGGTCTGCTTGTTGATTCGTCCCAGAAGCTTCTGGGCTTCGGAACTCGTGAAGCACGAGTTCCCGGTAAGGACTTGGTAAGGCATGGCGGAAGATGGGACAATGGCCAGTGTCCAGTGTCCGGAGGAGGAGGGCTGTCGCCGAGGGAGATCGAGAAGAAATTCTTCGCGGGGCTCCGTCACCGCAGGGCTGATAAGGACCTCGAATCGGCTATCAAATCGCGGGGTGCTGCAGACCCCTGTTTTTCTGTGCAGGGATGTCGCGTCACAGTCGCGAGATTCCTTCAGAAGCCCAGGAGCTGCATGTGAAGAGGTCGGTGGGCAGCGGAGACACAGGGGGCAAGAGGGTTAGACCCTTGAGAAGTGGGAGCTCCCTTGCCTCAACCCCACCATGAGCTCGTTCACCATCCATCCTATTACGCCATCCACCTCTGCGTATAAAGTCATGCTCCTCTCGAGACGGTGCATTGGTTCTGCGACTCGCAATCTTCCCAGAGAATTAGTCAAACCTCAATTGACCTCCATCTCAGCTTTCCATCCCATACTATTCTTAATCCCTCGGAATAAACATAATTCGAGTCGGTCTCATCCTGGAACACACCAACTTTGGAGTACGGCTAACACTCTGTAGCTATGGCGCTCCCTCCCAAGTTCAAGGGCCACCGTCTGCTCTTCTTCAGCGACGATCCGGCAGCTCCGGCACCCACGGAGGCATCGGCAGCAGAGCCCCTGCACACCATTGAGTTGTACCTGGATTATGTCTGCCCCTTCTCAGCAAGTATGTGACTGTGTGAATACGGTTGTGTCTCCAGGTGATGCCCCTATCTGACCGTATCACACCACACAGAGCTCTTCAAGACCTTTGTGACGTCGGTTGCTCCCAAGATCCGGGCCGATCCCAAGCTGGCAAGCAAGGTGCAGGTTATCTTCCGCCAACAGATCCAGCCTTGGCACCCATCATCAACGCTCGTGCATGAAGCCGCCCTTGCTGTGAACAGGCTCGCACCGTCCAAGTTCTGGACCTTCAGTGAGGCTCTCTTCAACGACCAGAAGTCGTACTTTGACGTCAGTCTCGTGAACGAGACTCGTAACGCTACGTACAAGCGCTTGGCTAAGCTCGGGGCCGACAGCGCCGGCGTGAGCGAGAACGAGCTGTACAAGCTGCTGGCTATTGCCGAGAAGGCCTCTGATGATGGCAGCCTGAACATTGGAAACGGGGTGACGAATGATCTCAAGTGGTCCATCAAGACTGCCCGTCTTGTTGGGGTGCATGTCAGCCCCACTGTGATTTTCGACGGCGTGGTCGCCAACGAAATCAGCTCAGGATGGAGTGCTGATCAGTGGTCCGAATGGCTGGGCAAGAATATCGATTAGATACCGTGAAGGCGTAGCAGACTCAGAGTCCTAAAATACTCCGATCAGATGTGGAATGAGTAAATGTTGCGATGATTCTATGAGTGTCTGGGGCCCTGCTTCTGAACTAAACCAAGGACCGCAGTCTTGATATCAGAGTTGTGATGTGTATTTCGAGATCTATGATTAGGAAATAATTTATTCGTACTGAATTCTCGCTGGAAAGCATTAGGTCTGCGCTTCTATATTTTAGAATTTTACTGTCAATTCAACTGTGTATGACAACTCCTTCTCATGGCAAACGTCAAGCTGCGGCTGTTTACAGTCAGGAGCTCGGGCCACCACAACTTTTCCAATCACACCTCAGAGACTCGCATCTCATCCCTTCCACAACAACTTCAGGCTCAACATGATAAGTTTAATATCGCTTCAGCGGGCCCAACTGAGGCCACAACTGGCCAGGCTTACCTTCCGAGCCTGGCTGGTCCCGGCATGTCGCGCCCAATCACGCATCATGACCCCGCTGGTGAGCCGTGAGCAGTTCGTCAGGAGAGCTTCATCCTCACTGCCGGCGCCAAAACCGAGAGGGCCCAAATTTGGTATGCCCACCTCGATGGTTCAATCGTCTCATCGCCCAGGCTTACCAGAAAGGTGCAGAAATCCCTCCGAGAATGATTGTCTATCACATTGGGACACCTAGGATCATGTTCCTCGGCGCTCTCAAGCTGACAACCATCTTCGTTTTCGGCTTCTTCGCCGTGGTCGTCATACCCGGATATGTATCTGCAGACTTGCCGCTCTGGCAGACCGCTGGACGTGAGTTTCCCGCCCAACAACATCACTTACTAGCCCAGACACAGCTGACTCACCCATCTACTCAGTGGCCGTCGCCAGCACCATTCCCTTCCTGGCAGTCTGGTATCTCACTTCCCCCATGGTGGTATGGATTCACATGCGCGTCCCTGACAAGTACCGCCGGTCGAAACATGTCATGGACTTGTTTCTCGAAGCCCCGCCCGCTGACGCTGAGGTGACCATCACCAACATGGGCGCCATCTTCAAGCCACGGGTCAGCCAGGTCAAGATCTCGGACCTGAAGCCTGAGCGGAAGCGATTCGGGCTGGTGAATTACACGCGTGACACTACCCAGGAGAACTCTCAGCGAAAGTGGTGGATGTTCAGGGCAATGGGCGGCTTCAGAATCGAGGATGAGACCACCACGGGGGTCAAGACGAAGTGGGCATGGGAGGCTGTGGCGAGGCAGATCCGGCAGAGGGCATTGAAGGAGAAGAAAGGCGGGACGGCATGATCTCCACGGGACAACACACATGTCCTACGAATTTTACCCTGCCTGGCTCCGTTGGCTTCAGTCTGAGGGAGCTTCTCAGATTCCATGATCGTCACAACGTGTACGCATGTTGACCAGATGAGACAGCACCAAGCCACTGTAAGGACTGGGTCTCTACAATTGAGTTCAGGGTGAGGGCTGAGATTGACGGTAGGAAACGCCGCTCCCACAATCGACCACAGACCCATATGGTACGGGATGAAGTAGACATTATATTGGTTCATGATAGCACACATCATGACGCAAAATTGGGATCATTTAAATCTGCATGAATCTCTTGGGATCGTCCCCTTCGACGACAAATCTCAGGGCCTCAAATCTCAAGACACAGCCTCGCACTTATTACGACAAGGACACCTGGTAAAATCCACGACAGTAACAAGCCCTGAAACATACGCAACGAAGCAGACCGGCAACGGAGGCACGTCAGGAAGGGTTCAAACACCAGTCAACCCACACCTGGGCCAGGACAAGCCCAAGGTATTTGATGCTGCTGGAGCGATCGGCCACCAGTTTACCGGTACGGTCTTCTCCCATTTTCGCAGCGGAGTAGTCCAGAACCGCTTTTATAATATCTCGTGTGACAGAGGACGGAGCGATTGGCAAGCAGTTCACAATGGAGGGAGGCATCGATGATACGGTACAGGATAAGCTTGGTGGTACAACTAGCAAGAGCAACTAGGTACCTTGGACGTTGAGGAATCTTTGAATTTTAACTTACGGATTTTCCACCTGAACATCGCCCTGTTGCACTGGTTGGCTACAGCCTGACGGATCATGAAGCAGAATGGCGGCTCGGCAGGCCGCCTTTGCTCGATTGAGCAGGACATCAAACCTTGTCGGGCAAGCGCCCATAATTGGGCAGAATGGGACGCCCATGCAGCGGGCCTCGAGTGTCCAGCACGATTCATCATAAAAGGTTCAACATGAGAGTGGACATCTCGCGATGGCCAGCATTGTTTGTGCATCTTGGACGCATCGCCCTCGTTTCAGGGGCAACAGCTGGCAGATCGCTGCCAGGAATTTCATGCCGCCAGAGGATCCTGAGAAACAATCTGGCCGTGAAAGTTATGAATTAATGTTGTGACAAAGCTTGGGGGCTCCGGTGACACAAGATATTTACAATTGCAGTCCCCGCTTACCTTAAGGTCAAGATGACGTGAGATTACCGACAAGACACACCGACGGTGCTCGTCGCTTCAGGACTTTATCGATCGAAATGCTCATTAACATCATTGTCGCCATCATGGAGGGCAGGCAGAGTCAGTTCTCTCTCGATTCTCAGAAATCTCCTGAAGAGGTTCAACCGATCTTTGACATTTTACACCACCATAGCGTGGGAGTGCAACAAGGAGAAACCAAAAGTGCGTCGGCGCTGGAGACAAAGATAGTACGTCTCGGGGATTTGCACCATGACCCGAGAATCCTGGAATCGTGGGCCAGGGACAAAATGGCTCACAGTCCGATTACCTTGAGAATATCAAATCATTATCCCAAGATGACGGAACCTCCCGAGGAATCCTTGACCTCACCGAGTGAGACCAATTCTGGAAACGCAGGGATATTCACACAGGATCCATCAAAGGCATACATTGCTGAACAGGACAGCAAACTGTGTTCGAACGCATTGATCGACGTCATTCATTCAGGTCCTACGCCAATACTCCTTCTTTCCCAGGACATCTTATGCAATGAGGACGCACTTGTTGGCCTCAATCGCTTCTGCTATTTCTGTCAGCAGCTATGTGAGGCATCGCGAGTTTTGAATACTCACGTTCACGAGGAAGATGGCGCGATTCCCACGCAGGAGCCATCAGGCCTTGGGGACCATCGCCATCGGCCGTTCGGGATGCCCCACCGTCAGATTCGAGAGTACTTCGACTTCTGGCCTTCAACTGCGGAGATGTTGTCGTCTGCGCGTAACGGCTGTCATCTGTGCTCCATGATGTGCCAAGAATTCCTCCAAACACTGCATAATTACCACGGTTCCGCTGAGTCTTTTGCAGATGGTCTCTCCACTGGCTTTTTCCAACTCGATCGTAAAAACTTGGACAGTTCCGCTGAGCTTGTGGAAGGTGTTCTCTCTTATGGGCCTTTGAAACTCGTCGTCTGCTGGACGTGGTGGCTTCCCAGTCCGAAACCCAATGCTTTCGGTTCTGCTTCGGAGGCTATGATGACCTGGGATCTCTATATTGAGTGGCCGTCGAAAGGCTCCCCGAATAACTATCACCAGGACCCGCCGTTCCTAGGCCCTCGACATTCTATGTACCTTCGGAACTTATGTGTTGATGCAATGCGGACCAAGGAGGTGATACTGTCAGAGTTGCAAGCGAGTGACGACTATCACTATCGGAAAGATTCCAGGACCAATATAGTGATCCCCCGAGACTCCCCAAAGCTCGGGACAGGGAAGGACCACTTGCTTAGCCATTATACCGGATCCGAAGCAGTGATGAATATGGCAAACAGATGGATTTCTGCGTGTCATAAAGAGCACAGCTGCCGCGAACATCCTAACTGCGCGACGCGTGATTCATCGTTCAGGCCAACCCGGCTCCTAGACGTCGGCGACCCAAGCAGTATTAAAAACCCCCGGCTCAACATTAAGGAAAATGATGCCGGCCCAGTTCAATATCTCGCTCTGAGTCACTGCTGGGGTACCAACGTGAAAAGCTTCTACATGTTGACGAAGGAAACGGAGGCAGAGCTGGCGCGGGGAGTTCACATCGAAACATTGTCTCAAACATTTCAAGACGCAGTTAAAGTGTGCAGGAAACTAAAGAAGCGCTATATCTGGATTGACTCGTTGTGTATTAGGCAAGACGATCCTGATGATTGGCTTCGGGAGGCGGCCCAGATGCACCTGGTCTACGCCAATTCCTATTGCACTATCGCCGCAGTCTGCGCAAGCAGTGGCGGAGAAGGCTTTTTACGCTCAAGGAATCCACGGTGTAAGTCACGCCTTACGCATCAAGTGTTTTGTTTCCCTCTTCTAAGTTGGTGACCTGCCGCTGACTTTCCAATGACACAGTACATCAGGCGTGCAACTTTCCTACAAAGATCTGGGCTTCCATCAGCGGATTAAGTCACCGCCCAGAAGAGCTGCGAGCATGTCCCCCCGAACCTCTTTTTTCACGAGCGTGGACATTGCAGGAGAGGCTTCTGAGCCCGCGCATCCTGAAATTCGGCGAGGAGGCAATCAGCTGGGAATGCCAAGAGTGCGAACTGACCGAAGACGGCCGCGAACCACCCTCTATGCGTAATGCTAAAATCGGAATATCTCACGCGGAGATGATGCAGTTGTGCACAGGCCGAGAACTTCATAGCAACCCAATGTCTCAATCGGCTTTTCTATTTCTATGGAGGAAGCTCTTGTCTGCTTACACGGAAATGGCTCTGACACAGCCAGCGGACAGGCCCTTCGCGTTCCAAGGCATTACTTCACACATAGCTCGCCTTAGCAGCAAAGTCGCCGGGGACGGCGGCGAGGGGACAACATTCTTTGACGGGCTGCCGATTGCGTGCCTGTTGCCTTCGCTGCTTTGGACAAATTACAAGGGGAAAAGACCAATATAGAACATCATCACCAATGGCGCAAAGACACGCGTGGTGGCGGAGTGCTATGTCAATACACTCTCATGGGCGTCCGTCGAGGGTAAGGTGTCATATCAGAGAGACTGGCCATTCTGCGCTACTGCTCGACCGGAAACTAAGAAATTCGCGCCTGGGTTCAACAGTGGCACATTCCAACTCAAAGAGAGATCCCAGATTATCGAGCTCTTCCCTCGTGAGAGGCGATATGAAGCAACGGAAGATCACATAAATAGTGATTCGCTGTCCTATTCCATCAAATGGGGCGAACGTTTCCGAGGACTGAACCATTCTTCTCTAAATATGAGCAATTTTATCTTCACGCGCTACTGCTACTGCGCCCATGTTGTATCCCTCAGTCACATACATTCCTTGCCGTCGAGCGTGACTCTTGAGGGCCCGACGTTCAGCTGTACCACAGAAAGAATCAACAGGAACGATCTACTAACTCGAGCATATTGGGATCATCCCTTGAAGAGAAACGGCCTGAACGACTTTTATATTAGTTTAATTCCTGACATAGGAAGCCTGAAGAACATGCAGCTCGGCCTCGCAATGCAGGTAACATTTCTTACCGTTATAGAGTGGGAGCCTGGGCCGGAGAGCGAACCGATGGATATGAGCGGTGTGAACCAGGACGGCTGGCAACCAAACAGCGCTGCTGGGATTGTGCTCATTAGGAGCCAAAATAGGGAGGACAGTATGCTTGTGGATCAGAGTGAGGAGGTCCATACCAGGATCGGATACTGGGAGCTGGAGCAGTGGAACCAATATCACCCGCCGTACGGGCTCATCCGCGAAGAGGCTGAGGTGCGGCGGATTGTTATCATCTGAATAAAGACGAGGATTTTATCCGATCATATTTGGGAAAAGGCGCTCTGAAGCTCGGATGAGAAGTTTTTTGTTGTCAGTGGCTTTGGGTTTCAATTCGAATGAGTGCAATGTTTCCCTGAATGAATATATAAAAAAGTTAAAGCTTATCCGATTCACGGGACACTGCCTGTTGTGCACTTCGTATCAGTCGGTCGCCTTCATTATCCGCGGACAGAACGTATGAAATACAACCTTAACTGTGTGGAACGTCACGAATGCGACAAACACTGCTGCGATGTGGCGTTGCGTGTCTACTTGAGTATCTACCCTCTCGAAACGCAGTGCCGGTGTGAGCCTGCTTGAATTGGAGAATGTATAATTATTAACTAGTATTAGTTAAATTACTAGTTTTAAATATTTGTACAGTTAAAGGTTTTATTATACATTTAAATGTATATCCGTTTGTGTGGTGATAAAAAGCAGCTAAAAGTTGTACTTCTTTACAATCTACTTATAAATATAAGTCGCTCAGACTAATCAGCCTACTACAAACACTAACCTTACTATTCCCACAATACTACAACTATTATCCCTTAAACAAGTTGCAAAAAGACTACATGCTGGCCTTCATATAGCTAATCACAAAGTAGCACAGCCCACAAAGTCAGCAACATGAGGCACTGCACAGCACCACCACATACGGATTAGTCACCGCGCAGAGGAATTGACACCTAGAGAAGGACCAACTCATGCTGGTCTCTATGGGGCCAAAAAGAATGCCCTGCGATATTGGCAAAAGAAAGGAATTGGTCCCGGAGAGGATCGAACTCGCGACCTTGGCATCACCGATGATTCCCATTCAGGGAATTATTAGTACCACGCTCTAACCAGCTGAGCTACGGGACCGCTTCTTGTTGGATTCCGGCTTCAAAACCGCACTCTTGTCGTTGCAATGGTGAAAATTTCGTGTGGGTGGGCCGTAAATTCGCCGAGTTATGCAGGCTTGGCCGGGCGACTAACACGGAGTTGCCGAGGAGGCCCGTGCGCCATAGGGCGGCCCAATCTACGGTATAGCCAGCTGCACCCTCCAAATCCGAGTCTGGAGTTGATATTTCTCTGAAAGGCAAAGAAAAGAAATGGTACATGTGAAGGATACGGGCTGGATTCTCATGTTGATTTCTCTTTCCTATGGGGCTCAAACATAGGTCTGTCTATTTACTTGAACAGGAACGACTCTGATAGGCTGCGATATGACGATCCAATGAGCTGAAGGTGTCTGGTACCTGGGAACCCAGATAGCCCGGCAGTGAACAACTCTGTGCATTGCAGTACTGGTGAAGAATTGTTAGCATGGCTTAAAAAGGGAATTTGATCAGATGAAGCTGCTTGTTTTGAGTATAGATTGATTTACTTACCAAAATGTGAAAACAGATGCGATGTGGAGAGGACGTATAAGAATGTCCGGGCGTAAGCTACGCAGTACACAGTACAGCCTACAAGTATCTCAAAACTTTCCTACGAAAAAGTGCATAGAGAGTGAGAAGTGCAGACGTGCAGAGACTCCGGTTCATGCAATATCCTACAAGGTACGGGTGGTTATCCTGTAAGAGGACTTCTCGCAGTCAGGAGGTCTCTGGGAGGTTATTGTATAGCAGGGTCCAACTAGAATGTGTCCCCCCCCCCCCAACCCGTTATTGATTGTCGTATTGAAATAATTATGCGGGGATATGAAACAGTATATTATACCACATTGAGTTATCCAACAGCAGGTTTTGTCAATGAAGGTTGACCATAGTTGTCCTACACAAAGTGTGGCGTGGTCATGCCCGTGTGGTCGGGATCCCTGCGAATGAATGGGTGGGACAGGGGTGGTGAAGCTAAGACGCGCCCAAAGTTTTGCGACCGCGACTTTTCTTAGGGACGACGTCAGCAACTCCAGAGGGGGAAGCATGAACGAGACTTGAGGGACCATGTCAAAGTCGTGGCAGTCGACGCTGAGACTGCCAAAGGCTTCAATCCCGTAAGTTTTACCCTTCTGCCGCCACCACCACCACCACCTTCATAGCAGCAAGTCTAACGGCACCTCCACAACTAGACCTCGGCCGACATCACAGCTTCAAGAGCACTACCTCCAAAGATGCACCGACGCCCTCTATGAGTGGCAGGCCGCAAACCGGCCAGCCGACAAGCAGTTTATCCTCCACGATGGGCCACCTTACGCAAATGGCTCGCTCCACGTCGGACACGCCCTGAACAAGATCCTCAAGGACACCATTCTCCGAGTCAAGGTCCAGCAGGGCCACAGGGTCAAATACGTTCCGGGCTGGGACTGTCATGGCCTACCCATCGAGCTCAAGGCCCTCGAGGCCCTGGGTGTCAAGAAAATGGCGCCAATCGACGTGCGGAGCGCAGCCAGGGAGCTCGCCGCGAACACCGTCCTTTCGCAGATGCGCGAGTTCCGGTCCTACGCCGTCATGGCCGACTGGGACGGACGCTGGACAACGATGGACCCTGCGTTCGAGATCCGGCAGCTCGAGCTGTTCCTCAGCATGGTCCGCCGGGGGCTGATCTATCGGAGGTACAAGCCGGTGTACTGGTCTCCATCTTCGGGCACCGCTCTTGCCGAGGCGGAGCTCGAGTACAAAGACAACCACACCTCCCATGCTGCCTACGTGACCTTCCCGGTCACATCGTCGGCTGATGGGGGCACTGCTCTTCGTCAACTCCTCGGTCAAGATTTTTCGGGCCAACTATTTGCCGTAATATGGACTACCACACCTTGGACTCTGCCTGCGAACAAAGCCATCGCCGTGCATGACGATCTCGACTACGTGATCCTAAGACACGGGAGCGATGCGCTCATAGTAGGAAAGGAGTGCCTCCAACAGGTCCTGGAGACGTGCTTCGGTCGCACCGAACTGGAAGAAAACGACTTGATCGTGTCATGCAAAGGCTCCGACTTGCGCCGCTTCTCGTATTACCACCCGTTGCATGGGGAAAAGGCAGCGTACCAACCCATAATCCACGCAGACTTTGTCTCGGCTGAGTCTGGTTCCGGCCTGGTCCATCTCGCCCCTGGCCATGGCCACGACGACTACGAGGTCTGCAGGTCTCTGGGTCTCGAGGTTTCTGCGCCGGTGGACAATGACGGGCACTTCACAGCCGAGGCTTATCCCCAGGATCCCCAGCGCTTACAGGGGCTTTTCGTGCAAGGCAAAGGAAATGCAGCTGTACTGGAGATCTTGGGATCCCACGTCTTGCACGTCCACAAATACCAGCACAAATATCCTTACGACTGGCGGACCAAGCGGCCAATTATCGTGAGAGCAACGGCGCAGTGGTTTGCCGACGTCGCGGGGATCAAAGACGAGGCACTCAAAGCCCTCGACGACGTCCAATTCATCCCCAGTGGCGGAAAGACCAGGCTGGAGAGCTTTGTGAAGGGACGAAGCGAATGGTGCATCTCCAGGCAGCGTGCATGGGGAGTTCCTATCCCTGCGCTATATGACAAGAACGGCGATGCTGTCATGACCGAGGAGACTGTGCAGCACATTATCTCGGTCATACGTGAGAGAGGCACCGATGCGTGGTGGTCTGATGAGCCTGACGATCCGGCTTGGATTCTGCCATCGCTTAGGGGCCAAGCAGAGTATCGACGAGGAACGGACACTATGGACGTCTGGTTTGACAGTGGCAGCAGTTGGACACACGAAGGTGATGTTCAGGCGGACGTCTACCTCGAAGGCTCTGATCAACATCGTGGCTGGTTTCAGTCCAGCCTGCTGACAAGAATCGCTGCCGCCGCCGCGGATGATTCCAACAGCAGCAGTCTTATCAAACAGACAGTCGGCCTAGCACCTTTCAAACGTCTCATCACACATGGGTTCACTCTGGACAAGGACGGAAGGAAAATGTCCAAGTCGCTAGGCAATATCATAAGCCCTAATCAGGTAATGGATGGGACTTTGCTGCCACCGGTCAAGAAGAGAAAGGAAAAGGGCACGCCGAAGGACTCATCAAGTAAAGCGCCTGCTGGACCACACTTTGATGCTCTCGGGCCAGATGCTCTCCGTCTTTGGGCGGCTAGCAGCGACTACACTCGCGATGTGGTGATTGGGGAACCTGTCTTGAAGTCAATACACATTTCTCTAATCAAGTACCGCACAATCACCAAGATGTTGCTCGGGTCGATGGCCGAGACTGCCCGGACCACATCACTGGGAATCGCCGACCACATTGCCATCATCCAGCTCCGAGACACCATGGAGGAAGTCGGCAAGGCCTACGACAACTTCGAGTTCTACAAGGGTTTCAGCCTGCTGAACAGGTGGGTCAACAACGACCTATCCGCCTTCTACCTCGAGGCCCTGAAGGACCGGCTGTACTGCGGCGACGGGGGAGGCGTGTTGGAACCCATATTCTGGGGTTTCATGCGCATGCTGACACCCATCACGCCGTTGCTAGTGGAAGAAGCCTGGGATCACGCGCCAGAGTGGCTCAAGAAAGAAAGCACACACCCGCTGCGGCAGCTCTACGCGTCCCCGATTATTGACGAAGCGCGGCTGTCGATGTTGGAGCCTCAGCTGCGCGAGGCCATGCCCGTGCTCTTCGCCGTCCACGCGGGCATCAAATCCGCCACCGAGCTGGCGCGCAGGGACAAGAAGGTGGGCTCGTCCCTCCAGTGCTCGGTCGTGCTGCAGATCCCGGACCCGGCCGTCGCGTCCGCCCTCCAGTACGGCGACGAGCTCGAGAGCGTCTTTGTGGTTTCGTCTGTGCGCATCAACGAGCCTGTTCCCGAGACAGCGGAATGGAAGTACTCAATCGATTTCCACGTCCCGGTAGGGGCTTCGAATGGCGGCCATGCAGGCGGTGCGGATGTCACGGATGCTTCCAGCAGCGGCCAGGTCGACGTCGAGGGTGAGAGCTCGCTTGGTGGCGTGAAGTGTACGGCGTGGGTGCTGCCTCCAAATGCGCACAAATGTCCTCGATGCTGGCGTTATATTGCCCCCCAGGAGGATCAGCTCTGTGGCAGATGTGAGGATGTCGTCGAGAAGGGCGATGTTTGATGAAAGTTGGGAATGATTGCCATCAGGCGATGGGAAAGCCTAGCCTGTAAAAGCTGTAAAATACTGGAAAGATACCCCGTCTCCTCCCACAGTCGAACTCATTAAATCTGTGATGTGATAGAATTCCAGTGTCGTGACGTGTAAAGTTGACGAACTTCCAACGCAGGACTAGTACATTGAGTGGGAATTTGATGTCTTGCGTTGGTCCAATCTTCAATCCTCCCCTGCGGCCTGCAGCCTTGAACTTTCCAAGAAATTGCATGGTAGTCTATAGGCGCAGTCAAGTCTTGTTGTTCGAATTTAAACAACGGGGTATGCTTATTATGCTTATCAAGGGCGGCTTGTCATCCAAAGTGTCTCGGCGCCCGACTTCGGTCAGCGGCGACTCGAGCGACTGCGGATCGCAGCGGCTCTAAAATTGCACCACCCAAACCGCGGCTTGCTTGGGTTGGCTTGACCTCTCGAATCTGATCTTTTGCTTACTGACATCGCATCCATCATGCACATGCAGGCCTTATAACACGACTTGCGATGCGCCATGCATTGTTCCTAAACAGACTCTTTGCCAAGCCCACCTACGTCCCACCCCGGCTTCTCATCAGAGGCTGCCGGCCTCACCAACCCAAAATGAGCACCACCGCCGCACCAACCAGGACCTACGAGGTGAGTCTAGACATGAGAGAGGCTTTTCTTTCTCTCTTCTTGATATCATCATGATTTCAATGGGCACAAATACACAGAGGAAATCCTCGCTGAGATGGCCACAAAAAGGACGCCATCGACCTCCTCAACACATTCCAGACGCCCTTCGCCGTCATCGAAGCACGGCGCAAAGCCGGCATCCGGCCCGATGAGTCCAGCGTCCGCGAGATGAGGGCCTACTGGGCGCGGCTGGGCCACTCACCCGAGGACCTGGACCGCCTCAACGTGGTGCACGTGGCGGGGACCAAGGGCAAGGGCAGCGTGTGCGCCTTCGTGGCGTCGATCCTGGGCCGGCACCAGCACCGCCAGGACGGCCAGGACGGCCAGAGGAGGAAGCTCAAGGTCGGCCTGCTGACGTCGCCGCACCTGATCGCGGTGCGCGAGCGCATCCGCATCGGCGACGCGCCCATGTCCGAGTCCGCCTTCGCGCGCTACTTCTTCGAGGTGAGCGACGCGCTGGTGAGCGCCGACGGCGCGGCGGCCGCCGTGCAGCCCGGCGACGCGGAGCCCGGGTCCCGCCCCATCTACGCGCGCTACCTGACGCTGATGGCGCTGCACGCGTTCCTGCGCGAGGGCGTCGACGTCGCCGTCGTCGAGACGGGCGTCGGCGGCGAGTACGACGCCACCAACATCGTCGCGCGGCCCGTCGCCGCCGGCGTCGCCACCCTCGGCATCGACCACGTCTTCGTCCTGGGCGACACCGTCGACAAGATCGCGTGGCACAAGGCCGGCATCATCAAGGCCGGCTGCCCTGCCTTCGCGGTCGAGCAGGCCGCGTTCCCGTCTACCGAGGATGTGCTCCGGGCCAGGGCTGCCGAGAAGGGCGTCGAGCTGCAGGTCGTGGGCGTCGACCCGCGGCTGGCGGCGACGGGGGTGCGGGTGCGGCCCGATGTGGCGTTCCAGAAGAGGAACGCGAGTCTGGCCATTGCGCTGGCGGAGGCGGCGCTGCTGAAGATTGACCCAGCGGGCTTCAAGAGGGACGCAGACAGGCTGCCGGTGGAGTTCAAGGACGGCATCGAGCAGGTTGTGTGGAGGGGGAGGTGCGAGGTGAAGGAGGAGGGCGATAGGTTGAGGTGGCACCTTGACGGAGCGCACACGACCGACAGCCTCAAGATGGCGGCGAGGTGGTTTGTGGGCGTCACCGACGGCCGACGGGGCCCCAGGGTGCTGATATTCAACCAGCAGGGCAGGACGGAGGCCATCGATTTCCTGGAGGGGTTGCATTCTGGCGCAAAGAGGGACGACGGGTTGCCCTTTGACCATGTGGTGTTCTGCACGAACGTCACGCATGCGACGACAGGCTACAAACGAGGTATGTCGACGGCTCTTGCTCGATGGTCTGGCGAATGGAAACGCTGACAACCGCCAGATTTCGTGAATCACCAGTACGATCCCGAGGCTATCCAGAAGCTCACGGTGCAGCGGGCCTTTGCAGAGCGGTGGTCATCCATCGACCCCAAGGCAAAGATTACGGTCATCCCCAGCATCGAGGAGGCCATCAACGTGGCTCGAGGCCTCACAGAGTCACTTAAGGAAGGCGAGACGGTGCAAGCTTTCATAACAGGCAGCCTCCATCTAGTCGGAGGCGCCCTGGGTATCTTGGAAGGGGCTGATGCTCTATGAACGGGAAGTCTGCGGACTTGGTTTGTTTTGCTTTGTCTTTCTCCTTCAAAGATCCTTGGGGAAGTAGAAAAGAAGGATTAGATGTGGTAGAAAGAGGACGTGCTCAACGCGACCGGTAAATATATCCAACCTAGGGTTCACCACCCGGCTCCAACAGCTTCAGCGCTGGTCCCACCAGGTTAAAGCTGCCCGTGACCAGTACTTGCACCTTGAAATTATCCTTGCTCTTCTTCGACCCAAGCATCACGTTCCTCGCCATGTCCAGCGCAGTCGATATGCTGTCTGCGGGTATTGCCGCAGTAAATGGGCAGAACTGCCGGATGACATCGCAGTTCTTCCTCTGAACGGTGAAGTCTGGTTTCTTCATAAAGCTATTGGGCTCGTTGGTTGGGCAGAAGGCGTGGTGGAAAATTTTCTGGTTGGGGATCTTGGTCTCCTCCAGAATGGTCTCGAGGAGCGTCTTCAGGAGACTGGCAGAATCACGATCTTGCTGGTTGAAAATGAGAATCCGGATAGAGTCCTCCTCTGAAATTTTGCCGGCATACCACCGACCGACCTGGATGAGGCTGTCTTCGGTGTGTGCGCCATCGAGGTACCACTGTATGCGATCATGTGTGATCGTTTCGCAGCGCCCTCGGAGTGTTGCAGTTTGGAGGCCGGTGATGAATTGTCCAGGCATGTCGCCTAGCTTGCTGGGGAGTGGTGAGCCTCCGCTTTCGAAGAAAGGGAGCTCAAATTTGTGGCCTAAGGACTGCAGATGCCGCCTCGAGACGACTGAGGCGAGAGCCATGTTGGCCTTTTGAAAGGCTCCCTCCAGCTGAGCATCTTGCACTCCTGCCCATGTCTCAAGAACTTTGCTGCCAATCGAATCCAGAGCGGTGCCCTTCTCATGTGCCCGATCATTCAACACCTTCAGAACGCTGTCTCCCTCGGACGCACCAGCCTGGTAGGAAAACGCTGGCACGCCCTGCTTGAAAATGCCAGCCTTGTTCCACGCAATCTTCTCCACTGTGTCGCCCAGCATGGCAACATGATCGATGCCCAACTGCGTTACGGCCGAAACAGTAACCGCCTCCGGAGGGAGCACGTTGGTAGAGTCATACTCGCCCCCAATACCACACTCAATAACCGCAGACTTGACCCCCTCCTTCAGAAATGCATGGAACGCAAGCAGTGTCAAGAAGCGAAAGTAAAATGGCTTCGTCGACGGTCCATCTGCGCCCAGCTCATCACCATCGGGCAGCTTGTCGCCAGCTTTCCTTGCCGCGTCGGAGAGCCGGTTCCACACCTCGAAGAAGTACGTCGTGAACTTGTCCTGGGAGATGGCCTCGCCGTCCAGGCAGATTCGTTCCCTCACTGTGACCAGATGTGGTGAGGTGTAAGTTCCCACGCGCCCTGCAACTTCGGGGTACTGGCGCAAGATGGACGATGTGAAGGCGCACGTGGAGCCTTTGCCTTTGGTGCCGGCGACGTGGATGCAGCGGAGGCGGGCCAGGTCTGAGGGAGAATATCCAGCTCGGGACAGCCATGCTGTCATCTCTGGGATGGCGGATGCATTGATGTCCGCTTGTGAGCCTGGGTCTGCGGTGAAGAGATTGATGATGTTCTTATTGGACTGAAGTAGGGACAGGAGGTGGAGGGCGTTGTCATAGTTCGGGACGAGCTTATCTGAGGCGGCCATGGTGGTGAGGTACTTGTTTCTTCGGGAGATGAGATTGCTGAAAGTGAGAATCGGGTTTGAGGGGCTTGCTGGTCTCAGTGACACAGGCAGGAGCAGAGGTGAGGTTTTCAAGATGTTAGCCCCAATGAGAGCTCGACACATCTGCCCTGAGCTTCCGTCGTTTTGCTGTTGTTGGTTTTGGTGGCGAGCCAGTCCTGACAGTCCAGTTCTGGCAGTCCAGGGCAACGGCGTCCTTGTCCGCAAGCAAGCCTATATAGCCTCAGTAATGCTTCCTTCAATGGCTCCTATTAGGCTGGGAGCAGGGGAGCTCCAGATTTGATGCTGACCAGAGGTCAAATCAGATCAACCAGGCCAGGTTGGAGTAGGTTGCTGTCAGCAAGCGTGTTGGTCCAGACAAGTCGACGGGTCGGACAGTGCCAATCTCTCAAGTGGTGAACTTTTGGAGAAAGCGGACGTGCTGTAGCATCCAGCTGCGAGCCCCACCCTCCCTCGGTTTCTAGCGCTGGCGTGACAGGGTATGGGCGGGCTGGATTCCCGAGAGCTGTACGGTACTTCTGTCTCCCCGCCAAGGCCAAGTGCACAACAGTTCGGGACTGTGATGGGACCACAATGGGAGACCGAACCCTGAGAGAGAGGCGTGACAGAGATCCCTCGCGAACGGATGTCGTGGCACATGCTGGGCCGTGAGCAACTAGGCCATCCTCCCATCACTGATCATATTTCGGTTGCGGGAGAGGCTTTGGCTGATCCAGACTGCCGGGAGGTGAGCTTGCCCTAAACGGTCCAGCTTACCGTGGGTCCCGCCAAATGTAGAGGTCCTTTTGTGGCAGCAATCTGTGGAACGCTATGGCATGCTATGCGATGCCATGCCATGCGACGCCATGCCATGCAATGCTGATCTCTTGCATTTCTGCACGTATGAAAAAACTGTAGTATCTGTGTGTTCGCGAAGTCCTGCCCAACATGCACAAGAGCTCGCTGTCTGCGCTTCGAGAGGCATAAGGAATTGCTGATTTACCGTAGAGTTGAAGCATCGCTGACTTATCCCATCAACAAAAGCACCTTGGAACTATCTGTCGGCTCACCCAACTAGCTCCCAATGACTTGAATAGCGGGAACATGCAGACCTCGATGCTAGCAAGAGACCAAAAATGATTGGGGGGACCAATGAGTCCACCAAAACGTAATATTGAACAGAGTGAGATTCGAACTCACGCCTCTTACGAGACTACGAGAAGATGTTAACCTGAACGTAGCGCCTTAGACCGCTCGGCCATCTGTCCTATATGGTTTGAGACGCCAAAAAGAGCTTTATGAATTAAAATAATTTTCGTTTCCGTGGCTAAAGAATCGGGGCCGCTACGGTCAAAAACGTCAAAATGTCTCATCATGACATATCCGCCCTCATGTTTCGATGCATCACAATTTGAATATGTAGTTAGATAGTCCTATTTAATCTCTATCTATTAATATATATTTCATTTGCTTTTTCGAGATATCAAAGGAGTTACAGCAGAAAGTAAATTTGACGATGTTCTTACATATCTTGTACCACGATGCAATATACACGTGTAAGTGATATATATCGTTTATGAGCCCTTCGCGAGCTCATCAAGGATCCAACAATGGATACTACGATACAATTGTAAATCATGCAGAGCCTGCCCTCTAAAACTTTGCCACTGATACTCTTATTATACTGGAAAAATCTGCCACCCCTAGATCCTGAAATGAATCTCTATTGCATTTGGGTCCCGTATCGCAGTGTCGATTGCCACTCAGACCCAAAATAAGACTACAGGTCCGTCAGATGCAAGCAAAGTTCCAGGTGAGATGAAATGAAGCATACACATCCCTGCATGTCGACCCTCTGAGACCGTGTACGACATAGTTACACCCTTCGTCGACTATTCTGGGTATCTTTACACTCTCTTAGACATTTCTTTCCTCGACATTTGGGCAACAGACACTATGCACCACCTGGACTTCAATATATAAGCTACTCTTCTCTCACATTCCTGGATTTGGTCATGGCGTAGAATACGTGCCCACTCACTGACTGGATGGTATTATCCACGAGGAACGTGACAGCAAGTATTTGCAGTGTGACTATCTCTTCTAGCTCTGCGTCATCCCTTGCCATCGAAGACTTCCTTACCTTGGCATATAGATGGCAATGCGAGTGAGCCTGGGATGGAAGCTCACCTCCTTCCATTTCTACCATCCATTGAATTTTCTCTCATTCATACTTTACCCAAAAATCCCTCATACTCGGTACAAGTCAAAGTGATTTAGTTGGCAGAGTGCTACGGGGTAATCTCGGAGTTTCTAATAAGAATTGGTTGTTGGGTGAAGAGAAAAACTAAAAAAACAAAAACTACAAGCCACAGGAGAAGCGTGGCATTTACATAGCGGACTACGAAAGCGGACACAGTATTATAGAGGTGATCCTAAATAGAGTGTAAACTGAGGCCAAAGGTAACATGCTCGAGACAAGCAAAAGTCGGGTTTGCAACACAAAATATTCGACATGAATATATACAGTAAGAGACATTACTGAGTAGTACATCTACTTAGAATAATTCCTTAGGGCCACGATTGTTAGTCTGAAATCAACTAAACCATGCCCAAAAGGACCGAGCCTCACAAAGAAAGGCCCGCCGAATGAACCTCAGCCACAGCAATCCTTTCTAAGCACTGTGGTCTTGCAGCAGGTGACTATCAGGTAGCAAGAATCGCTGTCATCGGAACACTGAAAATAGGAGCACTGCTCGGTATGTACCAGCCATCTTCTATCACTGGAGCGTTTTCTCTAAGTTGTCTGCCACGCGTATGCCTGCCCTGCCGAGCAACATGCACCAAGAGTATCATATACACCTATGAGAACAGCACCGTTGCAAACAGCCCCGCCCCCCGAAAAAAATAGTGAAAATTTCATTACAGAGGGTCCCTGTGGAGTGATTACTTCCCCGTATAACGTGTCATTCAACAGAAAATTCATGCAGGAGGTAACCCTATGGAAGGTTATCCCACGGGAGTTTATCATAGGGGAGGTCGCCCTATAGGAGGTTTTCCCATAGCTGGTTGTCTGATAGTCGGCTGTCTTCCAGCTGGTTATTCTCTACCTGGCTATCGTATCTGTCGTATGTGTGGTTGTCCTACAGCTGGCTATCCTAGCTGTCCTATGGTTGGTTAATCTGTAGCTGGTTAGACAACGATTGGTTATCCAATGGCTGGTTATTATCTTTGTCATATAACTTGTTAATTCGTATGGAATTCCCTATAGCTAGTTATCCAGTCAGAGCTTAACTTATTTTCGTTATGATTTTGATAATTTACCACTCACCTCGTAGGTACTTCGGCCGCGGAACGGCCCCCTGAAAAGCAGCTCGTCAACAATGTTCAATCTCGCCCGCTGTGTCGCTGGCATGATGAGCAGGGTACAACTTTCCAGAAGCTCATCATTGCACCTGCACAGGCTGGTTCCCAAGCCGAGGCAAGGTCTGATGGTGATTAACAAAGCGCGGATCCAGCGATTCTGTTGACCACGGCCCGCTTTGCCATACGTAACAGAAGAGCGTCAAGAGCAAATATGTTGAGATATCCAGATATCGCAGTAGCGAGTCGTGCAAATAGCGAAGGGTATGAAGCAGTGGAACAGACCAGAATAGACTGCCAAGCCGAGAAATGAACATGTCGCCTTTCCGAGGTTCCAACGCAATGCAGCAAAACTACGAGGGCAAGCGAATGCGCGAAAACGAGCTCGATCCTTTCAAAAGCAGACCTTAGAAGGGGCCGGAAAAGGCCACAGCTGTAGAAAGTCGCGGACATGAATCCCGTTCCAACAGAGGCTCTCCTGGTTGGAGCACAATTCACAAGCATTCAAGGCGGAACATCGTGCCACTGCAAATCTCAGTCAGATTTTCATATCGTCTGCAAGTTCCGATCAGTCGTCAGAAGGGAAAAATAATCACATTTGCTGTAAGCTGGGATGGAGAGCCTGTGTCCACAACCATCCGGCAAAAATAGAGTCTCCGGAGCGTGACTTGAACACGCGACCTGTGGATGGCTTATTGATACAATTACAGTCCATCGCTCTTCCAACTGAGCTATCCAGAGGCTATTCATGGTGTGGGGAGGTAAATACCGCATTATATCCGGTGGTAGCGCTTGTGGGACCGGTGGGGGTGGCGAGCCATCCGAGCCGAGTTTGCTCCACCGACGGACTTGGCAGAGCAAATGCATGCGATACAGCTTGGAATGACCCCAAATATCTGCTCAAGTACTAAACAGAATAGAAACCAAGCAAGAAAATACAATGCACGAATAGGTATTGACTTCTTATTTCTTAAGATATATCCTGCAGTATACCAAAGGTTGTCTCATACGAAGCTATTTGAAGTGGTACTCGGCCAAGTAACACACGCCAATACTTGGGATCCTCGCTGAGCTTACGGACTGTCGGATCAAGGGTTGTGGGACAAACAGCGGCGATTCACTGTTGAGCATGCTGCGAAGTCCCTCTGCCTAGCCAGAGCCCACGATCATGTTTTCAAGCAACGAATAACATGTGCCACACTGAGACTGCAACGGCCGCGCTGTTGATACAGCGACTTGGATGGCGCTTGGAAGGGTTGGAAGAAAAAACCTATCTAGTAACAGGTCCCGTTCATAACCAGAGCACCACAGATCAAGGGCGACTACCTCAGGATGGAACTACAAATATTATCAGACCTCCACCTCGAAAGCCCCAAGGCTTACGATTCCTATGAAATTAAGCCTGCAGCACCTCATCTAGCATTACTAGGAGATATTGGTTGCGTGTCCGATCGGGCATACCTCACCTTCCTCACGGGCCAGCTGACACAGTTCCGCATCGTCTTCCATCTCTTGGGTAACCATGAGCCCTATGGTTCAAGCTGGGACAGAGCCATTGGAAAAATTCGCGCGTTCCGAGAGGAAAACCGCCGAGAGCGAGCGCAGTCACCAGATTCTTGGTTGGGCGAGTATGTCCTCCTCGACCGGGACGAGTTCCAGCTGCCGGACCACGGCCTCGCGATTCTCGGCTGCACACTCTTCTCAGACGTACCGGCGCCGTCCATGAATGACATCAGCTTCGGACTAAACGACTTCTTCCGCATCGATGGCTGGACGGTAGAACAACATGTGCAGGCGCACAAGCGGGACGTTGCCTGGTTGAACGAGCGCGTCGCGGCCATCGCGCGGGAGCATCCCGGCCGCCGCGTCTTGATCCTCACGCACCACAGCCCCACGACCGACACCAGGACGGTCAACCCGAGGTTCTCGGCGAGCAAGATCTCGTCCGGATTTGCGACGGACCTGAGAGGCGAGCAGTGCTGGAGGAGTGGGAATGTGGTCTTCTGGGCGTTTGGACACACGCATTACAATTTCGACCGCTTTCATGACGAGGAGACTGGCAAGGTTGATCACACAAACCAACGGGGATATTATTTTGCTCAGGCAGCTGGTTTTGTGGAGGAGAGCGTAGTGCGCATTGAGTGACTAAAGAAGTGGTACGAGGTCCCGACAAAACCGATGCAGGTGCTTTAATGCGGCTCGCGTGGAGTCCAATAGACACTTGATAATTGAACGCAAGTCTCTGTTCTCAACCTAGCAGTGATCCTCTATGATGATGTATGAATCACCACTGAGCAACATATCAAGATGGCCGGTAAGCATATTTGGTGAGCCCTGTTGCCAGTCCCGTCTTGCAATTCAGAGCAGATGATATCAGAGAGACTGTGAGCATCGCACGTGCCTAAGGTACAAGAACACACCAGCGGAAAATCATCCTCGAGGGGGGCCATATAAACTACTACAGAGTACTCCACCGCATTAATCAGGTATTCAGTCCAAATTGTTGTCTAAAGACGAGAATATCATTCCATCTCTATCATTTCTCATTGTGAAAAGTTAAGGACAAGGGCAAGTTTGTGTCAATTGAATCTATCAACCCATGCATCAAGTTATAGGGACTTTCCTATTTCCTTCTCATGACAGTAGTCATAGTCAAGGTCTTGACACGGTTGACGACAAGAGGTTAGGAATTACAAAAGCCCTATACACTCTAGTATGCGCCATCAGGAAAGACGAACGGGTTCCAAGCCTCCTGATGATCCATAGCGAAATCCATATCCGCAAAGTCTAGTCCTTCAAATGCCAGCATCTCAGGATCAAATGCAAAATCGCTGTCCTGATTATTTGTCGTTCCAAAGAACCCCTCAACATCCATATCAGGATGTGGATGGCTTGAAAGCGCGTTACGCCGATGATCATCCTGCTGGGTCCTGACGAGTGTCTGAGGACAAGGCTGGTTTACGACTGGGGCGCATTCGGGCGGCGCAGGTGGGCCGTGTCTCACGTACCAGGACTCCACTGCTTCAGCCCGGGACAGAAATGGACAGAAAGGGTGGGCCTCGGCGTCCGTATCTATGTTTTGTGGCACGGATGTGCGCAGACGCTCAACCACTCCTTTTAGGATCTGGGGCATACCCAAGGAGCCCCGAAGCTCAGTTGCTCTTGTGGCGCTTATACCACAGGTGGTGCATAGTATATCCAGTCTCACTCCTAGAGAAAGGCCGTAGCCGAACATTATCCAGGCCACATTGGTGAAACACGTTTCCTGACCTGGCTCGGCAGAGAGGAAGATTTCCATCAGGGACTTCACCGCAGAAATGCTTTCGGCCAGGCTGGTAGAAGGATCTAGTGAGAGGCCGACTGGAGACCCCGGCAGAGCCAACTCTCCTAGCAATAGCTCCGCGGCATGAATCTGTAACTTCAAGAGAGCTTTCATCGCGGAGTCAATCTCAAGTGACCTCGCCTCGTAGATGGAGGGATTACTCACGAGAGGATGCCAAATTGGGCGGCAAGGCTTCCTTGAGAGATCGTAACTGACGTTGCAGATTTTCGATCCTGGCAAGTAAGTTGTCTTCCAGCTGGAAATGAGTAGTGCCTTTGACCAAACTTTCTATGTCCTCAATCATACGCAGCAAATCGACAATCTGTGGTAGATGTTGGTCTGTCGGATACTCTGCTCGCTCAGCCAACGCTTCACAGCTTTCCGCCAACAGAGGTATGGTCGGGAAACAGCGGAATTTATCCAAGATCACAGAAGCACTTTCTAAAGTCAGATTACAACACCTAAACGAAGAGTCCGTGTGAGTCTCACCTCGAAGCAACACTGTACAGCCCTACCAGCGCCCGTACCTCATCTGCTCTCAAAACACCAGTCGCTGCACCCGGGTCATGGGCCAATACCCTTGTTGATAGGTACCTAGGCTTATGAAATCTCAGGTCGTATATTATACTCATAGCCAGAAACATATTCTGAGTGTGCTTGCGCGGACGAGGCTGATATTGAGCCCTAGAGCTTGTCAGACAACGTCCGGATTGCGACTAGCTGGGGATGAAGCACGTGGCAGAATTCTCGGACTTCTGATTCACATGAAACTCACCAAGAAATGTAAATCAACAGACCCTGCAGGTTTTCGAGGGTTGAAATACTGCCTTGCAGCAGTGCCGTGGCCAGCATCTGCTCAAACAGCCGTGCGATGCGCGCCTGCAACGCCCTGTCGTCAATGGAAGCTGCGAACAGAACTGCGAGGCACACAATTGGCTTCTCTCGGTGCAAGTCGGCTACTTTCGCTGATTGTGGTATGACCACAAAAGGGAAGTACGGCGATAATGACCGTCGGAATCGATCGAGTAGGAGCTCCCCGGTTTCGATGGAGAGCAAGCCCAGCTGAAAAGGATCGAGCGAGACCCCGTTGGCATGCTGGATCCGTGAAGCCTCATCTGCTGTCTCGCCAGCTGCCGCAGAGGACGACCTCGAAACATCACGACCGCTGACGGGCGATGCCTCGGAGCCTCCGCTTTCCACCTGTTGCGAAGCCAGGATATTATCAAGCTTGGCTATTTTGGCCTCGAGTTGATTGATCCGACTGTTTCGACAGCGGGTTAGTCACATCACCTGGAGGCCCTAGGGGCCATCCAAATTTGACTAAAACATTTTCTTACTTTACCCGCTGCGCCGGAGCAGTTCCTCGCCGTGCAGGAGGGAAGATGCACGTTTTGTTCAGCCGGAGACAACGGTCGCAGAAACCAGAGTTCTGGGTCCTGTCGCAACGGAGCTTTGCATGAGAACAAACCTGGCACGTTCTCAGTAGTGATTTGTCGCCGCTCTTCAGCTGCCCATCTGTTTTTTGCTTTCGCATGGCGGATTGTTTGAAATTACTGGTGAAGTGGGTATAGATATTCGTTCGCAGGCCCTTTTCTTTTACGGTCTTGGTTGATAGTTGCACAGAGAGCAGCTCACAATCCGAAATTGACAGCAAGAAGGGAATTTACAGCTCAATCAGCAGTCTCGAAATGCAACAAGAAATCAGGAGACTGGTTGTGAGTATTACTGGTTATTTATATGATGCAACCATGTCATCCTCGAACAGGTTGCTGACTGAGGTGAGTATGCTTGGCATGGTGCGTGTAAGTCCGTCCCAGCTCGGCAGGGCGTCGGTTGAGGGGTTCTTTGTCCACAGAGTGTGGGCGGGTTCTTTACCTTTCACCAACATCAGACAACAAATACGAGGCACAGTCTACGTCTCAGGACAGTATTTGACGCGTTTAAGTGAGGCGCAGTCCGGCTCATTTAACCAGACTACCAGCACGGAAATCCTACGGCAGTCTTGGCACATGCAGCCCAGGCAGCGAGATAAAGTGTGCTGGCCGAAACGGTGCCGACAACAACACCACCCACTCTCCTCCCGTCTTGGTCAGCGGGACCAAGGGGACTCTCTTACCACTTCCAAAGCCTCATGACTTTTTGAAAGTCCTCAGAACTCCACTAACGTCTCACAGACAGGACGAGGGCTGCCTACCACGGCGCAAGATGGCGCCTCTGAGCTCCGAGCCCCGTCAGGTGGTGGTGGTCCTGAACCCAGCCCGTCGGAGGGCATTGTATCAGCTTGTGATTGAGATCACCGCGTACATGCGATCTCAGTTGGAATTACACGAAAAGGATGACGGCCAAGGGACCAAGAACGCATCTCAGTCCCCGTCTCACGTCGCGCAGGTACAATCTGGCCATGACGGAGCACGAGGCTCGACTCCTGCCGCTGCCGCCGCCGCAAAGGCGAAGGCAGAGGCTTCTGTCTCACAAATGCACACACGACCGAGCCCGGAGCTCATCGCGCTGCGCAAAGCAGCGTTGACACATTTTGATGAATGGAGGAAGGAATTTCTGGCCAAGCTGAAGGAGATCCTAGCCGCCAGTGACGACAACAAGGTCTTAGAAGCGCGCTCAGAACGTCAGAAGAAAATGGTCCAGATGAAAGCGGATAGTCCTGCCGCAGGCGAGGATCTCATCGACTTTGGCGGCGAACCCTCACAAAACAACGCAGCCCAAGACATTGCGAAGGCCATCGAGTCTCTTCAGGCTATCTACCATCCCATTCCCACCAGGCTTACCACTGTGCCAGCCGAGGACCGAAAAGAGGTTGTCAGCGCAGTTCTCATTCTTCTCCTCTCCACAGGCAAATACACAGCCTACGCGAGGACGTTCATTACCTATCTGACCTCCGCACTCGAGCTTCCCCTGTCATTTCTGACCGACGAGGAGAAGGAGATTGCAAAAACCATGATTGAGGCGTCAGCTGAGGCAGAGAAGGCAAAGAAGGACCAAACGATGTCCGCTGAGGCCGAGGCCCAGAAGCGCAAGCAGCAGGGGCAGGTAGGCAGGTTCTGGAAAGTCGGTCTCGCATCTGTGGCTGGTGCCGCGATTATAGGAGTCACCGGTGGTCTCGCCGCGCCGGTTGTAGCTGGTGCCATTGGAGGCCTGATGGGGTCTGTGGGACTAGGCGGGCTGGCTAGCTTTCTAGGTATCTTCTGGATGAACGGCGCATTGGTTGGCACTCTTTTTGGAGCATTCGGAGCGCGAATGACGGTTGGTGCTCCGAGACACCCCCCCCCCCTTTTGTTTTTGCAGTGACCTTGAAAAACTGACTCCAAAAAGGGCGAGATGGCAGACAAATATGCAAGGGAAGTTGAGGACTTCCGGTTTCTCCCCCTCAAGGATGAGTGGGGCAGCGAGTTTCGCAAGGACGACAAAGACATCCGAAGGCTGAGAGTCTCGATTGGAATAAATGGCTGGCTCATTTCTGAAGATGAAGTGACCAAACCGTGGCGCGCTCTCGGTGATGAGACAGAGGCCTTTGCCCTCAGGTACGAGATGAATAGTCTACTAGAACTTGGGCACGCTCTCGAGGACACGGTAGCGTCATACGCATGGAGCGTTCTCAAGATCGAGATCCTGAAGCGCACTGTACTTGCTACTCTATGGGCAGCACTTTGGCCAATTCAACTCCTCAAGCTGGCAGCTGGTGTTGACAACCCCTTCAATCTGGCCAAGAACCGGTCAGAGAAGGCTGGCCGGATCTTGGCGGACGCGTTGATCAATAAGATCCAAGGTGAACGGCCAGTCACGCTCATTGGATACTCCTTAGGTGCACGGGTCATTTACGTATGCCTGAAGACTCTCGCAGAACGCAAGGCGTTCGGGTTGGTAGACACTGTCGTCTTCATTGGGGCGCCGACACCGTCAAACCGAGATGAGTGGCAACTGATCCGCAGCGTTGTCACCGGGAAATTGTTCAATGTCTACTCAGAAAACGACTATATCCTCGCGTTTCTCTACCGAGCTACAAGCATCCAACTCGGGATTGCCGGCTTGCAAGCGGTGGAGGATATCGAGGGCGTCGAGAACCTCGATCTGACTGAAGAGGTCAAGGGACACTTGAGATACCCGGGACTGGTCCCACAAATTCTCACCAAGTGCGGGTTTCCCAACATCAGCGGCGGCGAGAAGCCAATTGAGAAGGAGGAGGACATCAAGCTCGAGGATATGGATAGCAGCGCCAAGACGGGTACCCTTCTCGATCTTGACGAGCCTCCCGTCACCCCGGTAGCGGTCAAGCCGTTGTCGAGAAAGACGCACCGAGACATTTCGTTCCCGAGCGGGTTCCCCAAGACCGACGAGCGCCCTGTAGTCAGGAAAGTACAGTCGACACCGGCCGCGGGCCTACTCAGTTCTGAGCTCCAGACAGCTTTCGACCCGCATGAGCCCAAGTCCCTTGTTGGGACGCCCAACTCCAATGACTGGCAGCGCAGACAGTCTGATGCCCCCAAGACCAGCCCACCAGCGGCTCCGCAACCCCCTCCTTCGTACAGCCCTGGGAAATTCACGTTGCCTGCAGAAGTAGCAGATAAATTGTACGGAGCCGCAAACTCAGATGAGGACGACGAGGACGAGGACTTCGGTGGCGGCATAAGCATGGTGGATAACGATGATGATATGGTCACGTATATGGAGCCACTGAGACTCGAGGACAGGGACGAGAAGTGAGCATTATGAGCCCATAAAGATGGCAAGTCTTATTGCGAGAGTAGACAGAAGCATTGTACTGCTTTCGACTAATTTACATTCCATGGTATCCTGACAACACGGAACTTTCGACACTTGTTGGAGAGACTGAGCCAAGTGGCGTTCCCTCAAGACACTGATGACCAGCTATCATACCTGACATCTGCAATGTCGAGATAGCTTGTACGTGAAGTTTAATTTCGGGGAGTTTCTGTAGACGTGCGAAATCGAACTCTGTTCAATGTACTTTAGTACGATGCTCATCTCCTCTTTAAGTCTTACAGAGAGTGGGTTGACGCGAATCCGACGCAAGGGAAGTGGGTCTTTGCGATGTTGTTGGTTGCAGTCCAACGGCTGAAGGTGAACACCACAGAGAGCTAAAAAGCCGTCTGTCCCTCAGAGCCTTCTCTCCTTTGCGTGCGCACTTGTTTCCAAGACTTCTCAGCATCACTTCGCCGTGCTCTCATGAGTTGGCAACTGCACGATTACGAACAGTCTAACAGCAATGGCGGACCCCAAGACTTTGATGGAGCAGTTGAAGTTATTTCTGGAGAGTCCCGATGCGCTTGAAGCTGATGAGGCCCAAAAACAGGAACTCCTGAGACTCAGCCGCAAGACCGCAGCTGCACTGGAGTCGCCTTTTGAAACTCTGCAGAAACTCGTCTACTCCGTTCGTACAACTTCATTACTTACACCCAGTGTCATATGAACACGCCGCTGATATGTCACAAAGCCGTTGCCGCTTGTGGTTGCGAGGATATGTCAAGATCGCAATATTTTCGCCACACTGGTTGCAAATCAAGACGTTGCGGCTGTCAACTTGGCAACGTTGATCACAGCAAGCGGACTCCAACCCAGCGTACTTGAGTCGATCATGAATTATGCATGCGTGCAAAACATGATGGCCGAGGTATCGCGAGGACAATATGTTGTAACCAAGCTGACCCACACGCTGCTCGCACCAGTGTTCGTCGACGGCGTGACCCATTTCCATGACAACTGCCTTCCGGGTTCACTGCCCTCCACTGTGCCCTGACTGAGGGCAACGGCAAATTCACCGCTTTCAAGCTGGGTCAGAACACCTCGGAAGAATTCTACACCTGGATGGAAACGATCCCTGTCCAGAAACGGGCCTTCCACAACTTCATGAAGGAGCAATACGCCGGCCTGCCGACATGGCTGGACGTGGTGTCATTTGCGGCAGAGTTTTCACAAGACTTGCGGCTCGACGACGTTTTATTCTGTTGACGTTGGTGGCGGGAATGGGTCTCAGTGTGCGGCACTCAAAAAGGCTCTGCTCGAACTCAAAGGCCTGATCGTTTTACAGGACCGCGCCTGTGTGCTTGAAAAGGCGCTCGAGGTGGGAGGGATGGAGATGATGCCTTCTGAATTTTTTCACAGAGCAGCCGGTAAAAGGTAGGTGGAGGCCCGCAAGATCCCGACTCCGCCCCAAAGTGAACAAATTCTGACGGAGCAGGTGCTTGTGTCTACTATTCGCCAAGTTCTCCACAACTTTGACGATGCTTCGTGCGTCCGCATCTTGAAGTCCCAAATCCCTGCTCTTCGGCCTGAGAGTGTCGTTGTGATTGACGATAAAGTCTTGCCCGACGATAAACCACCGGCTGGAACGCTTGGGGTCGAGTACACGGCCGCGCTGAGCATCTCAATCAAGGTGATGTTTGACGCTCAAGAGAGGCGCGAGACACACTGGCGGGGGTTGTTGGACCAGGCTGGTTTGCAAATCAAAGACATTAGGAAATTCACCAGATTTGATGATGCTGTGATTATAGCAGCGAAGAAGGCCTAAATCGGAGTTGTTTCGCAACCTTATCACATTGCCTTGCAAGTTGATCTTCAGGTCGGACAGAACAGATTTGGAGAAGTAATTCGTCTGCGTTCATATTGAAAACCATGTTATGGCCTTCTAAATTTGTCTAATCTCCTTGCCGACCATTTCTGGCCTGTCGACTTCCCATTCGTCCCGGAGCACTGCGAAAGTGAGATCGCTAATGAGCAAGCTCTGCCCCAAACTCCACACCAGAGTGATGGCGTAGAAGAAGTTGGCGTTTCCACTGCCTGCATATATCCACAGGTAGTAGAACGCTGGTCCCAAGAAGGTAGAGTACAGTATTGTTGATGGGACCACGAACGTATACCGCATCAAGGGGAAAATATGCCTGTAGAGCGGGACCATTGCAAGAAAGAGTGATGTGTCACTAATGCTTGGGTATGGCTTAAAGATGCCAAAGATCCCCAAGAGCAGCGTAATCACAACCAGGGGCTGCGATCGAATTCGCACACTCAAAGCGGCGACATACGACGACAAATGGAGCCAAAAGACAGCCAAGAAGAATGACCTGAATGAGTCAAACATCTCAATAAAAAAGTACCACCACAATCCGACGTTCGGTGTCAGATCGGTGAGGGTAAGCTGGATGCCGTAGGTCGAGGAGAGAAACTCCCATGATCCAGTGATGAAATAAGACATCTGGAACAGAACCGTAACGGTGGCTGCCGCAACGCCAACAAACCTGGCTATGAAAGCCAGAGACTGTGTCTTCCCTTGCCCAAGGCTCCGATCATAGGCTAAGAGTGCTAAAGGCGGAAGCAAGAGGGCGGGATACATGGACAAGTAAGCGGCGAAAGACATGGCGATCACAGCGCTGTAGGGTGCACCAGTGACAGCCTTTGCGACAGCATGCAGAATTGCGCATGTCGTGAAGACACTGGTCGGTCTCCCAACACAAGTCGCAATTGTGAATGGGTTGAAGAGGAAACTAGAAGCTCCAGGTTAGCCATCAGATTCCGCGATATGTGCCCAGCTGGTGAAGTCTTACAGTGCCGCGACCACGAAGGCGCTCCACCTCTTTTCCCTCCTTGGAGAGGTAAATCGCACAGTTGACACGGCCTCCCCAGACTCAGCAATGGTTATTAAAGAATTGGCGCTTAAAAGGTCGACCACTATGTACAGTAGATATGTGAAGACGGGCCAGGAGGCGAAGCTCGGCAGGAGGGATAGAACAGGGAGCAGCAAGGGTGCTTGGTGGTAGACGCCGCCGTCGTAGGGCGAGACATTATGGTTGTAGAGGAAGAGACCCTCTTGTACTGTGGGAATGGTCAGCGCGGCCAGGACTATGGGTGGTCCAGAAGGGAAAGGGGTTCACATACATCGTTTGAAACTGGTGACGGGAGTCGACACCTCAACTCGCCCTGCGACTAGTTCTGGTAAACCAGGGAAGGCAAAGAACAAGACAAGTCGCAGGACAGTGGCGGCCAGGTATAGGCCTTGTAGCCTTTTCAGGCTTGGATTCGATCCATTCATCTCTGAGCCATCTCCAGGTGAAAGGTGCGGATTGCTGCCGGGGATTATGCCGTCGAGGCTGTCTGGCTGCAGTTCGACGGGGACAGGAGCTCTGCCAGGCTGGCTTCGGAGCTTGCTGACTTGAGCTGCACTTCCTGGGTACCTGGGTACATCGGACCCCTGGCCTAGGAGCTACATTCCAGTGGATTGCCTACCCATGCATTAGACATGCGCTAACCGTATCAAGACAGGCGGTGAGTGCGGCAGAAGTCGAAAAAGTTCCTTATCGATGAAAAGTTCAGAGGAACCAAAGGCCCTTGGAAAATTGGAGGCGGTTCCTCTCGCTGCGCCCGTCCAACCTTCTTTTCCAGGTCGACAATTGGAATTCAATCAGCAAAATGGGCCGCATCAAGAAGAAGGGAGAGGCTGGAAACGCCAAAAACTTCATCAGCCGCAACCAGGCTATCAAGAAGTTGCAGCTCAGCTTGCCCGACTTTCGAAAGCTCTGCATCTGGAAGGGCATCTACCCACGGGAACCGAGAGACAAGAAGAAGGCTGGCAAGTCATCGACCCCCTCGACCACCTTCTACTACACCAAGGATATCCAGTACCTGCTTCATGAGCCGCTGCTCCAGAAGTTCCGTGACCAGAAGGCTCTCGAGAAGAAGATCTCACGCGCGCTCGGACGAGGAGATGTCTCTGACGCCGCTCGTCTCGAGCGCAATGCGGTCCGCCCAGAGAAGAACGGCAAGCCTCGCTATACCCTCGACCATGTCATACGAGAACGCTATCCTACTTTCGTTGATGCAGTGAGAGACCTCGACGACTGCTTGTCAATGCTGTTCCTTTTCGCCAACCTCCCGTCTACGTCAACCGTACCCGCGAAGATGATTGCACGCTGCGAGAAGTTGTGCTTAGAGTTCGAGCACTACCTCATCGTATCACACAGCCTGCGAAAGTCATTCCTGTCGATCAAAGGTATATACTACCAGGCCAACATTCAAGGCGAGGACGTGCTTTGGTTGGTGCCGTACAAGTTCAATCAGCGAGTACTGGGAGATGTCGACTTCCGAATCATGGGTACCTTTGTTGAGTTCTACATGACGCTACTCGGCTTCGTCAACTACAGGCTGTACACGTCGGCCGGTCTGAAGTACCCACCAAAATTTGACCAGACCAAGGACGATCAAGGCGGAGAGCTTGGAGCCTTCACGTTGGAAGGAGTCAACATTACAACAAATCAGGAGGAGCCGAAGCAACTGACGAATGGAGAAAGCGAGCACGGTCCAGATCCCAAGGTGCAGGCTGAGGTCAATAAATTGGTGCGAGAAATGAGGAATGGCGAGACGAATGGCGATGTCAAGAGCACCGAAAACGCGAACGTGGAGAACGAAGAGGAGCCTACAGACGTCATTGACAAGTTTGAGCCCGCGGTTCCTGGAGGCGACCTCCTCCCGCAGCCTTCCTACAGCGCCAACGATCCTGCACAACTGTTCTCAAAATGCACATTCTACCTTGGGCGCGAGACGCCGCGGCAACCACTTGAGCTTATTCTGCGTTCTTTTGGCTGCAAGCGTATAGGCTGGGACTCAGTGTTGGGCGAGGGCGCATTTACCACGAATGAGCTCGACCCCGCGATAACGCACCAGATCGTCGACAGGCCACTCATTCAAGCCGCTGTGGAGGCCAATGGCGACGGAGAGGACAACCAGACCTCCCAGAAGCTTGCTCCTAACCAGAGGGTACCTGGCCGGATCTATGTGCAGCCGCAGTGGGTCTGGGACTCAATCAACGACGAGGAATTGAAGGACACCAACCTTTATGCCCCAGGAGCCGAGCTGCCGCCCCATCTGAGCCCATTCGTGAAGGCCGTCCAGGGCCAGTACGATCCTACTCTTGCCCTCGAAGAGCAACAGACTGAGGCGGAGGCTTTGGCGGACAGTGATGCCGAGGAAATAGATGAGGAAGCGACCGGTATGGACGCCGATGGCTCAGATGACGAGGAAGATACCAAGGACGATACGTTCGGAGGCTTCTCGGGAGAGGAAGACGCAGACGAGGAGTCTGACGAGGAAGAATCTGCCGCGGCACAGAGGCAACTAGAACTGGAGGCTGAGCTGACGGGCAAGCCAGTCAAGTCCAAGCAACAAACGCCAAAGGACAAGAAGAAGGCTGAGGCCCGCAAGGCCCTGGAAAAGAAGACCAAGGAGGAGGCTGAGGACCTGGAGAGGGCCAAGGGCATGCTGAGCAAGAAGAAGAGGAAGCTGTTCGAGCAGATGCAGTATACCAACACGAAGAAGAGTGCCGAGGATGAGAAGCTGCGGTCCAAGAGAAGGAAGATTGAGAAGCAAAAGGGCAAACGGGCGTAGATGGGGAAACAGCTGGGTCGAGGATACCATTAATGAATTCAATTGAGCCTGAGAACCACCCATAGACTGCCTGCCCACTCTGAGGATTGATGTTGAAATGTTGGGGCCCTTTTGCGTTGCTTTGCTCGTTTCCCTACAAAAGTCACCCTAGCCCATCCCTAGGCGCCGTCCCTAAGTAGCTGCAATCACAGCGCCAATGCCCTCAGTCATAGCGTGTAACCTGACTGCCACAGCAGCTGCAAACTTTCCAAAATGCAAAGATCTGGCCCAGCCTTAAGATTTGGCCACCTTATAGTCTGCTTCGGTGTCAAGAAAAAAAGTTGCAAATGGTTTGCTTCGGGGTTCAGTCTGAGGCACAAAGTTGCAGTCTCCAGTCCTTTCAAGCTATCTGGAATTCTGATCCCATTTTTTCTGTTCTGCTGCCGGATCTCTCGATACTCCAAGCTCTTGGGTCAGGACATTTTGTTTTTCCTTGATTTGGTCAGCGTTAAGTGCGTACCTCCCTTACTTAAGTATTGTTTTACAGATCCCCCCGGTGGTAGAAATGGAAGGGGCAATATGGCAATGTTCATGTCCATTTTCACCAGGTCTTACGGTTGGCCCGTGTCTTGCGGTAACTTATTGGCTAACGGCTGTTCGACCCAAGGGTCTTCCACTGCAGTAACATAACAACGGCGAGACTGCCAACAACGGCAAGACCAACAATGGCAAGCTCGCACGATGATGATGATGAGTGGGACAAGAGCACATCCGATATCCAGTCTGAAGACTCGGACGATCTGCACAAGAACCGCCCCAACCGCTGGAAAGGCCCCCCGCAGAGCTGGCGCACCATCACAGAGGACGAGAGCCTTACTTACAATGCCCTCGTAAGACTGAGAAACCAGGACCTGTCGCTGCACTTGTACAATGCCTGGGCCCTCAAGCAGGCGCCACCTCCGGCAGCTGCAGGTGAGGGCCCTAGCCACGAAGAGGTCCGTCTCACCTAACCTTCCCAATCCCGAAACCAGACACTCGAGACTTGCTGACTTTTGTGTTCAGGATGTTGACGCAGAGACAGGCCGACCTGTCCATAACCAACCATGGGCTCCACCTAGGAACTGGACCGCCTGGCCTGTCAGCACGCAGCTTCTACCGCCTGATGATTTCATGAAGATGGCGGATGACGAGGACGAGGTCTTCACTTTCCGGCGTCCTGACGATCAAACGCCCAGGTCCAGACTCGAGGAGGTCGTGTCGGCGACCACGCTGAGATTTGCCAAAGAACGCTTGCGGCGACGGGGTATTTCCGAATCAGCTGATCAAGGCGACCACAGAATTGTCAAGACGGAGTCCCTCGCATCTGAGAATGAGTCCCAGCCGAGCGAATCAGGGGACCACGGCGACGAGGATGATGATGAGAGGATGGGCATTGACCAGGAATCAGAAGGTCGACAAGAACGAAAGCAGAAGACTCCCGTGAGAACTTTCAAGCCCGTGGTTGCTACGGATGATGACCTTTCGTATGACCTCATACGGCCCTCCACGCAAAGAATTCTCGAGAAATTTGATCGTACTTTGACTATTCTGCACAACGCTCAAATGACGAGTGCCCAACATCTTGACGACTCTGAAGAGTCATTCTCTGAAAGCGAGGATGGACAAGACGACCGCGAAAGATCACAGAAAACGGCACAATCACGGCGGTCCTCCCGACCTGGCAGCTCCGCAGAGCGCTCTCCCAGCAGGTCTGAAATACCAACAGGAGACGAAGAAGATGGGGCCGTGAAAAAGAAGTCCAACCGCGGCCGACCACGCAAATACGTGCAGAGGGAAGGCGAAAGCGAGAGGGACTTCCTGATCAGACGAGCAAAAGCCCTCAAAGGGAAAGTGAGACTACCACCGACCGACGAAGAGAACGGCGACGAACTCACGACGGCCGCGGGCGAGAGCCAGGATTCGCCACGCAAGCGCAAAGGACGTCGCGAAACCATGAGAGAGGACATGGAGCACGGAGTGCATAAGAAGCTCAAGCGTTCCAACCCGCGGGACTGGAAGGACGTTATGGGCGCGGCGGCGTTTGCGGGGTTTCCGCCCGATGTCATCGCCCGGGCGACACAGAGGTGCGCCAATGTGTTTGGCCAGGCAATGGAGATGCATAGGATCGATGAGACGGCAATCTCGTCAGGAGTCAATGGCGTGGTGACAACGCTGTATCAGCCCGGAGGAGAAATGCCCTCGAGCAGCTCCACGGACCAGGAGGACGTTGGCGATCTCGACCTCCGCCAGACACGTTCTATGAGCCGGCATACCAGCACGGCCTTGAGCAAGATGAATTCCCCGACATCAGACGAGGAGAGCGATGGAGAGGGGCCTTCGCCCAAGAAGTCTCAGAAACGAGCCACGTCTCGAGGCAAAGGGCAACATTACTGCCCGTACGCAGACTGCGACAGAGCCTCAGCCGGCTTCGACAGGCCCTTCAATCTCAAGAGGCATATGAAACTTGTCCACGGCCAAGACGGCCTGGAGGTTGCCGAGAAGGAGGAAGCTACCAGGGATGAAATGCTTGATGGTATACATCGTGACGGATTTCTTCAGCCCATACGAGTTCAGAAAGGCTGGAGGGCTGAGGATACTAAGAAGAGGGCTACAAAGACGTCCTAGACAATGCAACAATGGAACCAAGAGCCTGGGATTGATAGAAGCCAGCATTATCAGAGAATCAGATAGTTACTAAGCTTCTCACGATAGCTTCAGACGATAGACCAACGCCGCCGAAGGAAAGAAAACAATATTATTGTTCGGGAACAACGGTCTCAAACTCAGAAGCACTGCATTCATTAAGTGGGCTTCAATGATCAATGGGTTGTCGAGTGTCTCGCAGAGGGAGAACATCGGGTAGGCTTTCTGACCTTTCGCAGAGCAAGATCGGTTTTCAGACACACCAAAGTATTTTAGATTGTGCTGAACGATCAAAAGACATGAATTACTATCAGAGATGAAAATCCCTATTGAGCGCAGAACAGTCTGGTGAGACTACCCACCCATGCAGATGCCACCTCCCGGCCTACTCATCACCAAACTGCTTCGCGACCTCCCTCGCAAAGGCCCCAATCGTGTCAAACCTCCACTGGAAACTGACCTTTCCCTCCTTCACCATGGCCTCATAATCGCCCCCAATCCCCTGCCCATCCTTCTTCTCCCCACCCCTCGAGATCCAACAGCTACTAAACCCAAGCGCCTTCGCAGCACTGTGATCAACGCGCAGGCTCCGCGCGACATGCAGCAGCTCACCCTTCTCAACATCAACGCCGAGCTCGTCGCGCGCCCGCCGGAACAGGTACTCGAAGTTCTGGCGCGCGGGCTTGTAGCTGCCGATGTCCTCGGCCGTGTAGACGGCGTCGAAGGGGACGGCGGCGAGCGGCCCGGCCGTCGTGGCCGCGATGTTGGCGTTGTCGATGTTGGACAGGATGATCAGCTTGTAGTGCCTCTTGAGCGTGGCCAGGCCCTCGATCGTGTCCGCGAACGCCGGCCACCGCCCGGGGCCGTGCGCCATGCCGTCCAGCTCCGCCTGCGCCAGCGAGCCGTCCGGCAGCCCGGCGTCGGCGGCGAGCTGCTGCAGCGCCGTGGTCAGGTTCAGGTCGTACCTGAGCGTTGGCTGGTCGTTCTCGAGCGCGTTGGAGAAGTGGTCGAAGCGGAGGAGGGCGAGCTGCGGGTCCTTGGCGTAGGGGTGGTCCGGCGGCAGCTTGCTGATGACAGGCTGGAGGGCTTGGATCAGGCCCGGCTCCCATTCTATGAGCGTCCCGTAGCAGTCGAAGCTCAGGGCCTTGAACTTGGTGAGATCTTTGGTGTTGTCTATGTCGGCCATGTTTTATGTTGTGGTGGCAATGAAACCAGGTTATGAGTTTATGAGGAGACTAGAATTTGATCAGTCAATGCTGAACTTGTTCAAATAGATGCACACAGAAGTACTTGCCTGAACCTCGGGCTTTGTGCAGCTTTAATATGAGGCCATCTAAAATCGAGCTGCTCATAATTAGCTGCATGAATCCGTCATTGTCTACGGGTATAGCACTTGTTCCCCGCCCACAGGGCGTGCATGATGATCGCTCGCCCAGAATGCTGCCGCTTTGGGGTGTTTAGTGCTGCTTACACGCCCTTTCTGCTACATCACTCCGTCACAATGCATGTATGCAGTCACGACCTTCACATAAAGGGCGCGTCTTTGAACGGCCCAGCAACGAGGTGGGAGCAGTCCAGGCATCCAATATGTATTATAACAATCCATTCAAGTGAGTCGCCTTTCAAACACTAACTCAGGGGTATCGAGTATACTGAGTAAAACCTACACCACGCCGTTGAAGACCCTACAATTCGCACAATGTGTTCAACTGATCCAGTCCGTCTCCATGCTCTTGGGGCCTCCATGTGCAACATTCGCCGCCGCTAAGCGCCATGCAACCATTAAACATAGAAAAGAAGTATCGCCGTCCTGGCGCCGTGGGTCTTTATAGAATTAACACATCAGTGCATTCGCGGGCTCTTCCGTCTTCGTGCACTTTGGGAGAACTCTGATGGTGGCATGTTTTCAACGCCGTCCAGGTGGACCTTTTTGATCTGCTTAGAAGGGATCCTTGACGTGCTCTTCTTGACAATAGGTATTGTGTTCTCGTCGGCGGGAGGAAGGGCGGACATTGTACTTGAAGTTGGGTCAAATACCAGCGCGCTGGTGGTGAGATTCGCGTTGACCTCCCGTAGACTCTGGCTCAATGGATTGGTGGCAGAGTCCGAGGACGTCGGCCGAGACGGAGACCTAGCCTGTTCAGATGTATCGAGATCGCTGAAGATAAGGTGAGCAGGTGTAGCCTTGCTCGGCGTGGCTGTTGGCCGGCTTGGAGTTTGTAGATGAGAATCAGGAATCCCAGCGATGAGAACATCGTGAGCGGCAGTTCGAGGCAGCTGCGTAGGATAGTGGTATTCAACCCTCTTAGGTGTCTCCCCAGTGGGCTCGTATTCGCGGAGAACGGTACTCGAGATGTCTTCCCGTAGTTTGCTTAGAGGCTGGCAAAGGCTGTCGTCAAGGGGCTGCAAGTCTTCCTGGAGGTTCTCGATTTCCGCGCCCATCTTCTCCCCGAGTTCGTGCACTCTGTCGAAGGTCCCCTTGTAGTGAGACGATATGTTGGAGAAAGAAGCCCCAACTGTATCCGACAACTTGGCCATGGAAGTTGAGTGTTGTGCATGGTGTGAAGCATTTTCTGACCTAGCTCGAGTCACGAAGTCATCGAGGTCTGTCATCTGCGCGTCCAAGTCTTTCATCTGCTCATCCACCACACGAACCGTCTCGGCATGTACTGATTTGGTCGTGTTCTGGATAGAAGTGCTGTGGTCATTCGCCGTCTGTGTTTCAATTTGATTAGCAGGCCGCTTTCATTGCATATTACATATGATATCAAACTCACGGTCCAATCGTCCTTGAGCTTCAACTTCAATTCGTCTCGGGACTGGGAGACATCCTGTATCAATTTCTCCTCCATTGCGTCCCATGCGTCCATGCCCGTTGAGTAGGCCGTGATTTGTCCGCCGAAGATCTCGGTGGCGCCATTGACACGATCTTGTATCCTGGTAGCCTTGCCAGCTAAACGAGTCTCTTGCTGCTCAGCGTGAGCATTGATTAGTGTTGTGATCTGTGCTAGGAGCTGCTGTCGATCTTCCGCCGCTTGTCTCCTCTCCTCGTTGACGACCGTCTCGATTTGTGCTGAAGTAGACTCATTCGATTGCACCATGGTCTGGCTTGCATCCTCCAACTGCCTCCTCAAGGAATCGGACTCGCTTCGCTGAACACTAATGTGACGAAGCAAGTCTTCGAAGATGGATTTGAAATCCTTGCCAAGAGAGCTATAGGATGTATGAAGGTGAGAGTGGAATGTATCCAGCTCACTCATCACATCGGCGGCTATTCTCTCAGCAGCTGCGGCGATGGCCTGGAGGCTTTCCCCCACTCTCTCCTTGATGTTGTCCCTGACAACCTTGATCTCTTCCAAGACATTGTCCATGTCATCTTTAGACTGCTGCCTTTGCTCCACGAGGTCATCCCTCGATGCCACGAACTTTTCAAGATTCTCGTCGAGGAAGGCCTGAGTAGCTGACAACTTCTGCAGCTCCTCCCGGACGAAGTCTTGCATTCTCTGGGAGACGCCGTAGATGTGGCTTTCTTGGTCGTTCCGAAACTCTTGAACACGGCTCTCAACGAGCTCGGTGACGTCTGAGACCTGAGACTGCGACATAGTCCATGTGCTTCGGTTCAGGTCCTGCAAATCCGACTTCCTCTTGTTCTTGGCTCGAAGGCCGCTCACATCACCGACCGTCTTTTTGAGGGTCGAGATAAGCTCTCCTCCCATGGTCGCAAGCTTTTCCTCCGTCTTCTGGTGGGCTTCGCGGAGTTGGGATTCCTCGGCAAGCGTCTTCCGCGTGGCTGCTAGAACGAGTTCTGTCTGGTCAAGAACGCCTTGCGTCTCGTCAAGCTGCGCTTTTGTGCCCTCGTGCTCCTTTTTGAGTCCCATAAAGCTCGATGTCAAGGAGAAGAGCTCTTGCACTTTATTGCGCAGGTTTGACTCCAGGGTCACAATCTTGGCAGCTTGCTCATCGGCGAGAATACGGCGTGACTCGCTCTGAGCCGTCATCTCCTCGTAAGCCTCATTTGTGAGATGTACACCATTGCGTAATCGTGTAGCGATCAATTCGGTCTTGAGCTTCTCGATCTCGGCCGTAAACTCCTTCAACAATGCCTTCTTGTTGATGAGAGTATTGACCTGGGGCTTGTTTCTGATGTTCTTTGCCCGGAATGCATAATCCATTGTCGAGATGGTCTCCTCAAGGTTGCTTTTGGTTGGTGAAATGGTCGCAATAATGCAGGTTTTGGTCCTTCCACCGAGAGAATCCTGCAAGAGTCGAGTAAGTTTGGACTCTCGGTATGGGATGTGAGCGCTTTTGTCAACAAGAGCATTGATCACACGGCCCAGTGTCAGCAAGCTCTTATTGATCAGGCCTGCTTCTGCCGCACGCTTGTTCTCCGCTCCGGATCGTTGGATATTCTCGCTTCCAGCAAGATCAACGAGGTTGAGCTTCCCAAGGCTGATGAAGTCTTCACCGCTGCCGCCTGGCCGCTTGGCATGGACTGTGATGGTAAAGACGGTATGACTCCGACTACTCAGGTCGTTGCACTTAGTCGCGGCGACTTGGCGCCTCAAACTTCCTTCCTGTAATCGCGCGATACCTTCTGCAGCGTTGGTGATGTGTCGCTCCTCCACGCCTTGAACCATTGTTGACATGTGGCCCTTCTTTGACAGGTCGTCGAAGATCTTCAATTTTGCGTTCTCGTCCGGGGTGAGCAAGTCGCGTAGCTCCTCATTGTAAAGCTCGATGAATGAGCATCGAACACAGTTCTCGGTACCGTCTGAATCGAGCTTGTTAAACAGAGATTGCAATACACGCGGGATAATACCAGCCTCAGGGGCGAGGAGGCCTAATGATTCAGTCATATCACCAGACATGGTATAGGTCTTGCCAGTACCGGTCTGGCCATAGGCAAAAATGGTGCAGTTGAAGCCAGCAAGCATCTGCTACAGTCAGTGACCTGGTCTTGGCATATTCTTCCCACGTAGCTGACTTACATCACTCAAAATGGGCTTGACTACATCGTCGAAGACCATTGATTGATCTGCCGCCTGAGAGAAGACCCGGTCAAAGGCGTAAGTCTTGTTGCTCAGCGCATTCGAACCCATGGACAACTCGACATGCTGGCCCATGACACCATTTGTCTTGACGACAAGGGCGCTGTTCTCCTCCACCTCGCGCTCACTCCGGCCTCTGCATCGTACGACGACATTGATATTTGTCTCAACATTGAAGTCCGCCTCGAAATCGCGTTCTTTGCGCTTCATGCCTGCAGCCGGAGATGCCCTGGTGGACGGAGCAGATTCTGTGCGAGAGGCAGCACCAGACCTGTCGGATCGAGATGACACAGTGGCGGCGCTCGGAGGCCTGACGCTGGGGGCGCGCGTTACTGATCCAGCTCGTATGCTTGCGCGGCCGACGGCGCCGGGTCGAGACGGAGGGGGCATGGCGGCTGAGGATTGGGCGCCCCTCCTCAGGGGAGCCTTTCGTTTGGAATCCAGGATGGAGGTGTGTAACGGTGGTGACTTGGAGGCAGGTGGTGTTGTGAGCCAGAGGCTGCTGTGCGTGCAGCACTCAAGGTTAGAATAATAGCAGTTGGATGCCAATAAACCAAACAAATCCCTCGTAAATGTTGTTGGAGGTGGGAGAGAGCCGAGCCAAGGTGAAAACGTGTACAACGCGTCGAAATGCAGAAGCAAATGATGAGGGCGTGAGGGTATAACAGATAGATAGCAAGCACTTTGGAGCTCTATCAGACAGGGTCCAGTGCGAACCATGGAGATTGATTAACACGAGCAGATGAAGTTTGCGCGTAGCTCCTGTTTACAAGCGGGCAGGCGGGTCTGGGGACAGCGGGTCTCCCCTGCCAGGTCTCAGTTGGACCCAATTCATCCCGACAAGGGGGTTGCTGCAGCAACTATCGATACGGCCAGCAGCTGCAGGGACGGTCCCCCTAAACCCCTGTCGAAACGGTCCCTCCTGCTGGGCGTGACACATGCAGATGACGTTTTGGAAGTGTCCCGCGCTTTCCCTTCCGCTCACCCCCCTGGGCCCCTGTTCACCCGCCTAAGACGCATCACGCGGCGGTGGCAGCGACAGACACTGAGACCAACGCTGACTATGTGTGCAGGAGGCTTTGTCTTTGACCGTGAGCCAGAACTACAGTTGCTCTTTACAACATGATCTGTTGTATAGCAGACCAAGCTTGCAAGGCTTACCACAAAACCCATCACTTTGAAGCTTCTCGAGCTACACAGTCCTTCTCGTCTACTTGAGCGCAAGCTTGCCGGCTGTCCTCCCCGCAAATCCCTTATCTCCATCTGGGCAGGCCTTGCCTTTGGCCTACAACATGGCCTCGCTCTTCAGCGCCCAGCTCCATCCAGGACGCGCACTTGGATTCCTCGGTATGCTGCCTGTCGTCACGGATTCACTATGTCGTCTTGCTTGCTGACACCGTCTACCCATAGTTCTCGGCGCATCCCTCCACGATATCCTGACCCGACTCAAGGCAGAACCACAGCGTTTCCCGAAACTCGACCTGGTTTACTCGCCATCCGACCCCGTCAAGGAACCAGTCATAGTCACACTTCCAGCGAATGGAGTACGTCTACGATTTGATGGTCCTGAACAACGCCTTCGCCTGGTTGAAGTCGTCGACTTTACCAAGAATCACATCACCTTCAAAGACCAGAGCACAGATCGCGACTTGGTAAAACCGCCCGCCGACCCTCCATCTCATCCACATTCCAGTGAACCTGCCACCGAACCCACCTTCAAACACATATACCAAAGATTCCTGGGGCCGACATACGATGGCGAGTTCATCCCAGGGCCTGACGGACAAGGGATCTACATGTTGTCGTACCCCGGCGTGGCTTTCACATTTCCTCTAGCACAGTCGGCCTACTCTCCGGACAAAGATGTCGTGACACTACTATCTTCTTCCACGCAAGTGGCTACGTCAATGGCAGTCTTCAGTGGGGACTCCTGGGCTCAGTCTCGGGAGACGCTGTGGACCGAGGTGCTTCCAAGTATCAAGTCGTTCGCACCACTTGCAAAGGGCAAGGATGTGTGTCCAGATGAGATTTCGCTCGTCAAGATCCATGGAGGAGGGAAGTTGCAATTGTTCAAGAAGTGGACCAGCAGCTCTACTTGGATATTCCTGGGCGACACGACTCCTCAGGAACTTGTTGCAGAATTGGGTCCGCCTGATGCAATCTACCGGAAGAACGACCAGCGAATGTATATACACAAGATACGCACGGCCAGCAACAGTCGAACGCGGCCAGATGGCGACGGTCTGCGGCGCCCGGGTGATCTAACAGACACGGATCAGTCTTCCGCAAACACCATGTCTGAGGACTCAAACGACGACGAGGCAATCGAGGAAGAATTCGCTGGCAATGTGTCTGGAGAGTGCTTCTACAACTACTTTTATCTGGGTTTTGATGTCCTCGTGTCCACACCGACGGCTCCCTCTCAGCCACCACCCTCCCAGGACAAATCAGGACTTCCAGAGAGGACGATCAAGTCAGAATCACCAGATCGCCTGGTGGCAACCAAGCTGATCCTCCACGCTAATGTGCCAGGATCCTATCCATTCAACCGGCACCGGAGATGCAGATGGGAGATATCCTATCTTGATCAAGCATCGCCGGAAGCACCAGTCAGCACTGAGACGCCCTTTGCCGACATCTCGAAACATCTGCGGCAAGAGTGGCAGTCCATCTACTCCTCAGAAGCCGAGGCCACCCAGAAGCAGAGGGGCATGGTTCTCAACCGCGGCTGGGGTGACAGCCCCGGGAGTAGCTGCGAGCTGCTTGGGGGCTGGGAGGACAGCGGTGACAGTACGAACACCGGAGTTGGTGCTAGGCGTGCTGATGGCAGCGAGGACTCTACAACGACGTTGTACGGATTCCCCGGTCTCGTATTTGAGGTGCTCAAGAACGGTTATGTGAGTGCCTTGACGGTCTTTTGATGGCACTTCAGCATACATGGACTCTGGACCTGGCGTTAAGCCCACATTCGCGAGTGGTTGGTGAGCTATGAGCACATGGTTTCAGGAATCGGCTTGGCTTTACAGCAGGTTGGGAAGGAGTTCAATCAAGCTGGGCACAGGATACATTTCAAGGTGACCGTCAAGACTATTATTCGCCGTCCACGCAGGCGCTTTCTTCATTTTGTTCTGGGTCGTTTTAGGCATGCATATTTAATCAGTCATAAACATTACTCCCTGGCAATGGGACTGTAATTGATTACTGCAGTACTTAATGTGCCATTGTTTCGAGCCTCACATGCTCAGTACGTAGGTGTTGAAGACGCCCAGATCATTGTGAAGGCAAGCTCACACAGAGATGTTGAATGTTCTTTGGTGACTTCCGCTGCTGTAAGTACCTGGATAGTATGCTCAAGGGAGTCATACCACTCGCCATTTCTGTAAATCATCCATACAGGTTACCTCATACGGTGGCGGTAGACACTAAGAAGATCTACGAAGCATAGGAACAAGCCGAACACGCTCCTATGTATGGTAATTGAATATTCGCCGTCCAGGCGGTGATGGTTGAACTGTCATTAGCACGTATCTATCAGCGGTGATATGTTTAAACATCGGTCAGAAAGGGACAAAAAGTCGAAGACGGTGCAAAGGAAAGGATAGACATGATCGAGGGCACTTGGTCGGTCGTGAGTGCAAATGATGGGAGCTTAGGCAGCGTGTACAAGATTGGGTTCGCAAGCCGGTAGAACAGCAAGGCAGAAAGGTTCAGAGACAAAATTAGCTGTGCTGACGCCCAGATACTGTTGATCCACTTCTTCTTCTAGTGCCAAACAGAGGGATGATTACTGTGTTATAGTGTAACGTTTATTGACACAAGGCTAAGAGGCGAAGTAAATGTTTTTGAGTCGCCGGCTATTTGCGGCGTCGAAGGATCCCGCTAGGATTATAGGCACTACTTTCTGGTTGGCTAGCGTGGCTTCACTTTGGGCCTTCCCCTAGCTTCTAATTGGTTACAGGCGTCATCAGATAGAGAGGCAAGCATATGATATGAATTTCCTTTATTGCACAGTGAACTATGGACGTTGGCTGTAGCTGGGAACTTCAAGCTCTAGTTACCTGCCGTCCGTTTTCTGCAACGACGAAAGGCGTCCTCGTTCGAAGAAATACGTAGAATCCAATAAACTTTGGAAATTTTGAACAGTCGCCTGAAGGATCCGGAGTTGTTCTGAGGTTCTTAGGGGGCATCCTCGCGCGCCAAGATGATGTCGTCAAGAGGCCGAGCCGGCCAGTCGAGGTATCGACAGCCAGCTGGCCCTGGGATCGGACTTTTCAGGCATCTGCAGTCTCGGACATCAAGTTGCTTGGTCGCTAGGCCGCAATCTAATGCCAAACAGATTTCAAGGTTGGCCTCGCCACTGTAAGCTGGTCGCAGGAACATGGGAATTGCGGCTGTAGTGGGGTTCAACTAGGCCTACTCCACAATGCCGGGGTACAGGGACCCACATCAAAGGGACGACAGCCCAAGAATAGTAAACGGCCTGCCTTGTATGCGTTTGTGTCTTAGTACGAAGGACTTCATCCATAGGGTCGTGATGATATTCAGGATGAAACTGTCGGCCAGAGGATGGGCTGCCCAAGTCCTCATGGGATCTCATCCTCGGCGAGGCCTTCAGTCTAGATTGCTTCAACTTACAAGCAGAGGAAGAGATCAGTACGTCAAAAGAGCGGGCTCATCAAATATATAAAGGGTCAAACCTCTTCGATCCAAACATCTTTTCATTATCATCATCATCAACAACAACAACAACTTCTACTACTACTACTACAATCAAACAGACACCAAACACATATTTTCTTCCTCAATAAACTTAAATCATGGCTGTCACCAACAAGGATATCGCCGCCTGGAAGGCCTCCCTCGACAAGAACTACAACAAGATCAAGGCGGATTACGCCAAAGCCAAGGCTGCTGGAGACAAGGCCAAGATGAAGACTCTTGGCAAGAAGATGAAGTCGAATCTGAAGGATGATAAGACATGGACGAATCTCGCTGCGGCCGAGAAAGCCCTCGGCGCGAAGTAAGTAACCACAAAGCCCAATTCTTCATTATTGGATTATGAGCTCCCTCACTCTGTCATCCATTCAGTCAACTAATCGACTACCGCCCATTTAGGAACATGCCGCCAGAGCTCGCGCGCATGTGCACCGAGCTTCACTGGCTCCAGGCCTTCGACCCTGACAGGTAAATCTGTCTCGCCACTCTCGGTAGCGGCATCTTGATAGACTGCGGGACGGTCTATGAGGAGTTGGGATAGGACTATGGAGTCAACGGAATAGTGGGATTTGGTTTACGACATTTTACACTCTCCTTTGTCGACGGTCTAGGAATTTGCCTAGCAAGTATAGAAATTGAGGCGGAATAGGACTCCACCAGCTTTCCTTTGGTTTCCTCTCTGGGGTTATATAGCTCAAATGATACAATAACTCTTCCCTCTAAGTCTTTTGGTTACATTCTGTATGCACATACACGTGCCAGGGTTCAATACTACTTCCAGTAAATGTCACATGATTCCTGGACAAACTTCCGAAGCAATTGCATACACATATGTACCGACTACTATCCAATAGAAGAGTTTTCAACACGAGGGCCGGCCAAGGAGATTATCTTTTATTTACAGCTGGAATTCAGATCGGATGGGAAAGCTCCTTGGTGTATAATGGGAAGATTGTCAGCTGTTTATCTACAGATTAGATTGAGTATATACTTTCTCTCATTTGGGGATCTAGTGTATACATCTCATGTGCCTTCGGCTTATAAGCCTCGACACATAAGCCATTGGCCAGAATTCCTCGAAACCCATGACGCTCAGCATATGACGCTAAGCTTATACAAGAAATGTGAATGGAGCAATTCTGCAGATCTTGCCTCACGTACCGAGCATGCACGATCCTACGAATCCCATTAAAAATCAAGGTAGATGGTCACCCCTATATTAGTGGCGCCCTACACTGCGATACACGCCGGGCTTCGCAAGGGATCATGGCATCAGGGTGACGGTGCTGACAAAACCTCTTTCGAAAAAAGGAAGAAGAGCCGTCAGTCGGGATATATTTCCCCCACCCTTTCATCAAATGACCAAACTGGAATAATTCAACGGAGATACTTGAGAGCCTGCTTTTGAACACTTAGGCCCTGGAACGCATATTTCCGAACTGTTCGCAATTCACCAAACACCATGGAGTCCCTGTTTGACAATGGAAATGAAATAAGAACCGTCCAATATCTGCCAAACTATCCTTTTGTGGACCGCGATATCCGCAATGAGATGAGCGGCTATCGTCCACCGTGGATGGACCTGACCGCTGGCCTGATCAGCAGTAGCATCAGGTCTGTTAGGCGTGTGCCTGGAAGCTGGTCCCCAGCTGGGGCGCTAAACTCCAACCAAAAGAGTAGTTTCGGGGCTCCGGGAAGCCATCAGCGCCAGAGGCAACGACATGAGCTCACATCGACGTACCAATATGCACCACTGGCTGCTGACTCTGATGACATTCGTATACTTCATCTTCTACCTGGGCAGGAAAACGACCTCGTTCGAACACGGTTACAGTCCTGCTCATTAGGCAACCCGCCAAGCTATGAAGCCATCTCGTATGCCTGGGGAAGCAGGTCTGACAACGCTGTCGTCATTGTCTCCGAGGGAGAAGTCGACTACTCCGTTGAAGTCCCACAAAGTGTCCATGGGGCTTTAAAACAGCTACGAAACGAGTTCACAGCGCGGCTAATCTGGGCCGACGCGATTTGCATGAACCAGGGAGATGATGAGGAGAAGAACCATCAGGTGCGATTGATGCGGCGGATATACCAAGGAGCAACGAGGGTGGTCATCTGGTTGGGAGACAACTATAAACACAATCATGTAACAAGTCATCTTTTCAATCTTATCAGTCAAATGTACCACCGGAACTTTGAATCAGTGCCACCACTTGAAGATTTGCAGACTTGGAGAGAGTTCGAGCGGCTTTTTAGGAATCCGTGGTTCTGTCGAGTGTGGTGTCTACAAGAGGCAGCCTTGGCCACGTCGGCTCAGGTCATGCTCGGGAAACACTCCGCTCCATGGGAGTATATTGGGTTTGCGGCAACATGGTTCCGCTGTTTGCCGCTACAGCTGCTCCATGATGGAAGTGCCTTGGTTGGCGTATACAATGCGTGTCTGATTTACGCCCTGTCGCATGTAAATGAGAGGAATCAACAGCATGTGTCATTCCTACAACTTCTCGCACTCACCAGGCCATTTGTGGCGACGGATGTCCGAGACAAGATTTATGGCATCTTGGGAATCCCAACAAAGGACTCGGATCCTGATGCTGGTGTTCCCTTCTTGGAGCCTGATTACACCAAGACATTACCAGAGGTGTACATCGACTGCGCCTTATCCATCATCCGCAGGACTCAATCTCTTCGAATACTATCTTATGTCCAGCATGAGCGGCTTCATCAAGAGGTGACCGAAACCTCTTCGCACAATGCAGCGGACCAAGCTCTGACCAAGGTTCCATCGTGGGTCCCATGCTGGCATCAGTACTTTTCAAGAACATTAGCACCAACGGAATCGGAGAAAAAGACATTCAAGGCGTCTGCTTCTCTCAATGTGGACTCAGTGGCCAGTACTGATGTCAGAGGATTCGAACTGATCACGCACGGCGCTCGAATTTCGCATGTCAGAACTGTCTCTGGCCTGCTCTTCAACAAGAACAGCTCGAGCGGGTACGATTCAACATACACGGCCGAACAAGTCTGCCTAGAAGTTCTGGAGCCGTTGCAAGCGTCCACAGCGAGCCCAACGGAGCTTCTTCATGCATTTAGCACTGTCCTGACTGCCGGCAAAGACTGGTATGGATGCGTCATCGAGGACATAGAACAGCACGTCGCCGACTTCATTGCGCTCATGTACAACCCGTCCGTGCTTAGCGATGATCCTGAAGCGGACTTACATCGAACAAGGAGACAACGGCATCGAGGAGTGGCAGGGAGCGAATCGCCTCTCCCACGACCCTGCATGCTTGAAGAGTTCCTATTCCGGCCCCGGACTGATCTCGCGCTGCCGCCCGTCACCAAAGTAGGGCAGGCCCACCGCTTCCAAGCGGCCATGCGTAATGCATGCACCTGGAGGCGCGTTCTTGTCACCGAGGACGGCCACGTTGGGCTTGGCCCGCAGGTCGCCAGACCAGGGGGCGTGGTCTGCATCCTCAAGCATGCCATCGTGCCGTTCCTGCTGAGACCCGAAGCCGACACCGGCAGCTTCAAGCTTGTTGGCGAGGCGTATATACAGGGTGTGATGTTCGGCGAATTCAACGCCTCTCAGGTGGAGCAGATCGTGCTGAGCGACCAGCCATTCCTGGACAGCACTGAGGCCCAGCCTGGCGAAAATCAATTTCGGACAGGCGGCTGTAATTCGTCCTCATAGCTGCTTACAGTGGAGGTAAAGAGAACCTTGTTTCGACTTCGAATACGTGGCTGCCGTACAGACAGGATCGACGCGTATTCATAGAAGGCAATACTCAAAGGTGTCTGATATATTAACGATACAACGAAACGCTTTGCTTCAGCACATGAACTACAAAGGATGCTTGACCGTTGCAAGTTCACAACTTCCATATTTCAAGCACCGGACTGATAACATTTTGATACCTTATTTATTCCATTTAAAGTCATGAGAAGCACAAAGCCATAAGCCTATATCAAGAATTAAGAAGGCTGTACTAGATTCTGAAAGCTTCTCCATCATGGGCTTGGCTGTGTCATTATAGATTGCAATCGCGCCATTTATTCGAGGCAACTTGGCCGAGTGGTCTAAGGCGCTGCACTCAAGCTATTAGCTTTCATGGTCTAACCATGGTGAATTGCAGTCTCGAAAGAGGCGTGAGTTCAAATCTCACAGTTGTCATCACCTTTTTTTGGTCTCTTTTAGACAAGCAGTGCTCGCCTTGGTGTCAACATCAAAGTGGCAGGCTCAACATAGGAACAGATAGGCAAGGGCGGCCAGATATGTTAATTAGGAAGAGGTCCTCACTATAACCACAGGTAGTCTGATGTCGGAGTTCTTCCCACTAGCATCCCACAGCTCTAAATAGGTAATGTCCAATGACTCTATGCAACACTAAGTAGCTAGGGAATCTCATCGGTTGTATCACAACCTTGTCTCCAGACTCAAAGCTTACCAGGAAGAAGAAATACCAACTCCACCCCATGAAGCAAAGTCACAGCACAAAAGTCCCCAAGTCATAGTCATATACAGAATCAAGAAAGGAAGGTAACCTCTCCGTGTCTTTCAAGGTGGAAAATCCCCCGGCTCTCTATGATTGGATTGATAGACTGCTCTGCTCTGCGTCCCCCATGCTTGCGTCCCCCTCCTTCTTTCTCTTGTTCTCTCTCTAGCTCGCAGCATGAATCCTTTTCTCCCCTCCTTCCCTCCCTCCAATCTCTGTTCCCACGTGTGGAGATTATTTAATTTGTACACAAATACCCCATGAAAAAGGTAGCTCCTCAGATGCAGACTCCATGACGCGCTCTTCTCTCTCTCCCCCTCCCCTTCTTCTTTCTTGATCTTGATGGAGCTTCCTATCGTTGACTTAAAGTCGTCCTTCAATTTTGATTTTTCGCGCAAGATCGAACTGGTGGCCCTTTTCGGCCTGGGGACAAATGACGGGGGCAGATGGTGTTTTGGGGGCGGATAGTGAGATGTTGTGTGAGTGTGTGGCGGATGTTGAGGTAATAAAAACAAATGGCATTATCAGAATTGAATGTAACAGTGGAAAATCTCCCTTCTCTCGTTCTTCTTGCCAGTCATATCGTGGAACCGTGGATCCGGAAATGACTGCTCGTGATCTTCTCCATCACGTATTACTTCCACCAATACTCCTGCAGGGAGTTTACTCGGAAACACGAAGGCGTAGTTGGTATCATCGAACTCGAATCCTCGATCAGTATTTCAGCTTTGAAGCCAGACATGAGTGTCAGCAGCAGGTGGTCTTGCGCATTCTGTGACCTGGACAATTATAGTGCTGTGATGGTGGCCGAGAAGAGCCATACAGTATGGTTTTCCCCGGCCAGTCGGTCCATCAATCAATGTACCTCACAGGCTGCAAGCTCGAGCGGAGTGGACAAGCTTGGCCAGCCAGGTAATAAGATGTTCTGAACCCTTGCCTGATATTGGCTAGACGGAGTTGTCTCGCCTGGCCAGAATTCAGTCTCAAGCAGCTGTAGCAATGGACACCCAAGGGCTTCATCGGTCATCACCGCCTCTGTCCTTTCCTCTCCTGCGGAAGAAATCCATAACCCTCCTCGCGGCACCACTACTGCCAGCGTGGTCATGGCTGCCGTGTCGTGAATATTCGTCCTTGTCATATGCGTCGACGAATCGCTTATTCTTTTGCAGTAATCCACGAGTTCCTCGGCTAGAAGCTCTCTTGTTTTCCCTGCCTTGCTGCTCTTCGAGGTAGCCCGATTGGTTCGTCGGCCGCTGCGCATTCTCAATGGACGAATCTGAAGCACTATTCAGAATTGCGCCTTGTTGCATGTGCGCTGGAATGCCGCTTTGTCGCTTACTCTGGTAGGGGTTTGAGGTGCTCCTATTATGTCGCTGGCTCTGGTTCGGGTCCCGGTACTGCGATTGCTGAGAGCCCTGCAGCTGAGCGTACATTCCGTCAATATCGGCAGCCTCGGGTGCTCTTGGCTGCTCTACATAACGGCCAGTGTCGTCCACCTGCGGCGGCTCCTGCATTGGCAGACTCCGCTGCGAGTCACGGGGCTCCTGATCGTACTCTTTACCCAGCCCAATGGCCTTGAGAGAAAATGAGCTGGGAAGCAAGGAGAAGCGCTTGTTTGCCTGCCTGTCCAACGAAGTCTGAGACCCATTCATGCTTCCAGACCTCTTCTTTCCAAGTCCGAGCGAGAAAGACCGGCGCGATCGCTTCGAGTCCATCGAGGGACGTACAGGAGCATCGTCGGAAATCGGCTGCGTCATGCTGACTGGGGGGTACTTCTTGGACTTCTCTCCGGAAGATATCTGGCTCTTGCGGTTGCTCCTACCACCGAACACAGACCCGCTCCGACCGAAGATCTTGTTGCCAATGTCACCGATCGTATTCGACCGCCTGTGGCCCCTTGAGTCGGTACTATCGGCCTCCCCAGTGTAGCCACTGACCCTCGAGAGTTTGGATGGAGTATTGACGCTTGGCCTACCGTAGTCCGAGCCTTGGTCTTCACTGGCAGAAGGCTCAGGATAGGCTGCTCGACCTGCGGGTTGTTGGATACTTCCATGCACGTTAGTATCAGCAACCGTGGGGGCGGAGGGTTGGCCGTACGTAGCTCTCCCTGTTCCATAACCCTTCGAACCGGTCGAGCCGCCGGTTGTCGGTCGTCCAGATGCCCCAGCAGACGTCATGTACTGGCCATCAGAAGCTGCTCGGATGCCTTCGCGGCTCGGCCTCGATGGCTGCACCAAGTTCTGGTTGTTCAGATGCGCGCTCGGAGGCCTCCTCGAGGAGATGGGCGCCGCACCGTACGACTCCCTTGTGACTGGCGGGTCGCGTGGCAATGGCTTCTCGTTTGCAGAAGACGACTGGACCTCAACAGGGCCCTGGCTGCCTGAACGGGCTCTGGTCTTGGATGAGCCGTGGGTGGTTGCCGGCTCCCCACGCTGTGTCTGGGTGTTGGGCGCGACATATTCAACCTGCACAGTCCTCCGCTTGTTGTCTCTCTGTTGTCGAGCATGGTTCGCGGCCTCGGTATCTGGGTCAACAGTGCCTTGTTTGCTAGTTAGGCCACCAATCGATGGGCCGACGGTATTCTTCTTGTGCGCTTCTCGGACAGATGCGCTGCGAGCGACCATTGGTGTCTCATCTTCAGCGGGTACAGTAGTGTTCTGGATCTCTCCAGGGGTCGTGGTGCTGCTCGTGATAAACTCAACCACATGGGCATACTCGCTCAGCCAGCTGTGGCGGGCTACTTCAAATAGATCGGCACGCTTCCGAGGATTTGGGACCAGTATCCTCCGTAGCAGGTCTCGCGCGTGAGGCGTGACGTATTCGGGGAAGGTGAGTGGGGTGTTGACTATATATTTGTACAGCAGGTTAATGTTGTCGCCTTCGGGGTTTGCGGGATCGTCGTCGAAAGGTAGATAGCCTGCCAACATGGCATACTAAACTAGTGTCAGTCATAGAAGGGGAATCAGTAACGGAAGCAGAGGACACCTACTAGAATAACCCCGCAGCTCCAAACATCGACTTTGCGACCAGTGTACAGGGAGTCGCTGACGACCAATTCAGGGGCAGCATAGCATGGACTTCCACAACTCGTCTGCATGAGGTCACCTTTCCTCATGCCGCTTGGCTTGAGCTGATTCAACCCCATGCGCTTGACGAATTCCCGGTCGCTCAGATTGTTTTCCTCCTCTTCCGTCAGCTCTTCGACCGGGTCAAACGTGTTCGCGAAACCAAAGTCGGTGATAATGATGTTGCGATTGCGGTCCAGCAGCAAGTTCTCCAGCTTCAAATCTCTGTGCACGATGCCCTTCTTGTGCAGATAACCTACGCCGGAAACGAGCTGTGCGAAGAGGCGTCGGGCGGCATTGTCCTTGAGGTACCTGTGGTTTAGGATGTAGTCGAAAAGCTCACCGCCAGAAGCATACTCCAAGATGATGCCAAAGTGCCTCTCAGACTCTTCCATCTTGTGCAGCCGAACGATGTTTGGATGTGTCAGTTGCTTCAGAATTGCGACTTCGCGCATGATCTTGGCCATACGAGATGGATTGCTTCCTAGCTGGTCCTTCTTGATAAGCTTGATGGCGACCTGTGCGTCCGAGTGATTAGCGTCAACGGTCATCGCGTGGTACAATGTTCAGCGTGCGAGGGCCTTACCTGAATGCCGCCTTCTTGTTTCCACCCAAGCTTGACCTTTCCAAATTCGCCTTCACCAATGGTGTTGCCTAATATGTACTCGCCGAACTTGGTGTGCTTCTCGCGTTTGCTGAAGTCGTGCCTACTCCGACCACCCCGCCGTGTCTCCTCGCCATGTGGTTCGGCGCTTGCAACCACTGGTGGTGAGGCCGTGTCATCGTCGGGAGTCTCGGTTGGATGCGGTTGTGCCAGTGCTTCGCGTGCGCGCGACCGCTCAATATCCACCTCGGGCTGCGACACCAGCATGCTGTTCAGGATCTCGCTTGCTTCCCGGGATGGTCCCTGGGGTGTAGTTGATGAGGTCTGCTGCGACCTGATAGGCAGCGAGGTCGACCCGCTTGCTGCTCGGGAGTCTCTGTGGCTGCTACTGCTGCTTGCCTTGTGCGATTGATCCGGGCCCGTGTGTGCCGACTTTCGGCTCCGAGAGCTCTGAGCGGCGGCTTCATCCTGATAAGCCTGGCTCGCGCTCACCTGGCCGTTCGCGTCGTTGCCTGCATGCCGCTGCGACGCCGATCGGTCGGCACCTTGTGTCGTAGATCTCCTCGAGGTCGAAGCGCCACTAGGGACGCCGGCAGTGTGCTGGGACGAGGTGCGAGGTGGCACCGAAGTGGCGGGCATGTTTTTACGACGGTCGGAGGAGGGATGTTGGTACTGGTCGGAGGGGTCGACGGGGATGGGGGACGCGAGAGCAGCGCGTGAACTCATTGGGGAGTTGCTTTGGGATGGTGCGTCTCCCTTGCCGCTGCCGTTACCGCTATGTTTTCTGGTCGGCCGTTTGGAAGCCGAAGGTGAAGAGGTGCTGTTCTGCGTAGTTGCATAATAGGGATCCCGAGCAGGCGAGGAGGTCGATTGCTGGAATTGTTGCTGTTGTTGTTGTTGGTGGCGGCTGCCGGACGAGGCGGCGACCAAGGGCGGTGAATTGAGAGTGACGGAGGTAGCTGTCTGATGAGGCGCGGATTGCAATGCAGCCGACGACATCTTCCCACGCAGGGGCGCGGAAGGTCGGGGGAGTCGCTATTTGGTTTATCGAGGCTGGCGGGTGACGTTGCCCAGCGAAGGGATCTGGGTCTTTTCGCCCCTTGCACGATAGATTCGATTGAGGGCGTGCCTTGCTCCTGACCAAGGGAGTTGACGTTTAAGGGGGTCGGTCGGACGTTGGGCTAAGGAGGATGTTTCGGCTCGGACACTAGCTCAGGTCGGATCGGTTTGCGGTTTTGGGAGGCTGGAAAGGTTTCCAAGGTTGGAGGAGCGGCAGCTGGGGCAGAGATGGAGGCACGGCCAAGTGCCAACCCAAAACCAGGACCTGGCAGCAGATTGGGAGGCTAGCTGGGGCTACCTGGGGCAAAGGAGCTGGGCAGCGCAAGCAGGCTAAGGTAAGGCAAGGAAGGTAAGGTCTGGTCGCAAAAATAAAATAGAAATAAAAAAACACACGACAAGAGGTCAAAGAGCGAACGTGAATGGGCGGAACCGTTTCTCGTCGCAGGACCTGGAGACGTGACTTGGAAATCGCAACGGCGTGTGAGTGCAACTTGGCTTGACTGCAGCGGGCTTGACTTTGTTGTCTTGGTGCTGCCTGTGCTGCTGCTGCTGCTGATGATGATGAGCTGAGCCTTGCAATTAATGGAGGAAATATGGGCAATGCAACGAGTCGCCAGAGTGCCCAATGAGACCAATTAAGGCAGTTCAAAACACCATGGCTGCTCTGCGATTTGTTGTTTCGATACGGCGGTCAGTTTGACTTGGGCGGCTGGGTGGGATGTGCTGGGATGGGACAGGATGTGTTGCGCTGTGTTGTGACGGATGTTGTTGATCGATCGCCCTATTTTTTTGCCCCCCTCTTGGATGTTTCTCTGCTGTTGTCCCTGCAGCCTGTTTTGCGCCTGGCGCTCAGCTCGCGATTTGATGCAGGCCCGGCTCGACTCGACTCGACTCAGGTCCTGTGAACAACACAACATGCAATGCAGGCCCCAGACGCGACACCCGCAGAGGCTTGCGAGCTGTGTGGTGTTGTTGTGGTGGATTGGGACTGGGACTGTGTTTGGGCCCCGATCTTTTGGCCCCTTTTCTCTGATAGGTTGGGTGCTTGCAGGAGCAGCACAGTCAATGCAGGTCAGGGCAGCAGGTCAGTCCAGGGTTCCGATTAATTCAATTAGGCGCGGCCGCGACCGACGAGACAAGACAAGACGAGACGTCGTCTGCTGTACGTGCTCACGGCAAACAATACTAAAGGGCGAGGGAAGAGGTGAAGATCGGGAAACGAGAGACGACGACAGGACGGGTCGACGGGGGACAAACGCCGCTGGATGTCGAGGTCCGGGGGGAGGAGGAGGAGGAGGAGGAGGAGGTGTAGGCGGGAAGAGAGAAGAGAGTGGCGGCTGGAAGGTAGGGGGAGCAGCCAGGCGATGATGTTGGGTTTCGACTGCGGGCAATTCAAATGCAAGCGCAAATGTAAATGTACAGTAAATGCAGAGCGCAAATGCAACTGGGGCCTGGCTGGGATCTCGGTCGTCAAGCGAGAACATGAAGGGAGAGGCGCCGCCGGGTGGGTAATCTTATTTGACCCCGTCCGCGGCCTCGATGAATCAACCCGCCAGCGTCTGTGTTCCCTCTGCCTCTGCTCCTCTCTCCCGAGGTCCTCGAGCTGCTCACCTCCCTGCCGTAGCTGGCTGTGCCTGTGCCTGTCCTGTGCCTTGGCTGTTGTTCCCTGATTGTTGATTTCCAGGAACCTGCGGAGTGGTCTCGCCTGAGCCACCAGAAACCTTGGTCACGATATCAGGATCAATGCCGCGAACTGTATGCGTTCATGTACGATGTAGATCCCGACTACAAGCAGCCAGCAGCCAACAGCTAGCAGCAAGCCTCACCTCGCCTCCTTCAGATCCCCCCTCCCGCAAACAGGCTTCGTTGTCATTCCGAGATGAGCGCTTCGTGGCCTCATGGCCTCATGGTCTCATGGGCTTCATGACCTCACGCACCAGCTTAGATAGCAGAACACGCGGGACGGATGGCCATAACCTTGCTGGTGCTTGGCTCCAAATGCAGGCCGGGGGATGCTTGGACGAGGCCGGCCTTGGGCAAATCATCACTTTATGCACCCTAACAGCATCAGCATTTCAGACGGAGATACTCTGATATAGCGCCGCTGCACACGACCTTGGCCCTGGGGTAGGTTGTCCAAGGTCCAAGGTCCAAGGTCCACGAGCTGCGTGCGGCATCTTTGCGTACACTGTCGCGCACAATATACCACGCCCAGCCAGCAGAAGCTTAAATCGCTTGGGTCCTATCCCACACATGAGAACAAGTCAGAAGCTCCACCCGATCGACGTGTCTCAGTTCTTGAACGAGGGTGGCTTGCCCCAGGACAGTATATTGGACTATCTAGTCTAGGTACTATGCAGTATAATGAGCACAGTACAGACTCCATGGCTGCGTGTGCCCATACTGATGATGTCTACGACAGACAGGAAAGGCACGCTGCTGCAGTAGACAGATATTGTCTGTCCTGCAGGTGATGAGCTTGTCGTAGCTGTACTGGCAGGAGGGTGTTGGTGAGGGGTGATGATACCGCGGTAGTGTCCTGCACGATGGAAGGCTGTTGTCCACAAAAAGACGACCGGCACCGAAACAACCTCGAGATTTGCTTTCGACGAAGCTACCTCTTGTCGCAGCAGGCTTGGAAGAAGCGCAGCGCCGTGTAGCAGGCCTTGGGACGGAATGTGACGTGACGAGACCTGGGCTAATGAGCAACCAAACATGCACCCATCTTACCGTCTTCCCAAACCCGCCCGCCAGAATCACCACAGCCAGCCATCAACGAGATGGGCGAGCACTGCAATACACCACACGGCAAGCAGGCAAAGCAGCCATGCATCCATGCATCATCACGAGTTTGCTTGCTTGACCGCCTCGGTCCTTTCGTCTGATGTCGAATCGCGTCGTGGGACATCCACCGGGGGGGCAGGGGAGCGTCGAGGGCCAGTCAACGGCGATGCCCCTGCACTGGCTGCTTCCTGACTGCTGTCTGCCCCTCCAGGCGCATGCCAGGCCCCACTTTATCCTTCGACGAGGCTTCTCGAAGGACAAAACAGGCGTGTCAGAAGATGAGAAGGCCATGCCCATTCCAATGCGAGAGGAGAGCGTGCCCATGCCCGATTGATTCTGGCGTCGACTGTTTCGGGATGCGGCTGGGGAATATCATTTCGAGCAGGGCGGCCTGACGGCACGGCAGACAGGCCTGACAGGCTGCAGACAGGCAAGCAAGCATCACTTGAAAAGGGTTGGGGTCGGTCGCAGGGCCTGAAATTACGTACTGGCTCACGGTACGGTGCGAGACGTATAGGCACCGTCCACAAATGCTGTGGTAATACCGTGCCTTACAGTACCAGTGGTAATAAAAGGCGGGCGCCCCGTCCGTCCGCGTCCGCTCGTTCCTGAATTCCTAGCCCGCTGCACGTAGGGAGTCAGGGATCAGGGACTGGGGTCCGATGCACGCCAGCCTTTCCTGCCCAGGCCTGCTCTCTCCATCGCCATGGGTTTGACAAACGGATGATGGGCCTTGCTCAGCTCTGACAGCAGCCCACAGCAGCCCAGCCAGGGCGGGAAGGTGGGAAGGTGGGAAGAAAAAGAAAAGAGTGTGGATGCTATCTTCAAAACCTCATCGATCGGCTTGGGGGAAATAACCCCCGAAATCAGTCCCAGGGCCCGCAGCCCGCAGGCAGACCTTGCTCATGAGTCGCCGCCCAAGGGCCCCAATGGCTCCATCCATCATGCAGGTGTCTTTCGGAATGCTGCGCCAGCGAACCAAAGCAAGCTTGCCATCCTCGATCGAGACAGAGGCACAGAGACACAGACAGCGAGAGAGTTCAGTCATCTGAAGGGCAAACCCACAATGTAACACAACTGGCAAAGGCAACTTGGCCTTGGCATCAACGGCCTTGCAAGGACCCGACCAGTTTCAACCATGGCTCTTACAAGCACAAGCAATTTCTCTCACTCTCTAAACTCTCAGCTCCAAGGTCATTCACTGCACTCACATTCGCATGCACTCGCATGCGCAGACCACACACACACACTCTCTCTCTCTCTCTCGCACACAACACAGTCCTTCCCGCTGTTAGGCGTTTCGTACAGCGCATAAACTTTGCCTAGTTTCTGTTTCCCTGCCTTCCCTCCAATCCCATGGCCCGTTCAGCCCCCAAGCTCTCTCTAAGAGCTCCCCCATCCCGTCACTTCTCGTCACCTCTGCCATGCCATTGCCCAATTCCCCATGCTGGCGCCATGCCGGCGCATGAATAGCCAGGCGGCGAGCCGGCGACGCACGCGCCACACCTCGGCCAAGATAGCAAAGCAAGCAAGCAAGCAAGCATGTTTACAAGCAAGCACGTAGCTAGCCAGCCAGCCAGCCAGTCCTCGCGACGGCGCAGGAAAGAGGGACTCGTGCGCACGCATAGCATAGACGGAGGAGGGGCGCGGAGGCGGGGAGGGAGCATGGAATTCCTGACTCCCGTCCTCCATCCATCACCTCCCATTTCTCGCAGGCGCATAAGACAAGAAAAGAGACCATAGCGACGGACGAGCCCGAACAATGCCTCATCTGCGAGCCTCATCCCCCAATGCCTCATCCGCATGTGTGCATGGCCCGAGGAAGGGCAAAAGGGAAAAGGAAGCGCGTTCATTCAGTCCCGCCCCGCAGTTGGCGCCCGACCGCGCCAGACCGGGAAGAAACAAATTCATGCTCGTCCTGGTGTTCCTGACCTGTCGTCGTCCTTCCTCCCTTCCGCCTCGCCGGGGAGCCGTCGTGCATTGAGGCCGGGAAATGGACGTGGCGTTCGGCTCGCAGGGGTAAGCTTGACATTGCCCCCGGGCTTGATCGTCAAACCATTCGTCGCCGTGCTGCCGCCTGCTTCCTCTAACATGTGCCGGCCGGTGGGTGCCCAACTACACTTTACCAGCTCTAGCTCATAACGTCTTTTTTCTTCCTTGTCTCTCCCTTCTGAATGCACGGTTCATCCTGACCGCCGAATGCGACGGTTCCGAGATGCCCGCCTTGCGAGGCGGAAGTTTCTGGCTGAGTCACAGGGAGGGAACATTACGAGGTCATCGCGTATTGAGAATCCAAATTTTTTTTGGAGGCTATGTCTAGGCACGGCTAAATTCCATTGACGGGTGAATAGGGTTCGTGATGGGTTATACCGTCACGTCGGTACAGTTCACAGCCTCCAAGGTCTGCCCATGGACGCGGGTCGCCTGTTCATCTCGAGCAAACATACGCGCATATGTGACTCGTTCCTACCTTGTGTCAAACCCGTGCATCGTTGAAACAGACATCTAAGCCGGCCACAGGTTTCCCCGGGTTTCGTTACTCATGCTCTCTCTCTCTCTCTCTCACCGACTTCTCGTAAGCACCGACCCCGCGTGGCAAACACGGGCATGGTCCCCCGGCGCTGCCCGGACGCTGGGACGTCCCCCTCCGGTCGCAGCGAAAGCGAAGCCAGGCCCACCCGGACTTGGCCGACGGTTGAGATCTCCCGGTCACTCCGGGGAGACGGGGCTCTCTGTGGCACTAACGGCCACCATTGTCTACCCGTCAATGCATCTGGCAACCGACGGCGGAGCATTAATGATATTCCACCTCAAGGCCATTAGCCGCGTAATCTCCTGACTAGAACGCCTTCCCGACTATATGCCGAGCCATGTCTTTCCCATGCTGGACCGTGCTGTTGAGAATGGTCTCATGCTGGAGCAGCGACGACTCACGGCCGACCTGGAAGATACTGGAACGGCTCACGACGGCTTCGGTGGATACTCAGCGGCCCGTCTTGGACGAGGAATCATCCGAAACCTTGACCGATCGAAGAAAACCCCTCATCATAGCTTGATCGAAATGTTGTACGCATCCAGTGCCACAGCCACACTCGTCAGGACTGCGCTGTATGCAACCAGTATACCCACGCTTACGACGGGCCCAACGTCCAGTGTCGGAACCGTCATGTTGACCAGGCCTGTCAGAAGGTTGGCAATGAGGAAGACAGCCAGGCCGTTGCGGTTGTACGCGCGCAGTACTTTGGAAGTCGCGAACTCATACGCCTCCTTTTCTGCTTTGGCGTCGACTGCGTTGTAAAACGACGGGAATAACAATGTCTCGACGAGACAACAGGCCAGGAGCTGGACGGAGTTGAAGGAAACCACCCCCAAGACGTACGGCAGATTGGCGAGTCTGCGAGACACTGACAGTCCCGCCCCGTAGTTGTAGTCCGTGGACAGGAAGAACAGCAGCAGCCACACAAGACTCCACACAGCCATTGTCATGAGCAAAGTGGTCCTTTGCGCCGCTGCACTGGACCCACTCCGAGTGATGTTGCGAGGCAGGACGTACATGCCAGTGTCTTGGCCGGCCAGAAAGATGGCCAGGTATCCAAAAAAGCTGAAGACCCCTTCTCTATTCATGGACAGAAGATCGACCCGGGGAGCCGTGAGGATATAAACCTTGAGGCCAGTACTCTCCAGCAGAATCTGGTAGGTGACCCCCAGGATGAGGGCGAGGGCAGCATACGATGGGACAATCCTCAGCGCCGACTGGAACACGGCCACAAAGGGTGGCAAGAAGCCCAGCGTGAAGAAAAAGTTCCAATGCACGCCGTACTCGGTGACGTGTTCGGCGTAATCGAGTCCCTTGACGCTAAGCAGGCGGATGACACCCAGCACGAGGAGTGGTAAAGAATGGCGCATTGAGTACAGGAGCCGACGGGACAGTGGAGCTCCACGGCCTTCTGCGCGTTCTTTCAATACAGGCCTCGCAGCCACGACTCCGGCCGAAAAGACAAAGGCGCCGACACCAATGTCCATCAATGATGTGCCCCATGTCTCGACCTTGCCGAAGCGTCGGGGGAAAATGCGGAAGTCGACTGCGAGGATGGCTAGACACGTAATGATGAGCATAGACCCTCGGAAGATGGTCAGGAAAGGCTTTGTCGAGAGCACATCTAGGCCCGCCGCGGACCCCTTTGTCTTGCTGGCCTGCGCGGTAGGCGGGATCTTAGGCTTCTTTCTCCGGGCCACGAGATTTGGCGGGAAAGCGTAGACTAGCAGCGCGGGCGCGAGCAGCAGAACAATAAGGAGGATCGGGTTGTCGGAGTATAACGTGATTGCGAGCAGGACGGCCCCGACATTGAGGAAGTAGTCGACGATAAATCCGATAATCGTGTACGGCTTGAAGAAGGACTGGCGGCCCTGCAGAACGGACCACACCAGAGCACCGACCTAGAGCAGAGTTTCAGCTAGGACTGACGAGGTCTCCGTCATAGGAACGTAGATTGACTCACGGGTAAGACAGCCGTCACCGCTGCGATCTCGCTGACAGGCCCTCCTGTCAAGTTGGACACGAAGTCCTCCTTGAGCTGCTTGTAACTGGCGGTCGAGTTAGACATGCTGAATCCCGTTGCGTCTGAGGGTAGCAACGCGTAACAAAGAAAAGCGGAAAGCGGATGTCAGGATCAGGACTCTCGAAAGTCGAGGGGAAAGCATTGCGCTGCCAACACGTCGCGAAAAGATTCCAGAGAGGCCAGGCTGGCAAGGGAGGGAGAAATGACAGCTCTGCAGTAACGATTGCCTTCAGCCTCGCTCGAGCAAACAGTCGTCACAGGCCGGGGTGGGAGGGTCCAGCCCCAGGGCCAAGGGAGAGGCGAGCAACCAACCAGAGCCGGGCTCGCCGACCCCACCTACCGGGCCCATACCTCGGATTTGAACGTTGAGATATGATGTGCCATGTGGTTTACAATTTCTGCGTAGTGCGCTCTAGCACGGGTGAGGCGTTCAACAGATACCTTTGTTCTCATGATTTTACAGTTTCATCGCGGCTCAGGTCGCGCGCACAAATCGAAACATGGCTTGGACCACGCTGCTGGGAAAGCCTTTGTCTGGCGCGGGCTCACCAGTGCTTTGAGCCTACTCTACCTCTCCCTCTGCCTCTTCCTCCCGGGTGAAAGAGCACCCAAGAGCCAAACCGAGGCGCAAAACGAAAAAGGAGAAAGAAGAGATAAAAATGGAACGATGGCCGTCATCACTTGTGCCAGCGAGCCTCGCCATCCACTCTGTACTTTCGTACGTCGTGTGTTATCCACGTCCCAGACCCAGAATTCCAACGACATTCCATTTGCCAAAGTTGGCTCTTGCCAGTCACTCACCTTCCCCTCGAGATCACACGATCCCTTGGCCGTGAAACTCTTTTCTCTTTTGTATTACCCTGGACGCCTAGCGTCATGATCATGTCCACCCAAAATCGTGGCCGGCCCAGTCTCGAAATCAATACAGACTATGCAGGGCCAAGCGATATACGCCTCCGGTCAGCATTCCGCAAACATCGGAGTCCTTTGCCCTCCGCAACACCAAATACACCCAAGACTCTTCCCAGTCCCATCCAGCCTTCGACGCCTGCCTATGATGTGTCTATGAGGCAGCATGAGAGAGCCATGGTAGAGAGCTTAGAGGCCCGTGGTGGACTGTCCAGGTCGCTGTCTCCCGTCGCGGAGCAGTCGATGTCAACAAGGGTCAACCTGATGACCATGGATAGCCCAGTGCAGTCGAGAACAGCAGCACATCCCTTAACAGCTCCTAACACGCCGTTGATAGCCTCCCTATCACATGGGCGACAGAATATGGTACAGCAGACCAGGTCTATGCTGTTGTCTGGCATGTCTCCATCACAAGCCAGCAACGTTGGCGCTGTGTCCAACCGAAAGCTCTCAGCTCCAGCCGAGGCTATTCAGAGGCAACGGAGGCAGACCATGATGCTCCTCCAGCCAGACATGCTCCAGGCCTGGGGTCATGTATATCTTGGTGATCCCACCAAGGCGGACGTCCTCGTGGCCCCATCGGCCCTGCGCCGCCTGAGTGGCACTGAGCAGCCTGACAGCGCCGGAGAGGGCTACGGCCAGTCAGAACGCCTCTTCATCAGGGCCCGCGTGCGGCCCAAGGGCAAGGAGCGCAAGCCGTTCCTGATTGCGCGCAGCTTCAACCTGAACGAACTGAGGGCCACGCTCCCGTCTCCAGCCACGCCCGTGCGCTCACCACGCCGTCAGGCAGTGGCTCCTTTGTCCCCTGACACGATCAGCTCTCCGCGGCCATCAACACTGCCCTTAGCTCCGAGCCGGCGTCGGTCTACTGTGGCCTTGTCCAGTCCGATGTCGTCTCGATCCAGTCACCAACACAGGAGCGGTTCGAGAGAGGTGCCAATCCGTAAGTTCAGAATCGGTCATCTCCGGCCCACTGTTTGCCTGTATGCTCTGCTAACAAACGGTCATTCTAGATCTCCCTTATGCTCGGGCCTACCTGCCAGCATTAGCAGCTGTCATGCTATCAGGCCATGTCAAGACTGGCGACACGATAGACCTGCCCATGCCACATCCAGAAGCGTGGACTCAGACCGTAGCCTACGCATACACCGGCAGGGGTGAAGCGACCGAGGCAGTGAAGCAGAACATGTTACACCTGGGGGGACGGGTGTAGATAGATTGTGCGTCACTTTCTGATGATTGTAATGGTTGTAATGTTTGTAATGCACGGGATGATATGACGGACCTTTGATTTGCTTCTTCTATATGGATATATTTCTTCATACTGCTGAGTGCTCGCGCATTCTTCTTGGCAAATATATGGCCGCAACCAAAGGACATAAAATAGAGTAGAATAGAATAGACTGATACCACATCCAAGCGAATATGGTCTGCTTGACTCGAACTTGTTTTGACTCGTGCAAAGGGTAAAGCCGACTTAGCGACGAGATTCTCCGTTCAGCAGGGAATGGCCGAGGATATCTGATGGGACGACGAGCTGAATGGCCGCTGGCCCAAGCGACCTGGATCGTTTAAGATGTTGAGACGTAGAAGCAGCCTAGACTGAGGCTATCTGTTCTAGAGCAAACCGCTCAGAGAGAGAGAGAGAGGGTCGAGTCCAGATGGAGGTGAAAAGCGCGACGCGGGCTGTTGTTTGGTTTGTAGCTCCTTCCCTGTCTGCCACATGCAAGGGGAAGGAGCGGCCCGTCTGTAGTACGCGGCAGTTATGGCGTGGGCTCTCTGCCAGCCTTCAGACCAGCAAGTTAGACCAATTTAATCAGACCAGGACAGCCTCATATCACCCTGGGAAGCTCCATCAAAGCTGTCTCGAGCGTCGTATCTTGCCGAGCAACACCAGGCACATCACATGCATGGTATGGCAGCCGCTGTGACCTGCCGCGTGTGGCCTGGCCTCTGCCAACGAATAACGAAACCCGAGCAACAACGGAGATTTCCTCGTCGGACGGAGCTACTGCTACTCATGGGCGTCGGGCACCAATGCCAAACCTGCAGGCTAGCCAGCCGGTGATTAATAGACAAGCTCTCGTCGTCGTCGATACTCCTTCTGGCACCAGGGCTTGCGCTTGTTGCATCTGTGTGCTGTCTGTCTCGGCGGTCTAGAACCCAACAAAGCAAAGTCGACCATCAACACTCACCACCCCGTTTGCGGCCTCCAACAAATAAGGTTTCGCTCTCCTCTCCCATCAACAAACAAACACCCGCCACAGAGGCAACCTGCATTCAGCTACCGTGTGACGGCGAAGTTGTGAGTGAGTCAGTTCCCGCCCGAAATATGCCCAAGTACCCACCTGTTCCCGCAAGGCCCGCACCAAGGGGCCAGACCTTTTTTTTCCCTCCCGTCGTAGCTATCCAAATCTCCTAATAAGGTGCTGATCGGCACTGACTTCGACGACAGATATTCTTTTTTCTTCCACACAGATCTCTTGACCCCAGCATGCTGGCAACAGCACTTTTTCGACGGCCTCTTTCAGGATAAGAGCTCCGGGCTCGCCCAGCACGGCAAAACATTCACGCTTTCCTCGACCCTCCTTCTCAACGTCACGAACCGGACAGTTTCTTCCACAGGCTGGTGTCACTACGGTTTCCTTGGGAGTAGTCAAGGCTGTCGACTTGTTCGGTCAATAGACTTCTCGGCTGGGTCGGTAACACTGGCATCATCGACCGATATCCCATCGCGGCTTGGAAAGAACAGTCTACGACATCTTGCGTGCAGTCATCTGGCTCGAACGAAGGTGCCTCCTGCGACTTTGTCACCTCTCCTAAAAGCTTTGTGACAATTTGCAGCCTCAAGGAACAGGAAATCCTACAGCCTTGGTCACGAGATACAACGCCAACCAGGATATCACCCGCACACCAAAGGATTTCAACACGCCCTATTCAGATCGTGGACCACCGTCGACAATTTGCAGGGCATCCCCTACAGCAAATTTTTCATTGGAAAATACGGCCGTTAAGTCAACAGCAGCACAGCTACGATGGCGGCACAACCACTCATAATTCTCAATGGCTGGCCGGGAGTGGGAAAAGACACCGTTGCAGAGACCCTCAGCCTTCTGATCGGTGACAACAAAGCATCCTTGCTAGATTGGGGCAAAGGTCGAGGCGACAGCTTCCAGACTATACCCGACGATGACGAAGTGGCACAAAAGGCGCAACGAGACGCCTGCTTTGCTGATCAAGTCGAACACCCGTCCACATTCAGCAAGATGATCATATGCACAGACTGCCTGTCAGACACGCCGCTGGGGAGACGACTCGCACAGGATTTTGAGGTTGTCGCGAAGAGAACCAATCGGCTATTAATTCCCATATATCTGGAGTGTCAGGTCGAAGAAAACATGCGGAGGTTGCAGGAGGCGGAGAGAAGGGTTAGCCTGAAAGATAAGAGTAAGTTCTTGCCCTGTTTCTTATACGGCATATGTGTTTTTCTGTTCCAAGTATCCATTTGCAAGACATTCGACGAGTGCCTCATTCAAATAAGTGGTTTTACTTTACTCGTCCTTGGAGCTTTTGTTTCCATGGGGTGAGCTGCGACTATGGACTCGTACGTCGAAATGCCTATGGCCGTCGTCAGATAACAGAGCGTCTCGTGGATATCTTCTGCGAAGTAGCCTGTTGGGACGACAACATTTGACATTGACTATTCTCATTTCTTTCGTTTTGATGCTAATGTACTCTCAACAGTCCGAAGCCCTAACGAGGCCAAGACGGTCAGATCCGATGGAGGCAACCTCTTCATTTTCAAATCAAGGGAAGGCTTGAGCATCAATATTACGAAGATGCTACCGCATGAAGCCGCCCTGCAGATACTGTCATTTATCAGAGACTTGATCGATCATCACAACGAGGAGCTAGTCAACGAGGAGACGACGCCATTGGAGGCGAGCGAGCCGGCATGGGCTTGAGTGGCAATGGCATAGATGAAGTCCGTACAAGGCTGGATCCACGGAACGATGTCAGAGTATTCTACACATGAAATCCTCGCCTCTTGAAGAGGAGCGGCGCAAGCTAAAAGGGCGATGAGCATAAGAAGACGGCGTCTAGGAAGGAGGAAAAGGACGTTTTGATATGATACCCCGTCTGCTTTGGTATTCAGGAGATCTGGTTCGTGGAAATAAGGCTGGCAGTGCCATGCATACTTCTATTCTCTCTCTGAAGTTCACATGTTCTTGGCGCCACCAGAAGACAGTTGTACGACTCTGTCACCAATGCACCTAGCAGTAGTCACAGGATGTATCGAGACCAAGACACAGTGATACGGCCACGGTGCAGGCGGTTTCACGGGCCAGGCAAGCCTTGACTCCCCTACAATGATATCCTCGAGACGCAGTGCGTCCCTCCTGCAGTCTCCACATGCCAATATATATGAGGGAGAGCTCTGCCGCCAACCATTTCACATGTGGCGGTTCTTGCTACTAATCACTCCCATACCTATGACTCGCCAGCGACGGCCGCGGTCGCAGCGGGAAGGGATCAAGTTGCGGCTCTTTACGTATCAGAGGAGGAACACAGGTCGGGAGTGGGCGCATGTGGCTGACGTTCCATCCGCCCTCCCTCTCGACTCGCCAGGTCCGCCGGTTCGTGGGCTCTGCACTGATGATCTCTACTCGGGACCATCTCGGAGATCCCTGGAGCTGGATCTCGCTAGGTCCATGGCCCTGGGAGCTGGTCCCGGGAGTATGCTGTGAAAGGTTGTCTGAAGAGGCGAGGGAAAAAAATTCTCATGGTAAAGAAGCCCACCAGGCGGATGTATTGCATATCCTAGATTCGCGAGGCCTCTTTTTGTATGGTATTTTCTATCCATCGGCTGAATTCTTCTTTATTCAAATCCCGGACCCCGAGAGAACGACGCACACATCGGTGATCGACTCAGACGTTGCCATAGACTAGTTCGTAGTTCGTAGTCTGTTCGGGCACGCCGTGGCCGCTTTCCATGTTTATGACCGGCGCACACACACGCACAACACAGACACCGCAGAGAAGCATCAGTCAGATGAAATGGGTGTAAGATGATTTGCCAATTGCCCACCCTTTCCCCCCTTGCCTTGCAGGTGGCCTCCCACACACCACCAGCCCTTGGCTAGGCCCTTTCGTCCAAACTACTGCAGCTGTGTGCGTGAGAGTGTGTGCGCCTGTGTAGGAAAGAAGGTTCGGGTGGGCAAAAGGTAAAAAAGGGAAAAAGCAGAAAGGGCAAGGAGCCAGCCCACGCCCTCGGCAATCCAGTAGCTTGGGACGGGATCAGCACCGATGGTGTGTTACTCAACATTCCGCCCAGGTGCTTGCTTGCTTGATTCCTTTTCTTGCCTGCTTTTGTCCCCATCGTGAGGAAAACGACGCGGTGCAAGCCGGGCGGGACCCTCTGCGCCCCTCCCCCCTCCACATCGCCGAGCAATCGTCATTCTCCCCGATGCTGGGCCCTCCCGGGGGACGTCGGAGACCCGCAATCGCTGGTTGTCAGGTTCGGAGGTTTGACGACGATGATGACAGAGGAGGGCCCGCCGCATGGCCAGACGCACCCCTCCCTCCTCTGTTTTTCCCTCGCGCCTGGATGCGCCATCTGTCTGACGAGCCCACCAGATCGCAGACGGGTGGAGAAGGTGAGACACAGACACACATAAAAAAACAGCACCCACCACCACCACCACCATCACCATCACCACCACCAATGCAGGGCAAGGGCCGGGGTGGTTCATGGGTCGTGATGCAAGCAATACTGTGTGCATGCTTGACCTGCTAGGTACATAAGGTACTTTGCCTGATTCCTGACTGAAGCCATCGTCTGAGCGTACATATTCTATCCGTCGACGCCCCTCTCACCCCCCCTATCCAAGGTCTCGCTCGACCTACTCCCCGCCGTGGAGGCGGAGGGAAAAAGATACATGGCAGGTACTCGCAACGGAGCTAACCACGCCAACACGCCAAAGGAAGAGGACCCTTGTTTGCTTGCAACATTACACATGGTACATTGGCGATACCCATCGTGGGGTTCTTCTGTCATGGGCCAGGGGGGTGAGTGGGTGTTGGTGATGGATGTTTGGCGCAGGCCAAGGCATGCCAGAATTGGAAAGCCCCGGTAGTCTTATCACCTTGTCTTATGAGGAGGTGTGTTGAAGATCCGGCACTGAGGCCCGGGGTAGAGCCTTGTTGCCTTTTCCTGTCGTTGCTTGATGGGGGGAGTGGTCTTTTTTGGGCGGATCCGCCGCATCCCGCTACACATACACACACAATGCCAGTCAGACGTGTGTTGGAGAAGAGAAGGTGCGACGCTGATCATGACGGTAGTGACCAGCGTGTGCTTATTGGCGATATTACGTCTGTCCCTGTGGCTGTTTCTATCATTATAGCTTTGCTCTTTTCCTTTTCCTGGTAGTGGTGTTGTTGCCCGGTAGAAAGCACCGAGAAGCGGATGCAGGTTCCGCTGCACGTCTGGCCGCCGACATCCAAGTACCGTGGGAGAAAAAGCAAATAGAGCTGGGTTAGGTGGTTTCAGGATGCAGTTCGCATGAGTCCACGTTTGTGGCTACAGCGAGGCCGGCCTGCGTGGTGGTGTCGAGTTCATTTGCCTAGCTAGCAGAGCCGGCCCCAACTCGACCTCCGGACGCCGTCTTTGCTCATGTTAGCTCCTGATAGCTGCCCGCTGGTGGAAACGCGAGATGACCGTTGCGTTCTATTTTGCGCCGGCTCTGGCGAGGTCCAGATCCAATATCGATCGGCACCGTGCAGGAATAGCAACAGAGGAGACGATCCCGCTAATCTTGGTTTAGAAGGCGTTTCGGCCCGGGTTGACGGAAGGGAAAACAGCTAGGGAGCTTCTTTGGTTTTCAATGCAGCTGCAAATGCAGAATGCAGACCATGACTTCATCTGCTGCATTACTGCACAGCTGCACAGCTCACGCAGGCCAACGGTCCCGCAGTTGTGCCCATTGTACATAATTTAGTCTATGCATAGACTGATAGAATAGTATCCATTAGTGCCTGGGACCCGGGGCGCGGAAGACACGGCAGAGGCAGGAGGATCACGACATCAGACGGAGCTCCTCCGTTCCTGATGCAACGGCCTCATCTCGTTAATCCCATCGGCCAACACACACGCACTGCGCCCCGGTCGTGTTGCGACTGAGACATTTTCCCGGCCGCAGCAGGCAGTACAGTACATGGTACGAATGTGCTATGCATACCCGTTGCCCCGTTGAAACACACAAGGACGTGTGATCCGTTTGATCCAGGCTCGCTGTTTGTCGGTAGCGAAGGCGCTCAATTTGGAATCGAGCGGTTCCGCTTCTCCATCTTGATCATCGCCAACTCGTCTGCATCCGTGTCTGTGGGCACCGAGAGGTCCCCACACGCGAGCCAGGCAACCAGGGTTTTTGCTCTCCCAACGCATACAGTACGCAGCATTGAAATCCATATCCATGGCCCGCTGCCGTGCTGGGATGGCACGGTGCGAGTAATGCCGCCGACCTCGCAGATCTCGGGTGCTTGACGCTTGACAAGACAGGCCCAGGTCCAGGTCGAGCTCGAGGTCCATGTCGATGTCCATGTTGGTTGAGGTCCACGTCGAGGTCCAGGTCCAGGTCCAGGTCCGTTGTCCAGCCCCAGCCCCAGCCCACAACTGAAGGGCTCCGGCGATCGTCTGAGGTCGGTGGATCGGATCGGGGAGTGACCCAAGCTTGAGTTTTTATCCCGCTTCAGCTGTGCTGTCCCGTGCTTGGCCAGCCCCCGGCATCCTCTGAACTGCCGCCGCAGATCAGACAAGCGTTCTCGTCTCCCGGGTCTCTCGTAATTGCTGACCATTATGTTGCGGCCGCTGCTGCCAGACAATCGTCTCACGGACTCGGCACTTGCCAGAGGACGGCACCTCGTCCTTCTCCTCTGGAACGGCGACTTGTGCATCACATCATTGTCGTTCGATGGATGATGTGACCACCATGACTCGGCAGCGGCTTTGCCAGGAAGTGCATAGTAGGAGCGTAGCACCAGAGTCTTGTTCAGAGGCACTGCATCGTAGCATCGTTGCATCGACCTTTTAGACTTGCCGCTCCCAATGTCAAGGTCTGCCTGGCGAGATGAGATCGCCAAGCGTTGTTCTGTGGGGTCGCGTTTGGGAAGTGCTGACCTACTGACTCTCGTACCATGGCTCACAGTCTGGGAAATGACTCCGGCCATGGAAAGCCACCTGCTTACCTCGATTCGATCTCTCTCTCTCTTTGTCTCAACCCCGCAGCCGTGAATGTACATGGACGCACGCATCGTGAGAATGAAACGGCAGCCGTCCTCTCCAGCAGCTCAACGACGTCAGAGCCGATGCCAGTCATGACCAGTCCCGGGAGGCGCTGACTCTCGATCCATGTGGCCATCCGAGACACCCATTGGCCTTCTCCCGAGCCAGCCGCCGGCCACGCCTTGAGGGTCCCAACATGTCTCTGCTTACGGTGGCCATTCAATCCTCCGAACCACATCAGAGCTAAGGGATATCGAACCTGCAGTAGGCAAGGTGTGCCCTCCAGGCCCGGCACACAGCATTCCCGGTCCAGGCCAGCCAAGGCCCCCGTGTATATCCGCGCTGTTCTTCCTCGAGGAGCTACCTAGACGGTAGACTACGTACATCGTGTATTCCGCCGTCGACAATGGAGCACACATCTTCAAATCCCACCTTCCCGACCATGGCATTGGGCAGATGCAGGTCCAAGCCAAAGCAGTCAAGCGCGGGAGGGCTAGACATGCATGCTGGACTATGCAGAAGGTCCACCCAGTGTGGGACAGTCTGGCCCAGACTTCTCCAATGGGGGGTGGATCTATCGCCTGAGAGGGAAGCACTACAACCCCACACAGCAATGGAGCATGTGGGTTCCTCAAATTCTGGTCATTTACTGGTAACTGTTGGGTGCCGGGTGCTGGCACCACTCCCGGCAAGATCAAAGTGCCTGTTGGTTCTCTTGGGAAATCCAGCATGATCGATCATGAGGACGAGGAGGAGCCTGCTCAGGTGAGCCGAGGGGTGATGCCACTTTCTGTCGTGAAGGAGCTCCGGCCTGGCCTGACTCCAGCCGTCGTCACTCCTGCCAGCTCCAGCTCCAGCTCCGGCTCCAGAAAATCCTTGCGTGGATCACGACAGCGTCTCGGGCACCACCAGCAGGAACCCATCATCCCGAAGGGGGGTGTTCCCGGTCCAACAAGACAGCCAGCCATCCTGCTGGGTTACACCCAGAAAGCCCCAGCCAATCTTGAGATCGACGAGATGGATCTAGCAGCGATCCCCAGTCCAGCATCATAATTGGTTAGGCGCCTGTCGCGACAGCTGCGGAGCCCGGTGCTGAGGATCCTTTTCGTGCGGGAATCCACCACTCACCCCATGTATGTGGTGTACCAGCAGCACTGCAGTAATGCAATGCCAACAACATCCGACACCGAGGGAACTGTTGGAAAGGTTCCGCGCGATGGGAATAGCCAGCCATCCGGCCGTCTAGCCAGCCACAAGGGCGCGTGCCTCATCAAGCCAGAGAATCCTGAGACACAACTAGAGCAGGCGAGCGAGTTCCGGCGCTGGGGGGAACATGCACATTGCCAGTAAGACATTTGGATGGATGAGGCTCGGGTATCCTTGCGCCATCCCAAGACATTGTCTCGCCTTACGTGATGACTACCATCCATCCTTCCCAGGGCCATAAGATATCACCACCCTAGAGAGACTCGTGCCACCTGTGGGAGCCTCGTGATGTATCGGATTTTTATTCGTTTCTTATTTTGCATCCGAGTACGATCGGTTCTCCTGTCATTGCGTGTGGCAAGGAGAGAAAACTCGCCATGTACACCAAGAAAAGGATACATGAATTCCCATGACTGGTCCGACTTGGGTGCCTGTTTTGGGTGTCGGAAGTTCTCCAAGCGGCGAACTCAACCCGACCTTACAATTCCCGTCGCATCCACCATGCTCTAGTTGGGGCTGTCATAACCCGTCATAGCCTGTACGTCTTTTCCACTAGTATCAATGCATGCAATCGAGTGACAGGGAAAAAGTAAGTACAATGCAGCATTTGTTTTTCTCAACACTCTGTTGCCCCTCCCAATCCCAGATCGACGTACATGCGATTTGCACGCGAATGCTAAACTAACCAAAAAAGAAAGAAAAACGGCCGTGCCACGATCGATGATCCGCGAGTATCTACAAAGCCATTCTTTCTCTCCGAGAATGGAAAGAAGCTTACCTATTCGACAATCTCCGCATAACAAGGCAACAAGGAAAAAAAGCCACAGGAAGCAGAAGAGAAGGGTGTGACACTGGGCCAGAACGGCCGGGCGGCCATTCGCCAATCACGAGTGCATCCCAATGATCGTAATCTTGCATGTTGGATCCCACACTTGGAGGCTTGGAGGGGACATGGCATCTGCAGCAGCCATCGAGGGTACCACTCTTTACCCAGGTAGGCTCATGCGCCGCGCCCATGCCTTTCCGACCGCACACCCCTCCTCCCGCCCCCCCTTCCCTGCCTCCTCCCGTGCTCGTCTGATGGTGGCACGGACGAAAAAGTCATAGCGAGCAAAGCAATGCAAAGCAGCTCCAGGCCGTCTTGTCTTTTGTATCTTTCCTGTTGCTTGTTGGCCGTCTGGACTGTGCCATACCGAGATGTCAGACGCCGCCGTTGGTTGCTAGCCCGCCGTTGCGGCGGCAATCGTGGGCCCACGGACGATACTCCCGGATTGGAATTGTTTTGCAGATTGGTTTCAAAGATAGATATCAGATATCAGATATGTGATTCTCGTTGGTTATTTGTGTATATACGTATGTATGTGTGTGCGTGTACATGTGTGTGAACGCCTGTGGTCAGCAAAGACCTGCGATGGGACACCAGCTTGCGCAGAGGGAGGGGAGGGGCGTGAGGGTATCAAGGGAACATGAGGGCGAGGCTCTGGTACATTCACCACGTCCCGAGGATTTCGCGCCTTTCTTGCTCTGGACAGACAGGCGGCCGGAGGCGCACACTCCCACCCCAGGCAGGTAGGCATGTATTTATGTACATGTATAAGTGTGTGTACATCTCATACATACCCCAATTTTCAGATGTCAGAGAATGGCAAAGGAAAAAAAAGGCAACCCCACTAGGAACCCTCCTCTACAACCCACCACCCACCATCCTACCCAGCCAAGCCAGCCAGCCCTCCTGCGGGGAAACGTCATCGTGTCCGTCAAGTCAAGAGAGCCCTGCAGTGTGCGACAACCACCATCTTGCACAGGACTTATCCTGCTTCTCGTGTGGTGGATCTCTCGCCCGCCCGCAGTTCTGACATGTCAGACTGACTGCCTAGTGTTAACATAGACCGTCATCCATCATGGTGGTTGGCTAATAATCCAAGAACGAAAATCAACAAGACCTCCGGATGCGGCAGTGTGTGATGAACAGATAGGCAGATTGGCGACCAGCAAAGACGCCTCGGGCAAACACCGGCAACTCTTACTTGGCCTTCCCTCCATATAGGCGAGAAAGCATATACACATGCACATGTAGGAGGGTGACGCTCTTCTAGAATGTCTTGGGGTATGGGAGCACTGACGCTATCCCATCCAACCTAGCCCTGCTGATCCGGCCCCGGATTTTCCTAATCTTCTCTTTTTTTTTTCTCCTTACTTATTTTTGTTTTCCTATACCCTGCACTTTCTTTTTGCTTTTTTTCTTCGGGAGCGATCTGACAGCAGGAGCCCTGCGGCACGTCATTGGCGAATCGCAAGCCACCCAGATGTGGGAGGTCTGCGCTCCGTGGGGATCCGGTTGGGCGGGCGGGCTGATGTGCAGTCGTGCGCGTGAGGCGAGGTGTGAGTGTGTGTGTGTCTAATATGGGTGTGGGTGGGTGGATAGGTGCGTCGTTGACGTGTGATGTCTGCCTCTTGCGCCCTGCTGTGTAACAGGCCCACCCGGCCTCGTGCGGCGGGAGCTGGGATGATTCCAAGCCTTTTTGTGCGATTTCCTTTTTGCTGTGCGATCTGACTTGTCTCGAACCTTACCGAACTGGTGGGAGCCATGTGGTGTACCTTGTCACTTTGTTCTGTCTTTCGGTGGCTTGCGTTTCCCTTCTGCGCCATGTGCATCGTGCTTCACAATACGAGGCACATCTGACATTTCCCGTCGCCTACCCGGACGAATAGATTTCAGATATCTAGGCAACCTCAAAAATCTCCCATGTCATGTGGATGGACGGATTTGGAATTCGTGATTATACCCTCATGTCAGCTAAGGTCATAGATGAGACAAGGTTTCACAGTGTTCTTCTTTAGATTCAGGGATTAGGCAGTGAAATGTATTTCGTTTCCAGTATTTCGATGTCTAATCTTCTGCCAGCCACAGTATGCCGCCAAGTACGCATCTCTATGTTTGTCTTGCAGAGAAAAGCACAGTGCCGCGCCAAGTCTTCTGGTGCGCTAAATGCCAGTACGGAGTTCAACGAGGAAATCAATAGGTCCAACCTGCGCCGGTAAACCCGACAAAGCCTCCTCCCAAGAATCAGAAAATCATCTTGTTTTGTCCCCTCCTTTGCCCTTGATCCCATTTTGATCCTTAGCTGGTGAGTCGTACACCGGCGGTCCACCTTCTGGACCGCCATCGTAGGACGTCTGAATGCCTTTTGTTTTCCCTTCTGGCCCAGACTTTTGAAAGTGGGAGAAAAGCCGACAAGAGGGCGGAAACAAGAACCGCAAAAATCGTAGAAAACCATCCCAAACATGTACAAAGGCCTCCGAAGGCTCGCCCATCCTAGCTTGGCAGGATCAAGCTCCGCCTTTCAAACCGGCGTACCCGCAGACTGTAGCAGTGGTCGCGGAGAGTGCTGTCGAACCTCAAAACCGCCAACGCCGTAGTAGTAGTGTTTCTTGTTCTCATGGCCGTGAAATCATCAAGTCATTCCATCTCGCCGCGCGCGCAAAGGCTGAAAATCTGCCAGCCTGTCGCGCAGATGTTGCATCGGCTCAAGAAATTCTCCCGAGTCATATATGGACCACATAGGGAACCATAAAATATGACACCGGTTCCGCTCAGTCGACGTCGTGCATCACGGGCTTCTCGTATCGAGACGGGAGTGTCATGCGGCGTTGAGTGACGTAGCGCACAAGCTCGCCTTTCCCGTTTGGTGTGCTCATACTCAGGCTCCGCTGAGGGCGCATGAGACGCTGCCGGTCGTGGACGTCTCCATCTGCCCGGCTACCCCACGATGTCTGCGATACCACGGGTTAGATGTTGGTCTTACTGAATACGTAAAGGAAGGATGGTACATACCATGTTGAGGGTGGCGAGGGCATAAAGCTTGATGAGACCATGAAAGTAGCCAAACAGGATCGAGACCGGAAGGAATATGATGTCGCTTGGGTTCCGCATGAAGAGCCCCACAAGCTTGACGACCTTGGTAAATCCGAATACGAAGATGATTTGGGCCCAGAAGGCATAATTGCGGCTCGTAGCGTCCCAATTTTCGGTTGCCTTCCACAAAGAGAAAATGATAAAAGGATCCATCACAAATGCCAGAGATGTGAAAGTGGCAATGTGCAGTGCATACGTGCACCAGAGTTGTTGACTGTGAACAGAGAAATTAGTACGTCATCCTGCAGAAGCGCAACTAGAGTCCTGGCGCTGACTTACCGCCACACATATCGCTCAACCACAAGACTAGTCCAGTTACTTCGCCAGTTGCTTCTTGCCCATCGGGAGCACTGGTATAGGAACTTCATCCCATTTTCCAAAGTCGTCTCGAGCTCGCATTCACGCTCGTACTGGATCCAAGTCTTCCATTGGTGGCTGACAAGCCATCGAGTCACAAAGTTGTCGTCGTCGGCGTTCAGGATATAGTGGCGCCACTTTTCACGCTGGAAACCGTCGAGAAACTCAGCGCTTTGCAAAATTTCGGACCTATAGGCCCCGGTACGTCCGGACATGCAAGACGTGCCTCCGTCCATGTTGTGGGTAGCGGAGATCTCGAAGTTGCGCCGCTCGATGTAGGCAGCTCCGAGCCAGTTGAAAATCCGTGTACTCAAATCGGCATTCCATTCACGGCGAACCCGCTGGCAGGTCCCCACGCCACCAATCTTGGGATCTTCGAAAGGCGCCAGGAGCCACGGCATCATGGTCTTGGGCCACTCGACATCATCATCAGCCATGATTGTAATGCGAGTCCGGACGTGTGGCAGCGCAGCGCAGACTTGCAGGCGCTTATTTGCAATTTGCGTAAAAAGAACCCGAACCCGAGGGTGGCCCAGCGAGTCGGCAAGCTTTTTCAGGGCATCATGCTTGGCGGCGGTTGTGATAAGGATGAGTTCGTACGGGTTGCAAGCCAGGATACTCTTCAGGGACGGGCGAAGCTCTTCCATCCGGTTGTGAATTGTAGGGATCACCACGGTCACATCATTCGGGGTGAAACTTGGCTTCTCTGGAATGGGTTTCGACTTGTAGGTCCAGTGGCTGTAGCAGTGGACGAGCAGACGCACATATCGGTGTAACCTGGACCCTTATCAGTAAAGGTAATGCAAGGAGGCGCCACAGCCCGTGGCCGGAGCTATAGCATTGATTATTCCCGGAGCAACAAAGACTTACCAGCAAACGGCGAAGACCCAAGCCCAGAGAGTGGTTGAGTGCCAGTATGATGAGAAGTTGAAAGCACCAACGGAGCTCCACAGAGAAGCCGTCAATGGAATCATGATGTGGTTATCAAGAGAGACACTTGGCGCGGTCGAGTTCGCCATCTCTGATAGGTGCTGGTGATCACAGCAGGGTTGCTCCAACAAATCTTTCGAACGTGAAGCTGGAGGCAAGGGCGATTTGTGTAAAATTCCAGTGGGGTTCGTTCCAACCAGGCCTGGCTGGAGAGGCCGCAGGAATAATCACCCGGGAAATGGGCAGTTCAAGATTGATAGAGCTGTTTGGTTGGGAGCTTATGCACAAAGTCCCTGTTTGTCTCGAAGGCCTTTCTCCTTCTACGGCAATTTTGTGATTGCAGACAAGAACGCTCGGTCTTGTGGCTTTAAGGATCTCAACGCGGTGTTCTCACACCTGAGAAAGCTGGCACAGATGACGGATTGGGGGGTGGTGGCGACTCGAGCGCTTCGGCAGGACGGATACCCACGGAGTTGCAGGACTGCGTTCAAGAAACTGTCCACGGCACTTGTGCTTGTACAGAGAGCTGTGACCTTTTCTCAGTGAGGCAGACAGAGCTGGCTCATCTACACCCTCGAAGCCTTTTTCCTCTTTGGAGGTGGAAAATCAATTGGTGTGCAACGAACGACTTCGGATGAAGGACTGGGCATCGAGCACCACTATAGCCCCTGACAGCAACCGGTGGAGGAGAGGGTAATGTACAAGTAGGAGATGGGAGAGCAGAACGTTATGACAAATCCATGGTACAGACCAATTGGGCCCAAAGAGCAAAGATAGAAAATAAAAAAATAGGTTGGAAAAGCAAAACGTTCTCGATTTGACATGGGAAGCGGATGGGGACAGAAGAGATATATAGTCAGTGGTGACAGACGGGAGATGGACGGCCGAGGAGACTTCCTGGGGTTTGTTACCAGAGCGGGCACGATTGCAGGGACATGGACAGATTTGATCCGGGCTTGCAGTGAGGAGAAGCGCCATAACAAGGAAGTAGTGTGAACGATGTGTTTACGAGGGATAGACATGTCCACAACTGGGGCAATACGCGGCCAAGGTCCAGAGTACAATTTGTCGATGCAGCGTCGAGACTGTGCAGAGGAAAAAAAAGGCGCGAGAAACAGAGGGGACCAGTAGGGATGGTACGTACAGTGCTGATCCAGCAATGCTTGCAGAGGCTTGCAAGGGGGGCTTCTCTAGACTCCTTCTGGCCTAGGGGTCCTCCCTGAGGGTGTGGGTGGCAGTGGTGAGGGGTGTCATTCCAAGATCCACCAGGCCTGCTTTAAGGTCCCATGGGGGCCATCACAACCTCGATGCGGTTGGGTGGTGAGAGGGGCGTGTATCATGAGAACGCACAGTGAGAGGCGGCAGGGTACATGAGCTTGACAAAGGACTTGTGTGAGCGAGGTAGGTGGAGACAACTGAGCTTCAAGGATAGGGATTCTCCTGTACAGCTGTATATGGGGCGATGACCAGCCCCCTGAATCCCGGCCTACCACCTCGTTCGCTCAGCGAGATGCGGAGTCAAACATCCACTTGTTGGAAAGGCCCAGACACCGGAGAATGGGACGGATTTGACACTTCATTCGCTGCTAAGCTTGGTCGTGCATCTCGAGCCTCAGGAAACGCAGCTTATGATGTGATACATGCCCCAAACACGGGCACTGGAGAGGCACAACAAGCATACCAGCCCCAGTTCAATGTGGATTCAGTCCCTGCCGGCCGCCAAGGCTCATGCCATCGAGCTCAGGCCGACATGGATTAGCAGGCCACTGCTTTGTGCCGAAGGGGCTCTCTACGCAACGCTGCCAGTTCAAAGACAATAAATAGCAAGTGCCCGTTTTGATCTCGAGCTCAAGCTTGCCTGGCAGCAGTGTGAGTGGGTAAAGGGCGTGTCTGTGAGGCACCTGTCTTCACAATCACAAAATAGGTGGTCGAGGCTGCCCCATATGCATAGGCTCTGCCATCATTTGTGAGCTTCGGCTTCTGGGGACAAAAGCCATCCAGCCGGGGGCAAGCAGATGCAGGGTAGCTGTCAGATCGCCAGGGTGTCTAGCTAGGAACTTTTGTTGTTAGCAGGACGTACTCAGAGCTGGACTGGCTCGTGCTGGCGTAACAGGCCACTCGTGAGATGATTTCGGCGGCAGGGAGCCGGGGGTATCGAAAGCTGGAGATAGCACCACGAATGAGCTTTGCCTGCTTGGTATTCTGAGATGCGAGCCGAGAAAGGCACCTTCTTGACTTAGACAAGCTCGGTGGTTGTAGGCGACATCTGCTGGCGTTTGTCACAGAAGATCATTGAATGATGCGGGAGGAATTTGGGCGGTTATTTCCAAGGTTGTGACTGCTCACCAACGGAACCATGGAATGATACTACTGTCGGAATCCCCACAACTAATAGTAGACTGGCCCACTTTGGTCTGGGACGAGTTCATGGGTGGTGATAGGTGACGCTTCGAGGACCCTTGATGGGCACTGCAGAAGCGCGGACGCAGCGAAAATAAAGGTACCTTGGTGAGTCGAGACGAGACTCACTGAAAAGGAAGGTGGGGATACCAGGACTGTGCTGCATGTGAATTACTGTGTAACAGCCCGCCTTTTCCAGTGTTCGCGGCTGAGTGAGCGAGGCGGCTGAATGACGGACATTCGATCTAGGGCTGGAGTTGGAAAAGCATTGCCTCTGCGCGGAGCCAGATTTGCTTTTCCTCCAGATCGTGTCCGAAGATGGGAGGGCCTACCGTTGGGACGAACGGATCTCATGCTGGCCCAGCGCACGGCCCCGAGAAGATCCTGGAGTCCCCTACAGTACACCGACAAAAGTACTCAGCAGGTACTTTGGGGGCCGTCACTACCATAGTAGTGTGTAGATCCCCCGATCATGGTCATGAAGCGGCTGCAACATCAGTCACGAAGAAAGCCCCAGAGCAAGACCTCGTTAATCGGCCGATGTGAGGTGTGCCGAATGCAGCAGAACAGAACAGAGCAGAGCCAGGCAGAGCAGGGCAGAGCAGAGCAGAGCAAGACGTCCTTTGCCTTGCCATGAGTCCGCACTGAGCATTGAGGCGAAGCACGCCTCTCATGATTATTTGTGTGGTTCAGACCTGGCACGTACGCGACGGCGATGCAGGTACGGCATCAGTACCAATGGGACAGCTCCCAGGGCCAACTCCAGATTCGAGATGTCAGGTCTCGGCTCGAAGCTGGTTGAGGAAACCCTACGGCTCATCCAAGCCCGTATTTCCGCTGCAGAGTCGGTCATAATAAGACTCAGCATGTGACATGTAATTAATGTGCCCAGGAAGCAGTGTTGTTATCGCCGTTGCCAATATCGCTACGAATCGAGATGGATCCAACCACTGGAGTGCCAAATTTCGTAGACTGTGCCTCTGGTGATACATCATTCTTGCTCGGTAAATGTGTACAAGCATGCTGTATGTGTGTGATTATTGCCCCATTCTTGTCGGCTTGTCGGTCCAGAGACACACACACACACACACGCACACGCACGGAATTTGTTGATGCGTTAACCATCTCTTCGTTACCAGAGAGAGTGAACCATGGTATGCCGTCGACGAGATTGTGGCTTGCCGCCACTACCGGCACGAGCACAAAGGTGTCTCAACGCACAGACACAACGGCGGGCTGTACAAGACTCGAACGTCCTTGCTGATTACTCACAATGCAATGTGATTGTCATGATAGGCACGCGCTGACGGTCTATTGAGCAGGCCCGGCCGGCGTACAGGGGCAGTCCCATGACTTTACAGGAGAGGCTGGCTGTGCGCGGCTGTCATGCTACTGCTGTAAGCCTCGTGATGTGACGGTAATCGGGCGGAGGTTCCTAGGCGACGCAAGCCTGAGCTGTCGTGACCAGAGCAATACACAGCAATAACTGTCGTGACGTCTTGGCACGTCGTCCACAGCCCCCAGCCTACTTGGCCGCCGAGGCCATTGGCAAAGTTCCATCAGGCTGGACTGAGACGTCTCAATCCCTGCCCGGATCCGGACGGATGCCTCGGGCATGTCCATGTGTTGACGTGATGCACAATTCGAACTTGGTAGTGTCTGACGGCCATGAAGGAATTGACCTGCTGTCCGCGAACCGGGATGAAGGGTCGCAATGTTCTGATGACTTGAATTGGAGATCGACTCGATCAACGCCTTCTCTCTTAGTATAGACTAACTAGTCTAGCAGCTGGCTACGGATGGTTCATCAGCAAATGCAGCCACACATTCTTCGAATACAGCTAGCGAGGATGCTGGAGATGCAGCTCTCCCGTTTTGGCAATCGGAGCAGATCTCAAGCAGGGTAGATCCTTACAGCCATGGTCATGGTAGCTTGCTGCGCAGTGCGTACCACCTAGGGTACCACAGTATAGTATCAAAGTACTCCGTTGCTTGATCCAGGGTGCACAGTTCGCACCCCACGGAGTTGCCATAGACGTATACGTCCCGCCAACGTCCACATCAACTGTCCGTTGGTTCCAGCGATGGATTTCGATGATGTATGGTCAGGGTGGAGGACATTCTGGATCGAGAGTGGCCGGGGCTAAGACAGGTGGACTTGGCCATTGCATGACATGACATTTTTCGAAGGCGAAGTCGAAGAGGGAGACGTTGGGTACAGCGCACGTCAAGACGGGGTATCGGCAAGCTCAAGCTCAACTGATGCTGGGACTGGGACTGGGACTGGGACTGGGAGGAGGATGGCTCCGCCTGTCGAGACGGGGGGCTCATCATGAATTGATCATCATCATCATTCAATTGTCTGTGGGCCTCTGTGGGGTCACCAGCATCACCAGCAAACGGGAAAGACAACATCAAAGTGTGCTCGGGCCAGCTAGACGCTCCTGCTCCCGACTGCTTGCCTGCCCGCCTGCCCGCCTGGAAATACTGTTACCGTTACTGTTACTGTAGGTACCTAGTCTACCTCGCTTCATACGAGGTGAGAGCGGGTGGTCTACACAGTAGGTACGTCTGGTCGCGAACCTCACTCACACCTGCCCAGGCAATTCTCTGGCTGCGCGCCTGCCTGCCTGCCTTGCGTTGTCGTGCCTGCCACCCACCCACACGCATTCACACAATCAGTATCTTG